AATTCGCGCGTACGAGGTCGGTTTCGGCTATTAATTCTTGACGGTTATGGTAGCCACCTTACACCCCAATTCGACCGAATCTGTGCAGAAAACGATATTATACCTCTTTGTATGCCTTCGTATTTATCATATCTACTACAGCCACTAGATGTTGGCTGTTTTACAGTGGTTAAGCGCGCGTACGGTCGCTTCGTTAGCGATCTTGCGCGTAGAGGATATAACCATATTGATAAATTCGATTTCTTGGAAGACTACCAACGCGCGCGGCTAGAAGCCTTTCAATTAACTAATCCGACTATCTAGAATAGCTTCGCAGCTAGTGGTTTAGTACCATTAGATACCGAGAGAGTGCTTAACAAGCTTAATATCTCTCTACGAACTCCTACACCACCAAGCAGCCGGCCAAGCAGCAGATCTAGCCAATTCACACCAAAGACGCCTAAGACAGTCGCTTAATTGCATAAGCAAGCATCCTCGCTTAGGAAATTACTAAAGCAACGGTCAAATAGCCCTCCTACACCGTCGAAGACCGTACTAGCGCAACTTGTTAAAGGGTGCGAGATAGTTATGCATAGCGCAGCCCTTCTCAGTCAGGAGAACGCCAATCTACGCGCAGCAAATGAGAAGATCGTCAAGAAGCGCAATCGGTCGCATAGGTTTATACCTTACGAAGAAGGTTTAACCGTCGAAGAGGGTCTACAACTAGTTGAACAGCTAGACCAGCCAGAGGAAGATGATAGGGTAGATTCGCATGCAGAGGTCGAATTGCCTAGTCAGCTAACTAGGCCAGCAGCTAGGGCTCCGCCTAGGTGTAGTGGGTGTAGGGAGATTGGTCACAGGATTAATGTATGTAAAAATCGCTATATCTAGTTAAATTAATAGGTGTTGGGTGAGATAACTAATCTTGAAATTTTTTAGACGGCGTGGGTGACCCGGTCAACTGGGTGACCCGGTCATGTGGGAATTACGTTAACTAACCTTGTCTGTCCGATGTCTCGTTAGACAATATATCTGAAAGGTTGTCAAGCTGATCGATCGCCCTCCTGCACCATCCAATGCCATATCCCGTGTAATCGGAGATTCCCTCGGCGGGAGGACCGCGCATTGCGGTTAGCATGGTCCACTTCACGCTGTTTGACGCAGAGTCCTGTGGCGTCACACGAGGCGAGTAGGGCCTAAGAACTAAGGGTCTGATTCAAGCCCACTGCCATTGAAAAGGATAGTGTGAGGCTGGACGATGGTGTGGGATTGGTGGAATTTCCGCTCAGGATATTATGATGGGGGCCAAAGATACCCTCGAACCAGACGCTAAGGCGGTCTCTCGAGAAATACCCTTTTATAGTACCCGAAGGCGAGCCACGCTAATGTGGTTCCTTTTCCAAAGGTCGTTAATGTTAGCCAAGCGAAAATAGAAGTAGGCTACATCTATTTTTGTATTCTGGATTAACAGCCGACCCCCGCGGTGAACTCTCTTCGTTGCTACCTCCTCTAGCGTGGTCTATATTACGTGAGGCTTCGATCATGTGAGTATTTTTTATCTAAAGCAATATCTAAGGACTAGCGATCTGCCTATGGTGCCTAGAACACGGGAGCGCTTTCCGTTGTTCTGGGGAAATGTATAACTCACCCTACGCCTATGCACTCTCGGGACAGCTATCATAGCTCTCTGCTTTTTGGTTAAGTTAGCCAAAACGTACAAGGACGCTAATCGCGGCCAGGGCAAAACCTTTGACGGTAGCATTTTCATATTGAGTTTCTAATTCCTATTTAGCGAGAAGTGCAAGACTGATTCAAAGCTTTTTAACAAGAGCACCTGGGCTATTTTTATTAGCGTAGTTGAGTCTGTCACGCTGCTCGACCATACACACCGGATAAGACGCGCTCTAGGAGTGGTTGTTGGGTTTGCGGACTTGATTTTCCTTGGTGTGGGCATTTACTCGATTTTTGAGATCGTGTTGAGTGATTTTGCGCTCGCGGACGCGCCGTAAGGGTATCGAAACCCGTGGAGTCACCTTTAGTATGTGGCGGGAATTTTGATGATTGTCATAGTGTGGGTAACTTATCGCGCTAAAAGAGATTCATAACTCTACTAACAGTATTGTATAGGGTTGAAGCGACGATTGCTGTACTTATAGGGTGCTTTTGTGGATGCAGGGAACCGAATAGAGGGAGGCATGTATCTTCGTTAGAGCAACAATCGACGGTTTTAGCCGAATATCATCAAACTCAAGAATAGCGGTTGCCTATAATAGTCCTGTTATACTAGCCCGCACAAATTCATATTTAGCTAAGAGGCTACTTGCAAGGAATGCAAATTTAGGGTACTTGTCACGCCCTATACTGCTTAATAGGGACTCTAAGTAGCACTTATCCGCGAGCTATAGTTTCGAGCCGGTTATATTGTATCTATGCACCCTAGTGATAGCGAGAATGATCAGTCATGTCCTTCGCCCTGGAGTTGTGGAAGATACCCCGCTTATGTAACTGGTAATTGTAAGGGTTTACCTATATACTATCGACGAATCGTGGCCCGAAAGGTAGTCCTAGAGTCGCGATTCTGAACCGCGAACAAGTGTCTAGCTAATTAGCGTATAGTACCCAGCCCTAGCCACTAAATTCATTCGGTCGTTTCGAATAGTGATAAATTATTTACCTTTTATCTAGCCTCTAGGCATCCGAGAGACTGTGTTATTTTTCACAAGCGTTCGATCATGTAACATTTGAAAGTTGTTTCCATCCTTCGAGTAGGATCCCCTACCCACGCACGCAGCCTGGGCATCTAGTATAGCCCTACACAATTGTGATACACTATAACGCCAAGAAACTATATTTATCCCTTGTACGTATGGTGGCTTCAGTAATAAATAGGAATTTGTAAAGCATCTGATCCTGAGGGCTTTTAGATTGGGTTCCAGGAGCTCATTTGAGACGCCCATGCCGTTTCCTTGGGAACTGGATGCAATTTCTAGACGATACTGGATCTTGTTAGACAGGCTCGAGAGCAAGGCCCGGAAGTTCCGGTCGTTATAACGGGATAATGTAATCCGGTTCTACGGCATGGGTTTAGAAGGGCAACAGAGGAAGCAGCATAGGTCGGGGTGGACGGTTTTCTTCTGGCCGATTTGCCGGTAATCGAATCGTCCCATTTCCGTACACTCTGCCGAGGCGGGGTTAGTTTCAAGTCCTTGATACATTATGCTATTGATAAAAAGACTAATATATTTTAAGGCTTTCGTACATCCCCGTTATATCAACGACAATGTCGGACGTAAGGATCGGGCTTCTCTGTTAAGCTGCAGACACCTACCTCTACGTGCTCTCTAGAATGGGCGTCACGGGATCGGCTAGCGAATGTCTGTCATCGGAAAATGCGCCCCTCACTCAATTCATGACGAGGGTGTACTACTTATTCGACAATAAGCCCTTCTACCTAGGCCTTGGAGTGAGAACTCGGGAGCAATACCTTAGCATGCAAGACATAGCTCTAGGGGTGGTAGTAAGGACTCAAATTATTAAGACAATTAACGAGACTCCGGTGTATGGGGATATCACTGTAGCTATCGAAAGCTATTGCACGTATTTGACCGGTCAAACCGGGGCTAGTCCTTTAGCGTAGCTACCCTTTAGCTCTCTGACTGTCGGTTCCTCCGCTGGTAACACCTGTTTAGCTAAGGAGACGACACTCCCGTCGCACTTCGGGTAGTACGGCGGGTAGTATGTACCAGAGCTATTACTGGAGTATTTAGGTAGTCTTGAGCAGTGTTTTGTTAATGCCCAGGGGGAATTTCATTTCTGGAAACAGTACCAAAGCCATTTGACGGCTATGACTAGTCAGTCAGCCTGAGGGCCCGCTCAGGATTAAGCCCGGATATGGTGACAGTGGCCCGGGAGCTAAGATCTGGCTATATCAGTAGGGTTCGCATAAATCACAAGATGCAGAAAGATACAGAATGTGTAGCACTCTCGGCCAGATTCTACTCGCCTGTCGTTTGGGCAAAAAGCATATCCCGGCCGAGACCACATCCGAAGGTGATGTAGTCGCATCAGCCACTATATGTGCAAGGCTGGGACTTGAATGTGTTCTCTTCATTGGAGCTCAAGATCTCAAACTGTTCCCCCGGTGGACTGCGCATATTGATGAGCTCGGGACAGAGCTTATCTCCGTTGTTGGCTGCAAAGAGGTGGTACACGATGCCGTCAACACTGGACTTTAATATTGGATAACAGATTTGCATAATTGCCAATGTGTCCCTGGCATTGCCATCGGGCCACGCCCGTTTCCTACTATTGTCCGTTCCTTCCAGGCGAGTTTTGGGAACGAGATGCGGGAAGAGGCAATCTCCCGGATTGGCAAGCTCCCGGATGCGGTGATAGTAAGTGCGGCGGCAGGGGACGGGGCCACTCTCAGTTTACCATCTAGGTGACAGAGAGTCCCGATATTGTTTAACGTAAGAAAGATAATGTATAATTCTAGTAGAAACTTCTCGGTCAGTATACTATAGTTTGCTTTTGTGAGATTATGTAGAAAGGTATTCCCCGTGGGTCGACTAGAGTCAAGAAATTATAGGATCACCTCGTGATTAGTGGTTTGTAGTTACGATAATCTATTCGAGGCTCTCGACATTTATGCGTAGCGATTCTTATTTAGCGTAGGTAGCTGTTCGTATTTAGTGATATTAAGATACAGTGACTGCCTAACTCAGCCGAGGCACGTGAATTAGGCAGCGGGCTATAATCGATTAGGCTCCAACTACCTACCCTTATACTTTTGTCAACAGGAACCCTCCTAGCTTCGTATTTTTTACTTGCATTTTTTAGTATTCTTTGTTTCTCCCTTTACTTTATCACTCACCCAATGCGATAAAATCTCTCGTGTGGTGACTTGAAAAGCCCAACCCGTACTTCGGAGACCACTATTATTCATTCTTTCGCTTCTCTTCCTCATTATATCTTTCATACTGTTCGAATTCCGTCATATCGTGGGTGTCATATCTCCAATAATGGTGGACTCACCTCTGTTAGCTCTGCCGACCGAGCTTCTCGTAGCAGTCTTTAGTTGCTCCTCCTCGCTCAGTCATGTTGCGAACCTGGCTGCAAGCTGCAAAGATCTGAACACAATCTGGAAAGAGCACATCTCATATATTGTGAATCAAGTTGCACCCGCCGCTATTCCGTGTTATGAAGACTTACGCGGCCTCTTGGCCAACCAGGGACATTTAGCGCTGGGTGCGCAGGTCCTCCAAATCTCTGACGTTGCTCAGCTTGTTACAACATCCAAAAATGTCACCGAGCTATTCACTTCGTTCCGTGATCGCGTGAGAGCAAACGTCGTCTGGGACCCACAGGTCCCTAGAGTATTATCGCCTTCTGAAGAAAGCCGTTTCATCAGTGCCCATTACAAACTCTGGGGCTTGATGCTGCTCAATAACGACGAGCAGCAGGGCCTTATTGCAAGCATGGATCTCGAAGAGACGTGTTTACTGGCAGACTTCCTGTGTGTTTTTGATCCTTGGAAGATCCACAATGCCGAAATTCAGCGGGTTATGGAAGGCAGCCCCGCAGCCCATCGATTCTTGCAGCAAAAGATTCGGCAGCAGCGCAATAAAGACTTTCTTAAGCAGCACCATCGCGCCTACCGGCCAATTGAATTTACACCTTATGAGCGGGATGGGCGGTACGCATGGTGGTGTGACAGGCAGCAGGAGATATTCAAAAAGATGCTGACGGGAAGCTTGTTTCACGCTTGATTATAATGTAGATGAATACCAAAAGGAGGGCAACTCTGGAGATGAGAACCATTGAATTTTCATTCAGAGATATATTAAGAACCTACGCAGCGAGGCGGTGGCGGGCATTAAATCCCAAAGGTACAGTGATGAGAGCGAAGAGTCATCCCTGTTGGCCCTTACTGGACGGAGACTTGGTATTGATGACTATAGCAGTGCCTGAAAGAACAAGAATCAAATTTATTATGTTCTTTCCTTCTCACAATGTCGACGTCAATTCTTCTAGGAGGCATTTTCTCCAAAACACGAAATCAACGGTTATGAGGTCTTCTCGGACATAGCGGTCATATGTCTGGAAGTTTCATAATTCTTCCTTGCCAGCAGTGGAAACCGGGTTTAAGTAACCTACTATCGCTAGGAGGACTATTTCACGGAAGATGAAATTTAGTACAAGAATTTTCAGTAGGGCAATGGAAAATTGTGGATTTTACAAACAATAAGGGGAAGAAAGTCTATTGAATCCGAAGCGGCGTAAGTAAGGGATTCAGCCCCGGGGTCAATTAAAAACTTTTTCTAATAATCGTAGTAAATAAAAGTAAAAAGTTGAATTATATGTATGGGTACCTAGACACGATATTTGCCTATGATATATCATTATCATTACTGCCTGATGATACAGGCGGTGTCCTTCGTTCTGAGGGTATACTAAAGGCCACGAACAAGGGCATCTGACTGCACTCTTATTCTTGTCATGAAATACCAAGCAATTTGTTACGGAGATCTGAAATTTCGCTTATATCTGAAGCAGGATGACATTTGCAATATTTTAGGTACTACGCTGGAGTATGGCTCAACTTCAATTGATATCCACTCAATTCGTCGCTAAATCAGTACTTAGAAGTAGGCTGTGGTAGTCAAAGTGAGAGCATCATTAGGCCCTAGATACCACAGTGGTATGCTCCTCGTTCCACCGAAAAATATACCTTTACGAAGGCTCAGGAGATATACACCTATGCGCTACGCCTATCCTTTCCTCTGCTACCATGAGTTATAAGAGGTATATACATAGTGTCAAATGTCATATTATAACAGGCATCTTCGTATTCTTATAGTTTGCCAAGCCACAAGCCGCGTATAATATTGCTAGCTAAGTTTATCTCCAAGGGTATTTGTACGAACCTCTCCTAGATACACGTGTTGTGTCTATGACTCATGGAAACTCGGGCAGAGAACATAGCAGCTTAAGCTCGCACGAAGGTATCTGTGCTAACTGATATGGATATAAAGTTTTTGGACAATACTGGAATATTTCGTTACGTATTAACTTGGCATTTACAGTATTAAAGTTTCTGGTATATAGCAACGGAATAGACAACGTGCAACAAATGACATAGTTTTAAGACTGGGGGAAGTGTCCTGTTTAAGGTTCTTAGACCTGCCGAGGGTGATTGATGATTGATTTCAAAGGGGCTGTCATCTTATACTTATTATTATCTGTTCATATCCATCTAAACTTTTGTCGCCTATCCAGTATATATGTAGAGGCCCACAACCCATTGCGCAATAAAAACTTGATGTCACTATTATTCCTATATTTCCGCTTCTATGATGGTTATGAGACCATCATTGGTATGATCCTTTTCGTCGCTATATAAATCCCAAGGCTACTTTGAATAGAGCTCATAACCCCACAAGCACTGGCGTACTTGCCTAGGTCAGCCAGTGACGCCGGCCCCCGCTCATGGATCGCTCATCGTGATATAGTAAATAGGTGAGAGCAGTTGCTCTCTGGCTTGCAAAAAGAAAATCTCAATCTAGCTCCTTGACTTTCACTACAAATTAGTTTCTTTTCTGCCTTCAAAAACAGGGGAAACAATTAGAGAACTGAATAATGACACTGTTTGCTTGCGTTTCATCTAATGTCTTGACCATTTTTCTTGTTGCTGAAGATTATTAAATATTTTAATTCATCAGCCTCCCCTGAAAGTCAACATTACTTGGCTCGCTCTAACCGGCCTCTGAACCTTCTTTCTCGTTCTTAACAGCTGACGGTCAAGGCTATTTGGAACATATTGATAACTCCATAATCAATTAGTCTATATCTATTGATCAGGCCGAGAGAATATCATCGTAGTATGCATTTGGAAATGGATATCGAGAACCCATATGTACATGTAGATAGTCTCCTTGAGCATGCCAAGGATTTCGGGTAGTGTGAAGGTGGTCCAGGTACTCCGTCACGACTCGGTGTATGCTATCGCGAACAAGCATTATTTAGCAATATTATACATGTATTACGTGTGAAACCCAGTAAATTCAAGGCCTCTGAGTTGGAGAAACTCCAATGAAATAACCTGGAATGGCATCATTCGCGAAGAGCTGATGGATACCACAAGCATCTAGCGATAGGCTCCCCATTGCCATGGTCAATGAAAAGTGATCCAGTCGATCACCGATGGCATATGTTCCTGGATCTGTGTCTTCGGCGATCCGGAAACCTCCAGACAGTGGAGTTGTTTGAATTGCAGGCGTGATTCTCTCTTTAGAAAGACGCCATACCTGATCGTTGTGTATGCCTCCACGGCGAGCTACCGAGCTGACCTCGGTAGAGCACTGCGAGAGGGACTGGAGCGTAGCCGCTAACAGTTCGAGTAATAGGATAGCAGATTTGATACAATCACGGGAGGCCTGTACTAAAGCCATAGCATGCCTCGACGGAATTACTCCAATGAAGGTGGCTGACAGTTCTGTAGCAGATAACGTGCGGTCCAGCAGAACGAGATTTCCTTTCGAATGGAAAATGTAAATCATTAGTGGATTTGTGTCAAACACCAAGCCAAACGGGGTTTTGATGACAATTGCTTTCGTCATTGCTAAATACCCAGGACATTTGGCAACTTCGTTGAATGCATAGTCCACTGTTTGACCTATCAAGCTCCCCATTCCTTGCTCATCTTCCGTTCGGGCAATACCTTCCGTCATCCATTTGCGTGACCATTCCGGTTCGCCTAAAAAGCACGACGTTTCATGAATGAAGGCATCTGCGACGATGTAAGGTCGCCAAGACATGAGAAGCGTCCTACCCATGCCATTTTCATGTGCAGAAGGCCCACGGGCGCGCATCAACTGGCTGATACCACGAGCGTGAATGATCCAGCCACGGTCACTGCTGCCGTCTAGGACTTCATACCCGCCTAACAAGATAGCTGCTGCCGAAGTCTCGTCTGTGAGCTGCATCGGTCTGTATGAGAGAGGCCAAATGCCGAATCCCACGACTATACATATGACGAGCGCAGGGGATTGCTTGCTTATTGCCCTGTGAGGCCCCCATTAGCAAGGCCGTTAGGGCGCGGATAGCCCAGACAAGGGCTGGAGGAAACGTGGACCACCCATTGCGTAAGAATGCCATCCAGTCCACCTTCACACGCGACTGAACGCAGGCGCGGACACTGGGAAAGTAATAGTTCAGCCATCCATCGAACGACTCTCTGGTCTGGGTGCTAATCGCCTCAAAGGCCAAATTCGGAGCAAATATTTCATCCATCGACGATTGGCCATGTTTTTGGATGATATGCTTTGTCTGGTCTTTGAACGTGCGAGCACGATCATAGCCTGGGCGGTCTGACCCGCGATTGATACACCGTATGCAGTGTGGACGCGTTTCGTCGTAATGTGAACAATCTTAATTGGTGGCTAAGGCTTAACTCGTCGGTATGATTTGACAGATGATCCTCAGAATGCGCCGCTATAGAAAATGCCTCAATAACTCACCTTGATCCCGCGGCGAATACACTGCAAACAGCCCTGACTGCGGGGGACCCCAACCATGATAGTTGTTCCTCGAGATTCGTCAGTTCGTGGTGGGTCTGTCGATCGATTTCATGGCCACATTGATGCCGATTGAACCAATGAGCGAGCTTCTGGTTCCATCAATCCCGACATTCGCATCGATCAATTAGTAGTCAGGAGAACAACTAGCGAGAAAGAAATACGAGAAGTTGGGGGGGGAATACTAGGGGCGGCTCCAACACAGCACGCGCCAAGCGCCACACCGCCCGGCAGAAGGAGATGGCACGTGACAGTGAGCGCGTACAGTAACTTTACCTCTTGGTGATGTATTTTTGATGTATTTCTGTATTATTCCAACCAGTCAACAACAAACGTCTCCTGCCGGATTTTGGCGATGATGAACTTTTTCCATCGATTTATGGTCATTTACGAGAGGCCAGATTATTTATGACAAATCACAACCCAACCAGATGGTCACTTCGACGGCCGAAATGGTCAGTCCAGTAGGATTTTCCTCCGCAGTCGCAGTACTGAGATTGGAGAGACCAGACACGAGCGATTTGGGGAGCCAGTGAGCGCCTCGGAATACAAGACGAGTTGCAATGTCGCTCAGCCACAGTATCCACTGCCCATTTCCATTCGATTTCACACCTTCACTCTCCTCCGAGATGAGACAGGAACCGGCTGCCAGGCTTGAGCTTGAGGGTGAGTTCGTTCGGTCGGCTATGCGCGACATCGGTCGAGAGCGGGTCACGAATGAGATGACTCGATTCATGCGGCATTATTCATTATTGTTCGCAGTAGAGTGAGTGACTTGTTCCCTCCAACGATATCACTTGCTCCGCAAAAGACGCCACAGGGCGTGTCCACGTGGGGGGCCGTAGGTCCTGCTCAACTGCTGACAGCTAAACCAGTTGCGATCTCAACCCTCTTGGAAACAACGCACGATCACTTCCATCAAGCTCCTGCAATGATTGGCCACACGAAATCTCTCGCATCCCGCTTGCCAGGATGGAAGAGGACTCATCTCACCTCGAATGCGATCAAGGTAGACAAGGGGGAAATTATATGAGGAAATCCCTCGGATTTTCGTATTGGAACCCCGTTTGCAGAGCCCTATAAAGACCGAGCTCCACGCAAGAGGTTCTCCCGTACTCAATTACTTTCGGTCAGCTGCTAGGTTTGGTGAAAATTCCTCATTTGCTCCATCAAAATGCCACCATTGGTGCCATCTGTGCGCTGGAATGCTGCTGATGAGGAGTCGGCCAATCACGGCCCTAATACTCATGTACAGTCGCGATCAAAGAACAACAACAGCGTTGGGATTCAGAGACGAGGCAGTCAACGGTCGATCGATCCTGCAGCTGCCATTCCGATTGAATATCGAAGCCTGTCAGTCCCCACCATCGTCCCACGGGCCAATGGGCACTAATTTGAAGATTCAAGTTCATTCGAGATCGAGGACGATGCGCAAAGGCAGCGGCGGTTCAGGCGCCAGGATCAAAGAGATAAGTTGGCCGAAGGTAACGCCCCTCCAACGTTAAAGTTTCTTGTTGAATTCAAGGCCTCGAATTAACAACCGTGACAGAATGGCAGAGCACAGACTGGCACACTCTGTCCGTGGAGGAGGTACAAAAACAACTCAACGCCGATGTGATGGCGGGATTGTCCACAGAGAAAGCTGCCGAACGTCTGAGGAAATACGGTCCGAACAAGATCTCACCCCTTCCAAACCCTTGGTTCTGGAAGATATTCGGATACTTTTTCAAAGGATTTGGTTCGATTCTGCTTGTCGGTGGTATCCTGGTTTTCATTTCATGGAAACCACTCGGTCAACCCCCAGCTGTTGCCAATCTCGCGCTAGGCATCGTTCTTATCGCGGTATTCGTCATTCAAGCAGCTTTCAATGCCTGGCAAGACTGGTCCTCGTCGCGTGTCATGGCATCAATTACCGCGATGCTGCCTGAATCATGTTGGGTTCTTCGAGACGGGAGTCGATGTGAAGTCGTATCTACGGATATCGTCCTAGGCGACACTGTCTTCATTAAATCAGGCACCAAAATTCCCGCAGATTTAAGGTTCATCGAAGCTTCGCATGACCTGACGATTGATCGTTCCATCGTGACAGGTTCGTGTAGACATCTCCTAATGTGACCATGTCCCCTCTGCTAAACCATGTACAGGCGAGTCAAATCCAATCAAGGCTACCACTGATTCGACATCCGACAATTATCTTGAAACACGATGCATTGGCCTCCAGGGTACACACTGCGTTTCCGGCACGGCCACGGCAATTGTTGTAGCGACGGGCGACTCTACAGTCTTTGGGCGGATCGCCAAACTTGCGGGCGAACCGAAAACCGGGCTTACGACGATTGAGAAAGAGGTTTTACGATTCGTACTCTTGATTTTCGTCATCATGGTTACGTGGATTGTGATCCTTGCTGCTGTGTGGTATGTAAAACCTCCAGAGCCTCAGGATACTTATGCGTTCAATGGAAGCTAAAGTTCACCATGCATTAGGGGCGGGTGGCTACACAAGGTGCATCCAGACTATATCAACGTACCTACACTCATCGTCGATTGTGTCAGCGTTGCTATAGCCTATATTCCGGAAGGGCTGCCAATAGCTGTGACGGCGAGCTTGACGATCACGGCCAATCTATTGAAAAAGAACAAGGTCCTATGCAAATCTCTCAAGACCGTTGAGACCCTGGGCGCGGTCTCCGTCATATGTACTGATAAGACTGGCACTTTGACACGGGTATGTGAAGCCATCTGAAAAGGCCCCTCGATATAATGCTGACCAGGTCCTTCAGAATCGGATGTCGGTCACAGACTACGCTGTGCACACAGCGAGCTCAATCTTGGACGCAACCGGTGCTAATTCTCTCTCGAAAATGAATCGATTAGCACTTCAACAGCTTCGTTCCATCGCCGGTCTTTGTAACGCTGCTGAATTTGATAGCAAGTCCGAGAACCTTCCTCTCAGTGAAAGGGCGATATTCGGTGATGCCACAGATCAAGCGATCCTCAGATTCTCGGAAGGCTTAGGCTCTGTCTCACAACTGAAGCAAGGCTGGAAATCATTTTTCACCCTGGCTTTTGACAGCAAGAATAAATTCATGATCAAGACATTTACCACGGCCATGGTCGGAAGCCCTAACCTGTCACTATCACCGACGGAAGTTTCGAAATTCCAGCCTCAGGACATGTATGTTCAAAGCATCCATTTGTTTGCGTTCGGCAGAAACTGACCCCTTTCCAAGGCTTTTCACTATTAAGGGAGCTCCCGATATTTTGATCCAACGCTGTTCGCACATCTTAGGGCCAGATGGAGAGGTTCAGCCATTGAGTGAAGATGTTCAGCGTAAGGTTGAGCAGAAGATAAAGGAGTGGTCATCTGACGGGAAGCGGGTCATTCTTTTGGCTCGTAAGCTCTTGACTCAAGAGAAATGCTGTCCAGATCCGCTATCGCCGGAATGCGAGGCACAGATGCTCCGGGAAGCAAAGTCCGGCCTTACCCTGGTTGGCCTGTTGGGATTGATTGACTCACCTCGGTCAGAAATTCCAGAGGTTATCAGAATTTTGCGACAGGCTCAAATCCGTGTTTTTATGGTACGCCGCTCTGTCTGCTAGCCGATTGTTTCCCCGCACTCTGACAACGTTATAGGTTACGGGTGACTTTGGCCAGACAGCCCTGGCGATTGCACGCCAATGTGGTATCGTTACCTCAGATTCTGTCCATGATGCTTCTGCTCTTGCTCGAGATCCAACCCTTAACGAGAAAGAAGTGGATTTCTCTCAATCTGCCTTACTTGTCAGTGGCAGTGATCTAATGGGGTTCAATGAATTCCAATGGGAACAGTTGTGCCAGTATCGCGAGATCGTGTTCTCACGTACTACTCCTCATCAAAAATTGCGGATTGTGCGGGAATTGCAGTCAAGGAACGAGACAGTTGCAATGACAGGAGACGGCGTTAACGACGCTCCGGCGCTCAAGGCCGCGGATATCGGTATCAGTCTTGCCAGCGGCTCTGATATCGCCATCGAAGCGGCTGATATGGTCCTACTAGACTCGTTCGCGGCCATCGTTGAGGCTGTCCGATATGGGAGAGTTGTCTTTGACAATCTGAAGAAGACAGTTGCTTATCTTCTTCCAGCCGGGTCCTGGTCCGAATTCTGGCCCGTCTTTACCAACCTGATCTTCGGAATCCCGCAAATATTGTCATCATTCTTGATGATTATCATTTGGTAAGAACCCGTTGCATCTTGGTGTCCGCTCAACCTTCTAACATGATCCCAGTTGCTTTACGGACTGTGCCGCCGCTGTTGCCCTCGCATATGAGGCGCCCGAGGCAGATGTACTATATCGTCCACCGCGTCATCCCACCAAGACCCGGCTCGTTGATTGGAAGCTTATTTTCCATTCCTATGCAATCATTGGAATGATAGAAACCGTATGTTCCTTTGCCATGGCTTTCTGGTATCTTCAGAGGAACGGTATTCCATTCTCCGATCTGTGGTTCAAGTTTGGCGAAATTCCCGCGGGAATTGACGTGGACTTCTACAATGCACGAGTCAATGAAGCTAGCTCGATCTACTTCATCAACCTTGTTATCATGTTCGTCCTTCTTTCGGGCTAATGATTTTCCACATTGACTAATTGATTTATAGGCAATGGTTCAATCTCATGGCCGTGCGCACTCGCCATCTTTCAATCTTCCAACATCCGCCTGCGTTCAATAAAGAAACGCAAAATCTGTATCTTTTCCCTGCCATTGTGTTTTCCTTGGGTATTGCTGTCATTTGGCTCTACATTCCAAGTCTACAGACTGTTCTCAGCACGTCTGGGATCCCTGTCGAGCATTTCTTCCTCCCTGCGGCACTAGGCCTCGGACTACTTTGCCTGGATGAAGGAAGGAAAGCAGCAGTTCGTCGCTGGCCCAAAGGGTCATTCGCAAAGATGGCATGGTAAACACTTGATTACCCTCTCTGATCTTCATTCAAAGTCACTTGAGAGGAGGAAGTAAAGGATGCGCAACGTCGTTCCGCGTTTTTGCGCGACTCTGTCCTCCCCTACATACTGAGGGTTTTTTAGTGTCTCTTCTCTTTGCTTTTTTCTTTGGTATAGACCAAGGTCTTCTATTAATCGACAAGCATCTATGGTTTTGACATGACTCTGGGGGTGGATCTTGTCTGTTTTATGTTCGATATATTCAAGGTTAGGTGTTCCAGACAAAGTATATTTTCGTCCAACTTATCTTCTGCATAACTTCCCTGAAATACTATCCTAGACACATAGGCTAAGTTTCATTTCTCATGAAGGGCCACACCGTGATCGAGAAAATCAAGGTCACGACACACTAAATTTGAGGCCGTATATAAGGAGTGGAGGGCAAAAGCGCAAAGCAAGAGAAAGTTACGGTGGGGGATCCGTTGACTGCCTGAAAGGATCCCAGTACGTAGACTAGTTCAGATTTCTTCATCTATTCACAGCACTCTATCCTTCTTCGCCGTTGTGATGGAGGATTTTCAATATTTTAACACGTAATATCGAGCCCCATTTACCACCATATTGGCTATTTGAATGCGTTTATGGACACTTCGCAATATTCGCCCGTCCTGGATGCATCACAGTGTAGGTCATGCGCTTTCATGATTCAATAATAAAATTCAAACAAATCCTCCACGATGGTGATCCCCATTCGAAGTCCCATTGGCCGCTGTCGAGCTCTCCATTGATGCTTGTTGCTGTGCCGGGGAAGTAGTTGCCCAACCATTATTGGCTGATCCAGCTCCACTGTAAGCAGTCTGTGGACGCTGGTCACCAAAAGGATTATCTTTAAACATCATCGATGAACGGTCAGGAATGAGTTCAGCCGTGGAGCCTCCCCTAGATGCAACAAGAGACTCGGCGGCGATCGATTTAGCTTTCAGGAGCTCTCGTGCGGCAATTCGCTTGGATTTGGCTCGGTCTTTGGCGCAGTGTAATATGCTGACACCGGAAAATAGCGAGACGAGACAACAGGAGAAGATGATGGCTGCAATGTTTCCTTTGCGATTCCACTCAGCAATTTCGGCACTTGTCGTACTCGTAGCAGACGCGGTAGAGGTCGTCGTAGAAGAACTTGTCGTGGTTGTTGAGCTGCTGGATGTCGTCGAAGTTGAACTAGTTGTAGACTGTGTGGAGGTGGACGAGGTTGAGCTTGTTGTTGCGGTTGACGTAGTTGAAGTAGATGACGTGGATGAAGTGCTAGTTGAGCTTGAAGTTGTCGTCGATGTCGATGTCGTCTCCGAAGAAGTCGTGCTTGTCGATGTAGATGAAGTAGTCGTTTCGGTTGTGGATGTTGTTGATTCGGAGGTTGTGGATGTATCACGGGCGACAATTATGACCCGATCAATAGCATCTCTCACACCAAGATAAATAAGCCCTCCATCGGAACTAGCCGGTGAGAGCTCATCCTTGAGTGTTTCGAGCGAAGTGGCCGTGGGGGCTCCATGCGGTTGGCATGCTGTCAACGCTAGATGTGACGCCAGTAGCAGGACAGCGGTTTTCCGATTTATCATTTTGAGTATGGCCAATGTAACAAGTAGAGCCAGATATGAAATTTCTACATCTTGGAAATCAAGACACGAGCCCTTAAGTAAAAGCAGCAAACGATCGCCCAACCCGGGCTGCGAGTTAATTGACGTATGGTTCTGACGCTGCCCGAGGTGCTCATTGGTTGGGTTCTCGGGCTCCCACGGCGAGTTGCGACTAGCACGTCTAGCTTGGTGAAGAAAATCATGGATTGGACTATTTTTGCATCGTTCGATCTTTAGACAGCCATTGACGATCTGGTGGAGTGGAACTGTAGTTCAATAGCACACGCACATGCCGCGCGGCAGAGCCCCACCAAACTGGACAGGGCTGATCCAGAGACTGAATTGGAGGTGCGCTACCGGAACTCAATTTCGTTCTCGATGATTCCTGAATATAGAGGGTATAGGCTAAATAATATGTGCAAGGGATTCGCCAGTCGTACCTCCTTGAAAGGAAATGCATTCCATTCATGCTGTACATGTCACGTCCGGAACTTGTGTCGAGGAAGAAGCATTTCAATTGCGTTCCCCACTTTGCCTTGATTTCCTTATCTTTTGTCTTGATAGCGCAATTTCGCCTAAAATTATACCCGTAGGAATCCATTCATCAAATTCTATACTATTTCCAGTATATTCGTACCCTAGTCAGGTTCGAACTAGGTTATGTGAGCGGAGGCTGCGCACTATGTATTGGACGAGGCCGCATTATCGTCACCCTCCTGTCTCATAATGGAACTTTTTAGCTTTAAAAATAATATGCGCTAGAGGGAACTTTTACATTTTTGAATACTGTAGAGATTCGTAGGCTTTTGTGGCCGTGGCTGGGGCCTCTTGAGCTCAGCCACAGACCGCGACTTCCGTGCCAAGCTTCTCGGTCTCCCACTGACACGTGGCTCGCACTGTCTAACGGCGTACATCTTTCGGATTACACGTTAACCCGTCCGTCAGTAACGGCTTGTGTTTAATCTTGGGGACAGAGTATATATCCATTGTTCGAAGGCCCGGACTCTAAACAACCAAAAATTCATTCACTATGCTAAAAATGCAGAGTGGCTTCCTATTAACAAAGTGGCGGATATGGAGCAAACCTTGGCTTTATCAATTCATGGCATTTTAAATCTTAAGGACTGATCAATAGTCAAGTACTTCTAAATTTGTCGCACAATCTACCATATAATTGACTAGCTGATCATGCTTAGGCTGAAGTCGGTGGCTAGCAACGGTCGGATATATGGTTTCTTCACCAAGATTACATGCTCTTTATTCTAGAAGATCCTAGAAGGGTTCAAGTAGAATGGAGAGGACTGGAGACGAGTAAACCCGGAATTCGAGATAATACAGAATCTCGATATACAGGCCTTTGGAATCGTGGTTCATAAATTACGACCTTTTGAGTGAGCCGTCTATGTTACGTACTCCTTGTAGGTGACATGTGGAGCTGTGGAGTAGGCTCTGAAGTAACTAAATTTTATTTATGAAGGCTGTCGCATATCAATAAATACGCACATATATAAGCTTGCTTCTGAAGCTTAAACCTGTGAAATATCCCGATTCTCCCCAAATTCTTCAGAGAGAGCATGGACCTCGTTGTATGACGCACGAGGTAATCTCGCATTCACAGCCACGGGCGGCCCGGGCTACCTGTCAACGGTGATCTACACATCCAGTCCCGACTTGGGCTAACTTTTTCGCCAGATGGGGAAGTGATCCTGGGCTTATGGTGATTTGGCTTTGCTGGGTAGTCCGCTCATTGGGCATTTAATTTATTTGTTTGGTCGCACCTTTGGGTAGTGACGCAACATGAGCAATGAGTACGTTTATGTACATTTTGAGCTCACTTATCTCAACGTTCCTTACTGAGTTATTCCCCTAGTGGAAAGTCAAAAGGAGTAGACAATATCGAGAGCTACTGACGGTATGATTTGATTTGACGGTTTGACGTCATTTCCGCTCAAGGGCGATGAAGCAACTAACTCTGGTGATCGCAAAATGTGGTAGGTTTTTACTCTGCTCGGGGTGATCGAGACGAGCCCTGACGTCAGATCCATGCAGTTGAATGCAAAATATAAGTAGTAACTTCTGTAGCTTCAAATCCTATACAAAAGTCTACCTTACTTCACTCTTACTTGAAGTTCAAATCGCAGTCGGGAATCTGGCCGTATTTCCCTGCCGTAGAGACCACTATCACTGACTATCTGCCGGACTCGTTCAAAGACATGCCTATCTTTCACCGTGACTCTACAGCTAGCTCCTCATCGGGGCGGAGTATTGACGATTCAAATCAAACAAAGAGTCATTCAGGGCTATTCGGGAGTCGGTCATCTCATTCTACCCATTCTTCTATCTCCTCCGGATCTGGTTCCACTGTGAGCAGCTCGCGTCGCCACAGCCTTCTCCACAGGACACACGAGGACCCGTCTATCATGGCTGCCCGAGAGCAGGTAATTCGTGCAGAGACCGCTGAACGAGCAGCCGATAAGGCACTCATTGCCTCAAGGAAAGCAGTCAAGGAGGCAAGGGACCACGTTAAGCATCTTGAGCGTGAAGCCGCTGAAGAGTGAGTATCACAATGATAACACCATTATTTGCTTTTACTAATCCCACATTACTCCGTAAATAGGGCCCGATTGGCAAAGATCAAGCAGGACCAAGCCAAGTCCATCTCGAAGAGAGCGAAGCCGCTTGGACGTAAGTCTCCCACTCGTCGGACTTCACATGATGAGAAAATTTGGGAACAGGTCCTTACAGTAGCAATTTTAGGTCATATTTAAGAGTTTTGTTATCTATTCCATGCTGATATCGTTTACTTTTGGAATAATTATTTGCTCAGATGTGCTCAATGACGTTGTAGGAGGGTTGAATCCATGTACTATATTTCCTCTTAGCTCGCATATAAGTCACTTTCTTTACAACATCTGCACGCATTTTCCGAAAGGGTTAGACACAGTCAGCACCCCGAATCGTTCGTTTGAGCACATTTATATCAAAGATACTTTGATTATGCGCTCAATTACAGCTTCACGAGCCTTTAAGATACATCGAGCTTCCGAATACTCACAATATTCAAATGCCGTACGCATCACATCGCTTCTCACGTGGGATGGATGCATGTCTGGGTTACATTCGGAATGTTACCCCGTCCGCAGCTGACTAGCAAATTCTCAGGGTCCTGCGCGGGGAGAGAAACAGCGTAGCACAATCACAGTACAATAGACTATTCCAAAGACGAGAGGGCTCGGTGGCTGGAGCGAAATAAGCCGAAACACAGAATTCAATCTTTAGTCGATTGCACTCTTTATTACCCGTAGTTCTCTTTGCAGTGCCGGGTTTTTGTCTCATAGTGGTATAGTCAAATTGAATTTAAAATTTGCCACGGGGTCGCTTATATGTAGCTGTCATCAAAAGCCCAACGGCAGCAGAGCAGCAGGGCTGTCAAAACCTTACATGTGTCCGACGCGGTTCCAGAGGTAATAGCTATACCTACTAGCCTGCAAGCGGACTAGACTGATGTATTTGCATATGTAAAGCTCTCTGAATTTGAGCTTGGGCTAAATGGAGTTACACTCCGGAGATCAGCTGGGCTAAAGAACCATATCATCTTCCAAGTCTTATGCGACCTTATAAAATTGAGTGTTATTCTTTGATATTCAAGGCTGAGATCCATCTAAGGAGCATCAAGGAAACCAATCCCTTTTCAAAGTACATGATTTATTGCTTGTTTCAAAATGATCACAAAGGCGAGTTTTATGATCCTCATATCCACCTTGATAGTAGTGGTCAGCTCGCTCCCCGGTTGGGGTGCCGATGAAATCAGCAACAAGGAACAGTCCGCTGACCGGCTTGTGTTCGCGCACTTCATGGTTAGTTCACCCAACTCAGTTAAGGTCGACACCTGATATGAAACAAGACGTCTAAGATGAGCTTCAGATTGGAATCACGAGTGATAGAAGGAGTGCTTATGACTACGATGACGATATGAAGCGGGCGAGCTCGCTCGGAATCGATGCATTTGCATTAAATATTGGTGTAGACCCCTACACTGATCAACAGCTACAGTTTGCATACGCGTCTGCCTCTCGAAATTCTATGAAAGTGTTCTTGTCCTTTGACTTTAATTGGTGGCACACGGCGCAAGTAAACGAAATTGGTCAAAAGATCACTCAATATGCCAGCCTACCAGCTCAGCTCATGGTGGAGAACAAGATTTTTGTCTCCTCATTTGCCGGTGACGAATTGAATGTTGCTGCCCTTCGAGCTGCAGTAGGCAAGCCAATATTCTTCGCACCTAATTTTCACCCATCCTATGGGACTGACATATCTACTGTGGACGGTCTTCTGAACTGGATGGCATGGCCAAACAATGGCCAAAATAAAGCTCCTACTCCCGGTCACAATATATCTGTCGCAGATGGCGACCGGGAATATGTCAATGCGCTGGGTGGAAAAGCATATGTTGCACGTCAGTATTCCTATGTGAGACGTCTCTACTCTAGATGTCTGATCTAGCCAGATAGCCGCATCGCCTTGGTTCTTCACTCATTTTGGCCCCGAAGTATCCTATAGCAAGAACTGGGCTTTTCCGTCTGACCTTCTATGGTATGATCGATGGAATGAAATTCTGACTTTAGGACCTCGCTTCGTTGAAATCGTGACATGGAATGACTACGGCGAATCTCACTACATCGGGCCTCTTCAGTCTCCCCATACAGACGACGGTGCCTCTAAATGGGTCAATGACATGTGAGATGCACCCTTCACACTTTTCTTTCTACTTTTACGTCATGCTCGCTTTCTTTTGATATATGCTGAAAAACTCAATATTATTGGTAGGCCCCATGATGGATGGCTTGATATTTCTAAGCCCTTTATTGCGGCATTCAAAGACGGTGCGTCTTCAGTAAACAGCTATATCAAATCCGATGAGCTCATCTACTGGTATCGACCGGCTCCACGAAATGTCAACTGTGACTCGACAGACACCTGTATGGTTCCCGCAAATAACGCGAGTGGGAACTATTTCTTTGGTCGACCCAACGGCTGGGACTCCATGGAAGATTCAGTCTTTGTGGTGTCTTTGCTGACGGCCCCCGCTTCCATTAATGTCAACAGTGGAGGCACAGTTTACACTTACGATGCTCCAAGTGGAGCATCCGCCAAAGCTATCCCTATGAACGTAGGTGTCCAAAGCTTCTCCGTCTCTCGCAATGGGGCGAACATTCTATCTGGAACTAGCTTGAAGCCTATCATTGATGGCTGCGTGTGCGGTCTATACAACTTCAATGCATACGGTGAGTCTTGCCGTTTTTTCTAGTCATCCCATCTATCATTCATTTCTCTTATCGAGTTTCCAATAGTTGGGACCTTACCCGCTGGATTTAGCGATCCCCTTCAACCCGATGGTCTTGCAGCATTCCGTCAGGGACTGCATGTTCAGACTTGCGAAGCATCACCATCGCTAGGGACGGTGCCTCCTACTGCAAGTATCACCTCAACTACAACTATTTCTACCTCTACCATATCTACCATATCTACCACATCTACCACCACGAGCACAATCACTAGCTCGACCACTTCAACCTCAACCTGCTCAAGCATTCCTCAAACAACGTCTTGCCAAGGCTATACTTCGACAATAACGCGCACATTCACCGCCACAATCACCCACACCACGACACAAACTCAGACAATAACTGTTTCAGCCACAAGCTCTAAAACAGGAGGAGGTGGAAAGGACGTCTGCACTGGTGGGACAGGTCCAGGGAACTACGTTGGGCTCTGCGTTTTCTGCTGTCAATTTGGATATTGTCCCCCAGGGCCTTGTACTTGTACCCAGCGCGGTCCAGCTATCCCACCTCCGCCATCTACAGGAACTCACGGGGTTCCCCTTCCTGGAGAAGATGACTCGTATTTGGGCCTATGTAGCTTTGCTTGTGGCCATGGATACTGCCCTCCAACAGCCTGCACCACGGCATGATTGATGGAAGAGTTGAATTTCAAATGTGGTTTGTTTGGAGATGTATAATGTGGAGTGATTGAGCTGCAGGCATCTCAAATCGAACGGGAAATTGATATTGATACAAATATGAACTTATCAACTCGTCTACCCAATCCTCTTTTTGTTTTAGCACTTGAGATCTTCATCATTATAACTCGCGGCATTTTTCAATGTTGAATAGCCTTATCGCCTGGTTGATTTGAGCCTTTGTTCATCCTATTATCGTTGCGCTTCATGACCACCATTCCACCGGCGCCAGAGCCAGTGATCCCCATATCCGACCCACCAAAATGCCCGATCGCACCGATCAAAATTAAACCATTCGGCCACTATAAGTAGCTGCCGAAGGCTCTTCTCTTTCATATGTAAATATCTCTGCGCTAGTGGCATGGCTTGATTTTGTGGGTTTTTTCTGCAGTCCTTCCCTGCATGTCTATTCAGTGACAAAGAAAATAGATTGATATTGCACTCCATTGGATCCGTTTTGCCTTGGACAGAGAGCCCACCATTGTCCACGACATTTGAAAGGTACAACCGTAGTCGGCTATTGTCATCAGTTGTATGGATGAAACTCGGGACATGCAAATCAAAGAACCAGTTACTCTTGTACCTAGCACTGTTCTTTGTTTTGTGTATATCCAAAAATATCGATATCTTTTTTTAGACCATCTTGCCTGTTCGTGTTGAATGAATCTCCCTTTGTTGTGTGTACCACCCATGCACTGTTCTTTCGTATGATCTTCATTCATTCATTATGTGCCCTTGTCTATTGTCACCCTCAATTGTGGAAGAAACTCGACACCTCGAAAGCTAAATATGAGGCCTACGTACTCGGAAGCTGGACTTCAAAGGTCCAACTTGGTCCAAAGGCTGCATATCTGAATGGACAGAAACCATCCCTTTTTCCAATCAACAAGATGAGCAAGCAGCAGACACAGAAGGATACGGCTTCGGGCCGTCAGCAGGATCGCGAGAGCCGTACCTCCCAGACTCGACTCTTTACAACCCTCGGCATTACAGATGCCGCAGTCCAGCGTACGGTCAGCAACATTCTCCGACAGATATACGATGCAGGCTCTGGAGATCTCAGGTCAAGCATTCACAGGAATAGAGTCCGACAAGGAATTCGGGATCGAATGGACAAAATGCCCGCAGCGATCCAAAGCCACTCCGAATCCCGAGATAAAGTTGTGGACATGCTTTATAACTTGTTCAAACTCCTTCAAGCGCAATGGAAGAAACAACCAGCTGCCACGTCTGCACAGCAGCCTCCAGCCCAGCCACAAAATGTCGAACCACCTCGTGGTAGGTTTGACCATTCTGGTCCATCAGTAGTACCCGATGCTGATGTACAGATCGTCACCCATGATAATCCTGGTCAACCATTCCCAATTCGACTCAGCGATCTTCTGCCTGATGCAAATAACCTCACGAACAGAAGCGAGGATGGAGACTGGATCAATGCATCTGCCATTCGCCTCGATGGTTTGAGACAGAATCTTATCAACGAAGGTTACATGGTCGAGGGCACAACGCTCTGGTGGTGTCCTCACGCTCTGGATCCTATTGATCCTGCGCAGCTTAGTACTCCCCAAGATGGCGAAACACGCTTGACTTCGATGAACTTGGCATCAACTGTAAGACGAGCGATCAGTATGTATTATCCCTCTCATCGACAGCCATCTCCAGATAATCAGGACGGGACTCCCCGGCCGCCACTCGCACGACCCAATTTTACCATTATCATTCGACCTCGCACAGTCACTGGAGGTGTCTTGCTTCCGCAACAACCAGGATTAGCACGTCCTAGTGTTGCTCAGCGGGGATCCGTCACAACTGGCCCTGGAACTTCCAGAGTAGCCCCAGCAACGCAAACCCAGGAACCGAGTGTTCAACAGACGATTGGTGAAACTCCCGTACCTCAGCGAAATACTCGACAGCAACCTCTGCAAGCTTCGGTCGTCACCGAAAGCCCTTCTTCCCAAGCTCCTCCAACCGCAACGCCAGCTCCACAAAGACAGCTCAGGGTGGCCGCTGTAGATGATGAGCTGTTTGATTTCACTGTTCCGCAATCTGTCATCGATGCTCTGAACGCTCCAGGGCCAGGCTCTGGGTTGTTTGAGTATCAAGGCTTGAGTATAATTCCTAGACGAAGCCCTCTTCCAGGGGAAGCACAGCCAACCACTCAGCCAACAGAGAATACAGGTGAGAGACGTCGCAGAGCCCCCGACGACGAACCTTCTACGCGTCCAGCTCGAAGACGTAGACTCTCTGATGGAGCCACCACACAACGCGATCCATTAGATGAGTCTACCGGGATAAGCATGACCTTCGATGCAGCTGCTTTACCAGCCACTGAAGGCTTGGAAGAAACGCAACGTCTTGGTCGAGCTCTCAGTGTGCCTCCACAGCCTAGTGTAGCCCGATCACCGCCCCGTCCCCTTGCGACTGAAGCATCTAGGCTGCGCAACCAAGCGTTCGGAACGCGAAGACGCCAAAGTGGGAGTCAAAGAATTCTCCGAGGGGCGAGAAACAGGCCGCGGCCATCGTCGGTTGGAGTATCGCAGGTTGATGCCCGCCAATAGCCTTCGATGATACCTACATTCATTCCACCAATCTCGGAGGTCACCAGTCGAGTTGTACTTGGTACGGGTACAGATATATACGAACAGGTGGGTGAGGCATGGCTAGGTATCAGTGAAGACCGCATGCCTCCACAGGTCCAAGAAGCTATCGCGAATCGCCGCGTCACGGCAGAGATCGATCAAGGAACGGAATTATTGGCTTTGACTGGCGATCCTGAGGAGGCTTCCGCTTCTCGGCCCGTCTCTGCCCCTCTCCCTCGCACGACGGATCCCGTACCTACGGAGCCTGTTCCGGGCCCTCGAACTTCTAATGACAAGATCATTGCTGCCCGTAAACGCCGCCGCCGCTTCAGCGAGTACCAGAAACGCCCTGCCGAATCATCTTCATGTGACAGTCAGGACTCTCCTCGCAAGAAGCGCCGTATCAATACAAGCTCGTCGCCATATAAACCAAGCCCACCAAAGAAAGCCAAGCGAGGAGCCAAACGAGCTCCTACCGAGCAAGAACGGCTCTTGGCCGGCCAGGTTCGAGACGTGTCAGAAGGAGTAGAGCGTCTCTCCACTCAGCCATCACAATCTGCTCGACGAAACCAACATCGCACTCTCTCACCACGATATGCTCCACGAAGCAAGCGTCGTTCTAGCTGTGTTACTACTTGATGTCCGTGTTCGGGTTGTGCCATTTCTTTCTTTACGTGCTTTCTTGTTCTTCCCACTTCTCGAAAATTTCACCGTTGAGCACTTCTTTGTTAGTTATGGTTTTTCTGCTTTCTGTACATATTGTAGAACTCAAATGCATACCTTGCCCAAATTGAAACTAGTCCAAGTCCATGCATATCCAAACCTATGTCATCGGCACGTATATAATACAAAGATGAGAAGACCGATCGATCGCTCTCGGAATAAATGTGGTTGGTGACATCCATCGCCGTGCCCCTGGATTCCAGGACCTTGCCCAACACCAGGACCACACGTTGAAAGACTTCGCCCAATGATTGATTCTATACTTGCTCCGCCTACAGGGCAGCAGCCATCAATGCTACAGCTGCCCCACCCAACACGACCTTTGAATTCGCAGTCACCTGAGGAAGGCCGCCGGTGCTAGTTTTTGTAGCATCACCTGAAGATGATGCCGATGAACCTGATTGTTGCGGGGCGGACGCGGTGTTTCCTGTGGATCCCGAGTTCGATGTCGTCTTCATAGCCGTCGAGGCATCGGTAGCTGATGCAGAAGGTCCAGCAGTGATCGTGACGGGGTTCAAGTAAATTTGGTCACCGGCCAGGGTCGTCGTCTCGCTGGGCTGTGAGAGCGACCCGGTACTGGGCATCACATCGGTACAGACGGCAGTCGTAGTGCCCCCCATGGAGCAGACAACGCGACCGTACCTATAATAAATACAACAGTGATTAGTATTTGGCTCTATTTCCCACTGCCGATCATATCTTCGTAAGGCTCATGACTTACGAGTCGTAAGGGTACTTGAGAGACCATTCAACCGTCTTTGGACCAGCCGTATAGAGCAAGCCAGGGAGCAATGGGCATTCTTGGGATTCCACGTCTGGGCCACAGTTGATGCTGTACGTCGTCGTGCCGGCATTCTAGATATAAGTACTGCGTGTCAGCAAAAGCCATCCGGATTGATGATGGAATGGAGGTTTGGTATGGAAAAGCACTAACTGTTGCGACAGCGGAGCCCACCAACGACTGAGGATTGGCATGAAAAATGAACAAAGAGACAACGGATGTCTCCGCGGCCACGAGGCCCAGTGTCGCCAAGTTCAACAAGGTCTTAAAGCCCATGATGCAATAAGGATATCGGGACGGCCGGTGTGAAATAGGTTTAGAAGAAGTCCTCGATCGAAACTGAGAGACAGACGGTGGAAAATGCGGGCAGACCCTGCTTATTCTTACCTGTCAATGCGACCGGAGATGTCGGGGTTTAGCGCAGGGTCCGGCTAGTTAGCGTCCACTAGTCCCCTATTTAGTTAGTTCACAGTCGGTTGGAACAAGGGTCCAGCCCCAGGAGCCCCTGAATTAATGGGGGGCATAACCACAATACTGTACTGTACTTGGAGTTTGGACAAAGCCAGTCTTATCATGCAAACCCCCACGTCAGAACGATTGACCCACTGGATCGACCGTCGCTCCGAAAATCTACTGTAGACAAGAGAAGCTAAATGGGAACAAAGTACGGAGACTGGTTATACCATCTTATCTCCTGTGATCATATGAATCTAGTTGGTATGCATATGGTCAGGGCCAGGCATTTCAAGCCCATCTTCCTTGGGTTTCTCAATCAATTTAACATGACTACCTTCCCAGGGTTGTGAACTATGATCTGATAAGCCTACTTGTCGGCCTCGAAGATCACTTTCTGGGACTTCATTTGGTTGAAATCCTCATACCTGCGAACATGGTGAGCCTTGACCTTTAAGCTATCGGCGGATATCACACTACTTACGCTTGTACGGCTTGAGACAGCGGACGAATGTCTTCGGACATGAAACTACTCCAGGTCAGACTTGTTAAAAGGGATTCTCCTGCCAGATACTTACTTCAACACATCCTGCTTCTTAGCCAACAATTCCATAGCTTCTCCGAAAATACCTAAAACAGTCAGCATGCTCACAATTCAACCCAACCAACTGGGCGGTTCTTACTGCGAACGGGGCATCGTCCCATCTGTAGTCGCAAGTTCTTTCCATATGCCTCGTTGCCAGTCCAAGGAATCTCGCCATTGTGTACACCCACACTGGAAAGTACACCCCAAGGACGAAGCATCTCGAAACCCATCCGTAGCGCGCTACTGTGACCCACGACCTCGATAACGACATCAGCTCCGCGACCATCGGTAAGTTCCTTGACTCTTTCACGAAGACCAGCTTCATTCTCTTGGAAGTTCCATGGCTCTGCTCCGAGACTTTGCGCGAGCTGTAAACGCGACGGAACGCTATCAATCGCAATCAAATGCTTGGGACGATGCTCCAAGGCGCTGACCAGGGCACAGATGCCGACGGGCCCACATCCAAACAACAATACGGTGCTATTCTGGACTGTCTTGGGCTCAAGTCCACGGAATGCATTGCTTGCCGCAAAATAGCCGGTCGGAAAGATGTCTGCCATGAGGACCAGCTTCTTTTCATCGATTGCAGCTGGCGCATGGAAAAGGGTCGATTCCGCCAACGGCACTCGAACATACTCGGCCTGTCCTCCGTCCAGCACTGCACTTCCATACAGTTGTGACCGAGCGCAACGGGATGAGAACCCGCTGGAACAATAGAAGCACTCGCCGCAGCTGACAGTGAATGGAGATACCACACGGTCTCCTTGCTTGAAAGACTGAACGTCGGCCCCGACCTCGACCACCTCGCCGGTAAACTCGTGGCCCATGATAAATCCCGTTCCCGAGGGTTGGTGGCCGCGGAAGACGTGGAGTTCACTAAAGATCGGTCAAAATATATCGTTTAATTTGTATTTAATTCATCTGGCATCTACCTTCCACATAATGCCGTGTAGCGCACTTTTAAAATTGCATCGGTTGAATCTTTGATTTGTGGTCGGGGTCGCTGTTCCAGGGCGACCTCCAACGGACCCTTGAAGACAACGGCTTGCATGATGGTGGGTTCGATTTCGGATGTCTGGGTAATTTTCCTGATCGTTTTCAGTATCTTGATTTGCAAGCAAGATGTGTCGTGTCGTGCTTTTGGAACATCGAATGTTGCACCGTCGTTCTGAGGGGTTGAGTTACCTCAAGTCACGTTTGTACCTCGGCTATGCTCGGTTTCTTGACCGTCGTGCTTGAGAGGCCGCGGCGTTCTGTTCAACTCCCAACTTGATGAGATGTTGAGTTTCAGTGCCTGTTTCGGAGGCTTTGATTGATCTGACATGGGGACAGATAATATTGAACGGCTCAATTGCTCCGGTATGCGTAGGCTGTGGCTTCAACGCGGGTATTTTAGTCCCCTCAAGACTGGAATTCGGTTCGTCAAGAGCTCGAATATCCCCATATATTTCCCTCCCACACCCCGGTATGTTGAGCCCTTTATTCATTGGGAACTGCACTGAACATCGTTATTTGCGGCGAGGCTAAACCCCCAGCCAGTAGCCTTTTCGCCTCGCCCCAATCCAGATAGAGGGAAGGGCCCATCTTGCTAGTAGTAATGACAATCATCTTTATCAGCAGAAACCAGAGATACCGGTAATTCTTCGCCTTGTCGCTTTGCCAGATCTTCATTCTTATGGAAGACCCGCGTCCGTGGTATTCCTCGGGTTCATGGTATGAGACCCAACACTGGTGTTGAAAAATTGGAGATGCATAGCTGGAGCTCGAATTGTGAACTTTGAAAAGCATCAATTGCTGAGAATACGTGAATCTTTATAGCAGCATTGCCCAGTATCACACATCTGTCCTATGGCTGTGCTCTAATTGGGGACCTTGGGAGCCGATGAGAATCGGGTCGGCAAGCGAATGCCATCCCGTCCTAGGTATACCTTGCATTGAGAATATTCCACAATCAAGGATGGTGGTTACACCTCCAATTAATAGAATCATCCCCTAGGCTTTTCTATTCTACTAACTAGAAGTTTGTTGGTTGTAATGTTTAAGGGAACATAGATATTTAATCGGTTGTAAAGAACTTGTTAGTTCGTGTCGCTGTGATATATTTTGGGCTTAGCGAGACAATATTTGCTGACGGAGTAGCGATTCACCACCATTTCTGGAAGGGCCGGGGCAAAAAAGTTTACGAATACTTTAACAAGGATAAATTAATTCCATCGGCCTATCCAGAAGGTAGAACAGAAGAGAATTCACATTGTTGTAGTATCTATTGTTTGGAACAAGCATTAAGCATGAGGGGATAGAAGACTCGGACCCGACAGCCACACAAACTTAGTATTCTCCGATAATATAGGCGAGAATAACGCTTGTGATTTGCCATTTTCATCAATTCTCACGACATTGACGTCGCCTCAACGCATCGGCCCTAAAAACTCGAAGGGATCACTCGGTGGCACTGCCAAGAAGTCACAGACGGGCTGTCGGTCGTGGCGGCAGACGCGTTCAACGAGAAGGCGACTATGGTGCACGTGTGAGTATGGAAGAAGAGATGAATAAAGGAGAGATAAATTGTAGTATTATGTGTACGAAGAGCAGTATTATGTTGTACAATGTGTCCTAAGAGTATGTCAATAGGAGAAACGCAATGCCAAGACTTGTGCTATTCCCAAGCGAAAATCCGGTTTCCATTGATCATCTCGCCAAGAAAAGTCTTATTTCTTGATCCAGAGATTGGAATTGGTACTAGTATTACTTAGTATACTCCTTAGTTTATCATTAATGATCATTACTTCTGTATACTCTGGCTGATTGCGGTCATCTGGTCCCTGATCAGAACCCCCTAGGAGTCGAGTATACAGACTCTACAAAGCATAGCCATCGCGTACACTTTACTGTACGAGCCCGGAGGATTCCCGGCATACGAGAGGGATGAATCGATTGATTCCTGTCATACTTCGTACTCCCTGAAAGGCGAATGGTCGGATAGTTGCGCCACGCAAGGGGTAGAGTTCAGCCACGACACGGAGAAACTAGAGTCCTCGTACAGAATGAAGTCCGAGCAGAAGGACGAAGTACTGTAGCACGGACGAAGTATTTTCAACCGAGAGTCAATAGACAGAATAGTAGTTCTAACTATTCTGTAGGGCAAAATGTGGCTGATCGAGAGCCCCACGAGACCGCGCGGCCCCAAAGTGGTTCCTTTTTGGCTTCAAGTCCCTTGGGAAAGAGTCCGATTGATGGAGAATACTAGCCAACCCGGAGGTCCAAAGTCGAAAAGGATTCTCAACTCGTCCCATTTCAGTTTTGAGGCCAAGCCTTGTCCCTAGGACTCCCTAGGACTCCCCAGAACTTCCCTGGACTTCCGGCACGTCATGTCTCGCCGGTCCGCAAGTTGAGCTTTTCTTGGCTTCCGCTGACTCCCTCCCCCTTTGTCCTTCATTCATCCTCCATCATCTGAACCCTTCTCGATCATGACCCGCCATCCATTCTCTCCCTCCTCCTCCTAGTCGTGCTGCCTCGGAGATGCTCGTCATCCTCCCGCGCTCGCCTCTAACCCTGTCGGGCTCAGTCCACCATGTCCGTCGATGGACCCGAGCCGCCGCGGGGGTTCCGGGCTCAATTGGCTGGTGAGTTGGATATCTTCAATACTTCCCTACTATTCTATCTGATCTAACAATGCTATCATTCCAGCGCTCATCGGACCCCTCTGCGCTCCCCTCGTTGCGCCTCAACGTCGAGGCTGGCGTCCGTTAGCTTTGCGCCCACCCTACCTCGTCTCCCTCGTCTCGCTTCTGCTTTTCATGCTTTTGGCCCTCGAGGCTCTCCGACAATATAGTCATCGTCATGGCGGGTTGGTCTTCTTCAGCGATACCGACGACGTCTCTGCCTTGCAGTCGTTCGCTTATAATTATGTGCCCATCATCGTCGTCTTGGTGCTGGTTATGATCTGGACGGTCACCGATTTCGATGTGCTACGCCTCGAGCCCTATTTCCAACTCTCCTTGCCCCAAGGCGCGCCCGCCACCGTTCTATTTATCAATTACAACTTCGGTCAAACCATCCTTACTCCCATCAATGCGGCCCGTCGTCGACACTGGATCGTCTTGTGGGTCTCACTACTGACCCTGTCGATTCGCATGATTCTCCCCGCCTTGCAAAGTACCGTCTTTGAACTCCGCCAAGTCACCGTGAAGACCCGAGTCTCGATGAAAAGTTGGCCTGACCTGGTGGATCTCGAAACGCAAGCAACTTGGATGTCCACCCAGGCCAACAACACCGTGGATTCAGTTCTGTCATCGGATGAGCAAGCCCGCCGGTCGCGGTCGACCGAATATGCTATCGCACCCGTGGAGATTCCCACCATCGCCGACGAGACCGAAGATACCCTGTGGAATCTGGATCAGGAAGTCTACTGGGCTCAAGTCACCTGTGAGAATATGCCGCTCGATAACAAATTGTCCGTTACGATCAGCACCCCGGACCAAGGCTTGTCAACTGTTTCGTGGAACGCCTCCGGCGTCGACCTCGACGATGCCTATGGCCATGCCACCTCGTGCAAGCTGGATTTCTCCTACGAGAGCGTCTTCTTTCCCGGAACCGACTATCTTCAAGTTCGCTATTGGGAGCCCGTTATCAGCAGCGCCGCCGAATCCAAGTATCGAAATCACTCACAGGCGTTTAATCTCACCGGATGTGACCCGTACGATTTATATGGCATGCTGATCGCCGTTAATGCAACCGAGTCCGAGTCCGACTCGTCGAATGATTCCACGTACGCAGCATCTGGGGTTGCCTTTGCCTGCGACGTTACATACCATAAGGCTCAAGCCTGGATATCTATGCACTCTAACAGCTCCATTGAAAGCCTCCACGTTAAATCCGCGACTGCCCAAACCCTGACCAGCACCGAGTTCAACATCGATCACTTTCAAGCCCTCCCTTTCCCAACGCGCTCCTTATACCAGCGATATGCTCTTCATCCGCGACAATGCTACTACCGGTGGCCGCACCGTAACGGAACTGCCTGTGATAAGCCAGGAACTTGGCGACCTTCAACCACTCCTCGTTCTTGACACCTCTACCTTGATGACCGAGAGCGAGTTCGTATCGAAGATCACGCGCGATGTGGAACAAACCTTTGTCCTTACCCTTGGCCGACTGTTCGATCCCGACGTTCCCCCCACCGTGGTTCCCGCGACTCGGGTCACCAACCAAGTCGCGATCTCCGTCGTTGAATTCGCCGCACTGTGGTCTGAGCTTATCCTGGCACTGGCCACGCTTACTGCTGTCTATCTCCTGTTCTTATACCGTTCCCGCGAGACCTTCCTCCAGAGCGACCCTGGATCCATCGGAGCCATGTGCAGTATCGCCGCGGACATCTTCCATCCGTCCAACGTTCTCGCAGAACCCAATGTCGAGTTTCATCAATTCTCCACCCGCCAGATGCGCCGTATCTTCAAGAAAGCCCGCTGTTATTGGCGTTCCGATCTGTCTGGTAACAGGCTGGAGATTCTCGCCGAGGATGGTAAGCAGATTATGACTTTTTTGTTGATTTACCCGCCCTCCCATTGGCCAGCTCACTGACTGTCTTGTCTCGAATAGGTTCGCCGGTGCAACTCGGAGAGGATTTACGGGTTCATGCCGACCCAATGCCCCATTTCTTGGTCATCCCCTTCTTTATTGTCGAATTTTTGGCTTTGGCTGCAGTAATTATCCTGATGGCGCTCGTGGTGTCCTCGCTTGCTCGTGATGGCAGATTCCGACATCTGACGCAAACCGATTCCACATCCTTCCAAGTCATTTTGTCATTCCTGCCTTCTGTTGTGGCCTCGTCTGTGGGCTCACTATGCACCTCTATTCACCGCAACCTCAGTGTCCTCGAGCCTTGGGTCCATCTTCAGCGAGGCAAGGCTTCTGCGAAAATCTCTCTTTCACTAAACTACTCATCCCAGAGTCCGTTCGCAATCCTACTCAAGTCAATTCGTGACCGCCATGTCTTGCTCGGCTTAGTCTCCTTGGCCTGTGTTCTTAATATGGTTCTTACGGTCGTGGCGGGTGGATTGTTCACCCAGGAACTGACATCCTCAACTCTCTCGACCCAGGATTTGACCGCAAACTACAGTCAATCCGTCTTCTGGCGAACTGATTTTGCGGCAGAGTTCACCGAGTATGACTTGATACAGACGAGCATCACCAGTGGGGTTCCCATGTTGTCCTGGACAAGCACAAACCAGTCGTTCGTCCCTCTTCATATTCACAACCGCAGCCCAGACGTGATGTACGGTGCCACTTCCCTCGGTGTTGGCTCGCAATTACAATGCTCTCCGCTTTCTCCAGACGTTAGCCTGGAGTATAACACAACCTCTGGTCATCAATACTGGCGATATACCATGTTCGACAACTCCTCCCAGGAGTGTGTCGCTTCCCAGCCAACCCTGACGAATAAAAATGCAGGGATCGCTCTGTCCATCCAATTCCTCTCTGCCAGTGATAGAAATCACTCGGATGTCTGTCAAACCTCGAGCGTCGTCGTTGTTGGCCGCTGGAACTACAGGGCTGACACGGCAGTCACCGACGACAACACGATCGCTCTACACTGCGAGCCATATGTTCAGCTGCAGAACTATTCAATTACCTTTGACCAAAAGGGGCAAATCCAGGACCACGATCCGATTGCGAATACATCCATCACCAGTGGTGAAATGTATGAGAATGCGACCGTGAGTTTGGGTCAGTTCAATAAAGTATTTGTCGCCATTCCCGAGAGCTATGTGGGCAACACCACCGCCCAGAATGGGACATATAATATTTCTTCCTACGACTGGGCTGGTTTCCTCGTGGCACGTTTGTACCAGCGGGCTGACCCGGATTTCGATTCTCTTGACGTTGAGCGTTTTACCGATCTCACTCAGGTCGTCTACCAGTGGGTCTATGCCACATACTTTTCCCTATGGCATGACATCTACCTACAGCCATTGGAACACCCACACACTGCGGCAAATGCCACCGTGATCCAAAGTATGTGGGGCATGGTGCCATCAGTGCCGTCCCTTGCCATCGCTTTGATCATCATTGCCTTCGACACGCTAGTCGTGTTAGTAGTCTTTGGCACTCGCCACGGCCGATTCCGAGGTCCACGAATGCCACGGTCCATCGGTGCCATCATCCCCTGGATCGCACATAGCCGCATGCTAGGCGACTTCAGCGACACTCACAAATGGACCAACACTCAGCGGCGCGACCATCTCTCCACCCTGGACAAAAGATACGCTTTCAGACAATTCATGGGCCCGGATGGTCGTTGGCGCTTTGCTGTAGACGAAGAGCCCCCCGACGTCAAGCTACCACCGGAATCACCACCACTCGAAACCCCGGAATCTGACGTTTCCCAAAACGACCCCGAGTCAGAAGCCGGCAAAACCACGTCCATCCAACTGCAAGAGTTGCCCAACCAGCAGTCCCGGGCGCGAAACTAATCACTCACCTTTTTTTTACGTATGTAACGACCTTTGTTTTCTTCATTTTGGATACCACCACCTGTATATATTTTTGGGAATTCGGCGTTTCTAGACTCTGTCTATCTGTTTGGATCATGGACATGGCGCTTGGATGCATAGATGGCTCAGACTTGTCAGCGGGTTCTGACTGTTCTGGAATGCCCTCGGCGCTGGCAGGGAGAATGCGTCTGGATGGCGCGGAAGGAATTTGGAATCTCAGGGTTGGACTGGGATGTGGATATGGGTATGGATATGGATTGGCGCTATATCATGATTGCGGAGCGAAGCGGAGCAATATTTTGTAGCATTTCTAGCGTCTTTTCAGCATTTACGTTCATGATATAGTCGAAATTTACTTTTGAATAAAGGATTTGGGCTGAGCCCACTGGAATACCATACGATTTCACCCCGTACCTAATAAATCGTTTCTGTGAACCTCGAATATCCTTATTTCATCCTACCTCTACACCCGTCGCGTAGGGCATATCTCGTAGTGCGTGACTCTATACAGCATATTCAAGGCCCATGCTATAGTGCGGCACGCAGCCGGCCATCCACAGCTCGCAGAATAACATAGATGGTCTCCAGATACGGCACCGAGATACCCAGTTCCCTAGCCTTACGCACGGGGAAGCCTAGAATCACATCAATCTCCATCGGTCTGCCAGACTTGCAATCCGTCTGCATACTACTCCCAATACCAGGTAGAGCATTGATCTTATCCATCAGCTGATCAACCAACTCGTCCTCCAATGGCACACCACAAGCACGCCCAATGGTAATAACTTCTCGCATTAGTGAGCGAGTGAAAGGCTCCGCATCGGGTGAAGAGTGCAGCCAGGTTTGCGTATCGACCATAGTCAGCGTGGTCAGCGAGTTCCACGCCGCGTTCCAAACAACCTTCTCCCATCGTTGTTGCTGCATGTTCTCGAGGACTTGGAAACGGGTCTGGCCGTGCCGGAGGAGGTCGGCGAAGGTATCGAGGCGTTTCTTCTCAATGGAGCTGTCGATCTCTGAGTTGGGGAAGAGACCAATCTGCATATCCTCGGATTTCATATGCTTGACCACGCCTGGACTGCTTTGTATGGCCCCCACCCAGGTCTACAGTAGTTAGTCCTGTCTATGCAAACATTGAAGCGGTTAATAGTTTGCGGGAAACTTACCACGCAGGTGAGAATCGAATTTTGGGGGAACTGCTTCCGGAATGGCTCCTCATTGCCAACGCCGTTCTGAATGACCACAATCGTGGTTCGGCCAGGGTCTACGACGGGCTTCAACTGGGCCGCCACCTCGTCTTGATCAATGGCTTTGTGCGCGCAAACGACATAGTCCATGGCAGATGCCTCCGCGGGAGATTTCACAACTGCAGCTTAGGTATTAGCAACTTGCGTTTACCACTTGGTACTGACTCCTTGCCTTTGTAGGGACGGAAGTTGTGCTGGCCATGGTTCTCGCTGTCAATGGTGATTCCCTTGAACAGGCTGAAGTCAGTATCCCCCGTGTACATATAAGAGCGATGAACATACATTTGCGAGCACTGCCTCGTAGTTTGACCTCGCAACCACTGTCAACCGTACTCGGTCGGAACGATTCAGGATGAAGGCATAGAAAGAGCCAATGCTGTATTCACGTAAGCGACGACTCCGCTGGAAGGAACATCACTCTTCTTACGCTCCTAAGCCGTAAAGCAGAATGTCAATGTGATCCGACATGACAAATGGGTGGGCTATACAGCAATGCTTTGGCCGTCTGATTCAGAGATTAAAGATGATTGTCATCTTCGTCGGTGTTTGCGGCGAGCGTCCCTCCCCCGCACCTTCATAGTGGGGTCGGTCATATTCCGGCGTGGGGGTTGCGTCTTATGCCGCTAGTCCATACTGGTATCAGCCTTGTCTCGAGGGTGGAACCGTGTGTCGGTTAAATGGGCGGGGACTTCGTTTGCTTAGGTATGAGGGGGTACTAGATGGATTCATCGATATGCGGTGAAGGTTATTTCTTCATTATCTAGAAACAATCCTTGTTGAACGAGTAATATTCTTTGACATGCTTTGACTCGGTGGTATTTGATCTATAACTTCACACTTCCAATCATATCTCTCTCCAAGCGACTTGCATTCACCATCTCTGGAAGAAGCTCCTTCAGGCTCGTAACTCCTAGGAAAACCATGTTCATCTCGATCTCTTGTCGCAAAATCTCCAACATTCGCCGGACCCCAGCTTCTCCATAGCCCCCGGACAGGCTAAACAAGAAAGGTCTACCGAGACCAACAGCAGTTGCTCCTAGAGCGAGAGCCTTGAGCACATCGGTTCCACGGCGAATCCCGCTGTCAATGAAGATTTGCATCTTGCCATCTAGCAAATGGGGAGCAAATTTGCGAATCTCTAAAAGAGTCAAGAGTGGCGATTGGGCGCTAAGCAGAAAATAAACATTAGTTGAAGACTCTTCCAAAGCGGAATGATATGACTTACGTGTCTTGTGATCGACCTCCATGGTTCGACAATACAATACCCTGGACACCATGCTCGTATGCAATAACGGCGTCTTCGACACACTGGATGCCCTTGATGACCACGGGTAGGTCTGTGAGTTCTCGGATCCAAGACAGAATGTCCCAGTCAATGGAAGGAGAAATGGAGCTTGCCATGATCTTGGCTACTCCTTGTCCCTGGGCATCGCTATCGAGGGCCTACACAGATATGAGAGACTCCTCTTGGGACTTTAGAAGAAGGAGACTTACTGTGACAGCCAAATTAAGTCGCTCATCGCTTTCTCTTTTTCCTACCACAGGGGAATCCACGGTAATCCAGATACCGCGGACGCCCGCCTCAATACCACGCTTGACGAGTTCTACCGACTTCTGAATGTCTTTATTCACATATAGCTGAAGGAAGAGAGGTTGATCCTCAGAAGTCCGTGCTGCCCTGACTTGCTCCACAGACATGCTGGAGCTGTTGGCAAGGACCTGTGCCAGTCGCTCTTTTCCAGCTGCTCGAGCTAGGGCACACTCGCCATCGGGATGAGCAAGCTTCGCGATGCCCGAGGGAGACATGTAGACTGGGAGAGACACTGAATGTCCCAAAATTGACGTGGTCGTGTCCACACTAGAGACCTTCTTCAAAATACGAGGTCGCAGAGCCACTTTTTGATATGCGCGTCGGTTGTTGCGCTTGCTGATCTCGTCATCCGCACCTGAAGAATAGTATGCCCAGGCATTAGCTGGCAGGTACTGCTTAGCCACTTCTTCAAAGTCGTCCAAGTTGATCAACGTCCTGAGTGGTGGCGGGCCTTGAAGTTTTGAATCTGATGATGGTGCGACTTCATTTGAAGTAGACTCAACGACCGCTAACTCAGCTGGATCAATGTATCCTCGTAGGGCAGATTCAGGCAATGCCCCCTTCAAAAGGTCTGCTGAATGTACCGAGTCAAAGTCCTCGGTGGCATCTTTTCCAGCACAGCGGAGAATTACCGCTGGCCCCCCTGGATGTGAATCAAGAAAATCTGGCAGGTCAATCAGCGTATGTCCCCTCACTTAGTATTGATCATTTCTCCAACACACCAGTGACATCGTAGACCGCCCCATGGATGGCAACCCAGCATGACTGCCGAGTGCTATGTTGCCGGATTTCTTCTCGTGTGAGAGTCATGATGGAATTTCTTGCCTGATAGCCGATAACTGCTAGAATACACCTTTCATTTGCCGTGGGATGCTGACGTACAAAAGGCAACTTCCTTGAGTTTAGGCAAATGGGCCCAGGCGCCATTTCGACGATCGCAGCGGGGGTCCCGGACTCCTCCCGACTGCTCCGTGGGGGTCACACCGCAGTGGGAGATGACGATGATCTCAATCCTGATGGAGTATATCGTATGTTCGAAGTGGAGAACATGATGGGAACCCCAGTAAAGCTGTTTTCTCCGTGTGTTGGTCGTCCGGTCCACATAATACCACGATTTTGTTGGTGGGGAATCTGGGGTGTGAAGGAGGAGAAGCAGACAAGCTGCTGCGACCTACGTATAACATGTCTCTTATCCGACATTCACTTCCCAGCATCCCAGTGCAGTGGTGACATATTCTGAAAACAAGACACCTTATTGATAGAGTCTTGAACTACGGCCCAACACACGATGCAGGACTCAAACGTTCCAAAGCCTGCGGCGAGACATGTCGAAGGCTCGCATATTCCTACAGACACGGCCAAGATTCACAATGGCGACGCTGCATTGGCTTTATTCGACAACCTCGAGGATATGCATGAAGGGTTTGAAGACGGGGAAGAGAAGAAGCTGGTTCGAAAAATCGACCTAATGATCTTACCGTTCTTAGCAGTCTGCTATGCATTCTACTATGTAAGTTGAGTTGCGGGCTTGGGGACGAAGGCAATAATTACAGAACGACAAGCTAATTCGCGATCATACTGAATTAAGATTGATAAAACAACTCTGTCATATGCCGCTATATTTGGTATCCGTGATGACCTGAATCTCTCTGGCAACGAATACTCGTGGCTTTCCAGTGTCTTCTATTTCGGCTTCCTGGTGTGGTCGTTTCCCACAAACCTGCTGATGCAGCGATTCCCGGTTGGCAAGTACCTTGGTGTCAACATCTTTCTCTGGGGGTTTTTCTTGATGCTTCAAGGTATGCACCGGGCTATATTCCGGTGAAAAGTATCAACTAACGTCACTATAGCGGCTGCGAAGAACTTTACCCAACTTGCGGTTCTGCGAGTCATATCAGGGGCCGCCGAAGCATGCAGGTTGGTTGCATTGAAGTTATTTTAGATATACAAATGAACTAACAGTATTCTAGTGACCCTGCATTTATGCTCATCACCAGTATGTGGTACACCCGTCGCCAACAGCCCATTCGAATCGGCCTATGGTATACGGCCAATGGCTTTGGCATCGCTATCGGTGGGCTGTTTGGATATGGCATCGGCCAGATTAACGGATCTCTTCCCTCTTGGAAGTATGAATTCCTCATCATTGGGGCCCTTTGTTGTATTTGGGGTATCGTCATGGTCATCTTCCTTCCAGACTCCCCAGTCACTGCGCCTCAACTATCCGACCGCGAAAAGCGACTTGCCGTCGAGCGCCTGCGAGATAACCAAACGGGTGTGGAGAACCGGACCATGAAACCGAAGCAGATTCTCGAAGCTTTCTTGGACTGGAAAGTCTGGACCTTTTTCTTGCTCGGCTTTTCCGGCAATATTCCCAATGGTGGCATCTCCAACTTTGGAACATTGATTATCAAGGGCTTTGGTTTCTCTACTTGTATGCACCTTGAATAATCCCCCAATCTGAGTTCTGATAGCTAACAAGATATACAGTGGTCACGACGCTCATGCAAATTCCCTATGGAGCCTTTATTGCCATCATGATCCTGACAGCCGTGTTTGTCAACGACCGCCTCCCACAAGGCAATCGCTGCATTGTCGCGGTGGTGTTTCTACTTCCCAACCTAGCCGGATCCTTTGGTTTACACTATGTCCCCGAGTCCAATCAGGTGGGAAGGTTGATCTGCTACTATCTAACTGGCTCTTACAATGCCTCTTTCGTGATTATCTTGTCCATCTTGACGGGCAACATTGCTGGCCACACCAAGAAAGTGGTTACTAACGCGATGATATTTTTGGGGGTCTGCGTCGGTAACATTGCCGGTCCTTTCTTCTATAAATCCGAGCAGGCCCCGGGTTACTCCTTGGGCATTTGGTCAATGATTGTGGCCAACCTGGTGGAAATTGCATTGATCATTATGCTAGGATTCGCGCTCGCATGGGAGAATCGACGTCGCGACCGGTTGCAAGGTGTGATCTCCGGTAGTGAGACAGAGTACGAGAGACAGTTGGAGCTTGATCGGACTGCGTTTAGTGATTTGACTGACAAGGAGAATCTCAATTTCCGCTATCTGTACTAAGGATTTAGAGCAGATGCCCTGTTTATTATGCTCAATGGTTGATTTTACTACTTCTGTACAGCCACAAGTCATGGCACAAGTATGAACAAAGAACTTAGTGCATGAGTCTCATGATCCTTTTCATGATTTGTCAGTATGTGCCAGAGCGTCAGTATACTTCTGATCGTATACTTCTGATCATCAAGTTCCAGCGACGACGACCTCTTCCCTATCGGGTCAGTGCAGGTCGGCTACTGGCTAATTTGGTCTTGTTAACGACAGTATCTTGTCGCATATCCGAAACAACACTCGTCAGCATGCCAGCTAATATCCACCTCTTTCCCCTCTTTTTCAGCTCCTTTGCCTGGCCAAGTTCCCCAAGTTCTTCCACCAGTAATGGCTTTCCCGAGGAAGCGTGGGGGTAAGTCGTGGCGCGATCACGTCTCCACCCCCAGACTTCTCCCGGACTTCTCCCGAGTCTCTTTCATTCCCTCATTGACCCCCGCGTGGGGTGTCTTTGAGAAGTGTGGAGTATGGGGGTTGAATGCGATCATCCGACAGGCAATGGTGAGGAGAGGGGTAAGATGGAGGAGGGGGTTTCTTCCCTACGCGACGCGCGACTTCATATATGACGCCGGGGATCAGCTCCGCCACTTGGAATTGCCTCCGTTCTGATTGAGAATTTGTCACTTCTTCCTTTCTACTTCATTCATTCATAATGGCAAAGATCAAGTCCATCGAGTACTTCCGGGTCAAGCCCCGCTGGCTGTTCGTCAAGGTCACTGATGAAGATGGCAACTTCGGCTGGGGCGAGGGAACCCTCGAAGGCCATTCTCTAGCTGTTGAAGGAGCGCTAGATGAGATTATCACTCGCATTGTTGGGTTTGAAGCTGAGTGAGTATCACCATCAGGACGTACATTATCGCATTTTCTCTTACAGTACTGACGCGGTGGACAGCGACATTGAACACATCTGGCAATTCGTGTGGCGACTTGGATTCTACCGAGGAGGGCCGGTCTTCATGTCCGCCATCTCTGGCATTGACATTGCGCTATGGGATCTCAAGGGCCGTAAGCTGGGAGTTCCAGTGTTCCAATTGTTGGGCGGCAAGGTGCGCGACAAGGTCCAGGTCTACTGCTGGATCGGCGGTGATCGGCCGGCCGATGTCGAGGCCATGGCGTATGTATACCAAAACCCCAGCGCAGAAACGAGAGAAGCAGTATCTAACGGGGAGTTCATAATAGTAAGGCACGAATCGCTCAAGGCCTCAAGTGTGTTAAGATGAATGCCACTGAGGATCTCAACTGGCTCGACTCCCCCGCCGCCCTCCAATCCTGCGTCGAGCGTCTCAAACAAGTCAAGGCTCTGGGTTTGGATGCCGGTCTTGACTTCCACGGTCGGCTGCATCGTCCCATGGCAAAGCAGTTGGCAAAGGCATTGGAGCCTCATCAACCTCTCTTCATTGAAGAGCCCCTTCTCTGCGAACACCCCGAGGCCATCAAGCAACTCTCAAACAGTACTACCATTCCAATTGCATTCGGCGAGCGCCTCTACACACGGTGGGACGTCAAGCGGTTCTTGGAGGACAGCTCTGTGGATGTACTTCAGCCAGATATTGCTCATGCTGGTGGTATTTCCGAGACCAAGCGCATTGCCACCATGGCTGAGACCTACGACGTAGCGATTGCGCCTCACTGCCCATTGGGCCCTATTGCCCTTGCAGCGTCAATGCAGATCGCTCTATCAACTCCCAACTTTGTGATTCAAGAAATGTCCTTGGGTATGCACTATAATCTTGAGGCGGGTGATATCGACTTGAATAGCTACCTGGTCGACAAATCTGTGTTTGATATCAAGGAGGGATATGTAGCGGCCCTCACCAAGCCTGGTCTGGGAATTGAGATTGATGAGGACTTGGTGCGCAAAATCAGCCAAGAGACAGAACCCTGGCAACCTAAGGAGTTCTTTGGACCTGATGGGTCTATTCGGGAGTGGTAGATTAATTTTTATAGACTGCATTGAATACATAATGTTCGAACTCGATTCCATTTCCTTATATCTTTGGTTATAAAAGCCATCAATCGATCCACCTAGGCACTCCAGACACAAATCTTTATGAAGACAGAAGTCATCAATTGCGCAGGAAAATTCACCCGGTGTTAGTTAGCCCGACACTCTTGCAATCGTCGGCAGGAGCATCACCCGCCTGGACGATCTCCCTACTCGGCGCGGGGAAGGCGTGGGGGCACAAGTCACCAGGCACACGCCCCAATATAAGGCAGCTTTCTTCCCCGCAATGGTGATAAGATCTAATCCTTACAGCCACAGAGCTCATTGCCTGTTAGTATTATCAACCATGGATCTCTTCTCTCTGCGAGGCCGAACTGCCCTAGTAACTGGAGGCACCCGTGGCATCGGGCAAGCCATGGCAATTGCGTTAGCAGAAGCAGGAGCCGACATTGTATTAGTTCAGGTACGTGCCCTTGGCCTTCACGCTTTGTGAAGAACGAGGTAGCTGACACTTATACCAGCGAGATACCAGTAACCTCGGCACAAAGGAGCAAATTGAGAAGTTGGGCCGCAAAGCCAGCATTTATACGGCCGATCTAGCTTCACAACCGTCTGTTGCCAAACTGGTGTCGACCGTGATCGGTGATGGCCATGATATTGATATTCTGTTGAACTGCGCCGGGATTCAACGGCGCCATCCAAGCCACATCTTCCCGGACGAAGACTGGGATGAGGTTAGTTATGTCTCTTCTCGTAACTTTCATCTCATTCAATATACAACAACCGCTAACGAGGACTCCGGATATAGGTCCTCCAAGTTAATCTGACCACTGTTTTCACTCTCTGTCGTGACGTCGGGGCATACATGCTCACCCGCACACCAAATACCTCAGGACAACGTGGTAGTATCATCAACATCGCATCACTAGTTTCATTCCAAGGAGGTCTCACTGTACCTGCCTATGCTGCAGCCAAGGGAGGCATCGCACAGCTAACCAAGGCCCTGTCCAACGAGTGGGCGTCCAAGGGAATCAATGTTAACGCCATTGCGCCTGGGTACGTTGCGACAGACATGAACACGGCGTTGATTCAGGATAAAGAGCGGGCGGCGAGTATTCTAGCGCGTATTCCTGCTGGCCGCTGGGGGAATCCAGATGATTTTAAGGGATCAGTGGTGTATTTGGCCAGTCGGGCGAGTGCGTATGTGAGTGGTGAAATTCACACAGTGGATGGAGGATGGATGGGACGGTGATCTAGAGGGTATTATAACCAGAGACGAGGTTTTAGAAATGTTATTGAAGTAAAGATTCCATTGTTTGCAAGAGATATACAAAGTCACGGGATATCCAATTCGCCGACAGATCCAGACACTCAACCCTCTTTTTGTCTTCTTTTTCTTCCACCTCAGCCCTCCCAACTTCAGGACTCTGCTTGTTTTTTCCGATCCCCGACCACGAGAGTAATACTTTCCCCATGATCTCACGATGCAGATATGGGCTGATGCCTGGGAAACCGCGATTGGCAGCTAAGAAGGTTGACCCACTGTGAGCTGCAGAATCCCACCGACTATTGATCGGGCTGAGCTGGACCCTCGTGAAGCGGGATAAATTATTGAAGATTGAGCAAACATGCAGAACTTGATGATCATCACCTCCTTCGTGCTCATGCACATCGTTCGACATGCGACCTAGAAAGTGACACGACAGGTCAACCACATGGGCTTGATGCCTGAAATGTGCTCCGACTCCTTCTATTCTCTGGAATGACAGAAATGCCCGGTGTTGTCCAGTCTGTGCGACGTGAAGGGCCGATCGCAACCACGTCCAGTTGTTCCACTGGCTCGCCTTCCTTGAGCTAGCGCCCCCAAGACCAATCAACCTCCACTTTGGAGCGACCAGCCCCAGTGTTCGGCCGGAAGATCTGAATCTTGCAGCTCCTCTTCCCGTGGCTTTCCTCCCGTGGCCTAGCGAATGTTTATTTTCTTTTGTCAGGGGCCTGCCCGCACTTCGGAGTCCAGTATATCCAGTGCCACCTCGATATGGTCCTTTTAGAATTGACCAAATGATGGTTATTCATTATCCGACACTCTATCCTGGAATTCGGTCTACCAATGGCCTAGCCATGTCGTCCCGCCGGCCAAGCATCTCGAGTAGCATCGCATCCACTTTGTCGACCCGCGGCATCCGAGTCACCCTAAGCAGCTACCACGCTAGACTTTAGACAGCTCTGCAGGGGATGCTGATCTCGACGATCTCTGCAGCTCGCTCAGCTGAGGACACGATGAAAGTTCATGAATCGTGCTACTTCCTCCACAATGATCCAGTCCCCGTCTTGATTGGCACGCGAAGTGGGCTTGCATGTGCGCGATCAGAATCGATGCGAGCCATTATGAGCAAAAATAATGCGCGTCGATTAGGTGGAGAGAACAGGCAGACCGGGAAGCCTATAAAGGCCGAGAGGTAGCTTCCCAGGAGCTTGTCATTGCTCGTGGTTCCTCTATTGTGCTCTTCAGGTTCCTGCCTCTGTTGAAGACAGTCAATATGGCTCCAGGAATCGTGACTTTCCTGTCCGTCTTCTTATCACTATGGACTCTCATCGCTGCTGAGTCGTCCATCCCCAAAACAGACTACGATGTCATCGTTGTCGGTGGTGGTCCTGCGGGTCTCAGCGCTCTGAGCGGCGTTTCTCGTGTGCGAAGGACCGCTCTCCTCTTTGACAATCAGCAGTACCGCAATGGTCCTACCCGTAATATGCACGATGTCATTGGCAACGATGGTAATAACGCAATACAACTTTTCAGTTCATCATCTTGTACCGTTCGTACTAACAAAACTACAGGCACTCCGCCCGCCGAGTTCCGTGCCCTGGCTCGCGAACAAATTCTCAAGTATCCCACAGCTCACATCAAGAATGGCACAGTCAAGTCAATCACTCCCATTGGCACGAACGAGGTCTCTGCATTCTCTGTTGTTGACGCATCAGGCAAGAACTACACTGCGCGTAAAATCGTTCTCGGCACCGGTATGCGGGATGTGCTTCCCGACACCTCTGGTCTGCAGGAAGCCTGGGGTAAGGGTATCTTCTGGTGCCCCTGGTGCGATGGCTACGAGCACCGCGACCAGCCATTTGGCATTCTCGGCAACCTGTCTGATGTGCTTGGCAGTGTGTTGGAGGTGAACACTCAGTTCTCCGACATCATCGCCTTTGTCAATGGCACCCAGACACCAGCAGGAGAGGCCCAGGCCACTGCATCGCACGAAGACTGGAGGGAGCAGCTCAAGGCTTGGAACATCAAGATTGAGAACCGCACTATTGCTTCCATCGAGCGCCTCCAAGATGGCGAGACCCATCAGAACAAGACCGCCGATATGCAGTTTGACAAGTTCTTGGTTCACTTTACTACCGGCGAGCCTGTCGAGCGCAACGCCTTCATTACCAACTTCGCAGCGGTACAGCGCTCTTCACTGCCGTACCAGATGCATCTGAATGTTACGAAAGAGAAGATCAATGTCGACGCCAGTGGCATGCGCACGAACGTCACTGGCGTCTATGCCGTCGGCGACGCCAACAGTGACGGCAGCACTAACGTGCCCCATGCCATGTACTCTGGAAAGAAGGCCGCAGTCTATCTTCATGGTATGAATTTACCCCACCCAGGCTTCACTCTGATCCTCAGCTAACATTCGTTTATAGTGCAAATGTCTCGCGAGGACTCTGCATCCAAGATCTCCAAGCGGGTTGGTTTGAGCCAGCGCGAGTTGGAGAAGGAAGCAACCCGCGCGATTGGACGCAACCTCGAGCCGCAGTGGGAAAAGATCCAGAAGCGGAACTGAGCCTTGGGACCATGATGTGTTGCATTTAGACAACTGAAGAGAGCATATATTAAGCCATGGAGAATTATGGTGAATGCCTTTGAGACGTTAACGCTAGAGCATGGGTTATGAACTTCGTTTACGATCGATAATTGATGTAAATCATAATTAATTCATATTATGCTTCAACCTGTTGGCTGATCCTTTTCTCAATGCTTACCAAAGGATTCAGACCTACTCGGCAGTTGCCAGGTGAAGCCCTCTCACTCATAGACCTTAGTTTTCCAACTTGTCGAAAGTTAATGTCAGCCCCATGCTAGTTTTGTATTAGCTTATTATATTGGGGCCACGGAGGATTGTTGATGCTTCTGCCATTCGTCTTCAAGTCTGGAATTCCTCGTAGATACGTGCCTAATTCCCACCATGGACATCTTATCAAGTCGCTCGCTGAGACCAGTTTTCATGCATTCGGTCTCTCTGCTTACCCACTTGTGAGAAAATTTGATATCCTTTTGCGAGAATTGTAGAGGCTGGAACAAATTAACCCCCAATACTTTGTCTGACAATATAACCAGGTCTTTTCTCGGATCATCGGCCACCCGGATCCCGCTCAACGGAAATTAAGGCCTTAGATTTCACGCCAAATGGATATTTAGAACGTAGCCAATGCGATATCTCATGAAAGTCGTAAGCACAGCGTTGACTTTATAGAGATGTTCGAAATTATATGGTAGGAAGTAATCGCGATGAAAGCATTGCAGTCTTTCTACTTTATTTCATGCACGATAGGACCTAATTTACATGTCCCGGAACCGCTTCATGGGGCCATAACTCGACGTGAATGCCCGGAGTGACTTTCCACAGAAGTACAAGGGGATCGCGCACAGGATACTGACAACCTGGATGGCGGTCATTTCACCAAACACCGGCGCCGTGCCTTGTCGCTCAATCCAGTCCGCTGCGTACAGGGAGAGAAGCATACCGATGGTATTCCGGATGACGAAAATACTGACCAGGGCCTCGCCCGTTACCTGGTCTATCGTCAGTCATTAAACAAAAAAGAATCCACATCGAGGGCACGCACCGGCTTATACATCTCTAATGAGTAAGTGACTGCGACGTTGGAAATAGCAGCGACGCCAAAAGCCTGCATCGCATATCCGAACGCAGGACCAATCCAATGCGTTTTGTGTGCCACGCAAAGACCAAAGATCAAGATTCCTGCCGGGCCGATGGTTCCTGGAATGATTATAGCAGGGAGTCGGTACTCCGGTAGTCGAGGACCACCGTGTCGAGCTGTGCTTCGACTTGAGATCACGTCGATCAACCGTCCGCCAAGATAGAAGGCAAATAAACACCCGATGAAGCCAGATAAACTGAGTAAGCCGATATCTCCGGAGGTCCAATTGTAAGGGGGCTTCGTGAATGTGCGGGTGGAAGTTAGCTGCACAACAATGTTCCTGGTCATAGGGTTAGTAAGTGACGACGGCCTCACGAGAGAAGCACTTACCAGCCAACAGAGATGCCAATGGTAATTGAACACCAAATTAAAGGAGGATATGTCGCGTTGCCAAGAATATCCAAGAAGGCCCGGAGAAAAGAGGCATCTCGATTGAAGCCAAGAGTCAGAGACATCCACTCCCAGTGGGATCGCTTACGCGAAGGCTCTGTGTTATACCTCTTGATGTACGAGGTTTCTCGAATAGTAAAAACAGCAACCACAAAGACAAGCCCGACGGCAATTGCCAGGAAATAGCACATCCAGCGCCAGTTCTCCTCCTGAATGAGGTATGCATTGATCAAAGGCCCAACAAATAAACCACCGGTCAGCGCCAGATGGAAAATCATCATGTAATGACCGCGATCCTCTGCAGGGATCATATCTGCGACCACGGCAGGTACGGTGGCGTCGGCAGCGGCAGCAGCAAATCCCGAACATATGCGGGCAGCGAGCAGCTCACCATAAGTCGTAGCCTTGCTTGACCAGACATTCATCATGCAAAGTCCAACCATTGCCAGAAGATAGACGGGGCGTTTCCCAATCACCCGCATGAGGGGTACCCAAAAGACATTTCCGACGCCGAACATGAAGACATTGAAGCAGACTAGTTGACCAGCCTGGGTTTGGCTGACCTTAAACTCCTTAATGATGGCCTGCGTCGCAACTGCGAAATTGCTGGAATTGACGTTTGCCAAAAAGGTGAAGGAGCAAATAGTGAGATAGGTAGATAGCCTGGCGGACAGTGACCAGTTCTACATGGTTCAATATTAGTGTTGATCTAGCATGAATATCTTGGGTGAGTAGTGGACCGACCTGAGGGTTGTTCACGTCTTGCTCCTCCACAGATAGCTTCAAGTCTAGCATTGAAGCCACACCGTGTTCATCAGCCTCGGCCATATTTTCAAGATGACTTGAACTGCTGTGCAGTTTGGAACCCTTTTCGGTGCCTATCATATCGTGGGTCTTTCTCAACTTTCAATACGCGATGTCGATAAACCTCGGAAGATCAAAAGAGGCGGGCGATCTTTAAGAAAGAGGGGCGAGAATGGAGCTTGAAATAGTCCCCCAGACAATTAACCCCGGCGAATCCTCCCCACAGTCCAGTATGAAGAAGACATGACTAGCGGGCAGTTGGTCTGATCTCATTGGATTCCGGGGGAAAGGGCGGTCCCTCCCAGTGGGTTGTGGATTCGTGGAGGAGGCAAGTCGTTCGGCATTTCCGATTGTTGAGACCTGCCTGGCCTCAACATTCAGCCTAGTAAAGATCGTCGGCTATCGCGCAATACTCCTAGTGCCAGGAGAGACTCATTCGGCAATCTTTGAGCCTTGGCTGTTTATCCGAATTTGTCCTCGAAAAAGAGTGTCCACAGGGTCATCCGAATACAGCAATATGCTAGCATTCAGCAGATGACGTATTAGACCAGCAGCAGCTTCATGGATGCTCCGGCTTCTTGAAGCAGTTGGTCAGCATTCGGGATTCCCGAGTCGGTAACTAGTAAAGGATCTGCGGGGCTTAGCAAGCCAATGCCATTTGAATTTCGCCGGTCATGTTGCAAGACACATGATTCATGCACTTTCGAAGGGCGTGTTCTCCTCTCCAAGGCTTTTGTGGGGGATTGTGGGGAGAGAAAGGTTATGGAGGAGAGCCCTGATGAAACCGGAGTGGAATATATCTTGGCGGAGCTTCCTCCATAGTTGGCTGAACCCGTGACTGATAGGGCTGCTTCAATAGTCATGAACTTTTTTTTTTCTTTTCTTTTCTTATGTCAATTGTAGTTCCTCACTACATCCTCAATTGCGTGCATCACTTTAAAATCAGTAGTCCTTGAAGTACTTCCAGTACTTCCTGTACTTTCTCGGCGTGATGGCCGAGTCCTCGTGACGGGGACCTTCGGTCGGCTCTTCTCCGCAGTTTCCTCCTCACAACTTCACCACTTCCTTCGAGCTCCCATCCTCTTCCACCTCTCCTCCTCCTCCTCTCCCTTTCTCTCCAGCCCTTCTTTCTCAAACCAAAATGGGACTCATCAGTCGTGTCCTCAAGGTCACCGCCGCCGGCACCGTCGCCTCGGTCGGTGTCTTCTTCGGAGCCACGCGCAATGACGTCTTCGAGCCCATGGACGTCAACGATCCCATCTTCTCCTCGCCCTTCTTCCAAAAGTTCAACCCCGAGCGCAACCCTACTCTGCATGACCTCTGCGTTCGTCGCATCCCACTCGACAAGCTCAACCCCTCATTGCTGGAGAAGAAGGGCAAGCTGGTCGAGGCATTCTGCGCGGGTGTCTGGGGTGGCATGGGTAAGCTTTTGCGCCTTTCGTTGTGCTCCAGAATAGGCAATATTCTGTCCTGACAAGTTCGCTAACACCTCTTTCCCCACTGTAGGATACATTCCCCAGCGCGCATACCTCGCCAACAAGTACCAAGGCCCCGAGACTGCCAGTCATCTTTGGGAGCGCAAGGACCTCCTTGCAAGCACCTACGAGGTCGGCACCATCATCACCGACCACTTCGAGGTTGTCGAGAAAACCGATGAGAAGATTGTCGTCCGCTGTGGCGCATCCCCCCGCGAGCAAGGCGTCCGCCCCTCCGACGGTCTGTTTGAGATTGGCGCAGTGGTGAATCAGGACAAGGGAGAGGCCGAGTTCACCCTCAAGAGCTGCTTCTACCAGGGTCTAGGCAAGGCCGAGGCGGCTCCTATGGGTCCCGTCATGGTCTGGTTGCACCAACAGTACGCCAAGCTGTGGATGGAGACTGCTATCCTGAAGAACTGCGTTCGGTAGGGAAAACTAGGATTGACTGCACGTCTTGTTCGGGATAATCCGTGTATATACGCTTCTCTTAATGGTCTACGAACAAACGAGCATGCCCCTTGAAGAAGGTGCAACTGGAGGACATAGCGAGTTTTGTCCATACAAAGGTCATTGTGTGCATTCCAACCTAGCAAGGTTATTACGAAATATCTCACGCCTTGCCTTCCACCTGAGATTTCTCCTTCAAGTCTGCAGTATCCCTACCTTCGACAGCCTCCGCATCTGGGTCACTGGTGAGAGTGACTGCAAGGACTGCTGGAATGGCAATGACGAGGGAGCCCATGCATAAACCCCAGTCCATCGCAAACTGCGTCATGGCGGGCTTCTTCAAGGCATTGATGCGCCAGGCCATGGCACCTCCCGTAGCCTGGAACGTTTTATACGCGCCAACCGTGATCGCAGTCTCGGCGGGGGAGTTGGAACGGGCACCCATGAGCCAGTAGCAGAAAGATTGCCAAAAGGCATCGTAGGCACCGTAGAAGATGTAGAGGAAGATCGGACCGACAGAGAGACTTCCTTGAGTATAATCAATGTCCTGCTTGAGGCCCGCGGCCATTCGACGATCCGACCATTTCTGGAATGCATATCCACCACCCCAGATGGCCATGCCCGTCACAAACAGGAAAACCCAGCCAATGCGAGCGCGCATGGGCCGGTTAAAGCCTGGCATGTCCAGGATGAGACCGATGATCAAACCACCCAGCATCTGCGCAATCCAATAGAGGGCACCATTGAGCGAGCGTGTCCGGATATTGAAAGTCATACCATTGACCACGTTCTGCTGGTAGGAGTAGAAGACGTTGGCCGAAAAGAATAACGGGAGCATGCACAGTACGCGCCAGTCGGTCATAGTATGAAGTGCCTGTCGGGCCGTCTTACGCCAGTTCTTCTCAGACTGTGGCGTAGCTTGTAGCTGGGAAACGCGCACGCTTGTGGGAGGGCAGATGAGGACTCCCAACAACCACCCAATGGCCATGATGATGAGTAGAGCGATATAAGTTCCGTCTGAAACAGTGCCGCTCTTTGAGTGATAGTTGAGGCCAAAGCTCGCGAGGGATCCCACCCCACCACCAAGGTTGAAGATGATCCAGAACGCGGCAATGGCTCGTCCTTTTTGCGATTCCTTGACGTAGGTAGTCATGATAGCGCCCTGTGCAACCCATAGGAAGGAGGCGCCTACACCAAGAATTGCGCCAGAAGCAATCACAAAGGCACCGTTCTGGGTAGCTATTTAGAAGAACCTGAGATTAGCTTGTAGTCGAGGATTCCCAAAAGACTACCTTTTATCGTACCATTGAAGCACAGCAAACTGCCCGAGTACAAGGGATAGGTCCATCCACCGAGCAGGAGGCATACTCGAGGACCAACACGGTCAAAGATAGGTCCTACCACGAAAAGCGCAGTAGCTGCCGTCGCGGCGAGGAGCGCAACGGTGGCATTGGCGGCCACTGTCTGGTCGACTTGGCCGGAGCCTCCTAGACCGGTGAGTGCATTGTACATCTACAGAAGAATGTCAGTAGTGGTCAAGTAGGACAGGGATCTCGAATGACCTACGCCAGGGCAACAGAAACAGATGAAGCTGATAAGGATAATCTGAAACCAGCAGTGTGTGTAGATCTGGTAAAAGACCGAGGGCTTGCCATCTTCATTATCCACCACCACTGAGCCAGCGGCATCTCCAGATCTCATGCCGTCCTCCATCGCGTCGAGTAAGTATGAGAAAGGAACCAGCCAGCACCGAGAAACTTCTTCAAGGACTGCTCGTGTCTTTAAGCCCCAGACCCTACAGAGGTGAACGAGCACAAGTCCAGGGCCCCTCCTGAAATACGAAGGCTATTTGTGTTGTATCTGCAACGCTACCTCGGCCAGCTTGCCGATCCCTCCTGAATTCCAACGTTGCGTTGGAAGTATCCCAACAACAGTGGAGCGGGCCAATCAAAACAACACCATCACTTAATCACTTATCAGTTTCTCGCAAATGCCGCTCGACTTTCCATCAACTCGTCGGCATCAAGCGGGGAGGACCGCAAAATCGCTCCACATCGGGCAAGTTTCTGGGGAAAGAAGCTCCACAGGGTCGCGTGTTTGAACTTTGGGGTGGACCAACCGCGGTTGACAGCGCCCAAGGGGCGCTCGAAATACCACCAAGCTGGACCCTCGTTACGACTCTGACTTTTGACGCCCCCACCCGCATGTCGCTGAGCGAGAGCCGAGGGACTCTCGTTTGCGTACAAACCACTGGTCGCCGGCTTTCCGCGGCGTAACGGCAGTGATCCGAGACTCCGAGACGGCTCAGGGACGATGAAGAGGCCAAGTCGGCCAACGATAGTCGGCAACGCTGCGCTTGGGCCCTGGCTAGTGTCGGGGTCTCATCAACAGTCGCTACACAGATAGTCAGCATTTGTGCCACTGGGAAAGATTCATGCGAGGATCTGTGCTTCAAGCTTGCGTTTAAATTATTGGCAGCTCATCTATACACCCACGCATCCATCGAGTGCCGAAAGGATGGATTTGAGCAGTTTGGCCCAACTGCAGACGGAGGGGGTTAACCCCCGTACAATACACATCGACCGCATGTCGACTTTGGAGATGTGCACGGTCATAAACTCTGACGACCACAGAGTAGCAGATAGCGTCAAAGAATGTCTTCCTGACATCACTGGCGCGATTGACGCTCTGGCACCGCGTGTACGTCGAGGTGGGCGCGTTGTCTATGTAGGCGCAGGAACCAGTGGAAGGTGAGTACTTCGCCACCGATGCAAAGGCGAGCGATGACCAACCACAAAGACATCTAGACTGGGTATCCTGGATGCTTCAGAGATCCCACCGACTTTTGCCGCTCCGCACTCCCAGTTCATTGGGATAATTGCTGGTGGCGATGCAGCTATCCGCCAAGCGCAAGAGGGTGCCGAGGATAACGCTCAAGCCGGCGAGGATGACCTGAAACGCCTGAATCTGGACCCGGAGCTTGACAGTGTCATTGGAATCGCCAGTTCAGGGCGGACGCCGTACGTTCTAGGATGTCTTGCCTTTGCCAAACGGCTGGGTTGCGTCACGATTGGTGTGGCTTGTGCATCACCTTCGGCGATGAGCCGCTCCGGCGACGTGGACTTTCTTATTGCTCCGCTTCCTGGCCCAGAGGTTGTTACGGGGAGTACGAGACTCAAGTCTGGTACCGCGACGAAGTTGGTCTTGAATATGCTCAGTACAGGCACGATGATCCGCGTTGGCAAGACCTACGGTAATATGGTATGACGCTCATCCTGAGATATATGGAGACAATTTAGTACTGACCTTGATCTAGATGGTCGATATGGTAGCATCAAATCTCAAGCTAGAACAGCGGTCACGGAACATGCTGCGTCGACTCAGTCCCAAGTGCAACTCAATGTCTGATTCGGAGCTAGATGCACTTCTTGCACAGTCAAAGCGCAGTGTTAAGCTTGCAATGCTTGTTGCCGAGACCGGGCAAATGGTAGAGGTCTGCCAGCAGCATTTGGACTCGGCTGGAGGCGTGTTGGCTGCTGCGTTGGACGAAGCATGCCCGACAACCCGGACTTGGACTTTCAACGAGGGGAATTTTAAGCGGTTCACGTTGTGCATTGATGGTGGCGGTACTAAATGTGCTGCAGCAATTACCGACATCACTGGCAATATGAGCTATGGCTACGCTGGCCCTTGTAATCTGTATGTGTCAAGTCTTCTTCCCCGTGATAGGAGCATGAGTATGAACTGACCACACCTCCAGGACTGACGGTATCGGAAATGTGCCTGGGGTAGTGGCTACCTTGGTTGACGCCACCAAGAATGCACTTAAGGGACATCTACCAAGCGGCACAGAACCTAGTGATGCAGAGTGGAGGCATTATTTGAGATCCTGCTTCCGTTCCGTTTGGATTGGACTCGCAGGATTGGACCGTGCTGGACTGCACGAAAAATTGGCTCCAATGTTGGCAGAGATCTTCGGGCTCGATCATACCACGGCTGACTTCCGGCTAACGAGTGACGTGGACCTACTCCCGGCATCAGTCCCCCTGGACAACAATCCTCGCTCTGTACTCGTCCTCATCGCGGGGACAGGCAGCGTTGCTATGCGGTATGCCTGGACGGAAGATCGAGGATATGTCCGCGTAGCTCGTTCGGGCGGTTGGGGCCATATGCTAGGAGATGAGGGCGGCGGGTATTCCATTGGGCTGGAAGCCATCAAGCATACGCTTCTTGTCCTGGAAGAGCAGACTCTGGGTCTTCGGTCACAAGAGCTGGACGCATTAGAGGAAGCAGTGATCGACAAGCTGGGCTGCACAACCTCGCGGGACGGCCGTATCGACATTTTAAGCCACATTTTGTCCGGATATCACCAGGAAACCGTCAAGACTCGTATTTCCCAACTGGCAGAGACCGTCTTGGAACTTGCATCGCACGACCAGACCGCGGAGGCAATTGTACAGAGTCAAACATCACACTTAGTGACCAAGACGCTGGGGCGTCTGACGGACTCGAGGAGCAGCGGGTATGCAGCAGCTCAAGAGACTGAGTTGGTACTCGCTGGTGGGTTGATGAGAAATCGGGGATATCAACGTACTTTGAGAGAGCAGTTGGACCAGAGAGGACTGAAGTTCTCAGGAGTTCGCGTCGTTGACGACGTTGCTGCGGCTGGAGCGAAGTTCTTGTTGGAGAAAAAAGAGTGAAGTGCAGTGTTTGATCCCTATAATCCAATATTCAATTATCATTGAATTGCTTAAGAATTGCATATATTCACATAGAAAAGGCTCGCGCGTTGGTAAATACAAAAAAACTTGTCCAGAGCGACCGGTCATGAAATTCCTCCTCATGTAGAACTCTTCAGTTCTCTACTGGATCCTGTGACTTCCCAGCCATGGGAATTACCTCAATAACAGATTCCATGCCTGGGCTTTGATTCCAAATTCCAGAAATCTCCAAACCTACACTTTGCAGCAACTCTCTCCACTGACTCTCCGATCGTTCAACACCAGCACTGATGCTCATCATCTGAATGTCCAAGGAAGCCTGCAGCAAGGGAGCATTCGTATCCGGCAAGACAAAATCCACGATAAGAATGCGTGAATAGTCTGTCGCCATGGCTGACATGGTATTACGCAAGATCTGGCGGCAAATATGATCGGGCCAGTCGTGGAAGATCGAACGGAAGTAATATACCCGCGCGCCACAGACGGGCTGGGCATCTAGGAAGCTGTACGCCATCACGCCGATGCCTGCTTCACGACCGGACACGCCGTTCACAACTTTAGGCAGATCCTGCAGTACTAGCTTGCCAGGGAGATGGGGGTATCGCTGACGAAACTTGGTCAGATCGTGACCTTGATTGCCACCGATATCCACCAAGAAGACCGTGTCCTCATAGGGAACTGCATGACCTAGCAGCCTGTCAACCGGGTACACGTCAAACCACATGGGCTTGCCTTGTCTGCGACTGGCCATGTACGAGTTGAACAAGGCCTGCTGATCTTTGTGGCTAGCTAGCCACTCGAATTGGCTCTGACCTACTGCCCAATTCATGGGAGAGCGAGCATACTCCTGTGGGTTGGCATACTCATGAATGCGCAGATACTCGGGTAGTTTGCTCAATGTGGGAACTGTCAGGTCATATCTTTGACGAGTCAGCGCTGTCAATGAAGAAAAGTGGAATCGAACACGCGTGATTCAGCTTACATGCATGGTATACCATCTCGGCCAATTGGTTGCGTCAACGCCACAGTCTTGTCGTTGGCCCGATACACCCCCGAAGCCGGGGTGCTGCATAACCCTAGGGACGCCATGACACGCATCAAGCGAACTAACAAGAAAGGTTAGCTCGGCACAGCAGCGCCACCAGGCACAATCGTCACACACAATGTGCGAAGATTATTGGCCAATGAAAGTTATTTCCTACCGATTAAGTCTTGTTCGGCGCCCGTGTACTCCGCTAGTTGAGTGGCCGATACTCCTCCCTCGAGATGTTGTTTTTCAATCAACAGTGGGAAGATTCCCATGTCAATCACGCAGCGCAAGGCAGCATTTTGCGGAGGCTATATGCATCGTCAGATCAATAGTCCCCCATGAGAAATTCAAGCGGCTTGGTGTTCTACCTGATAAATAAGACGCAGCACGGTCTCCGTCGGTGTTTCGACGGCCAATTTAAGTTGGTCGATCATCTGAAGGAGCTCAAAGTGGGTCTGTGGTGATGGTTTAGCGCCATCTTGCAATGCAAGTTGTCCGAGGCGATTGAGCATCGCATACAGAGGCGTAATCACCGTCATGGCGGCGGCACACGAGAAGGTCTCAAGAGTTGAAATTTGAAATATAGGATCAAGATGTTGAGGTAGGACAAGGGAGGGGAGTCCATCCTGTAAATAGGTACCCAGCACCGTTCCATGCCGTCTGCACTTGCCCATTCGAGTATGCAGGTTAACCGTTCCGCTCAAATGCGGCCATTCGGGGAGTTCGATTTATCAAAAAGAAATCACCGGCACATTTTCAGCTTGCCTGGTCCCATCAAGGAGGGAGATGACTTGGTTGAGAATGTCCGAAAACAAGGCCTGGCTTGCATGAGGCTAGCTATTACGCACCTACCTCTACATTCAAAGTACAAATCATTGTTCAATTTGGAACAATGTTTTCATTCAGTAGATATTGACCACGTCCTGCATTGAGTAGGTGGAGCTGAGTCCTGAGTCCACGAAAGATACGACCTCGGGAAGCGATTGGATTCTGGCCCACTTATTCGACGCATTTACTCACCCCCTGAGTCTTTCCGATCCACACGGAAGCAGCTCGAGAGAAAACACTCCCAGGGAGGGATGTATGCTTCATATATCTCTCTGGCTGTTGAGGGGAGGAATCATCAACATCGACATAATACTTAGGACTCGATATAGTCCGCTGTTTCCCAAACACTGGATCCCCGGCTGATCGACCTCGTGCCATTCGCCCATTGCGAATCATTTTTTAGCGCCGGCAAATATTCATGCACTTCTTACCGACGCCGCCATCTGAGCCTGACACGCGATGGATGCCCGCCATTGCCACGGTCAGCTTGGGGGCGGCCTATTTACATTCGCTCCCGGCAAAGATCGAGGCCGCTGCTCAGAATGGCCAGCAGGGACTAGAACTCTTCCATGAAGATCTCGCACAGTTCGCCAAGTCTCTGCGCTGTCATGCATGTCACGAACCAGTGGATCGCACTGATCGCGAGTATGAGATCGACGCGGCGCACGCCATTCGCAATCTATGTACAAAGAGGGGCCTCAAAGTCTTAGCTCTACAGCCATTCAGACACTACGAAGGCCTATTGGACCCAGATCAACATGCCCAGCGCATCGATGAGCTGAAGCATTGGGTGGAATTATCCAAAATCCTCGGCGACGACCTCTTCATCCTCATTCCTTCTTCCTTCCTCGACCCATCCCAAATCACAGACGACCGAGACCGACTAGTGGCCGATCTAAGGCAAGCCGCGGATGTAGCATTCCCCATCCGTATCGCCTACGAGGCATTAGCTTGGGGCACGTACATCAATACCTGGGAGGACAGCTGGGACATCGTTCAACAGGCAAACCGGCCGAATCTGGGCATCTGCTTGGACACGTTCAACATCGCAGCACGGCTGTGGGCCGATCCGACCAGCGCAACTGGACGTCTCCCATCCCACGCAGACATAGATCTAAAGGCGTCGATACAACGACTCGTGCAGGAGGTCGATCCTAACAGGGTCATGATTGTACAGCTAGCTGATGGCGAGCGGGTCGACCTACGAACACCGTTCCTTCAAACCCCAGGTATACCCAAGTTACTGTCATGGTCACGGAATGCTCGTCTGTTTCCGTGCGAAGAGGAACGGGGTGGATATTTGCCTATCTGTGAGGTAGCAGATGCTTGTCTCAATGGGCTGGGCTATACCGGATGGGTCAGTATGGAAGTATTCTCCCGAACTACTGGTGAGTCCAGGCCATCAGTGCCAAATGAGCATGCCGCGCGAGCCGCACGATCATGGCAGCGGGTCTTGCAACAGTTGGATACCAAGGGAAAGAAAAATTGATAGATTATTAGCGTTTATCTAATTCGAAGTACATACGCCCGATTCGGTCTTGATAGAGCATGTAGACTGGTCTCCGTAATTCTAGAAATGGCAATGATGCGAAATGATATCGAAATTTGCTATCTCGCTAGGGCTATACTAGATGTACTTGCCTGGTCCCTGTATACCAATCCAGAATTCGAGCCCCCTTCTTGAATTTTGTTTCTCTAATGAAGATATCTCACATACGGCTATCCCTGTCCCAGACACTGTGAAGAATAAAATCAACGTTAAGATTGATGATGAAGCATATGCATGTCTCGCCGGTTGCGTGTTCCGACACAATCCATGTCTTGGACCTAAAGAATGTCTAGACACATCTATTGCCTCATAAACTTTCTAGAAGGCCGTTTCCACAATGCACACTCTAAATCATATTCTCATCCAGTCCGTTCCACCGCAGTGCCTTTTCCCCGAAGCGCATCGGGTCGATTTTGTATGCTTCCGCGGTGCAGGGATACGTTAAAGGCCCGGGGACGATAGCTCTCGTTCCACCACAGACAAAGAAACAAGATTGTAATTCTTAATCATCGGTATGCTAGAATCCGATCGGACGGTTGGCATTCCTCCCGGCAAACGGAAGGGGCGATCCGTGAAGAAACAACTCCACAGTGGAATTCTATCAATCCGTTTCCAGCGACCGTTAGCCTGAGATAGACCAGATGTGATCGTTGCAATTCTTTGGAACTGTTCCCGAAGTTCCCCCCTTGTCCCGAGTTCCGGGAGAAAGGACTTAGGTTGTGGAATGGTGTGGATCTGGTCTGGATAGTACTTTTGTTATAGCCCTTGATTGTCAGAATGTAGGCCGAGTTGGATATCACAGGTCATTAATTTTGATCTGAAATTTTGAGATGCCTTTTCTCTTGAATTGGCCCTTTACAATGTGTTATTTTGAGAATCAAGGGTCCATAGATGGGCCATCATCGCACTGTGAGCTTCCATCGAGTAGGCAGCCGAGGATAAAGTACAGAGACACGTCGGAAGGCCTTTCCTCGGACCCCATTGTTCTAGACTAGGAAAGCGAGTTCTCGATGGTCTCGATATTTAGTTTATTCGCTTGATCTCTTCAGAATGTCTCAGAATGTACCAGAGGCCAAGTCAGACAATGCCACAGTCGTTTGGACGAGACCAACGCATTCACGTCCCGTCTTCCTTCTATTTGGTGCAAGTCCCCAGTTGTTGCTTTCGGTAACCCCGCCAGCCACCTCCCACGGCATCTCGATCATTGCCAAATCTATCAATCCATATCATGAGCTAGTTCAGTCCGTGCGACTGGAAGATCAATATATCATATTACCATTGGGTCGGGTATCCCGCCCAACAGCCACAATTCTCCGTCTGAGAGACTACTCGGGGCTGAAAGGAAAAGAAGGCTGAGCTGACTCGCCACAACAAGAGGATTTCAATAACACCCAGGGCGAGTGTTCAGGCACCACTGCAGTGTAACTATTACAGCTGGATGCGATGGAAATCTACATTTCAAAATTTAAATCACACCCCACTCTGCATAGCACGGAACGAACGCCTCGTCGTCGTAGGCGAAGCCGAAGAGTTAAATCTCCGACTTTTGGTCACTACCCGATAATCCGAGATATCACACCTAGAAATGAATTCTATTGGACAAGGTAGAAATATCACTGCATTTATAGCAATAATATGGAATCAATTCACCACATCGGGCGACGAATAGCGGACGCCCTTATACTTGTGGCTTGTTTGTAGTATCCGTCATGTACGAGTCAATATTCATATCTCGTACAGATCACACTAGCGGTCTAGCTTGTCACTTGCCACTAGACGACGACCCGTCAATTTATCGCATCGTGCCGAAGGAATGACCATTCAGCTTTCTGGCTATGTCGTGCTAGCATCGCAAACAACCCCTAAAGCGGAAACCCAGTGCCTCTCCGAGTATCCCGAATGCAGTCGGCAATCAATGCAAGACAAGATCCGACTCAAATGACCATACATTATATGTTAATTCATAAATAATCCCAAGTCACCATCCAAGCACTGTACTTGAGACTTCGTCTTTCTCATTGTCTTTCTAGAAAGTCCGTCTATCACACATTATGGGTATCCAAAGAGGAAACCAAGCAGCGCAAGCGGGCTCGTCAGCCACGACCGATCCTCTTATTGAGAAGTTTGGACAACTTCACGTCTTGGATGATTTGATTCGACTTCGTGCCGCAGATTATGTTCAACATCCTATTCTTGCATACCCCAGCTCCGAGAAGGATGCAGCATCACACAAATACTATACTGGTCGGGACTTGGATGAAATGATCGACCAAGTGGTTACTGTGCTCGTGGACTCTGGCTTTCCAGTGGTGAGACCATACACTCGTTAAATTTATATTGAACGACGTATCAGAACTAACAATATACAGCCAAAAAGAGATGGAAGCATTGTGGCCCTACTCACGTTATCCGATTTAAATATGGTGACCGTCTTTTTCGCCCTGGGCCGACTGGGCTATACAGTGATGATGCTATCGCCGCGACTATCCAGTGAAGCATGTGTGTCGCTACTCGACAAGGTGAACTGTGACACGATCATGTACGGCAATACTGGGGGTATCCGAACCACAATGGGCGAGGTTCTGCAGCGAAAGCTTATCAGCTGTCGCCCAATACCAAGTGCATCGAGCAAATGCGCAACAGAAACTACACTCCTGGTTCTGCACCGACATCGCAACTCCGAGGCTCAACGAAACAAAATAGCCTTGATTCTTCACTCATCTGGATCCACCGGTACCGCAAAACCTCTATTTCTCACCCACAAGGCGCTGATGACGCATCCTCTTCGAGGCCCTGGGTTGACATCATTCAATCCTCTACCGTGGTATCATCTTCACGGTCTTTCTACCTCATTGCAGGCAATGTGGATGAGGAAAACTGCCTATATGTGGAACGCAGCACTTCCGCTGACGGCAAAATCTGTCCTGTCCGTACTAGAGGCCACTCGACCCGAATCCGTGGCTGCAGTACCTTACATGCTTCAACTTTTGGTGGATAGCCCGAGAGGCATTGCCGCACTTCGGGCATGTAGACTGGTAACATACGGAGGTGCACCTTGTCCAGATGAGCTTGGCGACCGTCTGGTCAGCGAAGGCGTTCCTTTCAGTGGTTCATTTGGCTTGTAAGTCACACCAATACTTTCCTCGAAACAAGCCAATCTAATTATGTTCTAGGACGGAGGCTGGTTTAGTCGCAGAGTCGATCTCCCGTCCCAAGGGTGATCCTTATTGGAACTATTTGCGGTTCTTCGAGAATATCAGATCATATATCTGGATGAAGCCTATTGGTGGCTCTCTCTACGAGTGTGTTTACTTGAAAGGGCATCCTGCCTTGACAACTTCCAACTCAGACGAGCCCCCAGGCTCATTTCACTCCAAAGACGTTTTCACACCACACCCCACCATTCCAGATAGATGGAAGTATGTTTCCAGATTGGATGACCGCATTACTCTTGTCAATGGGGAGAAAGTGCTTCCTCTCCCAATTGAAGGCTTCGTGAAGCAAGATCCTCTAATCCACGAGGCAGTGGTTGTGGGACTGGGCAGGACTGCACCTGGAATGCTGATTTTCCAAACTCAAGAAGTCGAAGATGCAGGAATCGAGAATGAGGAATATTTGGAAGCGATCTGGCCGACAATCCAGGCAGCTAACTTGCGTGCAGAGCGTTTCTCCCAGATCTCACACGACATGATTGCCATTCTTCCTTACACAGCCAAATTCCCTCGCACGGACAAAGGGTCCATGATTCGGGCTCAGGTTTATCTACAATATGCTGATTTGATTGATGATCTATATTCAAGATCAGAAGAGACCAGAGGAGTTCTCCAGCTTGGACTATCTGATACTCAATCTCTTCTGTTGCGACTGTGTCAGGAAGAATTGTGTATCTCACTTCCTTCTATTAACACTGATTTCTTTGTTGGGGGTATCGACAGTCTGAAGGCCATTCAACTACGTCGATTGATACTGCAGCACTTGAAGCTCGACAAAGATGCACTGAGCCGGAATGTCGTATACGAGACGGGCAATGTTGCAACTCTGGCAGAACACATCTTTTCCTTGCAGCGTGGACAGAGCGACACAGCAACCGAAAGTGATCACGCTTTTATGACGGGTTTGATCCAAAAGTACTCTTCATTCAAGAAGCATATCCCACGGCCAGCAATCGCCCCAAATAGCAAGGGAGTGGTAATTAGAACCATCGCAGTCTACATCCAGCCCTTTATCGCACAGTACTGACCCCAGAGTAGATTCTCACTGGCGCCACGGGGTCCATTGGTGCCCACGTCCTATATGAATTACTCCAAGATGACTCCATCTCAAGTATATATTGTCTCACCCGCCAAAGTCCACCATTGGAGTCAGTCTTGCGCAGCCTGGTCAACCGCAACCTCTTCATCACACCTATACAAGCCTCCAAAATCATCGCGCTAGTCAGCACCATCGACAGACCCAACTTCGGCCTCGACGACAACACCATCCAATGCATGCAAGACACAGTAACCCAGATAATCCACGCCGCATGGCCCGTGAACTTCAACCTCCCACTTACCCAATTCACCCCACACATCGCAGGAGTCCACAACCTCCTCGACTTCTCCCTCTCAGTGCACCGCCCCGAACCAGCCGTCATGCTATTCTGCTCCTCCGTCTCCACCGCACTAGCTTCACACTCCACCACAATCTCCGAAGAACCAATGACCCTATCCGACGCATACATGGGTTACGGACGGTCGAAGCTCGTCGGCGAGCACATCCTTAGCGTTGCACGACGCACCGGCGCGCGGTGCTATTCCCTTCGCATCGGACAAGTCTCGGGACACTCCAAAAGGGGACTGTGGAACGATAGCGAGGCACTACCGTTACTCATACGGTCTGCATTGCCGCTCAAAGCGCTACCCGATCTGGACTTGATGTGCTCCTGGTTACCGGTGGATACCCTTGCTGCAACGATAGTCGAGATTGGCCGGGCATGCTTGTCATCTTCTCCATCCCCTATCGCCGCTGATCAGGGACAAGCCCAAGGGGAGAGTGACACGGACAGTAATACCAGTGTCGATACGAGGTTGTTAGAGGACTCAATCTACAACGTGTGCAACTCGAGAGAGTTTTCATGGTCGGCATTGCTGGAGTCGCTACGACAGAGCGGCTTCCAATTTGAGACGGTGCCTTTTGACAAATGGATAGAAATGATGCGGGAGAGCGAGGCACGGGGGAAAGAGCATGTTAATCCGGCGGTGAAGTTGATTGGGCATTATGAAGCGATGTATGGAAAAGGGTCATTGCTAAGCTCTAAGAAGTTCCATACCGATCGGGCTGAGAGAGACAGCGAGACCCTGCGCAATGGGCGGTTGAAAATTGTCGAGGATGGAATTCTGAGTTGCTATGCTCGTGATTGGTTGACTCGATGGATGACTTCTTGAAATTGTACAGACTAGTAAATAATGTTTCGTTTTCAACTGTTCATGCTCATAGAATATTTTGCAATGGCACTCGATTTCTGTACTGAGACGTGATGACTTGAGACAAAAGTTCATTTCATGTATTCATAGAATTCTTGACTATCATTTGATATTCTAAAATAATCCAAAGGCTGCGCGGCATCTACGGACGGTAATAAGGGCCTATTATACATGGCAACGAAAGCAAGCAGATGATATCCTCCAAAATTGACCCGAATATGAAAGACGAAAGTACCAAACTATCAAACAGAACGCAAATTTTTAAGCCATCAGGGCGACAAGGAATGCTGCAATAATTGTCGAGAACTTCACAGAAGCCTTCTCGGCAGCACCAGTAAAGACAGGGCTGACAGCACTGCTGGTGCTTCCCTGGAAAGTGCTGCCCGAGGCCGCAGAGGCGGCAGTAGCAATAGCATTGGCGGAGCTGGTTTGATACGGCTTGGAAGTAATCCGAGCGCTAGCTGATGCAGCGGTCATTCCAGGGGCCATGATGATGGTTGGGAGTGGGCCATCCGTTGAGGCCACGCTTGCGGGCGCGCTGCTTGATGCAGCATCGGCATCGGTCAGTTGGCTGGATGTCTGGCTGCTCACGGCCTGCGAGACGGAAGCGGCAACGGGAGTTGAAGCGGCAGAGGCCTCGACTGCAGGTTGAGTTTGAACCTCCTGGACAGAGTTTGTAGCAGACGAAGGTTCTGAATTGGCGGACGCGGCAGTGGCGGGGACATTTGCAACATTGGAGTTATCAGAAGACGAGGCAGCGAGAGCCTTACTCTCTACAGCTGCAGCAGAAGAAGAAGCGGAGGCCTCAGCGACTGGGCAAAGTGTTGTGGTGGAAGTGACAAACTCGGTGACATATCGCGTGGTGGCGCTCTTCGTGGTCTGCTCACCGGCAGAGGAGACATCACTACCCAGCTCGCCAACAGTGCCGGCAGTGACGGCAGCAGCCCTAGATTCAGTGGAGGTAGAAGCAGCAGAGGCAGCGGTCTCCACCACGGCGGCGGAGGTCTGGGCAGTGGTTTCAGGGGCAGCCTGAGTAGCAGAGGCTTCGGTCACGGCCTGGGCAGCGGTGCCATGAGTGGAGCTCGTAGAGTGCGAGGTAGAGGCAACCGTCTTGGCAGCGACTCCAGTCTGGTAAATCTTGACAGATTTGATCTCCCAGTAGGTCTGCTCGAATGCGGCGGGGTTCTTGGCGACGTAGCTGATGCAGCTCTGCGAGGAATCCGAGCCGGACATAGGGCATCCGGACTGGCCGTAAACACCACCGGCCCAGTCACCACAGAAAGTAATGTCAAACACGAACGATTGAGCCTTGAAGCTGGTGGCAACATCACAGCCATCCTCCACGAGGGCCATGGGAGTGCCGAACTGGGAAACGTCGGGGGCACCCTTGGTGATGGAAGTAGGGATGGAAGCGCGGGGGAAGAACCAGATCTTGACGAATTGCTCGGTCCACTGCATAGCGTAGACACCGCCGCCCTGCTTGTTGAATGAAGTACCGTAGCTACCCTGTTGGCCCTCGATCACGCAGCCAACGGTGCCCAGATCCTCACCACAGCCAGTAGCATTGACAGAGCCAGTCATACCCGTGTCGGTGATACTGCAAGTACCGGCGGTGTGCATAACGATTTCGTTGTGATCCTGCAGGTTGACGCCCTCGATGATATCAATCTCGCCATCCGATGGCCAGTTCTTACCCACAGACCAAAAGGCAGGCCAGCTACCACAGATGCTTCCCGGCATGTGGGAAATATCAGCAATCACCAGGGAGTGGTCATAGTACTTCTTACTGCCGATGCGAACAGAGTCACGGCCCTGGTCAGTTGTTGAAAGTGTTGTGTTGTGGTCGACGCCAATATAAAAACTGCCGTCGTCATTAACCTTCACGAGGCCTGCGCTCTCTGCGCTAGTCTTGTCGAGATATGTGACGAATCCATTGGTAGGATCGGAGCCAACGTGGAAGTTGAAGTAGTCCAAGAAACTCTCGCCGTGCCAGTTCTCAACCAGTGAGTAACTCTCGGAAGCCGCCGCGACTGGCGAGGCGAGCAAAGCAAGGAACAGCGAACCAGCGCTGAGGGAAAGCGAGGAGGAAAGCATATTTTCCGTCGAGTGTAGAAAAGAGATGTAACGTTCAAAAAAGTGTAACTGCCCAAGCGAGGTGCTTGTTCGATAAACACACTATCGAGCGGCACAGCAGCAGGATGAGCAGAAAGAGTGGAAGGGAGCGAGGAAAGGGATATGGAAATAGAAAAGTAACGAAGGATCTAATCAAGAAAAAAAAATGATGAAAGAAAGGCAGACAATCCCAGATTGTCAACGAAAAGAATGAAGAAAGGAATGTGCGATGAGCGCGTGGAGGTGGAGGAAGAGGAGGGAAGCGCGAAGCAGCACCATCCCCAGGTATTTAGAGTCCCCGAGTGTTTGGAATTTCTTCCATATTCTTCCTCTTCGCTTGTCTGCCTCCTGGCAGGCAGACAATTCTCCACTTGCAAGCTTCTTTTTTCAGGCACTTGCCCTTTGTTTCAGCCAGTCATCGGCCAGAGCGAGTCTGGATGCCACCGGCCCCTGGCCGATACCACTTGTATGTGACGGGGGAGTTCATTGTCCAGACTCGCCACGGATGGTCCAACGGGCGTCGAGAAGCGGTCTCGCCCAGGGGGAAGATGAATCCACCGAGGTGCGCGATCTGCCATTCTTCACTGTGGGTGGATCCCAGCGATCACCAAGATATCAAGAGGCCGCGCGGTGACTGGCTCCAGGAATGGCGGCTAAGTGGTGGGCTGGGGGTCAACATGAAACGCGACTTGCTCGGCACGGAGGCACTTCAAACGGCCGGCGAAACAGAAGTCCCCTCCTTAGTCCAGCCATGAGCGTTGAAAGGGGAAGTGGTGTCCGAAGGCGATGGCGGTCGCGCTTTTGCGAAGATGTCTCTGAATCATTTTGTCAGTGGGAATAATGTGTTGTGTGAACAGTATGACCTCATCTCACATTCCTCATTCTTGCGGTCGTGTTTATGGTTGCGTAGTGCGACCGAGCCGTTGATCCGGAGATGGCGATCAACCGAGCGACGAGTCATGTTGGATGAATATTTAGGCCCGACTCTCCTCAGACCAAGCAACGGAGGCTAAAAAGGACCGGGTTGAAGAAGTTGATGGTGATTGGAGGGAGAAAGAGATGAAGCCGAATCAGCCGAGGGGAAACTCCCGTGGAGCAGCCTTGGCGTGGAATACCTACAGCATAAGATAAACAACAAAGAAGCTTTGTACAGACTCGAGTTACAAGGTAGCTATGCCTGTGTACTTGGTTCAAAAATAGCTCCAAATATTGTCTTTGAGTAATCTGTTTCTGATTATGCAGCCACATCGAAACTATGAGGTTCCATACAGAATCACTCATGTTCAAGCCCTCTGTCATAGCTACTACCTATTCTGATCAATTTAGGGGATTATACTGCAGTAATTTAACTTTCACGCTCAGTCAAACGCAGAGTATATACATATTATCCAGGTTGGTAGCTTCTCATGTACCATCGATCAACTGTAATGCAGAACCCCCAGAGACACCATCCCCAATATCACTTGGTAAATCATCCTCATTCCGGCCTTCATCCTCGCACCTCTCCGACGTAAAAGGTTTATGTCGCAACCTATCTGCTCCATTCAAAATATTCGAAGGGTCTATGGCTGCCTTCTCATCCTGGCCTGCAAAAGGACACAATCAGCTTACTCCGGAGAACACATACAATATTAAACATCCCCTACGGGACATACCAAGTTGGACCCCAGTATCAGCATAATGCGATACCATAGGATCCTCAAGATCAAGCCCATCCCCTAATACCGGAACCTCGGAGCCCTTCCGATCCCTCTTCCCATCCTTTGTAAACGTCAAATCAATCACACTCTTAGGAAGGGGCGACTCGCTCTCGCGGTCATAGATAATTTCCACCTCCGTCACGGCAGGTGTCTTCATGACGATGATACTTGAGCGGCTCAAATCTCCGATAGACTCGGAAATATCGCAAGACTTGCGAGGCCTGGAAGAATAGAGCTGATGTGATGCGATGATGAGCTGCCGGAAACTAGTCGCGCGGGATGGTGCGCCGGCGTGGGAGTATTTATACTCGAAGGCCGAAGTACTTGGATATGGCCACTGGAGGCGAGGCTGACATCAATTATGGCCGCACAGTCTGACTGATTGGTGCTTCTACGTTATGAAGCTGGCGGTTAGCCATTCAGGGCATTTCGATATCTACGGTCCCCTTTCCCATGTGGCGACGTATATCCACTTTCGAGTTCTATAAAATCCCCAAACAAGCTGGTAGAAATTCTCAAGATGAGCATCAACACATTCGAAATTCGATCCACTCGAGCGCACCTTAGTTCAATGTGTACCGAGATTTTACCATTCCCTATGCCGTACTTGTCTGTCGAATAATTTTAGGATTATCAGTCTCTCATGGGCATAGCTTGCCACTGAGGGCTTAATTTACATCATTTTACGGCAGCACTATGTACTCTCAATCCAAAAGTCGGAGCGCCACTCCGTACAATAGTAAAAGGCAACGTTCGAGAACAGTGTCACATTCAGGGGCGAGGTTATTGTTGTGGGCCTGTAACTTGAACCTTATTAAGCCATGAACCATACCTTTCTATCTTCTGATTCCGAGGTGGTATACCTTAGTGGATGGTGGATAGCCAGTTAAGGTTACCGAAAGTCTTAAAGAAAAATCGATTGATCGATGTGACCGACAAAGAGGTTGATATCGTCAACGTGTATATATATATTCCGGAAAGTCGCAAGAACCCACCCCCATCTCTATTCCATATCACCCTAGCGACACACAATCTAATCCAGTTGCGGGAGATCTTCAGGATCTGGCCATTTACGAAATAGATCCTGCAAGTAATCCACCGGCGCAGTCATCAGTCCCACGACCGTTTGGTAAGGAGGGTCGGGGAGATCGGGATGAGCCCGAGTCGGCGCAAACCATTTAGTCCGTCCGAACGACTTGGCGAGTCGCTTGCTCTCTTCGGCTGTGACGGCGCCTTCCAACTTGACAAGGTCTTTGTCTTCTTCGTCTTTGGCGTGGGATGCCAGATCATCCATGAGTATCGTTAGTGTTGGGATGAATCGAGGGTCGGAAGATTTGAGATCTTGGAAGACTTGGAGCTTTTCTTTGATCTGATGAGGAAGTGTCAATTTAGTTTCTGGATCCGTAGTGACGGGAGTAACAAAGGATAAGCCAGACTTACAATTTGATTCTGGCGTCGATCCTGAGTAGCTTCCCCAGGACCCAAATATTTGTCGAGCGCGGGGAACAGGACGAGCTCCTCACCCACGACATGCCTGGCGAGACCCCAGGTCAACTGATTCTGGAAACGAGTCTGCTCATCGGGATCATCGCTATTAACTAGATGATCATAGTAGGCCTGTAACTCGCGATGGTCGGCGCGGATGATATCGGTGAGGCGATTCATCGTCGAACCTGTCGAGAGAGCCCAAAATCATCTGACAAGGCGGTGGTGAAGGGATATATTTTCTCATCTTATCCTCTTCTTCCCACCGACTTCTAATAGCAAAATTGAAGTGACCATTACGTGCATACACCCTAGGGTTCCATGCAGCAGAAAATCCCCGAGGGATCGAGTTCCGGTGCAACAGCAGACGAGATCATCTGGTGGAGTCGGATGATCCGCCACGAGAGTCTACCGTCAAAGAGGGGGTCCCTTTTCACTACCGCAACTGACTGGGCACGAGACTAGGCGAAATGGCCCATACTTGACACTCGACAAGTCAACGAGCGATTTAAGGATTGGTCGCTTTTCGTCTTGTGTGTGGGGGTCTGAGAGCCCTGGGCTTGGGAATTTGGACTTGGAATTGCCAAAAGGAACGTTGTCAAGTTTGATCAACAAAACTCCCATCCGATCTTTCCTCTCCATTTCTCTCTTCCTTCTTTCCCTCCCCGTCCCTCATGGTCCCAACTCCACTGGCGTCGCGGCCTCATCACTATATCCTGCCTGAACCATGACCAGCTCATCGCGAGGGTACGTGACCTGGAATTCATCATCACCAGTGCAGCTCCCAAAGCTCCAGCACTAACCCGGAGGCCCTCGTCCGTCCTCCCACAGAAACCCCACGCGACCCCAGGATGACTCGCCCGGTCGCCAGTCATCATCATCATCGACATCTACTTCCCAGACCTCCAAACCCACTGCCCAACCACGACCCCAACCCATGAGGGACGGAGCTAGGGGCCTAACGACGGCCCAGCCGCCCGCAATCTCGCGGGGAATCTGCGGCCGCATCGCTCAGTGGCTGTGGCCCGGCGGGTGGGGACCGTCGTGCGAACCCACTGGTCTTGGCTCTGTTGGCTCTGGAACGAGTTCCCAGCAATCAGCATCACGCCCGCAGTTACATATCCAGCCCTACGCGAGCGCCTCGCTCGACTGCAAGGCCTGTCGCGAGTGGAATGTAGTTTGCGACCATGCCCGGCCGCAGTGTGAACACTGCTATGAGCAGCAGATTCTCTGCTTCTATGTCAATCCCGGCCAGAGGGCGAGACAGAAAACGAGGCGGCGTGGGGAAAATATAGCCGGGCAAGTGGCGGCCATCGCGGAGGAGCGTGCGCGGGATGCACCAACAGCGACGACGGTTTGAATATATTCAATGTGGTTGAAAAAAAAGACTCGATCTCTATGGACAGCAGCGAAAGAGAAGGCCTGGAAACTATTCTCTTACATGGCTGGAATTATGAGAACCAACTCTCATGCCGGAGAGCTGTTGTCCGTGGGGGTAGAGTATACGAGAGGAAACGAGTGCATAATTACTATCCGGCGTTGAAAACATGAATCAGTTGCATTTGAAGCGGATTCATGATATGAATGAGAAAAACGTTGTCACCGCTCATTCTCCGAGATAGATAAATCCCCCAATGTATGAGGGACTCGGAGCAGAGTCGTCCTCGGCGCGGATGAGCCAACGGCGGCGGTTACCCAAAAGCGCTTTCTCCGCCCACCGCCGGACAGAGTCCTCCGCTATGCACCATGAACCACCCGTGAAGGACTTGCAATGGATCGATTTCTTCTTCAAACTCGGACAACCGACCCGGATGAAGCCCGATGCAACGCCTCCGCAACTGTGAAAAATCGGAGCACTGTGACCCGAATTCGCTCCACCACGCTGTACATAGCGACCACAATGCCCGGATAGAAGGATGAGATTAGAAACAATACTCTCCTCTATAAAAGTGAAATCGCATGTGGAAATTCTATTTGCTATAGCCCTCTATTGAACATTGCGCGCCTTGCATTGAGCCTATTATCTTTTCTTGATACCCCGGATTCTAGATCTATATCTAGATTCTTATCTAACGACCTGACGACATACATTCAATCGAACAAGGTAGATACTCTCTCGAGCATAGCATTTCTTTCAATCTGAAATACATTCTAACATTCATGCAGATGGACTCTGAATACATCCGGCTGGCAGACACCATCCGCCAACAAGCCAACCAACACACCAAACCACGCTACCTCGTCGCCATCGCCGGCATACCAGGCTCCGGCAAAACCACCACAGCCCAAGCAGTAGTCCAACAACTAAACAAAGACCCAACCATTCACGCAGCCCTCCTCTCAATGGACGGCTTCCATTTGCCAAGGTCTGCACTAGACCAACTCCCCAACGCCAAAGAAGCACACATCCGCCGCGGCGCACCCTGGACCTTCGACGTCCCCCGCTTCGTAACATTTATGCACAATCTCCGGCACTGGTCCGACAAAACACCATTAGCAAACCCTTCATCAGGACCATGGCCCCCGACAGAAACAATCCAAGCACCCGCCTTCGACCACGAAGCCAAAGACCCCGTCGAAAACGGGATATCCATCACGCCAGACTCTAACATCATCATCGTCGAGGGCAACTATCTCCTCCTCGATGAGCCGGGGTGGCGCGATCTTGCGCATTTGGTAGATTATCGAGTCTTCGTTGATACGGATCTACAAGAAGCGCGGGAGCGGACGGCGAAGAGACATGTTCTTGCTGGGATTGAGAAGACGTTGGAGGATGGGTATCGGAGGGTTGATAGTAATGATTATTTGAATGGGGTTTCTATTCGGGAGAAGTTGATAGGGCCCGATTTGGTGGTTAAGAGTGTTGGTGTTAATGTTCATGGGGTGGGTTCTGCTGGTGGGCGAGTTATGGTATAATGTTGTATTAAGAGTCTGATGAATTACGAATATTTGGGGGGTATTGCACGCCCGGTTGTTTTCACTTTTGAATTTCTTGTTTATGGAATACATCTAGATCGATCAGACCAGCTGTCACGTAGACAAGATGAAGTGTTGAAAAGACTCACTGGGAATCTCTGGCATCCAACTCGCTCGGGCCTTACAAAAGAATTCTCCTTTGGGAGGCAACGCCTCGGTATCATCAAGAGATCCCACGCAAATATACCGGTAATGATCTTTCGCATTCTCCTGTCTCTCCTGTCAGCAAGCGTCTCACCGTAAACTACAGACTACAATATACCCCAAACTCAAGAATAAAACTGCCACAAGTATCACAGAAATGTCGATAAATATTGACCCCAGACCCGTTGTCTCCTGCATGTTCCTTTGGCTGGCCCTTGGTTAGGTGGAATGTATCTTTGGGTACCTTGGCTGTAAGGCCATAGTTTGTCCCAAATGCTTTCTAGTCATTTTAACTGCCAATCAGCAAATGCCATTCATAAATGAATTTCTTTCTAGATTGAACGTACCTTGCAGTTCCGGCAGTGACAGAGGGTTGTGCGTGCATCCTCTGCGGACTCTAGTCTCAACTCGTATTCGATTTTGCGGCAAAAGCAGGATCCTGTGTAGACTGGCATATTAAATGTAATCTCTTTGTCCTATCGATAAGTCACTTAGTTGTGTCTACAAAAGAAACCAGAGGTGTGCTATGAAGCCTTTATAGATCTTGTTGAACGGGTCGAGGGTAACTATATGACATATGACGTCATTTGTACTTCACAGGCTCTAGAGAAGGCAAACGATTAGAAGCAGCAGATCCCGATTCAATTGAAACAAGATCAGAAATGACAGAAGCTAACAGCAACCACAATTTGGACTAGTTTGTGCCAAATCCTACAACGAATTGCCGAGATCTTGACGTTATGTAGGGTCATGCAACTCGGGGGACTAGAATGTTCATCAAGTATTGTCTCTGCGCAAGAACACTTGATAAAGTCTGATATTTAGAAAGCATTAATAAGTTAGATCTGATCAAAACAGCCAATGCGGGGATCTTCATTTACATGACCTGTCAAACAAAGAAGATTCGCCGCTACCCCGCTGTGATGTGATTATGACACGGCACCAGCATTCGCCTCAAACTCTCTTTCCTCCCAGATTGAAGATCACCAACTCAAATTCCAGCGCAATCGCTAAACTTCCATCTTTGAATTGCACGTCACCATGTCGGACCAGCGATGGGGTAATAACACAGAGCTACAACACAGATCAGTTGTCTCTTCGTTTATTTTCTGCTTTACAGATGGAAAGCCTCAAATTGCTTTGTTTAAGCGAAGCGATAAAGTCAGCACTTATCAGTATGTGCTCTTATTCATAGCGACATGTACAGCCACTTCCCAGACTATCAACTAAACGGCAAAGGCATCGCCTCGCCCCCATCTCGGGGAATATAGACCAACCCGAATCACCCATCGCGGGGGCCTGGCGCGAACTGAACGAAGAAACGAGTCTGACGCAACAAGATATCGAACTGTGGCGCCAAGGGAAACCCTACACTTTTAGTGACCCATCAATTGGACGTCAATGGAACATCCACCCATTTGCATTCCGACTCAAACGCCGCGATGAAGGTGGTAGAGGCGAAGCCGCCATCAAAATCGACTGGGAACATGAGGAGTGGGACTGGTATAACCCAGAGGAAGTGGTAGATGAAGAAAGCTTCGGGGGCGTGCCCCGTCTGGCAGAGAGCTTACGGCGTGTCTACTTCGAATTGGAGATGAATGAGAAAGCCAGCGGTGCACTACGATCGGGTCTCGAGCAGCTTAAAACAGACCACTCGAGTGGATCACACGAGTTGACAACACTTGCCCTCAAGGCTTTCCGAGATGTTGTCGTACATCTAAAAGATGATACTGATTGGTGGAAGACTGCTCGCATGACTGCCTGGCATCTCTGGAAAAACGGGCGTGAAAGCATGGGATCGGCGACTCTAAATGCACTCCTCGGGGTTCTGGCTGATATTGATGATATCAAGATGCGAGAGCCCCAGAATCAATGGCATCGTATTCTGACCGTGTTGGATCACCACTTGGAGCGTCGTCGCGAGATGGCTTCGCACATCAAGGAAGCATTCAATGCCTATTTACATTCGAGCTTCCTGCCCAATATCCAGTCTCGGGAGAAGAACAGAATCACCATTCTCACTCTATCGGCAAGCTCAACCATCCGAGATAGTATCTTGGATGCCTTCATGTCGCTGCCCATGTCACACTTGGATCTACGGATACTCGAGTCAAGACCTCTCTTCGAAGGAGCAAGCATGGCTTCTTCGCTATTGTCGGAATTCGAATCAAAGTTCCCTCCTTCATCGGGCCAGCATCTACATATCAGCATCTATACCGATGCTTCAGCCGCACTTGCTGCAAAAGATGTGGACTTTGTTATATTGGGTGCAGATCGCATTTCCAGTTCAGGATCCGTCAGTAACAAGATCGGATCTCTCCCAGCTGTTCTCTGCGCCAAATATACAAGTCCAAAGGCCCGGGTTCTGGTCTTTAGTGGGTTGGAGAAAGTGGCAGAGCCTGGTGCTGAAGAGGATCATGAAGCAGAGGAGAATGATCCAATGGAGATCATCAGTCCGTGGGTGGATAGTGGAGTCAAGGCTGTCAACCAACTACAGGAAGCTATTGGAGGTAGTAAAACGGAGACTTCCAACTGCGTGGTGGACGTGAAGAATATCTACTTCGAGTGGGTAGACGCGAACATGATCGATGCCTTCATCACCGAGGAGGGAGCTTTGGGGGCAACTGAAATCCGGAAAAAGGCACTGGAAGTGAAAGAGAAGGTGGATAAATATTTTGGCTCTTTCTAGAAAAAGGCATGAGGATATCGCACTTCGCACTTTCCATATTGATGAACTGGAAAACGCCAGCTCCGACATCATATCCGGTCAACCTCGCAGTAAACAACACACATCCTTCCTTCTTCTCTCCTCCCCTCCTCTCCAACTCTCTCTTCTTCACAGCCATCCAACATTCAATAGTCCAGACATGTTTTCCGTCATATCATACGACCCGTTCGGTCTCGGCATGCATCGGTTCGCATCACCGATGACCGGCCTGACACTGGAGTATATCGTCTACAATCCCGTTGGCGAGAACCTCGACAACGTACGCCGCAACTTCATCGTGGTCCAGTGCCCCGGTTGGGGTATCGGCTCCTCCTACCTCCAACACGGTCTCTCCGACCTCTGGGCTCCAGCCCCGACAGAGTCGAGCAACACCCCATCCACCACTTACACTGTCGTCTTTCTCCACCCCCGTGGAACGGGATCCTCCGGTCCAGTCACTTGGAGCCACACATTGAGCACGATGCCAGACATGTGCGCCGATCTAGAAGATCTCCGAGTCCATCTGCGAGTGGAACAGTTCCCCGTATTGATGGGCCACTCCAACGGCGGTGCCATCGCTCTGGGCTATGCAGAGCTGTACCCAGATCGCGTCCGCAAACTCATCCTCGTCCAGCACCAGATCATCGGCATGGGGGATCGCCAAAACGAGAAAATAGAGGCAATGAGAGAGGATCCCCGGTACGGCAGAGCGTTGGATAACCTCGTGGGTCGATATGCGGATACAGACGAAGGATTGACCGAGTCAGTCAATGCACTTTGGCCTCTGTACTTTCATGATCCGACAAAGTACATCGATGAATTCCTGTACGCCGTTGGGGATCAGAAGTTCCCCGTGTTCACATATCGCTACCAAGCACACTGTGATGAGAGCCTCAACAGCCCGACACAGATGATCAATGGCCTGAAGTATGTCCGGGCCAAGACGCTGGTAATCTTTGGAGAGGATGACATGATCATCGGGATGAAGATCGCTCGCCGTACGAAGGAGGATATCCCCGATGCAAAACTGATCGCCTACAAGGAGTGCGGTCACTTTCCGTGGGTGGAGCAGAAGGAGGAGTTTATGAAGGATGTCCGGCTATTCATCGAAGGTTCCCAAAACTGAGAAGGGAAACATGATAGGTTCATACCATGCAAGCAAAGGAGGAAGCAACTGTACATGTTTGTGAGAATTGGCAGAAAGACTGTCCTTTACTGTGCATTGAATAATCAGATTCATCATGTCCGTACAAAAAGAAAAGTAAATGACACGCCAAAAGTAGGGCTGACGGCCTAGCATCATCAAACCCCGGGACCTCCAACAGGACAAAAGAAAGCTGTAAAAAACGAAAAAGAACAATCATCACAGACCCAAACACCGAGGCAGACAGAGGACAGGATCGTAAAAGACCTCTGCCTCCCTCAAAAGAAATGAAACTCGCAAACAGGTATATGCAGAAGGGAAGAAAACAGGAGGTATCATCATATTCAAGAGTCACGGACACGCGCCTGTCGCTTAGCTGTGCCGATATGGGTATTGTGCACCTTGGTGGCAAACTTCAAGCTTGTCAGAGTCTCCGAAAGGTGAGCCTTTAGCGGGCTGACCATGACAAACATGAGCGTTTTGGAGTTGCCGCCGAGGGAGAATTGGAGGAGGTAAGTCAACTAGAGACGAGTTAGCATGCACAGGTACTAAGATGGCGTATTGTTAGATTTCGGTGAAGCAAACCTTGCTGTTGCGGTATGGGATATGTCCACCATCTTTGCCCTGGCCGAGGGCAGCAATCACATCACCGAGCGAACTCAGACTACGATTGATGTTTTGAGTCTCTTTGAGACGCTCTCCCGTTGCACCACTGTGGCTTAGGCGTTCACTTCCAGCCAAATCGACCAAGTTAAGGGTGCCCTCACTGCGCTCTCCAGTGATGTGGTTTTCACCAATCAGCTTCAGAATGAACACGGAGTGAGACCGCGAGGAGCGCTCGTTCGCCTTGGTAGCGGCAACCGAGCGGTTCGCAGCCGCACTCTTTAGAATAGACTCGACCATCTCGGGCGAGTCCAGGCGGACAGTGGTGATATCTGTGATGAAGGTCTTGCCCCGTTGCATGTCATGGCGAATTTCATGCTTCTTCTTGTCGAGTTCATCCGGGTTACCAAGCAGGTCGTTCAGGTTCTCATTGTAAACCTCGACAAAGTTACCCTCCATCGTGTATCGCCAACCCTTCTCCTCCAGACTTTGAGCAGTCTCGTAGATTTGGTGCACGGCAAGAGGAATCATACCGTCCTGTGAAGACATGGTATGGGTCTTACCACTGCCCGTTTGACCGTAACAGAAGATGCACACGTTGTAGCCATCCAATGCACTCTGGACCAACTGACTGATCTCATCAAAGACCTCGTTGTTTTGCGTTGAGGGACCAAACACCCGATCAAAGGCGAAATTATTGTTCTTGCGAGAAACTGTGCCCAAGCTACTCTTTTCCTCGGGGCCCATGATGTTAATCTCCTTGGCATCTTCCGACTCGTCCGGGTACTGCATCAGAGCGATGGCAGTGGGCGGTTCACTGTTGAGAGGTGGTCGGACACGACAGAAAACGCGAATATTGCCTTTGAGCTCCTGCACTTGATTATGAAGTTTTCGACGAAGGGTCTCTTCTCTCCGCAATTTCTCCTTGGTTGCCTCTGTCTCGGCGAGAGCATCCATCATTCTCTGATTGCATTGCTCAAAGGCTTGGGATTGCTCTTCTCGGCCACCCTCCAGGAACTCGATGCGGGCCTTCAAGGCTCGGATTGTAGACTCCAACGTAACACTATTGGTGCTGGCGGTATCCAAGTTGTGTCGAAGGTCGTGGGTCATCTTTCGTTCGCGTTCCAATTCGGCTTTCATGCATTGAATCTGAGCCAGTGCAGCATTGATCTCACGGGTCTTGTTATCCAACTCGATTTCTGATTTTTGAATGTCCAAGGCTGATTTCGAGCTCAGCTGGCCGAGTTCTCGGACCCGCGCCGCTTTTTCATCTGCGAGTTCGCTTTCAAATTTCCGTTTCAGACTGCGAATCTCATCCTGGTGACGATTGTTTAACGCTTCGACATCTTTCGTGCCCTCTTGTCTGATTGATTCCATCTCTATTCGTTGGCGTCGGTCCAGGTCGTCCATGGCGATTTCTTGATCTCGCAGGGCCTCTTTCAATGCGTCCTCGGCTGCGCTTAATTGGTGGTTCAATGATTCCATTTCAACCCGCAGCTTCATGTTAGTTTCGTTTAACCCATCTCGAGAAGCCTCAAGTTCGGTGACTAGACCTTGTTGTTAGAACTGGGAGTACCACGGAGAATATCCTCTCCACTCACTTCTGGCTTTGTACACCTCCACAGCCTCTTTCAGGCCTTGGCTTTCTTGTCCGGACTGATTGACGCGCGAGAAGACACGAGCCATGATTTCCTCCATGGTCTTTTCTTTCATCTCTTGGTCCCACTCGGAATCTAAATGACGGTTAAAATTTGTTACTGTGGATTCTTTGGAGAGAAACAATGGAATGGGGGGCCTTTTGGACCTCCTTTGCGGGGAGACGGAAGCCGGTTGAACGGGCTTGGATGGGGTAATAATGGGAACTCTGGATCGCTGGCCCGGTCTAGCTGGGGTAGATTCCTTGGCACCAGCATCACTTGCGTTTCCACGGATGGGTAGGCAATGAGAAATAGGCGGGGAGGCTTCATGCATATTCATCCTTGGGGCCTCCAGCGCGGAGGGATTCTTGTTCATTCTCCAGGTTGATGCTGAACGAGGTCCTCCGAGGCTGGAGGTATGCATGCGAGGGTCCGGAGGTCCAATGGGGCAGGAATAATTGCGAGAAGGGGAGAGGATTGACAGTTGCATACCCTTGCGTTTTCCAAGTACACTTCCTGCATTATCATCGCCGTGGTGATCTAACGAGGTCGCAGGGCGCGCCATCGACATCGAGGAGCCGTGGATTTTGCGAGTGCCAAGGGAAGTCTGTGGGCGAGACATCGCGGATGCAGGGCGCGAGCCGTATCCCATCGTGCTCGAGAGGGTGCCGTTGTTCGGTCGGGAGGTGGTCGAACCGGGTCGCGACATCGTGGAGGAGGCGTAGGAATTGCCGCGAGCGTGCGCCTTGGGTGCGCCGACCATTGAGCGGGTGAGAGGTGGCTGTCTCTTCGTTTCGGCGGCACTAGGTGGTTTCGTTCGGGTCGCTAAATAGCAATGTCAGTGTCTCGCGCATCGATGGTCTTGGAAAGCGCAGATTGGGCTGTACGGGAAACGGCTTTGTTTGCGATGGTTCCTGGCGGCAGGATGCCAGACATGCCGGACCGAGCATTGGTTGTCGCAGGATTCATCTCTCGAAGGCCGACTTGTGGGATGCGCGACCGAGTCGACGCTCGGGGCTGGGTCTCCATTGCGAGTCAGTAAACAGAATTGCGACGAGATGTGGGCGGGGTTGTTTACCATGTTCTCGTCGTCCATCGTCGGGTTAGTGGCTCGCCAGGTTACCGGCGAGTATAGTATCCGGGCGAGAAGGGAGAACTCTCGTCCAGCCACGGTCTTTGGTGTCAATTGACGATTCGGTGGTTCAAGATGAAGGTGCAAAAGAGGTGAGCATGCCAGCGGAGAGTATGGGAGCTCCGGTTTCTGTAGAGACGACTGGTAAACAAACGCTGAGTCAGCTGACCTGTCGTTTCTATTTTGGGACTAGCCGCGGATGACAATATCACGTGAGTCCTGGTATTACAGGGACAGATACCCGCACGTGAGCCAGTTGGGATGAAAGAAGCCTGATGCGCTGTTCAAGAGGGGAGATCCAGTATATTTCTCAATCCTGTCAATTGCAACTCCTCAATCTAGTAATATCCAAGTTTCCGAAAAAAAGTGTCAAAAGTGACGACATCATATTGTTGTGGGAGCCAATTTGAAGCATCGCAAGCGCGGACTCCACTCGGCCCGCTCGAAACACCCCCAAAGCCCCATTTCCCGCATTCCCTGGTTGTTCGCGGGCAAACTGGCTGGGTCTTCTCTTACAACCTTCACTCCCTAGTTCTTTGTACTCCCTTTCTCTCCTTTACGGCTCTCGGCATCGATCATGTCCGGCCGGTTTGTGCGTTCCTCAAAGTATCGTGAGTATACTGTGATCTGCATCCTAATAGCTTCCCCGCTGACCGTTGCGAAACCTGACAAGGCCACGTCTTCGGGCGTTCGACGAGAAAGGTACTCCTGAAACCCCGTTCCACTCGGCAATGACCATCCTACTGACACTCGGAGCAGGAGCAATGCTACGATAATCTTCGGATCTCGCGAAATGCCTGGGACACCAACCTAGTCAAGGTGCGTCGCTTGTCACCCTATGCCACCGCCCCTGACATTTCGCCGCAACAATCCTCGATCTGACATATTGCGATACAGGTTAACCCGAAGCACCTTGCGGTCAATTGGGAAGCTGGTGGTGGTGGTGCTTTCGCCGTTGTCCCTCTCGAGGAACGAGGCAAGCTTCCAGAGCGCATCCCTCTGTTCCGTGGTCACACCGCAGTGGTTCTCGACACCGATTGGTAAGGGATGCGGTTTCGAGGAGATGGAGCTCACAAAAACTGACTCTTCCCGATAGGAATCCTTTCGACGATGATCTGATTGCCTCTGGTTCCGACGACGGAAAGGTGATTTTTCTCATGACAATTTGCGGGAACTACAGCTGACACGTTGCTAGGTCTTCCTCTGGCGGGTTCCGGAGAACTTCACTGTCCGTCCCGATGTTGATGCCGACGATATTCAAGACATTGCCCCCGTGGGCAAGCTCGCCGGCCACCCAAAGTACGAAATACCAACCCCATCTTGCGACACTAGGGCACAATACTAATACCTTATTTTTAACCCCCTGCAGGAAGATCGGCCACGTGCTCTTCAACCCCGCGGCGGAAAACGTGCTGGCAACGGCCTCGGGTGACTACACTGTGAAGATTTGGGATATTGAGGCGGGTGCCGCAAAGCTCACCCTGAATGTTGGTGACATTGTCCAGTCCCAGTCGTGGAGCGCCAACGGCTCCCTGCTGGTGACTACCTCCCGCGACAAGAAGCTGCGCATTTGGGATGTCCGTCAGGAACGGCCCGCGCATGAGACCAATGGACACTCGGGAGCCAAGAACAGCCGTACCGTCTGGCTGGGCGAGCGCGACCGGATCGCGACCACTGGTTTCTCCAAGATGAGTGACCGTCAGCTGGCTCTCTGGGATATCCGTGCCGTCCGGGAACCCATCAATGGCTTCAAGACCTTGGACTCGATCTCGGGTGTCTGCATGCCCTTCTGGGATGAGGGTACCAGCTGCCTTTACCTGGCTGGACGAGGGTGAGTGGATACAGCTCCGCGTGTGCTTCCCCAATCTAAATTGTTGACTTTTTTTCTACAGCGACGGAAACATTCGTTACTTTGAGCTGGAAAACGATAAGTTCGAGTTCCTCTCCGAGTACAAGTCCGCCGACCCCCAGCGTGGCGTTGCTTTCATGCCCAAGCGCGGTGTCAATATGCACGAGAACGAGGTGACCCGCGCCTTCAAGACCGTCAACGACGGCTACATCGAGCCCGTTTCTTTCATCGTCCCTCGTCGGTCCGAGAACTTCCAGGACGACATCTACCCGCCCACCTTCGGTTTGACTCCCGCTATGAGCCCGTCCGAGTGGTTTGCGGGTAAGGAGGCCATCCCTCCTAAGATTTCCATGGCTAGCCTTTTCGATGGTGAGGGCTTGAAGGAGGTGTCCGGCGTCCAGGAGAAGCCCACTGGTACTATTGATGCCCCTGCCCCTAAGCCGGCCGAGCCCGAGCCCGTTGCCCCCAAGGCTGCTCCCAAGGTTGTCGCAGAGCCCACGCCTGCACCTGCCCCGTCTATGAAGGAACAGGGTGCCTCGATGGCTGCCATGGTGTCCAAGTTTGCCGATGACGAGGAGGTCGAGGAACCCGTAGACGATGCCTCCAGCTTTGAAGAGGTCCCCAAGCCCACTGAGCGCCCCACTCGCTCTGCTGCAGCCGAGTCTTCTTCTCCTCGAGTCAGCAGCCCGCTGCGACCAAAAGAGCCCGAGCCTGAGGTCAAGCCGCAGTCCCCCGTTGTTGTAAGTGAACATTTCCCCTGTAATCGCGATTCGGAGACCGAGTATTGACCGTCTTTCCTTTCTTAATAGGCCGCCACCCCCTCCTCACCTGCTAGCGAGTCCAACGTCCAGATCAGCGCCGTCGACAAGGAAATCGAAGATATCAAGAACATGCTCGCTCAGCAAGCCAGGGTCATCGCAGACCAGACCTCGCAAATCCAGAAGCTGACTTCGGAGATGGAATCCCTGAAGAGCAAGCTGAACTGAGGTGGGTAAATTGTGAATTGTGACTAAATATGTGCAAAAGGGAAGGTTGTAGTGTCCATTTGGTGCTTGGACATTGGAGTCACTGTGGGCATTGGTGAACATACATGCATGTGTACATATCATGCCTGGTGTCTCGGGGAAGACTGAGAATGATGGATGCGCTACGGCCTGTGGATAGGTAGTCTTGTTTTTTTAGCGGATTTGTCAATATATTGGTTGCCAAAAGCAGATTTTCTGGTGATACCTAGGTAAGAATATCTTTTTAATTCTATACCAGGTAAATGGAATTGTACAAAAATATCATTCCTTGGGTTGATGACTCCACCATGAAACCACTTAAAGTTGGATTCCGCACCGCTCGGTGCGTCGCCCAATGGCTGGATATATATATCGGTGCATCCACCTATCGCCTCCATTATCGAATAGATACATAACATCGATAGGACCTAGGATCCAATTAACTACATAGAGGTTAACTCTTCATTCAAATCTAAATGGCGCAAGTACTTGGACTTGAAGCTTGAGGAAAAGACTTACCCAGTAGACATCAATCAGTGCCCATTCATACTGGTTCGTTCACGTGACTCTTATAGCTCTCCATAGGTCACGTGACTGGGAGGGTCTAGACTCTTGAGACTGTGAATAATTCATCTTCATTGCCAGGTAGAATTCAATGGATGATTAATAACGGGTACTCTATTTCAATGGTCTGGAAGGTGCCATCCTTTAGACTTCACATTCTTGCTGATTCTCGGGTCGGCGACTCAAGCCGGGCAGCGGGGACCATCTTGTCGGGCACTCGGCCAGACTCTGGTTCCCACGACCAGAGTTAAGGTTGACCATATGACCTTGAAGCCCGATGGCCATTGGAAACAGCATAACCCCGGCCGAAATAGGTTTAGAAGGCGATAAAAGGTCTAGATCGCCATATGATGTCTCATATCTCTCCTTGAATAACCGCCACTTAGGTATAAAACCGAGCTTTTCGCAACATTTACGCAATATAGATCTAGCTTTGTCTCTGCAAAGCAATAAGCTCATCCTGGGCCATTTCTTGCAACCCATTTCAAACATGGAGCCTATTATACATACAATCTTCGAAAAACAGACGGGAACCTGGCAATACATCGTGGCCTGCCCGAATACTCGTCAAGCAGTCATCATCGACCCAGTACTCAACTTGAGTCTGTCAGAATTCAAAATCACAACTACATCCGCCGACGAGCTTCTAGCAGTCGCAGAAACCAACAATTACACCATCACACGTCTTCTCGAGACACACGCCCACGCAGACCACCTCACGGCTGCATTCTACCTTCAACAACGCCTACTCGCGCAAAATAAACCCAAAGCCCTCATCAGCACGGGCCGGCGCATTCGACAAGTCCAGGAGACATTCGCTGCCAAGTACGCCGTTCCCAACGCAGAACTAGAGCAAGCATTTGACCACCTCTTCGATGATGACGAGACATTCACCATCGGCGATATCACCGCCCAAGTGCTTCACCTGCCAGGCCACACACCCGATCACAGCGGGTACAAAATCGGCAGCAATGTCTTCACGGGAGACTCCATCTTTAACCCCGACGTGGGCAGCGCGCGATGCGATTTCCCCAATGGCGATGCAAATGCCCTGTACAACTCGATGCAGAAACTACTAGCACTACCATCTCACTACAAGTTGTACACGGGACACGACTATCCCCCCGCAGACTCTGGCCGTGAGCCTCTTCCATTCGTGACGGTTGCAGAACAACTAGAAGGGAATAAGCATGTGAAGAAGGGGACCACTAAAGAAGAATTTGTTGACTGGCGACGAAAGCGCGATGCGAGCTTGAATGAACCGCGACTTTTGCATCAGGCGTTGCAGGTCAATATTCGAGGGGGTCGGTTCCCGGAGAGTTCGGATGGGAGTCAAAGGACGTTTCTTCAGGTGCCCTTTCACATTCCTCAGTTTCGTTGAGTTGCAGTACCAGCCCAGATCGGGAATTTAGTTTAGCAGATCCAGAAATTGGAAATCAGGGCATTCTTAAATATTGAATTGAATCAAACCTATTACCTACTTCCAATTATCAGTCTTTGCCCAGAGTCATAGCATGGACTTCGGTATCAAATATACCCCATGAATACTCCCGCCGCACTTTGATTCACTTGAATATCAAGAACCATAACTAGCTTATGGAGAGAAGTCAAGACATTCCTCTAATCAATACATATGTACAATCCCTCTCATTCATCAAAGATTCCACTCAAAAGCCCTGAGAAATCAGGACTCTGTAACCATCATACCTTCATTCTCAGCCCTCTTACTCCATTCGCTCCAACTCCCATCATAAAGTCTCGTCCTAATATTCAAACCGCTAGCACTCAATGCCAAATCCAGTCCCGCTGCAGTAACACCGGTATTGCAATACAACACAGTCGGCACATTCTCTTTCACCCCAGCCTTGTTAAATAGCTCCGTGAGTTCTGCCGGGGACAAAACCTTTTTATCGGGTCCCAGCAACGATGAAAAGGGCACATTGATTGCAGACGGGATATGGCCCACCGGCAAGGCCGATGGCTCAGGATCGGGTGGGCCAGAGAAGCGTGCACTGGGTCTTGAATCGATGATTTGGACCTGTTCCGTTTGAATCGGGTCTGCGATGATATCGCACACTTCTTCGAAAGAAATGACATTCCTCGATTCGGACACTTGCTGCTCGGGGTATGTCACTTTCGTCGTGGAGCTGACCGGCGTTGATACCTTCCCAGTGACAACGGGGAACCCCTCTTCGACATAACGGGGAAAAGTATTCAAGACATGAACGGCTCTGTGGCCGAAGTATTGGCACGTCCATGCCACTCGCGGAGAGGAGTAGAACCCCGGTTCCATCGGATCATAGACGACCAGGACATCGTTTGGGGTGATTTGCAGCTCAGACATGTACTTGGCAAACTGGGTTGGTGTGGGTAGCATCATTGGATACCGGGAAGTAGTGTCTCTGATTATATCCATGTTGAAGAATCTAAAGCAGTGTTAGAATTGGATTATGAGCCATGGTTGTGGGGTGGTATCATACACAGAATCTGGTATATGTTGCGATTCAAAGGATTGCATCGACGAATTCCTCCCCGCAGTCAGGGGAATCACCCGAAAGGCACTCGAAGAGTCGGACAAGGCATTATGCAATTCCGCTGGCGACACGAAGAGCGACGAGAATGGTGTTGAGGAACTCATGGTGGTGATCGTGTATCTCAGTAGATCTATCTGGGCGAGATAGATGATAAGTACGTCAAAATAGTTCCGGCGTTTATTTGTGGGACCAGCGGAAAGACGAAACGCGATTTGGCCCGAAGATCGCCGTTTAAACGGACTCCAAGGGACCCACTTGGTCGCCGAGGGAGTCAGGGACATCGGATATTGATCATCGAGCAGCACAATATTTTAGTAGTTAAGTCTTAGTATATTGATAAGATGAGTCAACTATATGGCCGAGTCTCGGTCTTGCATTAGACAAATCCACGCTGTTGCAAAGGATCATAGGCCGGCTGAATTCCACCCAAGCTCCGCACAAGGCGATCTTATATACTTACTCTATTCTCGTTCTGCAATGCTAAGGAAATTTTTGTAACGCAACTCTATCTTACACGTGATGATTCAAATGTTGTCTCTGTCAGATCAGTGATACAAAAGCCTCCAGAACTGCACAGATCACATATCACAAAAATGAAACACCGCAAGTTGGATCGATAAACTCCGACAGCAGCCTTGAAGAGAATTGATCATTCATGGACTCGTCATCCATCGGAAGATAAATTGCACTCTCCTCGATGCTCGTGTTTGGCCGAGGTTCTCCCTGTGCATGGGTGGGCTTCCTCTCGAAGGGCGAATATTCCGACGAAGAAGTAACCACTTGCGCGGCTGCATTCCTCAAATGAGCATGAGCCGTTTGTGCTAGTGACCACTTCGCCCGAAGCAACTTAAGACATCCCAGTACGAGGACGATTCGATTTTGATGGTGATCCGCGCAAACAGCTCCGTGGATCTCCGTGGCTGCTAGTTGGACCAGACCACACAATATCGCAACGAAAACGATACCAGGACTATATCCCCGGGCGTCCGAGCGGACGGAGAGTAAGTTTGATAATTTCTTGGACGCTTCCATAGCTTTGACATCGTGGACATGACGGGTTAAAGAAGGAGAGAGACGAAATGGTGTGACCGGGCAAATAGAAAACATCGAGTCGGGGAATCGTGGCCGGATATTACTCCGGGGTAAATGGAGGAGCATGGCCGCGTATTGAATTGTGCAATGAGCCTGGAAGAGCATTTCATCGATCGTCCCGTACATATCCACGATCTCAATCTTCTGTGGCGGGAGGTGATGTATCCAACTGACGAGCGTGTTTGCCACGGCTTGTAAGTGGTCGTGATGTGTCTCGGGCAGGCCATTGAGGACAACTACCCGGGCAAGAATGCGGGCTGCTTCGATGCAATATGCGAAAGAGGAGTAGTGGCTGATATCTTCATCCTCCGTGAAGATTCGCGATCGAAAGGCAGCGAGAGACTGCGGCGGCGGTATCATTTCGAGAGAGGAATATGCAGACTCTTCACAGGGCAGTTGAACATCGGAAAACACATCGCTACATCGAAGGTGGATCTTTTCATGTAAGGTGCCCACGTAGATCTCCCAGATGAAGAGACTCCACCATGTACGTCGCAAGCTTTCCGCTTCATGTTCTCTGCCAGCCCCGGCCGTGATCACGAATTCCTCTCGATGCATCCCCAGTTCCAACGCAATGTCGATTGCCTGCGTCAGGGATGATTCGGCCTGGGATGTTTCGTTGCGGGCACGCATAATAATCGAGTATAATAGCAGTGCCTGCACCATATGTGGGGTTCGTTCCGCGCTACCATTGAGAATGAGAAAGGTCGATTCGTGCAAAATATCATTGTCCAGAACCACAGAGTAGTGACTTCCAATAAACTTGACTACCTGCTGCAGATATGGGGGATAGTCCCATCGCTCATACAGAGTCGCCGGCACGAGGATGGGGTGTGCAGCGTGGAAATGTTCATAAAAGAGGCGCACTAGCCGAGCCTCCGGGACAATAATGGCATCGGATGTAGTTTCTTCCATTGCAGGCATCTCCGGATGATTTGCGTCAGGTGCATGACGGATGACGCCTCTCATTTGTGACTGGTCTGTTGTCCTAATTGCTGGCAGATATTGATTTTGGGAACTCGCGCTAGCATTGGTGACGGACACTCCGCGCGGGATCTTGTCGAGCCTCCGCCTGCCACCTCGACGAGATGGGAGAAACACGCAATTGATCTGCGCTGCCGCGCATCGCGAGCAAGTGGGCCTTTTGGCATCACACTTGATATGATGTTTGCGACATTCGATGCAAGCGAGGGATGAAGGGCGCGGTTTGGAATTTGAAGTGGAATTGGAGGGAGATAGTGGAGTTGGCATCTGGCCAGGCTCTCGGGGAGTAATTAGTGGAAAATGGGAAGAAGGGGCTTCCGTAATAGCGATGGATAAGGTCTGGCCGTATGTTTGTACTTTGATCCATGTGGATTCGAGAAGTATAAAGGAAAAAGAAATGTGGCTCGCGTCACCGTCGAGTCATTCGGGGACCACTCGGCAGATCAGCCGAAAGGAAGTCCCCGAATCATGTGGGGGGCCTCGGCGACCCACTAACTGTGTATAGTTTGGCACTTCTTGTCTCTAGATCATTGTATATTGTAAAAATTACAAACATAGATCTGTCTAGATTTTGGAATTGATTATGAAAAGGACTCGAAGAGTACCTAGTATGTTTTGTGTTCATCACTGATGACACTCGAGTAACTGATCGTACCATCCAAACAGATCTAGCGGGGTTGTTTATCGTAGTTCTATTTCAACCCTGCATCAGTGGTGCGCCACCACGAACCCCTGCTAGGAGAACTATCAGGCCTGTCGATTTTTGCCTCTGCATATACCCTAACCTCCAGACTTGGACTGTAACAGTACGTATCTTGAACTACTCCATCTTCATACGCAACCTATATGCTACGTAGCTCCAGATCGCCATGACAAGCCTAAGAAAGGGGGTCGTTTCAATTTGCCTTTTCGGGGCACCAGAAAATAGTACGGATGTGTTACTTTCACATGAAAATACTTAACAATAAGCACGGGATAGAATGAACTAAGTCTACAGCGCTTCTGTATCTACTACTTTACACAGAGAACGTCCTTAGACTCTAGTGCACTAATACTCAGGGCAATGTCTCCTATTCAAAGCGCCCAAAAAGGGTTCGCCAACTCTAAAAAAAAGCTCTCAATAGCTAAACGCCTAGAAATGCCACCAGAGCACCGGCCGAGTATAGAAAAAAGACTATGACCAATTAATCGAGCATCAACAGTAGCTATAGCAGAAGACCTGAGTTTCAATCGCTGCGTGTCAGGTCTGTCAAGCAGGTCCGGTCTAGAAGGGCCGCAAGTGTGTCCTACTCCGAGGTGGTGAAAGGAGGAGCAGCAGTCCAATCGTAAATAGCAATGAAAGGTGGGAAACACGCTCTTAGCTTCTACTCCTTTCTCCATGTTAGAGTACCAAAGCGCTTCATCGCTAGACGTGTATGGAGTAGGTGTTGTTGAAACCACCCTTCTGCACTCGTTTTCAAGAAGTCACTTCAAAATATCAGTGCGACAGAACTATGCTAGCTTAAGCCTCTTGCAACAATCGCCTCTGCTTCGCAAGCTTCCTCCGAAGGTAACCCGTGTAGCAGATTAATATCATAAATCCAAGTGACACGTAAAATGTCATCGAGAGAAATCTTCCATCACAAACTTTGTCGTCGTCGTTCCAAAAATTGCATGTGATAAGCGAGCCAAAGAGCAAGACGCAGACTGCGAGAAGAGATCTAATTTCATTAGCTCGATAGTCCGCACATAGACGATGTACACATATTTCTCACTTGAAGAAGTGTCTAACAAATGGTACGACGAAAAGTCTGACAATAAGATTGTCAGGATAGGCGTTCGCGATCTCAGTAAGGCGATTTGGAAACACGGCATCGTCTAGCTCTCTGCGAGGGGATGTCGACTTAGGGTCTTGGGGACCAGCTTTTTCCATGTTGATCAATAAGAAAAGTAGGTAAACTTGAATGATAGACCCGACAACTCGTGTAATGGAATAATTAGAGGGGGCTGAAGGGAATAAAAGACTGAAAGCAGTGAGGGGAACAGAGTCTAGTAGGTTGTTACAACGAAATTTCCAATACTAGGATCTATTAGGCCATTCGAGGCGGGGCGGTCCACACCGCCAAGTCAACGAACGAACCAGATCTTCCAGCACCCTACATATAAAACACAGCCATTACCAATTTACTAGGCCTGAAAAGTAATCCCCACAGGCGAATAGGCAACGACGTAGGAGCAAGCGGAGCCAATTCGGTATTATTGAGTTGATTGATTGAATAAAAGAACGAATATCATGGGGCAGGTTGAATGACCCCATAGCCGGCTAGATACACGGTGTTACGACAACCGCAATGCAGAAGATACAAAATTACTGAACAAAACACAAAGAAAGCTGGGTCACTAAGTTACCGCTCGAGTCTTGACAAGTTAAAAGCCCATCAGGCCCATAGTATCAATAGGGTAGTATTGGCAAGCGAATTCCTGGCGTCTTGGCTCATTTTGTTTTCTCGGATATCTCCGCAACAGCCCACATCCAAGCTTGATAAATTAGTACCCCTCGGATAAACAGCACGGCACTAAAGACTTTTGAGTCTCCAGTACGAACCCTACTGGCTCTAATGTATTCTTGGCAAGACCCTTCCATCGACCTAAATTTGTCCTAATAGATAGTCTGATTTTTAGCATGGAGTTAGTAAGACATGGGCCACTATTTACGCAAATTTTCGCCAGGGTCATCGATGATCCTCTCGTAGGGTCTGCCATAGTCTTCGAGGCAGATGCATATGTAGGATATCAGAAACCGTTGATGGTCGTCGGGAAATCACTTACCTTGAGTAGCCGCCAGAACACGCTCCTACGTCTATGCGTATGTTGATCTATAGTATCGTATTACGGCGACTACGGGCCAAGGCATTCGGGGCATGGAGTCTTTGAGACACTGGTTTGGTTTGACCTAGAGCTGATTGTGCCGGGTTCCGTGGATTTGAAGTCACTGGAGGGATCCTTGGAGGCCCCCGCAGCCTTCTAGCTTTAAACGATACTACCATGGGGCACGCTTTAGGGCCGCTTTTTGTACGCAGCTGGGCGCTTAGTATCACAACCCCGTCGTAAATGTACTCTTCGTGATTAGTTTGCAAACTAGAAGCTCAATATATGGAGCCTAGCTGCAGTAGTGAGGCCATATCAGGAAGAACCCCGCGTGTTGTAGGACCACGAGGCTACATTCAGACTATATTGAGGCATTTTTGAGCTTTAGTGCTGGAGCTGAGTTCCAAATTATACTATCAGCTAGGGCTAAAGACTCAGTACCATAGTGTGGGAAAGGTCATTTCAGATCCCAGCCAAGACAAAAACATATAAAGAGAGGGTTTCCAATCTGCTGGCAGGGAGAATCAACACCGCAAAGTTCATTGTGCATTCAAGAATCACCACTACACAATGAAGATTATCAACCGATTCCTCCCTTTCCTCGTTGCTACTAGAATGGTCTTAGCTGTGCCAGTGACCCAGCTTCCTGCCGACCTTGACTATAGTGCCCACGATTTAGTGGCCTACGGCTCAGATCAGGTTGAGCTTCGCAGTCGCAATATAGCGAATCCTCTGGAGGCACGAATCGACTGTCAAAGAATCGGCAACACCATCCTGAGAATTGGTACTAGCGCTGCAGTGTAAGTCATGTAACTTTTCTTTATCCCTCCAACCGTTTCTTCTTCCCTTATTCATAATTCACTCCGGAGTCCTAACACGTGTCAAGAGTTGCATTTGTGCACCTAGGAACCGACTATGCCGCATATGTTTGTGAACAAGAAGCCGCAGAACGCTGTGTTAGATATGTTGGCTACGTGCAACACGCTCTGGATGCTATCTTCCTTGTTATGGGCTATATGCATGGGTCGGTGGGCACTTCTACGACCAACCAGCAGCAGTCCTTTGAAAGTGGCTCGGTGCGGCGCGACCTCCCTTCGAACACTATGTGGGACGCTCTTGGCCCAGCTCTTCAGAGTGATGGTTGGAAGTTTGACACCATGGAGCAAATCGACGTTTCTAACGTAAGCCTTACCAAGCGGGATTCTGATCCTTCACTTGTCCATCGCTCTATTGCCCGAAATGTGGCAGTTGACGACCAAGGAAATACTTCTGATATCGCATTCAACTTTTTCGATAATGGGGACTTGAATTTACACTTTGCCGGTGACTTTGGACATCTTCCTTCCGGCATCGATCAAAGCGCCACTATGCACCGACGCTTTGACGGTGCCGGGTTCAAGATCGCAGCTACGACACGTGTGCAATCGAAGCTGACTCGAGACCACGAAAGAAGCATGGCGTACTACATTGCACAGGATTGGGCAAATGATGCGTACAGAATGTCGATGTCTGATTATATCGGACTGGTGAAGACCGATCACACTGCCAACTTCTACTTCCGTATCATCCCTGAGATCAAGGGTTTCGGTCTGAACTACGAAAGCGTCAACATCTGCGGCCAGCTGGCGCCATTCCTATAATCTTATCATGCTTTGTCGGATTCAATATGTATCTAATAAAAGTCAAACCTGGTGGAATAGGAGTCGAGGATGACGGCGTCCCTTTCAGTTCATTTGACGCTCAGAATATATAGCTGTACTCGATAGTTCGCACGTGGGCCACGGCTATTGAAGCCGGAAATGTCGTGCCTCAATCGTATGCTTTTCATCATCCAAACGCGACAAGCTAGATTGTTTACATTCCTGCATTTCCCCAAATCGTCGCAAGCCACCTTCCACTTCCGTCATGGCCTAAGGGACAGTATCTGACAAATAAACACAAACTCATCCAACAGCTTCCCCACGTGGGATGGAATCCTCGATTTCATTGGCATTCGGCCCGCAAGTCAGGTCTTCAGGGTCTAGTGGAGACGGCAATCGTGGAGATTACATCGTCCGAGCGGCACACTTCAACATTCGCGGCAACGGCGGAGCTTTCTCGACACAAGGGCTCGGCGCGACATCTGATTAGCTCCAGCACGAGAGCTAAGCTTTTCTAGAATGTGAAATAAGCTTTTTTGTCGTACTCGTCTGCATGCACCCATAAGCCGGATTTAACGGAGGATTAGGTAGCTGCACGAGAATGGTAGACCTGTCACGGCTGTGCGGCGACATTCCCCTCGTCGGGGTGGCCGTCAGTGTCTGACTGTATATATACGGGTTTTGCAAGTTGAATGATCAACAGAGGTGAAAGTTTAGTTTGAGTGTCATTCGTTTCCCCTGTTTCTCTTGCCTCAAAATGCCTGCCATGTCGCGCATTGCCCTGACTTTGGGCCTGGCTCTGGGTGCTTCTGCCGCCAAGAACTCAATCGTCGCGCCCACTGGAGCTGAAAAGCTTACCGTTGGTCTTCTTGGAGGTTGGTCGATCATGGATCATACTCTTGGCAATATCCACTGTCGTACACATACAAAGACTGACTTGCCATAGACTACGGCTGGACTGGCTGGCAGCCTCTGCCTCTGGACTTTTGCAACAACGCCCTGCCTAAGCTTCAGGCTGATGGCGTGACTATTCCTCGCGATCTCCAGAATGATTGTGACCCCGGTGACCGTGCTGCTATCTCCAATGCCACCATCGAGGAGAGTAAGTAACCCACCTCAACGAAGGCTATCAAGGGAAAGACACCAAGACTAACATCCATCCACCAGCCCGCACTGCCAACTACATCGAAAAGGTCTGCCTCCAGAAGAACTGCTCAGCCTTCGTATCCGTTGGCGACAACTTCTACGACAGCGGAGTCGACTTCACCTCCGAGGGTATCCAGCGCTTCTACGAAGGCTGGGCGAACATGTACGTCGGCAAAGCCTTCGACGGCAAGCCCTGGTACCAAGCGCTGGGCAACCACGACATCGTCGCCGGCAAAGCGGGCGTGGACTTCCAAACCCGCATCGCACCCCTCATGGAAGACCGATGGTACTTTGGCAACGACAACCTGCCGTACTACACCTACGACCTGAAGGGCTCCAACTGGACCGCGACCTTTGCCGTCGTCGACTCGGACTGCTTCATCAACAAGTACCAACAGAGCACCTCGGTGTACAACACGGACTACGTGATCGAATGCCACCAGACGACGCAGACGCAAGTCGAGTTCCTGCGCAAGGCCTTCGCCGAGTCCACCGCAACCTGGAAGATCCTGCAGATCCACCACGGATTCATCTCCTCCTCCACAAACTACACCGAACTCGCACCGCTGATGGACATTGTCCGGGAGAACAACGCCGTCGTGATTAACGGCCACGACCACTGCATGGCGCACTACCAGTTCAACGGCACAAACTTCGTTCTCACCGGTGGTGCGGGTTACGCCGAGGCTGGTGATTGCAATTACGGTGTTCCTCTGGGTCCTTTTACCAAGTGGCTTGGTGCTGATGCGCAGCAGGCTGCCAATGGATTTGTTACGCTGGATATTAGCTACAATGCGCTGCACTTTGAGTACTATGCTCGTGATATGCAGTTGAAGGGTGCTGATTATTATCCCGTTGCTAACGAGATGAAGCCGTCCTACAGCTTTGATGTTACTCAGCATGCTACCAAGGCTTAAGTTAGCAGAAGGGGGAAGGTTTGGGGGAAAGTATATAAATAGTGGAGTCCCAGGCCATGGAGTGTACTGTGTAAATAGACGAGCGCAAGCAAATAAGTGAATACCCTTGATTGATTCAAAGTAACCTATCTACCGAGGACGCTTTGCCTCTCACCCTCATATCTATCGGGCTGCAAAAGCGATGCCCATCCACCCAGATCCACCGGGGGAAATCAAAGAATAAAAGACATGCAAGAAGAGTGTAAATGGAAAGGATAAAAGGGGTACATAAAAACCCAAGGAAGAATCAGCAAAGGAGAGTAAAGGATATCCCTGACGCCATTTCCCGTGCCATGAAACTTTTTGTTTTCATCAAATGATATGCCGTGAAATGTCTGTCGAGTTGGAATCTCACCAACCCAGATCGGATCTAGACCAGATCCAAGACTCGAAAAGATCTGCAGCTAAAGCTCATCTTCGTATTTGTAATTGATACGACGACCGCCTACTAGACGTTCCTGACGGCTATCCCGGCGGTTGCTGGACTTGGAGGTACTCGATTTGGCGCTACCCCGATTTTGTTGTTCACGCAGGAGACGTTCGCGATTGCGGGCTTCCCGTTCCAGAGTGTAAGGATCTTTTTCAGATTCGGTCTTTGCGGCCTGAGCTCGTGTTTGATCGCGATTCCGGTCTTCGCCGTTGGTTTTCACGCGGCGAGCTTGAGGCTGCGAGGAGCGATCGTTGGTGTTGGGGGATTCGGAGCGGCCGCGACGACGTTTGCGCTCTCTCTCGCGATCAGCACCACGCTCACGACGATCGCGTTCTTTTTCACCGCCGCGATCACGATTACGATCACGATCACGATCCCGCTCTCGCTCTCGATCTCGGTTTTGACGACGCTCTCGTTCCGAATCACGATCCCGATCACCACGTCTATCCTGGTCCCGGTCTCTTTCACGACGACGCCCGTCTCGAGCGCGGTCACGATGACGATCACGATCCCGTTCCCTCTCCCGATCCTCTTCACGTCGACTCTGTCCATCCCTGCCAGATCGGTGGCCGTTACTGACACGACTGGCGAGATCCCCACGATCGCCAGTCTCAGAAGATACCTTGTCATGACCGTTAGGTTCCTTTTCTTCGGCAATCTGCTTTAGACGATCAGGGTGACGTGCGTCTCCATTCCTCGTGGGACTGCGAGTGCGACTGCGACTGTCGCTTCGGCTATGATGGCGACGAGAGCGGTGTGAACGGTGACTACTTCTGCGGTCTCGATCCTCGTCACGATCTCTGCGTCGTGACGATCGACGGGATGACATTCGTGAAGGAGAGCGCGAACGACGGTCAGCTAGCTTGAGTTCTTGCACGATACCTGGTCGTTTTGACTCTGGCTCTTGGTGGCCATCCCGATTGTCATCGAGAGGTGAGCGAACGCGGGAAGCTCGGCCTTGAGATGGGGAGCGAGACCTTGATCCTGGCCCCTGGGCTTGGGAAGGAGCTCTCGAGGGTGATCGAGTGCGTGGAGCGTCCTGTGGAGCTTCAGAGTTTCCCCTACTCAAGTCAATATGAAATTCCTCTTTCTACAGAACGACACAGTCTCAGCTTACCTTTGAGATGCGGCCGGTGTATTACTGCCAACCGATGCCTTTCCATGAACATGGAATCCGCGTTGGCGGAAGACACTCGTATTTGGAAGACCCTGTCGCATTGCACGCGGCGCAGCTGGCGCGCCCTCAACCCCGGGGTTTCGAGCTTCCATCTGAGGCTGATACGAACCGGGCATTCCGCCCCAGTATCCACCGCGGCCTCCAGAGAAACCACCTCGCATGTATCCGCCGCGTCCATACCCCTGGGCCATGTGGTTTTGATAGCCGTTATGCTCCATCTGGCCAGAGGCTTGATCCAGGCTATCAATAGTGGGGATCCCTTGTAATTGGTCGCCTTGGTTATCTTGAGCACTAGGCTCGGTGGTCGTGTCTGCGGCACCATCTCCAGTCTGTGGGTGTCCATTTGATACGGGGTCTGTACCGGCAGTCTCATTCATTTGAGAAGGATCTTCAGGGTTGCTGGTGGTTCCATCGGCTCCGACTGAGGCACCACCGGGACCAGGCTGGCCGTTAGGAAATCCAGAGTTACCATTAGGAGGGAAATGGCCTTGTCCAGAGCCTCCATATCCACCTCGACCGGGACCACCTTGATAATAACCACGGCCACGACCGCGATACCCACCTCCACGGCCATATCCCGGCCCGTAGTAACCAGACTGGTAGTCTGAGCTAGAAGGGTAAGACATATTAGACCCGCCAAACGCTCCTCCACCATAGGGAGGGCCCGTGCCATTTGCGAAAGCATTTGGATTGAATTTATCTTGGCCGCCTTGCCACATGTTTTGCTGAGAGCCGTCCCATCCTAAGGATCCATACATGCCCTGCCCGTTGAAGTTCATTCCCATGTTCATGCCCATACCAGTCATGTTCATTCCGTATTCTCCGAACATCCCCTGATTAGCAGCCATTGGGTCCATTGTCATAGGCATTCCTAGGAGAAGTATAGGATTAGTAAGTTGTGCCAAAAGTAGTACCGCAGGCGAGCCAACATACCCACCCCGTTGGGGAAATTCAACATGGGGTTGGCCATGTAGGGGTTCATTCCGTTGAAGTTGTTATTTCCATTCCAACCACCCATGCCAGAGAAGCCTCCAGGGCCCGCGTTCATCATGTTGGCATCGGTTTGTTGAGATGTATCCTTCGCGGCAGATTCATCGTCAGCCAGGTGGTCGCCATTGGGAGTAGGCTGGGCATCTGCCTCGGTAGCGGGATCCGTTGTAGCGCCCGCAGCGTCGTCACCATTCGTTTCGGCGTGGTCATTGGTCTCGGGCTGAAGAAGTTAGTGGCTTGAATATGTGAAGACAGATTTGGATCACCATACCTCAGTCACAGGCTCGGTCGATACAGGCGCATCCGTGTCTGCTGCCGCATCTCCAGCCGGTTCCTCATTTGCAGCTTCAACGGGCTTCGTCTCGGCAGGCGCAGTGGTTTCAGCAACCTCAACCGGGGCTTCCTCGACTTGCTTCTGTTTCGTAACAGCCTCCGTGGGAATTGTATCGTTTTCCGCGGGGGTGGTAATCACGGGCGTGGCCGCAGCCGACTGTCTTTCCTTCTCCCGTTTCTTCTCTTCCGTTCGCAAAAAGACCTTAAGAGTAGTTCGCAGTGCCTTGTTCGGTTTACACAGATCTGGCGAGACCGGGGTGTGCGCGCATACGGAGCAGGTATCGGGGAGAGATGTCTGGCCTAGAGAGGTACGGCAAAAAAAACCATGTCAGCTAGAACTCGGGTCAAGAAAAGCATTGCCTGGGCATCGCAACTCACAGGTCTCGCAGATAGACTGGTCACAGCAAGGAAGGCGAAAAGCATTCACCGCCAACTTGTTGCAAATGGCACATCGCAGCTTGAACGGAATTTCGTCCTGGGACAGAGTGCTAGATGCGGCGGACTAATTAGCAAGAGAAACTTTGAAGAGGCCGAGCACCGAGGCCTACCTGGCGATGTCCATGAGACCTGCCGGCGGATCCGCCGCAGCCATGGCTGGATCAAGAAGAGATTCAAGGTATGGGACCGGTGCAGGAGAAGTTGTCCAAGTGTAAGAAGTTTGAGCATCAGCACTGGGCTTCATGAATTTGGTCGGAGAAATGTTTGGCCGAAGTACTCAGTCTAGACGCGGCTTTCCTGCTTTGAGCATACTTTTCGATTGGAAGAATGGAGAGAAGATTATTACGTTTGATTAAATGGAATATGAGTTAAGTATAACTAGGCCACGTTGAAGATACTCTGGTTAATTTGCCCGCCTCAGATTAGATCAAGTAATTTTTTGGGTCCATCACCAGGGGAGCAGCGATACCATCCAAGTGGTGTCTTCAGTCCGCCTCCGGATAGCCTTTTATCGTCATCGGCGGGGCATTCCAGCAAACGCAGTGGGAGAACGAATCAGATAAAAGCAAAAGCAAAAAAAAACACAAAATAATTACATCAAAGAGAGATGAAGAAAATAGGAGACATTACGCAGATCCATATTGCGCTGTAGGGGTTAGTATGTACATAAGTAGGATTCAGGCTGCGATGGAAGGGAGAAAGGGTGAAATAAGTATAAGGATAAAGAAAATAGGGTTAGGGGGAGAGACTAGAATATCAGTGAAGAAGAAGAGAGGAGGAGGAGGAAAAGGGTTAAAAGTCGAAAATTAAGCAGAAAAAAAAAGATCAGCAGCTCCACCCGAGCGGAATTTAAAAGGAGGCGACCGCCCGGTTGACGGTGAGTACTACACAGAGTACTACTCTACTCTACTAAGTATACTGGTAGAGCACTACGTGAGTACTTATTGGCCCTGGAGCTTGGGCCATCCGTACCCTTCCTCTTTACCTCCAACTTCTTTGCATCAGCCTTCCTGATGTTTTGATTCAAAACCCCACCCTTTTTCCTTTTTCTATTTCCAGAAATCTTGCGCCCCCACAGCATGACCGAAGAGAATTATCGTCCACGATCTCCCGATTTCTCCTCTCCCTCTCACCCCAACTCCAACGCCAGCATCAACTCCAACTCCAACGTCACCTTCAACCCCACTCCCTACGCGCCGCAAAGCCCCGTCAACCAACGCGCCTCCTACGACGCCTCTCCCTTCTTCTCTTCTTATCAACGCCCCACTTCTTCGAGTCGCGTTCCCCAACAGTACGTGCCTCCTTTCCACGACTTCGACGAGATGGCCCGTCGCTCATCGCGTTTGCAGTCCGCGGACGCGCCAGTCCCCATCCCCGCGGCTCCCGACACAATGCCCGCCATCGCGCCTTTGCAAGATGAGGGCCTCCAGGCTCGCCCCGGAGCTGGCATTGAAGTGAAGACCAAATTCCCCGTCGCGCGCATTAAGCGAATTATGCAAGCCGATGAAGATGTCGGCAAGGTTGCCCAAGTCACTCCCATTGCTGTCTGTAAGTAGCGAATGCCACTTCTTCCCCCCATCGCGTATCTTCTCGTTTCATCACCAGCAATCATAGTCTGAGATGACCTAACTTTCATCTTATAGCCAAAGCACTGGAGCTCTTTATGATCTCCCTCGTCACCAAAGCCGCCCAAGAAGCCAAGGAGCGCAATTCCAAGCGCGTCACCGCCACTCACCTGAAACACGCGGTCGCCAAAGACGAAGTACTCGATTTCCTGGCCGACATTATCGCCAAGGTGCCCGATGCTCCTGCTGGCCGGAAACATGAAGATGACGGCAGTGATCAAAACGAGGGTCGTCGGAAGCGAGGTGGACGACGACCCAAGGAGGAGAGTGATTGATGAAGAGCACTGCGCTATTTGGACACGATTGACGACGTGCTAGAAATGGGACCGGCACCCGGCGCATTGATGATCTGCAAGCTCTCTTTTTTTTATTCGCTTGCAATTGTTTTTTCTGGGACGGCGTTATGGTTGGGTTGGGATTTTTTTTTCGATTTCTTCTATTACTGGGCAGAGGGGTAGCGCATCTTTATTTTCTGTGAATAGTTTGGTGTAGCCCTGCGCTTGGAATACTCGAGTCCAATCTCAAAACAATGGAGAATTGGGCCGCGATGAGATTAATACGATCGCATCTTTCAGGCGTGATCTAAACTCCTTTAATTTATGTCCCTAGATTATCCTCAAAATTCTAGTAGCAGGTCCCCTGGTCGAGACTCGTGGCTCTGGCATACGCACTCCGTACTTCGTCTCGTGTGGATGCTGGCGATCGACGCGCGATACACGCAGTGCCCACCGGCTCCACTCGACCTTGACCCCGTCACCTCCTCCTCCCCCTCAGGTCGTGAGACCATGCTGCTACAGAATGGACTTTGTAAGTGACTGGAATTCAAGCGATTCCACTTCCACACTAGGCCAGTGCTAACCAGCCCCAGTGGTCTCGTCTCATCGGCGGCTCACGCGCGCCGTCCAAGCCCTCTCGGGCCACATCGCCCACTGAACGACTGACGGCCTTCAAACGCGCCTGCAATGCCCTCCAGGTACGATATTCACCGAGTATTCGCACTGCCCCGCCTAACCAAAGTCCTAGCAAATATGGCGCTCCACCAATACGCCGTCCGCCGAGCAGTCGACCGCCCACGCGCGCACCTACATCGAACGACTCAACTCCATCCTCAGCGATGAGTCCCGCGGTCCAGCGCCGCACCCCTGTGTCGCCTACGCAGCCTCCTCTCAGATATTCGTGACGGTCACGAAACTCGCTTTATCATACTATGACGAGAACGTGCTGCAATCTGCTACGGTCTTCTTCAACACGCTTATTGATGCCGAGGTCGACGGCGTAGTGGATAACCGACTCTTTGCTCGCGCGCTGGTCGATCTAGTTCGTCGTGCGGATAAGGCATCTGGCGAAATTGAGGGTCGCTTGGTGGAATTGCTGTTCGGCATCGCCAATAATATCCGCCTACAGCCTGCCACCTTGCCGGCCTGGTTTGTGCCCCGGGTCACGCCTACCGGTCAGGATAACGAGTCGCCAGCTCCCAGTGGTACGGAGTTCGCCGGTGCGACGCGCAAGGACGAGTTCCCGCTGTTCTATCTGCTGGTTGAATATGTTCATAATGAAGGACGTGCGGGCGATTTTGCTCGTACGGGGCTGTTGTATCTTATCGAGACCGCGTCGCGATCGAAGAATTTGGAGAAATGGCTGATTGAGAGTGATTTGGCAACGCTGATGGCGACAGGTCTGGGTGCGTTGTATAGTCAGTTGGGCGGGTGAGTCTATGATTGTCCCGGAATCTTGTGGCAGTGAAATCTAACCAGGTGCAGCTTGACATTTACACCCACTGACGAGAATGTGCCTCGGATCATTGCACTCTCGGATCATGCCAAAGAAGAGACAGCATTACACCCGGCCTTGAGCGAGGCGATGGATGCATTCATGTCTTATCTGCTGTTTTGGCAAGATACCATTGATCATTGCAAGTCCGAGGAAGTGAACGATACGCTCTTGGATCATTTCCAGGTGCTTTTCCTCGAGCAACTTTTGTAATTACACCCTTTCTTTTTCTTCTCTTTGCATCATGCTAACTGCCTCAGATACCCTTCTTTATTGGAATCCTCGGATGTGGCAGGCGGTTCCACTGCCGCGGTCTTAACCTATCTCTGCCGGATCCTCGACTCGATCGACCAAGGCGAGCTAGTTCACCGGATCCTGCATTTCTTACTCGCTTCCTCTCCGCCACCAGAGGAACAAATGTCCATGTCGGCCAGTCGTCGGAAATCACTCGACGTCCTGGCTGCCCTAGCATCGGAAGCAGCCCAGCCTTCCCCTTCACTGTTCAACTTGCGTGATCTGGCGCTCCTTGGACTTCATTCTTCCAATCGACAGACTGTGCTGGCCACACTGCGTCTGTTGAATGTCGTCTTACAGCGTCATCATCCCTTTGCTCGTGCTCTCATCCATACGATTCCCAGTCAGCCGGCACGACAGCGGACCGTTGGCGCGTTTAATGCTGAGCTAGAACATCTCCTCGAACTGGGCACGTCACTCATCGCCGAGCCCACATTGAACGAATCATATGAGAATTACGTTGCGGATGCGACCTGGGTACTCGAGTCTCGGCTATGCCTCCCAGTTTCTATGGACGATAGCGAGGATGAAATCCCTCTTCCACTGCAGCTTCAACAAGATGATCCTATTATTCAAGCTCTTCTCGTGTGTGTGGAGAACTTCTTCACCAACAGTGTTATCGTCAACCTCGCCTTGACCGGAGTTCTAATGAGTCTGGCCTCCTCTCATCTGTTCTCACTGGATGGCTGGATCTTGGTCGACCCTCTTCAATACAATCCCCCTTCTCAAGAGGACTCCTCTGACGATGCAGATGGTATCCGTCGAGCCTATCAAACACCTACATGGCCTGCCACTGCATCCCCGACATTGACCTCGGCCCTCGAGAAGCTGGTAACCCAGGTCCGTCAATGGCAGCAAGAACTGCCAGACTTTGATGTCCTGGTCGCAGCCCGGCGAGAACTCCTACACCAAGAAGATCGCCCACAAACGCCAGATCGCTCACGGGCACCATCCGAGCCTCCTGTTCCTGCATCGGGCGACCGTTCCCGTTTGTCCTACCCAGGATCCCCCGATCCTTCTGCCCCGGCATCCCGCGGCCGATCGCCACAGCCCATCAGCTCCCCACCCATGGCACCTACCTTGATGAGAGGTGAATCCACAGCCCGTCCCCTAGAATCGCGGGGCTCATCTACATCTCGGATCGCGGCAATGGAAGTCCTCCGCCAGCGACTGGCCACGCCTTTCCCTACGGTAGCTACACAGCCACAGGCCACGGAGGAGACGGAGGAGGCAGCTACAACGGAGGACGTGGAATCTGAATATCCCCCCGTGGCAACATTAGGTCACGTTCTAACAAACGTGGTGATTCTATACGAGTTCCTCCTGGAACTCTCGGCCGTGGTACAAGCACGTGGGAGTCTCTTTGAAGAAGCGGGATATTTGTAATTAGTACCTTTCACCGATGTATATTCATATAGAGACACATATTATCTGACTCGAGCTAGCGATGTGATTCTTTCTTGTCCGGTTATCATTAGTATCGTGCTTTGTCGACATACTGCACAGTTGACGGGGTTTCGCGTTGATTATAGTATGCATTAGGTTAGTGCGGGGCTGAAGAAGTTGTGATCGACATAACCTTCCAAAGGGCGCTAGCCTGGATTTCTAGGGGGTGTGCATTGACTCGGGGAAGATCCTAAGGAGTATGGGGATTCTGATTATAGTGAGTCCTTTTGAAACAGGAATTTTCGAGTTGAACCACTCTGCTTGACCCCTATTGTGGGTGTAATATTGGAGTGTATGTCAGCATCTAAGCCACGGGCTTGTGCTACGAGGGCTAGCATCGAGTAAGCTGACGGTATCTTGAGTTGAAACGCTTACCTTTGAAGAAGTTGGGCTTCGTTGTGTAATGGGCTGAGCAAGGAATCGTTTACCTGATAGGCTGATGGTGACTATTAATTAGAATATTTACATACAGAGTAATCGAGTAGCTAGGGGATACTGTTAATTAGACAACGAACCAGGCTACAGTGGTAGTATGAAAGAGACTCGATCTATTTCTAGAACAGAGTGCAGCGATACTATACGATCCTATGGCGTATCTAATTCAATACTATTTAATCATGAATACTTTGGTTCCCCTGAACTAAGTGGGGCTGCGATTGCTGGAAAGTCAAAGGGGGCGTGACCGTAACGTTTGCGACGATTGGCCTGGCCTCCTTTTGATCTCCGATTTAATCCACCATACACTCGTTACGCTTAGGTTTCATCATTCTCTCACCTCACTATGCCACGATAACCACTTTTCTCTCATTCTTTCCCTTACTTATAATCTTTCTTTCCTCTCGTTCCCCTCCCACTCACCCAATTCTACCTAGTATATACGGCATGCCCGGCCGCCATGCCCACGGAACCTGACTTGTACCGCGAGGACCGCGAGGATGCGCCGTTTCTGGCCTCCTCCAATGCGCCCAGCGGTAGCGCCCACAACATCGACAACACCCACAATGGCCATGCAAAGCCCTCGCGACCAGTCCCGGCGACTACTTCCTCCTCCACATCCAACTCCGCCAGCAAGATCACATTCCGGCTGAAACTCATTCTCTTCGCCATGGTGCTGGCCGTGGAGATTGGCTTCGCATTCCTGGAAGGTCCGATGGTCCGCGTCATGGAATCGATCGCCTGTCGACAATACTACACCGAGGCGGATCCGACGAAGATTGGCGCGAATGGCCAGGTTCCTGAGGAATTGTGTAAATTGGCTGAGATTCAGGCCGAGTTGGCCGCCGTTAAGGGATATCATATGTTCTTTGATGGGTTATTGAGTATGCATCTTTATCCCCGGATAGTTCATGGTGGTGGAAACCATGCGATATCCATGCTGACTTCTTTTTCTTCTTTATAGGCGCGGTCTTTGCTTTTCCCTATGGTCTGCTGGCAGACCGTCGTGGCCGCAAATCAACCCTCGTCCTCGGTGTCCCCGGATTCTTTTTAAACTCGGTTATTACGATTGTCGTCTTGTGGTTCTCGGATACACTCCCGCTGCGGGCGGTTTGGCTATCTTCTCTGGCATGGTTAATCGGTGGTGGACCAGTAGTCGCGTTTGCCATTATCTGGACGATGATGGCCGATGTGACCAGTGAAGCGGAAAGGTAATGATTCCGATCTCTTATCAAAACGTATATACAAGACTAATTATTTGTGTTTTAACAGGGCCGGTCTTTTCTTCCAGTTCGCTATTGTTTCCATGGGAGCCGATTTTGTCTCTAGCGCCCTCGCTTCATGGCTCATGACTATGGACCCCTGGGCTCCACTATTGATCGGATACGCTATTGTTACCGGTGGTCTACTATTTATATTCGTGCTTCCCGAGACGAAACATGCAATTCCACCTCAACCCGTGGAGCAGCCCCATGTGGAGCTCTCTGATCTAGCCGATGAATCCAATCCCAAGCACACCTACGACAAGCCTGAGCAAATGTACCACGACGAAAGTGATATGGACGTGGACAACGACCATGAAGCCCATATGACGTGGAGCTACCCCACGCAACAACCGCAGTCATTCTGGGCCAAATGTCGCGCCAACTATCGCTTCTATATGAAACCCTACCTTTTCATCCTAAACCGAAAACCAGTGCTTCTCCTTTTGACGGCCTTTTTGGTATACCGCCTGAGTCGAGGCTCATCCTGGTTCTTGACACAGTATATCTCAACACGATACCACTGGACACTTGCACAGGCCAATATGCTCGTGGCATCTCGACCAACGGTGTCCATCCCCGTATTCCTCTGGGGTCTACCCTATCTCAAGAAATACGCCTTGAACCCTCGGCGCACCACCACTGAGAAGGATCTCTGGTTATCCCGTGCGAGCATCCTTTGCCTCACCATCGGCACATTAGGAATCGGCCTCTCCCCCTCCGTGGCCACCCTAATCCCCAGCATGATCATCCAAACTTCCGGATCAGGCTTCGTCTTCCTCACTCGCTCAATCATCACCACCCTGGTCGAGCGCGACGAAACCGCCCGACTATACACGGTCATCGAGATTATTCAATCCTTTGGTAATGTTGTGGCCAGTCTATCCATCACGACGGTCTTCCAGCTTGGTTTGCGACTTGGAGGATTCTGGATTGGATTGGCGTGGATGATGACTAGTTCGTTATTTTGCATGGTGGCTGCCGCGATTTGGTTCTTTCGGTTGCCACCCACACCGCAGACGCCGGAGTTTGTGGTTGGGGAGTTTGATGAGGGGGATGATTTGCATGGTGTATAGAGTTTGTATAGTATAGAGTCAGATCATTTAAGGCGTTTTGGTGTCCATCAGCATTTTAACAGATCATGTATTTGAGACAGTATTCCTTTCTTCAAACCACCTCAGTCTCAAATTGATAGAGAGAGTCTAAATAATGACTCCTTGATCGTTGGTATACTCGATTGTTCGGTCCTTCCCAATTCAGAAGTCAGCTCGCCGAGCTGACCAGTCACGTGCATCTCACATGCCAAAGCCCCAGAAATTCAACGAAACAACCGCTTTTCCCTCCAGCCCACCGCGGACGTTACAATGGAGAAGTTCTCCCAGTTTCGGGATCGAGGCAAGTCAAATTCCCACGTTGACCGAGGATAACATTTAGTAAACTAACTGAAATTTCCCCCACAGGCTCGGGCATCGCGCCCTTCCTGCCCATTCCAGCAGAGCCACTGGGCATCCAAGCGCCCCTCCGACTCTTCCTGTTCTGCTTTCGACTTCCCATATTCATCTTTGTCACCTTATCGTACTTTTTGTTCTTGCAATGGCTTCCAATTGGATCCTTGGGCAAGAAAGCGGCCTTGTGGTGTATACTAGGTGTCCCCAGTATATGGTGGATTGACCTACAGGTTGACGGAGTGAGGAAAGGGTGAGCATAGTTGATAGCAGTCTGACAGGAACAGCCGATGCTGACCTCCCTTCTATAGATCCCTCTCAAAGCAACAACAAGCCCGTCTACCACAGCCCGGCTCGGTCATCGCGTCTTCGTTTACTTCCCCGATTGACGCAGTTTACTTGGCCGCCATCTTCGACCCAGTGTTCACGGCATCCTACCCAAACACTCGTCAAGTGCAGCGCATCTCCCTGCTCCAAGCTATCTTGCGCGCTTTCGCGCAGCCCCTGGCCGAACCCGAGCCCGGTACGAAGCTAGTCGATGTGTCCACATTGGTGGAGAAATACCCCAACCGACCCATCGTTATCTTCCCAGAATGCACCACCACCAATAGCCGCGGTATTCTACCCCTGAGCCACTCACTGCTCGGCGTCCCATCCAAGACAAAGATCTTCCCCCTCAGTTTGAGATACACGCCCGTTGATGTGGTCACCCCTCTACCGGGTAGCTACGTCAGCTTCCTGTGGACACTACTGAGTCGACCCACGCATTGCATTCGAGTGCGCATCGCCGAATGCATCATGATTAGCCGGAGTGCGTTCGATGCACCTCCCGCTCGATCAACCCGAAAGTCCACTTTCAGCACCAACTACCTGGACACACTGGACGAGGACACCGCGACTGGCGATGTCACCGCTAGCGAGAAGGCGCTTCTCGACCAGGTTGGCGAGTCTTTGGCCCGTCTTGGCCGGGTTAAGCGTGTTGGACTCGGTGTGGAAGAGAAGCAGGATTTCGTGCGGATGTGGAATAAGACGCGGCGGACCTGGTGATAGAATTAGCACTTTCTTTGTTTACGGTAGTATGCCTTGGGGTCGTATTATATAGAGTGTTGTATCCATTATGGACATACATGTTTACTTGTTTTATCTTTACGAACGGCCGGGGTAATAGAAATGAAAGCGTTTCTCCAAAGACTTCATTCTTTACTGAACATTGAAACTTTACTTTTATCCATCTCAGTGCGTTAGTGCCAGATTTAGACATATTATGAAACATCGAGCATACAACAAAGCAAATCGTCAAAGAAAGCACGACACAATGTCTTTGTTTCCTATAATGCGTTCCACAATCCAACAATACACACTATATCTCATATATAAGTTGCCAAATTTCCACCAAAGTTGACATAAAACATAATCCTATGTTAACACTCTACCTAAACCAGAACAGACCCGACCAGATCAGACCAGATCAACTACCCATCAAATGTGCACCCAAAACTACATAACCTACAAAACCTGCACACATACCAACCCTTCTCACAAAACACCCTGCCCGGAAGCAGGCCTCCCAACGCAATACCGACAAAACTGCAAACTAGCTCCTAGAATTAGCCCCGAAGATGGAGCTAGGACCGGGACTGGTACTAGGATCACAGTCGAGTCTATGCTCTGGAGTAACAGTAAATACCGTATTCCGGAGGATAGACGGGAAGAAAAGGATGGGATTTGTCCGGATTGTGCGGGGGCGTTGAGGGGGGAGATGGGGAGGGTTTTTCGGAGGAGGGAGGAGGAGGCTGTTAGGGAGGGGGTTATTGAGATGGAGAAGAGGGAAAAGGAAAGACAGAGGGAGATGGAGAAGGAGAAGGAGAAGGAGAAGGGGGGTGGGTGGAGGGCTTTTTTTGGGTAGATAATGGTGTTGAGGATTATGGGAGGTAGATATTACTTGAGATGATTCAGAGAAAGGGTTTACGATGAGATAACTGTTAGATGAACAATATAAATCGTATTGAAGATATTATAGCACAAGCCCATACAAAATACAACCGCTTTTATACTCGGGCAGGACCTCCACCCGGGACCAAAGAAACATCAACCCCAAACAACGTACTTACTCTACAGCATCAGTAATGCAGCCCTGGCTAGCATCCTTGACATTGCGAGCATACTTGCCCAGGGTACCACGCATGGTCAGACCAGTCTCGGGCAACTTGCCAGCAGCCTTGCGAGCCTCCCAGGCCTTGCGACGCTCGGCGAGCTCGGTCTCGGGGACGTCCAAGTCGAGGACGCGGTTATCGGAGTCGATGGTGATCACGTCACCGTCGTTGACGAGACCGATGGGTCCGCCGACGGCGGCCTCGGGGACGATGTGACCGATCAGGAAACCGTGGGAACCACCGGAGAAACGGCCGTCGGTGATCAGGGCGCAGGAAGAGCCGAGACCGTAGCCCATCAAGGCGGAGGAGGGCTTGAGCATTTCTAGAGGGGGTTAGTCGAGAATAAGAGAGTGAGAACTTGAAAGGGAACGTACCAGGCATGCCGGGACCACCCTTAGGACCGCAGTAGCGGATGACAACGACAGTCTTATCCTCCTTCTTAATCTCGTTGCGTTCCAGCGCAGCGATAAAGTCGTCCTCGGCGTCGAACACACGGGCCTTACCAGTGAAGGTGGTACCCTCCTTACCGGTGATCTTACCAACACTACCACCGGGGGCGAGAGAACCACGCAGGATCTGAATGTGACCAGTCGACTTGATAGGGTTGGAGAAAGGACGGATAATCTTCTGGTCCTCGGGGAAATCGGCAACCTTTTCCAAGTTCTTGGCGAGAGTCTCACCGGTGACGGTCATACCAGAGCCGTCAATGAGACCCTCCTTGAGGAGCATCTTCAGCAGAGCTGGGGTACCGCCAATGGCGAACATGTCGGCCATGACGTACTTGCCGGAGGGCTTGAGATCGGCCAGGAAGGGAATACGGTCGGAGACGGCCTGGAAGTCGTCGATGGTGAGCTTGACACCGACGGAGTCGGCAATGGCGATCAAGTGCAGAACGGCGTTGGTGGATCCACCGGTGATGTTGACGACGACCATGGCGTTCTCAAAGGCCTGGCGAGTCAGGATATCGCGGGGACGGATGTCCTCGGTGAGCAGCTTCTTGATGGCACCACCGGCAGCCAGACACTCCAGGTACTTGGCCTGGGAGTTGGCAGGGTTGGAGGAAGAACCGGGCAGGGTCATACCCATGGTCTCAATAGCGGTAGCCATGGTGTTGGCAGTGTACATACCACCGCAGGCACCCTCACCGGGGCAAGCGTGACGAATAACGTCGAAACGCTGGGGCTCGGTGATCTCCTTGGCGATGAACTGACCGTAAGCCTGGAAAGCAGACACGATATCGATATCGGCGTTGTTCTGAGTCACGGCGCAACCGGGCTTGATGGTACCACCGTAGACCATCAGACTGGGACGGTTGACACGGCCCATAGCCATGAGGACACCGGGCATGTTCTTGTCACAGCCAGGGATACTAATGTTGGCATCGTACCACTGACCACCCATCACGGTCTCCACAGAGTCGGCAATCAGATCACGACTCTGCAGGGAGAAGCGCATACCGGGGGTACCCATACTCATGCCGTCACTGACACCGACGGTGTTGAACTGGAAGCCAATGAGGCCCTGGTCCTGGACACCCTGGCGCACCTTGTTGTTCAAGTCGAGCAAGTGCATGTTGCAAGGGTTACCGTTGAACCAGACGGACGAAATGCCGACCTGGGCCTTGTTCATGTCCTCCTCCTTGAGACCGACGGCGTACAACATGGCCTGCGAGGCACCCTGGGACTTGGGTTGGGTGATGGTGCGAGAGGTCTTGTTAAGGGCCTTGTCCTCATTTTGGAAGCGGGGGAGGGTAGTAGAGAGAGTGCGGCTATTGAGGGAGAGCGAGTCAATGGTTAGCTAGGGGAGCAACAGCTATCGAGCAATTGGGTGAGGAGTCTGGGGAAACGCACACAGTCGCAGTGGACCGGGTCAAGCTCCGCAGAGCAGCGGGCACGCGCGCCCGAGTTTGAGGCAGCATTGTGATGGGAGGAGGGTTGGAGAAGGAAAGCAACCCGAGGAACCACGACAATGATATGGCTAGAGGAAGAAGACGGTGGGGGGGGAAATGCCGGGGTCACCAAGAAAGCAAAAAATGGGCGGAAGCTCTGGAAGTCGGAGTTGGTGCGTTTCTCCCCGGCTCCACCTCCTCCACCATCCAATCTTGGGCCCGCAATTGTCATCCTGGAGGTTATTATAAGTACATATTCGAGTACTACATTAAGGATAATCGGAATAATCCATTGGCTATGTAGATCATCACTGCATAACATCGCCACATACATCGATCTGGATTTATTCTCGGAAAGATCACCGAACTATACGAGGCTCCATTAAGGCCTGAGTCATTGTGGAGCTCCGGCCTTAGTATGGTTTCCAATATCTCTACGAAGTACCGGTAATGTTGTACAGAAAGATCATTCGTTTCTCGCATTTATCTCTCAAATCTACCTTGAATGGCAAGGTGCATGTTTATGTAGTAATATGGGTATAACAGCTGGTCTAGCCACAGGCATAACGGTAACAATGTAAAGAAAATTCCAAAATCCCAGTTGACCTCATCGGTCATGTCAATATGCCTCGTAAAAATAGAATCAAAAAAAGGAAAGCCACAAAAATGGGTGGAAAGAAGGGAAATTATATGCAAATGGAGAAAGTGTTGAAACAAAAGGTAAAAATGGAGAATGGAAGAAGAGAAGAGGAAAGAAGCGAAAGGGAGTAGTGTAAGGAAAAGAATGAAATCAACAAAGAAGTGAAGGAGACCAGCTCTATGGCACCTCTTTGTCGCCTCGTTTGAGTCCGGCAGGGACATTGATGGCATCTCGCACCCACGGAATGGATGCAATCTCATCGAGCGTCTTCCGCTTGGTGTTGCGCTTCAGTAGGCCCTCGACGCAGTGCTGAGCCCCGTCTAGACCCTCGGCCTTTTCGGGGTCCCACTCTTCATCCTCGTTGGCATACCGATACCAGCTCCACTCGCAGCGGGCGATCCGGTGAGGAGTGCGCGCACGGAGCTTGGCCGGGTCGCCACGGGTACCGGGAAGCACGTCAAATGGCAGACGGTTCTCCATTATGGCATAGAGTAGCACACCGAGAGCCCATGCATCCGTCGCACGGCCATCATACGGTTGGCCCATCAGAATCTCAGGAGCGGCATAATCCTCACTACCGCAACGAGTCTGCAAGAGGGGACTCTCTGGTGGCTCGGGGATGCGTCGAGATAGTCCAAGGTCACTGAGAGTAACCACGGCGCGATCATATGTGCTCCAATCCGTCACAGAGTCCACGGCGGGGATTGGCATGGTCAAGAGGACGTCTAGAACAAGGGTTAGTAAAGCTCAGACGAAGATCTTTCGGTTTAGACTGACTCTCGAGTTTGATATCCCGATGAACGATATAATTGGAATGCAGATAGCGGACTGCATCAACCAACTCGGCGAAGACACGACGAATCAGGCCCGGTGACATGGGTCGGTGGCCCGAGGTTGCGAATTCAAAGAGATCTCCACCGGGACAATAGTCCAGCACCAGCAGGGCGCGCTTTTCATCACTGCCGAATGCCTTCAATTGAACCAAGGAAGGATGGTTGACCGATTTCAAAATCTCAACTTCGCGCTTCAAGGAGACCTCTACGCGCTCCTCATCGGCTCCACCAGCTGGACCATGCTCGATGATTTTCACTGCAACCAACTTCTGAGTGGTTGCGATGGGCACAATGTCACCAGCACCATCGGTATCCGGAGAGAGAGGAGCTTCGGGCAATTGCTCCACTCGAGCAGCAAGGCTGACCTGGCTGAACGTGCCTTGGCCCAACACTCGGATCTTGCGATACAACCGGGCTTGCTGGGTGCGAACCGACTTGACCGAATAGATTTCCTCCGACTTGGAGAGTGGTGTAGGGTGGTGGATGATAAGCTCGGTGTCGCTATCACCGTAGCCACTTCCACTACTGCGGGGAGGACTGGGAGGGCGCACGGTTGGCAAGGCGATGCCACGATGGACAGCTAAATACTGCTCCCGGTGCAGTCCCGTGGATTTGGAATCGGTGCTCGACGAGGGGGCAATGCTTGGACCAGTACCAGAGACCGCAATCGGGCGAGGCACAGACATGCGACCTTGGGGCGCATAGTCACTGAGACTGCGATTGCGCGAATGGTGCTTCGGGTGTGAATCGCGACGGGCGCAATTCGACGGTGATTCTTGTCCCGGGTTATCCAATCCGTTGTATGATTTATTATTTCGGGATCTGGATGACGACGTGACTGGAGGACCTAGCATCTGGGATGAGTCACTCAATCGCAAACTCGAACCGCTGCGCGACGCTGTGGAAGACGTGCGAGATAAGGACGGCAAGTCCCCGCGCCGCCAAGGTGCCGCCCCGCCGATAGGCGACGGTAACGGGGTAATGTCGCCCATAGCGTTCAGCTGGGGTGAGGACATGATGGAGGCTGGGGATAAAGAACCGGCACTCGACATGGGAGGCGCGACGAGGGCGCGCAAACTCGGGGTGCGCTGCAGGAGGCTGGAGGACAGACTGGTTGAAGCCAAGGGATCGGAATCACGATGGGAGCTGGTAGGACGAATGCTGGGTAAATCGGTGCGAATCTGCAGTGATGGCAGGCCTGGTATGGAAGAGTTGAATATGGAAGGCACGTCTACAGGTGCAGAGGGAGCCGGAGTAGAAGCCAAGGACTCTTGCGGATGTTCCGACGCATCGGCCCCATGACTGCTGGAAACGGCCTCGTGTGAGGCTGGCAGGGTCTGAGGGGAAATAATCGCCAGGCCTGACCTGGCGGTCGGTCCGGACTCGGGGGTCACCATGGACGTGAGGGTGCGAAAACGGAAAAAGGGTCCTATGGAAAGGAAGAAAAAAATGAAGGGCGAATCGAGACTTGGAGAGCGTAGATAAGGTGTCTCAGCCTCCAGACCTAATAGGGCCTTAGCGTGGGGAGCAGACCCGTTGAGGGTCAACGGTCTAACGGTTCGAGGCGAGCATGTAAGAGAGAAGAGAGAGAGAAAGAGAGGGAGGACAGGAGATGGAGAGACAGAAGCAGGCAGAAAAGAAGAATGAACCGAAAAGAGTCACGACGAATAAATTGCACGAGGGAAAAACGCGGCCGAGCAAATTGGATGACGATCGAAATGGAAAACCGGAAGGTCAGCTGACGGATTCCCCGCATTGGGGCACCTGATTGATTCAATTAGTTAAGTACGGAGTATAGTTAGTTATATACAGAGGTTATTCAGCATTTATTACTACAGAGACTAAATAACTATTCTTAGTCGCTTCGCGTATACTTAATCTTCCATGTCAAGGCAACCACCGGTCGGAACTCCAATTTCTGTGTCCTCCGAAGGAACCCGTCCTCATACAAACAATAATTAAACTTCCTCCTCCCCCAGAAATTCCTGAAATAGAGTCACCCTCCCTTCTCCAGATATCAATACGAGCTCACATTATTTTTACCTTTAGGGTCTTGGAACCAAATGCAGTTTACCAGCCACCCTTTTTCGCCAAGACCAAAGTCAAAAAGATGGCTCTCTCCCCCTCGTTCCACAATTTCCAGTCCGCCCTGCAGACGCAGGGGCCAAGTTGGGATGCGCCACGATGCCCATGAATGTCAAACGCTGACGACGAGGTGTGCGCCAAGGAATCCGAGCCTCGTCGGTGGCTCACAAGATGCATTCTACGCCGTAGCTGGGATTCTACCAACAGTTTGAATTTGGATTGAATATTCTAGCACTAAATAGGTAATGCAAGGACTGGTAGTAGGTCAATGATGGATACTAGCAATGCCCTAAATAATGACATCAAAGATGGATCAATCGATATCCACCTCCAAGAGCTTAGCTATACGAACCGGTTCCTTCACTGCGGGATTTACCGAGTCCATCGAGCCAATCATCAAGGGTATCCGATCGCAGAATAATGGAGCGCATCCCAATCATTACGTAGGGGTAAGCTCGGGTTACCAGATTGGGGGCCATTATTGGCCCATCGATAAAAGAGATGGCTGGGAGGGTTATGCTCGGACTTTATCACTCTTGTGTGGAAGAACCGCAGTTCACCTCATAGTCCTTACGGATATATTATCCTTTATACAGTATCCTAGGTTACTATACTCTAGATCGATTATTCGAGCCTTGCATTCAGCCTCCAACTCGTTCATTCGTCCATCGAATTTGCACTTCAACAAATAGCGAATATCCATAACGCAACAAAGAAACAAAAAATCATTTGAATAGTAACATTATCAATTTATTCCATTCCCTCACATCATGCACTTCCCCCTAAAACCGATTCTCCGGAACAATCAACTGCCCCGCCAACTCTCCATATGCACCCTCAACCTCACTAATCATCCGTCCCTGAATCCAGTATCCTTTTCCATTACCATCCTCCGCAGTGGCAGCCACAATAATCGCCCACGCTGCATCGTCCGGCGTACTTTTCAATGTGTCGGGGTGAGTAGTCGCCTGGAGACCCTCCACCATGGGAGTCAACGTCAACCACGGGGCAATCCACGAAATAGACACCCCCGCCTCAATGACTTCGCTGATCTGCGCAGTACTACGGGCAAGGCCGAGAACCGCGTGTTTGCTAGCGGTGTAAAGTGGCTGCGATGAAACGGGGACGTAAGAGCCTGCAGACCCAACGATGACGATTCGCCCTCGGCCGGTCTTTTTCATATGATGAATACCCAGTTTCAGGCCAAAGACCACGGAATTGACATTCACATCGAAAGCTTGAGTCGAGGGTCGTTGGAGTTGACCTTTGCTCTCTTCTTGACCATCAACCTCGTCGGAGAGATAATAATAGCGAACCTGCGAAGCCATTTGCGCCTGCTTCTCTGTATCGGAAGTCTGCAACAGTGTAATCTCGGGGTTGATAGCCGCATTACAGACCAGCAAATAGACATCACCAAGAGTCTTCCCGACATGATCGAAAAGCGCTACCTGCTGATTCCAATCGCTCACATCACAGGCTTTATACGTCGCTCCATTGCCGATAGTTGCACACGCCGTCTTCAGGGCATCCTCGTGCAAGTCTACCAGGACCACGCGAGCGCCATGTTGTGCGAGAAGAGATGCAGTTGCAAAGCCAATGCCACGAGCTGCACCGGTCACGATGGCTACGCGGTTCTTGAGGAGGTTGTGGACGGTTTCGCCGTCAGGTCTGGGGATGGTTGTCATTGTGGAGAGGATAGAGGGTCTGGGAATGAGTTGAAATGAAACGATGTATGAAAAGGTCTATTATGAAGGGTGGCTAATCCCGGTTTATATGCGTTGGCATTCTGTCTAGGCCCACACGGATCTCGGTCTATCCGTTTCCCGCCTACTTCTTGCTAGTACTCAGGTCTTTAGCCGAAAGCGAGGCAGACTCGATGATTTACCGGGTCTAAGTACTCGCGCATGCAATCTTCATCTAGTTGATTGTTCGTCTTAACTTGCTATCTCATTCAATAGGCTCATCCCTCCATGCACATGCACCCCTGGTCCCAGTTCAAAAGCTACTCATAGCCCTATCTCGATTCCCAATAGCCTGCTGTGTGACACCAGCCAACGGTGCAAAGGCCTCAAATCCATGCGGGAGACCAGGATAAATATGGCACTCAGTAGGGATATTAGCCTGGACAAACTTGCGCACATATTCAAGTCCCTCATGCACAAAGATATCCAACTGTGGGCAATCTAGATATAAGGATGGAAGACCTGCAACCCTCTCTACCCTTGCTGGTGCAGCGTACGCCTCAACCTTGTCCGTTCCTGCATCCGGGCCGAGATATGCTGTCCAACCGGTGATATTGTCAATTTCGGTCCAGAATGCTAGTTCGCCGGCGTGGTTGGTGGTTGTTCGGTCGTCCAACATGGGATAGATGAGGATTTGCTTGGCGATTGGCGGAGACAGAGCTGTATCGCGAGCTTTTAGGGTCAACGCCGCAGCTAATCCACCTCCTGCACTTTCACCCATCAACGCGATGCGAGAAGGATCGATAGAGTGTGATGCAGCATTGTCATATACCCACTGGAGGGCAGCCCAACAGTCATTCAGAGGAACTGGGTATGGATGTTCTGGAGCAAGTCGATAATCGATTGTCAAGATTTGAACACCCGTACGCGATACAGCTGCAATATGAGGTACTGAGCACTGCTCTGCCGTCAAGGATATATATCCTCCTCCATGGATGTGCACAATAGCCGGCTTTGCACCGCCGTGAGCGGCGCTCCGCTGACGGAAATGATAAATCACCACTTGGTGACCCTCAGCTGTCGGAACTTGGTGAACTAACTTCTCAATGTCCTCTGGGAGTGGAGGTAGATCGTTCGTCATGGCTGCCAGCAGGGCTCGTCTGGTTGTAACATCATGGAGTGGCGGTTTCGGGACCTGTGCGAATTGTTGTAGCACTGGACCAGCCTCTTTGAGGAACTCGGGATGATACTGTAAAGACATTGTAACGGTAGTAGAACGTGTGTGATCTAAAGGGAGTCCAACAAGAAGGATTTCTCTTGGTTTCGCCTGTACTGCGCAATTTATCCTGACTCTCTCACCTTCGGCTTCTAAATCTCCGCATCCGCTTTGTCCCCGCAACATCCCAATTCACTTCTCTCTATTTTCCAAATTAGTACACTGTCAAACAACTTCTGACCTTTTTCTCCGCGATCCGAGCAATCTAACTTTGCTGGATTCCCTCGGAACGGATTGATTCCCGTCCCCGATATATATCCCCACGGCTCCACTTCACTCGTGTGGGGAAAGAACCTTATTCTTTGGGTAGTTGACAGCGAGGTGAAGATTACCCACCCGCACTCATCCACTCTACACAATACTAGGCAAGGATTCGGACCCGCGTCTCTTCTAATTGTCCAAGACAGCTTACGTATCCCAACCATGTCTAGGTTTAGCCTTAGCCACGGATTAGATTGGTTTCGTACGCCATGAAAACTGAATGCAGAATGACTCTCCAGTTGCCCGATTTCGATGAACTCCCACCAGTCGAAGGCATGCCCCAGGGATGTGCATGGGGTGTTTTCGATAAAGATGGTCGAAGGGACATGTTTGGTACCCTGAACCTCTTGACGACAGAGGTAGTCAAGGCTGCGACTGCAGAGGTTCGAAGGGGAATCTCCATCTCTCTTAAGTGAGTATTACTTTGTACGTAGAATTTACGACTTGCTGAATCCTTGCGTAGCTGGCCACTTGGCAGCATCAGGAATCCCAATTTCTTCCGAAAGAGCCTTACTCACAAGGTTATGAAACTGGAGGATGGGGAGACTGATTCACACTATGGGTTTGACGACGAGGTAGAAGATCAATATTCTATTCATCATCATATACAGAAAACTGCTAACGCATCATAGGTCGAGTTCAATACTCAAGCAAGCAGCCAGTGGGATAGTCTCTGTATGTTTCAAACGAACAATAACTTCAAGATCAAGTCTAACATCTAAATGGGCCACTTCTTACACCTTCCTTCTGGAATGGCTTACAACGGAATGAAGCCCACCATTGATGAATTACAAAACTCCGCCACTGCCACCGAAAAATTTCCCACTCTCGATAGTAAGTTCCATCCTACTCTTTATTAAATCCACCTCTAAACTTCACAGAATGGCACAAACGAGGCTGCATCGTCGGCCGCGGCGTACTAATCGACTACAAATCCTACGCCGACCACCACGACATCAAATACTCCCCCTTTAGCGGCCACCGCATCAGCCCTTCCGACATCGAGACCGTAGCCGCATGGCAAGGCATAAAATTCGAATCCGGTGACATCCTGATCCTCCGATTCGGGGTCACCGAGGAACTTGGCAACATGACCGCCGAAGAACAAGCCAACGCCATGTCTAGCCACCATGCATGCGGTCTGGAAGGTACCAAAGAGATGGCCCGGTGGATTTGGAACAAGCATTTCGCTGCAGTGGCCAGCGATAATGTTGCAGTTGAAGCTATGCCGCCGATGGTTGATGGTGAAGAGAAACCGTTGACTCAATTGGTTTTGCATCAGTGGTGTTTGAGTATGTTTGGTCTTCCGCTTGGGGAGCTGTGGTATCTTCAGGAGTTGGCTGAGCAGTGCTCGGCTGATCGAAAGTGGTCTTTTCTGTTGACTTCAGCTCCGTTGAATGTGCCGGGGGCAGTAGGTAGTCCAGCTAATGCATTGGCTATTCTTTGAGGAAGATCATTGAGTATCATCAGCTTCGTTGAAGCTATTCAGTACTTGACGAATTAAACAAGACAAAGATTAGTTCCCTACTCGTAGACACAAACATTTCTTAAAAAGCATCAGGCATATGACATTCAATTGACGACAAGGAAAGCTTTCACAATGGTTCATTTGATCTATCAACATACAAATCTTTTCAACAATAAATCAAGACTAGAGCAATGTCGAACAGGAATAGGTTCCAAAATCTACATATCCGAAAAGACCATGACCACATATTTTCTATCACGGCGATGTATGAAATCCATTCCACTCCTCCAACGCATCCGTACAACACTTCCACCAACTCGGTATCCCACCAAGCCAAACAAGCGGCTCCCGTCTCTTCCCAGGAATATTCGCACCCATATACCACGAGTCCGTCTTCGGGTACAGGGTACGCTGACTAGCCTGGAAGACCTGCTCGCGCCATTGCTCGGCAGCTTGCTGTGTAGGTTCGATTGATTCAATGCCATTATTTTGCATCTTCTCAATAGCCTTGCAGATCCAGTCCACCTCCATCTCGATGAATGGCGGGCCATTCGCGAGAGAAGTTGGGGCCTGCGGGCCATACACCATGAACAGGTTTGGGACATCGGGGACCATCAGGCCGAGATGAGTGAGAACGCCGTTCTCCCACTTTTCAGTCAGAGATTTCTGGTTTTTGTCCGTGACTCCCAGGTCCAGAAGACTGCCGGTGACAGCGTCGTATCCAGTCGCAAAGATGACCACGTCTAGGTCATGGTGGTGGAGGTCATCTCCCCTGCCGGTCACAACTCCAGAGGCGTGAAATTCCACGATGGGCGCCTTTTTGAGATTGTGGAGTGTCACATTTGGACGATCAATCATCTCATAATAATCCTGCTCCAGACTCGGTCTCTTTGTTCCCACAAACATATGCTGTTTCAATGGAGCCACAAGATCCATCTTCTCGGTGTTCGTCATGCGCTGGCGCACTTTCTGAACCCAGTAGTCATAGAAAAAGCCATTCGTCTTCTCATCAAGCAAGAAATCATAGTAATTCGAGACCAAGAAGCTGTATCCACCGCGAGCCCAGAGCTCGTCAAAGAGCTCTTTGCGCTCTTCGGGTGTAGCCTGATGAGCCGATTGATAGCGGGTATTGTGGGGGAATCCAGCTGCAGATTTGTAGCAGCGGTCAAAGATACCCTCGTAGTAGCCTTTCATCATTTCAGCTTCTTCAAGTGTAATGGAGCGCTGGTGCATGGGAATGGTGAAGCAGGGCGTGCGAATGAAGACATTCAATTCGCATTCTTCCTTGGCCAAGGTCTGCACGATCTGTAGGCCCGAGGCACCATTTCCGACAATCCCGACTCGCTTGCCTTTCACATCCAAGGAGTCTGGATAGTCCGCTGCATGGACGAGTGTCCCCTTGTACGTCTCCAAACCCTTGAACTGCGGGTAATGCTTCTTGTACGAAGAGCCGGTGGCAGCGATGACATACTTGCACGTAGCCGTCAAACCCGTGTCGGTCTGCAAAGTCCATCGCCGCGAGACAGGATTATACTCCGTCTTGGTCACGATAGTACTGAAGACCGTATCTTTGCTCAGACCCAACACATCGTCCACATGTTGGAAGTATCGGCGCAGTTCATCATCCCCAGGGAATCGTTCTGAGAAATTCCATCCTTTCCAGACGGCAGGGATATTGAACTGATAGGATGGTGTCTCGGAGTCGACACGCGCGCCCGGGTATCTATTCCAATGCCAAACCCCTCCAAAGGCGCTGCCGGCTTCGATCAGCTTGACGGAGAGGCCGAGGTTGCGTAGTTTATAGAGGGAGTTGCATCCTCCAAAACCGCCGCCAATGACAATGGCATCGGTTTCGATATGAGGGCCGGCTCGAGTCATTGTTCAGGATTTAGAGACAGAACCAAAGAAATCGGACAAGAAACTGCGAAATTGCAAATATGTTCAACCTGGAGACTGGGACGAAGCACCTTTTCATCCATCTGAACAACTAAGCCAGCACGGAAGTTGCTCGCCCGCCGAATCTGAGACGGAGACATGATATCCGAAGCCGTTGACTTCCATTTTGCACATTCTTCTGTGCAATGGCAATCAGAGTAGTATATTCATAGTTAGTAGGCACATAGTTCTAGCAATGAAACAGGAAATCAACCGCGAGAAGGTTTGCCACTTCGGCCCACTTGGGCCCCACACGACGCCACAAGCGAAGCGCATGGACGGCAGCGGCAGCGCCTGGGATGATCCGAGGAGAGGAAGTCCTCCCTGGAATTGCGGAGGTTTCAAGATGAATTTTTGGCTCGGAATCTGTCAGGTCCGGATCCGTTCCAGAAGGAGCGGTACGATTTGCGACGGATGTCAAGTCTGTGGCACCGGTGGAAGGGTGCACAGGATGGAGTCGGTCATTAAACGGAGAATCACTTGTAGCCTCGTACCGGAATGCGGGTAATTTGTCTTGCCCTAACGATGTTGAATAGAAATACATAGACTTCAAGCGCTCCAGATTGCATAGACTCGTGACTTCAACGTGCAAGCGTTTTCTTCGGCGGAGAATCTTCGTTCTTTCTTCCTCTTCTCTTGAAGCTCCTTTCCCCATCTCCACACTCAAGACTCAAACATCTTACCAAACTACAACCATCAACAAACCTTCCAAGCAAATCACCAAGAAATATGCCGTGTCAAGTCAAGGGAACGGCATTCATAACCGGCGGCGGCTCAGGAATCGGCAAAGCCACCGCTGTATCCTTCGCCCAGAACGGCATCCAGTCCATCGCCCTAGTCGACCTAAACCTGCCTCTTCTCGAAAAGACGCGTGACGAGCTCCTCGCCCAGTTTCCGACTATAAAAGTGGAGGTACTCCAAGCAAACGTTGCAGATGAAGCATCCGTCGAGAACGCAGTGCGCGAAACAATCGAGCGCTTCGGCGGTATCCATATTGGTGTCAACTGCGCTGGAATTAGTGGCACGCCCACGCCGACTGATCGGATGACGCTGGCTGAGTGGCAGAAGGTTATCGATGTCAATCAGACTGGGGTCTGGCTTTGTCAGAGAGCATTGCTTCGGCAGATGCTTCGGCAGGAGTACGTGATACTTCGTGAATTTAGATTTGGTAATGAGCTCTCTGACTTAAAAGTAGGTCGCGCGGTGAGCGTGAAGGACGAGGCGTCATCGTGAATGTCTCGTCGATGTTTGGCGTTAGTGGCCCTCCTGGGCCGTTCGATATTCCCCACTACACAGCTGCGAAACATGGTGAGTACGGCGATTTCCCTTGATTCTGTCCATTTGACTAACACGAGCAGCGGTGGTGGGTTTGACCAAGATGGTAAGATATCTGAAATTCTATATTATCATCTAGTTGTATGGCTAAAACAAGACAGGACGCAAAAGCGTACTCACGACAAGGAATTCGTATTAATGCAATCTGCCCTGGGTAAGTTCCCAAACTCCAACTGGCTCTCTACGTGTCTAGCAGAGTCTCACACGGGTTTGCAGATTTGTCGATACTCCCATCATTAAACAGCAAATCGAATCTGGGTCAATGAACCCAGCCTTCGAGATGACGCCACTTGGACGGCCAGCGCAAGTGGAGGAAATTTCGGACGCGATACTTTTCTTGTCCTCTCCCATGAGCAGCTACATGTGTGGTGCAGCGCTGGTCGTGGATGGAGGATTCACCGTCTAGATCCTAGAGTAATACTCGAAGAGAATTTGTCTCATACTCATACACTGATTTTCCTATTATATACAAGAAGACTGTAATAAGACACACCCGCGTAAATAGCCAGCATCTATACGAGCATAATATCAAAGTCCGCCTCTTTCGCAATCTCTTGCCAGTTGATATCCTTATCCGGGTTCTTCCCACGTCTCTGCCAAAGCTCTTGAACGATCTCGCCAAGGATATTGATATTTTGAATGCCATGGCGGATCTTGCGATCGAATGAGGCCAGCATGCGAGCACGGAGATCTTCCCGTTGACATTCGGCAGCGACTACAAAGCTGGCCCAGTTATAGGCACAGCCTCCTTTGTCGTTACTCAATGAGTCAACAGCCTCTAGCTCTTGAACAGCTTTCTCGACGAGATCTTGGATCTCACAGAGTGGCGCATGACGCAGTGTTCGACGGAAGTAGATGATAGTGGCATAGTAGAAAGAATTCAGCGCGTGCTGGATAATGATTGACCCGGGGGCATCGGGTGTCGACAGGGACGGGAAGTTGAGATAAAGTTGTAACTCGAGATGATCCAGCTCGGCTGTGGATATTTCGTGGTATGATTCCGCGAGGAAAGTGATATGTGCGAGGAATTGGACCAGGGGTGCGGTGATACCGTGAGATCGTTCCAAATAGTGCCGTAGATCCGGTGACCCATTCAATAACGACATCAGCTGTGTCGATAGGGGTAGACTGCAAAGCGAGGAAAGTGACAGATAGCTCTGTAGCAGACGAGAAGCAATCGGTCCCGGGACCCAGCCTCCATGGACCTCGTTCTCTAACAGACCAAGTCCACCAGCAACATGAGTTCTCCATCGACTCCTCCGTCCGGACATTGCTTCGGCGGTAATGCAAGTCAGGACAGCAGCTAATGTGGGCTCGTCTAGCCGTTTAGCTCGTTGCAGGTTCTGGCGCAAATGACGCAAAGCCAGTTGGTCATGGTACATGGCCACAGATTGATACCGGGGATCTCGGCGCAGGTGGAAAAGGCTGAAGGCGGAGGAGGCACATATAGCGTGGAATATAGAGAGATGAATATTGGACTCATTTGGTGCTGCATCAAGGCCTTTGAGGGCCATAGGCATGAAGATCGTCCTGCAGGGGTTATCGGGAGTATCGATCAACAGCATGTTGCCACTTAGAAAGACCACCCAGTGGTGAACAAGTTCTGTTTCGGACCTCGGGAGTTGTACAGGATTGATGGCCATCGAAAGATGTATGTTCCTCGATAATGATGGTATCGATACAAGGTCTTTGGATTGACTCTCATCAAGAGGATGGTCCACGCGAGAATTTTGGCAATCGGCTAGCGAAACCCCCTCCGCCCGATCGTTGTCACTTGAACTGGGAGAATCGGACGGCATGGGCGAGGGCCATTTCTCAGAGCTGGATTCACTGCAACTAGTCGACTGAGTCGGCATGACCGGGATGGAAATGCATCGATCAATAGCATCGTCTGAACTCTCCGTAGTATGCGACGGCGATGGATTCGAACTATTTCTGTCCGTAGCTTCCGTAGATACTGGTTCATCCGATTTAGGGCTAGACGTGGAGAACACCGTGAAAGGCCCACGTTGCTGCGACGAGCCATCACCAGACCATTCATCCAGCTCTGCTAAGAGGGCCGTCACAGCCGCCGAGGATAAATCGTGCGCCGATTGTGGAGCAGACTGCCATATTTGCCGCCGTTGGGATCGAGTCCCCGGTGTTTGAGACCATCCCAGACGCACGCCATACCCCTGACACTGCCAGCCGCTTCGGCGACAGCGACGACAATGGGGCCGCTCGTCATCGCACTTGACCCTGCGGGCCCGGCAGGTCCAGCAGCCCGTGAATGTCTTTGTGCGTAATTTGGGAGTCTTCACATTGGTGGCTTGTGAGTTATTCGGCATCCCCACGAACTTGGTGTGAGTGAGAGTTTGTGGTGGGTGTTCGGGAGGTCGGCGAGGGCTGGCCAAAAATCAAAATTAATTCTTCAAAATTTGCCTCCCCGCATCGGCACCCGCCGGTCCCGATCTACGAGGCTTGACCCCTGGATCGTCACTCTCCATATATTAATCACGGCTAGCCTTTCCTAACTGGGTGTGAATTGTTGTGGCATTGTGTAACTGCCTATTCGATAAGTTATTTCATTTTAGAAGGTCAGTGGATCTAACATAATTGGATCATTTTTCTTCCATGGTGTCTTGGAAAATATTGGCAAAATCAGACTTGTCGATGAAGCTATTCCTAGGAGTCAGATTATTTTCTTTGCCAGTCCTTGGCTTTCCCTTTCCGTTTTAGTGCTCAAACTCTCGCTGCTTTTGCTACTTAGTAGACAGCCTGACTACCATGCTAATCATGATACTAAGATTGTCCGCGAGCAGTTGTTATGTCTAGGCATATACAGTGCAGTCTTATAGGCTTAAAACCCCTTAACTGCACTTCTAAATCATTTTATAAGTTATATTTTAAAAGATGAATCGAGAGATCTTACTAGAAACCCTCTCAAAAGATATTTCGAAAGACCTTTAGAAAGACCTTTAGAAATAGAGGCGGTTGGGGCCTATTAGTTAGGCCTTTTTCTTTCCAGCTCTCATTTCAAATGTTTGAATTATCACTGTACATACATAAAGGATTCTCCAGATATCGAATCTAAGGTTCGTTCTTAATGGGGTTTAGCATCGTGATACCACGAGGGTTTCTTGTAGTGCCATGAGTATGATCATACAATAAACCGTATACTTAGCAGATTCATCCCTGCTAGTCGATGTAGTGTTGACATTATGTCCGTAGCTTTCTGTTCCACAACAAAGGACGGATTGATTTAGGTAGGTAAGGTTTGGTTTGATCTGGATCATACCGGTAGTAATTTACAGGGTGATTGCAGATGAGATTTCGCAATCTTTTCTCTCATTGTTGAATGAGACTGTCCTGATAAAACCATTGCTCATCAAACCACTTACAGAAGACGAATGTACCTGTATCTCAATTCTACGGGGGTATCTCCATACTATATAGAACAGTACGCCGATTGGGTAATAAATTTGACAAATCAGAGAGCCAAATTTAGTGATAAAAACAATAAACAATGATAGAGAGCCTGAACATGTTGATGGTTATACGGATCACACTGTAGAGAGTGTTACTGATACCTCTGATGTTTGATTATCCATCTTTACGCGTTAAAATTTTAACCCTACATTGACAGAGTATATGCCTCAACGACCATAGCTTACTTTTAAGTTACTAGTCATGATGCTAAGGAGGTGTTGCTACAATATATCGATCGATTTGTATTAAGGAATACGGCTACTGCAGACCAGACCGAAGAACTTCCATATGAGAGCCAACATGGCCGTTTTTGCAGGTATCATAATCTTCGGCAGTCTTATCATAACTCGATCAGTTCAGACACCGCATGTTGTATCTGCTGATTTGGGTCCTGTTTGAAAGAAGCATATGTCTGGTTAAACTCACTATCAGTGAGTTTTGAAAGGGCGATATAGAGGTCATTCCATTCTCGATTGGCGCGTTCCCTCATGACCTTTGCCAAATCCGTAGCGATTAGTCCCTGCTCTATAAGTATTCTGCCACCCTCCTGGCACCTTTCGGCCACCTGAAGGTAGTCAACTCCGGTCGGTCTCTGCTCGGCGCAGAAGATGTCGAACTCCTCGTCCATGTCATCTAGCCGTTGCAGTAGAACCCGGCGAGTATGCTCGTTCTCCATAATCCAGGCAAGTGTATCTTGGCTGGGCTGGGCTGAATAGTATGGTGGAGGTGGGTCGTGGTACCCGGGGGCTGCCTGTGATCCTAGACTCTGAGTAGATAGCCCGGACATTTGTGGAGATGATCGAAAGTTTTTAGTATTAAGGAGGGGATAGAAGCTTTGAGGTAAGTGAGATTTGGAAATGGACTTTGAATTTGGAGACCCTCGCTTCCACTGCTCTAGCCAGCCGCCGCCTCATACGGATCCTAGAGCCATGGTAGCCCACTCTACTAGATTGATTCGAGCTCTGCTAAGCTAGAAATGCTCTGTATATCCTTTTCAGATAGCGGTAAGCTTCTCTTTAGGAATGGTATACCCTAGAGGTGAGCGCTCTGATCTGATCAGTGAATATTATGTAAGGACTTTGATCTGCTCTCGACCAATAAGGTTAAGTAACCTTCTCGTCTGATCCTCTGATTTACCGAGCATAGCGCCTTGATCGGTAGCAGACTCGATACGCTGCTGAATGTGTCACCTAGTTCATTTCAGTCCGTAACTTCCTTCGAATGTCCCTTAAATCTAGACGGTCTACCATCAAGTGAGTGACTGTTTCTTGTGCGCCGCTCACGCACAAGTTGTCATCACGAAAGCCACAGGTCTCGTAGATAGATAACCAATTGAGGCCTGTGCGTAGCTAGCTATATTAACAAGTGCCCCCTGGTTCCTGGGCAGGCTCCTATCATGTACTAGAGTTCACTCGTGTAAGTTGCTGATAGGGTGCCGTCGATCTTCCATCGATGGCCCGCATTCCCGGCCCCACTGATTGTGGATATTACCGCGAAGGTGCCCACTTGAGAGTACTTTACTGTTACAGTGGCCATATGGCTAAGGATCAGACCGAAGGCTTATGGAGCAACTCACTTAAATTACTGAGACAGAATCGGTAGAATTCTAGCTCATTATTGGCTGCTGTCTAGTGAGACAGGAAGCTACGGAAAATGCCGTAGCGTACAAGACAGGGGCCTGGCCGTTACAACCTTACAGATAATTGACGATACAGTGAATATCCAATAAGCAAACTCGGGTTATTTATTGCTAAGTCCTTTCGTGATTAGCCGTTGGAAACTAGCATACGCCACAATAATTACTCCGTAATGATAATGTGAACATAGGAACCATGTGGCCTCCGGGGTCCGGGCACCGGAAGGCACGGCCTTGTCGATTCTATTCGGACGCTGGCTTGGCACCCGCTAGGACTGGGCATCCAGAATGAGCAGCGGAGGCATCGAGAGGCTCGCCCTTGTGTTCCCGCGCAATCTGTCGCATCATATCCATGGGGTCATACCAAACGTCGATCTTCTCCAGCTGAAGCCCCTCATTAACCTTGGCAATGACAATGCCAACGATATCGATCAGTCCTCCATGTGCTTTGATCTTTACACTCTCACCGCGGCTAAAGATAAGACCTAGTCAGCGAGGCCCCTCTCGTCGAAAAATTAGCTAGGCCTAGATGGCAACTCACTCATTGTTTCCGATATAGTCATTGACCATATATCCCCAGTGCCTCCACTTGAAGATCACCACTGGTGGACCACTGTACACTTCCTTGACCTCCCACGCAAAGGTCGGCATCATGCGCTTGAATGCTTTGTGGCTGGTCTCGAAGTCGTTGTGGTTGGGGTCATAGATCGAGCTAGACGTCAAGAGGGCATTGTAGGTGCCGACCTTGAGCATATGTTCTCCGGATTGGGGTTCACCGCCGTTCAGAGAGAAGGCGTAGGTTTTGCGATCGATGGTACGCCAGTCATCAAGGGAGGTCTTGAAGGAGGCTTCGATCTCCCAGTTCTTCACGAGTTTCTCAACTAGGTCCGGCAAACTTCCAGCCTCGTGGGACATAGTTTTGGCTACGCATCTTGAAGTCAGTAGATGGGCGCAGATCAGATCTCGGATTCATCCATGGAAACTTACTTTCTTGATAGAAAGCCCGGGTCTTGGAGTAGTCAGGGGCCTTTCCATATCGCCATGAAGCCGCGTCATCCTTTAGAACTGCATTCTCGTCAAGAACATAGTCTGGAAGTCCTTGTTCGTTGGCCATTTTAGGGAAACTTGTCCTCTGTCGTTTTTCTTTCTTCTTTCACCGGGGTTGAAGGGGTAGTGCGAAGAACTAGGATAAACTGACGGCAAGGCATGGGGGGGTTCAATGTCTATATAGTCCAAGCCCCTCTACGTTACAGGGATGTCATTTTAATTAATTCTGATGACACGGCCGTGAGTTCCTATCCCCTTCCTAACGCGGGAGAATTTGATGCGGCGGACAGGGGGAGCATCACCTTTCCCAATTCGCTCATGGTCGATACGTTAGGGCGAATTCAATCAATCCTCAGTCATGCGGACCATATATTCCAGCCTCGTCGAGACCCGAACGTTCCCATCGTTAACTACGTAACAGCTCAATTGTAACGTAAGTTGTAATATTCTTTGATATTATCGCCTCGGCCAAAGACTGTGTAGTTATCCCCAAATTGAGAATCCTTGTGAACGAAGCGGTTCTAGCCGATTGGCTCGTTCGGACCGCTCGCGTTTAGCGAGCGCTCCATTTTTCTCATTCACCCCCCTGCCCAGTCTCGCTTGATGCACTGCGGCCGTTTTGTTGACCTACATAATTCATCCCATTGGTGGCCGATGGCACGGCGTAGGTGGATATTAACCTTAGGCCCGTGCAACCCGCCCCGATCAGTATATTAGTTCTCTTGGAGAGGCTAATCGGCACTAAAGTCACCTAACATACGGAAATATTACCATCCTTATTAAGTCGTAATTAGAGGGCGATATCTGTTCGCATTATCGGGCGAATCTTGTTACACTCGCCGGACAGTCGGTAACCTTAATGACTTTCCGATACGCGTAGCATCCTACCAGCCCTTTGTTCGTTGCCTGACTTTAGTTCTCGAAGAGGCCGCGCAGCCCCGAGGAAGGAAAAGGAAGTAATATTATTGCAAAGTCCTATATGCTGTCTGAAGGATAATATCAGAGGCCCAGGGTGGGGGCCTTTCGTGCTGGGTTACATTAATCAATCTAAAATTTTTAGCAAGGTTTTCGTCCTCGGTATTTTCTGATACTGCCTCAACAACCCTGTCGCCTCGTGCGGGCACATGTTAGCAATACACGCAGGCACCTAGGCCTCGACCACTGGATGGTGGGGAACTTGTTGGAAGACTGATTGGACACGGCTGTTTGGCGGTTTGAAACCACAACCCCACGAGTTGGTTCAGATTTTTCTGAGGTCAAAGCTCATTGCTAGTTATTTAATTAGAATGAAGGTGAATCAGATCCCAGGAAGACCGCTTCTTTCTCAAGTACATAAAGGGGAACATTGAAGACTGGGAATTTTGTTGTTCTGGCAGGCAATATTAAATGGGTAAGCCTGCTGCCACCCCCTAAATTTCCCGCGCGCACCCCCTGGGGCCTTAGATCCTGCTATGCCCGTCATGAGTACCGTACAAGTTGGATCTTTCGGAAGGTCTTTTCAGATAGCTTTCCGGATAACCGACATAATATCTCTCGAGCTAAGTAGATAACTGGTAACGATGAACATACCGTAAAACTCCACTATATAGAATAGTTACTATGTATTATTATGCCAGCCAGAAATTTAAGGCCCCAGGGTGCGCGCGGGAAATTTAAAGGGTGGCCGCAGTCTCGCCCGATTTAATATCCTGGACCTGACGCTGCTATATATTACTCCGGGTGGACCACCTCCATCAGGCAACTATCCTCGAGTCATGTATGTATGGCTAGGGAATTAAGCGATAGTAAATCAACTACTTCAATTGAGGGGCCTTGTTTCTAGAAGACTAAATTGACGGGTTTGACCCGAACTGCCCTGCTGAAGACTATAAATGGGAACGGCAAGCCGGTCTTCATGGCGCGATCAGACCGGCGATCCCCACAAAGCCACTGTCCCACCTGCATGTTTAAATGGGGCACCTTGATATTTGATCGGCCGGGTAAAGATAAATCGGAATGACCCGACAACATGTGACGTCAAGGCCCTTGACTAACTAGAGAGGGTTATATTTAGATACAACATCATAATTGTACAGAGTGAGTAGAATAGAAACAAGGGAGCATGTAGATTTTGAGTGAGCTTCAATGAGAAAACTGCACATCATTTCTAGCAAGCTATACTGATGCCGAATTAAGGCTAAAAAATGCCGGTCAAACTTAGGCTCTCGACAGAAAAAGTACGGTGCCATCTCTGACTGGGGAGCTGTTGGAGGCAGTGCTATATCTTTACCCACGCTACAACTATGTATACTAGTCTCTTCTATTTTATTTGGGACTGAATAACCAATTAGCAGTGCTCAATGTTCTAGATTGGCTCCATCGTAAGAAAATAGAACAGTGATCTATCATGAACCCACACCAGACGCGTCACTTGGCCCTCAATAGCCATTCGGACCAGGGCAGCTAGGGCCCTCGATACCAAAGCTGTGAGATAATACCCTCTGTAAGGGCCCTCTATCCACCTTTTATTGGTGTGTGTCATGAGCTTGAGACATTTTGTCAGCTAGAATGGGCTTTTAACACCCAAATAGTTCAGGATATGCAGGAGTTTAGTATAACTATATCCATCATGGCCAACATCGCAATCCGGTTGGTCAATTGGGGAATTTTAGCCCCACGAAGGCTAGAAAAAGAGTGAGGCTGAGTGGGAACATGGAGATAATATTGATGAGATATCGTTTTATCGTTACCGGGTCATTGCTGTATAAGATGGTCCTGAGTTGCTAATTCGCTGTCAGTGCAGTCAAGCAATTTCTTTCGACTTCATTCCACTCATTTAGAAATTCATTCTCTTCCTTTCACTCGCTCGCAACTACTTCCATTCCCCGAATCTGTGCAACAGACGCCATGTCAGTCACTACTACCTCGACCACCACCTCCGCTTCGGCAACCTCCAGCTGTCACGCGAAATTATACGACATCCCCACGCACGATGCCGCCTGCGCAATGCCAATGAAGGGCAATTACTCTGCAATCATGAGCAGCTGTTGCTCCTCGGCTTCTGTCATCGAGTATGACGGGTGCGATTACTACTGCTTGGCTCAAGGCCAGACTGTCGGTGATCTAGCTGAATGCCTCATCAAGGCATCTGAGCCTGGCCAGGTTTGGTGTAACACCAATGCCAATGCCACCGCGACTGCGACTGCGACTGCTATAGGTACTGGAGTTGTCACTCTCAGTGCAACAAGTACCGGCACTGATACCACGGCCTCGGCGACCTCGAGCAGTGCCACTGCGAGCTCGACTGCCAATAGTGCTGGGATTGTCGTACCTCGCCCTTTGACCAAGTCTGCTATGGGCATGATCGGTCTTATGTTGGCTGGTGTGGCAGCGGATTATCTCCTTTAAACTTGCTGAAATGCCGTTCGTTGGTTAAATAGAAGTTTGCAGATTCGCGAATATTTTTGCCTCGGGATGTATCGGATGCTTCAGGATTCGAGATTCGGGGATAAGGAAAACAGCAGTATAGGTCTACATGTTTAATTGAAGTGCCACATTGGAGTCACCTCCGACGGCGGTAAAGAGGTTCTCCAAGTGACTATGTGAAACGGTGTTGATCCACTACGCAATTTGGAGTTTTCCGGATTAATTCCTCGGTAAACGTCATGTAGGTCGGATGTAAAGACATGATATTGGTAATAACTCTTAAAATTCCCGTACACTGAATAGATATATAGACCATGTACATCGGAATTATCTCTCAGAGTTAATATTCTCTGCGCTCAGGGGAAGCAGTCGAATTTTGTCTAGCCTCATGCCTCGGGTTGAATAAAGGGTATGCCCGTCAACTTGAACGCTTCTTCGTCCAGGATAGGTTTGTTAATTGGCTCCGATCGGTTATAAAAATCATCCTTTCCGTTTCGTGTTGCCCTGTTTGAGCCTACATGTTGTGCGTTGGGCCAGTGGGTTGTTCCAAGCCATGCTGCAAGAAGAATTCATAAGCTTCTAGATCCGTATTAGAGTCATATAAGCGACTAAGACTTACACTCAAATGCAGCCTTCTTCTTCTTCAGCTGTTCCTGGGTGACGTCCTTTACCGGCTGGTAGCATGTGTAGATGCAGAATCGTGGTGTGGTGCCCTCGGGTGGTAGATTGTAATGGGGTGTCCGGCTATCCCAGAGAAGCAAGTCTCCTGGGTCCGCAGTGACCTTCACCCATTCACAGCCGTGGTCTGCTAGCCATTGCATGCCTCGTTCCGTGAAGCCATACCATTCCGGGTTCCATGCAGGGATTGGGTCTTCCCATGACATCTCTTTGTGAAATTGTTCGCTCAATAAGTGGGCCCCTTTACAAACAATGAGGCCTCCGTCCTTAGGACCGTTAGGTAGTATATTGACTAGCCCTTGCATCAACCGGAGTCCTGGTTTCTTTGGGTTCTGATCTTGGTGTGGCCATGGTTTATTGGGAGGAAGATCCGTGCGGTTTGGGAATGCGAAATTGACGGCGTCGAACGAAACAATCACATCCTTTTCGCCGTATACCTTACGGAACGCATCAACAACGCCGGGCTCTGATCGAATCCTCCACACAAACTCTTCATGGCTAACAGCATAATTAAGACACATGCCCTTCTCATTTATGACGGGCAATTTATCCGCATGAATGGTCGACGGATCGTTTCGGTCAAAGCCAAGGCCACTATAATAGGTTTTTAGTTTGATTTCTTTAACAACCAGATTGACTGTGACCTTACAATCCTTCCAGCCAGGAGTACATATTTTCTGCGCAAATGTTTGCCGCCTCGGGGGAAACAGCGCCCTTGACGACAGCAAACCCATCACGCTGCAGGTCTTTCTGCCATTGTTCCAAGTCTTCTTCTGCTACAACCTGTACAGTCGCAACAGTTTCGGTTTCCGTGGGGGGCATATCGGAAAGGGACGATATAAACTCAAAAGTATCCGCTTATAGTACCGGGAGAGAGACAAAAGGTTGGTGTTTTTTTTCACTGATACTGAGAATTTTGGGAACTCTTTATTAATGGTAATTCCCGAGGACTCCCTCCACCCGATGCCTTTCTCGCCTTGCTGCGCCGAGTAACCCCCGCAGTTTCCACTCGGATTCCCCTTAAGTTGCCCGCCACATTCTCCGACCCCCCCACATTTTCTGCTCACAATTCCATTAAGAGGATAAGTCTTGAATAAGCATTTGAAGGCTTCAGGCAAAAGATTGGTCCAGTTTTGCGGATACCCTCAAAGAGCAAACCAAGCCACGAAACTTCATTCCACTATGAGAGAGCGAGAGAGAGAACCTCTCCTTTGATCCTTTGCATTTTCTTCTTAGGGGAGTCTCCCACTCTCAACACGAACCAGGAAGCTTGGTACAAGAGGAGTATGATACTGAACAAGCAGTAAGCCCTACAAGAAAGAAGGACGCAAAGGATATTAAGTACTTCTCGTTGCTTTACAAAGAGGTTGAAAATGTCTACTATTTAACAGATATAACAATCTTCTAGTACAGGCTTTGGCCAAATGAACAACGTGTAGATCGAGAAAGATTTATAAAAACGTGTAAATAATAGCAAAAGTTCTATTTGTGACAAATGGAAAACCAGGCCCGGAGTTTCAATCCTCAATCAGCCTTCAAAAAGGTACAAATGGCAGAATGATAGAACTCGGGTGTTCAGGTCCCGAATGGATGAAATGCATTCCCTTGTTCTTCTCCTGGTCCGGCCGCGGAGCAGAGAAGCTTTTGTACTCCGCAAGACTTGGGAATTGGCCACCAATCTGTCATAAGTGGGAAGGTGGAGGTCAGTCAAGTCTTTCATCACGGAAGTAGGAAGGCGACATCGAGCAAACTTACCCTGACACTAATCGATTCACCGGCCTCGAAATCAACACCCATTGCCCAAATACCGATTTCAAGTCGTACAATAGTCCCAGGCGGGATCTTGGCTTCAATTTCATGCGGATGAAATGGAAATTGCGGATGGATGCCTTTCTCAACATCAATAGCTCGATGGGATGCTCGCAAAATTCCCACAGATCCTTGGTATAAATTTGTGCTTTGGCGTTCTTTCTCCGGTATTTCGTCAATGGAGTTGACTGGAGCTGCCCTAAATGGAAAATTCAGACTCAACAGAGGCTTTCCGTTCTTATCCAGTTTTCTCAAAATAATATAGACGTTCATATCGTCATGATCGTTGCAGGACATATGAAGAATCGCCTTTGGCAGGCCGAGAAGCCGGGAGCGCTCAGAGAACGTGTAATCAAATGCACTAAACGACTCGAAATTTTCCGAATCGTGGGAGGCAATAGATGGTGTTGCCGGTAAAGTGTCCTTTAGACAGCCTTTAACCAAGAAGAATTCTCGGTATTGGGTATCAGGTACAGGGAAACCGGGTAAAACAATATTCTCAATAGGGTCCCGGTCGCCAAACTGCAAGCAGGTCCAGCGAACTCGGGGGGTCAGTTCCCATGAGTTCTCAATTCCCTTCAGATAGCGATCAAAGAACGAGGCTAACTCCTCCTCGGCATGGGCATCGGTGTAGAGGTCGAACCATTCCTGGTATCCAGACCATTTGATCCATTTCTTATCGTGAGGGATCTCTAGCCATGCTCTAATACTACCCATAGTATGAATTGAAGAAATATCCGAGCCAGAAATGAATGTGGCGCACTGAATATTCTTCAGATTGGCACGCTTATCGTTCCAGTAGGCATTGGCGATAGGCGATCGTCGATACATTTCGGCAAAATCCTCCACACCAGAAGGACCACGGATAATCTTTTCTGTGATGAGATCGAAGTTACTCATCCCAAACACCCCACCTCTGCAGAATTGTTCGCGGAAGATATCCGCAGAACCCTCCCATGGAGCAATGGCTTTCAAAGATGGTGGGTTTAACTCAGCAACGAACCACTGGGCAATAGCTAGGGCAGAGTTGCCAGCCATGCCCACACTGCCATTACACCAGTCCATTTTTGCGATGGCCTCAACAACATCATACCCATCTTCTCCATCCTGGCTACCCATAATCGGGATCTGTCCATCGCTGTTTCCCGTGCCTCGCGAGTCGACGCTAACAATAGCGTAGCCTCGGGGACACCATTTCTGAGGATCAAGGCCTTCGAATTTCTCCAAGCCACTCAAGTCCTCTTTCAAATCCACGCAACATTTCCATACAGTCATTGGTAGCATGGCTAGTGCGCTATACTTCTTGCCATAGCACGACCACCCTAATATAGCGGGAATCTTGTGCTTTGTATTCGCCGGCCGACATATATCAACGTAAAGACGACATCCATCTCGAACTTTGATCTCGACATCATGCTCCAATATGATATCACTAGCCAAAGCGCGGGCGCCGTATCCGTTCCATCCCTCAGGAAGTGTCTCAGCTTTTCCAGAGTGAAAGCCTTGGTAGTTGTTCTCGCCGATCTGAGGCTTGGCGATAGACTTGTAAGCCACTTGAACAGGAACTGGCATGGTCGCGAATTTCGTAACGTGTCAAGCCACGGGTGTCGCCTTAGGGTGTCTTGTAGCGTGGGAGGCGAAACAGTCACTTCTAGGATTGTATGAAGTAGCTGCGAATACGACCAAATTTAACTGACATATACCTCCAGAACACGAGTGGCTCGGTTGGATCACCGAACGTGGTCCTCTCGGAACGAAGTGGATGGTGGGTGCTTTCATCCCACCTCCACTTCGGGTTCCTGGTGGCGATGCGGGGGTTTGCAATCGCCCAGCCGCTAAGCGGCATCCGGGGGGACCTTAGACCTTGGAGAGTCCAGTTGCCTGTTGGGATTACAAAAGGGTGCGCAAGCCACATTTCCCGAAACCACTAACATTCCAAACTCTCGTCGAAGCACACAAAGACATAAAGCGACATAAGCCATACTCGCTAGGATGTCTGCGACGACTGTGAACACAACCATGGAGTCCCGACTCCCTTCAACCACCTCTAAGGATCTGCTCACCTTTGACGGGATCCAGTTTGGTGATTGGCGGGACGATTTCCACAAGAATGGGTTTGCCATTGTCAAGGGTGCCGTCTCTCAGGAGCGTGCTCAATATTACCGACAAAAGCAGCTCCAATGGCTCCAGTCATTCGGTCTGGGATTTGACCCCAATGACAAAGCAACGTGGACCAGGGACCACTTACCCGTGAGCTTTAAGGGAGGGTAAGTTCAGTAATCCATTGACTAGGATCTTTTCAGATGGGGGCTAAATGTTTGGCATGGACAGAATGTACTCTGCTTACGCAGCCACTCATGAGAAATTCGTTTGGGAGGCTCGAACAGAGCCCAACCTTATTAAAACCTTCTCGGACCTGTGGGGCACAGATGAGCTGCTCGTGTCTTTTGATGGCATGAACATCACCTTGCCTCAGCAGAAAGACATCGACTGGTCTCCCTGGCCGCATGTTGACCAAAATCAAGAGAGAAAGGGGTAAGCCATAGGAATCTCCAGCAAAATCACCCGCGATGATTGAATGAGACTCATAAAACCTAGCATGCAATGTGTCCAAGGTCTTCTGAATTTTGCTCCTAATGGGCCCCAGGATGGTGGGTTACTTTTAATGAAAGGCTCGTCAAAGCTTTTTGATACCTTTTTCGCGCACAAACGAGAGGGCTATGCGCACGAGGATGCACCGCCTGCGGAAGAGGAATTCAGAGATCTCTTCCTGTTTTCAGAGCAGGATGTACAATGGTATAAAGACCAGGGCTGCGAGTTGATCAAGACATGCTTGGAGCCTGGTGATCTTGTTCTCTGGGACAGTCGCACGATGCATTACGCTTGCCTTCCCCAGGGGGACATTATTCGATCCGTGCAGTACGTCTGTATGACCCCTCGAAAGTTCGCGAAGGAGGAGGACGTTAAGCTCAAGGGCGAGCTTTTCTGGGATTATGAAGGCACAACTCACTGGCCGCACTGGTAAGGAATATGTTGATCTATCAAAACCCATTGGAGTCACCTGCTTACGCTACAGCAGCAACATTCATAGACACGGTCCGCCCATGAAAGATGGAAAAATTGATCCGCTGAATAGGAAAGAGCCATTAGAGAAGCCAGTTCTGACTGACCGGGTTCTACAGCTTGCGGGAGCGAAGGACTATTAAATCCTTCACCATAAGCAAGGACTAAATCGTCTCTTCCAAGGCCTCTATGTACAGAAACTTGCCAAAGGAATGACGTAGAATATATGAACATGAAGTTTATTTGTGAATCTGATGTGTACATTCTTGTATGCCGATGAAGCCTTTCCTGTATAACACTATAACGTGCGCAATTTGGGTTGAACCATGTCGAGTGTGGAGGAATCGCTACTCCAACAGACACTATATCTCCTGGCCTACGGCGGACGATAGAGGGGACTTCCCCAAAACGCTTAGTTAACTATTTTCAAACTGGCAGAATCTCGATTTCAGCTATTCTTTATCCCATGTAATCCATACATTTCGTATATCCCCAATCTCAAGACTAATCTTAAGACCTAGAATTTTATAGTAGATTACCCACGTTGTTGCATATAATACTAGTAAATAGGGCCCTAGATAACGCTTTAGTAACGAGCTATGTGATTTATGATATAAGCTACATAGTTGGACGTACGTACCTACCTAGGTAAGAGGATTTTATGGTATTCGGGTAGAGCGTATAGGACGGTAAAGGCACTTGGTAGGATTCAAGAGTTTTGGAGAAGTCCCCTCTATCGTCCGCCGTACTAGCCTCCCCCTCGCTAATACCTCTTGTTGATTTTCCCTTTAAATACAGTCATCGGGGTGACTTTTCTTTGGATTATCAAGTTTGCATTGTATGTTTTCAAACATTTTTAGCTGGAGGAGGGGGAATATGAAAGGTAAGTTGACGTGAGTAATATGGGTGATAGTTGGCTGAGATAGGACGTGCTGCTAGCTAAAAGCTCCGGCCCCAACCACTCATTGTGGACCGGAGTTAAATAGAGTCGATGAACTGATCGATCAATCATCCAACCGTACAAAATTTCATGGGCTGCTCATCAAAGAAATCCCGTAACTTGTGTAAATCCAGTCGTCCCAGCCTCGGCCTCCCGACAAAAAGGAGAGGCTAGTGACAGCTTATGGGAAGTGGATGTGATCACCCCCGAGGCCTGCCGTGCGGTACCCTTCACCCAGATGCTCCGGATCCTCTTTATCATCGTCCAGTTTCCACCTTGCTGTAAATTGTCTGATCCTTTTTCCTGTGAAGAAGATAACAATTCCAAGAAGACCAAAGAGCGCAGTCAATCCTCCGTAGGTACCAAATACAACTGCATACCCTGCAGCTGCCTGGAACTCAGAAATGCCGTAGCTAAGGCCGAACTGAATCACGCCGCGCATAGCGCACACAAGGACAAGTACAGCTCCCTGGGCCGATGGGTAAGCATCTAAGAGGTAGGCTTGCCCAGCAATACTAGCACCCACGAAAGAGAAGTACTGCGCACAGTATCCAAAGACAATAGAGAACCAATGGAAACGTTCTGGATAAGATCCACCTTGACCGAACACAACACAGGCGATAATGCCAGTTATCATTGGGAGGATCAGAGGAACCAAACGAAACTCAGGTTCGTGGATACCACCGTTCCTGCGTGACATCCATTTAACATTCCAGTCACTGTAGAAGCCGAGGACAGGAAGGCAGACAAATGCGATAACAATTTGTCCACCCTGAGCGAATCCAACTGAGCTGCTTAGCCAATGGTACTCGTCCAGAAGGATATTACCATACGTTGTGCCGATAGAAACGTTAATACCCAGTAGGACACCGTTCATGAGCACAACCCATAAGACATTAGGGAAGCAAAGAAGCTGAAGCATATGCTTATAACACACCACCAGCCTTCTCCACTCTGGCTTTCCTGTCATCAACTTAATATCAGACCAGAAGGTGCGCCCTCGATAGTTGACCGTGTCGATGATTGGACCACTCTGTGTAGTAACCCGCGTCACGTCTGCTTCAGTCTTTGGATTTGCTGCTAGTTCCGAGTCTCCTGCTTTCACCATATTCTCAATTGTCGCAATATCGCCCTTGTACGCTGCCAAGGGGCGGTTATACTTGGTTTCTGGAACTGCAACGATACCAACCAAGAAGACCACGAATGACGTGATGGCATAAAATCCATACCACCATCTTAAACCAAGAACGGCAGTCTGATATGAAGAAATGGTAGATAAGAGACCCGAGAGTGTGGATTGAATAGCCCATTGCCAGGTTAAAATCTTTCCACGCTCGTGAAGAAAATGGGTTTCCTGCAAATCTTGTAAGTCTGCTGCTCAAGAAAGAGTGGCAGGCTGCATAGAACGTACCTGGATCATCATCGGTGTCAAAGCTTCTGACTGACCCGCCGCGAGTCCTAAGAAGATACGTGCCACTAGGTGCCAAGTATAACCTTGATTGAGCGCGCACAGCAGAGACATCAGTGAAACCAACGCCGCTGAGAATAGGAAGACGGGTCTGCGGCCAATAGCCAGTGCTAATGGCATAGAGAAGAAATTGGCAATTCCCATCGCCAAGGCAGGAATTGTGAACAAATATGTGATCTCTGCAGTTGATCTCCCCTCTGCCACATATTGCGGTGAAAAAAAGCCAATAACAGCTCCAACTCCAGAGACGACGGTCAAAGATAGAGTTCCAACTGCAGCGAACATTTTAGGAAAGAAGAGGATGACAGGGTATTTCCCTTCGAAGACATACAGATAGATGTGGTGAGCATAATGACTATACGACGCCAAGCAGGTAGGTTGAGGGGGTCGCGAGGATCCTTGGAAGGGATCGGGAGTAAGACGACATTGTTGTTTGATATCAGTTCCACGCCGCCAATCGCATCAGTATCTCCGTGCTGAGGTAGAACAACGCTTTCCACGTGAGCGGATACGGGATCTTTGGTGGGATCCATGTCTGCCAGGGAAAGCGTGAAGAGGAACGGCGAGTACTGAGTGGAATGGGAAGTATAAAAGCTGTGACTTGGAGAGCCCAAACCGGCACTCAAATTGCTTCGACCTGGGAGACTTTAGTCGAGCAGTCCTCTTCGCATGCAATTCCTTGTCGACAGGGAGGGAATCACCAACTCTTATGAATCGCCAGCTAGAGCGAGCGGAGGTATTGCTCTATAGGCCCCCTTCCTCATCCCCGGACTCGCACTAGACAGGACAGATGGACTAGGCAGTTGTCGGAAACATGAAAATTGCCGAAAATGATGAACTTCGGGCGCGAAGTGGCGGTGGCGTTCTCTTCTCGGATCGGTGGGCCCCCGCTGCTTGTCGAATCGACCGTGTCAGAAGCGAATCACTGATAGAATATCAAAAATATCGACTACGCTATTAGCCAGGCCCTGCTACACAGATCAAGTTACCCCATACCCCATACTCCGGATATGATCCCCCCGCACTTTGCCGAGGGGGTACGCACCCCACACTCGGAACGAATAAGGGGGGGGAGTTTTGGTATTGGGTCGCTGACTCGCCTGATTACACCCACATTACTGAGGCTTCGATCTTCCAGGCGCTTAACGAGAGCCAGTCTTCTTATAACAATGATACACCAGAATCAAATATTTGAAGCTTATTTTGTTTCTCCTCGAATTTTGATAGATCGGTTGTCGACAGTCGAAAACTAAGAAATAGAGAAGAATTCGAGTGCCAGATTGCAGTAAAAAAATGCATTAAATATTGATAGTGGACAACGCACCCAAGTCATTCATGATATCACAAAGACGATGTACGAGCGGTGGTAAAACTCGCTGGTTATCGATCGTAACGGGGTAGTTGCTCTCTAGAGCGAAACGGCCCACGGACATGACCATATGGGAGATTCGAAGATCACTGAAAGCCACATGCTCCTCGTCTCCTTCAATAATCGGTGAGTCGGAATCCCAGAACTTCAAACCTGGGCATCCATATCCGGACTCAAGGAACCGAGCCGTTTCTTCGGTACTTGGTCCATCCAGGTATATTACGGCTTGCGGGAAGCTGTTCCCTTGTGGTGGGGTTTGATGCTGGGAGCTGCGAGACCGATCGCGATGAATTGAGACACTGGTAATTGTGTGTTTGATATGGGCACAATGTAGGATTCCATATACCCATAGCACAAGAGTCGCATGGTAGATCATGATGGCCTCGTAGCCTCGGAATTGCAGTTGCTGGACGTAGCGACTAGCTCGAAGAACTTGACCTGCATGCCAAACAGCATGGCGTGACTGTGTATCTTCAAACCAGGCCTCAAGTAATGAGTATATTCGGCGAGCCTCGACAGCTCCATGCTTCCCTGCAAAACGCTCTATGTCCTCAATTTTGACATGTAACGATAACGCCAAAAATTCCTTCATAAGAGTTCTTTCCGGACACGTCTCCGGCGTATCCTGAAGGGTTAGTAGGGACTGATATAAGTCCTGTTGTTGAGCACGGATGGCAAGTTGGAGATTAGCGCTGCGATGACTGTGACGACCACAGAAAAGGCTGACTTGTTTTTGGTATTCGAAAACCTGTCCAGCTAAGCCGTGAAGAATCACAGATTTCGCCTTAGAATGATCCAATCCACTGGATAGGTTGTTCAGCATACTAAGCCTAGCGAGGAGTTGCTTGAGTGAAGATTCATCTTCGTTATCATGGCTATTGTTTAGGTATGCCTTTCTCCAATCATCTGCCGAAGATGCAAACCACTCCTCGGAAGCCGATGGTAATGGCGCGGTAAATTCTGAGAACGACGTGGTCGGGTTGCGGTTGAATACCATAGCAACTTGCATATCATGCTCGAGAGCAGAATATGCTAGTCTGAAAAGATGAATAATTAGACCAAATAATAGGAGAATCTTTCAACGTATGATTTTACCTTTTGAATGATTCTTGCCTAGCCCATTCTTTCCATTTGTTTTCCAAGGTTTCTTCGTCGTCTTGGGGAGTGGGCGTTATTGTGTTGTACATTGACGTATCGAATGCCCCTGCCCGTCTCAGAGCCTAGAAAATTAGAATCGTGAGTTATAGAAGGACTGGGAAAGGCACTCACAGTGCAAAGCTGCGGGAAACGACTCTCGGCGATTTCCATCTTTCGTGGATAACCACAAGTCATACCAATGTCAACCCATAACATATAGGCTTGCAGATACTGAAGATCCCGCACAACGTGATTCTCAGTTTCAAACTATGGATAATTTTAGCCCAGAGATTCCTTATATTAAGCATGCCCCTAGTGTTGAGCAACTTACCAGCCGGTCCAGTGAAAGACGAGCGACTTCCTGAAGTATGAGTCCAGCTTTGCAGATGGCTGGAATGCCAAAACATACGCAACCGGCAACAGTCAGAGCTGTGAGCAGCTCTGGACGCATATTGCGGTAGCAAATGGTCCCTGGGTGTATCCAATTGTCTCTGTTGCCTCTTTTGGTAAACCCAATCTTGATGAGGGCATCGAGGAAATTCGGGTCCGGAAAAGCTAGTATCGAGACTTCCGATTTGGTTATACGAGAAATGAACTGAAGCAAATCATCCCGAACACCAGGAGTTATAACGTCATTAACTATTATCCTAGGTAAATTCGCAGTATTTGGGGATGAAGCAGCTTGGTCAACAATGTTCTTATCAATAGCAATCTGACTTCGATTCGTGAATGTGTGTTGATCAGAGTTTGGGACCCACCGCCTTCAGGGTTGGTTAATGGAATCAGCTAGGCCAATATGCGAGAGAGACGTACCAAGGGTGTCTATCCTTTTCCACTTGCTGCGAAACTGCCGATCCGGGCCCAAATGGGTCCATGGATTCCATGCCTTGGTAGCTTTGGGGTTGAAGGTCTTTAGTCATATCCGAATTGGTTTCGAATGTAAAGTCGAGGAAATTGAACGAATCTAGAGACATATCTGTTTGTGTTCCTTGCATATAATTCAACGTCTCAAAAGGGAACTCCGAGAAGACCGGAGTGGAGCTGGAAGGCGTGACAATATGCTTAAAATACGCCGGGTATGCCCAGCCCTCATGCCCTAACAACTGCCATTCTTCCACTGATGACAGTGTGCCATTTGTCGAGGGTAGTACTTCTGTCGGCGTGGCTGCTTCATTATCAAATCCCATCGGCTGAGAAGTATCGAGGTGTGCATCATCTCGGCTGTGTGGGATGTGTATCGCAGAACCATTAACCGGGATGATGTCTGGGACGGGGATGGTGGCGGTTTCGGGTTGTTGCTCAACACAGGGTCTTGCAGCCTGTTCGCAACGCTAGAAGGCCTCATTTTAGTTGGATCATTTGTCGATTTTAGGTAGATATTGCTCACTGTACAAGGTCGATTGTTGTCACACTTCAGCTTCGAGGAGGCGCAGGACTCACAGGCCCTGTCTGCTCGTCGTTGTCTCTTACCCTTAACTTTTCGGGGTAAGCCATCCTCTCGAGCCTTGTGATGCAAATCATAGTGTCGTGTCAAAATATCACTAGGGCCTTGTGGGTTATTAACCATCTATAGGGGGCCCCATCCCGATGCAACTTCCATCGACATACTTACCGGCGGTTGTAAGCTTTCTGGCATATGGAGCATTTATAAAACCGTTCATTTATGTCTGGATCAGCTTCAAAATCAGTATTATAACCCAGGATAATATTTCATTTGCCGTCATGAGAGTACAGACGAGATTTCAGATGCCGTCGCATGTGATCGCGTCTTTCGAATCCGCGTTGACAGACAGGGCAGGAATGCCCCGCGCCTTGTGCTCCTAGTGGGTTTGACGTGGACATGTCACAATGATGGAGGTAGGAGCAAGTAGTGGGAGGAAAGGCTACAGCTACCGACACATTGATGGGCAATACAGAGGAGTATCGGTGGTCATTGGCTCCGTTAAAAAGACGGGGGGTGTTTATGGGGTAAGAAGCCCCCACATCCCGGCTGCGGATCGTCACGTGGAAGAACGACGCGTTCAAGAATCAAAGGAAATGTACTTCGTAGAAAGTTTGGCCCATGGGACGCCCCCGTGGAGGGAACAAGTGCGGAGCGTAGCGTTATATTCTTCACGCACCAGGTAGGCTGAGACTAATCTGGTATGGCTATATGGATGGTACATTTGATACCTATCTTTATACGGGAAAATCTTATAGAGACAGAACATCCGGTCCTAACTCGGTGGTTAGGGCAGGGGTAGAGTCCGATGGATTAGCTATAGATGTGCGACTTAATTAACGACGAAAAAAGGGTACCGACTCGCCGTTGAAAGGCCACCGCGATGGCGAAACACTACGCATTGGGGGTTTGGAGCATCAACATGGAGATAGCTTAAGAGTAACAAATAGGAAAATAACCTAGCACGATTAAATTAGGACTGGTCCAGCCCTTGATAACTAGCACTTTGGGAAGTACACAAAACAATCCATCTTGTATAGGTATTGCTACCTATCACGGTGGGTAAGGAGGCCCTTATCCGGCACACAACGCCCTATATATATATCGGTAGGTATATACTTTGCCTCGGGACGTTTCGGATGCTTCCGGATTCAATGTTCGGCGATACCTACGGAGATCCAGATTCACGAATGACTCTTGAGATGCTGGAATCATCGCTAGTATTCTTCGCTTCTATCGCGATACAGAAATCAAATTTCAGTTTGTATCGCAAGCTACTTTTATAGAAGCTTGTACAGGATGTTTAACAAAATTGAACGGGTAAATGCGTAATGATTCTCTATTGTAAGCCCTCGCAGAATTAAGGATACAGGACGAGACACTAAAGAACAAGCGTCATAGTCGATAAGCCCAGAAATGCAAGAGACTTTTCTATATACACAGACAAAAAGCAATCAAAAGTACAAACCCAGAAACACACCCCATTCCCAACCCACGCAGAAATGCGAAACAAGGATGCTTTGAGCGCCGGAGTGAAGAGATCTGCAAGGGAAAAGAGTAAAAAAAGCCGTTGTAATACATTGCAGGTGGAGAAAGAAGCTGGCGGTGATCGTTTACCGCCTGGGTCGTGGATGGTAGGGCAGGAAGGGTATGGTTGTTCAGGCCATCCAGGAGGATGATAGTATGACAGAGACTGGTCATACCAGTATTATTTTAAAAGAAGGCCTTTCGCGTCACCTATACGAATGAAACATGTTAGCCAAGTTCGTGGAGGAGTGGATGCGTCATATTCGGGAACGTACGGCCCAAGCACCAGCAATTGAAGCCACGATGCCTCCGGAGATCATCATGGGCTTAACACCGCGCGTGCTCTTGAAAAGCATGCCACTCAAGGCACCGGCTGCCACGCTGTTGGCAGAATCGTGCTTGCCGCGCGCATATCCGATAGCAGAGTTGAAACCGTTGTAAACCATCGCGACCACGCCAGCGGAGTTACCGAGGAACGGACCACGGCGGGTAATCGAGTTGAGCACTCCGTTAAGGCGAATCTTAGGAGGAGCATTTGCCGGCGTCTTGCTCAGTCCTTCTGCGAGACCCCAAGCGCCACCCAGGGTCAGAGCGGCCAAGTACGTGGTGCCGGCACCATAGCAAAGGTCGTCGGACCAGCCGCGAGAAGGCAAAACGGAGCGAGAGCCGGGCAGGGAGTCAAGAGCAGAGTCTTCAAGAGTTAGGTAATCGAGAGTGTCCTGGTTCAGGCCGGCCAGGGGATGGAGTCTGGAGGGATCGGGAATGGCGACTTCGGAAAGGAAAGAAGTAGCATCTTGGGCGTTGGATGAGTCGTAAGGAGAAGGCGCCGCGGTCTCCTTGCGGCCGCCGAGGTTGTCCCAGATAGGCATGATGGAGGAGGAGGTATGGAGATAAGATGATTAGAATACACGGACGGCGAACAGAGAAGGAGGACGATGGCCCTTGATCGCAGCTCCACCGAGTGTCGGCGACCAGCAAAAACTTCGGTCCCGTGACTGGGGATCGGCGGAATATAGTTGACCCGACGCTAGTCCCGTTTGGGTATCCCACATCCAAAAAATGATAATGTTGGAAGCCTCAGGCATCGCGGGGAGCTTCGGACAAATTCAATATTTCTGTCAATTTGGAGTACAGTTCTGATTGTGGAGAATTCAGGTCATGCTGAATTGCATTCGTGATGGATGCTGAAATGTCCCGCGGCGCTCAGCGCGCTACCGCAACCACCATGGATGACATCGCGCAAAACGTACAGTTCTTGTCAGAAAAGACTCTGCAAGATATTGCCAAAGGTCAGCTAGTTAAGCTGGCCCTGAATTGCGATTATGGCGAGTGAGTTTTAATGAACCCCGAAAGATAGATGGAAAAATGATCTTACAGCTAACATCTGGACAGGAAAGTTGACAGAGTCTGGCAGTCGTTGATTCAGACGGTTTCAACGCCATCTCTGTCGAATCAGCATAATGCAGCCGCTTGCAATGCAGTCTCGGCTTTTCTGGATGCTGCTTCCACTTCCAAAATTGAGCAGACAAAGCAATTGGCTCTTTCGTCAGACAACTGGCTAGCTGTCTTCGAGGTGTTCCTCAGCAGATATGAAGATGCCAAACCGAAGCCGCTCAAGCAGCTTTTGGGCTCACTGATCAATCTTTTGGCCAAGTCTATTCACGGGCCTAAGAAAGAAGAGATCCAAAAGGCAGTCACAGATGCAATCATTCCTAGTATCGTGCTTGGCGAGCCTCGATCTCGATTAAAGGCTTCGCTAGTGTGCTTCGAGCTCTGCATTCGGAAAGGTGCTATCTCTGGGTCTGGATTTATCTCTTTGCTACAGAAGTGGCTTGGTAAGAATAAGCAAAGATGGGTGCATGTCTTTGAGAATGCCCAAGCGGCCCTATCTCTAGACACCTCCGAGGAATTCTCTGGCGAGCCATCCAAGGAGCTGGCGGCAAAGGTCTTTGTGCTTGGCCTTCTTACCCAAACGAACAGCCGTGACATGTCGGGATCATGCGGAAGCGTGCTGGGTGCTCTGTTGCTAAAATTGAAGGTGGAATCTCCGGAATGGTCAGTGTCCACGATCTGGGTTGCCCCTGTTCGGTACATGATGCTTCATATCGTGGATAACTTGGAAGCCATGTCGAGCCAAATTCTTCAGCCGATTTTCTCTGCCGACCCTTCGGGCTTCATGGCCTTTGTGGAGAGTCTGCCCCTCAAGAGCCTTCTTGTGGGTGACATGACTGACGCGGAGGATAAAGAGTATATTCTCCTTTTTGCAGCCTTGCAAATCGGCAAGAAGACCAACCTTGTCCATGAAGATTGTAAGATGAACAATATCGAAGCTCTGGGGATTATAGTTACTGACCGTGATAGATGATGGCTCGAAACCAAGCGAATCCAAGGCTGGCGCACCGCAGAAGTTGGTGCTTAAGAGCGAGGTTCTGGGCAATTTCCTGCGCCACCGTGAACCTAACATTCGCATAGCGGCATTGTCATTGTTGGTCACTGCGTTTTCGACTATCAAGCCGTTCACATCAGCTGCTACCGACTCAATCCTACGCGGAATTCCATCAATGCATGCCGACTCTGATTCGTATAGTAGAGGCGAAATCATGAGTCTTACGCGCAAACTCATCGTCCGTCTCAAGAGTGGCATTCTCAAGCAACAAGACTCAGAGGTAATAGCACAAGCGACATCTAACTTGCCATCTGGTTTGGTCAAAAGTGATGATGAAACCATGGCCTTCTTGAGGAAATACATCAACTTCATCGCGGGTGATCTCGTTGTGACAGCATCATACCCACGCCATATCAGTGCTCTGAAAGCGCTGAAACTATTGCTGGAGTCCAATCTCGACCCACGCACGAACATTCCCCCGGCAAAGTCTGAAGTTGAAACACGCTGGAAGTTCCACATGAATGTCTTCGAGCCTCGTCTGCTCCGGCTGCTGGTTGACCTCCTCCTCGATCCATTCGAAGAAGTAAGACAGACGTCTCTGTTGATCATCAACTTTTTCCCTCGAAATATCTTGATGGACGGCTTCGAAGCTACGGCCAATGATTGCCCGGCTGTATGCATGCGCTTGACAGATGCTTTAGCTCGAGCTGAGATCACTGCCAGCAATACTAGCCGAGCTGATCATGCGGATACTGTAGCCCGTCTCTATCATATTTTATTCTGTGCGGCCCTCCCAACCACCGCACCCTCGAGTGGCTCAGACTGGTGGTCAACCAAGACGTCGGTTGTCAATAGCATTTTGACTAAATTGGAGGAGCGACTTTCGTCTTCCAAGGGCTTGTTCAACTCGACCTTGCGTGAAGCTCCTCTTCATGGGTACATGTCTGGACTACGGTAAGTCAATCCCCACGCCAGAGAGGAAGTACATTTGACTAATAGGGACCGATTTAGATACATCGTGCTGATGCCAAATTTCCATGCCCTTTTACTGAATGGGCCGGATGTTGGTGCCTGGAGGTCAATCCATGACCGCATCGTAGCGATCTGTGACCGGGTTTGGGAAGAGGTGAAGCCTGTTCTCTGCATTGACTCCCCAGAGGGTCATACCGATGATCCGATTGAAGACCTAGCAGTGGGTCCGAAAGATATCCTCTCCTATTCATGGAGAGCTCTTCGAGAGTCCAGGTATGCATCAGATTTCTATCAGAGAGATACATTGCTAACAACAGTAGCTTGCTTCTCCATGCTACCCTGTTCAACACGACCTACGGACCCGATGGCCTGGATGGACTTAAGCGTGCAGACTTTGAGAAAGTCGGACGCGCTAGCTTCACACAACTTGCCGAGCTGCGCCACCGTGGTGCATTCTCTACCGTCTCTCAAACTTTCGCCACGTGTTGTGAACGGTGCAGTGGCTCGAAGGATGCATCAATCCAAGAACTCCCGAAGGGCTGGTACAAGGAAGCTAGAGCTACGATCTTCGAGTCGGCTTCAAAGCTGACCCGACGATCGGCTGGTCTCCCTGCTCTTGTTACCGGTATCTTTTGCTCCTTGCACAGAACGCCTTTCTTCAAGGAGGGCATGGATGACCTTCATGACATCTCGCGCCTGACTGTGGAATATAATAAAGAGCAGCAGTATTTGGAGCTTCCTCAGGTCCATGCTCTGAATTGCTTGAAGGATATTTTCACCAACACTAAGCTTGGCCCCTTTACCGAACCATTCATCATGCCTGCCCTTACGCTGTCTGCTGAGCGCCTTGGATCTCCTATGTAAGTGAATGCATCCCTCATTTGATGGTCCTTATTAACTTTTCCTCGTTAGTTGGGCTCTTCGCAATTCTGGTTTGATGCTCTTCCGCGCTCTGCTGACCAGAATGTGCCGCATGGTTCCCGGGGCTGTAGCTGGATTCGGCGGTGTCTCGGGATCGGAGCCAGGATCAAAGATCTCATTCCCCAAGTATCCTGGTCTACTCGAGCTACTGTCCAAGCTCCTGGCATCAACCGAGGGCACAACTGCTCAAGAGGGCACCGATATTGTCACTGAACGGATTTTCCCCGCTCTGGAGTTGATTGGAGAGAAGGTTCCCACTATTGGAGACGACTATGACACAAAGCTATGCAAGCTTGTTCTAGCGCACTTCCAAAGCCCGGTCTGGGGCATCCGAGAGCACGCTGCTCGTGTCTATTCATCGCTGCTGACCAGGACGAATATCCTCAAAGATGTTGAGTATTTGGTTGGCCTCCTTCAAGAAGGTGTATCCGAGAACTACGTCCATGGTATCGCCCTTTGTGTCCGATACTCTCTGCGCCGTTTCGCAGCGTCAACTGATGCATTCTGGATGAGTAAGATGATCGACCCTTTAGATAAGCAGGAATTTCACTAATAGTCACAGGCCATATTGATGATCTGCTTGCAACTCTACGACATGCACTGGCGACGTTGTTCTCTGTCGCCAAGTCTCCGTCCGTTGCAACCTGCCTGATCGAAACATTGAATGATACTCTTGAACGAAGCATCGCAGCTCAGGCTGAAGGTACGTTGCAATCGGATGGACCTTAATCATCAAGCTAATCTCTCTGTAGACCGAATTATCCCATTCGTTAATGACGTCTACGACAAGCATGATCTCAACGGGGTTTTGAGCTATATCTTCGATGCTTCTCAAGTCGGATGGAACCTTGCCAGCCGTACTCGATCGTCTGCCCTACTTCGGAGAGCTCTTGCATGGTTTACACTGTTGAAAATGCTGATTTCACAAAATTGGACAGAAATTCCTACCTTCTACCACGGCATCTCACAGTTTGACGCTGATGCGGGAAGTTGGATTCTAGAGCAATTGCCAGAGCATTTGGCCAGAGTGACTAAGTACAGGAAGCCCTTGGTGGACCTATACTCCTCCATCATCCAGGGCGATCACCCAGCAGGTTCTAAGACACTGGCTGCGTCTAACCTGGCCACTATCCTGGAGGAGGTGCTGGTGTCCTCAGCAGACGGCATCTCCGAGTCAAACCTTCCGTACGACGCATTGGAGGAGAGCTTCAAGCCCGAGTCGGACATCAAGCAGTGGAATCGACAAGCTACCGATGCAGAACTTCGTCTTCAGGGATGCCTTCTTGCTCTTCGAGCCTCCTCGACCCATGATAAGTCGCTCTCCTTCTTGAAGCACGATATTCAACGTTGGGTTATCAAGTTGCGGTCTGCCCTCAGTGAAGAAACAGTGAGTACCATTGTCTAACCCGTGGAAACCAGTGATTAACAAGTCATCCAAGGAATTCACTACTCGTTACGCAGCCGTTGTATCTGTTCAAAGCTTCTCTAAGGCTCTGCGCCCTCAGGGTGAATCAGCACGGACAGATGCTGCTCTGCTCGATGTCTATCTCGTTCTTTATGACATGCTCAACGACGACGATGAGGAACTCCGAGATATCGCCGCATCCTCTGCATCATGGGTGCTCTCATACTCCTCAGTCTCGCTCACCTCTGCCCTTACCATTGGGCCTCTGAATGCAAGCGAGCTACTTGCTACTTTCATCACTGATCATTATTCAGACTCTGTGTACTTTGCTCGTCGGGTCATCCGGTACCTTACCGGGCAAGAGTCGCGCATCAGTGGGTCTGACAATCAATCAAGCCTTGTCCCGGTTTCGGATCTCATGGCTCAGCACTGCCAAGAAAGTACCGTCCTGTTCGTTGAGGAGAAGCAAAATCTGTTCATTGACGAAGTTCACGAAATTGATGTCTGGTCTCGCGTGCTCTCCCAGTTGAAGCGAAATGCCTATCCCGAGACTTTAATCCGGCAGATCTCAAGCTGGGTGTCGGAAGGGCTGGACCACCTTCTCGTGCTTCTGAATCAGGATTCTGGCTCGGATGGATTGTTGGGCTGGACCTCCAAGCCAGAGTCTTTCACACTGGGAGTGCGCGTGATCAGCATTGCCGCATCTCTTGCGTCACGGAGCTTCACTGTGCCCGAGTCTCTGGATGTCGAGCAAGTCACTTTGCGGAGGCAAATACAGGATCTGTTGGATGCTGGCAAGAAGGCATCTCTCCACGATGACTGGCTATCGCGGATGGTGGCTGCATTGAACAATTGCAATTAGAAATAAAAGTAGAGAGTATTAGCATAGACAATACCAATCATGTTCAAATTTTGTTTTCTGCGCTCGCGTCTGTCCTCATCTTATCGCGTTTCTCTTCACGCGCTCCTGCTGATTTGTTGGTTTCCTTTCGGCACGGAATTTCCCAATCGGGAAACGAAATGCCCTCACTAGTTCCTGATTCGCCTTCCTTTCGTTCAAGTCCCGAACGCATCGTTAATTAATTTGAATCAACGCCGAGTGGTGATTATTCTCCCCCAGCCTCCATTCCAGCCCTCCGAGAGTCCCATCGATCCCTACACTACTCGAGATTGCCGTCAAAATACTCGACTACGCTGCACCGGGTCGCTTGGAAGTGGGAGGTGGCTGGCAGGCCCTCTTCACAATGCCGGGGAACGAGCTAATCGCCCTGCTCCTCGGAATCCTGCTGCTCATCGTCACCATCGGCTGGCTCGTCTTCTGCTGGTACCGGCGACACATCAACACTGGGGTCATGATGCATCAAGCACGAGCTCGCATCCACCGGGACCGACGTCAGGCCAACTACGATCTGGAGCGAGGATATTACAACCCCGATTATCTTCTTCCCAAATACACACGCTTCGGATGGATACGGCCAAAGCCACAAGTCGATGACATACCGAGGGAACCAGATTACGTCCTACTCCGCCGGTTGACCGATGAAGGAGGTCATCATCGAGGTCGTTCGTTCAGACATGACCGTCTCTCACCGATATACATGGAGCCCCGACATCCAGTGTCCGCTATACGGAGCGAACAGCAGCAGGAGCGACCTCAGCAGCAGAAGCAGGGCAAGAAACAGAAACAAAAGAAACGCAATCAAGGGAACCAGAATGACCAGGGGAATCAGAACAATCAACAGCAACAGAACAACCAAGGAAAACAGAAAAACCAAGGGAAACGAAACAATCAGGGAAAGCAGAACAACCAGGGAAAGCAGAACAACCAGGGAAAACAGAACAATCAGGGAAAGCAGAACAACAAAGCAAAGCAAAATAGTCATGAGAACAACGAGAACAACCAAGGAAGCCAAGGGAGCAACTCGCCCAATCAAAAGAAGAATAACAATTGGAAGCAAAAGGACAACCGCGAGAGTTCTCCTGAGCAACCTCAAGAAGAGGAGCAAGACCAGCAAGATCAACAAGGGGATGACCAAAATGACAACAACGACAACCAAGATGGCCAGAACAACACTCAAACTGATGAGTGGGGTCATGAAGTGGCTCAAGGCAACAACTCCAACGATCGTCCGATCAGCCCTATCGAGTGGTGAGGCTTTTACATAGCTCAGCACAACGGCAGCTATCATGCACGATTTGAGCATCGGCAATAGCCCTCAGGCTGAGGCCCACAATGCAGAAGATGACAGGAGCAATTGGCGAGGCAGTCTAAGCTTATGTCTGTATCTCTTCTATAGCGCTACTGGATTCACTTAAGGCGAGCCGGATGCGGATGCAGACCTGATTTATTTGAAGCCATTAATATGGCCCAGAGATACACCCATGTGTTGTCTTAGTTTGAAGAAACCATAATTACTTTTTGGATTTGAGCTTGGTTGGCGAACCCTGTGAATCAAATTACTATCTTTCAGACTCTCCAGACTTTCGACCCATTGGGAAATATATTGCTTGCATCGAGGAGAGTAGTGCCCAGCCAGATGATTAGATAGACTTGGCCATTTGAGTATACAATTAGAATTAGACCCAATATGGAGAATTATCCAATTGAGAATTACTAGAAGCGTTACAAGCACGATAGTTAAGAGCACTTCCTGCTCGAATAGCTTAAGTAGAGCATTCGTTCCTCAGGCATCAATGTCGATCTGCGGCGCCACTTCGTCAGTGGTTCTTCGCGCCCGCCGCAGTCGGTGACGTTGGTTCTCCCCCGCAGATCCCCCAGGCACAGCTTTCCTTGAGTTCCCAACCTCCAACTCCCCGAAGGCTCCGTTGTCTCGGTGCCTGACCTCCTTGGTGTCCTCAACAAACATGTGGAACGACGAGGATAACAACCCCTACGGGGCATTCGACCACCATGAGTCCCGCCTGTCCGACTCATTGCACTCAGCCGCCCTCCAGTCTCCCCGTAAGCTATCTCCCCTCCCCAGGCGGAATGCTCTATAATGTCGCTGACTTGGGATAGCTTCTTTCGAGCATGATTCCACACCCCCATCCAGCCGCGACTCCAACCTGGATCCGCCCGACTATGTCTCTCATCCGGAGGATTTGAGTGATCCCGAGGAAGCCGATTACGGCGCCGCAAGCCAAGAGTACCCGCGGAAGAGTGTATACGATAGTCGCATTGAGCAGATCCTCTATGAGAACCCGGAAATGCCGATTCTTATTACGGACGCCGGCAAGAATCATGAAGGAGGTGGAAGCTTTATCGTCTATACTGTTCGGACTGCGGTATGTTGAGATGCGGAGCAAGCTTCAAGCGAAGCTAATTTGGAGACTACAGGACCTGGAGGTTCGTCGCCGGTATTCGGAGTTTGCCTCGTTGCGCCAAACACTTGTGAATCTGCATCCCACTCTCATTGTTCCTCCGATCCCCGAGAAGCATAGCATGGCCGACTATGCTGCGAAACCCACCAAGGCTAAGGAAGACACGGCGATTATTGAGCTACGAAAGCGCATGCTTGCAGTATTTTTGAACCGGTGTCGCCGTATGAAAGAGATCCGGGAAGATGGAGTATGGTGGCGTTTCCTGGATCCCAATGTTAGCTGGGTAAGTTCGGCCGACCGTTTTGTGATTAATCGGGCGACCGCTGACAGCGAGCTTGTAGAACGAGGTTTTGCACTCCCACCCGGCCTCCTCCGTCCCTAAGAATAACCTCAAGGCTCCTCCTCTGGACCCCGCAAACCCGACGCAAGCTCATGCCTGGCTTCCTGTTCCTTCTTCGTCCGCAAAACTAAAGCACGGTGGTAGCGGATCTTCTGCGACTGGGGGACCACCGTCATCACCCGGTGACACGAACGACGGACCTGTGGTGCCTAACCTAGGCCCGGACGTTCTTGGCCGTTTCCCACCCGAATCGCGCAAGCTGAGCGAACAGGAGCTAGACCCGTACTTTATCAACTTTGAAGCCTCGACGCGAGAATTGGAGCTGCTCTTGCAAGGAAATATCGAGAGGGTGAATCGCCGGACGCTCTCACACCTCTCCACCCTTTCTGCTGATTTGATGGAGCTGGGTGCGCGTTATAATGGATTCTCTTTATCCGAACAATCCCCGACAGTGGCTGCCGCAATCGAACGGATTGGCCAAGCTGCAGATACATCCTACATTGAGACCGAAGAGCTGTCCACTGCGCTGAGTGCTAGCTTTGCTGAACCTATGCGGGAGAGTGCCCAGTTTGCCAGCATCGTGCGCAATGTACTACGATACCGGGTGCTGAAGCGTGTGCAAGAAGACATGACTCGAGATGAGTTGGCCAAGAAGAAGACACTTCTTGACTCTCTAGAGCGGAGTGAGCTCGAAGCCAAACGAATCGAGCAGTATCTCAACCGTACCTCCCCTCAGACCGGCGGCACCCGGTCGCAACGATCTCTATCTGCTTCTTCCGCCGTCAGCAGCGAAGGCGGCAGCATGGCTGAAGCCTCGACCGACTCCGAGTTCCCACCCACGCATGGCGAGGCCATCGGCAGCCCCTCATCACCCTCCCAAAGCCCCGCATATAAGAAACCCGAGTCCTCTCCAATCCCGTCCCCGGCGCACCGGAAGACATCCAGTGGTAATTTTGTGACGAACAAGATCTTCGGTCGCATCAGCCACGCTATCCATGGCTTTGCCGATGTCGATCCCGAACGCACTCGCCGCGATCAGATCGGCAAAACCAAAGAGAGTCTCATCCAGGTAGGTGGATCATGAGTTACGAATGGTGGAATAGTCTGTATAAAAAGTGTAGCATGCTAATAATTTTTATGCAGCTCGAGCAAGCACTCCAAGTGTCAGAAAAGGACACCAAGGACGCTAGTGCAGGTGTGCTGCAGGATCTGCAACGCTTCCAGAAGGACAAGGAAGCCGATCTCCGACGCTACATGGTATGCACAGCCCACATTCCGTACTGCAGCCTTTTCCCACTAACCAAGGCTCTGCTCTCGTTCAGGTCGCATATGCACGTTGTCACTTGGACTGGGCACGGAAGAATCTCGAGACGTGGACCGAAGCTAAAGACGAGGTGGATAAGATTGTTGCGCGGTAGATCGTCAGCGAAATTCGCTGGTATCTGTGGATTTCTACAAGCTTGGTGTTCACAAGTCTTTGGCGTCGACGGCGTTGGGATTCCAGGGGCAGTTTCTTTGTCGTTTCTCTCCTCTTTTCTTGTATTCAGTGTTTTTCTGGCGCCACTACCGATATAGCTGGAACAATCACGCCCTTGATGGCTTCTACATACTACAATCCCAATTGATTATCCCTCGTAGTCTGGGTTTGTGGCTTGAGCCTGGGCCCTGAGGCCAACGTCCTTGGGTCCTTCCGCTTGGCTCGTCTTGGCTCGGCCCGAACACAAACACAATACAACCTACTTGACTCCATTGAATTGATTTATGCAACCTTGATAACCCCATATCGGCGACGTTGCAACTGTATATTGAATTGTTGTCTTGGACAGAAGCTGCACGGAACAGCCAAAGTGCACCTCCCTCTCCAGGTTCAAAGATCTTATCCACAGGCTCTACGATTTCCAGGCTGACCGAAGGAGTAGGTAGGACGAGCCCTGCGACGGGAATGGCAAAGGGCACATTCCACAAGCGCCGGTGGCCAAGAATCAGTGGAACTGAGTGGGTTCGTGGTGAACGGGATGATCTAGTTGGTCCGTGAGGGTCTTCAGGGCGGCCATGATCGACAGGGACCACAACCGATCGGGGCCAACCTTCGACAAGGCAAAGCACTACTGCTGGAGCTCGCCCTTGCTTGGTGTCAATCTGTGCCTGGCACGCTCGTGGATGGCGAGGACAGGCACATTGCTCGAGTGATTTGAGGTTTAGTTCGGCCTGGAGATCTTTCTACACGATGTTGTGACGAACAGAAGAAAGCACAACATCACCCCGCATCTCAATACATGACACGCTAGTCTTCCGCATTCATCGCCAGCAGTGAGATTATTCCAACAAAGCTCCATTATATGCTCTCCCGTTAAACATCCCGCGCAATTGAGCTGCCCGTTGATCTGCCGAGCATTCCGTGCCTTGCAGGTTATCCCCCTTTCGGTCTCCCTCTAGCGGATCCTGGACCTCGTTACATCCCCCAGGGCATGCCCCTCGAACAGCATCATTACCCTGTCGAATCCACCCCCCACTGTGGTACCTGTTGCTGCCCACTGGCAGGTGGAACGCCGTGCGTCTAGACCTGAAAACGATGACTGCCTGGATTCAGCGCTGCCAGGATGATCGTCCGGAGCGGCCACTTATCACGGTCGGCGATGCCGCCCTCGGCCACTATCGACGACTTTCGCCAGGGGTGGTCTTTGCGGTTTTTTGTGCATCCATCAATTCTTCGACGCTGGGTGAAAATGCTTATTCTGTTAGGACTGGTTTGTCTCTTTACTGTGGGCCTGAGCCGCAGTTTGAACTTGCGGGACGAGGCGGGACTACAGAGTGATGATGCTGTCGTTCATTTCCCCCACCACGCCAGACGGGACAGCATACACACGATCCCAACATTATCCGCGTCGGCGATACATTCTACCTATACCATGTTGGCGAGCACATCTTCATTCACACCGCGCCGTCCATGGCTGGTCCGTGGCGACATGTCGGTAGTGTGTTGGATGCCAACAGTATTATTCCGAAGGGTGACCGTGCCGTCCCATGGGCCCCGACAGTGGTGGCCGTCGACGGCACTTATTACTGTTACTACAGCGTGAGCAAGGCAGGATGTCGGGACAGTGCCGTGGGTGTGGCTACCTCCAAATCACCAGGCCCAGGCAAGTGGCACGACCACGGTGTGGTTGTGCAGACAGGAACCGGCAACGGAACAGATGTGTCACCATATACCATCTCCAACGCCATTGACCCGGCGGCACTGGTCCTACCGGATGGGTCCGCCTACCTGACATTCGGAAGCTACTGGACTGGTATCTATCAAGTCCCCCTCGGCAAAGACCTCATCTCTCCGGTCAGCACAACCCAGCCAGATGCCCGACACCTCGCCTACGAACCGAATGCAATCAGCGCACCGAATCCAAATGCAAACTCTATCTGCGGAGATCCCACGGGTCCACACGCCATTGAAGGCGCTTTTACTTCATATCACGACGGATATTACTATCTCTGGTTCAGCCATGGACGATGCTGCGATCTAGACAGAGGCACGCTACCCGCTGCAGGATCAGAATACAGTATTCGTGTGGGCCGATCCAAAGACCCCCGCGGTCCATATATTGATCAAGCTGGAAAGAACTTGGTTGACGGTGGCGGTACGGTGATCTACGGATCCAACGCCGAAACTTATGCCCCTGGCGGGCAAGGTGTGATTCGAGTCGGCGATACGGATATCCTATACTACCACTACCGTGAGTCCACACCGACCAACAACTAACCTCTTCATCATCAACCTACCACAAACAAACACTAACTTGGATGCAAAACAGAAAACAAAACTGTGGGCCTTGCATTTTCGGTACGTCTCAATCTCATATCTCGCGGCACGCTTGTGGACCGAGCAAGATAACCCGGCCCGCTTGCCGATCCTCCTTCATTCCCCCTTTTGGCAACGTCATGATTTCCAGGATGTATTGACTAACGATGTAAAATAGGACGCTTTACTTGGGTTTAACCCGTTGAAATACGTCAATGGATGGCCTGTAGTACAGGCATGAGCGGTGTGCTGTTCGCTCCACACTATGACGCAAGCATATAGCCAAAAGTATCGATTTCATCATCGCTTTTCGATAAAGCATTCTGAAGGCTATGCACTGTCAATCCACCACTGGTTAATTCTTCGCCGATATACCTATTCGCGTTTCGCCAATTTCTCGATCTCATCCCCGACACAAACCGTGACGCTTTGATGCCTGGATTGCAACAAAATACGATTTTGCATTTCCTGGCGTCTGCCTCATTCAGGAGTCCCGCTGGACTTTTGCTGGGGCATATCTTCTTCATCTGCGGGTGGTGTTCACCCTTCTTTTCGTCTTCCATTCTGTACATATTTTACAATCACTTATACATAGAATTCAACATGTGTCAATACATACTGACCATCAAATCCCCTGATAGAAGGTTTCCTTCATACATACAGTTTTCTTTGTTTACCCTCGGCATCTTCCAGCTAGCCATCGTAGCCTCCTGCCTTTGACTATTTTGCTCGGTGCAGGAATGATATCGGTGTATCCCAGGTACGATGGAACCTGACACGGTAGCCTACAGCACTCAAAATCATTGTCAAGTCCATATACCACTATTATATGGCCCGGGCACTTTACCTACAAAGCCCATGAATCAGATTCAGCTATACTTCAAGTCGAGTCAGCGGTGGTTTAGTGGCTGTTTGCGGTGCATCACGATCACGTGAGTCGTAGCAACCCTAAAACCCATCAACTCTATAGATCTTGAACCAGGGGATTAGGAAAGGAAAAGGCTTCCTTGAACATTGTACAAGGTATTGCCACTCGTCTATTTGAATCTAATCAGTGAATTCGTGCATTTGAAAAGTGAATTATTACATACAGAGCCTTTCATTACCAGGTAGAAAATTCCACCCTGGTCACGGAGAGATCATCAACGAATTAAGCTCAAAGGCCGGTCCTGGAAGTTACTGACCTCTTATTAATCCTTCTACATAATCTGGGTAGTGTGGGTAAAGAAAGAATGACATAATGCTGAGAATTGTATCTACCTAGTCATAGATACTATAGATGCACCCCTACTAATGTTATAGCTTCAGCCACTCTTATGCAGGTTAGTCCATCGCTCCCTCAGACTGTGTGCAGCTGCCTTCGGCTTTCGGTCACGAGTGAAGACACCCTTCTTGTTACCATCTACCCGGTAGATACCCAGGCTAGTCTGGAAGTCGGCAAAATTCCAGACATGCTCGCCAGCCATTGCCTCAAACCGATCAAACACCCGGTGGTACATGTCCAGCATTTGAGTCTGGAACTCCTCGCTCCAAGGCAGACCAAGGACGGAGTGCAGACCCGCCAGGGTATCTGCGCCATACTCAGTCATGATAATTGGCCTGTCAAACTTATCCTGCCAGCCGCGCAGCTCCTTTTCCAAAGCTGCCTCTGCTTCGGCGAGATCGCCGGTCTGCGAGTACCAACCGAAGTACCGGTTGATGCAGGTGACATCGAAGAGGTCGGCAATCTTGTCGAGCTGCGAGGTTGCGCCTCCCACGTTTGCAAATGTGATTGGACGCGTGGAGTCCAGCTCACGAGCTAACTTGGTGAGTGGCTCGAAGTATTCGCGCGCCCCATTTTCGTGAGAAGCAGGCTCGTTGGCGATTGACCACATAACAACACTGGCATGGTTCTTGTCGCGAGCCACGAGTTCCCGGAGGGCTTGCTTGTGCGCCTGCCGGGTGTTATTATTGATGTTTTCCTCGGACCAGGTGCGAACAGTTGTACTCCCGGAAATCGACAGACCAAGGTTCAGACCCACAGCGGGTGTCTCATCGATAACGACGATGCCATTCCGGTCAGCAAACTCCATGACTTCTTCGGCGTAGGGGTAGTGTGATGTCCGGAATGAGTTTGCTCCAATCCAATTCATCAGGTCGAAATCGTGGACCATGTATGCTTGGTCGTGGCCTTTGCCACGTACCGCGGTGTCTTCATGTTTTCCAAACCCGGTGAAGTAGAAGGGTTTGTCATTGATGAGGAATTTCTTCCCGCTTACTTTGACGGTGCGCACGCCCGTAGCCACGCTGTAGGTGTCGATGATCTTGTCTTTGGAGTCGACAATGCTGGCTTGGAACTGGTAGAGATAGGCTGCACCCGGTTGCCACAGCTTAACGGACTTGATCTTGACGGTTCCATTGGCGCCGGTTGCATGTGAAACGGCGACACCGTCCTCGTCAAGAACAGTGATCTTGATCTGTCCACCGGTGTTGTTGGATACTTTGACGTCGTAGTGAATCAGGCCATTGTTCCCTTGAACATCCGTCACAATGGTGATGTCCTGGATGTGTTGGCGAGGCACGGAGTAAAGCCAAATAGACCGGGCAAGACCGGCGTAGTTGTAGAAGTCGTGCTGGTAAGTCTGGATTCTCCTGCCGGTAGCTTCCCCAATCGTGATCTTCCCCGGCGGGATGGTCTCATGGGTGAGCTCATTGTTGACGGCAATTGTCAAGCGGAACCTCTCTCCAGGGGCAACAAGGTTCGTGATGTCTGCTTCAAAGGGTGTGTAGCCACCAATATGCTCGGCGACGAGGCGGTCGTTGACATAAATCCGACCATGATGCGTAGCAGACTCAGCTCGCAACAGATATTGCTCCTGAGACCAGCCCTTGGGAACAATCACATCACGCTGGTAATATACCCACCCAACATGATTGTGAATCTCAGGATCAACAAAGATATCGTTATATGAGGCGGGGACTGGACATTCAAGGCCCTTGGGCAGTGGTGCAGTCCACGGCTGAGCTGTGTCGTTGGGGCCGGATGCAAGTGAGAATTTCCACAGACCATCTAGGTTGACAAGCTCGCGAGTCTCAGTCCATTGTGGCTTGAGCTTAATCAAGGGTTGTTCGGTTGATGACAGGCCATTCCGCGGACGAAGCTGGACGGCAGGAACACATAGGGATGGAGAAACAAGGGCGAGCAGAGACAATCCTGTGAAGAACTTCATGGCTGCTAGAACACTATTTGTTCATTCATCTGGCCATCACATCTTGTTTTAACTGAGCGTATTTATAGCTTTCTGAATGGGCAATCGGCAATTGACATCTGTTCGCATCACAAACCGACTGGTCAATAGATGCATCCACAGGCCATGCTTTGATATCGCCAAGGCGCCAAGACCCAGGGAGGAGCGGTTCAGGGTCTTTTGCGGGGGTCCGGGGGACGCCATCTATACCAATTGCATCCTACTTCGGCAATCAACTTGCTTGCTTTCCCCGCGACGGTTATTGATGCAACATTAAACACAGCCGAAGATCGGCTATCTGAGTGATTTGTGGCCTGGAAAGTAGGTATGTTTGTCCAACTATAGACTGGGAGCACGACTGGCAGCCAAGTTTCGTCAGGTCTCGGGACCTGGTTACAGTCGCGGTTGGTGAGTGGAGAGTAGTAAGAAGTCTACCACAACGATCTAAAGATCAAGAGGAAAAGCTACTCAATGAACAGTGACATTCTGGAGACGGCAAATGAACGATTCCAGACAGTTAGTTACTACTAGGACTGCTCCTCAGCAGATGGAGCCATCCCCCACAATGGTCCGCCATAGAAGCGAACCGTGCGAGAGCGGATGTTGCGGGCAGATAGCGGGGGATGCAGGGACTCTCCAGGTTGACTATGACACCATCCTCGAGTTTCCCTAGGGTTCCTGTCTCTGTGTGGAGGAATTTCTGCATGTGAATGTCAAATAGAAAGGGGTGGGTCCCCGACTAGATTAAGTACGACTAACGACATCTACAGCCTCACAATAAATCTATACAATAACTCAATATAAACTGCTCATACCTCATCACACAGGTAGTATTCCGCTCCAATTTAGCTGAGCGCCCAGGCTGCAGAATAACGCTGCGGGGCCTTGGCCTCCGTCGGCATCTATCGATGCACCAATAGAGTGCGGTTATCACATTGACATTGCAAATTATTTAGCCATACCAGCGGCGACTGGCTTGGGGGTATTACATACATTTTTCCCGCGGCGCAGCTGACCCACAAAGCGCGCTAAATTAGTCGTCGAGATGGATACATCCGCCCAGTCAATAGATACAGGACTCATGTGTAGATAGCAGTAGCTTTGCTCTTCTCTTTCTTGCCTTCAAACCATGATGGCTTCCTTTTGTTGAGCCTATTTCCTGTATTTCTAGCTCTCAACACGAGTAATATTTGAAAAGAAATGCTGTTTAGGCCCTTTGAAAATGCGATCTTTTCACTAGCCACCGTGGGCTTAGGGTCTTAAGCACCACCATGCCGATGGAGCCCTACACGCTGGTAAACGTTGCAGGAGGCCCGGCCATTCAAGAGCAGATTCAGTTATGCGCGGATCAACCTAGAGTGTTCGTTGGCTAGGATTAGACTAGCGAGTAAAGATAATTCGATAATTAAACGTAGCCCACGGAGTCTTTCGTGGCAGGAATACTGGTATCACAGCTAGATCTATAACTACATTTCAGCTGAAATCCTAGTTCGCTCTTCTTCAGTTATTAGGGCCCGAATTCCTGACTGTAAACCTAAATCCTTGAGCCCCTATATCATTGCGGGGTCCTAATCCCGCACTTTCGTCCCCTTAGATAATAAACAAAACCCTTGGAGGTGAGGCGTGCACTTCTACTAGTCTTGTAGCCATGACCGAACAGTTCCTAATAGGTGTTCGGTTTCCCACTCCTACTCCTATTCTTATTGGAAATTCAGATCGTCAGTCACCGTCAGCCATTGGATGGACTTTAGAAGTGCTTCCTGTAGGCAAAGCATATTTCGCGCTAATAGAGAAAATCTAAGCAGGAATAGAATCGGAACTTCTAGTTTTTTTAGCATATCGAGTCCGCTAAAGGTTTTAAAAGACCCCCGGAAAGCGAGTGTCGGACGTTCGAGGTCCGCTCCGGAGACGTCCGATCCTACCGTAATAGTCAAATCCGTTAAAGTCTCTTAGACGTGAGATGAATCCGAGGCGATTTGGTCTAGATCGATAATATCCGTGACGGACTGATCTTGAAGATCTAGGCGGTAGTACTAATCCCATTAAAGTTTCTGAAGCCCTCGGGTAGCTAATAACACATAACCGAGATTCCCTTCGCGAAGTATCGTTAAATTGAGTAATATAAGTTTCGATGGATTTAGTAGACGATTCCTAGGCTATATAAAAGTACCCGGGTTATCGACCAAAATCCTTATATATTTAACGGATAGTATATATGTCAACATATGGATGTTGTGGGGTCACATGACGAAGGACCTACTCATATAACCCCTCTCTACATCTAGATCTTCTTCTCTATAAGATCTGTCGAATTGATCCTTAACGATCTTGTATTAAATTGCATACTCGCATTGAATTGCCTATCTAGGCAGGAGACTATCTAACACTCTAATACTCTATCCTTTCTTATGTGATCTTTTGCCGTGTTTCTAAGATATAAATACTGTTATGTTTCCTAACTAAATTGAATCAAGTTTATCATCCTTTGTGATCTCTCTTCTTGATCGGTGGTACTCTTCCACAACTATGGTACTTCTTCTTCTTCTTCCTTAGAAGTGCGCACGACCGATAGACTCATAACCGTGTATTCAGACACTACGTTGAGTATTTACCAATCCTTATGCACACTATCGTCTTGTGTGTATAACCACGACTTTATGGTCACCGCCTAGAGTCCGACAATATAGAAGAGAGGTAGGGCGTCTACCGTATTCTTAACGTTTATATAATCGCGAATATATAGGCCGAGGCCGGGATATATAACCGACACATCTTAGAGATATATAAAAGATAGGAGATAGCTATCTTAGGATTCCTTATAGAGGGCTGAGCAGAGTATCGTGCCTATTAGGCGGCTCTCTCGGGCGAAATTCTTACCTATATATAGATATCTTAGACTAGGGAGCTATAACACTAGTAAGTATAATAAACGCGTCTATTATTCCGGCGCGTAGTTCTTAGATCTATTGTTTAGCATATAGAATATTAATCATTTCGATGCATTTCACCAACCCATCTAAGATAACTTTAGTGACTATGAGTTTAAGACTCTTCTATCTATAGTCATATAGACCGCGATCGGAACTATTCCCACTGAGGACCACAACATTGACTAAACTAGCGAGCCCAGGCCTATGCACAATGCTGCGCAAAAACTGAGCGATCGGGGGATTCTGAAAGCTTGTCCATATCCATTGAATTTGAGCGTAGAGTAATGACTCCGCAAGAGACCATAAGTACCTATGCGTAAGACATACCGCTCAAAGATCGCTGCTCGATAGGGATGCAAAAACCATGTGCAGAACCTCTGGAGGGGCATTGAGAATGGGGGACGCCATTAGACCTTGACAGCGTCTTTGATGCTGGCACAAAGCGGAAAACAGTGAAAGAAGGCTTTTGTGTATGAGGAACATTTGGTATCTCAGGTAATTTTGGGGGTGGGAGTTGAAGGAAAGGACCTGTTCTCGCATCACGTGACCATGGACCATCTGTATGTCACTCTATCTACTTGTTAATCGGAGCCAATTCGACTGAGTCGGTTGCAGCTTAAGCCTATGTGCCAAATTCCTTTCGAGTTCTTCAGGACCGACCCTTAAGATAGCCAAATAGATAAGCACGCTTGACTCCGAGCTGCTTTCCATTTAGACCTTTCCAGCCAAATCTAGCAAGCGAGCTGAACCCTTATTTTTAGTTACCAGGGATTTTAGGTTCGAATGTAGGCGTCTTTCGCACTAACCCCCTTCCGGCTGATCTATATCGAGTTAGCTCAAACGCTTGTAAGACTTCAGCCGCAAATGATTATGGGCAAATAAAAGGGTCAAAACGCTCTCAGGCCCTGTAGTCCTATATTATTTAAATGAGACACTCAATTCTGAAATCCCTGGTCATCTACTGACTACATTTCCTTCCGACAAACCAGACACAATGCGTTTCCTGAATGACGATCTTGTCATTGACCAGGCCAATGCAGTCCCTATGATGCAAGTCATTGGGGCCGGCCTCCCACGCTGTGCAACAAGCTCAATTCAAGCAGCTTTAGAGTCCCAATACATTGGCCTCGCTCCTTGCATGCACTTTGCCCATATAGCACCGCACGCTGACCGCTCCGACATCCTTATCGCCGCAGTGCAAGAAGTCGACACGGCTCGGCGACACAAGCTACTGCACAAGCTATTCGACGGCTTCAAAGCGTCAACCGACTTCCCCGGCTCCTTGTTTCCAGATGACCTCATGGACATGTATCCCGACGCCAAGATCGTGCTGAACAAGCGGCCCGGTGGTGGCGTTAAGTGGGAACAGTCGATCAAAGTGCTTGGATACGCTGGCAGCCCCATTTATTACGCAGTCTGCTTCTTGTGGAAGACGGACCGCAATATCCACAAGCTCTGGGATCTGTTCTCACAACGCTCTAAAGACACCCTGGGATTAACGGATGATGAGCTTATGACGGCAAAGCATTATGATGCTCATAATGCCTGGGTTCATGCCGAGGCAGCTAAGCGCGGTCGGGAGGTCGTCGAATTCGAGCCTCGTGACGGATGGGAGCCATTGTGTGCGGTTCTTGGCAAGGAGGCACCGGAGGATGAGCCATTCCCTCATCGTAATGATGCGTCTGAGGTTCGAATGATCGTGCGGATTCTGTATACTCGGGGGTTGATCTCTTGGTTGGTCCTAGGTGGTGCGATATATGGCGCGGCGAAGTTTTTGGTCAAAAGACAGTTATTTTAGTAATATTGTAAAAGTTTGGATAATGTTCACTGGAAGATAATGATACGAATGTGATTTTAGTCTTAAGACTAGACGAATTATTCCCTTCGATCTAGACGTATATCTACCAAGGCTCCTATTTAATTCTCTGAATAACTCTACCCTCATTGAGATTTCAAGGTTATCTAGGGCGAGTTCACCGTCTAGTCCTGAAGCCCGGGCTCAGTCTTGAAACGTAGACCGAGAAATAAATTTATGCGCCGGAACTTCGGGGGTGGGCTGGAGTATTGGCAAACGCGCAGAACCCTAATTCTAGTGGAGGCAACAGGCTCTTATTCAACAAAAGCTGAAGTTTGGATTTCCAGAATAGCCGGTGTGGCGGTCCAATCCACTACCAGCGGTGTAATGGAGACTTGGGCATGCATTTAGGCGTCCCGAGTACTGGTCAATCGCGTACGCCCGGACTTGGGCCCACTCCTCAATCGGGGAACGAGAATGAAAGAACCGGTTGGGACATTTGGCAGTGGAAAATCTACCCTCTGTTTGTCTTGCATTCCAGGAGGGCCAATCTTTCGTCCCATACCCAAGCGGACGAGGGATCTGTAGAGTGGAAAGCTGGGCAGCCTGGTCACTAGCTTACGCATTGGAGAGCCCGGCCAAGCTACTAATTCGTCGACTGGCTTGAGCAGCATTATCTAGGAAGAGTAAGCTCTTTGATTTAAACCAATGTTGAATAAACATTAGAACGTGAAGAAAACCTCTTTATAAATCAGATGGGAAGATCGATCAGAGCCAAGGAGACTCTAAATAATGCCAGTCCAGTCCCAGAGAGGACATACTAGAAAGGCCTGTGTGAAAAGCGGAGGTTAGAGTAAAATCTTTACCCCTGACAAATCGCCAATCCAGACTTTTATCAAATACTACTTCAGGGTAGTCGTGTACAAGGGCTTTACTCCACCAAATGGGAATGCCCACATCAAGTGTTTTCCTTTTTTTATCCCAACAATTGGCTGAAGCCCGATAATCTATTAGTGCAATTCTCAGCATTTTGTCAGGTAGAAAGCACAGTTAAAGTGGCGTTATAGGCAGTGAAGCCATTTTGCGCCCAAAAGTTACCATTACCGATCGTTCTGGTGTGATCTGAATCGAAACTCAATATCCTGTTAGTACAGTCTAACTGCACTGTAAGTAGTAACTGAGCTGTGTTCAAAGGATATCATCACCTAAAGCTTGTCTACTGGGACTAGGGACCGACTTTTATCCCGAAATGTGAGATGGCGGAGGCAAAAACATCCTTACATTTTCCCAAAGTTAGTAGCCGTGAAACCCGCAAGCCAAAAAATAGCCAAGTCTGCTTGCAATACCACACCTCACCTTTTGTGACGGCAAGTAGCTATTGCTTGTTCTGTTTGAATCTACTCAAATTCAAATTTGGAGTGAAGACTGTGTTTCATGATATTTCGTAATTGTACAGGTACAAAGTCGTCAAAATAGAGTTGTGGATGAGCGGACCCGCTCTGTTCGACTCCACCCTAACAACTACAGAAGCCTCGCGTGTGACAGACACTGACAAGAGGTGACACACTCACAACCCCACACTCAGCCCTCAAACTTGTTCAGGTCGACGATGGACGCAATAAAGTCGTCCATACTCTCCTCCTTCTTCCGATTTCCGACATCGGCGGCAGTCTCGACGGGGAGTTCATTGTCCCGAGGGAGGATCGGGTTGACATTTCCAGTCTCCGAATCCTCCATATCCCTGGCATGGGCATACTCATAGGCGGCGAACTCAGCATCAAAGAAGCTCTCGTCTTCTGCCGGTGGGAAATAATAGCCATAGCCGTATCCAAGTCCGAAGAGGTTACCAGCATTGCTGCTGGCACGCAAGTTGACATCCGGTTCGTTGGTCACTTCTTCGGCAGGAGTGACCGGATGGAAATCCCTTCGCTCGAATTGGGATTGAGACTGGGCTGGCAGATTCGGGTCGGCCGGGACACCTGAAGCTGGTTGGACGGTGCCTTTGTCAGAATACATGCGTGGCCGGTTCATGAGGAACCCCATCATCGGAGCAAGCAATGGATCCGAATTCTCATCCTGTGCCATGGTCGAAGGCAGACGAGCCTGGCTGCGTCGAATAGGACGAATGTCATCTTCTTCAGCATTCGCCCAGGAGGGAAGTTGGACACGAGTGGGACGAGGTTCCTGAAGTTGCAAATTGACATCAGTTGGAACAGACGCTGGAGCTTTGTAGCCATCCCGCACCGCGGTAGAAATGCCGTTGTTGGAATTCTGTTGTGTGCGTCTAGCAGAGCGACTTCTGGGAGTTTCCAAGTTGACATCAGCTGCAACAGACTCGGAATCCTTTGGCAGGGGCTCTGCGGCTGCGCGGCCATTGTTGTCTTGCAAAGCATGCGTGACACGCTGGGAACGATGACGGGGGGTGAGATCCAGCTGAGGGGCATATTCCGCATCGTTGAAGACCCGCACAGTAGGCGAACCATCTTTTTTCCGATTACCCACGGTGCGGCCATCATTATCTTGCAAGGCCTGGGCGATACGTATGGAACGGCGGCGAGGAGTCAGCTCGGATTGACTTGGGTCATCGTTTTCGTTGGAGGGCTTTGAAGGGGAGGGGAAGTCGAAGTTGAAATGCTGTCTATCATCCTGTCTTGCGATCGACAAATCTGCAGAGATGCGAGAAGTACGACGCCCCGGAGTGATGTTTGCAGCGCGAGCAGTAGCAGTGATGGGTTGAACGGGACCCATAGAAATGGTAAACGGAACATCAGACCGGTTTACCATGTGTCCCGGCTTGGAGTTGTAACGGCTGGTCTTATCATTTTTGGTCGCAGGAGTGATGTCTTCATCCATCGTAGGAGAATCTTGCTGGACTGACTGAGCATTTGCAGAGTCAGGAGCAGTCCGCTGCTCCTGTTGCTGGCGAAGAACTTTGGTTTTCGAACGAAGAATCATGGTGGAAAGGGACTCGCGAGGGTAAGTACAAGGGATCGTTCCACGTGATCTGGATCATCGCACATGAAGCAGTGTAGTTTCCTAACTAGGAAGGTGGCCAGATACAGGCGGGATGCGGGCATTTCGAGGGGTTGCACTTTCCTAACTTGACGAGCCATCAGGCAAACAAAACACGAGAAATTTGTAAATACCAATACGATACTACGGACGAAACGAAATACATCGAGCAAACTATTCGAGAGGAAAGAACTGCGTTGTTTCTAGGCTGTGGAGCTCTAGCCATTCTATGTAAGTCCTGATAATCCCCCCGTATGCAAATGCAGATATCTCTGCGTGGCCAGTAATAATGCAGATAATGTAGGAGAAGAAAAAAACGAAGCAGGAAATCCAGAGATTCAGAAACCCAGATCATGCTATCACGCCTGTCTATCCAGGAATTCTCAATCCACAGAAGGGAAGACAGCAGAAAGGAAAAACTCGACGACCAGCTCACCCCCACCACAAAAGGAAAAGAAAAAGCTTCATGATCATAACTGCAGGAAACATGATCATTAGAACAGAATAAGAGGCCACCACTTTTTGTATTTCCCATGCAGAACGCCGTGCACCATCATGAACAAAGAGGGGAACAAGAAATGTATGCATGTATCCTCCTCAACAGAACAACTATGAAAACGAAAAAAAAAAAAAAAACGAAACCGATGTATGAAGGCTGCATCAGCAACAGAACATAGACGAAACCCAGAGTGCTATGCATCGGATCAGACGTCCGAGTTCATCTTCTCGTCAGGATCCACGCGCAGCTCCACAACGGGCAACTCCTCATCCGAACCATCGTCCAGCAGGGGCGGGACATCCTCGAAGGAAGCATCGTGCTCTGAGACCGGCCGTGAGTTGTCAAGGCCATGGAGACGATCCTCAACGTCCGAGTTCTCATCGACCGCCACATTGCTGTCATTGTCCCCGAAAAGATCATTGTCTTCATCCGGGGAGGCGGGACGAATGGAAGTCATCTCGCCAAGACCAATGGACGGTCCAGCCTGGTCAAACGACCACGACGGCGCAGAGAACATATCGTCAAGGGGGTTGTGCGACTCCTCCTCATCCTCATCATCACTCGACTTCGTCTCCGGAGTCGCGGCCCCCGAACCACCACCGCCCACTCGGCGAGCTACTCCGACTCCGGCTGAGACGCTCGACGACCCATTGTGGAATGAGCCGCCGAGACGCTTGCCTTCCCCCGACGGTGACCCAGCCCGCGAGTTCTCCGCCGTGCTATCCTTCTCGCCGTTCTTGAACTTGTTGACGATGTTCTGAAGAACGGGACCACCCAGAGGCTGGTCGGAGCGGCGGCGGTAGAACAGCAGGTACGCTTGGGGAGATTGCATCCTACTCAAATCCCTAAGCGTAGTCGCCGACGAATCTAAAGTGAGGTGTTAGTGAATCAGATCAAACACGAAAGAGAGAGATGACAACAACATACCGTTGAAGTTGCCCCAGTCGTCAGTGACGAAGTTTTTGGCATAGGCGGTGTAATGGCCGCCCGCCATGCTGCCCGAGTGGTTGTCCACGCCGATCAGGTCGTAGACCAGAGACTTGTCCCCCGCGGGACCCGAAACCCAACTTGACAGGTCGAGATTCTCGACCGGGAAGTTGACGTTCGTGCTGAGCTTACCACGAGAGAACCGAGAGTGGGTCATAAACCGTTTCAGGTGAATGACCAGGATGTCCGGGGTCGACCACAGCTCGAACTTCTTGCGAGCTTGGCGGTGCTCCTTGCAGCGTGGGCAGTACCACGCGTCATCCTGCGACAGCGTCTCCTCGCGGCTGAACTCGTCCAGGCACTGGTCAAGCGTGACGCCTTGACTTGCCTGCGCGTCACGCTGGGCCCGACGGTCGATGAGCCCCTGGTCTTTGACGAAGGGAATCTGGTCGCAGGTGGCAGCGCCACGCAGGTTGTCCCCGGGTCCATCCTTGCCGAAGAGAGCATCTCTGGCATCCTCGTTCCAGTCCAGCAGAATCGCTTCGGACTGCTTCAGCAGTGGTGTCGCAGAGGTCATCTCGGTACTCTCATGGTCAGACTCGTCTGACACGCTGGAATCCTCGTTGCTTCCGTCATCCGATCCGTTGGAAGATTTCTTTGAAACCTATGTTATAGTTAGCAAATGTAATCTCAGTCATTGATCAAGATACATCGATAATCACCTTCTTCGGAGTTGGAAGACGAGACAGAAGGGTCTCGAAGTTGTTGTAGCCGTGGATCTGGCGACCTCGGGGGATCTTGTCGAAGCCGTTCATGACCCGGACACTGAACAGACTGAGCAGGCCAGGAGGGATAATGTCAGCCAGAGGATGGGCAGGAATATCATCGCTGGTATCCATTCCTTGGGGTGAAGCTGCACTGGGGGTTCGGGAAGCATCGTTCATAGAGATATCAACGATGCTGTCATCGCCCTCAACCGAGCCAGTTTTGATTCGAAAGTCTGCTGATTGGGCATCCTCTTCATTCATGACCACAGTGTCGGAATCTTCGAGAGCCTGTCCCGCCTCATCGGCGTCAGTCTTCTCCTTAATCTTCGATTCAGCCTCGCCTAAGATATCGCGCGTAGTCATGGTAGCGACATGACGAATGATCTTGCGATAGATGGCGGCCATGTCTCTAGCTTCCTCGCGGGTGAAAGAGAGGATGGTAGGCTGACCAAATGTTTCAAGCTTGGGTTGGCCTCTCTGGTTCCGGTACTTGGTCTCGCATCTGCTGAACACCGGTACAAGGATGCGATCGTTTGCAGGGGCATCCAATTGAATGAACGTCATGACGTCTTTTTCCTTCATGTTCAATTCCTCAAAAGGCATCTTTTGGCGAGTGTAAACATCCCAGAAGTGGCCAGAAGAGACATCTGCTCCGATAAGTTGATCCGGCTTGAGACCCATCTTAGTCGCCACAGTCTCCTTCCAAGCACCGAAGGTGCTCGTCTTGTCCACCTCGACAACGAAGCTCTTGGGGGGCTCCTGAAGTCCTTGAAAGACGACGTTCCGGTACACAACCTTCTGCTGCGGAATGGGCAAAGTCAAGCTGCTGAAGGGATCGAAGATGATGCTGACTTTGTCGCAGGTAGGGCAAACCAGGGTCGACTTGTACATGCCGGCAAACAGGTCAGTGATGACGGAGTCGTTGCGCGCTTTGTAGATGTCCCAGGATCGAACAGCAAAGTCTTCGAGAGCCTTGCGGTCGTGGACCATCTCGTCGGTCGAGTCGGGCTTCTCAATGTAAGGCTTCTTCAGGATGCGGTTCAGGTCTTCGGAGAGACCATCGAGAAGGAACATCAGGAACTCTTGACTGTCTTGCTGATCCCAGCCAGCCATGGTAGGGTTGTTCCGGCCAATTTGGTTTCGGAACTTGTGGGGATTGAAAGACGAGGGTGGGGGGTCGCGATAGATGCCTTGGATCAGTCCAGCATACGCCTTGGCGAGTTGTCCAGAGTATCCGAGGGGGTTAGAGGGATTGAGGTCCTTCTTGTGGCGGTTTGCTGCATAACCAAAAAGTTAGTACCAACGAAGCAATGAGATACCAAGATTCACAAATAATCAAGGCACATACCAAGGAAGTAGTATGTCAACTCTTCCACAGCCCGAACACACTGAGTGGCCGCATTCTGGTAGCAAGTGTTACCCAAGTTCGAAAGACCCGTCAGGCCCATCCTATGGCCGTGGGGTTTGTTGGCGAACGGGAATTCATCTTGTACAGGGCTGGTCCGACCGCTGTTGGCCTGGCTTTTCGAGGCAGCAGGCGCAGCGAGGGCAGTAGAAGCAACGGAGGTAATCTCCTTCTTGGGCTTGTTGATGGGGATGCCGAGGCGCTTGAGCTTCTCTGCCGAGACTGCGGACACCCACTCTCCACTCTTAGTTCCAACCTGCTCCTCCAGAACAAAGACATCGGATCCCATGAGACCCGCAATGCTCAGTGACATTTTGCCATTGTAGTTGTCATTGTTGGTCTGGTCCTTGAACGTCTCCAGGAGCTCCCGTTGAGTACCCTCATTCAGGTCAAGGAAGGTGTTCAGATCCACCAGGAGGTTTCTGCTCGAGGCCGAGATGAGAGCGGAGGGGGGAGCGGGCGAAACGGCGCGGGACACGGCGGGAGTCGTAGCGGTCGAAGGATTGAGGCTGGGGAGTTGGCCGATGATCTTCCACACTCGCACCTTGGTCGACATGTTAATCCCAGCGAGCTCCTTGGCCCGCTTCAGCCAGGCCTGGACACCGCTCTGACGACCAGCTAGCATCTTCGCGGGAGGGAGGGTCTTCTCTTTCAGAGACTGGGGTGTGGTCCCCGCAGCGGGGTTGGCCAGCTTGAAGATCGTGAAGATTGGCGGGCTGAGCTCGTACATGATGTTGTCGGAACCATCCAAGCTAGTGTTGTGCGCAAAACGAACGATGGTGGGCGACTGGCTGGCGACTCCATACTCTTTCATGATCAAGTCCCAGGCCTCTTGAGGCACAATCTCGTAATCCTCACCGAGTTGCACGTTCGGGCGTAGAGGAACATAGGACTCTCCATTCTCGTACTTGAAGTTGCTGTTTGCCGGATCGGTGTCGAGCACGATGTCGCTGTTATCCACAGGGCCCAGCTCGTTGTCCATTGATTCCTTGTCTGCTTTGTCGGCGTACGAGGTGCTTCGCGCATAAAGCGTCTTCACCCATCGCGAGGAAATCACATACCCCTTTTGTCCGTCCTTCAAAGGTTGGTTTGTAAGCTCAACCACCTTGGCGATTTGGTCATCGATGGAATCAGTGGCCGGGACATCAACCGTTGTGCTCACACCTCCCTCGGGCTCGGGGTCGGTGATCTCAGAAGCCGGGCGCTTCTCACCCGGGGAAGGAGAACGACCATCACCATTTGTCGGCGGGGTGCCGGCTTGATGATCGGAGGGCATGTCGGAATGTTCACTGGAGAGGGACAGTCCGGCGGTCGCAGTCGCGGGGGTGGGCGAGCGGACACCGGGCTGAGATCGGGTCCCTGGGACGTGGGACTGGAGGTGAGCGGGCACGTAGCGAGGAGGCGACGGGGAGTAGCTTTTGCTCCGTGAGTTTGAGGCCGAGGAGGAGCTTCTCGGTGGCAATGGAGGCACCTGCGGAGGTTCGGAGCGGCCGTGACGTCGTGCCTCTCCTGGGCTGCTGCGACCTGGCTCGGGGGAAACTTTGCGACGCTTTGTGGGAGACGTCGTGACGGTGAGCTGCGCACGTCGCGTGGCAGCTCGGGGGAAAACTGGGGGAAGGAGTGAAAGAAAAGGTTGGAAAGAATGACAAATTTGTTTCTTCCCCGCAGCCTTCTTCTTTGCACTGAAGAGAAGAAGTCGGGGCCAAAGAAATTATCGGCAGCAAATTAAAATTGTGCTGGCAGAAAATCGGAGCCGCTTGGAGATTTTTTTTCCGCTCCGGGAACGAACCCTATCAGTGATACGCCGGCGTATCACGAAAGAGTGAAGAGGTGAAGAGAAAAGCTGCAGGCCGGCTGCAAAAGATTAGAATTGGTGAAGGTAAGAGATGAGTAGGACTTTGCGAGAAGTGAGTGTAGATCGTGAGGGTGGAGAGGAGAGAACAGGGTCGAGGTAGGAATGTAAGGGAGATATTTATATCTAACGGGGACCCCTATGCTGGCCCAGAAAAGGTAGGCAGAAGGCTGCTGGCTAACCGTGGAATCAGTAGGCAGCGCTAGGTACTCCAAAGGTGAGCTGCCTTGTTACAGGCTGTCAATCATTGAATCTTCTCAAGTTTTGTGAATTAGGTGGCTATTGGATCGCTGCCTCCAGCTTGGATTTGTTTGCGCAAGGCAGAGCTTCAGAATTTCCCAATCGGGCTCACATTCAGAGATGGAGATTTTTCTGTAGCATACTCGGAAATTTACAGACTACAATTTGTACTAGTAAAAAAATTCATTGGTATTGATTAGCTGTCTGAAAGGAATAGATGATATGCTTGATAACCGAATGGATATCGATCTCGACCTGGGCCTCCCTAGTCAAGAGAAGTCTTGCATGAATCTAGCTCTTGTAGATCTGGCGGCGCAGATAATTCCCTTTTGAGCCCTTGAGAATGTAATCCACATCAGCACGGAACTCCGTCTTGTTCTTAGGGTCCTGCTTGCCCCATGCCACAACTCGATCAAGATCACCTCGGAACTGGTTCACATGGTGAGCACAGTAATGGCAGAGGAACAGCCCGCATCCAATGTGAATAGTGGTCACATCCTGGAAGGGTCCTTGGGAGCTAACTTGGGCAGTCTGATCACTGTCACAAGACCAGAAAGCAGGCTCCTGGCAAAGACTGCACCATGGCTGAGGAGCGTGTGGGAATGATTGGCCGTAGCATCGAGACGATGGTTCCTGCAGGGCTGCACGAGCCTGAGCAAGATGATAATATGCCCCTGTGGGATTGTAGGGAAGATGGGGGTTCATGTGGTTCAACAGAGGAGAGATGAAATCGTGACAGCATTGCATGATCTGCAGTCTTTCCCGGGCACAGTCCCAGCACATACGACTTGGTTCTTTCCCTTCCCCTTGGTGTCCGTCGCTAAGCTCGATCAGCCGGCCTGTCTCGAAGTCCAGAATATCCGTGTTTCGAGGACCGAGTCCGACGATTCCATATGCGAAATTGGAGCACCAATGGCACGATAGCTGGCTGTTCGGACTCAGGATGGTGAGAGGGTGTGGATAGTATGTCCGAATTCGGTAGGAAGTCCCATATGGATTCGAGGATAGGTTATCAAAGGTGGGAATAAGGCATTGAGGTAGCCCAGAGGCAGCGGGTGTATGAGGACCCTGAATCGATGGGCCCTGTGTTGACGACAGGCTCACCCTGGTAGTGAAGTGATTGATTCTTGCAGTTGTAGCTGGAAGGATACCGCCGGACTCATGTAACATCGACTTTGGCTTGGAATTTTGCTCTGGGCCACTGCTGGACTCTTCCGGGGTCCCATCATCGTGATATTCATCCGTTGTCTCTGTCTCCGTGCTCACCATGAGGTGCTCACCAGTGGGCTGGCATCTGGCTGGACCAGCTACACACTGGAAGCCATGCTGAAGGCATTCCCAGCAAGGCTGGCTGTGATCATAGTCCCCGGAGAGATACGAGCAGCGTAAACGACGTCTGCTCTTGCATGGTTCACACGGGCGTTTCCAGATAGGTGGTGGATCAGGAATGCAGTCACACTCGTCATCACGACAGTTTTCACAAGGATAGTGAGATGGATCATCAACGAGCGAACACTCCAGGTCCAGCTCTTGGCAAGCCAGACATCCTCTTGCCGCAGGATTGTTTTCTTCGGGGAGGCCCGACTGGTTGTCGTGGCCGATATCTGGACTGCCCGGAGAATCCGCAGCATCCTTTCGTGCTCGAAAGAAGTAGGCCTTCTCAGGATCTCGCTCAATCTGAGGTTGCCAGAAGGTCTCCCACTTTGACTGGCCAGGAGTGTCTTCCGGAGTGACGGGAGAAGAGGAACACGGTGCATCTGCTTCGTTATCTGCATCAAGTGAGGATGTAGGGGTAGGGGAGTGACTTCTGGCTCGTTTGGCTGGTCTAGCACGCGAGCGAGCCTCTCTGTCAGAGCGAATTTGACGTTTCGAACGAGAGCTTCGCTCGGGGGTGTAGTCGTCATCCTTGTCATTGTCAATCCAGGAGGACATGACAGACGTGGTACTCTTGTTTCGGCTTCTCAAGTGATAGGTGTCTTCGCACTCAAAGGCTGCTTGGGTGTGGCCTGGAAAGAGCCGTCGGGCCTTCTCCAGCCTATCAGGAGAGTATGCCATGATGCTGAGTGGTGGAGGTGGTGAAGGTGGTGAAGGAGGAGAAACAAATGTCGGTGATTGAGTGTTTTGGATGGAGTGAGAGAAGTGTGCGAGAGACGTCGAGGTTGGAAGGGCGCTTGTTAAAGGAAGCAACATAGAGGGAGATGGAAAATGGCACTTGTGTTGACCAAGAAATGTTTGTGTATTTCCAATATCAAACGACTAAATACATGAGAAGGAGACGACATGATAATTAGCAAGCTCCAACTCCTCTAACCCGCTTAAATAACCCTTAAATCCACGGAATCAATCTATAAAACCCATGATAACACACAATCAAAAACCATAAAAAACCCGAAGTGACGTGAAACTGAAAGACACCGATTCAACCAAATTCAAACAACCCATCCACTCGTCCGACCGCCGCTCATGCGGTGAAAGACACGGCAACGATGCTGGGGCTCGCTGCTGGTGTCGATAAAAGGCCAACATTCGTTTCCGTTGGCCAGGCAGATCCGCTAACGACAAGATTTCTCACTTCTTGTCGTTGTCGCTTCACAATGTCCGAGCTTTGAAAGGGGTCGGAGAACGACCACCGGCCTGTAGCTCCAAATGAGACGCCAACATAGACGGTGGCGATCAGGATAGCCACCAAGCAGAAGCCGAGAAAGACTGCGAGCGCGTATAGCCAGGAAGCCCGCTGTGACTCGCTGCGGGTGGACCACCAGTGCTTGGGCTTGGCCCACACGGCGTCCCAGCATTTTCGAGGCCGGGACTTGTTCACCGGCACCTGGGTCTTGCTGGAGAGGTCATCTCCAGGGTCGGATGGGACGAGTGTCCCAAAGTTGAAATCTATATATGTTAGTTGACTTTCTTCAAAATGATGAGAGTCAGAGCAAAGCTTACTAGGGTGAGGTCCGTAGACCTCGTCGTAGACCCCACGGAAGTAGGCGCGGTCAGGCTTGGCGGGAGTATAAATAGGGAGCGCCATTTGATTTGACGCTTGTTGGTTTGACTTGTAAAGATTTTTCAGGGGGTCTGGAAGAAGAAGAGTGTTTGGAAAGTTGGGTAGGGTAGATGGAAGAAACAGGTGAAAGCAGAGGTAGCTGGGATTTGGGACGGTATTTGAATCAACGCCAAGACTAATTCCCATGCCTCTCTGGATTATCTCGATCCAGTTTCATACCAGTTCATTCAGAATCATACAAATCAGGTCTAGTCATTTACCATCTAAGGAATCGAAGTTGGAGGTGGACCATGGGATGGGCCAGAAAGCCGCCGCATCCCAAAATGGTACTTATGAGGTGAGGCTCTTCCCGTAGAGGGAACGTATCGTTCACGACTAGTCTATTTAGGGCAAGATATTGCCCAAAAGGTATGTTGTGGCTATTTCAATAGAGATATGGGTGGAAGATGAGGTATAGAAGATTCAGAACTGATTGAGAAAAAACGGCAGCATCGCTCGCAATAAAGACCTTGGTGACAATACAATAAGAATACAATAACGCCCAATCAACCCTTTCTCTAAGCTTAGTGGACGTAGTAGTTGGAAGATGGATCAGAACATTATGAGTTCCATTGTCTTAGTCGATAGCCTTTATTCAAAGAAATCCATATAACACTTGTAGCACGCACGCCCGTGCCCGGATCCTCTTCACTATCATATTGAAAATGTATAAGCTTGCAGGGTTACAGGGAATGCCATTGTGTCTAATGTTGATTATACGGATTGATAATTTGATCGTGAATTATCACCACCTTCTCGGATCTTGGAGCACCTTGAACTTGAGCGGCGAGTATCTGGGCTCATAAGTATAACTTTTGGCTGATCTAGATCTACAGCTTTATGCTAAAGTCGGGGAGGTCAAGACCTTCGTCACTGTCAAGAGGACCAAACGGGTGGCGATCATATCCTTCATGTGCCCTAGCTCAGATAATAACTTTGCATAGCAGCATCTGGGACAAGTAGCGGAGTCAGAGAACGCAGTTCTCCATCCTAGGGAAATTGGGACAATTGGTACATAGAATTTCCTGGTACTGTAATCCATACATCTCGTATTTGGATGTCCACTAAGCCCTCAGTGTTAGGACTATCCAGGATGAGGCTCATGTAGAACTTGTGCAGCTTATTCCAAAGCTTTTAGTGCCTGGATTAGTGGACTAAAATTCACTTTCATTTTTAGATAGCCCGCCATCCATATTCCACTTATAACGAGCGAATCACGGTTGTTTCAAATTACTACGAGAGCCGTTCCGTTTCTAAATACTACATTTACCCAATTCTACAATGATAGGATCCTATAAAATGCGAAAAATAATTGGAGGGGTATCGATGTGCCAGTGACTTCCATATCCCAATTTAGATTTCCGGATACAATTCAACCGTCCTGTTCTAGCCTGGCCCAAGTGCTGATGCTCGTAGGTTACTAAGCTGGTTATGGAATTCGGAAGTTTCCACGAAACCCGCGCACCAGGAGCCCATGGAAATTAGCTATGATCAATATCTATATTGGCTGTTTACCTTATATGGACAACTTCCGATAATGAGCAGGACCGTCCAAAGTGGTGATCGCTATACTTCTATCCAATCGGAATCTGTCGACAGCGGTGAGTGACCCGCTGATGCCAAGACACGCTGATTGGGTTACTCCACGTGATAGCGTTATCTCGCGGCTCCTCACCTCACCTCAACGGCTGCAATCAGCTCCTGTTATGCTCGAATCTGTCCCTACCGAGGTGTGAGCTGGTCTCCCACGGTCAACATACAGCTCCAGTTCACTTCTCTCAGGCACTGTCGGGTACAGGATCCATCCATATTGCTTGTTTTATCGTGGTGATGTGGATGACTCAACCGCGGAACGGAAGTACTCGTGCACAACAGCTATCAGCTCAATAGAGCTTGGCTTTTCTAGGAAAACCCCTAGCTAGTACTGCCTAACACTTATGGTGAGTTGATCTGTCGTATATGCCGAAGCCAGAGTCGATTCTTTTCCGTATTTGCCGGCATCGGCATCTGGTCTTTGTTCAGAGCCCTTGGGGAGCTCCTGAGCTAATGAGGATCGATCTGGGGACGCTTCACATCTTCGCCCACTTTTCCTCAAAGTCTTTGATCCACACTAACTTGATGCTCATCATTCTGCAGGAATATTATCAATTTCTCCAAATACTTATCACCCATTTATCCAGCGATACAACTTGATCGAAGCTAGCAACATACCTATCCTGTCACCCAAGGGCACTACACTATACTTCCACAGTCTGCTCAACCTTTGAAAACTACAACTGTCGTCACCATGGAATCCTCACGATCCTCATTAGCTTCGAATAATACCCGCGGTGGTGGATTTTCCGAACACAAGACCATGCCTCAACTGGATACTCTCATCTCGCATCTCGTGGCCGCCAAACGGTCCCTTTCTTCCATCAACCACGTTTGGCGGGCCAACGAAATTGTCACCGCCGCGCGGTCAGCCCTCGAAGAAAGCGTCGTCGTGTCATCCAGAACAGGCTTCCTGCGTCGAGGCTTGAACAATCAGCTTCGGCTGCTCTACGATGTCCGGTCGGAGGTGGAGCATATCTCGCATCGTGGGCGACAGGACTTCTCAGATGCTTTGAAAAGTCTTGATGCTGCAGATGCGCGCCTTCGGAGTACCTTGGATCTTCTGCGGAATACCATCGTCCACGCTTCATTCCGACCTAAAGATGAAGACCCCAAGTCTCTGCATGACTTTGTCGATGAGCGTGGCGTCGAGGAGCTACATGCCGCCATGAAGAGCTCTATCGACAGGACAAATGCTGCACGGGCAGATCTCGATACCTCGAATCGTGAGTTTGACGACGAGCTTCAATCCATCAAGCAGGCGCTTCGCCATTATCGATCCGCGACTAGATTGGCGTCTTCTCGAGCCTCTGCATCTTCATCCTCGTCATCGACATCGGACTCTGATCTGCTCGCCCTGTCCACTATGCCCAGCATGCTCCAGTCATTGGAAGGGCATGCCCAGGAGATGGCTGGTCTCCTCGAATCCCTCGTCCGCCACTTTGACCTTTGTGTGACTGCGGTGAAGCACACCGAAGGCGGCGGCGCGGCTGCCAGATCCATCACAGGAGACATGCCAGCCGAGGTCCAGGCCAATCACGATGGGATTCCGCATATCGGCGAAGAGATCAACGCGAACCTGAATGCTCCGCTGGACCCGTTAAGCGACTCGGAATATTTGGAAATGGTCAACGTGCTTGTGAAGGATGCCCTCGAAGCCGAGGACGTTGTCATGGAGATCCAAGATCGCATTAACGAAATGGAGACCGTCCATGAGCAGGTTCATGCGCAGCGAGACGCTCTCATTGCAATCTCTAATGCGACGCTTGAGGTTCACCAGCACTTGTCAACATTGGCTTCGACTCGCCTTCCTCGGTACATCTCCCAGGCACACAACTTCACCGGTGTCTGGAACGAAGAAAACGAGCGCATCAATGCCGGTCTAGGGGAGCTCTCTGACTTGCACTCCCTCTATGAAGGGTTCCTGAATGCCTATGACAGCCTGATACTTGAAGTGAACCGTCGAAGCCAGATCCGCTCTCGTGTGGAGAAAGTCCTTCGTGACACAAGGAATAAACTGAATCATCTCTACGATGAGGACGTTACTGCCCGAGAAGCGTTCCGCGTTGAACAGGGCGATTTCCTTCCTTCGGATATCTGGCCGGGTATTGGCCGTGCACCCATGCAGGTCCAGTTCCATCGCATTGCTGGTGGTCAGCTGGAAGGCGTTCTCGAGGAAGCACGAGACGTCGAGCAGTATAATGAAGCCCAAGCGGCTGCTGAGAGTACGAGCCGCGATGCTACTGATGATACTGCAGAGGGTGAAATTATCCCCAGCCTGCCGAAGGACGCCGTTGATCAAGCATACGCTCGTTTAAAGGCGCGAACTCGGGCCTTTGCTTGAAGACATACATCCCCAAACCCGACGAATGTAATTCACATATTTACTTCTTTGCTGATAGTATCACTCTATAGTTTGTGGATTCTTTCTTATCCTGGTGACACATTCGCCTGTTCAATTCTTATCTAACCATTTTTTTTTCTGTCCTTTTATTTACCCTTTACGCGAATTCAGCTTATGTCTTCCAGGATAGCGTGGCGTTTTATTTTCTTTTATTTTCGATACATTTGATCAACGACCCGAATGATGAAAGCCAATCGGTCTGACTCCCCATTCAAGATCTTCCCATGGACATGCCGGCTCTCTGTGGACTGATGCATACTCCAGCGCTTATGTGACGGATGTAAGCACTGCCACAAGACGAGCTGGCGCCATCAGGTTGTGACGATGGATAGGCATGATTCACAAAGAGAGCTCTGATGGGTAATTACAGTTCCGGCCATATTTTATTGACAAATAAAATTTTTCCCTTTTTTTTCAAGTAGTTACATGTTAAGAGTAACTTGTATTTTGCAGTTGAATCCTATTTTATACCCAGGTATCTATGTCCAAATGCTCCAGCCCCATATATGCATTTTATCGTCAAATCATGGCAGAAATCTCCATTGGTGAAGAGGCGAAGGGAAGAAGGCGTAGAGCCCATAATCATGTATGCATGCGAATAGAAAAGCGATCGAAAAGTTCCAAAGAAAACGCCTATTTCTTCTTGCGGGAAGAAGTAGAGACCAGGCGTTTCTTAAGGTGTTTCGGCATCTTGTTCGCACGCTGCTCACGCTTCTCTTCCTTGACCTTGGCCTTGTGCTCGCGCTTACAATCCTTGTCCTCGAAACGCTTGCCACGAGGAGGCTTCTTTGCGAAGGGGTCGTGCTCTGCGCCTTCTTCGTCCTCCTCGGAATCAGAACCAGAGACGGAGACTCCACCACTGGCATCGGATTCTTCATTGGCCTCGGCCTCGGTGGGCTTGGCCTTGCCAGTGGCTAGCAGATCTCCGTAAACCAGGTCGGCACCGCCACCATCACGGATCTTCTCGGCATCACGCTCGACGTCGTACACTTGATCGAGGGTCTGGGGGATGTATTGTTGACGGAACACGGCAGTGTCGACCTCCTCAGCCTCCTGATCACCACCTTCCGCACGGGCGGCGAAGAGCTTCTCAATCGCTTCAAACATCTCCTCGTTACCTTGAGTGATGTCGGTAGGGCCCTCGGGGGAAAGGATGAACTGGAAAATAGTGCGCTCGGGCAAGGTGTCGACACCCTTGCGACGGAAGAAATCGCTCACGTTCTTGATATCCATACGAAGGAACTCCAAGCTGCGAGGGTGATCATGCTCAACACTTTGACTAACATCAATGATGTATAGACGTTGCTTGTGGTACAGAATGTTGTACTCGCTCAAATCAGCGTGGACAAGACGGCACGTCTGGTACATGACACGCATGCAACCCAGCAACTCCATGTACAGGGACCGCCAACGGGTCTCGGGCTCGGGGATGTCAAACTCAACATCCTTCAGACGGGGGGCGGCTAGACCCTTCGAGCTGCCGATGAAGCCCATGACAAGAACGTGCAGACGCAGGTAGATGGGCTCGGGGCAAGGAATACCAGCGGCATAAATTCTCCGCAAGTTACGCATCTCCTTCTCGGCCCACAGCTTCACCATGGCGCGGTTGTTGCTCTTGTTGTATCCTTGACGGAATCGGAATTCACCAGTCACATACTTGTCACGATCCTTGAAGACCAAAATGCTGGTCTTGTAGACCTTGATCGCACGGTGCTGCGGGGCAGCCTCTTGGTCCTCATCGGGGAACGACATGGCATGGTAGACGTTGGCCTCCTTACCAGTCGACAAACAACCGTGAATCTCTGACACGAGTCCGCGATTGATCATTTGCAACAGAATCATTCGAGTGCGGGGGTCCAGCACCTGTTCCGATGTAGCACGGTCCGCGCGATCTCCACCACGTCCACCACCACCACCAGACAAACCAGACTGCTGGTCATCGAGCTTGATCTTGGCAGCATGTCGAGTAAGGGACTTGACTTGATCGTCGACGGAGGCGTATGTGTTGACTGTGGGCTTCTGTGTGTTCGTCTTGGGATAGGTCCATCTCGGTGCGTTGGGATCGGCGGCGAGGTCGTTCAACTTTCGCTGGCGGTTATAGGCCTTGGTAAGATCGGCAGGGTCGGAGGATTGGAAGTCTTCCTGGTCCAATTCTTCCTCCTCGAAAATGTCGTCGTAGTATTCGTCGTCCTCTTCCTCCCCCTCTTCCAGGTCGGTGGGTTCTTGCCCCGCCACGGCTGAATTTGCGCCTTCGGGTTGCACGTATCCCAGGTTTGGTACGTAGGTATGGGATGGTTGGATGCCATCAGCAGGGCCTGGGGCCTCTGCGGGCGACTGAGAGGAACTCATGATCTGTGTTCAGGAGTCAATTTTTTTTTCCAGATCTAAAAAAAGTAAAAAGTGATGCCCGCAATTACTTTTTTCTGTGGATGCCCGCTTCACCGCCTGGCAGAACCCCGCGCCCAACGAGACGCGCTGATTTCGCTCCTCGCGTAGTCCTCCTTGCCCATCGCGACAAAGCGTGCTCCAATCCCACGGCGATTTACCTCTCGACGAGAAGACGGCAGTGATCTGAGGACCTGACAATACTCAGGGACCCGACTTTACATCTTTAGCGCTGGCTGCGTAATGCGCTGTTCCCTTTGATCATCGCGTCACGCGTGTCTCCCCAAGATGTATGTGAAGCAGATTATCATCCAAGGCTTCAAGAGGTAAGTGAAAGATCGGCCTTCACCCCCACTTTGTGTCGGCGACCATGACCAACCTTCTCGCGACAACAGCTACAAGGACCAAACGGTCATCGAGCCCTTTTCGCCCAAGCACAATGTCATTGTCGGTCGCAATGGTTCTGGCAAAAGTAACTTCTTTGCGGCCATTCGGTTCGTCCTAAGCGATGCCTACACTCACCTCGGCAGAGAGGAGCGGCAGGCTCTCTTGCACGTACGTTTTGCCCTCGTGCGTTCGCATTCTTTGTTATATTAACCCGGCGCAGGAAGGTTCAGGCTCGGCCGTGATGTCGGCCTACGTTGAGATCATCTTCGACAACTCGGACGACCGATTCCCCACCGGCAAGCCGGAGCTTGTTCTCCGCCGTACAATTGGTATCAAGAAGGATGAATACACCCTTGATCGCAAGAATGCGACAAAGAACGACGTCATGAACCTCCTCGAGTCCGCCGGTTTCTCGCGATCGAATCCTTACTACATCGTGCCTCAGGGCCGAGTAACAGCCTTGACAAATATGAAAGATTCCGAGCGTCTAGTGCTCTTGAAGGAAGTGGCCGGTACCCAGGTTTACGAAGCGCGTCGTGCGGAGTCCCTCAAGATCATGCAGGAAACGAACAGCAAGCGTGCAAAGATCGACGAATTGCTAGACTATATCAATGAGCGCTTGGCCGAACTCGAAGAGGAGAAGGATGAATTGCGCAACTACCAAGAGAAAGACAAGGAACGCCGATGCCTCGAGTATACCATCTATTCCCGCGAGCAGCACGAAATTGCGAATGTTCTCGAGAATCTTGAGGAACAACGGCAGAATGGAGTTGAGGATGCGGATAACAATCGGGACCAGTTTGTCGAGGGCGAGAAGGCCATGGCTCAGATCGATGCCGAGATTGCTGAGTATCGCCAGCAAATTGAGTTCTTGAAAGTGGACAAGGCTCAACTGGAGGATGAGCGCCGGGAGGCTTCCAAGTCATTGGCGCAAATCGAACTTCGTGCTAAGGCTCTTTCAGACAACCAGGCTGCTGCGCAGGCACTGAAGTCACGACACGATAACGATCTCAACGCCGTGCAGACTGCCATTCAGGAGCGCGAAGAGGAACTCGAAGACCTCCTTCCTCAATTCAATGCCTCCAAGGACGAGGAAGATGATGTCAAGGCCCGTTTGACTGAAGCAGAGACGTCCCGTCAGCGCTTGTATGCTAAACAAGGCCGTAACTCACGCTTTAGGAATAAGTCGGAGCGCGACAAGTGGCTGCAAATGGAGATTCGCGAGACCCACAGATCCATTGCCAATGTGCAAGGCGTTGTCACTCAGACTCAAGAAGATATTCAGGAGCTCGAAAAGGAGATTGCCCTGCTCGAGCCGGAAACTGAGCGCCTACGGAAACAGATTGACGGCCGTGGCGATACGATGCACTCTGTGGATCAAGAAATTCAGAACGCCAAGGACGAGCGAGACCGACTAATGGATCAGAGAAAGTATGTTTGCGCTATCCTTGACAAGCCATCGTCGGAATGCTAATGCTTTCTTAGGGAACTCTGGAGAGAAGAAGCCAAACTCGATTCCGTCCTTTCTAGTGCTTCTCAAGAGATGGACCGTGCGGAGCGTAGCCTTTCTCAGATGATGGACAACAATACCAGCCGCGGTCTGGCCGCTGTCCGACGAATCAAGCGTCAACATAACCTCGACGGTGTTTATGGTACCTTGGCCGAGCTCTTCGATGTCAGCGACAGGTATCGTACCGCTGTCGAGGTGACTGCTGGACAAAGCTTGTTCCACTACGTCGTCGATAACGACGAGACTGCGACCAAGGTATTGGAGCTTTTGCAAAAGGAGAAAGCGGGTCGTGTTACATTCATGCCGTTGAACCGTCTGCGGTCTAAGCCTTTGAACATGCCTCGCGCCAGTGACACGATCCCCATGCTCGACAAGCTTCAGTTCGACCCCGCTTACGAAAGAGCTTTCCAGCATGTATTTGGCAAGACCATTATTTGTCCCAACTTGCAGGTCGCTGCACAGTACGCCCGAAGCCACGGTGTCAATGCCATCACTCCCGAGGGTGATCGGTCCGACAAGCGTGGTGCTTTGACTGGTGGTTATCATGATGCACGCCAGTCGCGACTGGATGCTGTGAAGAACGTGGGCAAGTGGAGAGATGAATACGAGTCTAAGCGCAACCGTGGAACTGAGATCCGCAAGGAGCTCGAGAAGCTCGACCAGCTGATCACAAAGGCAGTCGGTGAGCTCCAGAAGCTTGAGCAGCAAAAGCACCAAGTGCAGAACAGCAGCGGTCCTTTGCGACAAGAGCTCCGGAGCAAGCGTGACCTCCTACAGAAGAAGACTGATAGCCTTGACGCTAAGCGCCGTGCACTTCGCAATGTTGAGTCCAACCTGGCGGCTCTCAATGATCAGGTCAATGCTTTCCAGGGTGAAATGTCGTCACCCTTCCAGAAAGCCTTGACGAACGACGAGGAGGCTCACCTGGAGACGTTGAGTGGAACGGTGCAGGAACTTCGAAGAAAGTACCAGGAACTGTCGAGCCAGCGAAGCGAGTTGGAGGCCCGCAAGTCCGTGTTGGAAGTTGAGCTGCGTGAGAATCTGAACCCTCGTCTCGATCAACTACAAAACCGAGATGTGGATATGGCCGAGGAGGAAGTCCAAGGCAACCTGAAGGAGACACAGCGGGAACAGAAGCGTCTTAGCAAGGCCCTGGAGAAGCTCAATGGTCGCCTGAAGGAAGTGGACTCCTCCATCGAGGAGGCTACCACCAAGGTTGCCGATTTGCAACAGCGCAATGCCGATACCCGACGAGAGATGGAAGACCTAGCCCGGTCTATCGAGAAACATCAGAGACGTATGGAGAAGAGCATGCAGAAGAAGGCCGCTCTCACCAAACAGGCTGCAGAGTGTGCTGCCAACATCCGCGATCTTGGTGTGCTTCCCGATGAGGCATTCACCAAGTATAAAAACACCGACTCCAATGCCGTTGTCAAGAAGCTCCACAAGACCAATGAGGCATTGAAGAAATATTCTCATGTCAACAAGAAGGCCTTTGAGCAGTACAACAGCTTTACGAAGCAACGCGAGACGCTGACCACCCGCCGTGAGGAGCTGGATGCCTCTCAGAAGTCCATCGATGACCTGATCTCAGTTCTGGACCAGCGTAAGGATGAGGCGATTGAGCGAACCTTCAAGCAGGTGTCCCGCGAGTTTGCCAATGTCTTTGAGAGGCTGGTCCCCGCTGGTCGTGGCCGCTTGGTGATTCAGCGCAAGACTGACCGCACCGCTCGTGCTGAGGATGACCTTGACTCGGAGGACGAGGAGGCCCGACAGAGTGTGGAGAACTATGTCGGTGTCGGCATCAGTGTCAGCTTCAATAGCAAACACGACGACCAGCAGCGCATTCAGCAGCTAAGTGGTGGCCAGAAGAGTAAGTCTTTCTCCCAGATACCTTTATCTTTGTGTACTTTGTTCCCATTCTAACGATAAGCAGGTCTGTGTGCCCTCGCTCTGGTCTTCGCCATCCAAGCATGTGACCCGGCACCTTTCTACCTATTCGATGAGATCGACGCCAATCTGGATGCACAGTACCGAACGGCAGTGGCGCAGATGCTCAAGTCGATCTCGGACTCGACCAATGGACAATTCATCTGCACCACCTTCCGACCGGAGATGCTTCATGTGGCAGAGAAGTGCTACGGCGTGAGCTTCAGCCAAAAGGCCAGTACGATCGACGTGGTATCGCGCGAGGAGGCGTTGAAGTTTGTGGAGGGACAGAAGGCGTGATTGGGGAGGTATGGAACCAGGCTTGATCGATGTAAATTTCTTCTTTTCTTCATTGCTGCGGTGGTGGAATGGCGTTTGTGATACCGGATTTCCTCTACAGTATTACTTATTTATCATTTCTTCCGATCTTCTCTTCTGATGTAAATTGTGTATCCGCGTTTCAGCAAACAATCTATAGATATCGAGATAATATCCATATCCAATCGAGGGATGAATTGTCACGCTCAGAGTCTTGCTCCCTGGGCTCATGCGAAATATATACATGTCTATATGCTAATGTCTACGAGGCTATTCTCTTCTATGACTGGGTCTTCTCACCCGACCACTCCGCCAGAATTTCCTCAGGGACATCCCTAACAAGAATATGCACATGCTCCAAAGCTCGCACACTCTGCAAGCCAACCCAATTCTTAAACCACAGCACCTGAGCCCCGGGGTCCGAGAACCTCTTCCCAGCATCCTCCGCCAATCGCCGCACAAAAGTCTTCTGCACAAACTCGTCAATCAACGCCCGCGACTCATCCGTCAAATGACCCTCCTCGGACTTCACTGGGATCGGAGTCCGCAGCCAGACAACGAGATGATGAATGCCGGGGTCCAGCCCGTACGGCCAGTCATTGCGCAAGATCTTGTAGTCCTCGGGATCGGCAAATGGGCGCGGGTTTGTGAAGGGGATGGGCCCACTTTGAATAGCCGCGGATACAGCGCCGTTGGGTGGCTGCGTGGTTCCGTTGGGGGCGCCATTTGCCGGTGCTGGATGCCCCGGGGAAGTCCAGCGAAGCCGCTCTTGACAGATATAGTTCATCATCGAGCCATATTGGGCCTTGGTTTCGGCTGACCAGGCGAGGTATCGGCGTAAATCGGAAGGTTTGCGCTTGAGGGCGCCGAGATCATTCCGCGCTGGGTGGGTTTAGGTTAGCTTAGTGAGGGGGAAGATGAGGAGAATGTTTCGATGAGGGGAAAGGAATGGTGGAATCATCTCGAAAATAGTTTACTTTGTACTTACCGATGATATCGCGGAGATCATCCCAACTGTGGGCGACGAATTCCTCGTCGGTCATGGCCAATAGCTGGTGGTCCAACGGGGTCAAGTTGAACGCTGGAGGATGCGACATGGCGGAATGATCTTCCAGGGGGTGTATAGTCTGATCAGAGTAGAAAGGATATGTACAGTGAAAGTAGGGTGTAGTCCGATAGTGTGTTCTGTATACTTTGACAAGTAATTCTGTCAACAAAAAACGATCGGCGGGGAAAAAACAGACCCTCAAAGCCAAAAAAGGTGCGAACTTCCGTCGGGCGGAACTCTCCCACATGTCGATCTCCCCTCTCTCTTTCTACTTCTGATCTTCTCTTTCTCTTCTTCCACCTCCCCTTCTCCCACTCCTTCGCCCCCTATACTTCCCTTTCCTGCCATCATGAGGTAAGTCGCACAATTGATCTGTTTTCTAGACTATCCGTTTATTCCCACTTATTACTGGTCAATGGCTTACTCCGAGCTCCCTTTAGCGCTGTCAACGTTGGCGCGGCTCTCATTCCCTCGGCCCTTCTGGTCGCAGGTGTCTACGCCGTCAAGCCCGAGTATCTCGCCTATGCCGTCGCCCTTGCCGGTGTCATCAGCAGTGTCGCCTTCTTCGCTGGTGGTAGCAGTATGTCGCACCACATTTTCCCCCCGAAGCTGAACTTACGGCCGACCGCGTGCCTGTTTCCGCCATGTCCAAAAGTTTAAACGCTAATCATTCTCGTGTTACGTCCATTGCAGAGCCGCGCAAGGTCTTGATCCCTACCGAGTTCCAGCACTTTGTCCTCAAGGAGAAGACCGAGATCTCCCACAACGTCGCCATCTACCGCTTCGCCCTGCCCCGTCCTACTGATATCCTCGGTCTGCCCATCGGTCAGCACATCTCTCTGGCTGCCACCATTGGCGGCAAGGAAGTCGTCCGCTCGTACACCCCCATCTCCTCCGACAATGAGGCCGGTTACTTCGACCTCCTGGTCAAGGCCTATGCCCAGGGTAACATCTCCAAGTACCTGACCGAGCTGAAGGTTGGCGATACCATGAAGGTCCGTGGCCCCAAGGGTGCCATGGTCTACACTCCCAACATGTGCCGCCACATTGGTATGATCGCTGGTGGTACCGGTATCACCCCCATGCTGCAGGTCATTGAAGCTATCATCCGCAACCGCCCCCGCAACGGCGGTAACGACACCACCAAGGTTGACCTGATCTTTGCCAATGTCACGGCTGAGGATATTCTGCTCAAGGAGAAGCTGGACAAGCTGGCCAAGGAGGACGAGGGCTTCAACGTCCACTACGTTCTGAACACCCCTCCGGAGGGCTGGACTGGTGGTGTCGGCTTTGTCACCCCCGACATGATGAAGGTATGTACCCAATGGCAACCTTAAACTGCTACTCTCATCGCTAACATGTCAATTTAGGAGCGCCTCCCCGCCCCCGCCGCCGATGTCAAGGTCCTCCTCTGCGGTCCCCCTCCCATGATCAGCGCCATGAAGAAGGCCAGCGAGTCCCTTGGCTACACCAAGGCCCGCCCCGTCAGCAAGCTCGAGGACCAGGTCTTCTGCTTCTAAGCGTATACCAGGGAGTCCTTGTGTCAAAAAGTTTCTTCTTGCAGCGTCTTTTGGAGCTCTGTGGGCTTATCTCAGAGCATGACATGCACCAGTCATGGTGACAGTGTTAGTGTATAGGGAGGAACGAAGCTAGACTTGTCTATAGACCCTACAGGGACTGGCGGTTGGGCGTCGAGATGATTCTGAAATGTGCGAATGAGCGACGTTGTTTTTTGTTCCGGTTTTCTATGCTATATATCTCGAATGAACTTGTCGTCTGATGCTTCTAGCGTTATGGAGTTGTCTACAATAGAATTGTTCCTGCTGCTGGCTTTCATCTCACCTAACAAACTGCATATCCACTTGCCTCTGTATGGCGATCGGCTTTGAAATATTCTACTGGCGACTAGGCCAAGGGAATATGTGGAATAAGACGACTTTCTATTCAAGTTCAGCTCAAAGTCTGCTAGCACAATAGATACAACACATACACCCATCTCAAATCAACAACAAATCAACAACAGCTGTAAAAGAATCACCTACTCATTTAGACCACAAATCCACATCCTCCTCCCAAACCCACCCCTCCCCATCAAACACCATCCCCCTCCCAAAATGTACAAACTCGACACAATCTTGCATCCACTCATCACCGACACTGTAAGAACCATCAGCTTCGTCGCACAGATCAATATCAGAACAGGAGTCACCGTCAGTATAGAAGTCGTCCTCCTCTTCGGGTTCTTCATCTCCTTCTAGATCATCGTAGAGCGACCAGTGTAGCTCGAAATCCTCCCAATCGCTCTCCCACTGGTATGATGGGAACTCGTGTTGCCGAGGAATGAGCTCGTGAGGTTGGTTGGTGAGGGAATTCTCCATCTTGGAGCTCGTGATACCTTTGAATGTTTGTGAATGCGCCAGTTTGATATAGGTGTTGGTTCGAACCTTATAGCAGGTTATGATATGCTGGAAGCTGGAAGCTTTAATTTTGATAGATGAGAAGGGTAGTTCGAAATCCAGAGATTTGGAAATTATGATTGAGAAAGGTAAAGGGTGATGGGGGTTTATATACTTCTATTTCGACCGATTCCGAGTTTTTCATTGCATGAGTCCGATGAACACCTCATTGTCAACACCTCATTGTCTGATTTTGTCAAAGCTCCTCGAGCTCTCTATGTACCACAAACAATGGCTTCTTTGTTGAAACCCATCTTTGCATTACAATCTCAACTAACAAGAGCTTTGTTAGGGTAAGCTCTGTTGAAAGTACAGTAGTAGGAGAGCTCGATTACTAGCTTCAAAGCAGCTACTGCTGAGCTAGAATAGGTAATGCGCACTTTCATTGATCGTCGAAGACAAAGGAAGGTACTTAGCTACTGATTGGATATACTTGAAAGCTATTAATAGATTGCATTATCGATCAGTGCCACGGAAAGACCGATTCGAGAGGTGACGAAGCAGTGTCGGTAGAGCTGACAAAGTGATTGATGGTTTCTTTGTCTAAAGGTCGTCAGATAAAGAATTCTGAGCTTCGAGCCGTTCGCCCGTCTTGACTTTTGTGACTTGGTCACTACATTTTGTCTTGCTACAGAGTTAAAGTCCTATTATATCCTAACACACACTCGAACCCAATTATTATCATCACTCATCCCGTCCCCATTAGAACAGAACCTTCGAAACGTCCTTATTATCCTTCACCTTGATGTTCCGCATCATCAGCACCCAGCCAATAGACAAACCCATAACAGCAGTTCCAGCAATCATCATGTTCCGCTGGCTGAACGCATACGCATTCTGAATGGCAATACGAGTAGGCGATCCAACGGGATAGCTAAGCTGCACATCCAACGACTCATAGATCTCAGCCCACTGATCCACAGTCTCCGCAGGAAGCAGCTCCTGCAATTTCTTGGGAAGCGTGTTGGTCCAGATAGCACCAGACACACTGCTGCCGACGGCACCGCCGACGTTACCGAAGACACTCAGCAGGGCCAACATAGCAGCGTAGTCTTCGTGCTTAGCAGCGGCAAGGACGGCAACTTGTTCGATCAAGATCATAGTACCACCGCCGACGGCCAGGAAGATCTGGCACATGCACATGTATCCAACACTGTGACCCGGGGAGCGGAAGTAAATCATCAGTCCACTAGCCAGGAGGTAGAGTGGCACGGCAAACATGAGAAGCCACTTAAACCGACCAGTGACTCGGATCAGGTATCCACAACCGAGGAGCCAGATAGGGTCCATGAAATCGAAGATAGCAGCGATGTAACCGGCTTGAGTAAGGCTGGTGTTGAAGACCACCTGGAGGAAGGATGTGAAGTAGCTTGCCCAGCAGTAGTAAGAGACCTGGTATGTGATATCCAAAAGGCACGCGCCGATAACGGTACGATCGCAAAGGAGCGAGAACGGGATGAATGGCTTTGGGGCACCCCAGCGCTCGTAAGCGACGAAGGCGACGAGCACGCAGAAACCGACTACCATCATTGCGATGATCTTGGGTGATTCCCATTCTCCCTCGGTGTTGCCAGCAATGTTGAAGGAAGTAAGGAATAGGATCAAACCGCCGACCATGAGGAAAATACCGATGACTGCGAAGTTGATCAATCATGTTAGAGCGAGCTTTGCAAAGCCTGACGAAACAAGGGTACTCACTATCGAATTCAATAATGTAGAACCAAACACTCTGCACCCATGTCCGGGTGCTACGGGGCTTGTATTGCAGCCGACCTTCCCTGTCAGCCTTCCGCTTCGCCAACTCCCACGTAACGACCAACGGCAGCGCAACGATCGGAAGGATAATACAGATGGTACCATACGCCCACCGCCAGTTGGTCTCGTGGAACTGGTTGGACAAGGGGGATCCAGCAAAAGCGGTGATCATATAAGGCGACGAGGTGAAAGCGTACGCCAAACCACGATCTCGGAGGGAGGAGGTATCCGAGGTAATAACATCGATGGAGAAGATTGTACCGGTGAATCCGACCGTGTAGAAAGCCTAAAAAGACACAACATTAGCGATGTTGGGAGGCATATTATGGGCTTGGTGGATACCTACCTGCGCAGCACAGTAAGTTGCGATGTTGTTGCAGCAGGCCATCATAATGAGACCCATGATTGCGACCAAGACCATGATACAGATTCCCAGCGTTCGGTCCCACAAGTTCAGCACCTTTGCGATTGGCATCACACAAGCAGCGCCTGTCGAGTTGTTAGTATCCAACTGAGAAAAATTTCAGCGTTATGAGGTTTCATGATTCCATACCCATTACACTGGTCACAATACTGATCACCGTGAGCAGCGAGTGCTCCGAGAAATCACTGGTGATATAGGCCGAAAGATTGGCAGTCAAGCTGCTGTTCAGAGCGTTGACAAAGTATAGCAACCACATCCTGCAGGATCAGTCAGTGAGAATGTCACAATATGAATTGGATTGAATGGCTTACGAGGCATATACAATCATCAAAGACTTCCTGGACCAAGAAGAAGTGACTGCCTCTGCGACTCGAACACCATCCTGCTGATCTTCATCCTCGCCCTCCACCCGAGGAGAATCAGGATTCGGAGGCAATGGTTCCTCATTAACCCCCATGGTAGCGGCGTCCTTATCCGTGGTCATGTTGACAGGGGTGACCGAAAAGAGCTCTCAAAAGTGCCTAAGCTTGAAAAATGAGCAACTATCCCAGAGACCCAAATCTTCCGGGAATATGACTTACTTTTAAATCCCAGAACACGGGCCCTTGACCACCGTCGTCGCGTGGTGTCTCCACTTTCAAATCTGATAAAAATTTCCCTCTTGCCATTGCTTTGGAGCAGTGGCCACTCAGATTTCGAATACACTTTCTGATGGAGACTGGGTATGCGCGCACTTCTTGGCATACCCAGGACGCTCCGTCGATGTCGGCCGATGATCGGAAAGCTACGCCAGGTACATGTATCGACCATGACTTATTTGCATTGAAATCTGCTATAGGGACAAGCACGGCCCAGGATCGTAAGAAGCTTGATGTGCTGATCGTAGAGGAATCCAGCAATGCCAAAAATGCCTTGCATGCAAAGAAACCGTCGATGTCTCACCTGCATACCCACAGCAAGCTTCACAGCGTTACGTTTTTGCTAGAGTGCTGATTCCGCCCCCCGTGCCCCACGGGTGTAGCACTGGGAGGAGTTACATGCTCTCCACCCGAAGATTTCCGATTAATTGGGTTGATTGGGCTTGGGAACGTGCGCATGTCCTGGTTTTGCCCAGAGGCCGTCGTGTTAGTCAGTCTCGGCATTCTTGGCGACAAGGAAAATTTGCGTGAAAGCCGAATGTCCAAGCGAGAGGCGGGCCGAGATAAGATTGATACCCATGGCATGACAGAGAAAAAGATCATAAAGCATGGCAGACTTGGAGGAAGGGTTGTTCAGATTATACCTCTGGCGCATAGGAAAAGGGTAAGTATAGACCCTTATGGGGCGGATGGGGAAAGAACCGTGGTAGTGCGCTAGGAAATTACGGACTGTAAATCGAGGAACATGATTTCATTATAGCTTTGCTATAACTAGTGACTGCTCCGACAGCCTGAATAAAAGCCTAACATAAACACGCCCTACGCGCCTAAAAATTCCCAGTCTGACGCAACAGAGCAGGAAGTGTGGTGACTTTGTAAACTCTCAGTGGCTGCCTAGTTGTATCCATCAAAACTCAAGAAAACTCTCCACCCTCGTGGTCCTAGATTGATAAGACAAAGCTCCCAGCCGAGACCGGAAGAAAAAAAGATTGATTAGATCAATCTCGCCCCTTGGCATGTTAAGCGAGCTTGGCAAACTCAGATTGGCCGCTTGGTTCTCTTGGATTGGGATCTCATGACCAAATATAATAAACGCCGCAGGAGGAGTTTTCTCGTGAGAAAAAGGTTCAATTGAAGTGTTCTCCCAAATATAAGCGGTAGTAATTTATCGCGCGACCGGGCATAGTGAAATCCACAATCCAAACTAGCAACGGGCTGCCTCTTAAAACCCTGGACCCTGGTGGAGCTAAGTCCGAATAATAAGGGCCCTTCGACGTTATGTATTGTACATGCCTGGAAAGTAGGGTAAAGAACGTCCCTATCGGAAAACGCAAAGTCGCAAACTTTGATGACAGCGACCGGGCGACCCTTATGACTGAAGGAGTGAAATGGATTGAGCTGCTTGTCCAAGCTGCGAAATGTATGGGAGTTTGGTCAAGCAAGTTGATCATAATAATGATGGAGGGGCAATGAAGTAATTCCCACTCCTGCTGGTCGGAGAAATTGCCCACTTCATAAATGTTTCTGACCAATGGAGACTTTTCTCCATCCAAGCTAAAGCAAAAATGTATCGCCCACAGGGACCCTAGTTACATACAGTATGCCTAGATCAAATAGGAGGCTGACTATCGGAAGGCAAAAGCCCATACTGCACACTGGAATGGCCAATAACTCACGAATTCTTGTCGCAGAATAGAGTCCATCGCAACTGCGCCCAAGACTGAAACACGAGAGGGTCCATTTCCAAATCCAGAGTAGTACAGGATATCACATGACCCAGACCGTGTCGACGCATCAGCCCGTATCAAAACTTGTGCCTCTGTTATCTATTCCTTCATGAATTACTCTGTGCAACCACGTCTTGAGAATTGAGTTCTCCCATATTATGAAACATCATGTCACCTTTGAGTTCAGACACTATCGCAGATATCAACACACTAGCTGAATATCTAAGCGACCCGGAAATCCAAGACCTGTCATCTATGTCTTCCGTGGACTGTATCGTTATTTGCGCATCACAGGTCCTACACAGTGCAGATGTCATCTTTAAAGCACTCCAAGAGAGACCCACTCTTGCAAAATGCTTGGTACTCTGTGGTGGCATCGGTCACTCCACCAACCTTCTCTACAGCGCTGTCGCACAACATCCTCGCTACTCGGGGCTTGCCCATGAGATTGAGGGTCTCCCGGAGGCACGTGTCCTGGAAAGAATCTTGGATAGATTCTTTGATCAATCATTGATCACATCACAAGGATGTCAAATTCTAATTGAAGACCAATCCACCAATTGTGGACAAAACGCTTCTTTGAGCCGTCGTGTACTTGATCAAGCCGGGTTCTCAGCCCCAAGTACATTAATGATCAGCCAAGACCCGACGATGATGTTGAGGACAAAGGCCTCATTTCAGAAGGTTTATGACGACATGCCTTCCACCGTGTCATTATTGAGCTTTCCAGTCTTTGTTCCAAAGGTCCAACTATCTCATACCCATACTCTAGAATGGATGCCTATGAGACTTTCATGCGAGCCGTGGAGCCTTGAGCGCTTTATTGAGTTGATCTTGGGAGAGATACCGAGAATAAGAGACGATGAAAATGGGTATGGACCGCGAGGGCGGGGCTTTATCTCGCATGTTGATCTCCCAAATAACGTCGAGGTAGCATGGTCGCGACTTGTTATCTCATTCAAGGATCAAAAACTTAGATGATAAATTTCAAGAGGTTTGAGCCACAATCTTCATTGAAGAGCGTGAGGGATGAGCAGACAACCGTATAAATTGCTAGAAACTAAGAATTAGGCGCAGAAAACGGGATATCCGCTTCAAGATAGACTTCAAGATCGAAACTCAGCCTCGGCTTTGATTAAAATTATCCTCACAAACTTCAAGCTTGGAGAGCAATTTGAATGACTTAGAGCTGTGTGTAGGAAATGTAGAAGCAATATAACATGAAATGTAATTAAATGGTTCATCCGGATCACGAGAGTCATCGCAAAGCAAGAAGCAAAATGGTATTGAGGCATCAATCATGAATATAGGTGATAGAGGGCGTGTATATTATCACGCGGGTAGAAGAAAAAGAATGCAATATTATCTCAACTTCCAAAATAAACGTTCAAGGTGAGCGCCGTGGGTCTTTCACTGGGGACAACTCGACCCAAGTTGTAGACGAACTCTTGTCGTGTAGAATGCTGTGTGGTATCCGCTCATCTGATAGTCGCGAACCCGTTTCCGATGGCACAATAGTAGTAGCGCCATCCTTCGCTGAAGAGATAGATATGGTAGTGGTGACCATAGGGGGAGGGAATCCTGGCGACATGGGAGGTGGGAATCCCGGTGATTGATCACCGACCGCTGTCGTGCTATATGGCGCCTTGTAGTTGTACATGTAGCTCTTTCGCTTGCTTCCCGTGATAGTCGACTTGATGAAGCGATTGGTGAAGGGTCTGAAGAGAGGCCAGACTGGTGGGATGGACATGGTGATTAGGACAAGCCACTCCTCAACTTCACCCCAGCAGAACAGAATGCCAACGCCGTCTATATAAGGATAGGTTAGTTTAATCCGGCAGGTACAGCACAACTTTCGGGGCAACATACAAGAAGAGTCTTCACTCAGAATGAATTTGGCAGCCCATGTACGAAGGATAGCAGCTACACCCGCAAAGACACCGCAGCCCATGAGGAAACTCAGACCCCACTTGAGCTTTCGATCAATCTTTAGAGGCAGGAGCATATGAATAGGGACAATGGCGAGATAGATATCCGAAAGGGCGGCGATGGCACCGACGAAGTATGTATAATATACGCTCTTGCGGTGGTCACATTTATCCTGTTGCAGAGGATCCCAGAGCGCGGTGACCGGGGTGCATTGGAACCATACCATCAAGACTTGGGGTATGTTGAGAACGATGTTTAGGACGGCGACGGCGATCAAGCTCTTTCTGATTTTCGGGTCTAGTGTGAGGGATGGTTAGTATCCTCCATGATCCTCATCACAGTGATCAAACTGGAACTAGGGCATCCGTAGAACTCACTGCTTTGTCCATTCATTTCAATCAGGAATGCCGCGACAGCCACTTTACCGGTTGGAATGGCAAGATTGAAGAAGAAGACGGTAACCCAGGTAAAAAGAAGGAAGTTGTGTAGTTCGCCGACTTTGATAATGAGTGTGATATGGTTTCCGAGACCATGGAGGACGGAAAGGATTCCAAAGACTTGAGTAATAGCAGTAAGCAACTACACAATGTTAGCAAGCTAGTCCAGTTCAGACACATAGATACGATCATACCCAAGCAGCGAGTGACCACATCAGGGCGGTAGTGCCAAATTTGTTCATAAACAACCGCACATAAACACGCATAGCCATGAAGACGGTGGCAATGATAGCCAAGGAAATGCCGAGGCGCAAATCGCCCGGCCCACGACCACCATATGCCGGAAACTTTTCTTCAAGCGACATGTTGTAAGATGTATAGATTCAAAGGAGTGACAAGGGAAACCCAAAAGCAACGGTACCCATTTCTTTGGAACGGGAGGGAATCGGCTTATCAGAATCCCGGGGGTGGTCTGGCGGATTTATACTCCCACTTCATCACCATCGAGGCTGAGAAAGCGGAGGTGACCCTCGCACGATCAAATTGCAAATTCCATGGGATAAGAGGGACGTGCGAGCAGGACTAAAAGACTTGGTTGGTGCAAGTTTCGTCGATCTCTTGTGGAGTAACGCACTTCGACTATCGAACCCTCGGTTGGTGTTGTTGACTCGATTGGTTCTCTTTGGCCAGACCCAATTTCCCCCACTACGAGATGACGATGTCCATTGACGTTTGTCGATGGTTGGGGCGAGACTCCGAACAATCGCCACAGAATTACTACTGTGACGACTGCGACAATTGTGACGGCTGGTCGTTCTGCTATTATTGCATTCGCAGCCATGCCGAACCCCCCCTGAACCTGAACTCCCACGGGCCATCAGTTCCATCGCGATCTACTGGCAGCGGCCAATAACAACAACCTAGTCAGAGAACTCACCAACAAACAGGGATCCATGCACATCCTAGTTCCGGAAACCATCGAAGCCTCGTATACATTCCCCAACCAGCTCCGACTGGCCAACCTTGTCCCACGGTTCTGTGGGGTCAATGCATCAGTAAGAGGCATGCCCCCTGAATCGTACGTCGTGCAGCTCGCAGCAACCAGTTCGCTTAGGCTTTAGCCTATCACAAGAACCAGAATCACAAAGGGATTCTCCGGTCGCGTGTCTCCTGCATCCCAGCGCGACTTTCCGATTCGTTGCGCCGGTCAATTCCTGACCATCTGGGAATGCCTTGGGAAAACACTTCAATAGTCATACTTTCCGCAAACTCACCTTTCGAAGGTAAGAGTAACACCGTGAAGAAGCTACGATGACCCAGTCAAGACTAGTGAACCCACTATTGATTGAGAATCGGTTGCCCATCTACGCCAATTGATCCCTTACCCGGCAATGGCGCGGCTTTGTGCAAGCCGCGTCTTCTTGGGGCGTCTCCATTCTCCCCACTTTTAGGGCGCGCGAGAGGAAATGATCGTCCACCAATTTCCCTGCCATCATCATTTGCACGCGAGTCAGTCCTGTTCGCGGATTCATTGCTTCGCCATCTTCTCAACTTTTCCATACATATAGCCACCGCATTTCGTCCCCACCCTCTCCACTGATAAGTTTACCGGCGGGGTCTGAATCCTCTATCTGATTGTATCCAGCCATCACAGTTTTTGCGAGAGGTCTGCATCGCAGCCAAGCATCTCGCGCTCAATTCGGACCACTAAATACGAGGACAGAGGGAATATGGTGCCATTCAATCAACGCCGTCCCTCTCTCTACCTCCTCATATCCTGCCTATAGCGGCCACGGTGGATTCTTAACCGGGTGTTGACGCCCGTCCGGGCTCCGGTAAGCAACTTTGCCGATTCCTGGTCGATCCTTCGTACATGCCTTCCAGCATCCAGGAGACCAGTGGCGCTAACTAGCATTGCTTCCAAAGCTTGACGCTGCTTCTTGGAACAATGGCACCCCACATTCTCTAATAATAATCACTAGCGCTGTGGTTTACGTTCATGATCGACTCACGTTGCCTCTTTAATACCATGCCTAGCCACCCGAACCAAGGTTTGGTTTAGGTTCAAAGGTCAATAATTTGGAGGCTCTGTTCAATTTTGTCCCCATGCGGCGTCAAATAATAGTCTTCCATTGGTCTTCTATCAACTTCGCACCAAGGGAGTTTTGGAAAGAAATTAAATACGACTGTCCTACTCCGTAATATTTGACTATCAATCCTGTGTGGCAACGGATTGATATATTTCCTTGGGGGTGGTCTACTTGCCTATCATAGCCTGACTACAATTGTCAATGAACCCTACCTGCTGGCGTATTTCCTTCGACCATCGTCATCCCAGAGAGTCTCTAGGCATTGTCTTAATTTCGTCCAGCCGGATAAATAGAGGGGCGGCTCGTCAATTCCCGAGCCAGACCTAAGAGACGGGAAGAACCCACAATGACGGCCGAAACCATGGTTCATGAAGTTTACACATTCGGGGACATGATAAGAGTCCGCCCCTTTTCATTATCCATACAGCTCCCCAGTTGAAACGTTTACTTATTCTCATCGTTCGAGAGAGTTGCTGAATTCACCCTTGGAAGAGGTCTTTGAGTTGGCGGCAGCAACGGCTCATAGTGGGGTGGTTGCGCCTCCGTCATATCACAGCAGAACGCTTCGAGGTGCGGATGTTCCCCCAACCAGACAGCCTAGGATGGAAGAACCACATGTGTATTAGCATGTCTCGTCGAACGTCAAGGACAGACGTAACTGACCCTCCAGTCAAGCTTATGTATAACTCTAAGAAACACGAGGATCCCACGTGGTTACAGAGTACGCGTAAAAACAAAGCCGACTGCACGTGGTGTCTCCTTAAATTGCTTCTTTTATGACAAAGCAATTGTGATTCAAAACAACGTTTGCTATTCCTCAAATTACCATAGTCGTGTTTATTTTCTAATTATGTCTTATCAGATACATGCTGCCTTTTTTGCATGTCGTTACATGGTATATGGTGGCCGACGACAAGGACTGGGGTCACCGACTATCCTGGACGTTGGAGACAGAAATAAGTTTCAAAGCTGATCTATGCCTGACCTGGTATGATTTAGAAATTCGACTTTTAGCCAGGTACCGGCTTCATCTAGGTTGCTAGGTACCTTCAATCGGTGAAAGTAACCTTGGGTGTTGTCACTATATATTGTGGCGGATTCTTCGGGAAAATATCCGACTAATAGCTTTCAACCTAAGGACGCCTGACTCATTAGCGCTGGCCAGCAAAAATCATTCAGCCATTGCCAGGTACCATCGGCACTTTTACCGCTATAAATTCATTCTGACAGTGCTTGGCTGTAACCAGCCCGTGGCCACATGTCTTACCTGCAAGGCGCGCTACTGCAGTTTATGCAGAGGCCAAGGAAACACTGACACGGCTATGTGAGCAAAGTCTGCCACTATGAGCGGCCTCACCACGTTTTTTCCAATTCAAAATATTCAGGACTTGCCTCTGCAACTCAAATTCAATTGAAGACCAGTGCAGTTCTGGGTATTGTAAATGGATAAAGTGGGGCCCATCCGTGTCAGATCTAGACCCTCGATCGAAGAGTCTGCCCCGATCTCAAGTGGGCTGATCTCACAATTCAGGAACTTCGAGGGGCAATGGCCCTGCAGACTGTGGAGTCCAATAGCCAGCATCAAACAGAGCATGGTATCTGTATGTCTCGGGCCCCTCTTCCGATCTCCAGGATCAATTGGTTATGTGTTGCGGCTTCATCCCGCGACTAACTTTTAGCGCCCTCATCTGCATGGACATCACAGACAACACGAATCGGACATGTCGCGTCTCGCTTGAATTGTGGCCCTACTCTTGGATACTGCATCCGCTTACTGTCCACAAATGGGTATAAAAGGGACTCGAAAGATCGACCATCGGATTAACAAATTCAACACAGGCTGTCCTCCTCAATTCCAAATTCCCTTTCCTCAAAAATGGTCTCGATCACTAGTCTCTTGACAGGTCTACTGGCCTTGTCCTCCTCAGCCGTCTCGACCGCAATCCGTCGCCGGTCCATCACACCGCCAGAAGGATGTCCAATTCCTACCTGGACCGTCGACTACTTCCACTGGTTTAACGGCTCCCACAGTCTAGACTGTATCCATAACCAAGACGACATCAACGCCAAGGGCTGCCTTTGCGGATCAAACTGGTGCGAACCGAACCCGGCAACATGCAATGGTAGCATGGTGAATGTCTGCTGGACTGGCATGCCCAACTACCAGCCATGGGGCTACGGCCCACCCCAAACTCTCGACATCCAGTTCGCGGATGGCTTGACTTGTCACGACCAGTATATCGGCTATCGGATTCACGATATTGCTCATGGCGAGAGCAACTGTGGATATGCTGATCGAGGTCTGGGGAGGATCGTTGCTTTCTATGGTTCTTCGGATTCCGATTCGTCCACGGGCCACATGGACTATACTCTGGGCGATGGCCATGCTCTCAAATGCGACAATGGGAGCTCCATCACGTACTCTGGGAGTGTGGACTTTGAACTTACCTGTACCCATGATGCCGATTTCAATGCCACTTGCACAGCGCCTGTGTTTGAGGTCCCTGTGCTGAGTTATGAGTGGGTTTCGTAAATTCATTCTGAGTTATATGTGCGACTCGGGGCTTCAGGCACTCATGGTTTTGGACAAAGTCCGAAGCAAATTGCAATTGAATGTAACTACCTTCTACATTATCTGAGTTGTATGTCTGACCATGATGTCCGCACAGCATTATGAGTACAATTTATGAGACATGGACAATATGATGTGAATATACACTCTATAGGGACGACCCGAATTTATGACAGCATTTACATCTTGCAAAAGCTTGTTCTTTCATGGGCTCCAAGCATATGGGTGGTCCTGCTGCAGCTACGGGTGATGGGATCCGTGATTAGAATAATGCTGGGTTGGGGCTGCTACCAAAGAATTGATAGAGATTGCTCAAAGCCAGGCAAGCTTGCATTCCAGAAAATATAAAAGCGAGTAACAAGATCCAAGTGATTTAAGTCTGAAAGTTGATTGCACCACATTGGAGATACTATAGGTACTTGAACAGCTTTTCCTTGAATGATATTGCTGTCACAGATTGTAACAATACTAGGAACAACCCAGTCAATGCGGCTCTCTTTTTTGGAAGCTCCCAGGAAGATTACATGGACAAGATCGCTCATTCTAACAGTTGCACTAGTCAAATATATTGACTAGAGATCTGAATGGCAATCTTCAAAAATGAAAATTTCCAGCCTGAACATCTTATATAGGACTTTCTACGTGCTAATGGAAGGGAGACAAACAAAACATAGAGACACGTATCATGGTCACTGAACTATCGGTAGATCTCGCACTATGCATCCCAATAAGCTTTGATAGTTTTTTGGAACATTTTAAAACGCTTCTGACTATATTATGGATGGAACTCGTATAGTGATTAGCATTTTGGGCTTTAGTACATGATAGTGTGCGGTGTCCTATGGTTGATACTTTGCCTAGCTTTTTGTTGTTTGTTTACTTTCTCTGAATAAAGAGGGGTGCTTCTTCGATATCTACATAGTAATTAATTCTGGTAAATCTCTCATCGTGCTCATTGTTTGCCTTGAACATGAGTATTTTCTCTCACTTTGCGTATATTATGTCTTGTTGGCCCTGGGAGCAGAAGGCTACCGTCGAGCAACTGACCCCCGGAAATCTCCTGTCACACCTTTTTCCCCTGTCTACCACTCTTATCTCCTTCCTTACTCTTACATCTCGAGCTTGGCCACCGTACCTGTCTCGCCACAGTCATCATCAACCCTTTTAATTGCCTCGACCTCCGTGCCGCCTCAAAGCCTACCGAAGCGCCATGACCTCCTTTACCTTGTTTCCTCGTCTTCCCACAGAGCTACGGCTCATGATCTGGAAGGAGTGCATTCCGATGAGGGTTGCGGAGCTCCATGAGCCCCACGTCACATCGAAGACATGTTATGGTATCGACACTGATTGCCAGTTAGAGTGGACAACGCGTCAAAACTCCAAGCCTCCAATCATTACGCGAGTCTCGAGCTGTTGCTTTCGAAACCGGATATTTCAACCCAGATGACAGTGACACGGAATTTCCGTGCGAATTCTTTCATAACAAATCACTGTGGTTTGACCCAACCCATAGTATCGTCACTTGTTACTGGACAACGACTTGGGACGCTTGGGCTTTCGGTAGTGGGGAGGAAGACCATGCAGAAGACATGTCATATTTCCTATCGCATGTTCCTGGTACCCAAGGCGCCTTGATCAATGCGCGGAGGCTTCATTGGCCCCATTATTTTGCTGGCCCAGGTTATGCCGATAAATTGGACAAAACTATTCTTCCTGAAATCTAACGATGGAAGGACTGGCTAGCCTTCATGACAGTAGTTCCAGTGCATTTGACCGCAGAGCAGGCATTCAACTCTCCCCTCTGGGGGCTAACAGGTGAAGAGCTCATTCAATTGGTCGATCCAAAAGATACCCAGCGCCTTCAGCTCTTCAAACACCATTCGAACACCTGAGATCCAGAAGCGCAGAATTTTTCACTCTTCTCGAAGACATGGCGAAGTTTCATTCCGAAATAGACGGCTGGGAGCGAGGGGTTAAAATTACTTGGATATGGCGACACTGGATGGTCATATGGTCAAAAAGCCGTGAAAGCAAGACCTCGTGGGATAATCGTCTGGAAGATGTTTGGATTGGACCTCGTCATGATGAGAATGGACAGCCACTCGACATGTCGTCTTCCTTCACATACATGCTCGAGGGGTTAACTTACGGGCAAGTCATTGACAGTGATCGATATTCCCCCAACTTGGACCACCCTTGGGTCCAAGGAATTCTGCGCGATATGCCTACCTTCCGTCCCACAATTATGTTCCGCCTATGTGTGAATGACTGTAGAAAGCCCAATGATTACTTTCGCAGTATGAAGTGGAAGAAGCCCGACAGTGGTGGAATACCAGCCGAGGAAGAGAGGTCGATAAGCGATGTTGCAGCCTATTCGCAATATCAGATATACTTGACGGAGAGGAATTGAGCGGGAAAAAAGTTGGTACGAGCTACGTTTGGCAAGGAAGACACGCACACATCAAGCGCATTCGTGCATTTCTTGAACTCCGTTACTGCTAGTGTACACGCAATGGATATCCATGCCATCAATGGACTTTAATCATCTCTGCTACCATCGCCAAGAACTTCTGCCGATAATCTGGTGCTGTGGTCGTAATCGACATATGCCCCTTCCGACCTACCACGTTGAACGTCTGCACCACTCCGGACAACGCCTGCGCATGAAGCTTATGTCGAGCCCAAAAGAAATCGAGTATCACAGCCCGATATTTCCACTTACCGTCTGCCGAGGGCAGACCTGCTCGCCAGGGGCTTTTTCTTCCGAGTACCTCTGGACTTGAGCTAGCTGGCATTCGCACTAGGAAGAGGGAGTAATCGACTGCATTTGCATCTTCCAAAAACTTTGTATCCTCCTTCATAGCCTGTATGAAGTTTTCGTAGTCCTTCCTCCACAGATGTAGCTTGTCATTGAAAGTGTCTGCTAGCTTGTCCAACGTCGCATCACTAACAAGTGGTGCGGGCAACAAGTCGCGCTCTGGATAGAAGTAGTCGATTGGCTTGAGGTCGTAAGTTTCCCAGCGATCGCCGGCAGGATCGTCCGATTGACCGCAGAGGATGTTCTCCATGATGATATGGTGCGCAGGAGTACAGCCGAATATCGTGCCAAGGGTCAAATATGGAGAAATAAGGTAGTCTGTTATCCAAACAAGAACAGAATCTGGGTGTTCGCGCATATAGTCGTTGTATGGCTCGAGCAGATCGCTCTGGAAGAAAGTGTATTCGAAGTGGCGTGGAAGGCTTTTGATGACATAGTGACCATCAAGAGTACCGAAGAATGTCTATGATAATGTGTTAGAGGTGATATGATATACCTTGAATCCGTTCCCTGGAACCAACTTACTGAGCCCGAATACCCCAGATCGCCCATCGATTTCAGCGGTGGCTGGCCACTTGTCGTGCGAAAGCTGGCATGGTATTCATTTTCGTTAAACTGCCAGGTTTCCCGACGAAGTGTAGCAAACAGCTCTTCCTCAAATCGAATTAATTTGATTCGGTGAAGTGTGAAAAATGCAATAAAATGTCCCCAGGCCGTCTTCTTGAAACGGTCTGGGTCGCGTAACAACCCAGCCTGGATAGACTTGGTCAGCGATGACTGGCGACGGCTTTTTCCCATGATGTGAGGATTGAATGAATGAAAACATGAGTTAGGAGCTACCTAGGTCAAGTTTCTTTTATTATTTGGCGTGCACCTTACATTAAGCTTGCTTTTCGCACTGCGATGCTCGGCATGGAAGTAGTGACGTCAGATACTAAATATGTACCGTGATTGGTGGGCGGTGCGTGCAACTGTCAAGTAGGTACCTATCAAAGCTGATTTTAGAGGAGGGAGTCTAGGACATTGCTTGACAGCCTTCGTATAACTAAGCAATAGGTATTGACATGCCTGAGAGTTGTGTGTAAATATATATCCCAGATTCGTTACTATGGTCACGTGTTTTAATGAACGAAGCTCTACAGATTTATATGCAGGTGATGCTAACACCTCCTTTCATACGAGTGTACTACCTCTTGGTCAATCTATAGACAGGAACATGATAATCTAAATCTAATTCCACCACATATATCCCATACAACCGGATATACAATCAACCCCACTAACAAAGAAGCAATAAGTGGGGCATCTCGATACCCGATCTATACAAACCCACGTGACGTACCGCCTGATAGCTGGCCGCCCTGAGTCACCGCGAAAAAAAGTGACCCCGAGAAAGTTCCCCTCCTTATGGGTCGGATTCTGCTAAGCGGGGCCCTTCGATTCACAGGCGTCTTTTTTTCTCGGCCCAGTATTCGCATTCGCTTTCCCCTCATCCCGTCGCGCTCCTTATCCCACACCGCAACCATGGCCTCCGCCGATTCCCTGACGGCCTCCGTCCAGGCCTTGACCCTGCAGTCCACCACCAAGACCTCCAAGTTCGCAGGATGCTTCCCGTCGCTGAACCCGATGGACATCTACCGTGAGCACATTGCGGAGGAATTGGGTAAGGCCGCTGGTATCGACCCCGAGTTGATCTTCTCTCGCCTTGCATGGACCAACACTTTGGACAAGGGTGACCTGTCCCTGCCGGTATGCTCTTCAATCGCAGACTGATCTCTAGCCATTGCTAGTATAAGTGAACTGTACCACTCACATTGCCCGCGCATATAGGTCGCCGCCCTCCGTATCAAGAAGAAGCCCGACGAGCTCGCCGCGGAGCTGGCCTCCAAATTCCCCGAGTCCGACCTCATCCACCCTCCTACTGCCTTCGGCCCTCACCTGCAGTTCTTCTGCAAGGCCGGCCCTCTGTCCAACACCGTTCTGGGCCGTGTGCTCACCGAGAAGGCCGCCTTTGGTACCAATGGCAACATGGGCCTTAAGGATCCCTCCGACCCTTCCAAGGGCCAAAAGAAGATTATCATCGAGTTCTCCTCACCCAACATCGCCAAGCCCTTCCACGCCGGACATCTACGGTCAACGATTATCGGTGGTTTCCTTGCCAACCTTTACACTGTTATGGGATGGGATGTCACCAAGATGAACTACCTCGGTGATTGGGGCAAGCAGTACGGTCTGTTGGCCAACGGCTTCAAGTATTTCGGAAACGAGGAGGCTCTCACAAAGGACCCTATCAACCACTTGTTCGATGTGTACGTCAAGGTTAACCGCATTGTCGGTGACCAGGAGGGCCCCATCAAGGAGCTGAAGGAGCAGATCAAGACTAAGAAGGAGAAGGGCGAGGATTTCTCCTCGGAGGAGGCTGAGCTCGCCAAGCTCGTGGATGCCAGCGAGGACGAGAAGGCCCGTCGGTACTTCAAGTCTATGGAAGATGGTGACCCGGATGCCCTTGCTCTCTGGGCCCGCTTCCGTGATCTCAGTATTGCCAAATACAAGCAGACCTACGCCCGCCTGAACATTGACTTTGACGTCTATTCTGGCGAATCCCAGGTCAAGGCCGAGAGCATGGCCACTGCTTTCAAGGCTATGGAGAAGGCTGGTGTCACCGAGGAGTCCGAGGGTGCTATTATTGCCGACTTCACCAAGCACGGTGCTAAGAAGCTGGGCAAGGCTATCATTGTGCGCAAGGACGGCACCCCTCTGTACCTGACCCGTGACATTGGTGCCATCTTGGAGCGTGACGAGAAGTACCACTTCGATAAGATGATCTACGTTGTGGCTGCCCAACAGGATCTCCACTTGGCCCAGCTCTTCAAGGTCACCGAGCTGATGGGTAACAAGGATCTGGCCAGCCGCTGCCAGCACATCAACTTCGGTATGGTCCACGGTATGAGCACCCGTAAGGGTACTGTCAAGTTCTTGGATGACATTCTGCGGGATGTCGGTGACAAGATGCACGAGGTTATGAAGAAGAACGAGACCAAGTACTCACAGGTTGAGAACCCCGAGGAGACTGCCGACACTCTAGGTATCACCTCCGTCATGGTCCAGGATATGACTGGCAAGCGGTAAGTTTTCAGCCAACTCAAGCTGTCCTCATGCAATTGAATGCTAACTTTCCCCAGTGTCAATGGTTACGACTTCAACCTTGACGCTATGACCTCGTTCGAGGGTGACACCGGTCCCTACCTGCAATACGCCCACGCTCGTCTCTGCTCCATGGCCCGCAAGTCAGAGCTCAACATCGACGAGCTGAACAGCGCCGACTTCTCCCTCCTTACCGAGCGCCACGCAGTCGACCTTGTCCGTCTCCTTGCCTCGTGGCCCGACGTTCTTATCAACACCTCCAAGACCCTGGAGCCCGTTACCGTGCTGAGCTACCTGTTCCGCATGACGCACATGCTGAGCTCCAGCTACGATGTCCTCAAGGTCATTGGCAGCGAGCCCGAGCTGAAGAAGGCTCGTATGGCTCTCTACGCTGCTGCCCGACAGGTCCTGAACAACGGTATGCGGGTTCTAGGTCTCAACCCCGTGGAGCGGTCAGTCATCGAATCCGGACATTTTGGCGTACCAATGAGCTAATATTTAACCTTCTAGGATGTAAACTCTCGCCGCCATTCTTCTCTCCACATTTGAAAATTCCCTATAGCCTGACGATATCTCATACTTCTCCGCTAGACGCACTGGCGTTAAAAGTGGGACCAATAAAATATGATTATGACGTTCATTTGGTGCACAAGATCGAACTAGGGAGCCATGGATCTCCAGATCGAACGATGTGCCGATCTCCTGTTATGAATCGCGTAGCGTCGGTCTAAATTTCTTCTTATGCGACCCTAGGAAGATAAGAAAGCTTCAGCGCTTCCTTTTCCAATCGCGGGGACGAAATAGTTAATTTGCGTAGTGGTGACAAGGGCAGTACAGCCACAGCGTGTCTGCAGTCAGCGGGGACAACATCTCCCGACGACTACGGCGACCGGGCTTTAATGAACGAGTCATTGAGGAAAGGGGGAAAAAAAGAAACCTTCGGGCAGCCCTACAAGCTCAAAGCTAAGCGAAATCACAAACGTCTAGAACACGAATCTCTGGGAACCAAGCCACGGATGTCCAAGTCGGGTATATGGACATCGTCGCCGAATCCCCAGTTTTCCAAACGGCGTTCACGGGGACCAAAGAATCTTATGTAAGAACCCCGTTAGGGCGACCACTAGCGGCGTTTGTGGCGCGACTCTAACCTTTTCCAGTTATCCAGCTGCTTCTTGGCCCCATTTCGGGGACCACAACCCGTCTAGCTGAGCGCCCGCAATTGTCCGCATGCCCGCTAAAGACAATCCCATGGTCCTCTCATCACACTCTAGCTCCTCGCCGGGCTAACTGGGGCCTGCGCAGCCAGTCAATCGCCGATGACCCCCTAGCCCTGCAGAACGGGCCGTCATGTGCGAAATGTATTTAACTCGGGTGGGGCCCCAGGAATGGGTCGAGGTTGATTCTTAAAAAAGCCAATTCGCCTGGTATATCGTGGTCTGAAGGATTTGACGACGGTTGCGATCGTGACGAGTTGCCAACATGGGTGAACCTGCTTCTGCCTTTGATGGCAGTCTCGACAATGAAATGTCGACCCCAACCTTGGATGTCGAGTGGGATGGCGATAGTCGGTTTCTGATGAATCATTCCGTCAAGAACTTTTCTTGGACTGGTCTTACCGTGACTGTGAAGGATCGCCAGACGAAAGAGGCCAGGGATTTGATCAATGATATCAGTGGTGATGTTCAGCAGGGTATGTTTGTGTGGATCGCGGACAAGCTTGAGTCTTTGGCTTGGCTTGACAATCTGACTGGGATAATGCTAATCTATATCTCGATCTCGACAGGGGAGCTCGTGGCCTTAATGGGACCCTCTGGCTGTGGAAAGACAACCCTGCTCAATGTGCTTGCTCGACGGCCAGCTGCATCTGGTGCCAAAGTGCTGGGTGACAGCTATGTCAATGGCGCCAAGGTCGATGTTGGATCATTCGGTCGCATGACATCCTATGTCGAGCAGGAAGATGCTCTTATTGGATCATTGACAGTTCGTGAAACATTGAAGTTTGCAGCAGACCTCTCGCTTCCTAGGTATGCCCTGCCTTATTCGATGCTTATTCTCCAATGTCCTTGGTTTATCAGTTTGTACTCATCATCACATGTGATATAGCTCGGTTACCAAACGCCAGCGCATGGATCGTATACGGACACTTTTGGAGGCCTTTGGTATCCAGAACCAGGCAAATACCCTGGTCGGAACCCCTATTCGCAAGGGTATTAGTGGTGGCCAGAAACGACGTGTCAGTGTAGCCAGCCAACTCATCACCTGTCCCAAAATCCTGTTCCTGGATGAGCCGACAAGCGGTCTGGACTCGACTGCCAGTTACGAGGTCATGTCGTACGCGAAGGAGCTAGCACGGGCCAACAATGTGAGTTAATCTAGGGATCCCGCGGCTTGTCAGTCAGAATGCTAACAACATGCGTTGCGTAGATCATCATCATCGCGAGTATCCATCAACCCTCCACAACCACCTTCCAGCTATTCGATAAGCTTCTCCTGCTATCCGGTGGAAAGACATGTTATTTCGGCCCAACTAGCAATATCGTCAGCTACTTCGGAAAGGTCGGCCACCCGGTTCCTTCGCACACCAACCCGGCCGAGTTCCTGCTTGATATTGTCAGCTCAGACTTTGGCGGCGCAAAGGGGAATGCGCAAGAACGAGTTCAACAGATTCAGAATGTCTGGGCAGCATCTGAGGAGTCCAATGCCGTCGTGAGACAAGTTTCCGAGCGTGCTCGTGAGTCAGAAAAAGCAGCGGGGGTGTTGTCCGCCGAGGATATGGCTCGTCCGGGACCGGTCACTATCACGGCTGCGCTGCTGCATCGCTCGTTTATTAAGAGTTACCGCGATGTCGTTGCTTACGGAATCAGAATTGTGATGTATCTCGGTGGGTATCACAGTGCCACTTTCTTGTCAACACGAGCTAATTCCAGTCAGGTCTTGCAATTATGATGGGCACAGTATGGCTTCGCCTGCACCCAGCTCAGGATTATATCCAACCTTTTGTCAATGCCATCGTGAGCACGCCCTTCCAGAGAATACGAAAAAGCCAATACTAACAAGCACCAACCCAGTTCTTCGGATCAGCTTTCATGTCCTTCATGGCTGTTGCCTACATGCCAGCTTACCTCGAAGACCGGGCAAACTTTGCAAAGGAGCGCGCGAATGGCCTCTATGGAGCGACACCTTTTATCGTTGCCAATTTCCTCATTGGTCTCCCATTCCTCTGTACGTCTCGGTTGCACCTATCAATACCCACCGCTAGCATGGCTTTCATCGCTAACACCTTGACCCTACAGTCCTCATCTCCATGCTCTTCTCAATTGTCTCATACTGGCTCTCCAACTTCCGCCCCGATGGATCCGCCTTTATGATCTGGGTTATGTGGATATTCCTCGACCTCGTCGCCGCAGAAAGTCTCGTGGTATTCGTCACATCGATATTCCCCAACTTTGTCATCTCACTCGCACTAGTCGCGTTCGCGAATGGATTATGGATGAGCGTGGGTGGATTCCTCGTTACACCGAAGATTCTGAATCCCTTCTGGAAATATGTGTTCCACTACATTGATTATCAGGTAAGGAAACCCCACCTCCTTGGGGTCAGAAATAGCACTAACCTGATATACCTCTAGTCATACGTCTTCCAAGGAATGATGGTGAACGAATTCTCCCAACGAAACTACTCCTGCGGAGAGGGCTGCCACTGTATGTACACCTCGGATCTAGCGGATCAATGCCAGATCCGCGGCACGGCGGTACTTCAGCAGTATGGGTATGCCACTGGCAGGACCGGCAAATGGGTGGGTATTCTCATTGGTATCATTGCGGTTTATCGGTTGTTCGGATGGATTGCGCTGCACCTGCGCCGGACATGATTTATCCAATCAAGGGGATCTTGAGCAGAATGAAATATGTGCGAATATTGTATAGATTATGTGAATATTTAATTTTTATCGTCACCTTTCTATAGAGAGACTCGTTTATCAGACCAACGTGGTATAGTAATCTTGCATTGGATACTTTCCCTGCTGAAAGAATAGCACCGAGCTTTCCCCACTACATCCAACCAGACATGCTACCATGCATCTAACTTGGCTGGGCTAGTCCTTTCTTCAAAATCCTCCGACTACTTCTGCCACATCCTAGAGAGGGCACTGTAGTACACCAGCCATTAGTTTAATTCTAGCGTAACCCCATCTACAGCAGTATCAATTTGTCTGTACAACACGAAACCACGCCACCGGCACACTCCAAGTCCTCCCCATAAAATAAACAAGAGTATACATGCTGTTGTCAGAACCAAATCCATAAGTATCCAACACCCGAGTCCCAAAACCAGCGCCACTCACGATCACAAGCACGAGCGATCACCATAGACGATCCAATCCCGCCCGCAAATGCGAGTCATTCTATACGATCGTCTGCCAATCTCCACACATCAAGACTTCCCTCGGAATCCGATAATAGAACAAGACGGCATCAGACCTCCAATCCAATATCCAACCACTTCTCCTCTTTCTCCTCATCCAAGACGCCATCGCACGCACGATAGAAAAGAGCGGTGAGTGTCTTGGTTCTCTGGGGAAGTCACTGATGACACCTTGCAGAGAAGGGGAAGCAAGGGGGTCCATGAGGTCTTGGACGATACCTATTTTCCGATAGAAGGGAATGGCGATTATCCATGATAAAGGCTACGCTTAGGGGACGGGAGGGGTAATGGGGTCAGTGTTGATAGAGTGTATGGAGATATGGATAGGACGGGATGGGATGTGAATATCGAGGTACAGGACTGCATGAAGGGATTGGTAATCAATTCTCCAGTAGGTAACTATCCATGGCAGCATGGATGGCATGACATGCTTGTGAAGCTTATTAGATGAGCCATGCGGCTTTTGAGTGATTGTATTATCTGGAGAAAGCAGCGAGACACGATAGGCTGTTCCTGTGACTTGGGATTGTTCTAGGATGTGGGTTGGTTGAGATGTGTCCTGATCGTCAGATCTTCTTGAGATCGTGACTGGCAGGAGACAAGGGAGTTGCCTGGGATTTATGGTGATGCCTATAGCATGGCTGTAAACGTAGAAAAACAACATAAAAGTATGGATATGAAGTGTAAAGTTGCCGGTTGGCTATCTAGGCAGTGTTTATTAGTCTATCGTTGCTAATTAGGTTGATTATCTATAAGCGAAACTCTGATCAACTCCAAGACATTACTCCAGTTTCTACGTTATCATGTACCTCCAATGTACTCCCTTGTACATCGCGGGGGCGTACTTTATCGACAGACTGGAGTTGGAGGGGAAACCACCAGAGCCGCACACTGTTCGCCTCTCATCTCCCCATCCAGCCAGCCTCCATCCCCTCTGGTCCAATACCCTGTCATGCTCCCCCAATCTAACTTTTCTCTTCACTGTTTCAGTTTCTCGTCACCGGGGTAAGAATCAATCTTCTCACCCCCCTTCAACCCTTCTCCCGGGTTGAAAGGGCTACAAAAAACAGAGCATTGACCATCCATCCCCCTCCATCCCCCACTATCCAATTGTATCCTTATCGTCGTTGCAATTGTGGTATTCTACACGTGCGGGGGGTCTACCATTCCCTCAAAGCCCTCGAGGACCTCGTCTAAAGATCAGGACGCAAGGAGGTGACCAGAGCGACCGTTGAGGAAATGATAAACCGTCCGTGCTGCATGTCATACCGATCTAGTCGGGTCTGATCAAGCAGGAAACGGGGGGAAACTACTCCAAAGCCAAGCACAGAGACTGACAAGTTGGTAACTACGTGGACAAGACAGTAGGGAGTCAAGGATGAGCCTCCGTTAAACCGGGTATTCTTGAATAACCGGGTGGGGGAGACATGGACAGGGAATTGTATCCAAACACTTTGCCTACCCCGCCAAGGGATGAGCCGTGAGCGATGAGCCACGAACAGATGAGCCATGACTGTATAGCCCTGTAAACCAAAGGCAGCCATCTTCTCAGAAGTGTCCGTCATGAGTCACCTGCGGAGAAAATGGCAGCGCCATAGAAGAGCCGCCACGAGGGCGCGCAGGACGGTCGTCGTGCAGCACGTCGGACAGGCATGTTTAACAGTCCTGACCCTCTCATTCTGGATCTAGCGTGGTTCACACGCTCCACTCACGCCATCAGTGGCGAGAATAGAATAAGAAAACTCTTCAGAGAAGTGGAAATCATGAGTAAAATAGAATACTTCTACGGAGTAGATGCATGTCATCTCCACCGACTCTTCTTCCCGCTGTACTAGGTACAATTGACATTGTCTCCGGGGTTGGCAAAGCAAAAAAAAAATGGTTATCGGCTAACACCAGCCGATGGAGGTATACCAAATAATACGACTAATCGAGAACTTGTTACTTTCTCTATTTTTCTCTATCCCTCCTTTCTGGCTTCCCATGATTTTCCCGTGGTATCGCCGATGCTCATTTCCCGTGCAGGGTTGTTCCCTCTTCATGGTGGAGGCGATGATTGGGCCGCAACGCTCAGGATTGGGCGTTAGGCCGACCGGAGCAGAGCAGAAGCAGGAGCAGGAAAGATTCGGAACGAGGAGGCCGAGAGAGTGAATTGACGAGAAATCTTAAGATACAGTAATCTGGTATAGCTATGGGAGATACGGAGAAGATCTGTTCTGGTATTGGATGGATGGATCTGGCTAGGGATTAATAGTCCATGTATACAATACATCGGTGCATGCATCCCGAGGAATACCAAGTCTTTTCTTTGGACACTAGGAGAGTCCATTAGCAACGGGAGTAGATGTCAAGTATATTTCTGGTATCTCTTGTATAGTTCGCGAGTAAACAAATGGCCTCCTCCACCCAGGGATCCGAGCAAGTCGAACCAGGGATCCCCCCTCCAGCGGGTCCCGAGTTTAAAGTGTTCCACGACTGTCGTTGTCTCTAGAATAATTCTGATTAATTATCTCTGAACAAGAAATATACTTTTTACCTCTGTGTAAATAACTCCGTAGATTCCGTGGCCTCCCTGAGTATAGAACTATACTGTATATACTATACAGACTGTACTCCGTATTGTTTATGATGACGCCCGTCCCCCCCCCCCACTTCCTTCTCTTCTTTTTTTTTTTCTTCTGTTGGGTACCGACTGTCCCGCGAGCCTCTTTTCGTGCAACATTCTCTTTTTCTATTTTGTTTTTTGCTTTTTGGGTGACTCTATCCTATTTTTCTCTGTATTCTTCGGTGGCCTGTTTTTTTTTCCTTCTCTTCTATTTTTTTTCCCTCGTCAGACTTGGGTTGTTGATCGCTTATCAACGTGTTTACTTCCCCCCCTCCGAACTTTTTTTTTCTAATCGGTGCCCATCTGCTCCACCCCCAAACTACAACCCAAAGTCCGCCTTCTCCTTCTCTTTTACCTCCACCCCCCACTCGCCGGGTACCAGTCAGGCACGTCGACAGATTCTATAACAGGCACAAAGGCCCAAAGGGCCCAACTCTTCTAGGCCTGCAGCTGCATCTTCCTTTCCCACCACTCATCGCTCTCCCACTACTCTTTTTTTTCCTCTTCCCCCCTCCTCGTTAGAGACCCGGACCCACGCCCGACGCTCCGCCGCCCGACCGTTCTCACATCCGCCCAATTTCCCACCCTTTTCAGATGGAGACATTGCGATCTGGAAGATACCACCTCGCACGCTCCGCTCGCTGACAGATCAGGATTACGCCCAGCTGCCTGCCATCGCCCTTGCGATCGGCAGGTCCGTTTTCCGTGGTTGCGACTGTCTGAAACTGGGTTGGGCGACAAGAGAGAGAGTGAGCGAGAGAGATCGAGCGAACGAGGGAAGTGAGGGACACACAACGTCGGGACAAGTGCCTTGAGAGAGAGGTCAGAAGGGGTTGCGATAAGGATTCTATACGAGGCAAGACTTGAAACCGAAATCTACGGCGCGATCTAAGGTTGTCGTCGCATATCCGGCTTACGAACCATCGACCCTGGGAATTATACAAGAATTATACCAAGTGGACCGGGCCAGGAACACCCAACAAAAATACCTGCCCAAACGTACCCATCTCTCCTTACTGAGTCATCCCTGGTGCATCGAGAAACCTGTCTGGTTGAGGGCTTCTTGCTGTAAGTCGTCCCAAAGTCCCTCCTCCACCTTTCCCCTCCAGCCTTTTTGCTGCCCGGTGGGTAAGCCAAACACCCGCACCGTCTCCCAAATCGGGACCCAGGCACTGGTGTCTGGTGTCATCATCATTTTCCCCTCCCCAACTTGACTAACAATTTTGCACCGCGCCCAGTTCCCTCGCCGTCCGTTCGTGCAGCAAGCCATGCCTGCGGGCAGGGCTCCTCAGCCGGCCTACGTCGAAGACTTCGACGAGGATGCACATGGCATCGTACCCGATAGTCGGCACTCTGCCAATACTACGGCCAACACGGCTGTCAAAATCTCCTCCAGGTTGGATCAAAGATTCCCAGCGGAGCCGCTGATCGACGGCGCCAGTGACTCAGGGTATTCTAGTCGTACCGCCGCCACTGCCAACAGCACCCAATCTGGCCCATCGGGCGGGAGAAGTCCCCCAGTCCCTATTAAGCTGGACCTGCCCAAGCAACGCACCGATCTAGCCAGAAAAAACTCCCGCCGCAGAGAACACAAAGACAAGGAACGAGAACGCGTCCGGCCAGAGCACGTTGAGAAGCAGATGGGTACTCATCCCCACCAGCTCGCTCACGTGCAACGGTCGTCGTCTAAGCCTCGTCGTCGTGACTCTGCCCACATTCGACACTACAACCCACCCGAAGTTTACTACGAGGGCTCCCGGCCCTATCACCAACAACCTTCCACCCCCGTCGAACGTCCCCCGATGGACTACCCACCTTACCACTTTGGCCGGCCGCCGGGTGCCGACTACCCGCCGTCCTCGCCGCACACGGCTCGGTATCCATGGGCTGTTGAGGAATACCATCGTCCTGCAAGTCGACCTACTCGCTCAAACTCCTACCGTGCCCCGATGTATCACCAGGAACGTCCCATGAGTATGCATGGTGGAATGATGGCTCCACCACCGCCACCCATGTATCATCAACAACAACCACAGTATTATGATCATGGCCCTCCACCAGCATCGTCGGCCTATGTGAGTCAGTATGCCTCATCTCCCTACAGTGGTTCCTTCTATGGCGGCTCTGAGTATGGTCCTCCCTCGGACTATCCGCGGGAACGATCTCACTCTCGAACTCGGGAACGCTCTCAACAACCCCGAGCACGTCGCTCATCTTCCATTTATGGTGGTCAACCCCCCATGGACCACAGCGTCTTCCCAGACTGGATGGACGAGCCGGAGCCATACGACCAATGGGCACCCGAAGAACCTCCTCGAGAGATGCCTCGTGAGTACCGCCGGGAGAGGGAAACTCCTCGCGAGTATCATCGTGAGAGAGATGTCCCTCGTGAATACCATCGTGATGTTCCGCACGAGGCACCTCGCGGCCGTGCCCCAAAGCCCCCTCGTGACGAGGACTACTACAAGATGCCTCCACCTCCTTTGCCAGTGCCTCAGAAGCACAAGGCCCAGGTCCACCAAACGAAACGATCTGAACGATCTGAACGACCCGAACGACCCGAACGACCCGAACGACCCGAACTATCACGGAAGGCCCATACCACCCAAGCCGTTTCAGCACCGCGCCGGCAGTCTCGGGCCTCGATGGATATGAGTGACATGGCTGCTGCGTTGCCCGATTTCAGTCGACGCGTATCCCGCGAAACCAGGCAGCTCGACCGTACCCGAAGTCTCCACGAGAGCAAGCGGTCAAATTCCTACCATGACCCCCGCCGGGGCGCTCAGGTCGCCGTCGAGAGCTCCCGCCGTCGCCGTCCAATAGAGTATTACTCTGACGAAGACGACGACGACGAAGACGACGTCGACAGCACCGGCACGGCAGGCGGCCTGGAAGACCGCGAACGTGAAATCGAACGCTACCAAGCGCAAAAGTCCGGCCGAACGAATACCATGCCCGCCTCCGCCGAAGCGCTCCTCACCAAGAGCGCCGTCGGTGCCCCCAGTGAAAACGGTAGTCAAAAGAGCCGGTCGAACAGCAGCCGTGGTAGCGGTAGCGGCAACGGTGAGAGCAAGAATATGAACCTCATGGTAAACGGATTAACCATCGGTTTCACTGAAGAGTCCGTCGCTGGCAAGAACATTAGCATCCGAGCCGGTGATACAGGCCGCGTGCAATTGTCTATTGCCGGCGACCGCCTGCCCAAGCAGTATCATGCGAGCGGCTCTTCGTATTCCGATCAGACGGGTCGATCTGCCCGGCGAGAGTTGGAGGAGGCGCCGCGACGCCCGCGTGATGATCTTCGTTCCGAACGTGCGAGCCGCCGCTCGAGTCAATCGAGTTATGGCGGTAACCGTCGGTATGCGAGGTAAAATCGTGTGAGCTATAGCGAGCAACTTCCATGCTCTTGTCTTTACGTCTGTGGCTTCTCGTTTCATGATGAAATTATATTCTCCTGGTCTCTCCTCGTCGCTTCGCAGCGCTCGGTCAGGTTTACGTCAAAAGTTGGATTTGGATTTTGGATTTTCGGATTTGGACTGGGATTGGCACTTATGATTATGTTGTTTTTATTTTTCTCCTTCTTTCCCCCCCCCCATCTTGTTCTTGTTTTTTCCTTTGGTACTCATGATTGTTTTACGGGACGGGTCTACAAAAAGTGGTTCGAGCAAAGCGTTCGGGTTGATGCTATCGCTTCCCTCGCGGGTAAAAGCGAAAGCATGAAAAGCGAGAGCTCGAGACTCGCCGACCTGTCTGATCGGACTGGGTGGATTCTCTGGTTTTATTTTGTTTGCGTTTGCAATTGTTATCTCTTGCTTGGGGGTGGGGGTGTTGGGTGCGTGGTGGGAGGATTGTCTGTTGAATGTGTTTGAAGTGGACCGAACTGGGCTGAATCCGACCGAACGGACTGCACCATCTTGGCTGACCAATTCCTCGTCTATCCTTGGATCTGATCTTGATTTGGATCTCGATGGGGATCTGGATGGACGGGGAGTTTGACGGCTGATAGGCGGAACTGGACTGGACCGGATCAGACTCCAGTGGACTATGTCCACAACAACCGAAACGATGGACATGAACACCACCACGTGGGACTGACACTCGCCGCCTCCGTTACGGTGATATGATTGTACGATTCTGATGACCTGCGATGACAAGTTCGATTCATGTGATTGATGCTTTGCTTTGCGTTGCCTTGATGATGGATGCAAGCCATTTGCCAGCGTTGATGTATATCCTTCTTCCCTTATTTACCTTTTTTCATGTTCTCTTTCATATTTCCCATTATATGATTTTGATTTTGACATTGATTTCTCCTCCTTTACGCGTTCTATATTTACTACCCGATTTACCCATTCTGTTCTACGTCTACGTGTTCATGTCACTTGTCTTCTTTCAGTGGGCTTTTGTCTTTCTCTTTCTTGCCTCTTGCCTATTTGTGCTATGCGCTGAGTTTGAGGAGAGAGATTTATACCCCCATTTTTTGGTATTTAGGTAGCTTTTAGCGGTTGCTTGTGATTTTGTTTACTTGTCATACCATGTTACAATACCAGGTCATCTTTACTGCAAATTCTTTGAAGTTATTTTTGCTGTATGGATAATCTTTTCGGTAGACATTGTAATGGTCGCTTCTCTTTATCCTTGGGTCATAATACTCGACTCTCCAGCCCCTGTATCGAGCTCGTAATCACTGCCTGTGACAATTTCAAGTTCTTTTATTACAAACACAATGACTACTACTAGACACTTCAACCTTTCACAGCTCTAGAACGAAGCCTTGTTCTGCTCCAAGAACTCCTTCCAGGCAGTAGGTCTGTACCCAGCCTTGTCAAGCAGCTCATGACTGTCCTTCAAACTCCGACCAGCATAGTACCCAGGACTCTCGATGAACAGATGATTCTCCAACATCTCCTCACCCATGGGCCCGGGAATAAACCCCTTATAAGTCTCAGAGTCCACTCGCACAAACCGAGTCTTCTTCCCGGTAACCTCCTCAAACTCGGCAAGGATACGAGTGGGAGTGTAGTAATCCGCCGCAGCGAGGATTTGGGCACCAAGGACCTCGGATCGATTCTTCAGTGCAGCTGCGACGTATTTACCTAATAAGATTATCCTGTTAGCGCTCGCAGCTCCCAGAAAATATGTCTTGTTAATAGGATTGCACATACCCATGTCATCCACAATATCAACAAGCGGAAACTTCGCATCCTCACCAACAGGATAAGCCAAGTTATAAACCCCGTCCTCCCCCTTCCTCAACATCCCATATAGCGTATAATTATTCATAAAATACCCCGGCAACACAAACGTCGCAGGAACACCGGTCGACCGGATATACTCCTCAACGTGAGCCTTCTGATCGAAATGGTGAACGTTCTTCAATCGGCCACTTGTTTCCTTGGTGACATCGAGCAAAGAAGAGAAAATGAGATGCTGCACGCCTGTCTGCTTAGCCACGTCGGCGACGTTTCTGCCATGGTCTAGTTCGGCGGTGGATCCGGCTACGCCCCATGCTGGAGTCGTGACCAGGAAGACGGAGTGACTTCCTTGGATGGCGTTTACCAGGGAGTCTTTGGAGGTCATGTCAGCCTGGACGCATTGTTAGTAACGTTGCTTGATTGATCGTAGTATTATTCGGGAAGGAGATTGTTGTCATCTTACCGAGACAAGTTCGACTCCTTGCTTAACAAGGGCCTGAGCCTCCAGCTTGGAAGTATCACGAGTAATACCCCGGATCTTGAACTCCTTCGATAAACTTTCATCGCTCAGGATAGTGCGGATCACGGAGCCGCCCTGTTGACCGGTCGCGCCGAAAACGGTGATAAGCTTGGACATGATTGGTGTTGTTAAGATGGTTGAATCTTAGATTGGATGATGTTTTTGAATCTGTGCTATTGTAAAGAACTGATTTTGACCATCAGAGGCAATCTTTAAATATGAAATGTCTTTCCAACAACGTCGACGTTGATGACGTTATGTCCGAGTGGTTATTAACATTAAGCTTTGTTAGTTCATCTCGGAGGCCGATGGCCGCCACTTTGTAAGCGTGTTAGTCTCGGTGTTGATTTTAAGGCCGATGGACCAATAAGCCCGAAATTTGTAAGAATTGAAGATTAATGTAAGCATATTCCATGTTCCAGTTAAGAAGTTGAAATTGGTCTTGCCGAACGCCGAGATTAATCATTCACTACCTACCCTCGAAATACATCTCATGCTGTGGTTTTCTTAATTTTCGCTTGCCCTCGTTCGGACCTGTATCTTGGTGCCCGGTCCGATTTTGCTATCTATCTATCTCACTTTTACTTTCGAATAGTGCATCTCATCATGGCAGCCGACCAACTACGCGACAACGTCTCCCGAGTCAAGAAACCCTCACTTATAGGAAAGTCCATTTTCGTCGGACTTCGCGCTGCAGATGTATTCTGGCAATATAATTAATTTGCTGTACCGAGGTTGGGGAATCCGGCTCATCGAGAAACTCGGCGGCCATGCCGTTCATTCCTCATTAGTCCTCAACCCTTTGACGCTCACTCGGCTTCAGCCTTATTATGGACTCGTTACCCTCCTATCGCTGGGAAGTAGCGTCAAACAAATTCTTCACATTGTCTTAGTTTCCGAGCAAGCTATGGACGTTGATTCTGGATTTACGATTGCCCTCTTCAACACTATCTTCAATACTATCAACACCATTCTATCGCTCTGGGCAGTGACATCCCCTGTTCTTTCCGGCCTTAATTCAACAAACCTACTCAACACACTCCTATCTCCCCAAATTGCTGCTGGACTAGCAGCCTACGCCATCGGTCTCTCTGTCGAAGCGATTTCCGAGTTCCAGCGCAAGGCTTTCAAGCAAGATACCAAAAACAAAGGAAAGCCGTACGGTGGGGGTCTCTTCTCACTAGCAACCAATATCAACTACGGTGCTTACACTGTCTGGCGAGCTGCATATGCTTTGACGTGTGGCGGTTTGATTTGGAGTGCGACAACCTTTACTTTCTTCTTCCGCGATTTTGCTACGCGGGGCGTTCCTGTCTTGGATGCGTACATGACTCGGAGAGTAAGTTAAATTGGTCAAATTCTACATTATTGATAGCTGATGAATGGAGCCATGATAGTACGGTGATGCTTATCGAGAGATCAAGTCTCGTGTCCGATATACCTTAATTCCTGGTATTTACTAGGGTCACCGTATACAGGATCCAAATTGGCATTGAAAATGGAACGATCACGGATTGTCTAAGGATCAAGTTGGAATTTCACATTCAATGAGTCCGGTCGGCAGATAATCACTTGGAAGATTCAAGTCCGTTGCCGATTGTATTATCTATAGTGCTTTACTTGAGACCGATTCTTTTCCTTGATACTCGCGTGTATTGTTTCAATAGCTCCCACTCTCAGCGGTAAAACATACTGCATAAAAGGCGCCATCTATTGATGGAACTCGTTTACCATGTCGCGTTAGTAGGCTTACGAAATTCAATATATCATGGTAAAGGATTTGACCTACATACCTCGAGCACGAGAACGAGACACGGTCTTGAATATTCCAGTAGTTATCATGAAATTGGTCTAATTAGAGGGGAGAAGGAAGCGAGCTATGCCACCGTGAGATTCGACTCAAACCCCTCTTGCGCTTGATGCGATGGATTTTCTCTGATCACGGTCGGATATTTCCAGTAGCATCGGCGTTTGCTTACGTTGTCTGACCTTTCTTGGCCTCGCTAGATTTTTTTTCTTCCTGTCTCTAAGAAGATTGCCACACTTTTCCTGCCTTTTTCTTCGTATTGCAGTCCTCGGAATATATTTCTTATTTATTGACTAAATATGGAACTTGATTCGGAGCTCCATTGGGCCGTCCGCTCATGTTACTCAGCCGAACTCGTCGGCCTCGATATCAGTGCCGATGGCAGTGAGCTTTGATATCTATTCAAGACTTCGGCCGTTATTCCGAGTCTCATTTCTTGCACTGAATAATGTATTGTTCGGAACTGAGGCTTTTTTCCGTCGGGTCGGGGTGATTCTATTCTTCTCGCAGGACTTTCTGCTTGGATGGCCCCGGTATATATTGTCAGAGCTCTGGGATAATCCGCCGAGGGTGTGCCAGGACCTCCCGAATCTTACGCCGCTTGATTAGAAAGCTTTTGAATCTCCTCCCACTTTCCTTCTTTTGGCATCCAACTTCCGCATTTGACTTTCTTTCTTCTACTTTCCTTCATCTACTTTTCTTCATCTATCTCACCCATCATATGACTGTTGAGATCCTCTGAGTCTTTCACAAACCCCTCCCCCTCCTTTGGATATATCTAGGGCTGTTATCCGCACTCATCTGCATTGTCTCCTTTATCTCCTCCGTATTTCATATCTTCTTGACCTCCTTCTACTCCCTCCCACCTTCCACACTTCAACGCCTCCGGGGGCCACATCTTCGCTTGAGGAGAATCCTATCTCGTCATGTCACTTCCCAAGGAGAAGCGAGCCCATATAGAGGCAAATATGGTGGACTACCAAGAGGCTCACACTTTCTACCCAATCGGACCCAAGCTCATCCTCATCACGATTAGTTTGATGTTGGCCGTCTTCTGCGTCGCTTTAGACAACACTGTATGTTTACAGCCTCACTATCACTATCGACAAGGCATTAACACTCTCACGTTAGATTATGGCTGTCGCCATTCCACGAATTACAGACGACTTCCATGCGTTGAACGATGTTGGGTGGTACGCCTCGTCATACCTGTTGACAACTTGCTGTAAGTATCGCTCGGTTGTATCGATAGCGGGACACACTTACTGATGGGTTTGCAGCCTTTCAATTGCTATACGGGAAGTTTTACACGCTGTTTCAAGTCAAATGGGTTTATTTGTCAGCTTTGTTCCTCTTCGAACTGGGTTCCTTGATTTGCGGTGTTGCACCTAATTCGACTACATTGATTGTTGGACGGGCCGTTGCTGGCCTGGGGAGCGCTGGCATGTTTACTGGAGCACTGGTGACTCTTGCCCATACGGTCGAAGTGGAGAAAAGGCCGATCTTCTTCAGCATGCTTGGTGGCATGTACGGCATTGCCTCTGTTGCCGGACCATTGGTAAGTTTTTAGGCCTGTGGAACACTTGAAGATTGCTGTTCTGACACTTATTTAGCTGGGTGGTGCTTTCACCGACCATGCTACTTGGAGATGGTGCTTTTACATCAACCTTCCTCTTGGTGGCATCACCGCGATTGGCCTTCTCACGCTGCTCAAGTTACCTCCCAAGGAAAAGACCCAGAAGACGCCGATGGATATATTCCTTGAGTTGGATCCAATTGGAACCATTATCTTTGTTCCTGCTATTGTCTGCCTCCTGCTAGCTCTTCAGTGGGGTGGGGTAACGTACGAATGGTCCAGCGGCCGTATCATCGCTTTGTTCGTGGTCTTTGGCGTGGCCCTTATTGCGTTCGTCGCTCTCCAGATTTTCCTGGGCTATAGAGCGACCGTGCCACCTGATATTGCTCGGCAACGGACCATTGCATTTGCCTCCCTTTTCGGCATCTGTATCGGCGGATCATTTTTCATTATGATCTATTACGTTCCTATTTGGGTAGGTTTAATTTTCCACCCCTCGTTTTGAATACGATTTACTAACTCAATTTCAGTTCCAAGCCATTCGCGGTGTGACTGCCGTACGCTCCGGTATCGACTCTCTTCCGATGATTTTGTCAAATGTCGCTGGGATCATTATTTCTGGTGCATTGACAACTAAATTTGGGTACAACGCACCCTTCTTTATTGCCAGCAGTATTATCATGTCGATTGGAGCTGGTCTCATCACCACATTCACTGTGGATGTTTCCCAAGCGAAATGGGTTGGATATCTCTTCATTTACGGCTTGGGAGTAGGCCTCGGATTCCAGCAGGGTGGTGTTGCTGCTCAGGCTGTGCTCCCTTTACCAAAGGTGTCCATCGGAACGGCAATTGTCATGTTCCTCCAGATGCTTGGTGGCTCGTTGTTCGTATCAGTTGCGCAGAACATTTTCACCAAGGAGCTGATTGGTAACCTCGAGGCCCTGAAAATTCCCGACTTTTTTCCCTCTGATGTGGTAGATGGTGGAGCAACAAGTATTCGAGCTCTTGTCAGTGAGTCCGTTTTGCCTGAGGTTCTTGTGGCGTATAACAACGCCCTTCTCAAGGTTTTCCAACTCGCTCTTATCCTAGGATGCTTGAGCGTCATTGGCGCTCTGGGCGTGGAATGGAAAAACATGAAGAAAACAAAGGCCGCTGAATCTGGGGAGCAATAGGATGTTGGAGAGAAAAGTTTCGAATAACCCGTTGTTACCAGGATCTGTTTGTGGTGGAGCGACAGACCTTGTGGTGCCATAATGATAATATCCTCTGTGTACAGGACATCAGTTTGGATTAAGTCAAATGGGGATATAGTTTGACCCTCATTGTAGGTCCAGAGATTATCTTTTAGAAATTCGACACCAGATCTCCGTAAAACCGTCAAGCCGAATCAGCGATCTTGTCTCTGTTGAGCATGTTAGATCCAGTGCATTGCTCAGTCTTCAGGAAATTGGTTCTATGTCCCGGAATGTCCCTTCTTGACCAAGTCCCCTGGTCAAATGATTTTGTTGGATTCTTGGATTTTCCCTACATGCAAAGATCTAACTAAGATGGCTAGTCAAATGGTAGATTCACAAGTCTAGTTGAGAGTGTCTTTATGCTTTTTTGTGCCTACTATGGTACCATTTTTACAGAATATTTGACTGGGCGAGCTCCCATGCGGCCGGTCAGGGCTCATTCCCACGGTATACATCGCGTTTCCTAAGCGTACCGAGCGTCTTACAGGTCAGAAATTCCCTCGGCAATGCTCTCCTCTAGACTGACCCATCCTGGTCGATCAAAAAAGCTCTTGAGAATCTCCTCGGCCCGCTTGGAAGGCACGACAATCCTCAAGTCTTGACCCTCGGCTTCAGGCTCTTCGGGAATTGACAAATTGTCAGGACGCAGCTTTCGTAGAATCCTGATAATTTCTGTCCAGTTCTGAGGGGCAGCAAATGCAAAGATTCTCTCCGACTTGACGGATGGGGAAAGAAGAGCAGCAACGTGCAATCTTGCAACATCTACAACATTAACAAACCACTCTGTAGATAAATGTTAACGCCTCTCTCGAATATACTGGGTCTTGTGGCACTTACGTGGTGCCAGGAAGGCCATTGCGGATCCATCGCCTTTGAGCAAGTTTCCAACAAATGACTGAGTTGAGCCCCCAACGCTTGGAGCAAGGATCTTGCCAAACTGGGAATCGTGTCAGTACGTTCTTATTTATCATAGTAAAGGGGGAACAACTTACAGTGATTGCTGGCAAGACTGTGTTCAGCGTGAAGGAAGGCATATTCTCCTCAGCCCATTTGAACGCCGCCCTCTCGGTCTCCGTTTTGGACGCTACGTATACAAAGTACCCCTTAGAGTGAGGCGGAGCATTCTCATCCCAAGCTGCTTCAACAGCAGCGTCATTCCATGTGTCTGGAGATTCGTCAGAACGATGAGTGAAAAAGACGTTCTACGATTCGCGCACCTTTGGTGATCGTTGTTCTCTCTCCATTAGCATTCGGCGTATAAGCTGCAGTTGACGATGAGGTGAGTACCACCTGCTTAACCGTTGGCCACTTTGAAGCGGCTTTCAAAATGTTGAGCGTTGCCTTGATGGTATTCGTGATCACCACGCTCGGATCAGGATTCATCGATACGTCAGCCGCCTATGACGGTTTAGGTCAATTCATCGTTATCGAAGCTCTCCATAAGAATGCTACGCACCATATGAATAACTCCGGAAGTCCCTTCGACTGCTCTCTCGCAGTCAATCTCGCTAGTCACATCCGGAAGGATGAACGTTTCAAACTTCCCTCTGCCGTATTTTTGGTCAAAGAAGTCGATCAGCCATGGCTTGGGCTCACGAACCGTCCCGCGGACCAAGTAGCCCCACTTCAATAGCTGATCGACGACATGAGACCCGATGAAGCCATTACTTCCAGTAACCAGGATCTTAGACCCTTGGGGGATAGTATAAACAGTATCCGTCGTCATATTGTCCAAGAATATGAAGTAAAATGCAAGTTTGACGAGCAGCAGAAAGCAATTGAGACGACGGAAAACCGAAGATGTGCAATTTTCATAGCGGGGACATGGTTCTAATTAATAAGTTGGCAGGATCTAGTTGAGTCAGGAACCGGAAGAACTCCGGGTCTACGAGGCTACCGTACAAATCTACCGGTGAATGGAAAATCATCGCGTCAGCACGATTTCCGCCCGGCACTGTCGTTGCCGTTCATTGCTCCGTAGATAAGCGGCCCTAGTAGTTAGTGGGTTTAGCCACATAAATACGCCCTTGGCCCCTTACAAGCTACCGCCCCACATATGAATACGCTCTCTCTGCTCATGAGATCGCCATCACAAACGGGTTGTTTGTAGCAGGATATCCCTAGCTCTACATACCGTTTAGTAGCGTAATTGTAATACCACAATAAGGATATTATATATGTACACATGGAAAGATTGAAACCCTGACAACACTTGCGCGCTCACATTCACCTCTTTATGTCTCGAGGATAGACAGGCAGAGAATATGTACGCGGTAAGCGATATAAAAAGATAATCTAGGATACGGCTAAGAAGGCGTTTCTACTTACCGAAAGTTAAAAGTTAAAGCGCTGAAACAAAACCAAAGACTTTGGGGTCGGATCCATGAACGGAAGATACTTTATTCCGTGCTACTGTATGTGCTTAAGGATATTAAATTCACTTGTGAAAAATTTGATAGGCAGGTGTATTATTAACAATCCGGGGAGATGCGTGAATAAGGGTCGATCATGGGTCTCTGACCTTCACTTGGGGAAATACCATTAGCAATACTCGGCATTCGGCTTCAGCCCGACTCGGTCCAATCAAACTAAAATTGCGCCGATTTGGCCCCACAAGGCGGGAGCTTAATGATCAATCTTATTAAGCTCGGGAGTGAAACAAGGCCCGAAGGAGGTGATGACAGAACGACCCAGAAATAAGGTTGCATTCTCCAAGGATTGGCGTATAGCAGTTTCCATCCAACAAACTCCCCCTACCACATCGCCACTGCGGGTTCTCTCCGTCATATATAAGCATCCCCCTTTCAGCAGCCACATATACCTCGATCTCACCGTTCGCACCATTACCTCGACCGCAAAAACCTATTCACGATGCCAGCTGTTCTAATTACCGGCGCCACTGGCAAACAAGGAGGCTCACTCATCAGAAGCCTCGTTGCGAGAAAATCACCTTTGGAGATTCTTGCCGTCACGCGCAATGCTCAGTCTTCATCTGCCCAGAAATTGACGAAATTGTCATCGAACATCAAATTGGTAGAGGGAAACTTGGACGACCCGGCGGCTCTTTTCCAGAATGCACGCAAGGCAACGCAGTCCTCTATCTGGGGAGTTTACAGTGTTCAGGTACGTGTACCGCATCTTTAATCGAAGTCACTTCACTCATTCGCTATCTTGAACTAGGTTGCAATCGGAAACGGTGCACTTGAGGAGGCGCAAGGAAAAGCGCTCGTTGATGAGTCGCTGAAGCAGAAAGTTCAATTCTTTGTCTACAGCTCTGTTGATCGAGGGGGCGATGCCTCTTACGCCACTCCAACCAAGGTGCCGCATTTCATCAACAAGCACAACATCGAACACCATCTAGTGGAAAAGAGCAAGAACACCGACATGAAGTGGTTTATCCTCCGACCCACTGCTTTCTATGAGAATCTTGTCCCGGGATTATTCGGCAAAGTGTTTGCAACCTGCTTCAAGATGGCACTGAAGGGTAAACCCTTGCAGATGGTGGCCACTGACGATATCGGATTCTTTGGAGCCGAGGCTTTTACGCACCCAGAGAACTACCAAAACAAGGGCCTTTCCCTGGCGGGTGATGAGTTGACATTCGATCAGTTTGCCCACATTTTCCAGCAAAAGACGGGTCAACCTATTCCATCGACTTATCGATTTCTATGCTCCATCTTCATGGCGTCGATGAAGGATATGGGCTACATGTTCAAATGGTTCCATGATAGTGGCTACAAGGCAGACATTCCTGAGTTGAAGAAAATCAATCCGGACTTGAAAGACTTTGGGACCTGGCTTGAACGGGACAGTGAATTCTCGAAGCACTGAGATGTTGCCATCGAGGAGTTGGGCTGGGGCCGTAATGTGTACAATAGCTTTGAGGTTTTTTGATTGATAATATGTTTTTTCACTTAAGAAAGGCAGTTCGTGGATGGAAACATTTAGGTTGCCGGACAGGCCAGGAAATATTGATGTGGAAGCGCAACCAACAGCAGCCCTGAATCGAAATGAAAATGTGTTCCCCTAGAAAATCACATTGTCAAATGCCATGACGGGATTCGGAGCACTCCTTGGCAATCGAAGAAGACTGGATCTCGAACAGAGATTAATATCAAACCAGAGTTTCTGTTGGTGGGGAGATTATTTTCGCCGAGATCTTCAGAAAGGGTACTGGCGTCAACCAGGGTTATCATCAACTTCCCGGTGATCCAGGTACTCTCCCCCCTCATATGACCTAGTTGGTAACCAATCCGGTGGTGACCAATGGGTGTGCCCCGTGAAGGAAAATTGAGGGGAAATATGCAGTACAGGTATCCGATGTCGAGCATCACTCCACGGATGACCAGGCACATTCCTAGGCGGGGAGAGTGGCGAGCAGGCTAAACCCCCCTGCTCGCCGATTTCTTCTTGTATTTTTATTTTTTTTTATTTAATACAATCTTTGGATAATATTTCATACATAAATTCAATTTTCTTATAGAAATTAATGTTTTCAGAAGGGTATAGAAGGAGGTACGCTGTCGGGTTGAGTCCAGGGTAGCCTCAAAAGTATGTACTTTGGCATCGTGAGATTGGGCTGGAGCATTATGGGGAGGTATATAGGGAACATGAAGGTTGGGGGTTCGACTCATGCAGGCAGCGAGTTATTAATTTTAAGTTGAAGGGGGATTTCGACTTTAACTTGTTGACGCTGGCTTCATATCACTATCGGTGATAAATATGCGACAGTTGACATGACAAATATTACGAGATAGGTAGATCTGGTTGGAACAAAATTCTCATGAAAATTAGGTAGCAACATAGCGAAACCTACCTATGAAAATCATTCATTGAGTCGGAACTCCAATTTCATATTTCGATGTAAGTATTCTCGCCCCCAGATGATAGCTTACTGGGCTCGGCGTTGATCTCAAACCCGAGTTCGGTCTGGGGTTCGATCTCGAGGTGGCAAGCCGGCGTCCGCGAATGCCGAATGCCGTCATTATTGAAAGACGTGGAATATAAATAGGATTGTAGGTTGGAACAACTCCAGCTTCCATCGGCATTCAGCATAGATTTCTTTGCAAGTCAATTCACCGTCACATTTTCACTGCTTCAAAATGGCTAGCATCGCTAGAAAAATCTCTCTCCTTGGGGTACGATTCTTTGCACACCCGAAAAGCACTTTTCCCATTTTTACTGACACCATTTTTTAGGCTACCGGTGCTCTCGGTTCCCACATCGCTGGCGCACTGAAAGCCGCTGGCCATGATGTGACTGCTGTGCAGCGCAAGGATTCGACCAAACCTGCACCGGAGGGTCTCAAGAGCGTCAAGGTGGATTACCAGAACAAAGAGGAATTGATCTCGACCTTCACGGGACAGGATGTCGTCATTAGGTACTTTCCTTGCAACCTTAACCATTCCTGAAAATAATCTAACACGATCGTTTGCAGTGCTGTGCCTTTCCCTACGCTTGACTCGGAGAAAACTATAATCGATGCTTGCATTGCTGCATCGGTCAAGCGCTTCATGCCGTCCGAATACACCACTATGCTCGAGTCCCCCTTCGCCATCAATTTACCTATTGCCAAGGAGAAGGTTCTGGTCCGTCAATACCTTTCCTCCGTCATAACCAGTGCCTCCAGCCCCACCACCTGGACCTCGGTCAACACTGGCGCCTTTTTGGATATGGCCCTCAAGTATGGTGTCCTGGGGCCCAACCCCATGTCCAAGAAGGCCATATTCCATGACGGAGGCGACAAAGTGATTGCTGTCTCGCTCCTGTCCGATATCGCCACGGCGATTGTCAAACTGCTCGAAACCGACAGCAAGTTCGAGGCTGCCGCCAATCAACCTGTCTATGTCTGCTCAGCTGCTGTTACTGAGCGCCGCCTCACGAAGATTGTTTCGGAAGTCACCGGTATTGATTTTGGCACCCCGGAACAAGTATCAGTCAAGGAGCTCATCGAGGCGTCGGACGAGCGGCTGAAGAATGGTGATCAGTCCGCTATCATCAACTACTATTTCCAGATGATGTATGGAGAGGGATACAAGGGTGGAGATTTTATGAAGTTTAACTGGAACGAAAGATTGGGTCTGCGGATTATGTCCGAGCAGGAGCTCAAGAGTGCCATTCAACAGATTCTCGGTAACTAGCTTCCAGTTTTTCAAGTCAAATATAATGTAGTCAGTCTCATTACGCCATTTTCTTGTGCTCTGTTTACTTGCTGAAACGTGCAATCTACTGGGAACGAATGACAATTTTTTTGGCAAGACCTCAATAAGAATGTAAACAGTTCTCATAGACTAGGGTCAGTTTCGGTTGATATGTCGAGAGGGAGCTCAAGTACCCCAAACCTTGAGCGATTCAGCAGACGTCTACTATAACGGCACTGAGTCTAGGACTAGCGTTTCACTATACGTGATAAACGGTAGGGCGTTTTCGGCATTGAAATCCATGTACTCTTTCTTCTTCATAATCATCGTTAATGAGTCACACCCATGGACTAACTATTTAGTTTACTAGATTTGGCCAGAATCATGCTCTGTGTCTGAGATCGTTAATGAGGTCTCCACAATCTCGACCGAATCGGCGGTTTGCCTAACATATACTTTTAGGCCCGAGAGGCACCCAATCCCGTATCGTACTGTAAAGGACCCTGCCCCACAACAATTCTTTCACTCGCCAGCCAACCTCGTAATTTGTCACGTGTTTTGGCGTACATTTCGCGTTGGGCGCGTGGTGACGCGTCGAGCTAACTCTATCTAGAACTATCTGGCGAATCCGCCATTTCCGGGAAGCCCTCAGGTCCAATCGAGACACTCTCCAGATAAATTGATTGAAGGGCTACCACCATGCTAACAATGGGACGCAGAAATATATATTGCCACCTCAGGAGGACTTGTCGTCCTGCGTTGCGCTCCTGTATCTAGACTCAGTTGCATCCATCCCTTCAGTCTTCCTCTGTGAGATATACATTTTCGTTCTTCGTACACTTTGAGGGCAAACACACTGACTCCAAATAGCTAGAAGTGTTTGACAAAGAAAAGTAATGTCTCAAGTTTTCACCTCCCCTGCCAAAGTCCTCTCCTGGGACGAGGACCGATCTCCCAACACCCAATCCACCCTCCCTCGCTTGACACCCGCCACTGTGAAGATGAACCTGAGTGAGCTCAACACCGAGATTACTAGCACCTACCAGATGATGTACCTGCCCGCCGGGGGTGGTCGTGAGAAGGATGGATCCGCTGTCTTTATCTTCTCCGATGTTCTCGAGTCGCAGGATTTCCAGGGCAAGGCAGGCAGCTTCATGACACAAGGGAAGGGGACATTCGATGCAATGAAGTTCAGAGTGCAAGGATCATTTGAAATTGTCCCTGGAAGTGGCAAAGGGGAGCTCGGGGAGATGTTCAAGAATGGTGGCAGTGGAAGCTTCGAGTCCGACGAGAAGGATCCGGGTCAAGTTAATTATAAATTTGAATTGCCTGCGTAATATCTGCGAGGAATAGGCGATTTCTTGATATGCAAATGGCTTAGGATTATAACTGGCATATTTCAAAAAAGGGGAATAATCGAGATAAGGATATGGAAAGAATTGCATAAGTTAAGAGCGCACTTCAGAGACTGCTAGGTGAATGAGCACGAATTGGAGCACTTAGCCCAAGTTATAGGTCGATTATCACACAGAAATATGTTCGAGTGGGTCTCGACGTCCAGGGCACCAGGGCACACTACTGCTAGTAGCCTGAGTAACAAAAACATACCGGGAATTCTCGAGCCGATATTGTTGTGGAGAAACCAACATGAATTCTTCCCCATGGGACATGGGATCGAGGTCTGGGGTAGACATAAAGGCCATCTCCCCTCTATTCTGAGCAACATAGTATGGACCCCAGAACTTGGCGTACCGATATTTTCACATCAACATTTCTGATACTCCTGCGGTACAATGAGTTCTACGGGGAATTCGGTGCTTCTGGAGCCCAATGCGGCCCCCAAAGAGAGGTCTTATGCGGTTGCCATGCCGGAGCCTTCCTAGATAGCCTGGCTGGAGAAGAAGAGATCAAGCCTACGAAAATCAGTGCTCGATATCCCGTGAAAGTGACACCCCTACTCTACGCAACCTGCGCCTTTGGTAGCTTTGGGGATGCACTGTTTGGTTATAATTCCGGTACGATATCCCAATTAGATAGCGCCACCACCATAGCGACTGATGTTGGTAGGTATTATGTCCGGCTTGCTGGTTGATCCAGTGTTTGTGTCCCGCTTCTTCGAGAACTTTGGAGGAGCTGATGGCTCCCCTCAATTACAGGAATATCGGTTGCTTGTCTACAGGCGTCAGCTGCCGTCGGTGCGCTGATTGCAGGTTGCCTCGGCGATACGGTGGGACAAAAGAAATGTGTTCGCATTGGTGCCTTCATTTACTTCTTCAGTGCATTCATCCAGATGTTTGCCTCTGGATTTGGGACATTCGTCGCGGGCCGTACCATACAGGGATTGCGTGTAGGGTTTCTCTCCATGACAGTGCCTATAATTCAGACCGAGATTGCTGCACCCCATCGCCGTGGATTAATGGTCGGCATTGAGTACACATTCTTGATCGCCGGATACATGCTCTCTTGCTGGGTAGATTACGGATTCAACTTCCTCCTGCCAAGTGAGATGTCATGGCGACGCCCCTTCATCATCCAGATTACTCTGTCCTTCGTCCTGTTGATCATGCCCTTCTTCCTACCAAAAACACCCCGATGGCTTGCAATCAATGGCTTCATGGACGAAGGTTTGCAAACAATCACAGACCTCCATTCAAATGGCAACACGGAGGATGAGCAAGTTCAGAAGGCTTTCTTTGAGATTCAAGAAGCATTCATCTACGAAACCAACCTTGGTAAATCCACGTGGATCGTACGGCACTCTTTCCGGTTTCGGGCCTTTTGAGACTTGGTAACCTCTTCTTCAAGCAGCTGACATGGAACGTACAGGAAATGTTTACCCGGTACCGCAAACGAACTATTGTTGGAATCGCCGTGCACATGTTCGCGCAGATCAACGGAATCAACATTATCTCTTTCTACCTTCCAAGTACCCTCGCTAGCGCTGGGTCCGACAACCGAAAATCTCTCTTGTTCACCGCGGCGAACGCCCTCCCCTACACTGCGGCAATAATCGTAACTTGGTGGCTCGTAGATAGATGGAGGCGGAAACCCCTGCTCATACTCGGCGGTTAGTCGTCCTATTTGTCTAGATTGAGAGGATTCGGAGAATAACTCGTGACAATTTGAATGGGTCTTACAATGGCTGTACTTCTAGGCATTGTCTGCGCCTTCAACCAGGCCGGTTTGGACGTTTAGGCCAAGGCAAATGGCCAGTATGCATTTGTTATGCTATGCAATATCGTCTATGGATTTACCTGGAGTCCTATGCCGTGACTGTTACCCGCAGAGATCTTCCCGCTGCGAGGCCGCAGTAAAGGTATGGCCTTGGCTACGACAAGCAACTTTTTGATTGGCATGGTATCTCCAGATGCCTTTGCCGGTATTCATGGATATTTTTACCTTGTGATTGTGTGATTTTGTCTCTCTTCAGCCGCACTAGTATACTTCTACTATTTCGAGACAGAAAACCATCCACTTGAGGAGATCATAGTTGCGTTCGTTGCGTTCGTTGCGTTCGTTGCGTTCGTTGCGTTCGGTGATAAGGCGTTTGCAGACCATGACACAGAAGTTATGGAGATTGTTGACGCTAAGAACGATTTGGGGAGTCTCGAGTGTGAAAGAACACTCATTTGTCTCAAATCACTCATCCCATTCTCCCCACGAGGCAAGAAGTACGTTGCAGTGCTTCTGAAACACCACTAGGTTGAACATTCAATAGTGTGATTTCAACATTATTTCACCTGGTCGCCCAGACCCAGAACGGTGCCAATGAATACGAAAGGATGATTTAAATAAGTAGAATCACTAAGTCTACTATGTGACTCTCACCAAGATAAAGCAAACAAATACCTACTTTCCTCGTGTCCTCGCTATCGCATGCTGCAGATCAATGATACCGCAACTACTGGCCATAATTCCAACTCTATCTTCTTTCATTACGCGAAGTTAAAGAAAAGGCCACAAAGGAAGCTCTTTCAGATCTGCGCTGCCATTGCGGAGTTTAGTTACTCCTTTGTGGATATGATGCAACATTCTCGAAAAGTGCAGAGGGGTGGACAGACCCCCCTCCCGCGGCCCGAGGGTAACTTAATGTACTTTCATGCATATGGTTATTCGGGGAAACTATTCAGGACACCAGATTTTACTGCATAATTAGTAGGTAAAATTCTACTGGCAGAATTACGACTTAACAAAGTCTGACGTCGCATTACCCAACTTCAGCTACGCTTTCAAGCCACAAGCACACACTAATTACCGATGTCACTACAGGACACTAGCGCCGCATATTTGACACCTTTGTCATCTAACAGTATTTACCAGTAATTTTTACTATGAGATATGGAGAGGTAGTATTGATCTGGCAACTGAGATACTAACGAGCTAAAAGTGCGCTATTGATTTTTATCGGCAAATATATGGCTAAAGAGTGAAGTCGCCCCACCACGAAAGAACCACTCTGTTTTGATTGCCAGGAAAGTCTTCTCTATGGGTAGTGGATTCTCAACAGAAATCTCTTCTTTCGAGATATAGCATGACATATTGCTAAATCAAATAAGTATGTAACTCTCCAGTTTTTGATTATTGAGTGAGGTAGGATGGAAGTAGAAAGGACACAGAATGGACACTGCAAAAGAGGGGCAAGGAACTTTCAGAGAGTGGGTCCAGAAGCTGTCAAACTTATGTAGAAATTTATGACCAAATTGCTTCCTAACTGCATGGAGCGAAAGTTTGTGTCCCTCGGCTGCCCTACTTACTCGTTTCTTTTCAGCTCGCCTAGACCAAATTGGTTACGGTGACCCCCGCAACTCATAGTAAGCTCGATTGCTGCCGTCAAACCATGATCGAATATTTATCTACTAAGCTTGAAGTAGATTGCCTTCAAGAAATCATACTCAAGTTTTATGGGAGCTAAGAGACAGAACAGGAAACGCAGACACTAGCTTAGATGGTGGTTGGTAAAGCGATCGTTGCGCGGGAACCTACGCCTAGTTCAACCATAAATTGGTCACTGGAGGAAGTCGAAGTCAGTTCGCCAGGTGATGACGAGGTTCTTGTGCAAATATGTGCGTCTGGCATATGCCACACCGATATACTTTTGACTTCCGTGCCCAGCGGGAGCTTTGGTGTCGCCTATCCAAAGGTAGCCGGACATGAAGGTATTGCCTCCAATGCATGAATTCGATCAATACATGCTTGCTAAATATGATTTAGGCGCGGGAATTGTACGCAGCGTCGGCAGAAATGTCTCTGACATTGAGGTTGGAGACCCGGTGCTCTTGTCCTTCTATTCTTGTTCCTCGTGCTCAGAGTGCAAAAACTTGCATCCTGCATACTGCAAAGATTTCGCGGTTGAAAACTATGTCGGCCAACAGCAGTTTACCTCTGCTCATGACAGCAATGAGTTACTATGGTCCAGTTTTTTTGGTCAGTCTAGTTTCGCCCACCACACTATTGCGAAACGTTCCAGCATCGTGCAAGTCAAAGGACTGTTACAGCATGATGACGAGCTACAAACTTTTGCGCCACTTGGATGTGGACTACAGACTGGCATGGGTGCCATCCAGAACATAACCAACGCTGGACCAGATGACATTGTCATGATACTGGGCTTAGGTGCAGTGGGAATGGGGGCTCTCATGGTATGAAAACAAATTCTACCTCTTTCCCTACCTGCAAACCTTAGTATATGATTGGCTGACAGCCTATTCTGGATCCATTAGACCGCTAAGATCCAGGAATGTAACGCGATAATCGCTGTTGATCGAGACATGGCCCGTCTGGACCTAGCCAAAACACTGGGAGCCACACACGTCCTGAATACTAGCGATCCCAAATTCACGACTCTTGATCAAGCAGTTAGATCCATATTCCCTGACGGGGTTTCAATAGTGATCGAAACTACAGGAGTGCCAGTTCTGATCGAGAAAGGGCTTCAATCAACACATACGCGAGGCAAGATGGTTCTAATCGGAGTGCCCCAGTTAGGATATAGCCTGAGCGTTCCTGTGACAGAGCACATAAATGTCAGTGGTGATTGTCCTACCAATCTCAAACTGACGATTATGATAAGCTGATTTACGTTACTAGAGCGGTCGCGCGATACTGGGATGCATTGAAGGAGATTCCGTCCCCCAGATTGTCCGTCATCGTCCTTCTTCGTATGAAACATGAACTAATTGAAGCTGCAGGCAATCCCACAAATGATACAATGGTACCGTCAAGGTCGGTTCCCTTTCGACAAACTTATCCAGTACTTCAATGTGAGTCCATCTTACTATTGTTCTTCCATGGAGGCCGAAGCTAAGATCTGTTTACTCTGCGTCCACAGGCTACCGATTTCCAGAAGGCATTGGAAGCCTTGAAAGCGGGAACCGTCATTAAGCCAGTTTTGGTATGGGCCAGCGATTGATGGGATATAGCTCTTTCTCGTATTGGGACTTGTATGTCATAAGGCACCCCCAAATGATACCGCATTATTATTCCTTTGTCGTGTTGTCATCCGATACCAATAACGATCCGCCTGCGCTATCTGAGTAATACGAATTAAATTCAGGAACATAACAAGAGCATAAGGCATCAACGATGATGTACAGAGTAGAAACGATAACAGCTCGCATCTAAGCGCCGTGTTCTCAAACCATGCTCCTTGGCTCAGCGGTAAGGAAAGGCTAGGGGGACAAAATGAAAGGGAAATTTCTCTTATCTAGAGTCCCCAAAGCAAGCAGATGTGTCTTATTGCTCAGTAAAGGGCACAATGCCGAAATTATGGTGTATTAGCCTTTATGACTCGGCATGGATGTTTAACAAAACAAAACAAACAAAACCACTCGTTTAAATCTCGGAAAACGAACAGTAACGATTCCCCACGTTCGATGAATAAGGTTTTATTTGCCGCATCGTCATTCATTAAGGTGGAGTTGTGGAGGATCGACGTGTCCCTGATCAGCGTTAATTTGTTTCTGTATCAGCTATTGGATGCCCACATTTCGGGCCAACGAGAAGATACATATAGAGCAGTGCACTATTTTATATGAAAAACTGTCAGCAGAGGCTTGTAAATGACGGCTTGGCAAGACCAGCTGTTAGGCTCTTACCAACCCGCCGTCCGTGTCCTGATAATCAAGACGAGACCGAGAACGCCACGTACAACTAACTACTGTAGATGGTTGCTCAAATTTCCCCATTCCAGGCGGTTCCTTTCTTCAGGCCCGGATTTTCGAATTAGAATCTTATGGCTTAGCTGTATTATATTTGTATAGGGCTAGTTCTACGTAATATGAGAAGGGGGGGGCGGGGGGGAAGAGGTAAATATTAGCGAGGTTCGTTATTGGCGAGACGACTAGATAGCTCGGTATCAGGAATACTACGCAACGTGGCCGAGGTCTAGGGACCAATTAGAAGCCTCCAAATTCGGGCTAAATTATGCACATTTCTGTCCATCAGCCGCTCTGCCCCACCCCAGCCAGCCGCACGGTGAAATCCACCTTCGGGTTTCAGTTTGTTTTTGAGTTTTCAATTCAGCGCAGTTTAAGCTTGAGCTATAAAGCCTTCGGAGAATACGGCAATGCATTGAATTCAAGATATTTCATTCCGAGCGACGGCCTCGAGCAATATGTCGACCACCAATCCCAGTATGATGCTGGTGTTGGCCACCTTGAGCGGTGTAAGCACCCATCTTGCACTGTTCCGCCGTGGAGAATGGGATGTTCAAGCCCCCAAAATCGTCCTCTCTTACTTAGCCCTGTTGATCGGAGCTGTCGTGCTGGACCGTGCGGCGAAAGCGAATTATTATGATTTTGGCGCACCTTATCCTTGGTTGGTCAAGGGCGTGGGATGTCATATTCTAGGCATATACGCTTCCATGCTCATATACAGGGCTTACTTTCATCGCCTGTCTCGATTCCCTGGGCCATTTTTTGCAAGATTGTCGAATTTCTACGTCACTGCTCTCTCTGCTCGGAAGCTTCATCTTTATGAGGAGACTGCGGAACTCCACAAGATCTACGGAGATTACGTGCGACTAGGTATGCACGCTCTACCTTCTTTTCGTTCTCAGTGTTAATAATTTAAGCTAGGCCCTACCGAGCTGTCCATTACAGATCCAAATGCAGTCAAAGCCATTTATGGCTCGCAAGCAAAGACTTCCAAGGGGCCATGGTATACAGTCTTGGAACCGAGGGTGTCTCTCCAAATGGAGAGAGACAAGAAGGAGCATGCACGCAGAAGGAAGGTTTGGGACCAAGGTTTCAGCTCAAGAGGTGAGCAATCAAGCCCCTGCGAAATGACAACTTTCTCCACTTGGACCGATTCCTAATTTTTCAGCTCTCCGTGATTATGAACCTAGAGTGTCTCATTACACAGGCCAACTCATTGATGTTATCGAAAGAGAATTGGGCAACTCTATGGACATCTCCCGGTGGTTCAATTACTATAGTTTTGATGTGATGGGTGATCTGTCGTTTGGAAAGTCATTCAACATGCTAGTCGATGGCAAAGACGCATACATTTTGAAACAACTACATACTGACATGAAAAGCATCGGGCTTTTCAGTCATCTCACCTGGCTGTTCCCATTCGTCAAGAGGATCCCAGTGGTAAATGGAGACTATCTCAGGTTTTGGAATTGGGTAGGAGAGAGTGTCAATTCTAGGATCCAGGTCAGTTCATCTCTCCTGATTCTCATGATGAGAGACAACAAAGGTATCGCAATATGCTCATTGTGTACTGTGTGTAGAATCCTCCAGATCGCCCAGACGTCTTCTCCTCGCTACTTGAAGCATACGAACAAGGCCCAAAGACCAAGCAGGATACCGAAGACCTTCACGGTGATGCATACTTGATTATTGTTGCAGGAAGGTATCGTGACATTCCGTCCTTTTTCCTTAGGAAGCCGACATTGGACCACTTGGACTAACTGAATACAAAGTGACACCACGGCTGCAACTCTGACCAACATCTTCTTCCATCTTGCCTCTGACCAAGTCTTGTATAAGAGACTCCAGGCTGAACTTGATGCTTTAACGGATCTGTCTCAAGACAGACTGCGAGAGATAAAGCTCCTTGATGCAGTGATCAACGAAACCCTCCGTCTGCATCCTGCAGTACCTTCTGGAACACAGCGCTTGACCCCACCCGAGGGGATGACTATTGGCGAAAGATACATTCCTGGAGACGTAATGCTGTGCATCCCCTCACACACTCTATTCCGAGGTAAGCATCACCTCCTACCATTCGATATTCCCCCTGCCGTGAAACAAGACGTTTCTTCTGCAGAGCTAACCATGACAGATGAGCGTGTCTTCTCCCGTCCGGATGAGTTCCTGTGTGAGAGGTGGACTACCAAGCCCGAGCTTGTTAAAGATCAATCTGCATTTATTCCGTTCAACAGCGGTAAGCCTCCAACGCACCTTCTACTTAGATGTTTCATTTCTGTTTGTCAAAAGATAGCTAATGTTTTCCTTTGGCATAGGGCCATACTCTTGCGTCGGAAAACAACTGGCCCTCATGGAGCTAAGGTGTGTGATGGCTGAGATCCTCACTAGGTATGACGTCTCTTTTGCTCCAGACCAGAAGGCATCTGCCTTTTTGGAGGGAAAAAGGACACTTTCACACTGGTCACGGCCCCACTGGAGCTGGTATTCAGCAAAAGAGAAGGGAAGAGGGGTTGATGAGTTAAGAGCCTGCAACACCGGTTGTTACTGCGCTTTTCTTGTCTGCCTTTTGCGCTGAGCGTACTCTCTTCCTCGTTCATTTGTGAAGTATGAGATTTGGAGCTTGGCTTCAATTAACTCATCAAGATTGGTGGGATGCCTTTTTCCTCCTTAACAAGTTGCTCATCATCCAGACAATAAATTGCAAATTTATTCCATGAACATGCATACATGAATGAGTAGCTCAATTCTGGCATAATAAAGAACTATATACCGTCATCTCGCATAGTAGGGTCAATTTCACAGAACGAGGGACTGGAGGACTCATCCGCAATAGCCATGCCTGCGAGACTCGGTCTCGGCGTTGACATCAAGTCCGAGGGATGAATGTGTTTTTCACTAAGAGTGATGAGCTAGATGTAGATCAGGCTGTTGTCTATGAGGCTTGATACGTGATATAGAGTATCAGTATTAGTATGAGACTTCTGTCCTCTGCAATGCGACCTATGCAACACAGGGAAGGTGACAAAAGGTGGAGTTGATTGTCACGAATGTCAGGTGATTGATCGCCTCACAATCCAGGCACGTGACACCCCGTGTTCCACCGAGTTCCCAGGAGTTTCGGAGCTTACCACATAAGGAAACGCGAAGAATGATTAATCATCGAGATACTCAAGCCATGATCCATGACACCGCCGATCTAGCAATTCGTTGAGGTCCCTAGCTGTGGACTGAAACCAGGCTTGGGGAAATGCCCCGTTCGGAAGGGAGTCTGTCATCCAAGCGAAGCTGTCTCCGCTGCCATGAGCGAAAAGTCCGTTGCGACCGAGAACATCCTTGTGGTCGATGTCTTCAAGCTAAGGCCATATGCTCCTTTCCGGAGAACAAACGCGCACCCCGGAAGCTAAACAGACCGCCAATTGCAACTATCTTCAGTCAACTTAAACAGTTGGAACAAGAGGTGGAGCGGTTACGGGCCTCGCCTGGTACAAATGACGAAAATTCGACTTCCCGCCAACAATCGTCTCATGGACCAAGTCAACAAACTCATATACAGGCACAAACGCCGGATACGTCTGTTTCGATCAGTGGTAGTGTGGCTCAAGGGAAAGGGCGTTACCGTGGCCAGACGGGGGCAAGGGTATGTCAACCATTCAAAAGTACTAGATCAAAACTGAGCGGATGTAGATACGTGGACACCAAGTCGCTCGAGACCAATCTTCCGATGTAGTCCCAAGTCCCAATGACACTCGGGAACCCACGACTGGTAATCTCCCTTCATCATCAATAGGGATATTGGGGCTCCCCTCTGAGCCGACAGCTGAGGCAAGATATGATGACTCGCTGCAGCCGCTGCAGATCCAAGCACTTTGGAACATCTACAAAGAGAAGGTTGCTCCAATGATAGCTCTCTTGCACAAAGCGTCAGTCGAGACCATGATCCATGACGTGTGCAAACAGGCAAAACCCAAGCGAGAAATTGCCTTCGAGTCTCTGATACAGGCGATTTGTTTTTCAGCCATAGTCAGCGCAACACCAGAACAGTGCATGTCGATTCTTGGTCGGGATCGCGAAGTGTGTATCCGCAACTCTCGTCTGGCTGTGGAGCAGACTTTGAAACGAGCGAACCTGACCGGTACCCAGGACACTCAGGTTCTGCAGGCCGCTGTGCTTTTCCTTTTGTGTCTACGCTGGTTCGACTCTAGGCTAGCATGGGCACAAACAGCTATCGTGATCCGTGTGGCGCAAAGGCAACGGGTCCATCGTGACGGTCAATTTTGCGGACTTAACCCATTCAATACCGAAATGCGGCGCCGACTGTGGTGGCATATCTGCATCCTTGATATGCTCTGCTCCGAGGACGAGGGGACGGACACCCAAATACGACCCGAGATGTTCGACACGAAGATTCCATCCAACATCGATATTGATAACCTTGCACCGGACCTAAACATCCTTTCGCCTGCTCCATCAGGGTTCACTGATATCACATTATGCATCATTCAATGCGAGATGATGACCAATTTGTTTTGGGCTGGCATAAATCTGAACCCAGACTCCACTCAATCCCCGATGCCAGAACGCGAAAGCGTCTTGTGCTCGCTAGCGACTCGTATCGAGGAACAATACCTACGGGAATTCGACCTGAACATCCCGATACAGTGGCTAACAGCCGTAATTGCTCGCCTTTCTCTATCCAAAGCGCGGGTTGTTAGTCTTCTCAACAACTCCAAGCCCGGCGAAGTACCAATCGCCACCAACGATGAAATCTTTCAGATGGCGGTTGAGATCGTCAAGTTTGCCAACCTCATACAGAAAAACGAGCCCACGGCACGATGGGCGTGGCTCTGCAAAAGTTACAAGCAGCGTCATACCGTGGCATTTATCCTTTCCGAACTTTGCATTCGTCCCATTTCAGCTGAAACAGATCAAGCCTGGGAACTTGCAACAGAGATGTATAACCAATGGGAAAAAGAAGGATATGCCCAAGATGGTGTACTACAAACCACCTTGTCTCGATTGATGGAGCGCGCAACTATATCGAGAACCAGAAAGCTCGAGTCTCGGGGAGGCCGGCATGACTATCGCGCCTCGTTGCCGGTTCCACGGTCTATTGTTCAGGAAAGCTACCCCGTTACGGCACCTCCCCCTGAGCTGGATGTTGATCACTCTAGCACACTTGGTTTGGAAGGAATGGATGATCTACTAGACGAACAATCACCATTTACCTTCTCCGCAATGGATTGGCTAGTGGGGCCTTTGTTGTGATTCGTTACCAGACCCAAGCTCTATATTTTAGCCCTATCAAGAACCGATGAGGGAGCTGAGCGGGAACAAGAGGGGCGAAATCGCAAGAAGACTACGTGGCGTCAACGACAGACTTCAAAGGCTCTGATAAACCGAAAACCAGTGATTGATTATTCAAGATGTTACCCATTTTCACGTCGAAATTTAGAAACATCGCCCTTCCCTTCACTGCTTAAATTTTGCGCCTCCATATCTTCAAGGGCATTTGGAACGGCCACAAGTTGAATGCTTCCTCCCAATCCAAACTCCAGTCCTGAGAAAGAAGTGCAAAGTCATATCGATGGACCAATGTTGCAATCAGGATCTGCTGCTCCATCATGGTGATATTCCGCCCTAGGCAAGCCCGAGCCCCAGTCGTGAAGGGTATAAAAGCAGCCCTCATGTCCTTTGGTTCTTCAGACTCGCCGAGCCACCTTTCAGGTATATACTCGTCTGGCTCAGAAAATAGACTCGGGTCGCGGTGGGCAATGTATGCTGGCACAGACACTGTGATGCCGCCTGCTATCTGCTTTCCGAGGATCTTCATGCCCTCTGGAGGTGTTTTTCTCTCAAGTCCTCTGGGAACAGGCGGAGAAAGTCGCAGCGACTCGTCAAGACATGCTTTCAGGTACGGAAGACTTTTCACTTTCGTAAAGGGGGCGACTTTTCCTCCGCTCAGTGCCCCATCTACTTCCATTCTGAGCTTGCTGAGAGCAGCGGGGTGCTTGATCAGGTAGTAGAGTACATTCGTCAACGCGATTGCTGTCGTGTCAGACCCGGCATCCACTGTGTATAATACGTTAGTCTGAATCCAGTCAATTTATTCAAAACACCTACAGAGGATACTCGTCTCAGCCTCAATCTCCTTCCGAAGCAGACCCCGCTGCTTTCCTGCTTTGTCCTCAATCAGACAACTCAGAAAGTCATCCCGCTTAGCGCCATCATGATATATTTTCATTCTCCGATCCGTCAACAATCTGACTATCTTCCCAAAGTCGTCTGCGTGGGCCTTGAAATGCGGAGAAAAGATCTTATACAAGCCTTTCAGCAGGTGAAACCAGTCGGTTGCTCCCACGAACCGCGAGACTACTCGCCCTCCAGAATGAAGGCTATCGATCAATCCCAGACTCTTCACTCCGTGACCCATATCACCATTCACCACGTCGTTTCCCGTTTCTATCAGGCCCAGTCGCTCGCTCAGGGCAATAGCAGCGATCGCGTCGAATGTGAAAAGGTTTGACCACCATCGAAAATCGATCGTCAAATCATCGGAGCTCACAGAAGCACCAACAGGCAGCGGGCTGGTACAGTGTCGATCAAATTGAGTGACCAGTTTCTCAACTTTATCCGTGATCTTAAATTCCCATTGCTCCAAGTTTCGCGCTGCGAATGCATTCGACAGCATCCTGCGCTTGCGAGCATGGTCATCCCTATCAACCACATTGAGGACATGGGGATGATCCCCGCTGATTGACTTGTATACATCGTCTTTGAGACACGGTGAGCCGTGTCCATAGATGTCCTTGATCGCTGCCACGCTGGAAAATGACAACGCTGTTGGGCCGGTTCTGAGAATGGGATGCTTCTTATGGTGGACATGAAGCTCTCTAGTTCGAAAGTGGTTCCGACGTTCGTAGACATATGCTAAGCTCGTGAGACCAGATAGAAAATTCTGGTTTGGGTACTTGCGCAGACGTTTAGGGTCGTGCAAGTAGATTGCGACTGGTGCAAGGCAAATCCAAAGCAGGGCGATGGCCGAAATCCACCAAACCAACATCTTCGTACTTTGATTATGATTAACGAATGCTAGGAAGAGAATTCTCTGAAATGGAGAATAATTTGGCCATAATGGCGTCCATTCTGAGTCTTTATACTGTCTTCATGACCATAATTCTTCCCAGGTGAATTGGTACAACGTGTCAAATGATGTTCATCGGTGGTCTTGTTCATCGACCCGAGTTGTCAGTAGAGTCTGAACTGGTCCTGGACTGGCTAAGGCTCGGAGCGCGTTTCGCTTTCCTGATTAGGAAAGATAGGAGTGTCTCCGCCATTCTCCCTTTCAACTCGGAATGATTGGGTCACACTCCAACATTTCTCCCCCACAGCCGCGTCGCATACCTTTTTGGGACATCCAAGCGACCTCACGAGACTTACTTAACTAGATCGAGTATACGAAGCGCATGCTCTTTCTATGTCCACAAGATTACAGTATACAGTTTGCTCCCGTCTATTCAGATGTGCTCATCATTATGTGCGTTTCGCGTGTCACACACCGAACTCCGTCCCCTTGATTTGCCAATTTGGATGTATCGGAGCACATCCGACCGATCGTCACGACCATGAAAGGGCAAGCTATGGGCTTGTACACAGCCAATGTGTTCCCAGCAGCACCCTTGTTGTCATATGGGGGTCTGATAATTTTCAGATTCTTTCCAATTCCTTCCTAGTATTGAGCCCACATCTGGCCCGGTCATGCCCAAGGGAACCCCCTCCCGTCCACTGCGCAAGCGTCGCAGAACAGGTCCGTTGTCCGTCCATACTCCACCACTGAGTCACACTAACCTGGAGAGAGTTATACCATAGGCTGGTGAGATTCGAGGTCAATATTTCTGTTGTGGGTAGTATCACTGATGAAGTAGCCTAAACTGCCGCCATCGGCGGATCAAGTGCGACGAACAGCTACCATGTGGCCATTGTGCTCGACGGCACCTGAATTGCAATCCAGCCGAATTTATTGTGCCAGAGCGATGGTCAACGCCTTCGGTCCCTGTAATCGCAGATAATGGGCCAGAGCCCTCGAGCACAGAGCAAGTATCTGAAGGATCACAAAGAAATCACGCAACACCTCACACTCATGTTCCCGAGTCAACATATGAGATCTTTCAGCACGTATTCAGCATCAATCAACCAACAAGCTTGTATGACCTCGACTCTCACATCACCAGTGATGACATCCTGACTGGGGAGACGGCTGGGCTCTTGAGATCCTATCAAGAAGGGATCGGAGTATGGATGGACATCTTTGACAGCTCTCATACCTACCAGAATGAGGTAGTCCGTCATTCTCTATCATCACCGCTTCTGATGCATGCCGCGTGCGCCCTCTCAGCCAAGCAGATGAGTCTAACTCAGAATAAATTTCTGTGGGAGCCTGTTTCTTCTCGCTTCTACGGCAAAAGCCTCAGTCTCCTCATCAATGACCTGACTGAGCAGAGCACCGACCGTGAGCTTTTACTCGCAGCAACAATTCTTCTGTGTAGTTATGAATTACTGGCACAGCCCGGAATTGATTATCAAAGGCACTTGTATGGTGCTCATACTCTTATCTCTAGTCGCAACATCGACGAAGAAGGGACCGCATTTGAGAAAGCCAGTTTTTGGATTTATGCGCGGCAAGACGTCGCTTTGGCCCTTGTTAATGAGCGTCCAACATTAATGCCTCCAGCAAAGTGGCCGACGCCCACCAAGAATGCAGGGTCTCTAGAAGATCGCGTCGGCAACAAGATTCTGTGGATGCTAGCAATGGTTATGGAAGCAAAATTCAAGTCAGCAAATACCAATTGGACCGATACTGAACTCACAAATTTCGAAAGTCTAGTATCAGAAATTGACTCGTGTTGGGCTGGGCTCCCTTCTCACGTCCGAGGTGTCCGCATGAAAGATGCTCTTCTAGAGGAAGAGAGTCTTTTCAGGGTTTGGTTTTGTACTCCTTCGGCCTGTATGTTAAAGAAAGCTTACCAGCTCTGTTGGAGACTAACAAATTTAGCGGCTTTGTGTCTCTACTACCACATGGCCAAGATCTTGGCCTACGAATGCCTGTTGGAGAGGCTCCACGAATTGCCTCCTCGAACAGAACGAGGTGAGGAGTTGCTGCGATCAATCGGTCCTCACGCTCGTTCAATTGCATCGACAAGTCTCTCTTCCGATCTTACAGATGGCGCATTAGTTGTTGCAGTGAATCCTATTTTTTATGGTAACCCTCGGCCTCTTTTAATCAGTGAGCAAGAGAGCTGACATTGCATAGCGGCAAAATATATCCCTTCGCTGTCCCTGAAAACAAGATTGTGGGGTATTCTCGATCGCATCGAAACTCGTTTGGGTTTCCATACACGCGATAGGCAAACTCAGCTTCAGTGTGAATTAACGAAATAGACTTTCAATTCAATACAACTTATATGATTGCACTATTTTGCAAATAACACTTTGAAGGACAATGCTGGAGATCGTACAAGAAACAAGCAATTACTGGATACTGAGCATGATTCACAGGGATTTGCAAGAGTGGATCGAGGCCACCATATGGTATTAAACAAATATTGGATGGCAAGTCGTGATATCATGATAACAAACCATAAAAATGGACAACCCCTTTTACAGTCGACAATGTACCCATCCAACTTGGCCCCTAATTCAATTTCTTATGTCCCACCTTAACGGGACGGCCTCGGCGAGCTTGATACTGCAGGTAACCGTATACCCCACCCGCGATGAGTGCGATAATAACAATATTGCCTTGTCACATACATTATCAGTACTGGGAATATCTAACCAGCCAAGAGAGTGATAGGGCTTACTGGCAACGAATTTGCCCACGCCACCTGCAGCTTCCAAAAAGTTTCCCACTGTATGCAAGGCCATTTTGACGATACCAATGACAGAGTTGACAAGGCCCATGATAAGACCGGATACCATATCGATCGCGCCGTTGAATACGGAGAATATGACCTCGAACATAGAGGCTACGAGGTCTTTGAGGGAAGTTATGATTGACGACATGATTGTTGGAATACGGTCTTTGTATTGCCCTAGAACGACTGCAAAGGAGATAGTTGTATAGGGTATAAACTGATGCTCGTAGAAATTCGTTAGAATATATACATTTACCCAGTTGACGACGCGAAACTAGTTATTTCCCTGCTTCTGACATTTGCCGCCGTGGCTGGGGGTTGAGTGACCGCCGATGACGTGATGCCAACGACGTGCCCTGGATTTCCAGTATCTTGTAGATTTCGTAGAACAAGATTATCTTTCTGTCGAAAAATTAATGTCCAGCTTAGTGATCATGTATCTCTTCTACTGCCTCGCTGACAAAAAGGACAAAGACACCTATGCATCCATTAGATAAAGGCGTTTTGTTGGGTGGGATAGCAACTTTCCGCCATAGTATATATTCCTCGAGAGCTAGTCCTGCATTAGCACCACAATGGGTCTACTTAAGTAGGGTTTGATAAAGACCTTTTTAAAATAGCCCGTCATTAGAAAGAATCTACTTCAAAATTACGTTATTTATATTTTCGCAGCATTTCGCATCTACTTAGTCGATGTATAGATAGATGCAAGGTCACGTGATGTTTGCAAAATGCTGTTGATGCCTCAGGCTATCGGGGTGGGGCGTGCCACCCGCAGGTTGGCCCACCAACCCACAATGTAAACACATCCCCAGCCTCCTCCAACCTCCTCATTTCTCGATAGACCCGATCACTCTCTGGTCTAATTCTGATTTTGTATTCTCCCATTATCTCCTCATTCAAAGGCTACTAACCATCCACCAACTAGAGACTGCTATCGTTGTTGCTCTACTCCCACGTCTTCTTCATCACCTATTCCTACTGGAAGCCATTTGAATTAGCCTGACATTCATTTGAGTCGAGGTAAGTCTCCACCTTGAACACCAGGAATGTGTCAAGCGGACCTTAACATTCTTCTCAGAGTCTTGTCTCGAGCCGCGTGCTCTTGACCGCTCCGATCACCCATAATGGCTCCCGTACAGCAGATTGGGGATTTCCCCGACATTCCTGTCACGTCAGTTGAGGTTCGAGATGCGGCTCAGAATATCCCAGCCGACGCTTCGCCTTCTATCACCTTGAATTACCTTACCCCTCGAGCCGACTCCTCCTCCGCAGCCACTACAAAGATGAACTATGGCCAAGGCACAGTTGATCCGAAAAGCATCAAGATGCAAGGCCTGATGGCTTTGTTCGCACTCATCGGTGCCGCATTCGTGCTGGGGGGATTTGGTTCTTTTTCTGGGCTAAGAATGGTGGATTTGTCTGGCGCAAGGGCGATTGGGAAGATTACAAATCGACCGTGCTACGACGAAAAGGGCCCGATGGACGAACTCTCAGTAACGCCACTAAGAGTACCAAGCTGGGCGGCGGTAGTGTCGTCGGCTACAGCGATGATGGCTACACTTACACTGACGAGACTGCCACCTACACCGAGGAGACTGCCACGACAATCAGTGATGAGAAGCCGCGAAAGAAGAAGCGCAACTTCCGAGAGAAGCTACTCCGCCGACACAAGGACGAGCGATGGGAAGGCGAGGCAGACGACGACATGCGTGCTTATCGCGAGGAGAAGCCTGCGCGCATTGGTGGTATGAATCGCGAAGCAGAGGGTACCTACCACGGGAGTGACTACGATTCTTCCGCTCCCCCTACGCACTACAACCGCAGTGACATGAGCGAAGTCCGTGACTACGCTTATGAACAGCCCCGTCGCTCTCGCCGCCGCGACCCCTCGGGCTTCTCCTTCACTGCTGGCAGTGAAGACGTCCTGAGTCAGACCACCGAGGAACACCAACTTCGCGACCCATCTACTCGTCGCCACAATCGCCGACGTGACCGTGAGCGCCGCCAAAGTGCCGCACCTCCATCTGCCCCGTCATCTCGCACCAGCAGCCCCCGCAAGAAGGATCGTCGCTCCATGCCGGGTGGATACACCGAGCCTCTTGACTTCTCCTCCGCCGGCTCTCGCTCGGAGTACCAATATTCCAATGTTGACACCGAGGATTCAAACGGCACCAAGAGCTACCACCACCCCATTCCAGGCTTGACAAAGGGCTACCGCCGTGATGGACACGGTCGCCGCCGTCGTGACAGTCTCAGCGATAGCGATATCGATGAGTAATCTTGCCCGACGTTTGCCTTTCTTTCTTTCTGTTACAATTTGACAAACATTACTCGATCCGTTGATATTATTATTTGCTGCACAAGGAATATGGGATTTATTGGTTTAAGCGTCTACTAAATGTGGAATTATGGAAATGCCTGGGAATTTAGGAAATGCCTGTACATAACGAACGGAACTCATGATGGACATGGAATGGAATACGCAATGTGTGATTGGTTTTTCGAGTCTCTTGTATTCGTATTTTCTCAGTTCTCAAATATTTTGAATACATTAGCAATATTTCTGTTATAGACAACTCATAAATGGGCCTTGGCATAGCGAGAATGATATTAGTGCTAGCTCCAAGTCCTATGACTACATGTACGTTGTTGAACAGCCGTTACAGATTGTATCACCTTCATACTGTTATTTAATATACAAGAAAAGACTCTAAGATCATTTCTTCCTGGGGATTGAACTGTTCTATCCCTCTCTTGCTTCAATAGCATCCGCATTACTAGAATTTGAGCTCTCTCGACCGGCCTTCCTCCTCCTACACATATCTCGTAGGCATTCTAATCTTCGCGCTAGTCCACCAACTCTACCTTCAGCTGGATGACAGACCTGAGAAATCAATCTCACCAGCATGGGTCGCCGAAGATGGTAAAAGGTGACTCGGCAAAGTGGGCAGCTTGCGTCGTGATCGCAAAGCCATTTATCGATACATGATATGTGAAAGCTATGTCCGCAGACAAGCTGGCGCAGAATCGAGTCACTGTCCAAGACTTCAAAGCACATATGGCAGTGCTCTTGATGGAGTCAGCATAAATTCGTCGAGCATTTTCTATAAGAAAGAAAGTAGCGACGGCTTTCCTTACCGAGGTCGACTTCTAGAGATCCACGGATAAACGGCTTCCCTACATCATTCACTTCGTTTTTTAAAAGTGTTCCTTTTGATGTGGAATAAATGAAAGCGTAATCAATAAATTCCATGTCACGACCTTCGACCTTGTTCTGGTGAATGTCGACTGCTGCTACTCAAGGACTCGAATAATATTTGAAATACCGCACTAGTAGGATCCTTAGTAGAACGTAGCTGCAACTGAATGTTCAAGGAAAGCAGTATTGGTAATCTGTCGAAACACCATACATTTTGTCTGGAGGTGTAGCCTCGGCTCCGAGCCCGGGTCGCCGATTTCGTAGAGCGTGGTTCGGGGAGATTATTATAACAAGAACTGCTAACCCCGAAGGAAATCGACGATAGCGAAGCCCACTTTCAATGCCAACGTTGCGAAGTCGTGTCTCCTGGGACATCCGCGGATATCTCAGAGCCTATACTTCTATGTTTTTTGTTATTCAGTTGATTGCATATCTGTGTGCCAATCCCTCACCTGGGGTGGAGTCACAGAAAGATGTGGGGTTAGTGAGGACTGACAGGAAATTCAACATGTCATTGGTTGATATGTCCGGCATAACAACCATACCGCCAGAATCGGAGACTTTGAGCCAATAGGAGGCTTTCTTCTGTATCTTCAAGATAGTCACCGGCTTATCTCGTTTCAAAATTGTCCGTAGTTAACCTTCTCGCTGGATTTTTCCCCCTTCACGCTGTATCATTCTATCGAAGCTTCGTTCGTTGTTGATGGATTCAACACGCTATTCCCAGACCGTACAATTTTCGAGGGTTTCGGGCAGACGGAAGGCTCGAGTTTCCTGTGACTCATGTAGTTTGTCTTCCTCTCGAGTTCACTTTCGTTCTCTAACTACTGACAAGATGGATCAACAGGATCAAAGAAGATCAGATGCACAGGCGAACAGCCAAGCTGTTCACGATGTATAGCTAGCGATCAACAATGTAACTACTCTCAGCAACTCCGACTCGGAAGGCCTAGGACTCGCACCGCACTGCAGCCTCCCCGGATCTATGCCGCAGAGCAAATAGCTCTTCATCCATCGCCCGTTCCAGTCTCTCTGTCAAGAACTGATCAGACCAGGGCCTCTTCCTTGAAAAATCCGCTTGACAAAGAACGCATTGTAGAGAGCAGTACAAACGAAGCAATATCGGTGGATTATTCCTCATCTACCCCCAAGAATTCTTCAGAAGTGCCAAACATCTTGAACGATACTTGCCCAATGTGAGGCGCCAGAGTCATATTGATTATACAGGCCCGACTGATACGAATCATTTTGTAGCAATGCTTATCCCAGCTTTCAGCTTGGCAATTCCAATCTCTTTCTAGCCACCTCAGGATCATCTCAGGCCGAGCCATGTGCCTGCCCATCGATTCTCTATCTGCTTCTCGAACAGCTCAGAATCAAAACCCATTGGATTATACCGGACGATATCATGGTCCTTCGGGATACCACAGAGAGATCTACTGGGGTCCTTGGCTGTGAACAGTGCCCCCTCCGCTATTTTTCAGTCATCCAAAATGGTTTGATACTGGGTGTCGTAGCAACCTGTATTGCGGAGTGCTATGCAAAACTGCTTGCACAAATCGACCAGGAAGAGTTGCGAGCTACAAGCCAAGGGGAGAAAAAGCAGTACAACATTTCCAATATACCCTCGACTTCGGGTGCGTCGCTTCATGGAACAACTTCGCGATCATTCCCTGTTGAGGTTTCACCTTCACAGTGGAGAGAGTCCATGCGCAATATTGTCAAAGCTGAGATTCATGGTATTCAAGATCAAGGAGGACAAACTTTCATGCAGTTTCTGTCTCAGTTGGAAGAACGACAGAAACGTTGGCATCGTTCCCCACCCGCACGAGATTGTCCTACAAATTATCGTTCTAGCTGCCATGCACCTGACCGTATTCCATCATGTCTGGTGGTCATTGAAGACGCGAAAGTACTTGTAAATAGTTTCCACTTTTGAATGTTCTCAAATTCAGGTCAAAACACAAATTTTGATTTATACTTTTACGCGTAGTGCCATTCCGGTCTTTGCGAGTCTGGCTCCCAAGGCCATGACCGCACCAAGAAAGATACATGATCCTGCAAACATTTCTGCTCCCACATAGCTCCCACCACATTTCCTGATTAGAGCTCCGCAGATAGCCGGACCCGTGAGATTTGCAAAGCTGACAAACCCAAATATCATTCCTACTCGAGTTCCGGTTCTGTTCGGATTGGGAGTCATCGTAGTGGCGACGCCTGGAAATAAAGCTTGCAGTGAAGCTGCAATGAAGCCATAAACGACGGCAAAGACGTATAACCCTCCTGCAGTGTATATAGCCGCCCAGCAGTACACAACGATACTTGCTAAGAAGCCCAGTGGAATGAGAATGTTGAGAGAGCCGGTCCATTTATCAGCAATAATAGGCGGAAGTATACGGCCGAGTATGCCAACGCCATTGAGAACCATCAATAGATAGATTGGCTCCGTAACTCCAATTTCGTCCCGTGCGAATGTTCCGAGGTAAAAGAAAGCAAAGTAAAGACCCCAAAAATGCAAGAACATGCTGAGAGAGAAAAAGATAAATGGCAACTCGCCAAATGCTGATGTGTCTACCCAAGGTCCACTCCTTCGAGGTGGTAAACGCGGTTTGAACCAGACCAAGCAAGGTATATACGTCGCCAGCATAATAAATCCCATGGCTCTCAAGGCCCACACAAATCCATAGTTGTCCTTAAAGATGAGCCAATCGATCAAAACTGGATAAATGAACCCACCCACGGCACCACCGGCGGCGGCAAGACCAACCGCGATAGCTCGGCGTTTTTTGAAATATTGAGAGAGAACAGCCAGGGCCGGACAAAATGTCAAACCATTCCCTATTCCGAGACACACAGCCTGAGCGAGAAAGATTTGCCAGTATGCCTTGGAAAAGGAGGTCATGAACAGTCCCAAGACCTGCAGAACGACACCAGAAGAAAAGACTGGGCGAAAATGCCCGCCGTCCGTCAGACGACCTGCGGCAACTCCAACAACGAAGAGGAGGAAGACCTGGACACTCCCAATCCATGAAACTGCTGATTCTGTTTGACCCAGTGTCTCGGTGTAGTATTGTTGGAAGATGCCGTATCCATTGGCTACACCCCATGTGTTGAAAAACACGATATGGGTGAGCAAGACTTGCGCCCATGCCAAGAGACCTCCATCGGGAACCTTGTCAGGTTGAAGAGGGGAAGTATCCAAGTCTGGAAGAGTTCTACTCTCCAAAGAGCTTTTGTCTGGGTCGAACTGTCGGGCGGGCCACATCTTAGACGCGGTGGTTTCGGTGTTGTTCGTTCACTGGTGATTTTTGGCAATGCAAATCGATCAATTGACTGTCAAGAGCTTGATAGAGAGAATATCGAGCAGCGATATTGATTTCAGTACCTAAACCGACCCTTAAAGGCTTATCTCTTATAGAGTCTTCGCTTCTAACCGGCCCGGACCACTGGCCGATCTTCTCGTTTTCGGCAGTCTGCAACGAGATCTCCGAGTCGCTGTAAAAGCTCCGAGCTACAAAAAAGCCTCCGAAATTTCGCAAAGTCTCCGTGCATTCTCTATTTTCTTTTAATTCATGTTTATTAATTCGTCATTCTGACTGTATCTCTACTAATATCACATTTGTTTTTTCTATTTTAAAGACATGCTCTTGATATCATACGCTATAGTATATGGTCATGTTCTCATTTTCCGAAGGTGTAGGCAAAACTATTCTGGAGCATCCTTGATTGGAACCTCAGCGCTAGGAGCATTCTACACTCCTCCGGGGAAGAATGTGGTGTTTCTGGCAATGATAGCTCTGGTCATAAGGACGAGCCGCATAGCATATCTTTCCAATACTATAAAGCAGGATAGCACAAGTAGATGAATCATTATATAGGGTACAATCAATACCGGCATATATATCTACTACTTGCAATATAAAGTATTGGTGCTAGATATGTGACAGTAACTGCATTTTTGAGGACCTACCACGTCTCTTAGATGCCCATGGGAGATTGAGCCCTACCCCCGCTCAACTCAAAAGCGAGTGTCCTGGATTAAGTGATAGTTGAACATAATACTATTTTGGACATAATACTACTGATGTAGCGCAAGACACACCAAAATCTCAAGCCGGTCATACTAGAATCCTCACTCACGTCACAGAACCGGAGAATACAATCGTGCATAAGAAAAAATTCCAATCAACATGTAAAAATAAGCCGCATTTTGGTACCTCTAACAGCTTTCAGTATGGCGTGAACTTGCCTGTGATTCCGAAAGAAATCAACCAGTGGGACTCGCCAACTTAGAATCCTCACAGGCGTCCAGGCGACGTTTCTTGTTTCTATAGAGCTGTTTTTCACGTTCAAACTGCTGCAAGATCTCCTTTCTCATGTCAGGTCCCAAACTCTGGCCCAGGCGGCATCGATAATGAGAGTGATACCCGAGACGCCTATGATAAGGGCAATACTGCTGGTTCCAAAAGTCCGATGGCGTGGTATTATTTGGTGGAGGGGCAACGGTAAAGCCGACGGATGAGTGGGAACGATTGAAGGACGGGCTTTCGTGGCGTAGAAACTCGGCGCAAACGCATTCCATCAAGTTCGGGTCGTCAAAGTCCAGGGAGAGGTTCAAGAGGAAAGCAGGATAGTTCCCGGGGCCGGAGATAGCATGGACAAATTGGGCAAAGACAACTCTGTGATCGACGATGTCACTGATTTCTTCAACTTCCTGGAGTCTTTCTCCAAATTGGCGGACAAATTCCTGTGCTCCATGGCCTCGAAAATAGCGAAGTCTCACCCATTTTGACCACCGCAGGGCCATAGTCTGGTGTCTGGGCTTGCCGTAGAACAGTTTGATCTTTCTGAATGCTTCCGAGGGGCTGTCGATGTTTCGAATCAGGTATTTGGCCTCGTCGTTGAGTGTAGAGCGGAGATAGAAAAGCGCCTCGGACGACTTATCCTCTTTTCCATTGTCACACTGATCGGGAGAAGTATTGGGGGATTGGGAAGCGTCCAGATCGTGTGCGGGGGTAGATGGAGTGTGACTGCCGCTTGATCCTGTCTGAATTGATCTCACGACTGTGGTAGGCGGCATCAAAGTGCACTCATCTTTTAGGAGGACTTTCCAGTATTCCGGACCCAGGTAGCGAAGGAGAAAATGAATCCAAGGGGCGTAATTCGATTCTGACTCGAGGATGAGTACCGAGTCCGCAACGGAGGAGTCTTCAGCTCCATTCCACTGGTCCGACATGATGCAAGTCGAGGAGTGGTCAGTTGAGTGTGATATCTTTTCCTGGTGTGTCGTTTGGGTTGACTTGATGTGGTCGTAGAGGAATACGAAAAGGAAGAAGCGAGAGGTGAGAAGGGAAAGTTGAAGGTTGAGGAGATTGGCGGGGGAACAAATAAAGCCCTCAGTTTCTGCTTGTTTGATCTTGACATGGAAGTTCCCATTGATCTCGATTTGTTCAAGCTAGCCATCGGAAACTCTGAGAACGTTCTTCATTACAGGATATTCATCGGTATAAGTGGTAAGTACCCTATGCTGGCCATTATTAGTACTACGAAGGAGCTCGCACAGAGGATAAGACTGAACAGCGTGCACACTGCTCACTCATAGCTCCATCTTCAGCCGGGCTGTAGAATAATATCCCAGAGTGCCTCTTCTATATAGTTCTACTCTTAACCTCCACCGATATTTTAAGACAACTGTCCCTATTTCAATGCCAGAGGGGTCCATATGGTGCCCCGCCAATGACGACACTCCAAGTGGATCGTGGCGCTGTTCAATTGTTGGCCGAACTGCCGCTTTGGGCAAACCACCCAGCAAAGTTGTAACACGAACACTTGGCACGCTCGAAAACCGCTAGTGAGACTCGACTTGTCACTATCGGGCAGGTGTATATAAAGCAATCAACCCCTCCTGCTCCCCCACTTCTTGGACTGATCTCTCTAACCCCGCATATCAGCAACAAGCAACAAAGGCTCCTCATTTACCACCATGGCGCACTCAAAGGAATGGCAAAAGATGCTACGGGGCGAGCTTTATTGGGCCGGGGATGAAGATCTTCAAGCAAATCGGACACGCTGCAAGCAAGCATGCGATGCATTTAATGCCGCTGGTGGTGCTTCACGACGTCGCAAGGTAGAGCTATGGCGCAAGTAAGGGACCAACCCCACCTCCACGGTGGTTACTCTCATTTTTAGGAGAGCAGCTTCAAGTTTATCACTAGGCATGCTAATGTTGACCTTCTCAGTATCTTGGGGGATACACGGCCTTTGCCGCCAGTCAACCCAGATCCAAAAGAAGACGAAGCCCTTTTTGAAGAGACAGATCCATTCGTCGACGGACCCATTTCAGTTGATCATGGCCTGAACTTCAAGGTCGGCAAGGGCACCTTTCTCAATTTCAATACTCTAGTCCTCGATACATGCCTAATCACGATCGGAGAGAACGTACTCTTTGGACCCAACGTCTGCTTGTACGGCGCAACTCATCCAATGGATCCCGCTGTGCGGCGTGGCTTGAAAGGCCCAGAAGCTGGAAAGGAGATCCACATCGAGGACGATGTCTGGATTGGTGGTAGTGCCCTTATCCTTGCCGGTGTGCGAGTTGGTAGAGGCAGTACGGTTGGAGCTGGATCGGTTGTCACTAAGGTATGGTTCGATTCGGTCTACTCGAGGGACTTAACTAATTGCTGTAGGATGTTCCTCCATTCCACTTTGTTGCCGGCAATCCGGCCAGAGTGATTCGGCGAATTGACTCAGAAATGGATCCGGAGCGGCAATCATGACCTGGGGCTGATATGACGCGTCATTGATTCTTCAAGATGAGGGGAGAAGTTGTCGCAAATATGGAGACCGAGGACGCCGGGTCCATTTCAATACCATCCATTGTCAACTCCATCAAATCAAGGCGTAATCAGCTCAAGATCTCATGTTCGAGTTTATGTAAGGCTTCTAGCCCATGTCTCGCGATGATCAGTGTCGTAACTTTGTGCGATCAAAACGAGCTTATATGGAGTAGGGCCGAGGGGCCTCGAGACTGTGGGGCCAATTATTTGACGCATCAGAAACGGCTCTGCAAACGTGGTCGATAACCTCCTTTATGCATATGCATAATACCAGGGCACGCCATATGCATACTGTGTTACAGAGGTCAACAAATGACTTGGGTACTCTCCTTAAGGGCATTTGCGACCGTCATGCGCAGCTTGTAGATAGCGGCTATCGTATGTATTCGGTCTTCAAAGCTACAGTTTTAACGGTGGAATTAAAGTTTCACGAGCACAACAGGCTATCAGTCTGTTTCGGCTTCATCGGAACTGCCCATCAACAACTCCAACCATGCTTCTTAGCATGTTCCCTCCCATTGATCTGGCCAGGCATCGGCCCATTCTAGATGTGCCCTCTTCATCTAAACGCCCAATGATAGCCATACTATCAGCTTATAAACTCCTACATTTGGCATGATAGATAACGCATAGTCCTCCTAAATGTAGATTTGATATGTGCCCAACGGGTGGGCGCATACAAGCTTTCGAAGGAGACTAGGGCCACCGAAAATACATACAAGTAAAGAATTTTGATTGGCGAACGAAAACATTGATAGACACAATACCTCCAATGACGGTATTAATTATTACCCAATGATTTTCTAGATCAGGCCCTACATGACCTTCTATCGCCATGCGAATGCGTTCTTCGCAATCCCGTCAGCTGTCAGTCACGCAAGGAATGAAGACACAACATTCAGCCCGGATGACGTGCCAGTGGTGATTTCCAAGCAACATGATCAGTCAACTATGTTTTACAAATATGAAATATCCGACCGACTGCTTTTCTTCAATATCATCTTGTTAAACTCTTTAACTCAACCATAAAATATCACTGTAAATGCTCCCCGATCAGCCGCCAAGTCAGCATCATGGAGCAAAGTGAGCGACAGCCATTGCTACCCTCAACAGGCCAAACCAATAACTCGCAACCGTTATCGCTCGGCGATCCACGCGTTGGAATACCGACCGAGTCCCCAGATAGCCTTCCAGGCTCAAGTTCCGGGAAAAGCCTCACCTGGACCAGTGCATACATACTCGTGGTTTCACGCGTTATCGGCAGCGGCATTTTCGCCACGCCAGGATCCATCGTGAAATCTACCGGAAGCATCGGGCTAACCGTGCTAGTATGGGTCTTTGGTACAATTCTCGCCGCATGTGGAATGTCCATCTCGATGGAATATGGCTGCATGTTGCCTCGGTCTGGAGGGGATAAGGTAGATATAGATTTCCCACCGGCTTGCCGAGGAGAGCATTCCGCTAAGATTCACTCACCTTTGTAGGTGTACTTAGAATACACCTACTCCCAACCAAGATTCCTTGCATCTACTCTTATCGCAGTGCAAGCAGTGTTGCTAGGTTTCACCGCGAGTAACTGCATCATTTTCGCCAAATATACCCTTTTCGCGTTCAACGTTGAGCCAACTGATCTCCAGCACAAGGCTCTTGCGGTAGGCCTTTTAACTACGATTATCATAATTCATGGGCGTTTTCTGAAGGCGGGAATCGCAATTCAGAATGCCCTGGGCTGGGTAAAGATCTTTTTGATCGGTGCCATGTCACTGACGGGTATTTGGGTTTTACTTCTTCGGTTCTTTGGTAATTCCCATCATATCATTCCCCAAGAGACTTTCACCACTACTCTTTCGTGGGATTCATTGTGGGAGGGCTCAAATTGGAGCTGGGCCTTGTTGTCAACGGCAATCTTCAAAGTCATTTACTCCTATGCCGGACTAAACAACATCAACAATGTGCTCAATGAAGTCCATAACCCAGTACAGACTGTGAAGACGGTCTGTCCATCGGCACTACTGACCGCCGGCGGTCTTTACCTGTTGGCCAATACTTCCTACCTCCTGGTCGTGCCAATAGACGACATCAAGAATAGCGGCGAATTGGTGGCTGCATTGCTATTCGAGCGGTTATTTGGCGATCACATTGGGAGAACCCTGCTTCCACTTGCGATTGCAATTTCAGCAGCAGGTAACGTGATGGTTGTGACCTTTGCTCACGTATGTATTCCAACTCCCGAGTCACTTCTCCCTTCTAACATACCGACGATAGGCTCGAGTCAATCAAGAAATCGCTCGCCAGGGCTTCCTGCCATTCCAAAATCTCCTTTCCTCCTCCCTTCCATTCGGAACTCCCCTTGGCGGCCTCCTTGTGCACTATATCCCATCAGTGCTAGTAATTTCCATCCCTCCCCAAGGCGACGTCTACAATTTCATCCTAGATGTGGAGGGATATCCAGGACAACTCTTTGCACTGGCGATTACAGTCGGCCTCTTGATCCTGCGATACAGGGAGCCGAATCGTCCCCGGCCATTCAAAGCGTGGCTACCAGCTATTTGGATCCGCATTGTGGTTTGCCTGGCGCTGCTGGCGGCGCCATTCATCCCACCTCCGAATTGGAAAGGTGATGTAGACTTTTTCTACGCAACCTATGCTATTGTGGGAATAAGCGTGTAAGTATCCCTTCAAGGGAGCCAAGTGTGTTTGCTAATTTCTCGGTGTAGAATTTTGTTCGGGGTGCTTTACTGGTATATATGGACTGTGTTTCTGCCTCGGCGTGGAGGGTATACGTTGGAGGAGACAGTGGAAACGCTGGATGATGGTACGAATATTACGAAGCTCGTTCGCTCTTACAAATAAGATGGAGACGCTATATCTATTTGACTTGACCTTGCGGACGTCAACGTGACTGTTTAGGTTGATCCAACCTTATACGGTCCTAGTGATATATATTTTGCTGGCGTTAGGCGGGGCCTCTTCGTACTTACATATAGATACGAATTGCTAGATTTTCCGGCAGACATGAGCTTTTTATGATTATGATTCGATGATCCTATTTTACCCCACCCTTGTCTAGCTCTAGAATTCATATTTATCCAGTACAGACTAAAATTACTCAGCCGGCATCTTGGACCAGCTGACATTCCGGGGAATCGGAGAACTGGTGCGGGGTGCCCAAAACCTCGAGGCCACATCAGCCCTGCAGTAATTGGTCATCAAGGAATAATTCCGATCAAACACGAGACAGACAAGTGGTGACTCGAATTCAAGTGAGATGACTTAATCCATCACAAGCGGCCTCGAAGAGCTTTCTGTATGCTCTGTGAAATACCCCACGCTCCACGTCACACAACAGCTAGGCAAGGCAATCTGTCAACATGGCACTCAATCAACCAACATATACCGACACCCAGGTCGAAGCATATCTCAGACGAATTGCATACCCACCCGCAGCAAGCGACGCAAAGACTCTCATTGAGGATATCCGCCAGCGTGTCCAAAGTGACGCTTTAGGGACACTCTCTGAACTCCAGAGATGGCATCTCGCTACTGTTCCGTGGGGAAACTCCGCACTCCATTATTCGCAGCATCACACTATCTCCTTGCATCCAGACAGCTTGTATGAGAAGATTGTCGAGCGGCGCTTGGATGGGTATTGTATGGAGAGTACAGGAATCTTCCTCATCGTCCTACGGTCGTTGGGATACTGCGTGTATGCCACTGGAGGCAGGGTGAGCCATGCTACTGTTACCGGGGTGGACAATGGACTATTTCTCCCATTGTAAGAAGTGGTCTCTTCCCATTACAAGCTGCAGATTGCCCCGACCGGATATACTAATATTTGCTGGACTTTTCAGCAATCATATGCTGCTGATAGCGATCATTGGTGGAGCGAAATATATGGTTAGTACTACCGGTTGAATTATATCTACGTGTGAACTGACAATTTACCAGGTGGATGTTGGATTTGGCAACGCTTGTGCCACCGCACCATTGCCTCTCGAAGAAGGCGCTACGGCTACATGCATTGCTCCCTCTGAGATGCGTCTAATTAAGGAGACCCTCGCCGAGTTTACCGATAAATCCCAGAAACTATGGATTTATCAGACGAGACATAACCCGGAAGGCCCCTGGGTGCCCAATATCGCGTTCTCCGAGGCAGAATTCTTGCCTCAAGATTTCCGCGTTATGAACTTCTCGGTGAGCCAAGAGCCATCCAGCTGGTTTACCCAGGCTTTTGTCTGCGTGCGAATGGTTTTGGATCCTACTGGGAAGGAGGTTATTGGGCAGTGCATCATGTCGGGTAAGGAGGTCAAGCGACGAATCAAGGGAGAGACGGAGGTTTTGCAAGTCCTCGAAAATGAGGAAGACCGGGTCAAAGCCCTCGCAAAGTACTTTGATATGCACTTTCGAGCGGGCGAGGTCGAGGGTATTCGAGGCTTGACCTCCCAACTCAAATAGATGTCTGCGTCGGAAATTTACCGGGAGGAAAGGGAAGAGCGAAGCTCAATGGTATAGTACATCGATGTTTCTAGAGAGATATTGCGGCAGAAGGTATGTATAGTGATCGAGGAACAAATGAAGGCGCAGGCATAATAGAGAAAGAAACGTTGCAATTTTTGGTCTAGAAAATCCGCTTCTCGATCTGTATTGAATTGGTTAGCACATAGTCATGTGGTACAAGGAATTGGCGAGTCCTCTTGTCCATACCTTCCACGGCTTGCTGACATCGAATCCTGGGGGTGCCAGGTGGTTGCTGGACTGTCCACGCATGGTACCGGTAATGCGGAGGTCGCGCTCCATCACTGTAGATCGATAATGTCTCGTTAGGATTCCACCCAATTGACCTCGTAAAGCATGGTTCTGTCAAATCGAAAGGTCGTAACTTACTTTGCTGCGTGAGAGTTAGCCGACACATTCTGCCGCAACGAGTTCCCGACCGCAGCCGACGGATTGAAAGGAGTCACTTACCCTATCCCAAAGGTCACGGTTCCAGCGAGGCTTCTTGCCCTCGTTAGCAAAGCGCTTCACGACATACAGGCCAGCGCCAGTGACGCCGAACATCTGTGGTAGCCAGTCAGTTAGAGCTCGAAGGGGGACCGGCGGATGAGACGCACGCCCGTGATGATCGCATAAGGAAGGAGGGCCTCGAAGGGAACACCCATTTTGAACGGTGGCGCAAAGGTTCAAGGTCAAGGACCGAAGGTATAAATTAACAATTGAAAGGGACCCAGCTCGTCGCCGCGCAGCAGGGATCAAATCGCGGAGAAGAGAAGGTGGAGGGGAGCCAGTCACTGGGCGGGCGTTTCCAAAGGCGAGGTCTGCGTGGCCCAAAACGGTTTAGTGCGCCTTACTCAGCCGCCTGCAACGACACTCCCAGGGCCAAGGGGGCAGCGGATCGCAGCTCAAACGCTAGAGAGCCCGTTGCCAGTGCTTGGATAGCTCATCGACGCGTCTTGTACCCGTTTACTCCTCGGACACAATTGATTTCACCTTAGGTGTGACTCCCTCTCCTTCAGCGACACGTGCTGGCGACCTGTCACAGCCAACTGACCACCAACCTACCTGTCCAACAGCCGCTTTGCGCCTGCGAATCTTGCCTTCAAATCAAAGCACCCTTTACATGCTGTGAGCGCCTGTCGCAATCACCTTCATATCTGCCGGGATCGCATAGTCTCCAGATGCACCGCCGGACCACCACCGACGCGAGCGGGGTGGCTCTGTAGCTTTGACTTGGCCCGGCCTTACATTGAACAAAGACAAATCTACAAACAGGCGCATACCATCTCGGCGACCTGCCTACGGAAGACCTGGCGACCGTCGCGACACTCACCATGGCGGCGACGGTGCCGCCAGTGAACGATGATCCGGACAAGCTGGACCCCCCGGCCGACCAGGCAGACAGTGACTTGGATGCGGAGGGGGAGGAGGAAACAGACCTGTACGAGATGGATCAACAACTGCAGAATGCGGTTCACCAGTCATACTCAGGTGAGGTGGACGAAGAGAATGGCCATCATGGAATAAATGGTGGAGGCCTGAGCGCTGCCACCAACAGTGGACTGAATGATGGCGACAACGACGAGACTGAACCTGTCGGAGCTGTAAAGCTCCCGGACGACGATGATGATAACGACGACGACGCTCCCTCCGAGAATGACGATTCCGAGTCTGGGACGGCCGACGGCGATGTTGACCCCGCATTTGAAGAAGACAACGACCAAGCAGCCTCCGAATCGAGCGAATCAGAATCAGAAGCCGAGGAAGACTGGGAGGCCGAGAGTAATGGTCGTGAGGATGCGGATATTGATACTCGCAGCGGGGCGTTGTGCATGTACGTGGGAATACGAACCGGGTGATATCCTGGGTCGATTTCATTCGTGAGAAATTAAATGCTGACAGAAGATAATAGGTTTTGCACCCAAGATGAGGAACACGATCCAAGTGAGGACTTTGAGGAGTGGTTGACTTGCGCAGTTTGCGTCGATCATTGTATGTTATGCTTTTGCGGGGCCGGAGCTAAAAGCTTAAGCCTCCCCCTTCCCCTTTTTGAATAGTCGCTAACTCGGGATCCCGATAGCCCATCGGCAATGCGCCCGTGAACAAGAAGCCTTTGACGATTCTGAAGGTATGACTGCATTAAATTTGTGCTAGATTTTCAAGTTTCTCCCCGAGCTTATTGGTTAACATCTGATCTCAGATCCTTGGAGATGTCCCACTTGTGTTCAAAACAACCTTGAACCTGAACCTGAATCACCAGTACAACCGAAAAATGGGGCTGGTCATCTAACCAAAGAGCTTTTGCCTGCCCACTCGGGAAATCAAGAGGATGGCTTCCACTCCATCTTCGATAACAACATCAGTGATGAGCTGTTGAACAGCTCGCGGTCCCTACGGAAAAGGAAAGCTTCATCCGTGGAAGAAGAAGAGCACGTACCCGTACTACGGAAGCGACGGCGACAAACCGACCTTTCTGATGCTCATGATATTGGCTTTGATGGCAGTGCCGATCAGCGCACTGACGGCGCGGCATCTCCAGCACGACCTATGCGCCCTCGACGGACGCGAGCGGTTGAGCGCGAACATTGCCGCATCGTTACAAAACAGTTGGGGAAACTTGTCGTCGGTTTCCGTCTAGAAGAAGGAAAGGTGACGAAAATCCTCAGCACGCAGAGTCGACCACTGCGCAAAAAGAAGAAAGCCCCTAAGCCACCGACGCCTCAAGAAACCCAAGCCCATTTCGCTCCCATTCCTCCTGCCCCCTACGTCAATCATTTCCATCCTTTCCAAGATCGGGAAATCGATGAATCAAAATCCAAGCCATACGGTGGCATTCTGTCCGAAGCGGAGGCAGACACCTCCAAAACCTTACCCTTGCAAGCGGATCGAGACAAGTTTGAACAAGCTCGCCAACGAGCCGAAGATGAGTGGCAGCGCAAGGTCCGCGAAGCAGAACTCAATGGCGAAGCAACCCCTACTGCCTCACAAAAGGTGTCGGGTCCCCCGTCGAAAATCAAGTACATCAACTTTGGTGGCTATGAAATTGAGACTTGGTACGCCGCACCTTATCCGGAGGAGTACAGTCGCAATCGCGTACTTTACATTTGCGAGTTCTGTCTAAAGTACATGAACTCGGACTATGTCGCTTGGCGGCATAAGCTTAAATGCCCTGCAAAGCACCCGCCCGGTGATGAGATTTACCGGGATGGGTCGATTTCAATCTTTGAGGTGGACGGTCGGAAGAACCCAGTTTACTGCCAAAATCTGTGTCTCCTCGCCAAGCTGTTCCTGGGGTCGAAGACTCTGTACTACGACGTGGAGCCATTCTTGTTTTACGTCATGGCCGAGTATGATGACCTGGGATGCCATTTTGTTGGCTATTTCAGCAAAGAAAAACGGCCAAGCTCGGCGAATAACGTGTCCTGCATTCTCACACTACCAATCCACCAACGCAAAGGCTACGGCAACCTCCTCATCGATTTCTCCTACCTGCTCACCCGCATCGAGGGCAAAAGTGGTTCACCCGAAAAGCCGCTCTCTGACATGGGTCTGGTGTCTTATCGAAATTACTGGAGATTGATTCTGTCATACCAACTTCGGGACCTCAAGACCCCTGTCAGCATTGCCGATTTGTCCGATCGGACAGGCATGACTGCAGACGATCTTGTGTCCGCCCTGGAAGGACTTCGCGCTCTGGTGCGAGATCCCGTCACAAAGACCTATGCACTCCGTCTCGACAAAGACTATTTCGAAGAGGTGATTGCCAAGTGGGAGAATAAAGGCTATGTCCAGCTCAATCCAGATGCACTGACGTGGACTCCATACGTCATGGGCCGCAACAACCAGTCGCATTTCGATCGCACACCCCTACATGCGGTCGCACCTCGCGACGACCCCGATGAAGACGACGAGGAGCTGGATTCCCGAGAAGATGCCGATGAAGATACAATGGCGAACGGAACGGACACAGATGTGCTCGGAGAAACTGCTGGTCCACCCTCAACCGTTGGACTTGCGCACACCAACGGCCTTCACGAGCCTGAGCCCGCAGAACCCGAACCCCTTCCCGACCCAGCGGCCGGCATTCCACCCTCTCGGTTTGAGCTTTGGCCTCCAGTACATGTGCCGGCTCCTCCCAAACGCAAACCTGGCCGTCCATTTGGTAGTTTCAAGAATCACTCTCGGACACCTACTGCTACTCGGACAAGTGGCCGCAACACACCGCGACGAGCCTCGGGGCTTCCGCTGTTCACCCCCAACGCTGGCACTCCTAGTATGCGTCGCGGACGTAGCGCCATGGCAATGGACTCTCCAGCAACGGATGCAACTCCCGCCCAGACTAACGGTGTGGATGACAGCGAGCTTGCTGACGAGGAGGCAGTTCTCGACCCCACTCCCGAAGATCTAGGCCTGGTGGTTGATGAAGCAGAGACACCGGCTGCCGGCGGCGAAGCTATGGAGATCGAAGATGATGAACAAGCCGAGGTGAACGGTGACGAAGAGGATATCGTGAAGACCAATGGCATCAACCACGACGAGTCGGAGGCTGCTGGGGAATCGGACGCTGACGGCGAAGCCGAGTCTGAGCCAGAACCCCCTCAGACACCCGAAAAGAAACGAAAATCGGCATCTAAGTCTCCGACAGCCACATCTCAAAAAACCAAAGGAAAACAGTCAGATCACCATGCCAAGACGCCTCAATCGGTCAACCGCAAGGCTTTGGTGGAGAAGATACAAGTGGTGGTCTCTGCTGAACCCGAATCGGGACGGCGACGAAACAGCAAAATTTCCACCACCGACGCAAACGGTATCGATTCCGACGTCGATGCCGAGGGAGAAGATGACATTGACGGGGAGTATGAGATGGATGGCGACGTGGTAATGGAGACGTGAGCTTCATCGGTCAAGTGTACATCCATGGGCATGAATTACGGGCGGCTTCTCTGCCAGTATACCCGCAACGTCGCAACGCATATGGACAGGGCGTTATTGTTTGATTTTTGAGTTGTCATCTTCTCCATCCTTACACCTTGTTTAGGGACCTTCCTTTCGTTCTCCACCCGGAGAACGGGTGATCAAGACTCAATCGATTTGTCGCACGACGTGTCGATTGACTGTTCACTGCTTTTTCTCTTCGTTGCTCGGGGATTCTCTTTTCTCTTTTCTTTTCTTCTTCTGTCCAGCCAGAAGCGCGGGTCTGGAGCAAGGCGTTATTATGGGTCGTGCACGGAACCCTTTATTCTTTTCTTCTCCTAATTTCATCCCTATTCCATTCCATGTTCGATTTTCCCAATCATGGGCATGGCTATTTCATGTCTTCCGGGTAAACGGTGCGCATGTGCCCGGTCCAGTGTATTAGTGTCTCGTGTAAGCCTGTCGATCTACAGTACCCGACAATCAAACCAAGATTTACATGTCTGCAGTTCCGTAGTACAACATGCGTATGCTTATCTCCCCCTCCAGTCATAGCACCGTCAACGTATCAACCGTCCATCTCCATCCCCAACGAAGACGCGTTACACCCCAGCACAGGGCACAGTACACAAATGTGATATTGACACCCGATCGACAACGTGCAGCGAACCATCGATCCACGCACCAGCCACACTAGACAGGTCTCCCCGTAATCACTCATCGAATCGCGTCGACGCCCAATGCGTCCAGGCTTGCAGGATAAAAACGGTGACATAATCGATGGAGCAGAAACTCAATTTGCGCGACCGCGGGGGAATGGCAAGACAGCCTTACCATAGTGGCAGTGCTTAGCTTTAGTTTTGGGGGCCAGAGCGCGGGGCTGAAGTGGTCTTGAGCTTGTTAGTGATTACTTTAGGTAATTTTGGTGTTTGGATCTCGCGGGGTAGGAGGGGGGATTCTTTTGACGGTGTATATACGGTAGTTATTATATGTTAAATGTAGCTTGAGGCAGACATCGTGGTATGATATGAGGTGTTCTATCAGGGAGATATTGGGGGAATCATAATGCCTATTGTTATTGTTAATACTCGCCCAGTGTGGTCGAGTGGACTCGAATGACCGACCCGGCAAACCGGTACCTCGGAGAATAAAAAAAGGGGGGGGCAGACCCCATCGGATATGATATAATACGGCCCAGGGGGACACCCTAGGAGATGCAGATTTTAACACGGTAAACATCGCAAGCCTCGTTACTCCCACAATATCTAAATAATTGACACCTATAACCAGTAGCCAGGCCATGGAATCGTTGAACGTACCGATCGGCGCGATCAGCGGGTCAGAGCGTCGGTTCGCTCTCGATCCCAGGGCCAGTGATTTACGAAGTAACCGAGAAGAGTTAAGGCCAGCTGTCAGTGTCAGGAGGGGGTGTTTCAGGGAAAGAGGGCATCCATGGAACGGGCAACGCCGGGCTTGGGGCCAACCCGCGGGCCTCGCTTTAAGCATAACCGCATAGCGTTCCAGAAGATGGTGGTTTCTGGGTCGGGGCCGCTGTCAGATGAAACAGTATTCATGGATGACTTCACGCTATAATTGGATTTGATAGTCCCTCGCCGTTGGGAAATATGAGCTAGTAGGGGAGATTGTATTATGTACAGTGCAGTACTCTTACGCCCAAGATAATGCCATTGTTCTTCTATGCTGATAATCCTCTAACTGTGGAGTTCTACCGACGAATACACATACAAAAACTTGATTATTGTTAGTTCCTAGTTCTACTCTTATGTCCGAGGTCCCATCCCGCTAATATTACTGCTACAGTGCTACAAGCTACTGCAATGCAATCAAAAATAATCCTACCAAAAAAACTTCCGGCGGTGCCACTTCATCGTGCGTCGGAGGCAGGCTTGAATTCGGTCCCACGCCCACTTTTCCCACCACCACGCGGGTTTGCGGAGGGTCTCTCTTTTCCTCTTTTTTTTTTCTTATTTTCGAAGGCTTTCGGTGGAGGCTTGTTGTGCTGTTCTTTCTTGTTAGTCCGAGTAGGGTTTTCCGGGTTCTCTTTTTTTCTCAGTCTTTTTTTTCTTCTGTTCGTTTTGCTTTTCTCTTTCTATTCTTATCTTGATTCTTGTCTTTTTCTCGCCTTTTCCTCTCTCTCAGCGCGGAAAGCCACGCTCATGTGCTCGAGTCAGTCCGATTAGGCCCGGCTCGTTCAAATCTATCTTCTGTCTCATTTCTTCCCCCCTCTCCCTGGACGGACTGGCCGAGGCATCGTTGCATCATTGTACCTTTCCAGGAAATATGACATTCAACGTTTGCGCCATTCGCTGCGGCAGTCATGCGGGCTGGTCAGGAACTACCGGACCGATGCAGCAGGATGAATCGAAATCAGACCTCAGTTTAGGCCGAGGCTGGATCTGAGCCAGACCGTTTACTGGACCATTCCGTGATGGTTTTTTTGGTTTTCTTCTTCTTCAGGACGATCCCCAGAGGACTTTTGTTCCCTTTTTCAAGTTTACCCAGTCCTCTCCGGCGGACCCTCTTAGCGGGGCCACCGAGTCCGCTGCCAATACGGTGAAACCCCGCGAGGCACGAAGTACAGTAGCTGATTGATCGCTGGTAATCCAGCGGATCATCCACTTCGAGTTCCTTCGCCGAATACTGCGTTCGATAAGACTCGAGACTCGATCTGTACTGTACTGTCTGCGGTCTCCAAAGCCCACCCTTGCATGATGGCCGCACTATCGGCAGCTTTGGCGAATGCAATTGTCCTCGGGAGTGGGCCGCTTGTCATATCCAGATGCAGCGGAAAACGCCAGTGCGCGCCATGCTTTTTCCCCTCCTCTTTCATGGCCGATTTTCTCCAAATGGAGACTTTGTTTTCCGAGAGAGCTGCACAACTCTTTATCCCTCTCCCTCGTCAGAATCCATATTCAAAAAGGCACTGTGCATGCAGCCAGGGGAATACCAGGATGGTAACTTTTCTCCAAAGTACCATACAATCTTTTCCCCCCTCCTCATCCCCTCAGCCGCAGAGACCAACGAATGGCAAGTGTGGCGTAAACTTCCCTATGAGGCCAGGTGAAGAACGCGATCTGCAAACCGGGCAGGCCACAGACCAACCCCATCGGTGATTCGTCTCCGAGCTGACGATGCAGGATGCAGGATGCCCGATCGCGCAAGTTCCCGGACCATCCAAGTCTCCAATTCCACCCCTGCGCCCGCGGGATGACTTCGGCGTCTATTCTTCTTTCCCCCCGCCCGACTAAATCAAAAAGGGGATCTTCGAGTCTTTTTTTGCTCCTAGAGCTGCCCAACCAGTGCATCCCATACACCCCGGGCACAGGATCTGATCTCCATCTCTCGCTCGCGTTCGCTCTCTCCGTTGAAGCGTGCATGACACACGGACGATGTGATGCATCGAATCGCACATTGATGCAACAAGGGTTCGTGCCCATTTTAGGCATTTTATTTGCAATTGCCTTTTCACCTTCACCCCATAAGGCCCTCGTCTTGGCTCTCTTTTTCCGTCTCCTCGCCCCCGTCTTAGACCCAACGCCTTTCGATTTAGATCGTTTTATTTTTCCTTTCCCTCGTCGCATCATGACCCGGTATGCCTCGCTTGAACTTTGCCTATCGACTTAATGTGTTCGTGTTCGGTTCGCGCCTCCGAATTCTCATTGCGCCTGGTTTTATCGTTCGCAAGGTGACGAGATCGACTAGAGGTCATTGTCATTACTGCGTGCGTCTCTGACGACGGGAGAGAGCGCTGCACTGCGCGAGAGAAACGACTTTCGAATCGACCAGCATCGTGATTACTGGGGACTCCAGTTGCCATTCAGGGGCATATTATTGTTGTGAAAAGGCGAGACAGCACCGAGACGGGAGCTTGCGGAATCTCGTGCCACGAACGCGTGGAGAAGGTCCACAGGAGAGTACAAAGGACAAAGAGCGAGAATCACTGTGACCTTTGGACTCCAACGAGACCAAGAACCACCAAATCGGTAAGAGAAACTCTCTGTGATAAGCTCGTCGAGGTCTGAGTTTGTGGGGAAGTCAAGTGGTCAGTTTGTTGGTCCACTGAGCAATTGCTTCCCCCTTTCGGTCGACGGGGGCAGATGACATAAGAAACCTTTCTTGGAGCTACCACCTAATCAGGCTTCATTCTTGTGTCCCCCTGTCGGTTTTTTTTTTCCATTGAATTTAGCTTTTTTGGGCTGTACTCAGATTTGAAACTAAACCTTGCTAATCAGGCTGTCTTGAACTTTCTAGGGCCCCCCGAGAGGATTACTGTACTGCCCTGTGATTTTCCGGCTGACTCGTGTGGGGTGCACCGTCTTTGTCTCCGCCCAGAGCCTCCCCTACGATCAGCTGGAGGGGGAAAGCCCAAAGCGTGGTCTTTGACTGGACATCGCGCTTCAGCTCGAAAGGCTAAAATTGGGCTGAGGAGCACATTCGTGCACCTACCACCCACCACCACCCCAATCCCCCAAGCTAAAGCAACTAGCAAAGCTCGTTCGCTAGTTCTTCTAGTTTCGGGCGCCTCCCTTCCCCCAGATCCCGGTCCAGCAAAAGCAGGGCCATGCGGCTTGGATCTTGCATATCCGGGAATCCACTCTGACTGGAATGCTTAGACGCCGGAGTCAGGGCCCGAGTCCACTTTTCTTCTTTTTGGGTGGTTCGACAGGAGCTCATTTGTTGCTCCCGTTTGGGCCTCACACCATTACGTGCATAGCCGGGGCCGTTTTCGCGCTTTCCAGTTGGTCCTGTCGCAGACCAGGATTGATCACCAGGATAACAACCTGACCTACTCTGATTGGGAAAGCAAAACGACCTCTTTGGAACTTTCGGAAACTGGAGGGGTTTTCTTAGGTCCGGAAGAGATACAAGGCCCCCTCGGCCGATCGAATGTGCGCATCATCCCGATCGTCGCCAGCACCAGTGCCACCGTGCCCACCAACCGTGGTTGACTCAGGTTGACCCAGTCGGGCCCGGTCGACCGTAGCTGAACCCTCTTCTTCTGCTCTTTTTCTCCAATTTTTTTTCTTCTGCTGGTTCCCCCTCCACTTTGATTTCCGTCTTAACCGTCTACGGTCTTGGACGGCGGGTGACCCTCTGGTTTTCCAACGGTCGTCTGTTCGGGCTCCACTCTTCAGCTTATACTGTACACTTTGCGGCGACATTGAAAATCTGATTTTTCTCGTGTCTTTTGATCGTTAAAGCCCTTTTTTGGCCTCTATTCGTGGTCTCGAGTGTTGTACACTACGCAAAGTCCTCGACAAAGGTGTTTACTACCTTCGATTCTCTCCAAGAACTCGACTAGGCAGACACCAACGAAGAGAGAGCCTTGGAGGACTGTCTGAATTTCTTTCCCCCCTCCCATCATCATCAACGCTATTGGCTCCGCGGTGCATAAAATTTTCAGGTCCATATTTTTTCCGTCGGCCAGGCCACACGTCGATTCGGGACTCTGATTTGCTCGCGGGGGTGAAATTCGTCGCCCAATTGAATTTTTGCGTTTTAATCGACTGTTGGCGGGACCTGCATTTGCAGCTGCAGCATTAAACCCACTTAAACCTCTTGCGGTCGGAAAAGACTAGTAAGAGTCCGGACTGGTGCTATCGAGTTTTATCGACCATCTGGGATCTTTTAGATCTGCTTTATCTGGTCTGGCAACTGGCAGACCATCATCATCATCATCATCATCTATAGGAGGATACTACACTACGACTGCCACTGCCCACCACCACTGCCACACCATTATTATTCTTCTGCTTAGACAAGACTACTACCGTTTTCTATTCTGGATTCCACCTTTTTTTTACAACCTTACTGATCCTCCTGTTGTCTGCTCTTTCCGTTCGCAGCATCCGTTTGCGGCACCGCATTTACCAGTCCTCCATTTCCCAACTTCCCCGTTTTCTCTTTCCAACCATCTTCTCTTCTTTCCTTCATCCTTTTTTCCCCTTCCCTTTCCTCCTCCGGTCATCCCATCTTTTATTTTTTCCGTCGGTACGAATCCATGGGAACTCGCCTGTCGGGGACCGATCAACGCTGGTACTGCACCCGGAACGCTCCATCCCAAAGTCTGGATTCGCCTTCCATTCTTCCTTCGCTCTCCCCCCACTACAGCTAATCTTCTCCCTCCACCATCCTCCCATCAAATCCATCAACCCATCAAATCCATCAACCTTCAACCACCGGCTCGCACATCAACGACATCGTGACTCGTGCTTTTCCCCCTCCCGGACCCAATCTTTCTCCTTCTTTTCTCTCCTTTCCCACTTCCCTTGTCCCTCCCTACCCTTTTTTCTTCCCACTCCCACTACTTGTGCACCCGTGGACAACGCTGCCGCTGCTGCTCCTCCCGAACCAACCGACTCTCCACCTAACCCTCGAGCTACGTTTCCTCGGCTCTTCATCCCCCCAACTTTTCTTACCTGAACCTCTGATTCTTTAAATCCATTCGTATCAAATAACCCACACCTTGGGTCTTGGTTCCACCTCTCCGTCTTGATGAGTGCATCGACGTACGCCGACGCCTCTCTCTCGCGCGAAGCCCAAAGGTACGTAGCAAAAAAATCAAACTACATGCCCCAAAAAAAAACACCCGCCATCTTCCAACTTTTCCATCTATGTTGTTTCGTACACTATGCCTGTATTTCTTTTCTCTTCATTCCTTTGTTATTCCTTTCGTTCATTTTCCGTCCTACTAGTATCTGTGCCTGACTGAGTCGCAACTCTTACTCGGTCGTCCAGGGAATCCCACTGACCATGTTGTCCAACACCAGTTCTGACTTTGACCTGACCATTCGCCAGCAGCCCGACCGGGCGCGCGTGGCTGGGGGCAAGGAGAAAGGTAACGTTCTATTTGCTCACTCATCCCATTCCTTTTTCTCTCGACCGTCTCTTGTCTCTGGACGATCCTCATCTCTGCTCTTCGTGAGGGGGAGGGGTTGCGGTCCGGAGCCGCGGGGAAGATCTCGCGAGCAAAGTGACCCGCAGTCACTAACTGGGTTTGACAGAGCGCAAACCCATCGATCCGCCCCCGATCGTCCAGCTCCGGGTGCGCGAGGAGGGTTCTTACCTGGCGCAGTAAGTGAATTGCATCGCGATCCGGATGAGTGGTTTTGTCGGGGGTTGCTAACGTCCTCTCAAGACACTACCTGCAAAGCCCTTACTATTTTATGTGCTGCAGCTTGTACGATGCCACAGAAGATCGTCCAGTGCCCGTTGCGCCGTCGACAGCGCTAGCAGGAACCCTAGTCTCGTCTCTTCACCGGTTGAAGGACGTGGACAACAGCGGTAAGTGCCATGGATCCTCGTTGACAGCCGATGGCTGCACTCCACTCGGGAGGTTGAACATGAGAAAGGAGAGATCAGTGGCTAACAACGATTCTAGATGGAGGGTTCTTTGTGTTTGGTGACCTGTCGGTAAAGATCGAGGGCGAGTTTCGTCTCAAGTTTACTCTCTTTGAGATGCGCAAGTGAGTCGCGTGCCCTCTTTTCCCCCCACCTCTCCGGTCGGATAATCCAAGTACTCGAGTACACTCAGAACTGACCTGTCAATCAGGGATGTCGTGACCTATTTGAAAACCGAGATTTCAGATCGATTCAAGGTGTCGCCTCCAAAGAATTTCCCTGGCATGATGGAATCCACTTTCCTCTCGCGGTCTTTTGCAGACCAGGGAGTCAAGTTGCGCATACGCAAGGAGCCTCGAACTATGATGTAAGTTAGGGGACATTCCTCGGCGGCCTCGGCAGGCTGTCGTAATCGTGGGGCACGAGAGAGTGTGAGCTTGATTACTGACATGCCCGTACAGGAAACGCTCTGCACCTCGTCCAGACGAGTTCCCACAGGCGATTCCTCCTCGATCGCCTGATCGCCAGCCTGTTCAAATCCCGCCCGCTGCGACGGGATTCACGGGTTACCCAGCACCGGCGACGAGTCGAGACTACAATCAGTATTATGGCGCTCCTCCCGTCAAACGTCATCGTACCTCTATGGATTATGGGCGACAAAGCATGTATGACCAAGATAGCCGGATGGCTGCTCGCCCCATGGATCCATATAGTCAACCGACGACGATGTATAGCCAGCAAACTGCATACCAAACACCGAGCATGCAGCCATACCAAACAAGCCAGGTGGTGCCGGACTATGGGGTTCGTCCATCATTTTCTTCAAAAGAGCATCTGTCTTGATTTTTTTCGATCAGACGAGCATCCCGTCTAACTAACTTGCTTTGTTTTCCCAGATGTCTTACGGCCTTCATCCATCAGCAGCGCCCATGTCTCAAATGACCGATCCCTCTGGGCAGACTCGACCCAGTCAGCAAGCTGCAGTGGGACAGTTGATGGCGATGAACCAGCCTGGCACTCCTGTACGGCATCCCAAAAGTGAGTTTTAGTTGTAAAGAGGCCCCTGGCTAAGGATTTCGTTTCTCTTGGATCCGACAACAGACCCCGGACTCGACTGGAGCGATGATGGCTCAGGGATACCCCCGATCCGGATACCAGACTCCCGAAAATTCGACTTCGACCATTCTTCCTCCTTTGCAGCGCAGTTATAACCAGCCCACGAACGGAGCTGCTGCTGCACGCGGGTATTTTGACCAGGCACCTCCGACGGCTACCCCGATTCTCCCTTCCCAGATGGCTCCCGAAGGTAATCGCTATGGCTCTGCGAATGATGCTCCGCAGTGATCTGTGGATTCGATACGATCGACTCGTGTATTCTTTTTTATAAATCATCAACCGCATAACCCAGGACCAGGGCCTGGACTGGACCTTTGGGGCTTTTGGAAGGTTAAGAGTGTCTGGGCCGGAATTTCTTCAAAAAATTGCCATTCTCGTCGCTCGTTTATGCTTTGGCCGGGGGTTGTCGACCCTTGACGGATCCCTCCTGGCTGTTTTACCACCTATGTCCTTTTTTTTACTCTTTGTCTGCTTGCTTTCCTGTCTGTCTGGATAGACGGGGCACTTTGCTAGATATTACGCTTGTGATGTTCCTCATATTGGGTGGCTTCGGGATTCGTGTATGGTGCTGTCTGTCTTTTCTGGGTTGTTTACTGTTATTTGTTCATGTTACTGGCGCTGAGGGACTGGGTAGAACTGGAAGGGTGGAGGCTTGATTCCTTGTTTTTTCTCTTCGCCTTAAAAAAAAGTGAGGTTGTCATTCTTATGGTTTGTGGTTTTCTCCCCTTCTGTTGTATATACTGGCGTCTCTCTTGAGCAGTTCATCGCTGTGTTGTTTAATTTGGTGATGACTGGAATTCAATGGCTTATCTTGAGAAAAATCTTTCGTACTGGTTGGTCTGTTTTGCCTGTCTACACCTCCTCGTTGAACGTCTTACGTGTTGCTGTCGTTCCCCAGTGGCGTCTATTTGCTTCACTTTCCACCTTGCCCTTCTGCTCCTTCCTTCCTCAATCCTCCTTCCCTCGTTGATTTCCTCTCCCCTTCCAACACACTGCAATCATTTTTCCATTCCATCACCTCCCTCCCTTCTAATCTACACTGCTCCAATGTTCACAGCAATGGATTCATCTGAGAGCCGCTTCAGCAATCTCGACGTTTGGTGTGATTGGTCTGGCGACCCAACCGATGCCGTCCACGTCTGCATGACCGTCGATGTACGTTGACAAACAACACGCCTCTCACATGCCTCCTGCGTGTCCTGAGACTGATGTTTTCTTTGTGCCTAGGTCTGGTGTACACCAGATTCTCGAATCACCCTGCTTGACGCTTCTCATCCAGGCGTCGCCGAGATCGTCGACTCCACGCTGAAACCGATAGTCCACTTCAAAGGTGCCGAGGATGCCAAGCTACTTCCCCAGAATACGGAATCTGGATCGGGGACAAGCACAAGCACAAGCACAAGTCCACAGCAGTCTCCAACGTTGAGTGATCATGTTGAGGTACCCATCACGCCTGAGAAGCAGCCAGAGCCTATGACACCTGATAATAACACTCCCCGTGCAACCCTGCAACCTGGATACCCAAATTTAAACAGCAACACGCATACCCCCTCGGACTCGGGCGTACAGCGAGCTGGACATACCCCGGACGGATCCCCCGGGGACAGCCTCGACGCGTTCTACGCCAGTTTCTTCCGGGATGTCTCTTCCTCCGAGTTTCTTAGTGAAGCTGGACAATCACCCAGCAACCCACGCAAGAGAAATGCAAAGGCTGCATCCCTACCGGACTCGGTGACTGACTCGGAGAGATCGTATGGAGGTGAAAAGCTCAAGAATAAAAGTCCTGTTCTTGCCATGTGCAGAGATTCGCCTGTGTCTTCGACTTCTTCAAGCTCGAAACATTCACGTACACGAAGTCTGATTCCTCGACCCGTGAGTGTGACCAACCATGTTCGTCCAGATCCTGCGAATGTCCCCTTGCCGACGGACTCAGTGCCCGTTTTGGATGTGGAATTTCGGCGGTTTGAGGACTTATCGCCAGTGGAGAAGAAGTCTCTGGAAAATCATGTTCAAGTTCAAAATGAGAGCGTTGCAGAAGCATCTTCCGGGGATACATCGACACCTCTAGCCAGCCCTACGACCAGGACCAGTCTAGATGTGAGTCTCGGCGATACTGGCAAGTCGTTGCAAGACGGACAAGACGTGGAGAAGCTGTCTACCGTGGCATCCGCCGGTAGCCCGTGTGACACGACCCTGATATCTGACTTGGTTGATTCATCGTTTGGGGGATTTCCGACCCAGGGGACTTACCGTGTACAACCACCGACTCCACCGCGCCCTTCCAACAGACCTCGTCTCAGCCTTGTTGACCAGGTATTCCAAATTCAATGCTCACCCGATTTTGAGCCAGCCTGGTATAAGGCCTCTGTGACTCTTGTTCTTCGCCTTCAACCCGGTCGTCCGCGCGGTTGGTACGAGCTTGTCGTACCGGGTCTGCCTCGTCTAGGCTCGGATGACCATGGTTACGTGTACCTTCGTATACCGGATGGGCAGGGATTGGAGTACCGTACAATGCACTTTAGGAGATACGAAATCGTGGAGAACTGTCTCATCGCGCAGTTCCCAGTGACCCAGTCGAAATTAGTCATCCCCCTTCGTCCTTGCGATGTCCGCTTCTACGGGTTCCTGCGCGACTTTAAGGTCAATCAGATCGTGCGCACCAGAGTGACGGGCGATAAACGTGGCTCGGGCATGTGTACTGTGGAATACACTGCTGTCTGCTCGTTGGAACTCATTCAACGTGACTTTTGGGCCGAGAAGTGCGGGTTTTACATTTACATACACGGTGGGCCAGAGGGTGAATTCGCCTGCCACCTCGAAACGCCGAAGACCAAGTTCCAGACTATCCAGCTTGATTCGGATCCTGCGTCTGAGCCTGGAATCACGCAGTTGCAGTTCATCTGCGCCCCGCTCAACTTGGATATGTTCGCTATTACGTGGGAGATGCGGGTGCCCCGTGGAGAAGTTGGCAGCTGGACACCACGCATCACGGCTCTACCGGACGGGTATCATATTGAGGAGGAGTTGCAGAATCGGTATCTTGATGCCGAAGAGGATGAGCAGGAGATTGTGCGTGGTGAGCCCAAGTCAAGACTTGTTTCACCGAAGAGAGTGGACAAAGGCAGCACCTTTATGTCTTCGGTGATGAAAGTGTTGTGCTGGTTGTTGACCCTGTTTTTGCTGTTACAGCCCGTGGCATACTCTGCCGGGCTCTATGATGGTGTTTTGCGTGGTGAGGCAAGTCTTGAGGTTCGAGATATTCTTTGTGAGAAGTTCATGCTTTGTGGGGAGAAGATATCGGTGGAGTCGTTCGCTGGGAATCATACGGAGGTGACTATCCTCGTTCCAGAGATGACAGAGATGGGGGAGGTTGTGGTTCCCATGGAGACTGCTGAAGTGGATCCAAGTCCTGTGTTGGAAGATTTTGATGTGCAGGCCCATGAGCATGTTCGTTCTGTTCGTCCTATTCCTACTTCGTTGCGAGATCGAGTTGACTATTTCCTTGGATGGAAGGGTCCACTTCCCATTGCTGGAGTATGAGCTTCTGGAAAGTGGATGGTTGCCAAGCAGGAAGTTGATTTGTTTCATAGCCTTGTCTTGTATGAATACAGTGTATTCTGATCAGGATTACTACGAGAAATACACTATTGTACAATATCCTAGTCTTTATCTCCCGTAAAGTCCAGTATCAAGCCTAAAACAGACAGAAACCCAGCAATATTATTAGCCAAATCCCCCATCAAAACAGAAGCTATGATTTGGGTAGGTGTCAAATCTCCCACCAAAGCACCAGTAGTCTAGCGGTCTAGATGGCCCTAGAGTGCTGTAGCTGCCACTTCGGTGGTGGGCGGCTGTCCGGTGTGAGTCGAGGAAGCTTCTGTGGAGTTCCTCCGGGTGGCGGTGCTGCGGTGCCTCTTTTTTTTAGGAGGGTGTTTTTGATAAATCTACCATCACGCATTTAATTTAGGTCTTTTTGAAGTTTTTGGATCTTTAGAGTAGGGGGAGTAGGTAATTTGGTATTATTCTTTTTTTATATTTTTAATTAGGGGTTAGGCGTTGGGGGGTGTTGATGGTATGGGTGTTGTATATAGGTTGAGGAGGTGGGCATTGGAGGTTGGACGGTGAGCATCGAAAGGGCTTGAAAAGTACGGAGGGGCGGCTTTGAATGGTAGACGGACGTTATGGGTTCGATTCACAGATGATTTTTTAGTTTTAATTTGATTTTAGGTGGTTGTAGAGGTGGGATGTTGGATGTAGCTTTGATATGCGTGCTATGCGAGTTGTATCTAGATATCTCCACACTGCCTTTTAACTCTATTATTCCAGAGAACGAAATATAGTGGTAGAATGGAGGATGTATGAACCATGCTATATACACTTTATGCAACCCATCCCCCCAATGACTATTGCCCACCCAAATAAAAAGCCATAACCTCCTCAACAGCCCACCTCAACACAACCTCCATGCCAACCGCCCCCTTACCAGGCGCAACCTTAACACCAACATCAAGCCTAACATCAACGCCCTCGCCAACCCGCTGAACAATATCCCCTTCTTTCTCCCCCTGGCTATCCCCATCAACCAACAACCAAGCATGATCACGCACATACCTCGGCCAAACAATATCATCCACATAACCGGGTGGATCTGTCCAGAAATTCTGGGGTGGGCGATCATCTTCTCCATCAAGATCGATCTCCTGTTGCGGTTGCTGTTTCTGCTGCTGATCGTTCAGGACTGTCGCTGTCACTGTCGTCGGCGGTTCCGGTGCAGGACCGATGGTAACGTATCCACTCCTCCCCTCCCGTCGTGCCTTGACAGTTGAATAAGGGGCAGGCAGGAAAAGAGGTAATCCGATTTGCGCATGCACGGGTCTCAAGACACTATGATCCGTCGGATAATGTTCATCACCCACACCCTGCAGCTCCCCATCCCCACCCTTGGTCTTGGATTTATACTCGAATCCCTCTGGCGGGGCATACAACAAAAAGCCCTCCATAAAAACCAACGTCGGACGTATAGATCCCTGCTCCGCAGCAGCAATCCGCGCCTCAACATCCCGTCGAAGCTCCACAACTAGATCATCCGACACGCAAGGTCCCGCATTCTCATTCTGATCTTCTTTGCTTTGCAGCCGTGGTGGTAAGTGTCCGTGGATCCGGACGTAGGAGAGTGCCTGTGCGAGGAAGGATGTATCTATTGCGGCGGAGGTATCCCAGTCTTGGACTGTTTTTCCGGAGGGGGTTGTTGTGTATGGGATTCTGTGAGGATGGGGGATTCTGGTTAGATGGTTGCTTTGCTTATAGTAGATAGGTTTGATTGGGGGTATATACGTACTGGTCATCTGGATAGTAGAAGTCATCTTCATGGATGATGAATGTATTCAGCTTGTCCTTAGTCTCGTTGTCATTGTCATTGTCTTGCGCTGAGCTTAACCGCAAAGACGAATCCAGAGATACCCCGTAGAAGATGCGCTGTAGTAGTCGTGCTAGGGTGGTCTTCCCGCTGGATGACGGGCCTGAGATTCCGACTATCAGAGCCTTTTCCAGCTCTGCTAGTTCTGGTGAGGTCATTCTGTGCGGTAGGGCGGTGGTTTGGGGAGGGGAGTGCGGAGGAGATGAGTTTCATGGTGGGGTTGTGCTGACCGCGCTATCGTTATCGTTATCGGAATTGTTGTTATCTTATCGGGTATCTGCAAGGTCCGGCGCCAAGACGATGTATGAATGCGGTTGGGTAGAGAGATCTGCAGTATGGCACAGTATGAATTCAGCTTGTGAGAATTGACAAATTAACTAGGCCAAATTTTGATATTGCCGGCCTACATTGATATTTCATTTTCATTTAGAATTCGTAGTATTGAAGTGACCACCACAGAAACAAACTAATCGTAGGATGCGATGCCAAACGACACTGAGCTTCATACAGCGACAAGGACTTGGAATGCAGATTTCGCAAGTCTTCAAAGTTGGCTAAATGTAGAAAGCCAAATTGAAGATGCTGATACTGATAAATCACGATGCTTCATTAATAATGACTGGAAATCATAATGCTGGGTAGTCGTAACATATAAAGTCATCCATGACGCCGTGGAACAGATATCATCACGGTAAATGTATAAGCATCTGGCTGGCCAGAGAAGGGTAGACATGTGTTCAATAAGTTAATATAGAGGTGCACCATGGAAGATAAAAAGGGAAAGGATACTCAACGTCGAGACAAGAGCCTTCCACGCTTGTGGTAGCAATAAACAATAGAAAAGGGCGGGTTGTTAACACAGGACGAAATAAGGATATAGACCCTCCACAATCAGGAAGCTCAGAGGCTTGTTATGACCTTTCGATTCATCACAGCATCGATAAGCTCTTCCTGGACTTTCTGGACTCCCTCAAAGCGCATCATCCCACACGACTCGCTTTCGAGGTGATTGAAGAGCCCGGCGAGAGTGACAAACTCCTTGCCGCAGGTTTTCTTGTTGGGACAATGGTACACCTTCTGCTGGTGTACGGGCGAGTTGAGATGCTTGTTGAGGGAATGGATCGTGTTGAAGAACTTGTGACAGATGTAGCACTCCCAGTAGATACCGTTGAAGGCACGAGAAGTGGCCTGGTATTGCACTTGTGTCTGCTTGGGATCTTCGATCATCTTTTTCGTGATTAGCCCCTGTGGTTCAGACCGCCGTACCATGCGCAGAATTGTATCTCGGTTGAGCGTCGGGGCCTTGGGACAGGCGCCGCTCTCGAGGTGGTTGAACATCCCGCTCGCGGTAACGAAAGTGGTCTGGCAGAAGGGGCAGGGCAGGTTGGTCCCACGGTGAATCTTCGAGTTGCGATGCTAAATGGATGAATCAGAACACGTTTTCATCAATCTCTGAGCCGCCAAGACAACTTACCATGCGCAAATTGTTTTCGTTGAGAAAATAACGATCGCAATCCACGCAGTAGTTCCAGTAATGGTCCATGTCATACATATGCTGATTAGCCGCAGCCCGGGTGAAGAAGAGTTTGTCGCAGGTGTCACAGGGGATTCTCGGCTTCCAGTGGCTTAGAGCGTCCATATGCTGGTGGGAGGCTCGAATGCTTCGGAACACTTTGTCGCAGGTCTCGCATGGAGCCCAGTGCCAGTAATCGTCAAGGTGATCTTCGAATTCATCCTCGTAATAAAATTTGCAATCACAATAGTCGCATTCATACATTGTGACGGATTGACGATGGTAGGAGGGGGGTATTGGGACTGAGAATGAGGTTTGTGTCGAGATTCTCGGTGACGAGGACTGAGAACGCGGAAACGTCGAAGTCCTCTAAGGACGCGGTGAGGAGAGGATGGGGGACTTGACATGCGAGAAAGATCGTGAGTGAGAGGTACTGGTGAGGAGGGGAGGAGAGATGGAGAAAGAGAAAGAGGATGAAGGTTATGCAGGATGACCTGAGGCCACTCGCCGCTCTTTGAATGCCCATTTGTTACCCTTCCAAATGGGGATTTCCGGCAATTTGTGCTAACAATGGACAAGGAGACTTTATATATTGTCCACTCTCTATTTCATGAAGGATACTAGGTTATCACTATAAGCTACTTGCACAGTCCTAAGCAAGCCCGTCCAGAGCTATAAAGTCATGAGCGCCACGGAAATCATCAACCCTCTCAGTGCTCTACAGATCTATATATATAGGGGAGGAAGTATATACCTATCATGGCCACCAAGTAAGACTTTATCAACGACGTGGAGAGTCCCGGACAAAGATCAGTTATTTGGAAACGAGCTAATTCATTCTTGGGGAGGCAAATATGTAAATGAAAATAACAGCAAAATCAGCAAACAGTTGAAATCAGCAAGAATAGCAAGGGCAGCAACGTGCCGGAAGCAGCAAGTCGGTCTTAGAGGCTGTCTTAGTGGCAACCTGCTCTGGCTTTGGAGCAAGGGCACAATTCCTTCTTTAAGATGGTGGATGACCATAGAGGAATTTGAAAATGTCTGTTTGCATAGAGGGCAATACATATTGCGCCCTAGGTGAGCAACTACGAGGATATGCTATGAGCTCAGGTTAGAACTTGGTTTATTAGGGTATCACTTTGACCCTTGAGGAATACTAACCACCAGAAAATCAATAGCATCGGGGAAATAACGGCCACATCGGTCACAATAAACTGCCTTCTTCGACTCATTTTCGACGGGTTTACCGGCTTGCTGGCTGGGAAGACGCCTCTTCCTTCTGGTGCCGATCAACTATGTGCTGATCGACAAGGGCCTGTGTCGAGAAAATACGGCCACAGGTCTTGAAACCGAATTTTGGGCGCCAGTGACCTAGCATATCCATGTGCGGGTCCGCCTTGGCCTGGGAACTGAATCCCATGTGGCAGGTTTCACACTTGTGCTTTGGTTCACGGTGATGAGTCGATAGCACATGCTCTGCGGCCCCGAACTTGGTCTTGAAGACTGCGGCACAGAATGAACAGGCAAAATTGCGGTTCTGGCAGTCCTCCTTGGTTGTGTGCTGCTCTTCAGCCTGGCGAGTGAGGTAATCAAGTACGTAGTCCTCACAAGGAGTCTCTCCGTCATGATCACAGAGGCCTTGCATCCGCTGACTGGCATCCTGGATGTGGATGGTCATGTCGCCCGTCTTGCCTTTGGAGGTGAGTGCCTGGGCATCGGAATCTTCCATGTTGGTCGAGGAGTGCTGACGTGGCGTCAAGGTATCGCAGGTATCAAGTTCAAACTCTGGCATTTGGTGGCCAGGATAGTTGATATCTCGTGCCATAATTTCACGGTCCGACTCCGCAGGGTAAGGATGGGGAGGAGTGGGGGGTTCTTGGGAGGATTTTTGCGCACATTTCGATGGATCAGGGGTAGATTGGGTTGTTTAGAGAAATCAGAGACTTGGATAAGTGGAGGAGAAGGGAGACAGGTGAAAAGCAAATGTCGATCATGAAACAAGGGAGAAGCAGAAGCCAGATGGGCCAAGGATGAGGGATGAAGGAGAATGGAGCTCGGGAGGTGGAGAAGTACCGAAGAAGAAGAAGGTTGGACGAAGCTGGATGGAGAGTGGACAGTGGCAGAAGGTAAAGAATGGAAGCAGAGGGACGCAAGAAGAGGATGGTGGTATGAAGATGGCAAGTTCCAGATTCTCTGAAACGAGTAATTTGTTGGTTTGCGTATGTCTGCATGTGACTTTTATGACTCGCTAGGAGGTTGTATTTCCAGCTTCAGTGGTTTGATCACTCTCACATGGCTACTTGGTGAGTTTTCGTATATATTACCCTTAGTAATGTCTCTAAATGTCATAGTATTCGAGTTATCAACCGTGTTCATGCTCTCTACTATCTCCAGGAAGCGGCTCTGCTGATTGGGAGGTCGTTTCCGGAGGGAACTCGTGCCAGCTATTCTAGCTCGTTGTTGAAAACTCTAGAGGTCTCTATTATTTAGCACGATGGTGATCTTATAAGTCCGGAAATTTGGATAATTGAACCATTTGTGTGTACAACATGGATCATCATGTATAGCTCCGGGTCAAACGACTACTCACTCCTGGCTAGCTCTCTGCGCAGCAGCACAGGTAGATACCCACGTTTCTCAAGTCCTATCTTCCTATTAATTGCTTGAGAAAAGCTAAGACAAAACATGCAACTATTTGATTCGAGAAGTTGGGGCATGATCAGGGGTCTTCCGCCCTATGACAAGTAGAGTCTTTTGGGCGCCCCTATTCCCTGTCCCCAACTTCTCTCGGTCATCTTCTGAAACATAGACTGCACTCCATCAAAAGACATTGTCCCGCAAGCTTGAGCCTCTAGGTGTCTGATAAGAGCAGCCAAGCAGACAAACCCCTTCTCACACTTGCCAGTTTTGTCAGGACAACGGTAAAATCTAGGGCCATTCCCTGCGGGATTGGCCAAAGGGGACTCGAGGTGCGTTTCAAGCTCTTGGTGCGAGCGGAAGCTTCGATGACAGGTGAAGCATTTATGTTCAGCAGGAGGATCTTGGAGTCCAGCGATAAGGTAACCAGTATGAAGCCATTTTGCCTGGGGGTTGGTCACGACTCCAGCAGTATCGCAGTTTCGGACCAGCCAGAGAACGCTGTGGTGGTTCAGGCCTGGGGCATGGGTACACTTTGCTTCCTCAAAGTGGGAGATCAGGGTACTCGCTTTGTGGAAAAGGCTACCGCAGAACGGGCATAGGATGTCGGATTCTCGATGAATCCCGGAGGACAGGTGCTGTATCAATGCAGGTTAGCCAGCTTCTGCAGATCATGTGTCCAAGACTCAACTCACATTGACCAAGGCATCAACGGTTTTGAGTCGTTGGTAACAGCGCTCACAACGGGTGCGGTAATGCTTCATTTCATGCATATGGCTTTCAACAAGAGATATGCTGGGGAATGTCTCGTCGCACGTCTCGCAGGGATACCATTGAAGCCCATCCATGTTGGTATGTAGCTGTTGAGCGAGGTTCAAAGAATGTTAGTAAGCTGTTTTGGAGTAAAGGAGGCTTGATCGGTCCAGAATGATGCGATTGAGCGAGGTTAGCGGTTGTTCCTGGAGAAGATGGGAGATGTAATGAGCAAAGAGATCGTGGCTTGAGTATCGGTTGAAGTCTGTGGGGGCCGCAGGGAGTCTAGCGATATGAGGACAGCTTCGACTCGTTGCGCATTTTGGTCCTGCGATTTCCTTGCACTTGAAAATGACATCGTTTGTTCCAGTTATAGATCGCTTAGTCGTCGTCTATTATATGGTTATAGTTCCAACCAATCAGAAGCGTATATGCAAGAAAAGCGGGTCCTCGAGACAGCACCATATATGGCCATAGAGTGTGAATATACCTATGCAGCAATAGATAGCCCAACGGCATTTTTGTATCATCATCAGGGTATATACTCTGTATACCATTGCATCCATCTTGAGGCTGCCTCAAATTCTCGGCTAATCCCAGCCTAGAGGAAAATCATAAATGAAGCAAAAAGTGCGGAGTTCAGCAGAGAATGCAGGCTATGTGATTATCATAAAAAGTTGTCCGCGCGGGAACACTTCAATGTTTGTGCAGGATTTCTCCTAGAATTGATTGCATTCAGTAAGATCAGTTAGTCTGAGAATGTAGCTTATGAAGCTTGGATGTTAGTTAGGTGTCTTTGTGCATCCCCATCAAACGGTCCTCTACTGACTGCCTAGGCGGTGAACATTCTGCCACACCCCGTATGTCTTTGCCTCGGACTTCACCTTGGGTTGTCTGGATTATTCATCCATTTTCATCAACATGGATTTGTGGGAGTCCAGCGAGGCTCAGCTTCCAGATTCATCGCCTGAGAAAAGGCTGGATGAGCCAAATCAACAAGAGGGTGGCTGGCCTCTTCCATCAGCCGCCGTTCCTCCGGCTGGCCCCATCTTATCAGTTCCCTCGCCCATTGCCACACCAGGAGGGCCATCGAGGCAAGACGGTCTATTGATAAAATCAGAAGACCCCAAACCTTTGAGTCCAGCTTCCACTCCTTCAGACAACCAAACACAAGCGATTCAATCCAACGGAGAGTCTGAAGATCTCAACCCATACCTTCCTGTCGGCGTTTTATGGAGGAACTTTGATCCCGAAGTAACATATCCGCAGACGGAGATTGCCCTCTTGGAAACCCATCGCTGGGTCCGTACAGAGGTCTTTGATGGAAGTAATCATGTCCGAGTCTATGTTGACTACAAAATGACTAGCCGGAGCAATACTCAGCGGTCGATCACAAAGCTACGAATGGCTTTGAAAGCCGTCATGTCCAGGATTGACAGGTCACGTCACGCATGGTGCGGCTATCGCGTTGAGAACAGCTCCAATGGGATCAAATCGAATAGCACCGAGGATGATTCTCTTTGGTACATATTCAATACATTGCAGGACCCTTGTCCCCAAGTGGAGAACATGCATGACCACTGGGCACGGCATGCCATGGAGCAACTGTTGTCAGAAGATCATTTTGCCGATTTAGGTCTCAAGACCAAACTCTACCCATATCAGCGACGCTCCGCTGCAACAATGGTGCAACGGGAGGCTCAGCCAGCGCGCATGCTCGATCCACGACTACAAGCATATCGGACTCCGACTGAGCGTGAGTATTATTATGACAAGGAGGACGCATACATTACTCTTGATGCAGGGTATTACTCTGAGGCTTGTGGAGGTAATTCAGTCTCCTCCAATCTTCGCGACAGCCCAAATATTAACCTTTGAGATCAGGCATTCTTGCGGAGACTATGGGCTGCGGTAAGACTCTCATCTGTCTTGCCGTCATATGTGCCACTCTTGGTCACTCTCCAAAGATCCCACCGGAATACGTGTCGACGTCGGAAAAGCCAGACCTGGTTCCGATTAGACAGAAAACCGGTTCCTTGATGGATATGGCGGCTGCTGCTGCAGAGAGGCATTACGAGCCGTGGAGAAACTTTTTCCGTGGGTTACAACGAGAGGGTCGACATTATGAGCGATGTGTCAAGGCATGCGAGGCACATCGAGGGTCCTATGAGATCCCTCAGCACCAGACCAGGTATCAGGGTAGACTTAGCCAGTCCTATGCCAGACCTCCAGCCAAACGGGTTCGCATCTGCTCCGGAACTATCATTGTCGTGCCAAACAACTTGCTTGATCACTGGCAACGCGAGATCAAAACACATACCGAATGGTTGAAGGTTCTAGTCTTGGGTCAAGGATCTGGTCAGACACCACGATCCGATGATTTGCTCCGTTACGACATCATTTTATTTGCTAAGACACGCTTTGAGCGGGAGGCTGGCACGCCCGTTCATAATCGGACTGCCAAGTCCGTGCCGGTCAATTCACCTCTAACGGAACTTCACTGGCTGCGAGTCATTGTAGATGAGGGCCACAACGTCGCGGGCCATGGCTCGAATATGATTCACATGCTCAGTCAGCTGCATTTTGAGCGTCGGTGGGTCATCTCGGGAACTCCATCAACGGGACTCTACGGGGTGGAAGTCAGTCTGGCGTCGCAAGAAGCAAATACCAGCGATACCGAGTCTCCTGCGGAGATCACCGCTGCTGCTCTGCGTAGTCGAAAGAAGACGGGCAATGCGGTGAATAATGAGATGAAAGATCTGGACAAGCTTAGGCTTGTCGTGATTAATTTTCTGGATTTGAAGCCTTGGTCTAACTCTCGTGCCGATGACTTTGCAGATTGGTCCAAGTATATCAAGCCCATCGGGGAAAATGGTCAGCGTCGTAAGACTCCTGCGATTCGAGCCACTCTGCAGGGTCTAGTTGTGCGGCATCAATTGGACGTTGTGAACAGGGAAATTTACATTCCAAAACTCTACAACACCGTTGTCTATCTCACACCGACTTTCCACGACCGGTTGTCCATCAATTTGTTCCTCTTCGGTATTGCCGTCAATGCGATTACTTCCGAACGTCAAGGGCCTGATTATATCTTTGACCCAAGCAATCGGAAGCACTTGAATCAAACAATCAATAACTTGCGACAGGCAGGATTCTGGTGGGCCGGCTCCGATGTCAATCCACAAGATTCCATCGAGCATGCGCTGAAATACATGGAGAAGAATCGGGAAAAGATGACAGCCGAGGACATTGAACAATTGAACCGCGGAATAGAGATTGCGCGTACAGCATTGGATTCTGGTAGCTGGCGCGAGTTCAAACACCTCCATGAACTTGGTGTCTACCTCAGGTACTTTCCCAAAGGCCATCGTGCTCACTGGGCGCTCGATCAGAGTAGCGCAGAGAAGGAGCCTATGCTCATCGGCATCACGCAATCTCGTCGAGCCCAGCAGTATGTCACGCAACATCTCAAATCCTCGGATCCAACGCAAGGTCTTGCTGGCGCCGGCATCAAAGCCCGCCACGAACTTGAGCGCCGTGACCAGCATAACGCTCCAAAGGGTGCCCCGGAATCAGCAAGCAATGCAACTCCGGGCTCATTACACCATTCTACGAAGCCACAAAGCAACAAGTCGCCGAAGAAGACCTTTACGCACAATCTCTTCCGCTCACTTCCAGCAACGTCCCCTCTCCAAGAAACGCGATTCGTCGGCACCGCTTCGGCAAAACTGACGTATCTCCTGAACAAAGTCCTCGAGTTCCAGACTACAGAGAAAATAATCATCTTCTACGACAACAACAATACCGCCTTCTGGATCGCCGAAGGCCTCGAACTTCTCGGTGTCGAGTTTCGCATCTATGCCAGCACTTTGAAACCCGAGTTGCGGACAGAGTACCTGAAGCTATTCCGTGAAGCCGAGGACGTGCGCGTACTACTCATGGATCTCCGCCAAGCCTCGCATGGTCTACACATTGCACAGGCATCACGGATCTACATCGTGAACCCAATTTGGCAGCCAAACGTGGAAAGTCAGGCCATCAAGCGTGCGCATCGTATCGGACAGACCAGGCCTGTCTACGTGGAAACGCTAGTTCTATGGGATACGCTTGAGGATCGGATGTTAAAGCGACGCAAAGAAATGTCGGAAGCAGAGATTCAACATGCGGAGAAGAGTTTACTGGATGATGGAACGATGAGTGGGATCGTGCAGAGAGAACCATTCTTGGATATGGGCTTGGAAGAAGACACCGCCATCGCGTTCTTAGGAACGCCGACTGGCTTCTTTGATCGGCATCGGCTGCCGATTCCGGATGATGAGAATCCTGATGTGGTCAGTCCGACGAAGAACAGGGGCAGGCGTATCTCTCGCGCAAAGGACTCTGATGCGGATGATGACACCGCAGTGGAAGGGAGTTCAATGCCATTGCGGAAGAAACTGCGCGTCGGCTTTGCTTCTAGCGAGGAGATCTCACCTAGCAATGGGGAACACGCTGGTCCGAGCCAGTCGCAAACAAAGCGTATCCTTTTCGCCGAACCGACTACTTCCACCAATACCACGGAGACCCCTGCACCCACAAGACCACGCATCGGCTTCGCTCCCGGCGTGGAAATTTTCAACAATGATGATACCCCGGGATCAACAACTCCATCCGACCTGTCAACCCCCCGGCCAGCATTGCCCTACAATGAAGAAGACGTGGGTCAGTGGCAGGTGTCACTATTTGATTCATGAATGATATTACGATAGCACGGCGTTAGGATCTGGTGTACAATACCCAAGGATGAAACATAGTGTTCGAAATCAATGAACTCATACCCCAATTTGACATTTCCTTCAAAGCCCCCATCCCTTCCAAGCAATGAACCCCAAAATCAACCCACCAAGCGAATGCCCATACCACTTCCCACTCCACCCCCCAAACTCCTCGCCCCCATACTTGAAAACAGTAAACGCATCAACTTGCGCCGCAATCTAGATACCCACGAAATTAGAAACCATATTCTATTTTCTTGCAACACAAGATTAAACACTCCATCTATTGCACGGAATAGATGCACAGCGTGTGCACAGGTAGGTACGGGGGCAAATATATACACACCAAAGTCCCAACCAAAACCGCCCTAACACCCTCAAAATTCCTCTGCAATCCCAGCAAAATAAACGCCACACCAAGCGCAATATCACGACCGGCATTAGCAAAAATAAACGGCGATGGAGATCTTGACGGGCGCAGTGGGAGACCGAAGAGTCTGTAGGCTTGTTTGGGGGCGAAGAGGCGGACCAGGCCGAGGCCTAGGAGGGCTGTTCCGAGGAATGCGGGGGATGTGGGGATACACATGAAGGGGTAGATCATTGTTTTAGGTTGTCAGGGTATGGTTGGGATTTCGAAAGAGGTTGGTGGTGGTATTATAGTACAGGGGTTTGATTTGGAATCGAGGGGATGGGGTGAGATTTGGGGATACGAACTTGAGGCTGGAGATCCCCGCCATATGGATGTTATGTGCTTACGGCATCTATGCCAGCGAGAATACGAGAAGATGGTATGTAGAGAAACGTGGATTTCAAAAGAGTGCTATAGCATTAAGTAACGTCCTATGCACTGACAAGGAAACCTTGGATTGTCAATCTTCCATTCAAGAGACTCATCTATGCTAATGATCTCAACAACAGACAAACTACCCTCCCATCCCAAGTATACCAACTTAAGCCTCAGCCAGAAACCAGAACTAAAAACAAATAACCACCATGCAATAGATCCAACCCAAACTAAACCAAACTCCCTCCTTAGACCTTACCACCACCACCCTTACCACCATCTACAAACCATCACACCACCCAGAACCAACAATACTTCTCACTGCATCAAATAATCCTCAATCTCAAATCCCAACCTCCTCAAAACCTTCTCCTCAATCCCACTCGCACTCCCCCCAAAACCCCTCCTCAAAACGACCGTCCTCGCATCCCCAAATCTCACCTCCACAGCACCCACCCTCTCAACCTCCTCCCTCGGACACTCCCTCACATAAACCGTGATATCAGGGCCCACACACGCCCGCCACAGACTTGCCATCCACTGCCAGTGATCCAGCGGTGCGTACGAGTCGTTGATAGGAATGCTGCAGGCGAATGTATCCGCGGTGGTGAGTTGGTAGCGTGGGACGAGAGCGATAGGCGTTGGCGTAGAGCTAGAGGTGGACGGGGAGGACGGTGGAGGTGTGCGTGTAGGCGCGGGACTGGGGCCGTGGGCCAGACTTGAGGGTGTCGTGCTGGGTGTTGTCATGGGGGTGTCTGAGTCTGTGGAGGTGGATTTGGGGGAGTGGATGTTGAGAGATGCTGTTTTAGGGATTATTGTTCGTGGGGAGGCGGAGCCGTCTGGTGTTGCGCGGTCTTTTTCGGTGGAGTGGGTGGTTGTGTAGGTGTCTGCGTTGGCGTTGGCGTTGACGTCGGCGTTGGTGGGTGTTTCTGTTCCTGGGGATTGGGGGGCGCTCGATTTGACGAAGCTGATGATATCGTCTGAGATCCTGTGCCAGGCGGAGATGGTGTTCAGGTAATCAACTGTGGCATCGCCCATGGGTCCACCCGTATCTGAAGGGCGAGGGGCTTGAACGTCTGGACCTTCGAAGACCCGCACGCTGAATTTGTCTTCCTTTTGGAGGAGGCGTTGCAGGTACTCGACAGTTGTGCGGACGAGGTCTGGGTCTTGGCCGTCGACGGCGATGACGGGTCCTCGGGAGGAAGTCTCACGGAAGGATGGGACGAGGGGAGGGGAGATCTTGGCGAGAAGCTTGATTTTGTTTAGGAATGGGATTGTCATGACAGCGGCTTCGACGCTGGACTCCGCCGTTGAGAATGGCGTCAGTGGTGTCGAGGGGATGGCGGTTTGCAGAGGTGGGAGCTTCAAGCTTGGATCTAGGGCTTGGCCTTCAGGCTGAGACTGATGTTGCGACTGGCTTGGTGCGCCTCCGTATGCTCGAGAGTGCATTCCCATAGGCAACATACCACGAGAATGATGGACATTGGCAGTGGCGCTGTACAGGGTAACCGGATACGGCGATTCAGGGCTACGGTCTCGATGAGCATGCATGTGTGGCTTCAGCGAGGTATGCGAAAGACGACGACGCTTAAGCTCAGGAGACAAGACGTCGTCATCTTCCATTTTCCTCTGTCGAGGCCGTTCAATCTGATCAATGCGGATGGGTTTGGGAACTCTGTCAGACTTGTCGCGGCATTGTGAGCTGCTGGCTGTCATCACGGTGGTAGTGAGAGTATGCGGACGGGATGGTGGACCCGAGAAACTGCCGCGGTGGCCCTGGCCGACCATCGGGGTGAATGGAGTCATCGGAGACGCAGGGGCATTCATGACGCGGCCACCACATCGATTGCAAGTTGATCTGCCAGTGGGATTGTGACTGATGCCCGAGGCAGCGTTGCGAGAGGAACCATCGCGGCCAACTCGTCTTGGTTGGTAGCGGTATTCAGGATACTGCTGGGCATGACGAACTTTCTCTTCCTAGAGAAATGATATTAGCATGTGAATGACGACCATGGAGACTCTCGTGAAATATGTACCTCCGCCAGGGCCTTCCATTGGCTCTTCTCCTCCTCCGAGAGCTGCCTCCACTGTTCTCCAATGATCTTGGAAATCTCCGGATTGGCCATACCAGGATTGCGAAGCACGACACCCGCCTGGTGGTGCTGACGATATAGAATAAAAGCTGACCAAAAAACACTGTTAGCATATCGTATTCAAAATATATATATACACTCTTTTCCATCCTCTGACGATGCTTCTTGCCGCAATCTCATGTCAACTGCGGCAAAACACCAAAACCAGAAAAGACTTGCCATGCTTATACAACGACGGCTCGGACAGTATCAACTCACCATTACGAGGTCTCGGGATCTTCGGGTCCGGCTGGCACAAACAAAACTGCACACCGTCATTCTTGACCGACTTGGTCGGGCTCGAGCTGCCAGAGGACGAAGCACTCCGATCTCTGGCCATCTCATTCGTGGAGATCATCGGACCAGGCTTGACATGCCGTTGCACAGGTGAAAGAGCAGGACCATTCTTCATCGAAGCTCGTGGTCGATCATACGAAGCGAATTGCTGGTGTGTCTGAACCACGCCATTTGGCCGCATATCAGATGCATATCTTGTCGTATCATTGCCCGTCGGTATAGCAGAAGCAGAAGCAGAAGCTGGCAATGGACCTGGTCGGTGCGGCAAAGTCATGTAGGAGGATTTTGGCAGATGGTCATTCATAATTTTGTGGTCGAGTAAATCGCTGGGTCTGGGCAGCGTGGAAACTGGAGCAGACTCATAGCGAAGAGAAGCCGGATTGGGGAGGACTCGGTCGTAAGACATTTATCTATACGGACGAGGCGACAAAATAGGAAAACGCAAAAAAGTACACAAAAAAAAAGGTCAATGGCCACGAGGACAGTATCAAAGAAAGAAAGGGAGGGGGAATAAAAAAATGGTATTGGACCACGACAAGGGGAGGGGGTGGGAAAGAAAGAAGTCGAAAAGGAAATGTTGGTTCGGTATAGTTTGGAGGCGAAGTCCAGCCGGTGAGAAGAAAGTATAAGCCTCCGGGCTGATGGAGGCAAAGAAGGTATGATAGTGGCACACCAGTCAACCTCAAGGAAGAGGGAGGGGGAAATGAAAGGAAGGGTTAATAAAACTAATGCGGAACAAGTAGAAGGGAGGGGAAAAGAAGTTATTTGGAGCAGGAAATAAGAATGAAGTAGATGAATGACCGGGGAGAAACAAAGGGAAGTCGATCTATAGGAAAATACGATCGATAATGATAGGAGTGCACTGACAGGTGTGGACGGGGGAAACGGGCGGAAAATCAGAAAAAGGAATGATAAGAAAGAAACAAATGAAAAAAAAGAATCAGATCCGCCCAAAAAAAGGAAAAGCAGGGCGACAAAGAAGCTCAGCCGGGCCCTATTTTTGCGAGGTTTCTTTGTTTGACGTGCAGCAAGCTGGCGTTGGCGTTGGAGTCCGAAGTGGGAATAAGGATCCCTGTCAGGGTGGTCCTAGTGTCCAGATCCTGGCGGCTCTCTGGTTTCTTTGAGGGGAATTAGAGGAAGGAGAAAAAAGTACCAAATGGAAAAATAGAGGAGGAGAGGGACAGTTTATTTGGGGGACTATGGAGTATATTGGCATCTATGGATCGTATAGTAGTATAGTAGTATAGGGTATACTACTATGGTACTACTACTATACGACAAGTCTACAACAATACCACAATGTCCAGAGAGACAGGAACCAAAGGACAGGGTCACTCTGTGGCTGTCCAGCGCATCATCGAAGCAAACGAAGAAGAATCATTGTTTTCTTTGTCTCGTCTCCGCATGCGGCGAGGCGCTCTTATCCGCCAACAGAACACAATCTGATTGGCCGGCAACCTGATCAGGCTCGCAGGCCAACTGTGCCTCGTCGGTTCCCCGGCAAATTCGAACAAAGAAAAAGACGCTAGAATCCAACAGCATCGTAAAAATCCCAGGCAAGGATCCAATCAGGAAGGACCCCTTCTCGACTCACGACACAAACATGCTGTCTCCAGGGTAAAAAAAGAAAAGCAAAGGTTCTCGTTTCTTGCGCTCGCGCCCCCCCTTACTAGACTAACTAAATGTACAGGATGAACCACGCAACTATCATCGGCTAGTCACAGTGGAACCTCATGGCCAAGAGCCTGGTTCAGGTCACCAAAAAAAAAAGAGAGAGAGAAAACAGCTGTCCACCCAGAAAAGAGTAGCAAGCTAACAAGTTCAACATTAACAAGCTCTTTCTCTCTCCCTCCATTCCTACTGGGCGGGAAGAAACCATCGACTCCACTTTGACAGAACCGCATCGGAGATGATCTCATCTCCCGCCGATCGCTCCACACGCCGTTGCAACGGAGATCATGATGGGATCACCAGGAACAATACCACCCAGCAAACCCAATTTCAGATCCAAATTCAGATCCATCGCTTTACCGAAGCACGGCATTAAGCATTGGGTCAATGGAGCCCAAAGAAGGGCGAAGTTTGGTCTGGTTTGGTTTGTCCCGGTCCCTTCTCCCCCCTTTTTTCACGCTCTCTCGTTTCGTCATTGGAGATGCAGATTCTGGTATCCATGGTTTTTTTGACGGCGGTCCCCCCCTTTCGTGCTACCTTATCTGTTCGTCCTGACCGACTGGAACATATCCATTTGCGCCGCTTTGGGAAAATCGAGACCAAGGGCTAACGAGACACGTCTTTGAGTCGAGACCGAGACCAGAGGTATGAATCAAGATCACGGAGACAGAGACAAGAGACACGATCATCTCTGTCCAGTCTATGCTGGTGGGTCCACTCGGTTCTGGTCTGATACCATCTCGCTGGCTAGGCATTCAGCCCTGAGCATAAACATGGACATGGACACGGACATGAGAGCTCCGTTTGGTGTCGACGCGGGTAGCGACAATCCCTTCCTCCCCTTTTTTTCTACAGAGCCCAAATGCAAGACGGGCCGTGGAACATGGAAAGCAGCGTGGGCTGGGTCTTAGTCTTTGATTCATGACAATGTCTAAGCTGCAAAGCCCCGTCGGTTGTGGCGCTTGGATGCGCCTGTCTTGGGTGCAGACTCATCCGAGTTGGTGCTGCCACTGGTCCCTGAATCTTTCGGGTTCAAGAGAACCCCGTCAATTCCATGGTAGATCTCTGTCGCCATGAGACGGTGCGCACTGGGTCCCAGATGCATATCGTTCCTGGTAGAAGGGGGTCTCGGTCAGCAAAAGCATTTCAAACTTGTCGATCTTGACCAAGACAACTTTCACCCGACACGAGAAACGGGGACCAGAGAAGGGGAGCAGACTTACCAGAACAGATACTTGTCGGGATGGTCACACGGTTTCTTCGCCTTGGACTTATCCTTTGACATCATGACTTGAATGCCACTGTCACTCTCAACACAAGCATCCCCAACATTCTCCCAACCGGGATCCTGATTCGTCCCCAATCCATTCTCCTCCTCAATCCCCGCTGCATACAACTGCCAATCCCGAATCCGATCCAACACGAAAGCATTCGTATCGAACAAGTAAATCGTACCCCGATCCCACTCCTTAGCCGCCTGCCTCAACTTCTTATTCCACGCATCCAGAATCCGCACCGCATCCTTATACTCATCACCCCCCGTAGCAGTAAACCCAGGCAAAAAGGTCACATCCACAGTCTGCGTCAGGATAACCTTGAGTTTATCCGATCCCGAGCCCCAGTGCTCAGATAAATGGTTCAACTGCTGCATGAGCGTAGCGATACGACGCTCAATCGATCCCGCCGCCTTATCGTAATCCTTCGTCACGAGACTCCAAACGTCCCAGATACCAAACGAGACGACGAAGATAGTACGGTCCTGACGGGAACGAATCTGTTCTTCGGAAAGGCCCACCAACGAGGCAGACTCCGCATCCAGCCATTGTTTAAGCTGGGTCTTGAAATCAGCCAACTTAGTCTGAGACAGACGGCCGAATAAGTCTAGCTCGGCATTATCAACCACTGAGCCAGCGTATTTGCCCCTGAGCGCAGACTTGGCCGTCTGGGCCATATTCTCCTGGTGACATGAGAACTAAACGGAAAGAAGCAAGCGTTAGTTTCATTTCCCCAGACACGACAACTGTACTCTGAAACACAAGAGACGCTTTTCAAGGGAAACAATTCTTACCATGCCACAAAGCCAATCCGTCCAAACTCTCCCCTGCTCTTCATCGGTCTCATTATCACTCCACGAATCTCCAAACACCACCAATCGCTGATCAAACGAAGACGCCGTCCGGAACTGCTCCGAGGCCAGGGGGACAATATCCCCGAGATTGCGGGAGGTCAGAAACCAAGCCGAATATAGAATTGTGCACGCTGCCACAGCGCATAGCGCGTAGAAGCGATTAAATAGGCGTATCATAGCGACTGTGTGGGGAGTATGTATATATTATCGCGGAGGTAGGAGGGCGGGATAGGATAGGATAGGATAGGATCCAGTGAGGGAGGAGGGTAGTAGGGAGTCGTAGACCCAGTCGTGGATAGCTGGGTTCAGCGCATTCGTCGTGCAGCGATGGGAGATGTGTATGTGCTGGAATGAATCGAGCTGGCGTTAAGCCTGGTAGCTCAGCTTGTCGGACTTTGCGACGGGGAGCGTCTCAGGCTATCCCAGAGTGGACCCTCGATTCGAATGCGAACGGGGGTGAAATGCGCTTTAATCGTCCGTCACGGTATTCTCCAGATACTAGCGACCAGGTATATATTCACTGGAACAAGTCAAGAGAAGGAGGAGACCAGTGAAGATCTGCGGACGAAAGAGTGTGTCCGGGAGAGCCGGAAAATCCCAGCGGGGACTGTTAGCCAAGGATGGGGCGATAAATGATGAATCAAGAAATCAAGAGCGAATGCGACTCGGAGATTAGGAATCGCCTTTGGCCGTACAAGAAAAAAAAAGGTGGGCGAACCACTCCGTCACAGCCCGTTAAAAAGTCAAAAAGTGGCGCCGAAGATGGATGACCACTTGACTTTTTCGATTGGAAGGAAGATGGATTTCAGATCCAGGGGGGGGGGAATATGTAAACGCCGGGCTAAAAGAGTCTTATAAGAACGAGTGCAGAAATACCAAAAGCACTAATACAACTAGAAATAAGTTCAAAAAAGATAATAATACCACGACTGCTCCAACAGTATTTAATTTCTGCTCCAACCAAGCCTTCGGCCGCGTGGCCAGCGGGGCCCGCTTAACGTGGAAGGGCATCGCGTGCCCGAGATAATAATCGCTCTTACGGGATATAAGGGGACGAAGAGATGGACTGATCAGAACTAGGAGAGTCGATTAATATTCTCTTTACACAGGATTTGTATACTTGGATGGTGGGCGTCAACCTTCGGTGGCATGGTAGAACCCCTTTGCTCGTTTTTCCCAGTTTCATTTTCCGCCGCATACGAAGGTGGAGTCCGCCGAGAATTCCGAGAAGAAGGGGGAGGGGGAATGAGGAGGTGTGATATCCATCATGCTCATAGTCCCATTCATTGCTCCAATAGTATATCGAGTGTTTATTGCCCCGATATCCAGCACGAATTAACCCACTTATCAAACCGACTTCCTACGAAAAAAGATACCGTCTCAGGGCTTGATCCTACAATACATACTCCTAGGTACACCCAATGGTATCATCCAGACTATAAATTCCGTAGACAAGCATGACGACGCCGGCGCCACCACGCCTAGGGGGCTGGCAAAAGGGCACTTCTGACACTGTACAGAGTTTGGCGCTGTCTCTGATGGCTGGGTGCGGCGCGCGATCGGGGCGCTTGAGTCCTCCCCTGAAGGGGTAAGCTGTACGGTGTACGAGACTACGAGCGACGGAATGGCGGTGCCAAGACGATTTGTGCTGCACATCGGTGGATTTAGATCAGAGAGTGTCTTGTAAGTCTTATAGGGCTAACGGCAGGGCCTGATGCTCGTGTGCCTTCTTTCTTACAAGGGAATTATGAGGGGAAGGGGTTATTACATGCTGACGGAAAGGGGCTCGTGGGGTAAGGGTCATAAGCACGTTAGATCGTTTAGTAGAGGGGTTAGGGTCTTTGTGCTTTTTATTAATCTGAAGGTCTGAGTCCGACTTGGATTAATGGGGTTAGTGGAAGTACATATGGGGGGAATACTACATAGTAGTCGAAGTATCGGCTCAAGTATTGGGCAGGACCGAGTTGCATGTTCTCGTTTTTGATGTATCATTTGGGATTACTATTTGTTGAAGATGGAAACAGAGTGTATTATCTGTATAATGCAGCTGTGAAGCTCGTTCGCATGTGTAGTATCAGGAAAAAGTCCAAGTACCGCTGTATGTCTTGTTACATGTTGGCAGCACCATAGTACTATTCAATTCGGGCCATCAAGTCATGTTAACCGTGGTAATGGAAGTAGTTAATACTTGATCATATAATAGCTCCAGCTGGTCCATCAAAAGCCGAGTATGATACGTAACAGAAGTCGAAGCTGCCAAGATGTCGAATGCGGCAATGCCATCGACACCTTAGGTGGAAACTTTCCAGCCTGAGGCATGAATGACTAAGATCTAGTCCCGTGATCTCAATCAGGTGACCGTTCCTGAACTCTCTGGTCACATGATGGGGTTAGCGACGCTGAGTAACCTCCCATCCCAACTCGGCTAGTGCGGGCTGAGTCAGCCACACACACACTCGCTACACCAACCCTCAGCAATCCGAAAAATCCACAAAGCCGAACCCTTCAACCTCACCTGTCGACAATTCCCGCGCTACCGTCTTGACCGCGCAACCTCCGTCAAGATGAAGCTCAACATCTCCTACCCGGCCAATGGGTCGCAAAAGATTATCGAGATCGACGATGAGCGCAAGCTCCGTCCCTTCATGGAGAAGCGCATGGGCACCGAAGTCAGCCATCCCCCGTCTCCCCCGAATTCAAGCATACACACATTTTCCACAAAATCCGAAATTCTCTCGACGTCTCCTACATACACATACACACACGGATGAAACACACAAATACAATTGCGAAGAACGAATGGGCTGATTGGGTTTTTTACGATTAGGTTGTCGGCGACTCCCTCGGCGATGAGTTCAAGGGTTACCTGTTCAAGATCACCGGTGGTAACGACAAGCAGGGTACGACTTCCCCCTTCTCCCAGATGAATCAAACAGTCGACGGGCAACGCAAAGAAGAATAGTATGACTGACTGAATTGTTGTGCAGGTTTCCCCATGAAGCAGGGTGGTACGTTCTGAACCAACCGGTTCTCTGGACTTAACACGAAAAAAGAAAAAATCCAGAAACCACCCTCCCAACCAACGAAACGCATCATACTCATCGAATTTCTAGTTCTCCTCCCCATCCGTACCCGTCTGCTCCTCGCCGACGGCCACAGCTGCTACCGCCCTCGCCGCACTGGTGAGCGCAAGCGCAAGTCCATCCGTGGTGGTATGTGTGCCCTTCAAAAATTCGCTCTCCTCAACGAAACGAACCAACAGCATTGACACTTCCTTTTCAGCCATCACCGGTCTGGACCTCTCCGTCCTCGCTCTGTCCATCGTCAAGCAGGGTGAGAACGACCTCCCCGGTCTGACCGACACCGTCGTCCCCAAGCGCCTCGGCCCCAAGCGTGCCACCAAGATCCGCCGCTTCTTCGCCCTGACCAAGGAGGATGATGTCCGCAAGTTCGTTGTCCGCCGCACTGTCGCCAAGGAGGGCAAGCCCGAGTACACCAAGGCCCCCAAGATCCAGCGTCTGGTTACTCCCCAGCGCCTGCAGCGCAAGCGCCACCAGGTTGCCATCAAGCGCCGCCGTGCTGAGGCTGCCCGTGAGGCTGCGTAAGTTCCTCCTTACACGAATGTTTTTTTTCTAATTCCACATCTAACAACCATCTTTCTACAGTAACGACTACGCCAAGCTCCTGGCCAACCGTGTCCACGAGGAGAAGGCCAAGCGTGATGAGCTCCGCAAGCGTCGCGCCTCTTCCATGCGGAAGTAAATCTCCCCCACAGTGTTATGATTCATTTCTGCGGGACGGGGTTTAATGGAACGGACGAGCGGAGGGGATGGCGAGAGTGAGCTTCACGTTTTCTGGGACCAATGATTTATTTTCGGGATTTCTCCTTCCTCAACCGGGAACAGGAGAGGGGTATTTCATTCCCAGCAGACGGCGGAAATATGTCTGATAAAAAACGGAAAAAAAAGGGGGGACTGGATGCAAGGCTCAAAAAAAAAAGAAAGACTTGAACCAGGAGGGGGGATTGGTGGACCACCCCTTTCACCCCGGGTGTGCTAGTGATTCGGACACCTGGGTGATGCATTCTGTGTTGAACCTACCTTTTTGACAACCCCTTTTTTTTCAATGGAGTGCATGCAAATTTCATTGTTTCTTACCTTATCTCTCCCTGGCGTAGTGTAGAGCCTCGAAGGTTTAAGCGGTTGGCGTTAAAAGTTTGGTTTGGATTTTCAATTTTAAAGATCAGAGTATATGATTGTAAACTATGCATCAACGCACAGGCCGCAACTCTACGTACTCTAATCTATTGAATCTGATCTGCTCTAGACTTGATCAATTCCACGACTCGAATGTGGGGTGTCTCTTTTCTCCGGGGCTACATCAGCCCTATCTCACGTGCCCACTTAGACAGTACGCCTGCTTCAACAAATCTACTCTATACGCCTACAAAAGGGCTACTAGTAATCCAATACAGTATTCTCAATTAAGCAGACCAAGCACTATGGCTCCATAGAAGATTGCAACTCCTAGTCCATTTTCACCGACCACCCGCCAATCCAGAGATCCCGTTCCGCAATCTTATATATTCATCCCAAAACATGGACTCAACAACAAAAGTTACTCCGAGTCTCTAACACTTGTCTAGCAATCTAGTCGCCAGTGAGATAAATAGGTAGGATGCAGTTTGCAATTTCCCGATGGTTTTTAGTTTTATCTTCCAATTAGGTGCCATATGCCATCAATAGAGGGTGTTACTACCTACTGTACTGTCGTCTTCGGTTATCACCAGACAATATCATCGTCGGGACACACCTGATTAGAGTATTTTTGCAATGCCACCTATAGAAGTGCCTATGAAACACCTAGACCTGCAGATAAGAGGTATAGAACATGCCCTAAAATATGTCCAAGCCAGTACGAATCTAGATCCCAAAGATGGACTTTGTGATATATCCGGGAAATGTCCCGGAATAAACGCCAATCTCAACCAACTCACTGTCTCAACATACAGAAATCCTAGATTACGAAATCGACTGAGTACGTGAAATAGTTTACCCAGCATCTAGATACTAATTTCCACAAGGCAAACACCCACGTCCCGAGACATGTCTAAGAGTATGTATGCAAGTCCCAAACAAAACACTAAGAACCCTAGGTACAGGACAAAAGACAAAAGAGATAGACATAGTTGACATAGTTTCACAAAATCTATTTTTCTATGGAACATCCACAAGCAGCAACCCAGTCCGACACGTAAAAGTACACCAGTCAAAATCAAAAAAAGGGCGAACAAGAGGTAAATCAATGGCCATCGAGGTTTGTGATAATCTAAGTAAACAGGAGGACACGACACCGACAACAACGGCGCGGTAGGAACAAATCCAGAAAATGCAGAATGCAATTGAGCCCTGAGGCAAAGACAAAGACCTGAAACAACCAATTGCCAAGTCATCTCGCCGTAGCCATACGGCCTCGAGTGGACTTGTTTTGTCAAAAGGAAGTAGCAGCCAACAAAGCAAGTAGAAAGAAAATCAAATCCCAGTAACAAATCCTCGTTCGGCAATGTAAAAGGAGAGAAAAAAATGGTCATAACAATCGTATTTTGTTTTCTCCCGCGCACACCCTTCGCTTTGTTCGCATTGAACCAAAGATACACATACACGCATGAAAAATAAACCCCTCGGTCACTGGGGAGTCACGGGGGCGGGGGGTATTGGTAGGGGGCAAGTCGTAGGACAAGTAGATGATGTAGGGGAGGTCATTTACGCGACAGCGTGAGAGAAGAGGAAGCTCACAGACTCGCCGTTGTGTGTGCGACGGCAGGCCTCGGCCAGTGTGGGGGAGATATCAATAGTCTCGATCTTGTCGCACAGCTCCTTCTTCTCGGCGTGGGGGACGGTGTTGGTAACCACCAGACGGTTCAGACGGCTGCCGTTCAGGTTCTCAATAGCCTTGCCGGACAAGATACCGTGGACAACGATGGCGTTGACTTCCTTGGCGCCGTGCTGCATAACGGTATCGGCGGCCTTGACGAGGGTACCGCAGGTATCAGCCATATCGTCAACGATGATGGCGATCTTGTCCTTGACGTTACCGACGAGAACCATGCGAGAGACCTCATTGGGGCGGGCACGCTCCTTGTGGATCAGGGCGAATTGCAGATCGAGGCGATCGGCGATGGCGGTAGCACTGGTGGAAGATGTATTGTTAGATTGCGTACGCCTTATAGACTTAAGATTGGAACGTTGTGAAGAGATGTGCTTACCGCTTGGCACCACCGGCATCGGGACTGACGATAACGCAGTTGCTCACGTCAAGGTTCTCGCGGATCCACTTGAGCATGCTAGGCTCGGCATACAGGTTGTCCACGGGGACGTTGAAGAAGCCCTGGATCTGGCTGGCGTGGAGATCCATGGTGATGACATGGTTGCAGCCAGCAGTCTGGAGCATATTGGCCATAAGCTTGGCAGTGATGGGGGCACGGCTCTTATCCTTCTTGTCCTGGCGGGCGTAAGGGAAGTTGGGGATGACGGCAGTAATACGTCGGGCTGAAGCGGTCTTGCAGGCGTTGATCATGATCAGAAGCTCCATGAGACCGTCGTTGATGTCATTCGGCCGTGTTGATTGCAGAATGAAGACTGGATAGGGCAAAGAGAACCATCAGCACCAGCTCCATCGCCTTGAATCTTTCCCTTGGGAGTGTCTGCATTCCACGGCTAGATCCGAAGGGAGTCATAGAGTGAGCGTACCATCTTCGTCTCGGACACTTTCACCGATAGTGACGCTAGTCTCCTGGTTGGAGTACTGAAGGACCATGATCTTGGTCATCTCAATGCCGAGGCTATATTCATCTCAATTAGCCTTTCAAGTCGCACGATCGACTTCTCGAGCGAGAGAAAATGCGGCGGGCCCCGGGAGATCGGGCCAGCGCATGTAGAGGTGGAAGGCTCACCGGTCAGCCACAAGCTGGGACAGCTCGGGGTGACTGTTGCCAGTCAGCAGCTTGATGGAGTTGGAGGAGGACATGATGTGTGTAGAACGAGAGGGATTCTCGTAAGACTAAACGGTTGTGAAGCCGGAGCTTTTTTTTAAAAAAATCGAAATCCCGCACCTGCCACTTTGGGCCCCGCATTTTTTTCGCGTCCCGTGACTTCTCACCGCCTTCGGCGCTGATGTGTGGCCCGAATGCGGTTGGCTTACGGACTCAGCCTTGTTAAAACTATAAAGTACATAACTGGACATGGATGAACAATTAACAGAAACTAAAATGGATATTCCCGTAAAAGCATGCAGCAATCTAAACTAAGTACAAATAAGAAAAGAAAGACCCAAGCAACCAGTTGACCTGCACTTCAACCAGAGGCGCTCGGAGCCACAGTTTTCATGAAACTTTCATCGCTTCCCTTCCACTTCGCTTCCTCCACTAACATTCCCAGAGAAAACGCCATCCAATGCTTGCGCATAAAATTAAGCATGTAGAAGTAGCCCCGTCTATGCGAAACCGAAGTACTCGCTACCAGCCGTCATTCCGGTGTAGAGGCGCTGGCGGAGATCTTCATAGCTTTCATATTCGGGAAGATCAAGCTCTGTAAAAACGACAGTTAGTAATCCATTTCATGTAACTCAATAGTTAGAAGAGAAGTAAAACTCACGGTTAAAGCATGTGTGCGCGCTAGGAAGACGATCTTTGTTTCCATAGTCGCGATGGATGTTGAACTTGCTCACACCATTCATACCCTCAAGCTCCTTGAAGCCGTTGAGAGGGACCTTGGACGTACCCGTGACGAACTGAAGCAGCTTGGCACGCTCTTCCTTGTCAAAGGAGCGAACAGCACGCCAGAACCATTGGATCTGCGACGAGGAGGCGGAGTAATTGTGGTACTCGGTATTATTCTTCCATTCGTCCACATCAATGTCGGGCAGACCGGAGATCAGAAGCTCCAGTTCTTGCTCGTTGAAGATGGAAATCAAATCTGGAGGGATAATCTCATGGAAGCCCTTCAAGAAATTGTCAAGCTGCTCCCGCACAGACTCCACCAAGCGGTACTCGACCACGCGCTGGATGTACTCCTCCTTGTTCTCCTGGGTGACTGGAATATTGCGACCATCGGGAATCAGGTCGATCACCTGCTTCTCGCCAAAGGCATCGGTCTCGATGGCAAAGGTCTCGGTGATGATGTCGGTAATGTCATTCTCCAACATCCACAGCAGAGACTTGTAGTAGTCCAGGTCAAGAGTCTCCATATCCTTGATAGACACGGTGCGCCCAAGAATGCATTTGTAGACAGCACGAGAGAAGTGGCAGTCCAAAACGCGGCCCTCGTACAAGGCCTTGCCGATGATCCGTCCAATGAATTTGAAGAACATCAAGTGCTCGGAATTGACACCACTGAGACGGTTAGGGTGGAATGTGGTCCGATCGGCAGCAACGGGGATGAAGAGTGCGTAGTTGGGGTTGAACATGCCACGAGCGAGGACCTGGAACCATTCACGGGTAACACCACCGGCGTCCACACCTTCTTCTCCGTGGAATCGCACGTTCAGCTTGCCATATTTGAGCTCGTCTGCACTCTTGAAGTACAACGACTTGAAAGAGTCAAGGAAGACCTGATCACGGCGAACGGAGAGTTGAAGAGGAGCATGGGTGTGGCGAGGCTCTGCACCACGAGAGTGTACACGACGAGTGAAGTAGTTCCGCTTGTTGTCAAACTCCAGGACCTTGGGATTCTTCACAAGCAGAGAGAAAGTACCACTCATCAGCCTGGGGTTCTGGCGGACGAGCTCATTGAGAATCTTTCGGTGCTCCTCGGTAAACTTGAAGAAGAGGTTCTCCATGCTTAGACCAGCATCGGCCGATGCACTGTTGACAGAAAGCTCGCGACTACCACGAGAAAGCGGCTGGTCCTTGAGAGTAGTGTTCTTGCAGACAACCATCAATGCTTCAATCAATGGCAGAAGAATGGTAGCCACGTTCAGCATATTCTCCTTCTGGCGGATGAGCGTCAAGCAATCGCTCAACTTGGTCCACAGGGGACCGAAGGTAGCACTCTCGTAGAGTCTCTTGAGCACATCCTCCTTGGGCGCAGATTCAGGTTCTGGGACCTTGGACTTGTCGACACGGGAAGGATCGAAGAGATAGTCAAGGGCCGTAAGAATACGGAGCAACTTGGCCTGATCAGAGCTGGCGGGGGAGAACTTGGCCAGAGCCAGACCTTGCATATCAGTGCCAGTCTTGGCCTGGTGAATGTGGGGAAGAAGCTCTCCAAGATCAGCCAGGATGGTATCACTGAGAGTCTGCGCTTGAGCAACAAGCTCTTCGCCAATAACGTCACGAGCTCCAGGGATGATCGACAGGTTGTTGATGGTGGATAGAGTGTCACGGAAAGTCTTTCCATTGCATTCACGAGCAGCAAGAATGTGCACAACCAATCGGAAGTTGTGGTCGGGAACGACTGGAGGCTCAATAGATCGGCGCTTGCGCTTCTCTTCGGCAGGCTGTTCATCGCCAGTCTTCTTGTCATCCTTGGCCTCTTCGCCTTCTGCAGTGGTACCTTGATCCTCGGCACTCTCAACGGTTGGGAGAGGAGCGTCGGTCATGGTAGTATCCGCACCAGATTCAGTTGATTCCGCAGGTTGTTGTTCAACGGCCTCCGCTGGCGCACCCTCTGGCTTCTTGCCCTTGTCTTGTTCATCTTGCTTGTCCTTCTCGCGGCGGAGGAGAACAGTGAGCGGCTGGGTGATAGTGCTCAGTAGGTTGGACAGCTGCTCCATACAGTTCGGGCTATCCATGATCAACTTGCGATCCAGGAGAGAAAGCAAAGCGTTGAGTGCGAACTTGTTGGAACGGTTCTCCTTGCCCTTGCCCTTGCGGAGGGCCTTCAGCTTGAGGGACGAAGCCGAATCATGTTCAGTCAGGAAGAACCAGGGGATGTGGGGGTTGAACTGGGAGAGGAACGACAGCGTAGCCAAGCATTGCTGCACGACCATGATTGGAGTGACCTCGCTGCTGATACTCGAAGATGGTTGAAGAGCGATGTTGCGCTTGACAGACTGGGGGGTCTTCTGGGCACCGGGAGCCTTCGCCCGGAGAGAGAGGTGCGAGAAACTTCGCTCGATAGCGGAAGAATCAACACTGCCATCTTGCAAAACGGACAGAATCAGGCTAATAACCTCGCTTCTGTTCTGGCGGTTCTCGCAGACATTGTGAAGAATGTCGTTCAACAAATGACGTGCGTTACCCTGAAGAGGCATGAACATCAGGCGAAGCAGAGTTGCGACGCCGGCCTTGTCTAGCATTTGAACGACTGGACGTCTCTGGTTTTTCTTGGCCTCCAAGTCTCCAGCAGCCTCGCCTCTAGGGCGATGGTCCATTCCAGCTGCAGTAATGTCACCGAATTGGGCAATACGGCGGCCACCTAGGGCCCGGGCTTCAGACAGGTACTCGGGACCCAAGGTTGCCAGTACATCCTCAGGCTGGTCCGCCAGAACGGCTTGGCGCAACGATGGGTCAAGGGTGGCAAGGAAGCTAGCAGCATCCATGTCCTCGGCGCGAGGTGGGGCACCGCCAGCATTAGCCTGCCGGCGAGCAGTTTCACGTTCCCGTCGGCGCCGATCGGCAGCTTCTTGTTGCAGCAATTCTTCACGGATCTCTGCGGGCAAGGCCTCCAGGAACTCCTGGTTGATTTCGGTGGGCTCCTCGCCGGCAGCAGCAGCTTGAGATCGCTGCTCAGCAAGTTGCTGCATAATCACTTCCTCCCGGAGCTCCTCTGGAAGTGCCTCCAGGTACTCAGGGTCGATCTCCAGGCCGGTGATATCAAGTTGGCGACCCCGAATGGTCGTGTGAACACGTTGAGCTGGCTCAACAGGGGCAGCTTCTGGCTGAGCAGCACTAGCAGCTTCAGCTGCACTATCGGTCTGCTGGATATCTTCCATGGGCTCAGCAACTCCAGCAGCTTGACGCTCCGCTTCCTGCTGTTGTCTCTCGGCCTGGCGGCGAGCATTCTCCTCTTCTTCCTTGCGCTTGCGCTCGCGCTCTTCTTCTTCACGAGCAGCCTTCTCCTTGCGCTCTTTCTCGGCCCGTTCTTGATCGGCACGCTTCCGGTCTTCTTCCAGCTGCTTCTTGCGTAGCTTCTCCTCCTCAATAGCGGGAGGAACCATGACCTTCAGCAACGAGTTGATGACACGCATACACTTCTCCGAATAGGTGCCGCTGAAAAGAATGCGAGCTTCTTCCTGCCAACGGTTTCTAGTCGTTGACAAATTGAACTTGACCGCATTATGGGGATCATTGCGGCGAGATTGCGACGTCTGTTGCTGGGCGCTGGCGAACAAGTCGTTGAGACGGTTAGGAAGGATGGTTCGTCGGTCCACATGAACGTGGATACCATCTGGGCGGGTGACGACACCCAATCCAGGGGCTTGTGGTCCTCCACCGATGGCAGCCATGATGGCATTCATGAAGCTCATGGGGCTGTCCAATTGAACGAAACGACTGCCGCCGCCCTCTAGTTGAGCCCAGTCAGCAAACATATCCGCACCGGGTACTCGGATGTGAGCATTAGGATCGGTACCACGATCGTTTCGGACAAGCAGAGGGTTGGTTCCATCGTCGTTACCGCGAGATGGCACTTGGTTTCTGTGAACGCGGTGGAATGGCTGGATTGGAACGAGACCCCCGTGGCGACCAGGCATTATTTCAGTAACGGCAGCCCAGGCAGAAGGTGGTCCACCACGCATGCGGTGGTGATGGTGTCGAGGTGGCGGAGCCTCGTCGCCCTCCCAGCCCCAAGGCTCAAGAAGATCGTCATCTAGTAAAACGGAATTAGTTAGCTCGTGTTTGTAGATTGCGCACAAGTCAGAAGCTCTTTTCTCGACCCACCTTCCATATCACCCTCAGACCCTTGATCCATGTCGTACTCGTCATAATCATCAGCTTCCTCCTCAAGCTCATCCATCTCGTCTTCTTCTATACGTTGTTGGTCAGAAAAGAGGTCCGCAAAGGTATAGGAGAGAAACGGGGGTAATGGCGCACCACCATCTTCGTTCAAATCATCAAGAATTTCATCGTGAATATCGCCTCCCAAGCCATGGTCGTGCAAATCATCGTCACCAGTAGCTTGGTTGAGAGCCCGGAAGAGTTCGTCAATGCGATTGTGGGCATCGCCGGACCGATTGGCTTGACGCATGTCAGCCAGCTCGTCTTGGAACTGGTTCATCATCTCGGCCTCTTCTTCATCTTCGGTGATTTCGTCGCTCTCCCACTCGTCATCTTCCCCGTCATCAAGGCTCTCGTTGTCACGATCGCCTGTGATTTCGCCAGCATAGATGTCATCATCGTCTTCATCCATGTCTGAGTGGTCGTCGAGGTCATCATCGTCATCATCCTCGTCGTCGTCGTCCTCATCGTCCTCATCATCGATGATGACTTCGACTGCATCGCCGGGGAGACCTTCGATGGGGCCGACTCCATCCACGTCGTCTTCCTCGTCGCTGACGACTTCACCGTCATCCTCAGGGACATCCTCATCATAGTCCATCTCATCGTCATATTCGTCATCGTACAACATTTCATCGTCTTCACCCTCAGATTCCTCGGAACTGGTTTCTTCCTCGTGGCGAGGCTCCAGCATGCCAAGGGTGGAATGGCGGAAGAGATCGGGAGTTTCCTCTCGCTCGTCTTCCATGTCCGAGACGGAGGTGGCAGATGAGATTTCATCATCCTCGGTTTCACCAGAGCTGGCCGTAGAAATCTCCCCATTATCACTCAACATCACAGCAGTTTGGGTGAGCTTGTTGATTGGCCGCAGGATATACTTAATAACCCGCTTGGATGAAGGGAAGTTCAAGTCAATCTCGGCCACTGAGGCGGTCAACGCAGGAATGAAATGTTTCTCGAACATGGCTTTGGCAATTTGTCTTGCCGAGTTGGGGAAGCCAGCATCCTGGGAGAAGGAATACCCACTGAGCATCTTATCAAAGAGGTCGGCCAAGGACATAAGCTTGGAATACTTGACATCCAGGGGCTCCGTTGATGCATTAGCTTCCTTGAAGGAGCGGAGGGCATGCTCTAGGACAAAGCGGCGGACAAATGCCACCTCGGGCTCATCATCCTCCGTTGGCTTCGGCTCATTGCGGCGTCTGGAACCGGGCAGCTCATAGGTTTTGGTGCAAAGAGCCACGAGGGCCTGCATGGTCCAGGTAGAAGTAATGCTGCGCTTCTTGAAAGTCAAAGACTCATCATGCTCCATGGTGCCGAGAGGAACCAGCGCGTTCAACATGTAGTTGAGAATACCTGATCGAGGCTTAGAAGGAGTGCTAGCGAGCGGATCGGCTTTGCGCGAGAAGTTGATGAACTCGACCTTGGTGCGGGTGTAGGAGCCGAGGAGCTCAGTCAAGCATTGAAGGAGGAAGCAACGGTAGATGTAGATCGGGTGATGCTCGGCCTCGAATGACGGCTTCTCACCCTTCTTAGGGGCACGACTCGTCTGAGCATCGGCACTGCTGGTCACCGACGGAGTGGGCTCGTCCATGGACATCTCAACATCAGTTTGAGGTTCGGTCTGATCTTGAACGGCTTGTTCAGCTTCGGCCGTTGGAAGTTCCTTGTCATCCACGTCCTTGTAAGACAGAAGTTCAGAGAGCAGATAGTGAATAACACCATCTGGGTTTTCCACCACGGGAGGCTTCATCTCGGCGGCCTTCTCCTTCTCTTTCTCCTCTGCGGTCGATGATGCTTCGGCAGCGGATGGCTCATTGGTCTTGTCGTCCTTGTCCTGACGTTGGCGGGCGTTCCGTTCTTCCTTCAATGCAAGGGCTTGTGTGCGATGACTAGCGTCATACCGCACCAAGCGCAGCTTCTCGTTGGAAACCTCGACAAAGATTTCGGGGTTCCTGAGAACAAGATGATACATCTGTCGCACATAGCCAGCAGCGTCAATCTGGCGAGAGGGTTTGCTCTCGAAATTGCCCACAATCTCCGCGGTCATGATCTGTCGGATCGTAGCTTCGTCTTCGACAATGTGTCGCAAGATCAACATGAAGGCACTCTGAAGCTTGTCGTTGGTTGCGTTAGCCAATTGCTTGACCATGAGGAAGAGACGCTGCAAGTTTCGCTTGGGTGCGAAACGGACGGCAATGCTGCGTTGGCGAGTAAGAATGACCAGAATTCGACAGACAGAAAGCGCGAGACTATCATCCTTGCCAATGCGAGGCAGAATTTCTACCAAAGCCTCAAACAGCTGGGTCTTCTGCTCAAGAGAGACCAGAGGCTCTGCAAGATGAGCGGGTCCAGAATTGCCGCCGTTGGGATCCTCAAGGCTGGGTGGAGACCATGTGATTTGCGGCGGTTGACAATCATCAGAGAGCAACTTCTCCAGAATGAGCAAGACATGGCCGATCCACGGGAAAGATTCAGCCGTGGCCTTCTCCGGGGTGGGAAGCTTGATGAAGCTGAGGAATGTCGAGAAGCAATCCTTCAGCTCTTCCAGAGTGGCGGTGTACATCTTCGAATCCTGGAGTACCAGAGCGAGAATGTGCGCATAGGCAGCGACCTTCTTGCCAGCTGTTTGGAAATTCTCCATTTGCAGAGAAACGAGGGACTGGACAAGAGTCTCACCGATATCCCGTCGGAAGCTATCGGGCTCGGGATGATTCTTGATAGCAGAACTAATCAAGTCGGCAAGCTCGAAGGAGACGTCATGGTGCTCGTTCAGAACATCCAGGGACCGCTCAATGAGGTTGGCTCGGACCTTTTCTCTCTCGGCATTCAGGTCTTCGACGGTAACCAGCTGGCGCCGTTCGACGGGCTCTGCTCTCTGGTCCTCTCTCTGGGGTTGATTGGCTCTCTGTTGGTCGGCAGAGTCGGCGGTTGCTTGGGTTCGGCGGCGCTGGCGCTGGCGCTCACGCTCACGCTCCGTGAGGAACAGAGGCCCATCTTCACCTCGAAGCATACCCTCTTCGTCGTTCAGAACATTTGAGATTGCACGAGCTAGGCCGTCACGCATGGCATTAGAGTCGTCGTCATCATTCATGGAGTCGTGCACAGGACGCCCTGCCTGCGCCAAGATCATGGCAAGACCACCTTGCTCCAAAAGACCCCGATCGAGAGGCGTAACGTCCCCAAGACCGCCGTCTTCCGGACCCTCGTTGCCAGAGGCAGCCTCGGGCGGTCCAGTCTGAACATCACCAGAACCAGGAGGAGCTCTAGGAGGAGCTCGAAGGAAGGTCCGGGCGTTGCAGTACTCCTCTGCATAGTTGGCATTGTTGTTGCAGCGGTACAAGGCCTCGTGGTTTAGCTCAGAGTCTTCGAAGCCCTTTCCGGTCAGGATCGCTAGCCTATCCTTGTTGATCGTGAAAGGCTTCTTGACAGCTTCAGTGACAGCAGGAGCAACGTCCGACTTGTGTGCGGCACCTTGCTCATGTTCTCCGTCCAGCGATGATCGAAGGATATCAACCAAGCACTTGACAATCTGGCTTGAAGACTGAGTCGCGAATTCCGAGTTCCACATGTCCTGGGCCATGGGAAGAATTTCCATGCGAAGATCCACGATGAATTGGCCAGCCTGGAAGTAATCATGGCGATCACGGTCACGGTCATGGTGGCTTGAGAGGGCCTGTGTCTGGCTGGACTCCATGATGCTCTTTCCGGCAGCGAGTTCAGAGAACAGCGCAAGAATAATCTTGATTCCACCATAGGCAGATGTGAGCCGATCAGTCAATTCTTTGTCAGCCTTCTCGGGGTCGTTCTGGATTGGCTCGAGAGCCTTGACTTCATGCATGAAGACATCGCAAATGTCCTTCAGGACCTTCAGCCCGTTGTTCCGCTTGAATGCAAGGAGGACGAGAGTGAGGTAGTTGTTTGAGGGACGATCGTGGGTGACTTCGTAGAGAAGATGCGAGAACGAGGACAGAATAACAATGAGGTAAGCAAAACGATGCTTCGAGCTGTCACACGAATTGGCAGGACCAAATTGGAGCTCACGAAGCACAGCATCAGCAATAGCATCAGCTACCATATTGGAGTTTTGTCTCGCGGTAACGTTGTTCTCCATCCGCTTTCGGGTAATGAGACCAAGCCCAAGGTTGTGGAAGAAGCCGGTGATCGAAGTAGGCAGGGAGCTCAAAAGATAACGTAGAGTTTGAACATTCTTGAAAGCAGCACTGCGCTCTGTCGCCGCCTTGCTCTCCTCGCTTTCAGGCTCTTCTCCAGCTGGCGCCTTGGAAGCGTCGACTGCCCCCGAGCCTTCGGCTTGGGTTCCAGTAGTAGCGGGGGCCGCTGATGAGGTAGCCTGGGTAGCCGCGGCTGTGGGGTTAGAGCCGGGCTTCTCTGCCGTATTTTTGATGGCTTGCAACCATTTCTCCGGGATGTTCTTCTCAAGCATGATCTCTTCCCAGACGCAAGCAGCATGAAGATTGCCCAGAGAAGCAACCAGGGCGGCATACTTGTCTGCAAGAACAACCTGGCTGAAAGGATAGCTCTGGGTCGCCGAGCGAGTCTGATACAAAGGCATGGCATAGATCTCGCGAAGTAGGTCCGTGAGCACGAGGACAGCATTCATGTGCTTGACATAGAAGGTGCCATGGTTGACAGCCGGGGTGGGCTCTGGTGCCGGCGCCTTCGAGTCAGCCGGCGTGATCAGCGGCGTGAAGAACCCAGACTCTTTGGGTGCAGTCCAAAAGGCCTCCAGGTTGTTAACCGCCGACTGGGCACGTTGCATGAGGGAAGGAATAATCAGGTGTGGCTTCGTCTCAGCAAGCATATGCACCAGGACCGTGAGTTCTTGATTAGCATCGGTGTTGTGGAAATCAAACGACAGGCTTTGAAGTGTAGCATAGTCCAGAATGAATTCCGCTCCACCAGCGAGAATGAAAGCAGAGCAATTCGGCTGGTTCTCGAAGAAAGCACCCAGGAATCGAATAGCGGGGAAGAGATAGTCTGTGACGGTAAGGCCATGCTCGTCCTTATCTTTCGGCTCGAAGTCAGCCTGCGGCGACGGAAGCAGCTGGTTGACATCACCGAGGACAAGCTTTCCACCGTTGGGAAGAGAATGAGCATTTAGCTGGGGAGCGCCGACAACTGTCGGGTCGTCTGTCGACGCGTCACTGGGAGTGCCGATCTCACGGAAAAGAGAAAAGACATCTCCTGAGAGAACCACTTGACCATCAGAATTCTCTTGCCAGAGCTTGGTGCCCATTCCCAACTCCCACGCCTTGACCCTGCCGAGAAGGTTGACACGAGCAGCCATTACAAGAACGGCAGTCATGATAGAGGTCTTCAAGGCTGGGTGATGACGAACAAGTTCATCAAAGGTTGTACCAAGGGAACGAACCAAGTTGGGATCATCCTTCAAGCACTTGACATGCTCGGGGTTCTCGAAAATTTCGAAGAAGCTCTCGAGAGCATCAGATGACTGGAAGAGATCCAAGCCCGATGAGTTCAAGCAAATAGCACCGAATGCTGAGGGAATACAGGCAAGGGCATCGGCGGCTGCGATGATTCCCGGTGCGAGAGTAGAATCCTTGGGCCTGGCAACGATATACTCCCGACCCTTCTTTTCCTCCACGGGAAGAGCAGACAGTGAGGTAGACAATTGGGCAGAGGACTCGCCTTCCTGGGGTTCGGCGTCCTGGGTTTCCACGGCAGGCGGCTTCTCTTTGGCTTGGAGCTCTCGGCCCATGACGGCAGCCAGTAGACTTCGACTGAGACCAGCTTCAGCGATGACGGCATAGCTCGTTGGCTCGTTGTGGATGAAGCTGCTCAGAATGTTCACAGCATTGCTCCAGACGTGGGAACCGAAGATGCGCGCATTCTCAAAGACCAGCCGCAAGGACGTCAGCAGCTGAGGGGAGTCAATAAGATTTCGCAACACACGGTCAAAGCCACCACCATTGTGCTGCATGATATGGTTGACAAAGCGGAACATCCATCGTAACGTCTGCTGTTGGAAGTAGGGGATCTGGTAATCGATCGACGGGTTCTTGTATTTGGCAGGGAATCCATCTCCACGAGAGACCTTCTCGAATGCAGTCTTGGTCTCGTAGTCGATCAGATCAGAGATAGCATCAAAGCCCTTGGCCGTGGTCAAAGTACCCAATGCATCACGGACAGCATGAACAAAGGTGTCAAGGAATTCCATGACCCGCGAGTAAACCCGCCGAGCTTTCTCGGTTCGAAGGTTAAGGATATCCACAAACATGGGGATGAGACCGGCGGCGACGAGTGTCTCCGGAGTCCGGGAGCTTGAGCTCGGAAGGGTACGCAAAAGAGCAAGCAACGCATCTCTCCATTCATCATGGTAAGGGTCATTTGTGATATCCTCCTCGGAACCAAGTTCATTGACGACCTTGCGGGTCAAGAACATCAGAACACCGTGGTTGACGTTGACACTCAGAGCAGCACAGACGTCATTGGCACGGGCTTTGTGTTTTGCAAGCGCATCGAGCGCCTGAAGAGCCAAGGCCTGCACCGTTCTCGATACTTCTAGGTCACCACTAGCGCCTAGATGTACGAGTTCGGCCAACTGGTAGGTCAATTGAAGACGCTTTGATTCTTCCATGTCATATTGGAGGACCTTTTGTTGGAATGCAGATTCCGTGTTGACGTAGGCGAGGTTCGTCACGGCCAGGATCCGAATAGCGAGGATCTGTTCACGAGTGGCACGCGACTCGGTCAAAGCCTGGGCAACACGAACCTTATGTAGCAGTTCATACTTTGACTCGAGGGGCAGATTCGGGAGGTTCGTGGCAAGGAGATCCTCGGCCTTGGTTGAGGAAACCTTCGAGAATGGCAACTCTAAGACTTTCCCACTGCGAGATGGCTCGTCCGGTTTCCCGACCGTATTCGGTGCGACTGTGGGAGATTCCTCCACATTAGATGCGCGGCTAGATCGTGGTGTAGGATGTGTGGCACTACGCCGGAGAGGGGTCGGTGTGGTCGGCGCGTGAGGGGTGGTGTCTGCCTGTCCAAATTCGGAGGTTGTCCGAGTCTGCTCGGAGGAACCAGAAGGATAGTAGAGAACACGAACGCTACCCCATTCCTCCCAGCCGTCCTCATCACGAACGATCGAGGCAAATTCGTTGGCATTGAGCTTGGTTTGAACGGCACTGTCCGTGCCCTTGCCCGACACCGCGGGGGTAGCAGCAAATGGCGTTTTGCTCGCGGAGAACGGGCGCGGGAAGACCGCAGCAATCTTGTGAAGTTTCTCCAAGTCGATGTTGTAATGGTTTGCCAACAGAGTCTGTTGGTGGGATCCGCGTTGGCGGGAGTGGTATCTCTGGGCCAGGCAAAGGGACAGGCGTAGAGTCGCTTGGAGGAGGGACAGGGAGGTAGTATTCAAAAGGTCACCCAGGCGTTCACTGCTGCTGTACAGGCTGCGGTTACCGCACTTCTCGAGAAGCAGACGCGAAAACTCTAGAATCGCCTCCACCAACTGTCGGTCTCCGTCGGGCCCATATCCCAAAGTATTCAACTTGGCATCGATGCCCTCTGCTGGTGTCTTAGCGGGGTCAGCCGCATATGATTCTTCCAAAACGCTTCGACCGAACGATTGTGTCTGGGGTCCGATGTTGAGGAAGTATTTCTCGATGACGGAGGCCAGAATCTCATCGAAGCGGTCCAAGACATTGATCCAGTGGTATAGATCGCCGCGAGGGAAAGGCCATAGCCGAGGAAACGTGTTTAGAAGCGAAGGAAGCTCTGCAACTGGGAGACTAGTCGCACGGCCGATGAATTCTCCCAAGAAAGGCGACTATAGCAAGAAGGAAAAAATTTTAGTCAGTATGGCAGGAGAGTGACCAATCTGGATGCCGAGGGGAACTTACAATCGTAGCCTCGTGCTTTTGGCTAGCCACCTTCTTAATTCTCCCCATGTTGACGATCGGGAGAACAGCCAACCATGAGGATGTTGAAGAAGTCCAGGAGAGAGAAGTCTCCTAGAGGGTGAAGTGGGGAGGTCGTGACGACCGGGTTCGCGGAGAAGGCGCGAGGATGCCTTATGACGTTTTAGGTCTCCTCTCCTGCCTCACGAAAATCGAGTCTCACACGGGAAAGAAAGGAATTTCGGAAGTAGTCGTTCGGTATCACAGGTGATCTTTGAAAAGTAAGGAATTAATCACGGAGATCGGTTATGCACTCGATGGGGTGCTGAGAGCTGAGGTTTCCAACAGCTCGACGATCGACGCAGGATGGGTGAGATCACGGCGGGTAGAGAGAAGTCAAACGGTCGGGGAAAACGGTGCAGGACGTGGACCCGGACGGTATTGACAAGGAACGCTAGAAGTATTCACGGTATGAGAAATGATGGAAAAGGAGCAGGATGATGGTGAGGGAGAGGCGGGAGGAGGAAAGATGGGGTGGTTTCCAAGCTGGAAGAGAAGAGCGTGAAGCGAGCCCGAGCCAGAACCAACAACGGGCCAGAGCCCAGCGCCAAAGCTCGACCTGCCGGCAGAAGGACACCGAAAAGCTGGGCGGAGTGGCCCTGGCCGGTTCCCCGCTAAGGCGGTCAAGCTCTAACATGTCATGCCTTAGGCATCATCAGGCATTAAGGTATTAAGGCATACACCGTATCTATATTCCGTAGCATTGCACCCTAATAGTGTTTCTATCATTCTGAGTTGCTTGCTTTGTCTCACAAACTTCTAGATCCCTTGGCTCTCTTTGGTAATCGGAAGCGTTGTCTTTGAAAATATCCCCAGCATTCCCTATCGGTCACAAGCAACAGAAAGAATAGAGGGAAATCCGAATTCACCGTTCAAGAGTTCCAAACTGTCGGTCCCAGATAACCTTGGCTAGTTCTTCCATGTCCGAATCAGAGACTACCAGGTCGCATGCCGTGGTTTCCGAGGCCGCTGGTTTGAGAATAATATCCTCAAAGGGCAGTACAAAGTTCCCCGATGAGATCACGGGCGCGAGTCCCGGTTTTCGGGTGGCTGTCTTGGTCTGTACTACTCGGGGTTTTCCCTGCTTCAAGCGTGTCTCTCGGGCCGAAGGCGTGAATTTCCACTGCTCCAAGGTCACCTTCCCTGCTTGTTTTGGCTGAATGGAAATGCTCACTGCGACCTTCACTTCCCCCGCCGATTCCTTGAGCCAGAATGTGATGTCGTCCTCAAGGTCTTTCCGAGAATTCGTGTATACTACTTCGAGGACCATCGATGGCCAATGTCTGTTGATATCGGCGCCGTACCATCTCGGAGTCCATGCGGCATCTGGAACCTTGTCTTTCGAGCCTCCCTTGACTTTACCTGGGCTGTTGGAAAGGTCACGCCGCATTGCCATGGACATTTTCCACATAGTCACAATTTCGTCGAATTCCTGAGTCGCAGTTGCATGCATGTGAGACGCTATTTTGAGCGTGAGAATGTGGTGTGTGAAATCGTAGCTTGAAAATTTTGCCGAAGTGTCTTTGAGTTGGGCGGCGAGGGTTTGAGATTCGTGGGGTGGGATGTTGTAAAAGATGAGACGATCACTGATGAAGTCTGAGGAGGAAGGATCTCGTGAAAACTGACTCTCTATTGTCTCCAAACATGTCGACAGTCCTTGATATTTATATTTGGGTGATTCAGCTGGGAGGCCTTCCAAGGCACCTTCCTCGTCATCTCCTAACGAGGCCATTATGAAAATCAATTTCTTCGATGATATTCCAGATCTTTTAGTCGAAAAACAATGTTGGGATTGGCCTCGCGTAGTTGAATAAGCTAGAAAGGCCTACACCAAGCAGTACTGACTAGGCACCCATTTCTAGGTTACCGTCAGCTTCCTAAATCTATGGCGCGATGACTAAATATGCAGTAATAACTAGGTAACTAACCTTACCTTCCGTTACTTTTACCCTAGTTATCGACGGTAACTAACTACGCGAGGGACCTAGTACATGTCATAAACCCCCGTAGATTAAACCCTGGTGCAATGCTAAAGAAAAGGAAATAATAAAAGCTTTCATTCATCATGATCTACACATAAAATCTTCAACCCACTTATTTGCCTGCCACTCTAGGCAGCTCCCCATCCCACTGAATCTTCATAGTCGAAGGGTACGGCGAGATCATACTATGCTCAGCATCCATATACATAGTCAGACCTCCCAGAGCAGGCAACTTCTTCAGTTGACCCTGTGGTCCCGGCGCACGACGAAGATTCTCCAGCTGTCCTACAACCCGCAGCATAGTGGGCAGTGCGACCTGGCACACACCGAGGCCGAGACACTGGTGTGGGCCAAAGCCAAAGTGGGAGTATTGACTCAAGTCACGGTCCAGACGGACCTGTTCCGGGTCTGGCCATGCCTTGGGGTCAAGGCTTGCGGCGACCTAGATAGTGGGAGGATCGTGTTAGATGTGAAGTTCTTCTAAAGCATTGGGGTTATTTGGACATACCAGGTTGACGAAGATATCTTGACCAGCTTTCAGGGTAACTTTCTCGCCATTGTCTTCGATGACAGTTGGCTTGGTGACTTCGCGTGGCAGTGCGACCGATGATCGAATACGGCCACCTTCCATGAAGCTGTCAAAAGTAAGTATCCACTATAGGAGAGCAAGATTTGAGCAAGATTTGAGCCACTTACTATCGCAACAGTAGCTCCTCAGATTCCGGAGTATCTTCCTTCGATAGGCGTTGGATCTCAGCAAGGTGATGAGCATTCTCCGGCTCCAAGTAGAAGTCCAAACACTGGATGAACAGCTGAGCCTGATTCGCGACCATGGAACTGGCCGATGGGAGAATATGAGTCCAGACAATCTCCTTCGCTGGGAGCCCGCTATCCAGCAAGCGCTGGATCATGTGGACACCATAATCGGTCAGAGAATCGTGACGGTGAAGACGGTTTACAATATCGGCGATGAAACCAGCCTTGTCAACGAGCTCAACATTAGCCATGACCAAGTCACCCAGCTGTTGGGCAACCTTGCGAGAGGCCTGCTCCAGCTGGAAGGACTTCGTAACCTCGACATCGTAGAAGATGCAGGTGAAAACCAAGGCCATGATCTGGTACAACTCCTGCTCAGTAAACACACCACGAGGATTCGCATCCGTCTTCAACGAGAGGGAGAAAATGTGAGCACAGAAGTGGATCTGAGCCAAGTTGGACACATCGCGGACAATATCGACCTGGTTAACGCCGGCAATCTTGTAGGATTTCCTCTGCAGGAGCTGCAAAGTGATTTCCTCGTAGAACGAGCGGACCTCCGACTTCCACTTATCCCGGTATAGAGCATTGCCAATCATCTTGCGGGACTGGGTGTTTTCTGGGCGGTCGCCTGACAGCATAAAGTCCCGGCCGTACGTGTGGCCATCACGGCTCAAGATAAACTCAAGCTTCTTGGCCCAGGTCACACCGAAAGTCTCCTTGTCCGCGAGGATCGACATGCAAGCGGCGTGGGAGTTGATCATTCTGGGCGGAGGCGTGTAACTGGGCCGATCGAAGCTGTAGACTTCACCTTTTCCGAGGCTGGTCAGGATCTTCTTGTTCTCATGAGGCACAACCATTGGGAAGTGTGCGTAGACCGAGTCTCCGCGGAAGTGGTTGGGGAATGCTCTCAGGACCAGCTTATAGAAGACTGCGCCCTGATCGACATTCACATCATAGTTAATTTCGTTGTAGGCCCAGTTCGTCAAATGCTTGGGAGTGTAGTCAACGGTATAGAAGCGGTCTCCACGAACAAGTGTAACTGCATCCGAGAGAATGGCTCTTGAAGTGGTGTAGTTGGCACACAGGCCACTTCCTGGGAGCATTGGATCTTTAGCATCTTCAACAATCAGACCTGGGTAGAGCTCAACCAGATCCGGATGATCATAGAGATGTCTCAGCTGATCGGCAATATAGGGATCCGAGTTGATTTCCTCAAAGGTCTTGTAAGGCTGCAAGCTGAAGAATGTCCGGAACTCATTGAGCGTAGCAAGGTTCCAAGACCGCGCCTGCTTGATGCCAAGGACCTCAATCGTACGGAAGACAGTTGGGACGTTTGAGGCGCCAAAGGCTCCAGCAACATCTTCCACACTCTCTTCAAAGATCCGGACCAAATCATCGTCATTGAAGCGACCATCAGCCTGGCGCTGCAACTTAGCAAATGGACGCGCCACAGGGTCCTCGGGCAGTGTCGCCTCCCATTTTCCAAGACCCATGGTGAACTGCTGGAGGGTAATCTTGTTCGGATCCTGGCCCACAAACAGCTCCCTATACAAATCCTCGGACCATTTCTGGTCACGAGCAGAGATACAGGAGTGCCAGCGGTAGACAAGGTTGAACTCGGCCGAGACCTGGTTTCCTGTAGCCTGCTTAGCTGCATCACTGAGAAGGCCATCCTTCATCTCTGCACGAGGATCCAAGCTCCAAGTGCTATCAGTCCTGTTCAGGTTCAGAATGGTTCGAACATAATCTTTCAAGATGATGTTGACATAGAGACCGCAAGTAACCAGGCGTGCCGTTTGGAAGAGATCGTTATCCCAGGTGGCATAAGCCTTGGTGTTTGACTCGTCTGGCTTCGTGAAACGACCACCCTCGTTGATCTGTGCGAGTTGCTCGGCGACGTAGTTGTGGAAACGATTGAACATAATCAGCAGGACACCAACGCCAGGTGGGAATCCTAGGACTCGCTTGGTGGAGAAGCAATCTGGCTTGAGCTTTCCATCCTTGAACGTCCTCACAGCATTCTGCTCATCTTGGTTATTTCCGTAAAGTGGACCAAGGTCCAGATAAGACGAGGTCAAGGATACTGTTTGATCTCTGGGGTTCGTTTGAAAAAGATCTATCGATGGTTAGGTGTATCCAATGAAACAGAGTCTACTGTACCCCACATACCATGAATGATAATAGATGCAAGATAGAAAAGTACACTGGAAATTTTGTTGGGGTGTTCCTTGAACTCCTTCCGAGCTAGGAGACTATCAAAGAGGGTCTCCGGCTCAGGAAGAGCACCAGGCTGCATCGTCTGTGGTCGGACAGATCGTGCATAAGGGGTACCAGCGGCACCAATATTAGGCCAAAAAGGGTTCTGGTTGATGTTAGTAACGCTTTTCTAGTAACTCCAGCATATGAAACACATACATTGCCCGATCCATCTGCTTTCCGATATGCAGAGTCCCGTCCAAGATACCTATACATTTGGTCAGCTTCAGTCTACTCTTTTGATCGGAGAAGAAGCTTCACTAACGAAGTAGGCGGGTGCTGTAGATCATTCCAGAGTGTACTCAGGAAAGTATTCGTCAAGTCCTTTCCATTCTTGGAAGTAGAGGGCAAGCCTGCCGCGAGCTGGTAAACGTCAGAGAATGGAATCTTACTAGACACGAAGTTGATCACTAACCTGAATCACTCGCTCCATAATGTACTCCCGATCGTTAATGGGGTCGCCAGTAATGGCGCTCTTGGCGACCTCGGCCAGCGTCTTGACATCCTTGAGGTCGACATGGCTCAGATCCTGGGCCAAACCAGTGGCCGTGTTACCCTTGACATAAGTGCCATCACCGGTCTCGGTGGGCAAGGGTCTCAGCGATGCCTTTACAACCTGTTCAACCTGGGCGAGAGGGCTCTCGGCGCCATTGGAATGGCCGTTGTGTCCAACCATGGTGGGATAATAGAACACGTGAGGGTAAATGGTACAGATTTCAAGATTTTACAAAATCGCTCTTCGGTAGTCAAACTGCAGAGTGTTAGTCACTCAACGTGGAAGTTCAACTCGGAAGGCAATTGATAGCTGAGGCCCCAGATCATAGCTATGGGGTGCGGGGGGATCGAAATGGAAAGTTATCGCAATTGCGATAACCACTATACCTAGGGATGGAGGAAATCCACATACCAATTCAAATATACAGCAGGTCAAAAAGGACGTGCACTCCAGTGTTGGCGAGTCAAAGTAGATGCTCACGTAGCCAACAAGATCCACCGTGAACTAGACGGGAATCAAGATAGCAAATATCGAGGCAGGTTCACAGGGTGGATTGTGAAAAAAACGCAACACGCGCACATATAGGGGATTTCGGAGAATATTTGGGGGGGGAACACAATGCATTATATGATGACGGCCGTTTTATTCTACGCTAAGTCTGGTGGAGGGGAGCCCCAACACATGGTACTGTACGGCTGAACGACCCCCCAGCCCGGGAGATGATTAGTGTCTCCATAGTTCTTACGGGCTTTTCTGGATCAGTGCTGGTCAGTCAACTTAGCGCCACAACCCTAAGGAACCCAGCTGCGGTTCGGGCGCAGTGTGGGTAAAGGCAGACGATGCCCCACCTGGCAGTGCGAGCAATGAAGCATCCCTTATTCGTGCGTCGAATTCGATTGTGAAGGGGTATAATCTAGCAATTTCCGAGAAAACGTCATATAGTATGTGCCTTGTTGCCCTTGCAAGCTGAGTGATTCAGTCGCAACGGTCATGCCCAGGCCAGCAATACGAAGCCTCTTGCGCCAGGCACGTCGGCTGAGAGCTCCTGGGGTTGCGCCGCTTGCAGCCTGGCGGATAGGCCCGGGCTTCGCCGTAAGAATGTCTGACAGTTTTGGCCCCACCGGTCTTGATTGGCGGGGTGGAGCCTCGTGTTTCGAGACTGAACAAAGTATTTTGTACGGATACCCCGTCCGAAGGACATATTGTTCAAATAATCCACCGTCAGATATGCATATGCAGGCTGAATGACAGGGAGCCGCCCCCAATTCGGCTCGGGTAAGATAGCGCTATGTTTTGGGGGCCTGGCCAGACACAACGTAGGCATTGCGTTTTGAAAGTGCTGATTGGCGATCCTTTTCGGCCAGGCTAGCCATTGGAGCAGGTTCGCCCGAGCTGAGACTGGTGGACCTAACCGGGGTTAATGAATCATAGATCATATATCATGAGATGAAGAATGTAGACAACTTAGCGAAGAGTACTTACTTGATCGCGAGGGTGATGTTACCCAGGCTGAACCTTTAGGTGGCGGAGTGTGTTATTGTCCATGGATAAACGGAGCGCCTGATGTACCGTAAATCCGAGTAACATACTAACTGTAAGGAAATCCTTGGGGGCGGGGCTGTTCAGCTCAGCCATTGTGCAGCCGCACTATCGAGGACTGGGTCCTGATGTTCCAGAGAAATCTTCAAGTTGAGAACGACAAATGGAAAGACGGCAATTGGTGAAGGCTGAGAAGTCAGCCCGTTATGGCGTCAACCGGCCCGCATGCTATCCGTTGTTGCTGGTATCTGCAAAACCATAATTCACATTGTTGAAGAGATAATATGGCACAATTATGGATTCAGTATTATGCTCGTGGAATAACCTTAACGAAGCCGATCCCAAGTTAAAGTGCAAATCAAACAATTTCTCTATCATCACAAGTTTTCTTCTGTAGAATCAATAGCCATGTAATTCATCGCCTCAGGTGTCCACATCACGTGAGGTCAACCGAGGTCGGTTTCTCGTTGAGGACTCGTCGAGCCCAACAGAAGCGATTTCTCGTCATCGGTCAATTTTCCCTCGGCGCATCCAGCTGGCTCCGTCTGCCTGAAATCTCCAGAGACGATCAATTGGAGTTGAAACTCAGCCATCACACACCATGGCGTCTCAAATTACTCTCGTCGTCGAGCCCCGGGGTATGCTTCCGTAGCTCCTATCTACAAGCCAAGCACATGCACTCGGGCAATTACTCTACAGAAATAAGAGACTAACGGCACTCCAGGCAAGCCCATTCGCAAGCTACCCAAGACGATCACCCTTGCCCTCACCTCCTCCAGCGAGGAGATATACAAGGTTATCGCTCAAGCTTCCGGCGCGTCGATTCACCGTCTGCGCATCACCAAGGGAAGTGACCGCAGCGTGGTTCCCAATGCGAAGAACACCACTATCAATGATACCGGCCTGAAGGAGTCGAGCGTCATCCATGTCAAGGACCTTGGTATGTACCTGCATCGCCAATCCATCAAGCAAGTGCAAGAAGGATCGCAAAGAGAAAAAAAAAACAACACCCCGCAGCCTCAAGGATGACCAACTAATTTCCCTTTTTCCTACGATAAACAGGTCCCCAGATCGCATGGCGCACCGTCTTCATCATTGAATACCTCGGACCCCTCCTTATCCCGGCCCTCTTCCTCTTCCCCCTCCGCAACCTGATCTACTTCAACTTCGACAAGCCCCTCCCCGAGCCATCCGACATTCAACTGCTGGTCTGCCTCCTCCTGTCCCTGCACTTCCTGAAGCGCGAATATGAAACCCTTTTCGTGCACCGCTTCAGCAACGCCACCATGCCCGCCCGCAACATCTTCAAGAACAGCGCCCACTACTGGGCCCTCGCCGGCTTCAACATCGCCTACTGGGTGTTCCGCCCGGACGCGGCAGCTGCTTCTGCAGAGTACAACCCCATCCTCGTGTACGCCGGTGTCGCCCTGTTCATCTTCAGTGAGTTGGCCAACTTCAATGCGCACTTGATTCTGCGTGACCTCCGTCGTCCCGGTACTACCGAGCGCGGCATTCCTTCCGGCTTTGGCTTCAACTGGGTTACCTGCCCCAACTATATGTTCGAGATCTTGGCTTGGATTGGCGTTTACCTGGTTAGCCAGCTGAGCTGGAGTGTTTTGATCTTCACTCTCGTTGGTGGTCTCCAGATGTGGAGCTGGGCTTGGAAGAAGGAGATCCGCTACCGCAAGGACTTTGGCGACAAGTACAAGAAGAAGCGCACCGTCCTCATGGCCGGTCTGTTCTAAGCAGTGGATCCTCCCGGTTCTGCAGACTGGAAAGATATTGAGCCCGGTCACCTGGACCTCCGGCTCAATAACAACTGGTGAGAAATAATTTAATGCTTCTGGTCCCTGCAAGCCCTCCTCTTTCTGCGTCGAAGCACCACGCTTTTGACATATTATTTTGTTCGCATGCATACGGTAAAGCATAGGACTTGCCGATCAGGCACTCGAAAAATCGCGAATAATGCAACATGCATTTTATGACTGGATATAGAAATCAAAAAATGATGCCCGTGTTTCTTTTTTAACCACATGTACGCCAATGATAATAGTTAAAGGTTCACATCGCTGTATGTAAAAAGAAGCACAGTCTAAAACGCCGAGAACCCACCCAACCCAGATTGCATGATGGACAAGGATGGTAGATACTGGAAAACGGCCAACGAAACACGATCTCGAACTCAAACTCGTACAAGACCTACTCAGTGGGACTCGGACATTCGATACTCAAACGAGGGCGTCAAGTACCCTTGACCTTCTTCCACCACATCGCGTAGTATGGGTCCAATTCATCGCAGTCACCACTCTTCCCCTCATCACACGCAGGGAACCGAATGACAAGGTCACCATCCTTGTACGAACCATCCGGCGAGGCGCCGGACGAGTCCTTGCTATACGCATTCAGAACCCGCTGAGGCACCAAAGCCGTTCGAGCCAGCACCGTTGGATGCCACTGCATAATATGATCCTAGAAATTCGAAAAGACATAAGATTAGTACGCGAGCTTAACATTTCCAAAGTAGATCTCTCACCAATCCATGTGTCTCCGCCTTGGCAAATTTATAACTCCGATATAACGGATCAAACCAAAGATCCAAGAAGAAGCGGGCAAAGTCACCATTCTTCAAAACAAAGCTCGAAGGATTCAAATCATCACTATCCTGCGTAATAATGAGATCGATATCCTTCTCTTTAAGCGCAAATGTCTTGATAATGCTGTCGGGCGGCACGATCGGGTAGTCCTTCAACATGAGCGATTCGAGGCGGCTACGATCGAGGAGGTGGGATTTGAGGGATATGGAGGGGTTCATGATGAGCGCGTGAGGGCTCAGATGAAAGAAGTATTTGGATTTTGGGTGTGTTGCCATTGCATGGCGTACCGCCGGGATGAGGGCCCAGCTTTGGGGGGCATCGCCTACAGCTTCTTCGTAGTCGGAGGCGCTTGCGAAGAAGTTCGTGTACCCTGTTTGAAGCAAAAGGTTAGTGATAGTCTCAAGGGAGTTCCAATTGGACATATATCAGAAAGGAGCGGAACCATGCTTACCATGGCGCTTGGCGTAGTCTTCTCTGTTGGCGACGATCTTATTGATATAGCTCTCGCTGAGACTTTGACGATCCAGCAACGTCACGATCACCACACCCGCCGTACCAGCCGGCGCGGTAATAGAAGTCGAGCTTGAGGAGAAGAAGTGGGAGAGGATGTAGAGTAGTGTAAGGATAGCAACCGCAAAAACAGCAATCGTCTTGAGCTGTTTTCTTCGGTACAGCGGTAGTCGTGTGGAATGGGCCCCGGGAAGAGGATGAGGGCTCCTCCGCGGAGGCAATGCGAACTGCATACTGAGGGATGATGGTCCCCAGCTCTGGACCTACAGATTGCGGGACAGGGACGCAGTGTTTCGAGGTAAATCAAGTCATAGCATCGGCAATTCACCGATGACTGTTGCAAAGGGAACGAGAACCGGGACGAGGTGTGGGAAGTTGACAGGTCTAATCTCGAAGTTCGAAGTGTTGCGCGGGTCCTGGACGCCCATCCGAATCCGGTGGCGGGTCCCTTTCTTGCGCGCGCATTCCAGCAACCTTTCCATCTTCACCAACATTTCCCGTTTTAAGTTAGTTCTGATCGTGGGCGATAAGGGATAGCTAGGGAGCAAATTAGATTGGAGCATTTTTTTTCAGGTGTTGATGCTCTAGTTATATATCATCTCGGAGTCTTTTGCCGATGATTGCTTGCGTTATATAACTATCTATGAGGATGCCGTCATCTAGGGGCTTCATTATTGTCCATTAGCCCCTACGATCACCCGATACTACCTATGTAAGACATAGGCTATAATAGGTGTGGTCTTGATTACTTCTTTCCCGTTATCATACATGGCCCCTGCTTTCGAGATTGGTCTACGATGGCTGGGAAAGCAATCCGGAACGATATGGACTACCTACCGCACGAGTCGGCCTCCCTCGTCCCAAGCAATAGTCCAATCCAACAACGACATACGCTATGCATTTGGAAAACACGGAGACCAAACCCGAATGGGAATCTACTGGTGGGATGACTTAAACAGGAAAGATGTTGATGACATTGGAGTATAAATACACAGAAAAGAAAAATCCAATATGCACGCCTAGCAAGATCGCATCCATGCGAAAAATCATCACTACCACATTGCCCGAGGAATTGCCGGAACATCACTGCGTAGGGATGATTGGGAAGACGAAAGGACGTGGTGCTCAATCAGCGTCAACTGTTTCGTCGCGGTAATAGTACAAAATCGAGCGCCGGTCTCCGTGTATGCCTCGGCCGGTAGCAAGGCATCACCAAGAGGATCATATCCTCATCTAGTCGGTTTTGGTTGGAAAGAGGGCATTCAAGGCAACGCTTCCGCTGCCGCAATTTTCCGGGCATCGTTCTGAGGATCACCCTGGCCCTTGGGACGAGGTCTTGTGACGGCCTTGATGTTGAGTCGCTCCTCAACCTTTGCCTCAATTTCCTCCTCCTTAGTCTTAATCCACTCCTCGAAAGACAGAGGCTCTGGAAGACCCATCTTCTCTCGTTGTTGTCGGAATTGCTCCTTGATTGTCGGGCTTTGCATGACCTGGTACCGCAGGTGCCATCCGAACATGCCAAGCTCCTTCAGACGAGCCGGTCGATCAGACAGGAGGTAATTGTCAAGACCACCCTCGTTCATAATTGTTCGTAGTGCCCGGCGAGTGAGCTTGATAAAGAGGTGTTCCTGGAGTGCCTCGCTCCACATCTTCTTGCGGCGGACATTGGGCTTCCAGCTTCGTCGCGTCTTGCCCTCGTTGCGACCCTTGGAGATCTTGTTACCGAAGCGAATCATAGAACCTCCGTACAAACCGGTGTCGGCTTGCTTGTACCATTGTCGAGGACCGTAGGGGTAGGCTGGGACGTCCTCTGGGAGTTTCTTGTTCGATTGCGGTGCCAGCGTTGTGGAGAAGGCACGCTTAGGAGTCGAGACGGAAAGCGCGCGGAAGGCCGCAGTGAGGGAGAAAGGAGCGGCCAACGCCGACCTGGACTGTAGGCCTGCCATTGAGGATAGAATGGGCAAGTTGAGCAGCACAAAAGAAAGAGGCCCGGCCGGTGCAGTTGGAGATGCAGCGGGAAGAATTTGGGGGTTGCTGACCGCCTTTGGCGCGGCTCCGTGACTGGCGCGGATCCCTTGCTCGCGAATTTCGGCCAAGAGACATAGCTGGGAGGAACCATCGCATTACGCTCGCTTTTCTATCTGCTTGACCTTTGGCAAGCTTTTATTTGACTCATTTCTTCGCCCCAGAACCTCATTGACCCTATTCCCTCGAAATCCTCTGGCTCTCCGAAGCCACATCCTCCAATCATGGTCCAGATCAGCGAAGTGAAAGGCAACTCGCGCGAAAACAGGACCGCCGCGCACACGCACATCAAGGGTCTTGGTCTGCGCTCCGATGGAACATCAGAGGTCACTGGCGATGGCTTCGTCGGCCAGGCTGCTGCCCGAGAGGTGAGTGGTAGCTCTTTTCAGAGATGGCAGTGGGCGAATCGTCGCTCTTGTTCTGGCACCGCCGTAGCTAACACATTCCTTTCATCAACAGGCATGCGGTGTTGTCGTCGATCTGATCAAGGCGAAGAAGATGGCCGGACGGGCTGTTCTGCTTGCTGGTGGCCCCGGCACCGGAAAGACTGCGCTCGCTCTTGCAGTATCACAGGAACTGGGAACCAAGGTGCCCTTCTGCCCCATCGTCGGCAGCGAGATCTACTCTGCAGAGGTCAAGAAGACAGAGGCATTGATGGAGAACTTCCGACGAGCAATTGGTACGCAAAATTACAGACTGAAGCGAAGAATCCGTCATTGGATCATGGAGACTGACCTCAAGACTAGGCCTGCGAGTTCGGGAAACAAAGGAGGTGTATGAGGGTGAAGTCACAGAATTGACTCCAGAGGAGACCGAGAACCCCCTGGGTGGTTACGGACGTACGATCAGCCATCTTATCATCGGATTGAAGTCAGCCAAGGGTACCAAGAAGCTCCGTCTCGACCCTAGCATCTACGAAGCCATTCAGAAGGAGCGCGTCACAGTCGGAGATGTCGTCTACATTGAAGCCAACACTGGCGCTTGCAAGCGTGTCGGACGTTCCGATGCCTACGCGACCGAGTTTGACCTGGAGGCTGAGGAGTACGTGCCCGTTCCCAAGGGCGAGGTGCACAAGAAGAAAGAGATCGTCCAAGACGTAACGCTACACGATCTCGATATGGCCAACGCCCGGCCACAGGGTGGACAGGATGTGATGAGCATGATGGGCCAATTGATGAAGCCCAAGAAGACCGAGATCACAGAGAAGCTGCGCCAAGAGATTAACAAGGTGGTCAACCGATACATCGATCAAGGTGTCGCGGAACTGGTTCCTGGTGTGCTGTTTATCGATGAAGTTCACATGCTGGACATCGAGTGCTTCACTTATCTGAACCGCGCTCTCGAGTCCACCATCTCCCCCATCGTGATCCTTGCTTCCAACCGCGGCCACACCGTCATCCGTGGCACCGACGACATTTCCGCTGCCCACGGTATCCCACCCGACTTGCTGGCTCGTCTCCTCATCATTCCCACTACCCCCTACTCGTCCGACGAGATCAAGACGATCATCCGGTTGCGCGCGAAGACTGAGAGTCTCAACATCACCGAGCCCGCATTGGACAAGGTTGCTGAGCACGGTACTAAGGTCAGCCTGCGGTATGCTCTGCAGCTGCTGACCCCCGCGAGCATTCTTGCTCGTGTCAACGGTCGTCCCGGTGGTATTGAGGTTGCTGATGTTGCTGAGTGCGAGGACCTGTTCTTGGATGCCAAACGAAGTGCTATGATTGTCAACCAGGACAGCAGCAAGTTCCTCCTATAGAGGAAGTCTTGAGGTAAAAGGAGGAGTTTCCATGATTATGTATACCATGGGGGTATCTTTTGTGTCTATTATTGAAAAGGCGAATATTGTTTTGTAGGCCTAGCTTGTTTTTACGCTAATGCTATCTGATGTTACCCAATCTTGGATTCTCGTGTAGAAGACCTGCCAGGTACCGGCTTTGGTCTGCCGATCATCCGGGCGCCCACAGGATGCATTTGAGATGTTGTTTTCACTTCAGCCGTCTTCGACTCTCGAAGAGCTCCGTAGTAGATTCAGAACGAATAATTCTCACTAGTGATTATCCAAAGTCTCCACGGAATATTCGCCACCGGTCTATTTCCTACTATTTCATACTTCAACTAATCCCGGCCTCGGTCAAGATCACGTGGGAAGGACATCGTCATCCGTCAAGCCCCCCAGCCTCCATTACACCCCATCATTTCATTGACCGATATCAGAGCCAGTTGCTGCATTACTGCGCCGTGGAGGCTTGCTACCTACGACTACGCATTTTATCTACCCAGGGCTTCAATTTTAGCAAGATTCTTTGCACCAACACCCCCATCGAATCCAGAGCAACGCATCCGTACCTCCCCAGATAACAGTGGAGCCTACGGCCCGGACCAACACCACGCCCACCAGACCGACACCGCCGTTACCTTTCTCTACTCTCCGTCTGTACAGACCTACCTCCAATCAACCACCAAGATGTCGAACCCTCTAGACACAGATGCCGGCTCGGAGATGTTCGCCAGCTACGAGAACGAGCTGAAGCTCGTCCAGGCGGATCTAAACCAGAAGCTGGACCAGATCGCCGAAGCAAGCGGCGAGCAGCGTAAGTCCGCAATCCGACAAGCAGAGCAGGTTCTCGATGAAGCAACGGAACTGGTACGCATCCCTTCAACCTCCTCTAGCCCCTCCGAACCACACTCAAATCCCACCACTCCATCCAAGACTATCCTGCTAACGCACCCTCTCCTTTCGACCAGCTCGACCAAATGCGCATGGAGAAGCAGAACATACCCTCTGCCTCCCGCTCCAAAGTGAACATACGCTTCCGGAACTACTCCACAGACATCGACGACATCAAGCGCAAGCTCAAGTCCCTCTCTGACGACCGCAAAGCCCTCTTCGGTGACCGGTACACTGACGAACCGGTCGACGAGCATCTCGAGCAGCGCCAGCAACTACTATCTGGCACTGAGCGGCTCGAGCGCAGCTCCGCAAGACTACAGGGTGCTCAGCGGACGGCGCTGGAGACTGAGGATGTGGGGCGGAACGTGCTAGCTGATCTGTACGGACAACGGCAGACGATTCAGCATACTCGTGATAATCTGCAGCAGAGCGAGGGATACGTTGACACGAGTATTAAGACTTTGAGGGGCATGGCCCGTAGGTACTGCACCCCCGATAAACCCGGCCTTTTTTGGTTCTGGCTAGACCGTTGATGGGGTGAATCTTTGACTAATGATATCTTGCAGGATGGCTACGAATCGGATAATCACGATTGCTATCATTACGGTCCTTGTCCTTTTGATTATTGCCGTTATTTACAGCAAGTTCCATTAGCGTAGCGGGGTTTTGTTTCTTATCGATGGCGTTTTTCTTTGATGTTGGAGGCTCTTTTGTTGTATCTCTCTATGAACCGCTGCATGCTTAGCTAGTCTTATCATGACCAGTGACGTCGGCCAGGACTGTACGTCTGGTCTGGTCTATAGCAGCTTGTGGTGATAATTGAACATTGATCATATCTTAATTTCCAACTTCGACCGGACGGGTTTGATGCTTATAGTTGAGGTTTGAGTATACAGACCCTTCAGATGAAGTAAGCTAATAGTCAAAGCATTATCATATCTACTTCGAAGAACTCTAGTCAACCCATATCACCGATAACAATCTATGTACTACACAGACTGGGTCTGGAAGATACAAGGTTTGCAAGCCCCACGCGGGGGACACCAACAAGTGCGGAGCGAAGCGCTTTATAGTATACTCTAGATAGATAGTAGACTATATACATCTATCTTTACTAGGGGGGAGAAAAAGTGATCCACCGGAAAGCCGAATAATAGGCAATCAAGCACGGATCTCAGTTTACTCCAGCGAAATACGAACTGGTCCACTTCTAGAGATCCCAGAAAGAACAGCACACATACTCTCCGCTTACCACACGAGGCCTCCACCTCATGCCGGTATCTGATTCAAGTGGGCATTCTCCGTGACACTAACACACTAGTAGTTGGGACTGCGAACCATAGGCATGGCTGACTCAAGTCCATAACTAGCTTGTGCACTCATCAGGATGGCATGGATCAAGGGGTACCACCGCTAGGATTGCAGTCACCGTGGCAAGTGTATGTAGTACACAAATAAGTTGATGTGCTTGAGCAAGAATCGTCTTCCTCAGAGTTGGCATAACCCTCGACTTGGAAGATAGCTTCGGTCTGATCGATTTCGACATCAATCACACCACCTTTCTCTTCACATGCTGCGATCAATGAACTGGACGACTTGGTACACATAGCTTGAATACCCGGCCCAACAGACCAGAAGAACAGCAGGGCATTTCCTACTCTGCCAATTTACCCCGAGCTCTTGCGGAACTCGATCATCAATCCAATCCTATATCAAGCGCATTAGCATGTAACCACACTTAAGTAAGACCCAAAAAGAAGGGAATTCAACATACCAAACACCCTCGCAAGCTCCCTATCCCTCCTCAATTTTGTCGGCTCCTCCCCCTTTGGTAATAGGCACATAATAACCACCCCTCTCACCCTTCTCGCCAACCTCTGAAGTCGGGGGTGAACATCGCCTGGGTGATTTTAGGGCGAGCGCCGCTTTAGCGTCGCGTAAGCTAGTGTGAGTAAGCTGGAGGTGAGTGTAGAATAGATGGGGATGAGAAGCAGGGCTGCTCATGTCCCAGTACCCCAGTCCCAACATTGATCAGAGCCGAGCACAGTGAACATGCCTCAAATGTAGATATATACATATGAACCCATCCATCCAACAACTCCTCAACTCATAATCCTCATAGCCCCAAACCCAGCATTAACCACAACCCCCACAAAAACCGCCACACCCTTCCTCCAACTCCAAACCCCCTCCTCCCTCCTCAACCACATCGCACAACCAACAGGCCAAAAGAAGCCCATCACTGCGCCCCAAAGCATATCATCCATGGCCGACCTCGATCCAGACCCCAACCCACCATCATCATCACCAATCGCACCACCCTCCCCACCACCCTGCGCCTGCGCAACAGTCGACCCCTCATCCATCCACCGATCCTCCAGATCACGAAGTTCCTCGCCGGTGGGCATGGTATCCGGCGTCCGGGAGACGGACTGGACGGCGAGGAATTGGGATCGGAGAGCTGTGACTTCTGCGGGGGTGAAGCCGGCGGAGAGGAGGCGGTCGAAGCCGCGTGGGGCGGGGGTTGTTGAGGTTGTCTGTTCGTGCTGTGATTGGGATTGTGATTGGGAGGTGTGGTCGTCTGTAGATGCGAGGAGAGACGTAGACCGGGAGCCGTCTTTCTTCTTTTGTAGGAGGATGGTTGAGGCCACGGATGCCTCGGCTGCTAGGTCGGATTCTGACAGCGCGATGTCGCCGATGGAGCAGTGGATGTAGAGGCGTGGACGGGAGTCGCGCATGGGCTGCTTGCCCTTGGCTTTGCTTGATGAGCCATTCTCTGCGGCGGAGAGCTCATCTCCATCGTTATCATCTGCGGGGCGAGGAGTGCGGGATGGCGAGGGTGGGAGCTTGAGGGATGTAGCAAGGGCGGTTGTGTCTTCTAGGCCGCGACCAGCGTAGATAAGGCGAAGACGGTGAGAGGAGAGTGAGGGTGGTAGTTCGGCGCGGATTAGTTGCTTGAGTCCTGCGCCTGTCGTGATGTCTGCATTTGGGACGTCTAGGTAGAGGTCGGGAATGGACGCGGAGAAGCGAACGGTGATGAGGAGGTCCTCCACGAGGGGGACTTCGGCAATGTCTGGAGAGAGGAAGGATGACGAAGGCATTTTGTCCTGGGACCAGGCTGGAACCAAGCAACGAAGGTGGACTCGAAGATAGAGCTGTCGAAGCTACTCGGACTTGGAGATTCCGGGGGAAGTGGATCCTGGGGGCTTCGAGGTTATCAACCACCTCAGATAAGCAGAGGGTGATGAGAGCAACCAATAAGGTAAGAGATCGGAAGTGACTTGAATTTAGACATGCCGAAGTGAATATCAATATGAGACAAAAATAAAAGTATAATACATTCAGACTCGGAAGGCACGTCAGGTAAATTAACAAAAATAGTCGCGCCCGGGATCGAACCGGGAACCTTCTGAGCATACGAGTAACCATGTGAATCAGAAATCATGACCATTAGACCACGCGACTTCTTAAAGGGTGGGTCACGTTTTGGCTTTATGAACCAATACTGATGGCGTACCTTAACGAGGTAAGTGTCCGTTTACCTATCCCTTGGACCTAAGATAAATCACCTAACTAAAAAGCAATATGAACAATTTACGTGCCTAGCTTATGATGATGAAAGAATCTGACACTTCCGTCAATTTAGTCTTAAGATCATAAATCTAACTTTCGAGACCACGTGCTAAGAAAGTCGCGTGGTCTAATGGTCATGATTTCTGATTCACATGGTTACTCATATGCTCAGAAGGTTCCCGGTTCGATCCCGGGCGCGACTATTTTTGTCTTTCTTAATTCGACATCCACCCTCGATACTTATACTAGCCAAGTCCAATACTCTTTTAATTATAGTCGCGTGGTCTAATGGTCATGATTTCTGATTCACACGGTCATCTTGTATGCTCAGAAGGTTCCCGGTTCGATCCCGGGCGCGACTATTTTTGCTACTTGCATGTAGTAAGTACTAGATAGAATAGCTGTTGCTTGGTGATACTTTTCGTTTTTACCTCGACAGTCATCCATTGGCGGCCCTAGCCCTACACTACAATCACGATGCATACCAGGCATCAGCATTTTCTTTAGTAATAGCCATTGCAACTTTCAGTGGCAGTTGGAAAGTAATGATAAGAAAAATATGTGCAATTGATTGCTAGCAGTCCCAGGACCATGCATGCTTATTATTAACGTATACTAACTTTTCAAATATTCCAATGTCACCTCGTCAGGCAACAATCAAGTAAAGAGAAAACAAAGACACCATATGAAATCCAACAAAGCTCGCTATTCCAAATCCCAATTCAAAATGCAACGTCCTCAGTGAGGAAGGAACTCCCGGCCCGAGGCCTTGAACCTCTTCACCATGAAACCAGGGCTGCAATTCGCCTCCCAGTCCTCGTCGAAGCCTTCATCCGGGTTGTGAGGGTTGAGACTGTTCTTCCTCTGTGTCGAGAACATGGAGACACCACGGGGCACTTCGTCCTCGAGACCCGGGGACTCGGAGCCACTGCGTCCAACAGATTCACCGCAGGGACATGTGGAAGTCGTCCTGGCGCCGGGTGTGGTGCAGGGGCAAAGGCCCAGGGAGCGATTGCAGGGGACGCACTTGAAGTATGCGTGGGTGGAGGAGTCATCAGAGACGCGAACTCCGGGAAGTCCGCATTGTTGGCATCGCCAGCCTGAAGATGGGCTCTCGAGGGACTGCATGGTCATTGTATGAGAGTATGACTCTGTGTGAAGATAGACTAGAAAGAATAGTATAAGTGACTTGTCCAGCAAAATATAAGAAGAGATTTCCGAGACTTACATCAAGTCTGACTTGAAAAGCGGAAAAGATATGCGAGATAGTAAAGAAGAAGCCTTGAGAATAGCCTGAAAGTGAATCTGAATACTCGGCAGTCAAGTCCGGGGAAAAAACGAGGCTTTTATAGAGATTTTGATTTTGCGGGGGACGAGGGCGATCATTATGACGCTATTTCCATCGCACGAGGTCCACGAGTCCCACCAGCCGTGACAAACCCCAACATTTCGTTGCCAAATGATGCGATGCCAATGCTGGGCAACCCCATAGGATCCTCGAGAAATCACGTAAAAGTATGGGGATCTAGAACTCGGGGACGATCCCAAACGGAAGGCATCGCTGGATTGGGTAAGTACATCCCCGATGCAAACCGAGCAATTAGGTAATATCGCGCAAATGGGTCAAGTGACCCCTGGAATCATTTACGTTTCTCTCGTTTTATAGGTTAACCCTCGTGACAATTTTGCAGAAAATGAAGTAAGGGCCCCAGAATGTCTGAGGGATTATTATTTCTGGTTTTACTGGGGGTGTGTGGCGTGAGCATTCGTTGATTGGGCAATGAGTGGCTTCGAGTAATCACGCGATAGGATGGGGATGTTCACTGATTCAGGGTTCGAGATGGAAATAGACCGTTGAGCCTTGGTAGGGCCTGGACGCCTTTGGGGATGTGGCCACTTGGTAGGATTTAGATGGTTACAGATGCCCCTTTCGAGGGAGAAAATCCAGTATGTCTGGTGATATATATCGTTCTAACCGGGCCGGTTCTGTTGACGAGACCTTCCAACACTATACCTTAAATGAAACCAACAGAATCAAACACGTAGACTGAGTATTGCATGTCTACAATCGATTCAATATCCACCTACATACACCGCCACTCTTTTTTTTCTCATTTGATCTCAAAATGCAATTCATGACTCAACAATGTACAGTGCCAAGATACAAGGCTTCATCACCTGACGTGTCCGCAACCTACCAGCCTTGCACGGGCTAGAACACTTCACTAGCATGATAATAATAGAGCGGACATGAAAATGCTGAATTATTGAATAGTCATGTGCCGATTGGATTAAAATATTCGGCAATAGTTCGGTTACCCGGAAACATAGCCGTGCATATCGCCACTGTTCAAGCCGCGGAAGCTCGGAAGTAGACCTGCAAGCATCATGTCATCATGCCAAGTTTTGTATTACTACGCCTTCGTCATTCATTGTTACTGAAGTTCTTCTTCCACCGTCCCAATGACTTCTATTCATCCTGGAGAAAGGTGTGAGACATGGTGAGAGGGTTGCACAGTTTTTGATTCTTTTCGTCATCGCCTGGAGATCGGCTTAAACTTTAATCGTGGTGCCTGGCGTGGAACTTTTCCAGAAGGGGGTGACTTAATCTTAGATACCTAGATCCATAACTACTCCGTATGCCCGTTGCAATTGAATTGATGAGCTAGCGAGTTATCATCACTTTGCCGAGGTTATCTCTTCGTCACAAGTTCAAAAAGTCTACGAACTAGGGATTCGTGTCGCTATACGTGAATTATATACCAAGCACCGGCCCGTGCTCAAAGGCTTGTCCGAGTTCCTCGAATCATCAAATCCATTGTACTGATCTATACAAATACTATCACATGATGTAATGCCGAGATACAGCTAGAAAAATTTCATAAAGATGGAGACAAGTGACAAGCCAGCTAGACCTCTACGGCCTAGACGGATCTATCAGCAAAACTCGAGTCCGTCCTTTGCCAGGACTTTCCCCGACGAGAGAGCGATGGAATCATGGTGAAAACAAGGATCAAAAGAAAGAGGAGAATCTGTATCAACTGGATATCAAGCGCATGTACCCGACCAAAGAGCGGTCGTAGTCCCCAAAACAGGAACCGAGTGGAGGAAAAAGATGAAAACGCCGTCCGATGCACCGTCTGCGATTAACGCCAAAAACCCGGAATCAAGTAGACATATCGAAACGAGCGCTTAAACCATGAACGATTCACCGCAACCGCATTCTTCCTCTATAGCTAGGAGTCAGTAACCATACCGAACGTTGGGGTGCAAGTTGATTTGTAATACGGGGAAACTCACTGATATTGGGGTTGCGGAAAACGAAGCGTCTGCTCAGCGGATCCTCATGCCAGTCCATTTCACTGCCAATGATACTGAACAGAGCCTTGCTGTCGATCAAAACCTTCACACCGTCCTGCTCGACGATTTCATCGAACTTGCCCGGCTTCTCCACGTACTCGAGGTGGTACGCCAAACCGGAGCAGCCGCGGTTCTTGACTCCGACCCGGATAAACTTGGGATCGGGCTGTGACATCAAATTGCGAAGTTGCTCAGTGGCCAGCGGTGTCAACTTCATCGCCGCCTTGCGTGCCCGCAATGGCCGACGGGGCTTCGGGGAAGTCTTCGGAGCAGCGGTCGAGGTGGTCGAGGTCGTGGCTGTCTTGGGCTTCTGAGCCTCGCCTTCTCGTAGGGAAATAGTCGAGGACTGTGTGTTTGAGATGGTCTTGGATGATTCTCCGGAGAGGGGGAAGTCGGCGGTAATCGAGGTATCGAAGCCGCCGCTGCCACGGGGCATCGGGAAAGACGAAGGGAGTGTGTGAGGGCGGTATGCAGTGGCCGTTTGCATATCACGCTTGGAAGACATGTAGGCGTTTCCACTGGAGGAGAAGCAGCGCAGCGACTGAGTGTAGTGTTGGCCGGCCGAGGGCTTCACCCATCGGAGAAGCGTGGCGGATGATGTCACCGGGCGCTGCATGGCGGTGCAGAAACTCATGATTGCGAGGGAACACGAATGTGACGAGAGAGAGCGCAAATAGTGGGCTATACACGCATAGGACGAGTGTGCGAGGGCGAGGGTGGTGGTGTTGTGAGTTGTGAATTGAATGAGGGTGGCAGGAGAGAAGAATCTCTCTGTGTTTGTCCTTTCCCCGGCGGCCGATTAGCTAACCCAGTTGCATGATCAGGCTCCGGCCAATCAGAGATAAGGTGTTTCTACACACGGTGGCGCCACTGCACTGCAAGGGCGGAGCGGTTAACGGTTACCGCTAGCCGCACCATACGGAGTAAATACTGTATAAGCGGAGGGATCTCGTCTTTCATTCAAGTTTAACATATATTCAAAGTAAATCGAATCTACAAGTCAACCGGGTACATTGTGTGTCTCATGCTCGAATCTTTGGTCTCTGCCGGTTGCGTTTATCGGTAGATGAGTCAGCCATTTCGGCCTAACTCGATGGCCTGAGGCACTAATATGCCGACTGGGTTGGGCCGATTTGCGGAGATCCCATGAACAATTCCACCATCAGGGCGATGAGGTATAATATTTCACTCAAAACAACATGTAAACCCCTTCGTTGTAATCTCACCCCAATAGTTGAATTTAATGTTTTAATTATATAAAATTATTCATTCATCTCTCCTACAATGTAAATTAAACCGCGGCCTAGCCATAGATGAGGACATGTGGCTGGACCCGCTTACAAAGTGGCTGGTGCCGAGCTGTCGGCCTCGTTGAAGCGTCAAAGAACCAACCGCCCATCGCTGCGTGTTGTATGTTACAAGTTTCAGGGATCGCTTGTAAACCGTGTACCTGAATCATGGAGGCGTCACCTCTCACCCAACAGAGCAGGCCCGAGACTTTCACGCCGAAGATTGTCCAGCTCTACGAGACCCTCTTCAAAGTATGCCCCTCCAACCCCATACTGCCCGGCCCGACACGTTCTGATATTCCGCATTAGGCACCCGAAGATGTTTATGTGGAGCCCTCCGAGGGCTTCTGGAGAGAGTTCTTTCTTTTGCCCCCAGATCGGGCCCGGTTACATTCTCTGCTGGATGGGTTGAGTCCTGACGAGACGTTGAGTTTACAGGTGTGTTATTGCAGCGAGGAGTGTCTCCACAGGGCCGAAGTTGACCATCCATGATATAGACACAAACAAAGCATCTATTTGCCCGTGCTATCCGTGAAGCTTCCTCTGGAGCAGCCCCGGCCGACTCTTATGCATTAGATGTGAGTATTCACTCGTGACCTCTAACCGACTCAAATTATTAACTAATCGCACCCTCCAGACCCTCACGGTCTTCTTGACCAGCATCTTGAGCAAGAAATACACCAACCCCAGCTCAGATGTCATCACGGTCCTCGCAGGCCTCGACGAGGTGGATCATGTCATCTCCGAGTTTGTGGCTGTCCTGGATGGCATTGTGCGCAATGGCAGCAGCCGTGAGTATCTCCCAAGCCTCATACACATTCGATCCAAGAGTGAGGCTAATATATGTCTTTATTCCAGTTGAGCTCCGCCGCAAAGCAATCAGAGTGGCTATTGCCACGACAAGTGGGGCCTATAAAACCAGCCTGGTCTCCTATTTCACCCATCGAGATCTCTTCCCATCGTTGATGAAGGTATTCGTCTCTAATCACAATTTAGGCGCCCGGGCGCTAACATGATAAAAATAGTATGTGAACGATTCCGAGACCCCATTGGAGGTCTTCGACCCCTTCTTGTTGATAGGTCTGCTGGCAAACTACAACAAATTCGAATTTCAAAACCCTTACCAGCTTCGACTCGACGACTTTGTCAATGAGGCAAGTATTCAAAAGATCGTCAAGGGAGTTGGTCAGGCCTGCAGTGGTCTGCGCAACGGCTATGTCGCCGTCCAGGATGATATCCCCGAAGGCTGGACCTTGACCAACACCCTTATCTTCTTCGGGCTGCGGGCTCTTGCACCAGGTGCAAGGGACAAGGCCAACCCGCCTACCGCAGAAGAAGCAAAGGCGATGTTTGCCGATCTGTAAGCTACCCTCTTTGGAGATACTTATTTCTTATATACAAGCTAACACATCTCAGACCCGCACAAGAAGCCGCCATTCTGATGGCCACCTACGACTTTGCAAAATCAAACAAGCTCTTCGGTTATCACTTGGTACACATTATTCCCGAGAAAAACGAAGAGTCCCCATTCTCCAGCTTCCTCTCTCTGTCCTCCTACCTCTTACAACACGCATACCGCTCCCCACGCGTAGCGCACTACGCCGAACTGAGCCTCTTCACCCTCCGCATCCTGGTCGAAGACCCAACCCTCTGCAAACACATCTGCAGCGAAGACGGCAAACGTCGCGTCCGGCTATGCCGACAGCGCCAGCCATACCTGCCCCTCGTAAACGGGGACCGCGTCCTCGCAACAGTCATCTTCGACGCCATGATCGATACTATCACACACAACCTCCGCCGACGACTCGACGTCAACATCTACAGGTAAGCCATTCCCCTCTCCTCGCGCTATGCCATCCCAAATCCATATCCTAATAACATCGCCCAGCCACACAATCGCAATAACCCTCCGCATCCTAACATACCTCTCCACCAACAAAATCCGCCTAACATACCACTGGTCCGAACTCTGGCGCACCCTCCTCTCCCTAATGCGCTTCCTAACAACCTACGCCACCGACCTCTCCTCAAACCCCAACATCAAAACCCTCACCTCCTCCCTCGCAGATCTAATGGCATTCTGCGTCTCCGCAGGAGACACCTTCCTGCCCGACCCATCCTCCTACGACGATCTCTTCTATAAACTCGTCGAGACGGGGCCCGTCATTTCGAAATTCAGAGATGTGTACGAGTTTGCGAATGGCTCTCGCTCGGCGGGTTCCTCTGGTGATCCTACTTCGAAGGATATTCATGCGGCGGCGATTGATACCTTGTTATCTGTCTCAACGCATTTCTATACCCTTCTCTTCCAGTCGGATGGGAAAGATCCGGCTGCGGCGGTGGTAGCTAGTCCCAAGGGTGATGGGGAACCTACACCTGTAGCGCTGCCGTCTATTAAGAAGAAGAATCTTAGTCCGAGGGAGGTGCATCGGATTATCAAGCAGGGGTATGATACCTTGAGTATTCAGCCGCCGGAGGGGTTGACGACGTGGTCGCGGTGGAGAGAGACGGAGTGGAAGAGTGAGTTGAAGAGGGCGGCACGGTGTGCGGTTGATGATGCGAGGCAGTTGGTTGCATGAGTAGGAGGGTGGTGGATGGGATAGTGTTGTGTTTGAGTTGTGATTGTGTTTCTTTTGATATCCAGTAGAGAATATGGCATTTGGAATTGATGTTTACGTGTGAATAGATTGTTGAAAGTATGAGGACTTAATGGTACTTTCTAGGGGTGTTTGAGTAGAATTTTGATTTCATATTCCCATTAACTCCTCTAGTAGGAGCAATGCTAAAGGATATCACCGTGTTGCGATTGAAGCAAGAGTAAACAGAGAAAAAAAAACCAACCCATAGGCCTTTGGAGGCGGAACGAAGAAAAAGAAAACAACCATCGCCGAAGCATCAAGAAACCCGATGAAAAAAACAAGGCATAGGATTGTAACTGCGCAGGATGACAGTGCGTAGAGAAGGAACGGTGTGTCCTGGGAGAAGATCGGAAGGTCTCACGTCGTAGAGAGTCCTCGCCGTCGTTGGTTGATGGTGTGTGCGGGTGAGATTGATAGATGGCGAGAGGGTGAGAATGTGAATGAGGGCGAAGACGTTTAGTTGACGTCCTTGAGCGACTGCTTGACGTAATAGTCCTCGGCAGAGATGTAATCGGTGCGGAAGTACTTCTCCGAGTTCTTGGACAGCCAGAGGGAGAACTTGGAGAGCTCCTCACGCAGGCGCTGGGTAGCTTGAAGGTCCATGTTTGTCTGAGCGAGCAGCTCGGGAAGGAGGCCTGTACCACGAGAATTAGAATCAATCCAGAAGAAAAAGGGTCAGTAGGAACGAGTAATCACATACTGAAGAGACGGATCAGATGCTCCGCACCATAGACATCGACAGGACCCTTGCCGCCGGGGGTGTTGGCAAACTTCTTGCGGAACATGCGGTACTGAGGGCGCTCGTAGCGGTAGAGCAGGAGCTTATCGAGCATGGTGTCGAAGTACTCCAGAATGCCGGCATTCACCTCGTCGAGGACGTCGACATCGATGCGGCTCTCCAAGCGCTTAGGAGCCTCCTCGTCGCGCCACTCCTGGAGAATCTGGCGGACGGGCTTGGGAGCAGGCAGGCGGATGACGGCGCCGTTCTTGGTAACGCGCTCCCAGTCGTCGACGATCAGGGCCTTCAGGTTGTCCGGCATGACAATGCGGATGGAAGGGCGGGACTGGAAGGTTTCCTCCTATTCGAGTTCAGATTGGACCACGTTAGTTTGATGCTCCTGAGAGGTAGTTCAACTGGTAGAAGGAGCAGGTCCAGTGGTTGTTTTGTTAATTCGTCGGGGGTATTGCTGGGTGAAAAAGGAGCGAGGAATAGGGGGATTCTTCTTGCGAGGCATGATGATTGTGTGCGCACGTTGAAGATGGAAACGGGCCAGATGGATATTGGTTGATAGGTGCTTGGGAGGATTGGGAGGATTGAGATGTAAAGGGAGGTGTTGACGTGGGGATCAAAAGTAGGACGACAACGGTAACGTACCTTCTCGATGTCGGTCTCACCACGAGCCCGCTTGCTGGCGCGGCCGGGCACAGAGTTGCCGCGCTCCTCACTGTCACGAACGGAGCTGCGGTCGGACATGGCGCGCTTCTTGGCCGTGGGCTTCGCATTCTTCTGGCGGGCAGCGGCCTCAACCTCCCGGCGCAAGTTGGCGGCCAGCTCACGGTTCTCCTCCGTGGCCTTACGAAGGCGGTCCTCGAGCACCCAGTCGTCCCAGCTGTGAAAGAAAAGTCAGCACATGATCTCTTTGATATCGTTGGTAACAGAGGCCAGTGTATCATGAGAACCATGATCAACAGACGCTCGTTTGGGGATCAGAGTGAAGAGAGGCACGAACAGACGAGAGCGGTTCTTCATATGACCGAAGACTCGATCCATGGTGCTGGTGGTTTTTGGGATGCAGGGATATCGAGGAATGTGAAGAGGATGAAGGTAGAGGTGCAGAGGGAAAGAGCAAACTTACGTGTTCTTCCAGCCCTTATAGTGGACTAGGTACTCGAGGACGCTCTTCTTGTCCGCGGCGTCCTTGTGCCGCACCTCTAGGATCTTTGCATCGTAGAGTATGTCATGGTGGAAGCAAAGGACTTTCTCGTCCTTGCTGTACATAGAGGAAGCAGGCATGACTGAAAATGGGAGAAGAAAGGTGGGCGTAGAAGAGAATAGTAGGGTTCAGAGGAGACAACAACGACGATGACAATGTCGATGGAGAGAAAAGGGTAGAACAGTCGCTGTAAGCGGTACAGAACTTGCACTCTGAAAGGGTTGAACGGAAGTTGCAAGAACAAACTCCAAGAGGGGATTCACAGTCCTTAAAAAAGAAATCCCGTAGGCGGTGTACCAGAAAGGATGGTGTTGCCTTGGGATAGGCAGCGTCTGGCGTGTTCTGGAGGTTGATATCTCAGTCTTGCCTGGAGACAATTTGCCCAGGCACCGCTGGGATAAGTCGGTATGTTGCCTGATTGAAGTTCAAATCCAGCCCTGCCTAGTCCTCAATTGCGAAACAATGGAGTTTGAAACAATGGAAGCCTTTAGCGTGGATGTTGTGACGCGTGAATAGCTGTTGGAGCACTGAAGATGGTGAGGAAGTGCAATTCCAAAAAAGGCGGAAGTGGCCCCTTGGAGAAATCGGGTGCAAAGCGATAGTTCTAGACAGAGGATAGAAGAAAGTCCACAACTCCGTCCCCAAATATGGATATCTTTGAAGTATTGCACAATAAGTTCTGTTGCACAAGTGATTCTGTGAAGTACTCGGAGTGCAGTAGGAGATTCCTGGTTATCGCCTCCATCCTCCACGGCAGACACGTGATACGCGCCTCGACGGGAGACGCGACGCGGCCAATTCTCATTCGGGAAATATTCGAACTTGCCATTTACTCGACCGGATTATTTTGATTGAGGAGATTCAATCTATTCAATCCATTCAACCATGGCACCTTCGGAGGAATCTATTCTGAGCAACTTTCTGCTCTCGCCGGCGCCACTGCCCACAATCATCTCCCTGCAGAAGTTCACAGAGCTATTCCCCAAGCGACTACGGGGTCATCCCCATATTAGGACCTTGTACCGGGAGCTGCAGCAAGTCCGGGAACATGACATGGACCGGGTCAACGAGAACATCGATCTGGAGATCCGTCAAGGCGAGCGACAGAAAGCCGAACTTCGCAAGGCCAGACGTGCGACGGGCGTTGAAGCTGCCAATGCCGAGGAGCAGCGGGAGATGGATATGGATCTCCATCTGTTTGGCCAGAATTTGAACACCGGACCAGATGATTATCATTCGGTGGATAGTCTTCTAGTGGCGATGGAGACTGCCAGTGCCAACATTGAGCGCGAGATAGCCGATATTGATCGAGAGGCTGCGGCCCTACTGAAGGAACTCAATACGACGGTTGGCGATTTGAGTGATCTTCGCTACGGTAAATTGCAGGGACCGGCTGGCACTGCTAATACGCTGGCCAGCGAGACCATTCAAGGCCTGCAAAACCTCGAGGAGGCTTGTTACAAGGACATGGGCTCTGGTCCTTCGTGAGTCGGCAGATGCTTTGAATACGGGCGATAAACTGCCCTACTCAATCAACTCAATACATGTGGCAGAACTTGATTAGAACCTCTCGATCGTCTACGGTGAGTGACTCCTGTGGTCATGTTAAAAAAGAAGCGAATGGCTGACTTTGCAGACGCTTTTGCCCTGCATAAGGCAGATCATCATTATGGACTTATTCTCCCCCTACTGAAATTTCTCATTGAGAGGTTCGAAGGAGACCATACCTATGGCTAGACTGCTCTGAACCATCAGACCAACCCTGGGAGGGGACTGCCAAGAACTTCTCGAGACTTTCCTTCTATGGCAACCGGCTTGAAGAGTTTCTTCTGACCGCAAAGATGTGATTGGCCGGACAAAAGACGTCAGCGTCTGTATCACGATGTACACATGATTGCCTCGCAGAGAAGATGTCCTCGAGTGGCAAAGGAGAGCCTCATAAGCGACAAAAGGAAGGGCTTAGAACACTATCCTAGCACAATACAAATTGCATTTGCCACAATCTCGTCATCAGCTCCTAAATTGTAATTCAAGTATCAATTCATCGGTGCTGTTTTGCCTTCTAAGCTCTTATACTCAATCCAGTATTTCACTCCCCACAGTTTCAGTGTGGGGTCGATCGACGGGACGCGACGCGGGTCGCGTCTCTCGACAATCTTTAGCTTCAGCATTAACCTCGCCCGGATCAAATCAACACCCTACAACATCAGTACTAAAGGCTACTCAATCATTCAATCATGCCCTCAATCACACTACACACACGCTCCTCTGGGATCACCCAAACTACGCCCGCAAACGCCCCCTCCCACCCCGTCCACAACCCACTTCCCCAACTCCTCCAAACGCCCTCAGGCCTCGCTCTCCTCGAACTCCAGGCTACAATCAACGTGCCCACCTCCGAAGCCGAGCAAGACGACCGCAGCGAAGACAATGGCCTCGCAAATTCCACCTCCTACGAAACCCCGATCGGCAAACTCATGTTCCCGGACTACTCGATCCATAACCCGGACGACACGAAGTGGATGAAACGAGTGTACCTATACGTTGGACGGTATCAGCGGATGACCGGAGAGGTCAAGAAGCTTCCGCGACCGATTGCGGTGCTACAGAAGAGGGCTGGGACTGTTGGGACGGAGGAATTGGAGGTGGTGGAGATTGTGCGGTATAAGGTGTTTTTCAAGAGCCGACCGGAGCCGGTGAATGATGTTTGAGGGGGAATGTGCAGGGATGTTTGTATATGAGAGATTGATGGATATTCTACGATGGAATTGAGGCACAAGGGAGCTGCTTCCTGCTGGTACTGGTACAGGGCTATGGGTGGTGTGTCTGAGAGACTACAACACGGCTATGGGACATGCTGTGCCAATCGGCCCTCACGGACGCAACCACGGACTGATACAACGTTGCCCAGGTCTTGAAACACCAGATCTACAATGTTGCTCCGTTGTCCTGGGCTCACTCCCCTGTGATGATTCCCCAAGCTACGATCTGCTCCGTCTCGTTCGGATGACCGTCGGGACAACCAAGGGATAAGACACGGAAGGTCCATGGCTTCGCAGTTGACTTTGCAGCTCCCTTATCTCCAGCGAAGATATCCGAAATCACAAGGGAAAAAGATATAACCAAATCACCCAGTGATATCAGCATTGCCTCGTATATCTTATCGCCAAGGCAAGAGTCGGACCCGCGGGAAGCCGGGCAAGGAATGTGTGACGAGAAAGTTTATGCACACGATCCCGAAACCAAACCTTGAAAAATAAGCTTTGTCCCTGTCAGCCATCCAGCTTTCATGTTTCTCCCTCCTTTCCAGTTCCATATCTTCTCCCTCTACTTCAATTGACACAGTCAACAACTATCGACGGCGAGGAAAAAGCAATTCCTCGCCATCGACATCCCTTGCCTCACTCAACCCCAGAAACACGCAACAAAAACAGCCCACCATGACCATCCCCGCCGCAGACGAAACTATCTTCCCAACAAACCTGGGCCCCGAGTATGTCGGCTTCGACCATATCCTCTGGTACGTCGGCAATGCCAAGCAAGCCGCCTCATACTATATCACCCGCATGGGCTTCAGAGCCATCGCCTACCGAGGTCCAGAAACGGGTTCACCCTACCTGGCCAGCTACGTGATCGCCAACGGTGACGCGGTCTTCGTTCTCACGGGACCAGTCTGCGGACCCTCTCGAACCGAATCCGAGACGGAGAGCAACAATGCTTTACAACGGGCGACGGACGAGGACCGGGCGGTGCTAGCCGCGATCCACGAGCATCTCACAACACACGGAGACGGAGTCAAGGACGTCGCGTTCCGGGTAACCGGTGACGTGGGCGCGGTGTGGAAACGCGCCGTTGATAACGGGGCTGCCGCCGTGGCGGAGCCGAAGAGTGTAAAGGCGGACTCTGAAGGGGATGGATACATTACGAGAGCGACGGTGGGGACGTATGGGGATACCGTGCACTCGCTGGTGAATCGGGAGCATTACAAGGACAGTGCGCCGTTTTTGCCGGGGTATCGGGTCATTGATGAGGAGGAAGATCCTATTAATAAGGTCCTGCCATCAGTCCGGTTTCTGGAGATTGATCACTGTGTGGGGAATCAGACGTGGGGTGGAGTGGATCGGGTTGTGAAATTGTATGTTGGAGTGCCCCTTGGAGAATGAGATGATGAGGACTAACAAGATCTGGGTTAGCTACGAGGAATGTCTGGATTTCCACCGCTACTGGACGGTCGATGACAAGGATATGTGCAGCGATTACTCTGCCATGCGTTCTATCGTGGTAGCATCGCCAAATGAGGCGATCAAAATGCCCATGAACGAACCTGCCACGGGCAAAAAGAAGTCTCAAATTGAGGAGTACGGTTTCCCCCATAATGGACATCCTACCAGGGTCCTATATTGTATCAAACACTAAAAACAACTCCAGATTCGTCGACTACTACCACGGCGCAGGTGTCCAGCACATCGCCTTCCGCTCAGAAGACATCGTCTCCGCGGTCACAAACCTCCAAGCCCGGGGCGTCCAATTCCTCAAAGTCCCCAGTACATACTATGCCGACCTCCGCCGGCGTCTCTCCCACGTCTCCTGGACTCTAAGCGCGGACGTCGACGTTCTAGAGAGACTAAACATCCTGGTCGACTTTGACGAGCGTGGATATCTACTGCAGATCTTTGCCAAGCACGTCGGAGATCGACCAACAGTGTTTGTGGAGGTGATTCAACGACATGGATTTGATGGGTTTGGAGCGGGTAATTTCAAGAGTCTGTTTGAGGCTTTTGAGAGGGAGCAGGCTTTGAGGGGGAATCTGTGATCTGTTATGGGGACTGAGATTTGATATCTCGTTGCATTTTAGTTTAGATTTGCTAGCCCTAGCCATAGTTAGTTGGCCGGGGGCTGGAATATTCTCCCCTCTCGTTGTGGTTGACCTAAGAGGTTCTAATAGAAATGAAGCAGTCCTCTCCGAAGCACTTCGACTACTATCTACTACAAACGTACAGATGAAGGATTCATAGCCCATGCTCTTCCATATTCACATTAACATACTATCATAGAAAAACTCCCCCCTTCAACGTCCTGCCCCTAACTCGATCTCACTCAAACGACCAACCCCCAGTCTTCTCCACAAAAAAGTTATCCGGATCATAAACCTTCTTAATCCCCTTCAACCTCTCAAAAGTACTAAACGAGCTCAACGGATCCTGATCCACATTAGCATCATTAATAAACAACGGCAACCCTTCCGCATTCCCAGTTCCAGCCACCAAATCCCGATAACTCTCCTGCACAGCGTTATAATCCGCCTCACTCATGCCCGGCGGGGTGGTTATCAAATAATTCAGCCAAAACCACGGCCCGTCCGGCATCTGCATCGCATTCCCACCCTGGCTTTTACTCGCATCCGTCAAACTGCGCGGGACGGGCTGGAAGTCCAACGAAAGCAGTTCGTATTTGCCCTTGTTGGATTCAGCCCACGAGCGCCATTTATCCAGGGCGGTGGAGTAGGAGTTGTTTTCTGGACGGTGCACGCCGACGCGGAAGATGTTTGCGCCGCGGGAGAGCTCTGTTGAGAGGGGGATGGGCATGTTGACGACCTCTGGGTATGTTTTTATACTCAACGTGTTGAGCAGGTGTGGGATGGAAGTAAAATTGTCAAAGGCAGCTCCTGAATCCGGTCCGTCATAGACGAGGAACATGATTATCGCTTCGTCGAGATTTAGATTTAAATCAGGGGTTGGTAGTTTCTCGTAAGTACCGATAATAGCAGCCTTAGGATCGGTATTGTATTTGATAAAGTTGCCAATCGCCTCGATGACGGTGTCTTTCTGGGGAAACGCGTAGATGACATTTCCAGCGTATAACTCGCCGATAGGTCGACTTTGCACGGTATACTTTGTGACGACGCCGTAGGCATTGCCCCCGCCGCCGCGGGATGCGAAGAAGAGATCTGGATGGGAGGATTCGGACGCAGTCACGATTTCACCGCTTGGCAGGACGATTTCCAATTCCCGGAAGGAGTCGCAGGCTAGACCGTACTGCGGCGAGAGATAACTCATGCCGCCGCCGAGAGCGAGGCCTGTGCCTACGCCTGCGAGCCGGGCGCCGACGACGGTGCGGTTATACTGGACGTAGTACTCGTATAGATCGCCGAAGACACCGCCAGGCTCGTAGGTGGCGAGTGTGGTGTCTGGATCGTAGGATTTAGCGGTCATTTTGCTCATGTCGAGAAGGACACCCGCGTCGACGGAGGAGAAGAATGTGTTTGGATTGTGGCCGCCGGCTTTGATGGCGAAGCGAGAGTCTGCTGTGCGGATGGCTTGGAGAGCTGTGGAGACGTCTTGGGCGGAGGCTGGGTAGACAACGCAGGAGGGTTTGTAGGCATCTTGCAGGGTATTCCAGTACTCTAGACTTTCGATGTATTGGAGGTTGAGCTGACTACTGACTACCTTTGAAGAGCCTAGTTTGGTGGTGAGGTTGGTGCAGGCTGCGGGACCGGCCGCTGTTGAGGCTGTAGTCTCATGGATGAGGGCGCCTGCTAGCAGGGGCAGGTAGAAGGGTATCATGGTGATAATGCTTGACACCAGAAGATTGGTTTTGAGGGGCGCGTCGGGGCTTCAAATAGTTCACATTCCATTATGTATGGAGTAGGGAGGAGTGCTGTATATTCACATGAGGAAAGAGTTGTATACTGTTATGTATAGACAATTGAGGATGATCCCTCGGCATTTGTATACGATAGCAATACGATAAACTCGGGAATGGGATACGATGGGAATACGCTAGTTGGAGGGGGAAGGGGAAGGATTCACTTGGCCTCAACGGGGTAAGAGGAACGGCGATCATAATCTCTAATAGCCTCAACGAAGGAGAACCTAGAACTAGTGTGAGTGAACGGCGTGATCAAGGAAGATCAGTACCTAAATTGAGGATCAGATTAGCCTCTTTTAGGGCACACTCCGAGATAGTGCTTGATTATGCAGGGTATACTTCGGATGTTGGAATAATGAGAAGAAGCAAAGTGTGGGGGAATTTCGGAGACGCTGCAGATCATCCTCGGAGTTAGTAGAGTTCCCATTAATGGGAATTCACAAATCCGAGGCTCTTCTTGATCCATTTCACAGCAGCTTTGAAGCAATCTTTAACTGTCTCCCAAGCCTGACTGAGCTGGTTCCAAATTCCCTTTAAGAATTCCGCAACCGAGTGTAAGACCCGATTCAGCTCACGGATGACAACATTCAAGAAAGTGCCAACACCTCCCTGCCCTTTACTGAACGAGTCGGCAGCCTTGGGTTTGTCCTCCTCGTTATGAATGCCGTTATCGATTGCTGCGATAGCTTCATCTCTTGCGGCATCCACTTTTTGGTTCAATTCCCCTTTGAGCTTCTCACTACTATCAAAAATTTCGCGCTGCCAAGCTGGCGGGTCTGGTTTTGTCCCCTTTAGGGCTTTAACCTTTATTTTGAAGTTTTCAAACCCCTTTTCGCATCCTTTCGCGGTTTGAAGGTTGATATTCATCAAATGCTCCTTAACGCGAGCAAGATCTCTCTCTCTATCATGGCCTCCGCCATGTCTACCGCCGCCATAGACGTTACTGCGGCTTATTGTATCATCAACTAGCGTGATCGTATCGTTGGCGACGAGACAGTTAATAGGGCCGAAGTTTCCAGTGGACACACAAAAGTTTAACAGGTTGGCCCGATTATGGATCCGCCCCTTCCAGTCCTATAACTCAGAAGTGGCGCGAAGATCGTTCGATGTATGTTCATTTTGTTTGATATAAAAGTAGATTGAACTGGTATGTGAACTAGTGTTGTGAACTTGTAGGTGAACTAGTAGGTGAAGAAGGGCGAAGAAGAGTGGTATATATTTAGCTTGCAAGTTCAAAAACCCGATCGTTGCTAAGTTGCTCATTATATTTAAGTCAGATCATATTGCCACTCAACCGTCTAGATCCGTTCATTTCAGCACATTATAAGACATTAATACCTTAACGGTTCAGGTATTAATTGATCATTAACGGATTTCTGCCATGATGAGGTATCATGCCCATCCGAAGGTAGCAAAAGAAAACCTCCGTATATATCATGGCTTCAACTGTACCATTGCCTTAAGAGATGAATGCAGGCATTCTAAGAAGTAGATCTGGATAGACGGGCCTAGATCACGCATGAAAATCACATAGAGCACTTTTGTGATACGGAGTTGAGAGTGACCGAGTAGTTTATGACGTCAGTGAGCTAACCCTATCTAGGTGATCTATGTCTGGACCTTTAAGCATTCCATAGATCTATAGTTGAAATATATGATCGGCTACGAACATCAAACTTTATTCTAAGTCACTTACATACATACGCATCATGCAATCTATCAACTACCGAGTTATCGTAATTCCAAGGGATTTAGTACATATTACGAATAGGCAGTTAGGCGCTAAAATTTTAGTCACGCCTCTATAGCCAGTTGCAAAAATAGCAGGAATAATATTAACTACTACTGTAAACGGCTAAGGTTCTATAGTTCCGTGCGTGGGTCTAGTACTAAGAAAGAGGCTGACTTTTAAGATGCTAAGTTTACTTCTGTTTTCGTTTAAGTTAAGATTTATCCGTGCCCTCCAGCGCCACCACTCGCTCCCGTTCATGAGTGCGCCACCTAATCATTACCACCGCCCGTTCATTACCAATTTTCGAATAAATCATGCGATTCATCAACCAAACTAGCAAACAACACACTAATAATCCACGAAAAAGAGCTCTCCTCTCTCCAAAGCTTCGTTCCTATTAACAATTCCTCTCTGCATACCTTCGTCCGATAGCTGCGAAGGTTTAAAACCGTATGCCTTTTCCGCCTCCCGATCGATCTTCCGCTTATTCGCAGCAATTTCTTTCTCTTTTCTCGGTTTAATCGATCGATTCGCATCACGAGGACATAGAATACCATCCTAGCTTAGCGGTTTAACCTTCCGTCTAGTGTTTTTACGTAGTTCTAATTCGCCGAATCGAATCCTATGTTATCGCAAGCTCTTCGAGCTTAGTGCGCTAGTGCTCAAAGGCCCTAGTTAACTTTCGCTATGCTTTCTCCGAAGTAAGGGTGAGATCCTTAAGTAATTTCACCTAAATATATTCTCGCCCGTCCCCCGGGGGGCATAGTCTCTGACAGGTGCTCTAGATACCTCATATCGACATTCTGCCAGGCAACCTACGCAGTATCAACCAAAATCCGCTTCGTTTCGTCGAGCGAATTAAAGTTAGTAATAATAGATAGACTACTGATCAGATTAGCCTATGATAGTTAAAAGATTATTTTATACGATTAACTAATAGTACTACTAGTAAATACCGCTTATTAGTACTAGACAGTTATTGCTCTAACGCCTCACAAAGAACAGAAATTACTCTGGCCGTGGATATCTTCTCCTAACCTGCAGCCAGCTAGTCCCGTAATAAAAGTTTCTCCTCCAGATTACTCCGTCGCGGTCGCAAATGGATAACTCTAGGTTGGTATCTCTCCGGTGTACAGCAGCCACCTCCGTTGCCCCAGGGAATTTTTTCTCACCAAGAAGTTCCCACTTTCTCCACTGGTTCTCTTTCCTTGAGTGGTAGACACCACCATCACCACTGCAAATAAAGAGATGCAGCTTGTCGGATGGTTGTGATACGGCAGCTATATTTGCCCCTGGGGGGAAACAGGGACTTTGCTTGGTATAGCCGACGATGCTCCAGTCAAGCCATGTAGTCAACCCTTCATGCCAGTGGGAAGTGTACACCTGTCCATCCTGCCCGCAGAGGAACACATCAAGCTCGGTTGGCGTACGATGCACGGCCGACACATTTGCTCCAACCGGGAATTGAGGGGTGTTGTGGCTACCCCGAATGATGCTCCAGTCAGACCACATTTTTGAACCCTCATCATAGTGGGAGGTATACACTTCTCCATCTTTCCCACATACAAATAGGTCAATATCAGTGGGTTTGCGGCTAACAGCCGATACATTCGCTCCAGTCGGAAATAGGGGAGTATGGCTTGCCCGTGTGATGCTCCAGTCAAGCCACGTCTTTGAGAACTCATTCCAGTGGGAGGTATACACATTCCCGTCACTCCCACATATGAATAAATCAAGATGCGTAGGCCAGCGAGCGACAGCTGCTATATCCGAAGCTCCGGGACATGTTCCACCTATTAATTCCCAACCTGATGGACACATAGGTGGATACCACATTCGAGCAACGTGTGCCCCAAAGGGAACCGTATTAAATAACCAGGAGAATCCACCCAGGCTCGACCATCCACTGGGCTCATTCCACCAGCTGGTGAAGACACCGCCTGAGTGATACACAAATACATCAATTTGGCCTTCTCTCCGTGATATGGCCGTGACTTTCGAGCCAGCTTGGAACTCACCCAGGAGTAAGGTCCACATGTCCGGTGAGTCTTGTCCTTCGGCCCACCAGGAAGTATACACTTTCCCATCCCTTCCACAGAAGAACCAGTCTAACTGAGAAGCCTTCCGTGATATGACAGAGATGGGGATTGACTCGGTCAACGAATTCGAAGCTCCATGTGCTTGTTCGCCAGGTTAGTCAAAGGAAGATCATATTCAGCTAAAGTCCTCGATACACACACATTCTTTTTGCATCAGGTTCACAGCACACTGTATCAACTTTGTATGAACTGCCTCGGATTCGAGGTACACGCTGGTAGCTGACATGATCGTGGCGAATTTCTTATATTCTTCCAAACCAACCTCCTGCAAACCGTGATCGACGTTGAAACGAAAGCAACGATTGGCCTTGAACATCTCTGACTGTTGTCTGTGAAACTGTTCTGCGGTCTTCTCGGTTTGAGTTGCAATGGCAGCGAGCGTTTTGGTCATAAACTTATATGGTCCATCAAAGATCGGTGTTGTTTTTTCGTGTCCGGTTCCGATGGATACACTGCATTTCACCAACTTGGAGAGATTGTCACTATTTGGCGACCAGATATCCTTGGCTTCCTCCCAAACTTCAAAGATCGGATTATTCGCTCCCAAGCCACCATCTGCATACTTTTGCTGCGAGTCACCAACCGTCGCTGGTTCGAAGAAAGTTGTCGCCGCCGATGTTGCGCGCGCGGCCTGACAAATGGTGGCCGAATCAGGAATTGCCTGCCGTTTGGAATCAAAGGATCGAAAGCGAACGGTGCTGGTAGCAATCTCCTTCCTCGTTGCAGTAACAAATCTAGAGAATTCAGTCATAGCACCCGAAGCTAGGTCTCGGTCCTGAGGGGCATACACTTTGCAGTTTCGTTTGCTTCCATCGTTAAGCAACTCCACGTCAGGATTTTTGCCTTCTCCAATGTTCTTTTTAACGATATCCCTGATACATCTCTCAAGAGCAGCAGAGTCAAATCGATCATTAACATCCAAATTCCTTTTAAGCGGAAACCAGGCGCTCTTCTCAAAGATCTCCTTTGAGAGGGTTATGTAAGCCTTGATACATTCACTCACGTCCATCTCAAGCCGACCAAGCATGATTGCAATTAGTCCACCAGTGCTTGTGCCTCCGATTAGGTCGAAAATCTCGCATGGCTTTACAGCATGCAAGCCACCTTCGTTCCTTTCAACGTTAATGTGCTTCATCATAGCCTGGAGGACGTATAGAGTGGATAAACCTCGGACACCGCCGCCATCTGTGACAGACAACTCATTTAGCCAAGATTCATAAGTTTTTCTCATTTCATACCTAGTGAAAGCAAACACAGTCCGTCTTTGTCAAGAGACGAGGGGTTGCTGTCAATTCCAGGCATTGTGACAAAATTCATGGGAATTCAAGGAAGTAGGGTTTGAATGTAGCTTGGATAGAACACTTTGCACTGGTGCCTTCCTTGGATCGGCAGTCGTGACAGTAGACAGTAGTATACCTAGGACCTAAGGACCCCCTGGTAACTGTTCTTTTCTGCTTCGGTGAACTGATAACGGGTGATGTGTCTAGCGGTTCCTGCGGATTCCTCCCTCTTCTTATAGCGATTTTCATGTAAAAAGCGTAATAAATATATCTTTCCAAGCAAATATGCAACTGTGACATCATTATACGTCTAACGCCAATCAGTAGATCAGCTGAACCTGGCAGATTGATAGGATGATTAATACTTTCACAAATAACTAGTTACAATCATGGCGTGGGAGTATGCCGTGGGAGTAGGAGTCACCTGAGCTTTTAGGTCAGTATCTCACCGTGTAGATCATTCCAGATCCCCAGAATCACCTACTTGACCTGCAGGCTTGTGTACCAGATCTGGTTCCAACAATGATCTAACCTTCATTGGCTACATCACGCCACCCTAGAGCCACACATAATGCTGCTGGTCCTACGCAATGCCAGATTTTGAACGAAGTTGACTGGTTTGGCCCGTTTCACCTGCATCTTGCGTTGAGTAGTAACTGATGCTGCACTGATCGTCGGCCGTGCTGATGCGGTTATTCACAACGGAGCCGGTGTCTCCATGAAGTTGTACCAAACCCTCAAATTGACAAACGTGGCGTCCACAGTTGAGTGGGTCAAGCTCATTCTACCACGGCGCTTTCTCCCATTCTGGGGAATATGCTATACCAGGCAAAGGCAGACACCCTACCCCTATCGAGTAATTATTTTCTTTCGGACATTTCACGTTATCTCTCAATGTAATGATGGCCACCACCCGATTTAAAGTGAAAGTATACGAATGAAGCAATTCCGAATGAATACTAAGATGCCTTCTTTTGGAGTCATGGGTATAAGCGGAGATCATCACGATACATTAAGAAGTGTGGCCAGATTGTCAATTGAAATACATATTGGAATAGATATCTGACTATTGACGAGCCTAGATCGCCGATCGCTTGGTTCACTGTTCACCTGATCCGGCCGAAAACTTAGGGTCTGTAGCGTTAGCGCTGCGAACGGAAAGTTCTGGCCGGTCTCGAAAATTCTAGCCGATCACCGTGATGACACTGAGCGTTTTTCCCCAGGCACTTCTCTTTAGGCCTCACAGGGTGTCGCAATTCTCCAGGTTCGATTCGACTCGGAACCTCCAAGAGTCAGGTTCAGGTTCCAAGGTTTTGAAGTCGCGATCCGACTCCAGGGTTCTCGGAGTCGAACCTGTCAGGTTCCACAAACAGTGCAAATACAGGGATTCCCGTGACATTCATAGTTTGTGCAGATGTCGGGTTAAACGTGAATTTGAAGTAAGTGCTCTTCTTCTTCGGCTAATCTGTCCTTCCTAGACTCTCCGTTGCAAAATGCCTGCGAGGCCCAACGGGCGGAGGCGGAGGCGCCGAACGACGCGTCCTCCCCCTTAGCCCCCGATGCAACACTCGGCCCATCCACCACGAGATCTGTATCCGCCAGAGATCGGCATCTCCGCAAGCTCCAGGAGACTACTAACCGTCCTCGAAGTCTATTTCTCATGCTCGCCACGACGAACCCTCAGAAATATTCCTATGAGGCCCTTTTAGCTCGGCACCGTGGAAGACCCACAGTGGAATAGCGAATTATTACATAGAGAACACGGTGCATGTCAGTAAAATTTAAATGGCTGATTGTGGCTGTCAACAGGGACCTCTTTGCAGACCTCGGGTTGAACAAAGGATAGCTGGGATTATCTCGATGATCGACCTTCAATTTCAACTGTCTTTTTTGTTACTAAAACCGGAGCCATTTCCTGATGTACAAGGTAAGGATTATTTACATTCACACATTCATCAGTGTTCTGACCGGTGCGGCTCCATATGGCCTGTCCGTTCCCCGCGGGCGGTTACCCAATTTCTAATTGCTTCGGTACTGCGACAAGCGTGCTTGCTCTCTGTTTGTCCAAGATAAAAAGAAAAGTGACTGGGTACGGGAGAGATGTGTTCGCCACGACAGGTTTCATAGTCACCGGTGTTAGGTCGCCGCAGCAAAGTAGTAGTGCATGTCGAAGATGATCAACACAATGATCGATATGCATTCGGCGATACTCCGGTGGGAGAGTCATGGATTTTGCGTAATAATTGGTACCCAAATGTCTGCGAATCGCGCCCCTGCAATAGAGGCTGTGAAAGACACCTGGGCCGCCATAAAATCCTTCTTTCGGTATGGAGCTGTAACGGGTAACTTTGAAAGGTCTATTAGGGGGACGTATGGTGTAATGGATCAACATGGCTTACCCAGCTTACCTAGCTCTCTTGGACACTAGAATGTCCATTCCTGCACTAGGGAACGACCAAGCCAGCACAATAGTGAGGCGAACACAACACCAGGGTAATTCGGTTTTGAGTAGTAAGGCTAACTCATCTTATTCGTTTTACTATGTCTGCAGAATCGGACAACCAGGCTCTTCCAAAGAAACTATAAGAGTGCTGTTTAAACGGCTATTAGAGGCCCTCTAATTGTTATTAACAGCCACGACGAACGTATGGTGTGGTCTGAGGGTAATTATGGGTGCAGGGGTTATTCGGTACCGTTCGCTTGTCTCGATGTAAGAAATTGTTAAAGTACGTTTGATTATGAGTTTTTCATGATTGCCAAGGATTAATGGGTTGCTAAGCTTCACTGTAAGTGCTTGAAATATATGACCGTAATTAGCATGGGTAAACCTCTCCATCCGAAGAACTATCAGCGAGAGAAATATGATTAGATTAGTATTACACTCACTTTCACTCATTAGATAAGTTCATCGTTTAAAGGGCATCGGTGTAGGGAGCCATGTTCATCTATGTTCATTAAGACAAGGCAGCATTGGTCAGACTTAAGCTCCCAGGAGCCTATGATAATATCTCGCCCGAACAGACAGATTATTTTGATTCAGCTATCTTGAAGATGTAACATTGTGACGCTCCGAGGAGTAAGTGTTTGGCCATGCGAATAGCGGGTCTTACTTCCGTTTATTACTACCTAATCTGGCGAGAATAGTATAGCATCAAAACTATAAACGGTCTTCATCTTAGTAGTAGGTGATTATAGGTGAATTTTTACAGAGAGATCTGAAAGTATCTAATCAAAGTCAAAGAAAATACGAAGTTCATCTAGAAAATCCAAAATTGCCTCCAAATGTGGCCAAGCATTGCACGAAGAATGCTCCTAGGAGCATTAGATCTATAATAATTGTAATCAGCCAATTGACCGATTTTCACTAAATACATCCTCTTTACAATGGCAAGGATCGCCAAGGAAGTGGCAAATTTACGATGCCCGCTCTTTGACTGAAAGGACAAGCTGTACAAGGGGTCGGGCTAGCTCGTTGCGTTTAGTTAGGTTAGTTAACTTAACGTAGTTCCCGCCCGTCCGGATCACCCGCCCGTCCGGATCACCACCTCCAGAATCGCGTATTCCTACCTACCTACCAACTTTAACCACCTACCATGACACCAATTCGCCCTGAATCCCGGCAGAAAGCTGCCAGTCAAGAGGGCAAGATCTTATTAGCCCTTTCCGATTTGAAAGAGGGACGCATCAATTCAATTCGCGCAGCAGCAAAGCTATACGAGCTACCGTACACTACCCTTCATGCGCGTACTGAAGGTCGAATCTCACGCGTGGATAAGCGCCCAACTGGCCATAAATTAACCCAATTAGAAGAGGATTCGCTTACTCAATGGATACTCTCTATGGATTCGCGTGGTGCATCCCCTAGACCGGCTACTGTGGGAGAAATGGCTAATATCCTACTGGCCGCGCGCGGTAATCATCCTCCTCCTACTGTTAGCAAGAATTGGCCGTCGTCCTTTATTAAACGCCGCGATGAGCTTCAATCTCGTTTCTCTCGAAGATACGACTACCAAAGAGCCCTAAACGAAGATTCGAAATCGATTCGGTAGTGATTCGCGACCGTACAGAGTGTGATTAATAAGAACGGTATACAACCAGAGGATATCTACAACTTTGATGAGACAGGCTTTGCAATAGGCCTTATATCTTCGCAGAAAGTAGTCACAAGAGCTAAATACTACGGTCGGAGATCTCTTCTATAACCAGGAAATCGTGAATAGGTTACTACGATCGAAGTAATCTGCGTAGATGGCTATTCACTTCCGCTATATATAATCTTCAAAGGCAAAGTAGCTATTACAGGATGGTTTAACGAAAACCTACCGAAAGACTGGCGAATCGAAGTCTTAAAGAATGGCTAGACTACCGATAAGATTAGCCTACGCTAGCTAGAAAAGCAATTTATCCCACACACGAATTCGCGCGTACGTAGGCGATTTCGACTATTGATTCTTGATAGCTATAGTAGCTATCTTACACCCTAATTCGACCGAATCTACGCAGAAAACGATATTATACCGCTTTGTATACCTACGTATTCATCGTATCTACTATAGCCACTAGATATTGGGTATTTTGCAGTACTAAAGCGCGCGTACGGTCGCTTCGTGAGCGATCTTACGCGCAGAGGATATAACCATATCGACAAGCACGATTTCTTAGTGGATTACCAGCACGCGCGGCTCGAAGCGTTCTAATCAACCAATCCTACTATCAAAAATAGCTTCGCAGCTAGTAGTCTAGTACTATTAGACCCCGAGAGAGTGCTTAACAAGCTTAATATCTCTCTACGCACTCCGTCGCCACTAAGCAGCCGGCCAATCAGCAGATCTAGCGAATTCACACCACAAACGCCTAAAACCGCCGCTCAGCTATTCAAGCAAGCTTCTATGTTAAAAGATCTACTAAAACGGCGGTCAAATAGCCCTCCGAGCCCATCAAAAGAGATCTTAGACCAGATGATTAAGGGATTCCAGCTAGCGCTACATAGCGGTGCTTTACTCGCAGAGGATAATGCGAATTTACGCATTGCAAATGAGAAGATGATCAAAAAGCGCAATCGGTCAACTAGAAGGATACCCTGCGCAGAGGGCTTAACCATTGAAGAGGCTATACAGCTAGCTGAGCAGCTAAATCAGGAGGAAGAATCTGATGAGGTAGTATCGCATACTCAGGGCGAATTGCCTATTCAGGCAGATCCCCCACGTACTAGGGCCCCGCCTAGGTGTAGTGGGTGCAGGGAGATTGGTCACAGGATTAATGTATGTAAAAATCGCTATATTTAGGTAAATTTATTGGCGTTGGTTGAGATAATCGATTTTGAAAATTTTTAATGGGGGGAGGTAGCCGGGAATTACGTTAGGTTATTGAGCCTGCTTACTCAGATCGCCTCTCTGGAGGAGATTAGTAAGCAAATCTGGGATTGCTCCGGTCATGCTCAGTGAGCAGGTCACCCTGATTACATAATGATCACTGAGTAGCTCAGGCTGATCAGGGGCATGCTCGATTCTACTCAGTGAGCAAAAGCGGCGAGGGGGTGAGCACTAGAACGGAAGAACGCCAAGCGTTGCCAGACATTTTCCAGTATATATGTTTTTCTAACCGCGTCCGAAAGCCTTCGTCATAGATGGATTGACCTCTAGGGAGCTAACACATACACTAGCCGACCCAATGGACCCTTTAGACCAATCGTTACTTTATGACTATGGCACTACCCAATTCATGCAGAGTAATTCCTCTATACTTTCCATGATTCCAACTATATCAGACCCCACTAAATCCGTGTATGGAGGATGCTAAGTTTGACTGCATCTCTACAGAAATACCTATCGGTACGTCCAGTTTGCAACTAGAACCTAGCACCCGTTGACTAGGATAATCAAGTACAATCAATGGGCACATTCTTACATCTTATAATCTCTATAGCAACCTATCTACTTAGAAATCTACTATACAAAGCATAGCTATCTTACTAGCCCTACTTAATATTCATATTCCGCCCGGGTATTAACACACTTCCAAGTGCGGAATTGACACGCTCCGGGCTCAACTGATTCCGCACTCCTCCCTTCCAAACATTCGAATAACAACAAGTTCCATAGTCGAGATCATACAAAAACACCAACAATAACACAATTAAGAGTAAATCAAAATGAACAATTTCTCTCCAAACAATAACAATAATAACCCCATTCCCCCAAACTCCCCCGATCCGTCGGAATCCGTAGAGGAAACCAATTATCCGGGACCCGCCCTCTCCCCCATCGGCACCCCTCCGATCCGCAATGGAACCCCGCAAGAAAACCCCAACGCCGACGGAATATAAAGAGTGTCCACCAGAACCTCTTCCCGATGTCTGCCGGTTTACAAAAGACACTTCGTTTCTTCCCTACTTCCAGATCTATACCCAGCTATAAACCTATATCTACCTTTACAACTTCATCCACACCCCCAACCAACAAAATGGCCCCCATCGAACGCATCACCCTCTTCAAGATCCCCAAGGAGGAAGATCGCCTGCGTCTCCTGGAGCAATACAAGATCCTAGCTAAGACTGCTACCAAGGTGAGACAACATCACAGCTAGTCAACAATATCCCTACCAGCAATTATATCCCCTCTGCGCGGCATAACTAACACCCACCCCTCTCAGGACGGAAAACCATACATCGTCTCCGCCGCAGTGGGCCTCTCCTACGACGACCCCCGCAACAAAGGGTTCAATATCTCGGTCAAGACGACGTTCGCTTCTCTCGAGGATATGAAGTACTACGATACCGAGTGTGAGGCGCATAAGGCGTTGAAGGCTGTTGCGGGGCCTGCTAAGGAAGATGTTCTTACCACTTATTATGAGAATATTCTTTGAATTGGCGGGGAAGTAGGATATGGAGTGAAAAAGGGTGATGGGAATTACGAATTATGTGATTGATTGACGGATTTGACTTTGTATAGAGATGGGTGGACTAGATAGGTCTACTAAGTACCGGGTATAATGAAATGAAAAGGTTCATGTTGAATTTTCAATTCATGGGATGTACATTGCATTTCTCCGGTATGCTGGAATGTCATTTCGGTCGAGTCTACTACCACAGCAAGGCAAACGGGATAGTAACACACAAGCGAATAGAGTAAAAAGGCAAGTCAAGGGCCAAAAAGAAAGCACCAACATTAGTAGGCGACACGGCTAAAGCAAAACATAACCGAGACTATCACGACCGTATAAGATTCATTCGTAACGGGTTACATAGGTAATGTGAGTATGTGAGTACAGGGAGTCGGCCAGATGAAATCATGGCAGGGCCGAGACACGCGGCAGAAAAAGCAAAACATCCGGCCCATAGACGTGGGGGTCTTGCACAGCATGAAGGAAGGGGATCCCAGATCCCGCTCACCTGGCTGTGCAGGAGAAATATACAATTGAGAAAAGGCTGGACCAGACGAGGTCCGACCTGATAGAGGAGAGGTTGCAGAAGCGTAAGGTTTTAGTCGAGGGCTCGGCGGAGGTCACTCCATTTCTGGCGAAGAGTCTCGTGTTCTTCGGAGATCTGTAGTTCGTGTGTCAGTTGAAGTCCTAAAGCCATTAACTCTTTCTACATACCTCGGCCCACTTCATCTTCGTAGCCACCAACTCCTTCTCCATCTCCGCCATCGAATCCTCCATTGCACGGTTCTCGTTCTGTACCTCGATATTTCGCTTCATGATGCGGTCCATCTCAGTCCGAAGCTTCTCCTCCACCTCACCGGGCTGCTTATCGACCACATTCTTCAACTGGTCGACCTGCAGTTTCAGCGCATCGGTCAGGTCCTGCAGTTCTTCATTCTCCACCTTGGCGTGAACCAATTCAGAGGCCAGCTGCACATGCTCCTTGTCTGACGCCTCGGAGCGCTCCTCCAATAATCGTAGCCGGGCGGCTTGTGTGCTCACAGTGTGGCGGAGATTCTCCAGCTCAGCTTCGCGCTCTTTCTCGGTGCGAACCTTTTCTTCCCATTCGGTAGTGTATGAGTTGATCATCTCCTGTGTGAGAGGCACGGCACAGGCATCCTGCACCATGAGATCTGCACGGTAGGTCTCCTTGTCAGCCGCACCAGAGCTTCCAAAGAAGCCAGACTCTAGAATGGAAGAGGCGGAGGGCTGCTTGTCGATATAGGCATCGAAGAGACGCTCTTTCAGGAAAGTAGTCAATACACTCATATCCTTCATCTCCAGTAGTGCCTCGGCGTTGCGACGCATGATGGCAATGGAGAACTTGAGAATCGTGACCTCCAGACCTTCCTCAAAGATCAGATCGTAGATCCGGAGGACCAGCTGCAGCGGGAAGCGGTAGGCGAAGAGAGTCAAGAACCATTGAGTGGCGTACAATTGCGGGGGAACACCACGTCGCCGGAGGTGGCAGTAGAGAGCGGGCTCCAGATCTTCCAGTAGTCGCTCGAACTGGTAGAGGCTACGGTGAAGACCGGGCATCTCCGAAATGAACATTTCACGGAGTCGATATTTGTTCATGAGTTTGACAAGTAGCTCAAAAGCATCCGCCTCGTCCATCTGCAAATGGTCAGTCTATGAGATCAAAAGACGGTTACAATGAGCTAAGGTTTCAAAACAAAACTTACGTTAAACAGCAGAGGCATGACGATAAAGTTCATGCCTTGAGCATACCCCACAGCCTCATCATATAACGCATAGGCCTTGCACAGTCCGAACAAGCTTTCTTGGCTACCTTGCGAGACAAAGTACTTTGAATAACTCGTCCGGGCACCCAAGTCCCGTCGGATAGTCTTCTCCAGCTTTGACAGGGCCGAAGCCTCGTCCTTGGCCTTCTTCAAGCGAGCAGTTTCACTAGCAGCCTGCTCTCGCGCCATTTTCTCGGGATCCGTCTCCTGGGAGGGACTAGGGATGACGCTAGTCGATTGTGTTCCGGAGCCTGAGTTGTTGGATCGGATGGAAGAGCGCGATGATGGGATAGACTCTTTCTCGGCCAAGCCGTTGATCTGGACGCTCGGCGTTCGGTGGTCCTTGTCTGTGCCACGGGAAACCAGCTCGCGGTAAATTTCCTCCAACTCGCCAATCTTGCAATCAGCTAGAATCTGCCAGATCACTCCACGAATAGTCTGTGGGATTCCCCGCTTGATAGCAGCATTCAGTTCCTCCGAGCTGGCTAGGGCTTGCGGACCATTGTTGACCAGCTGTTGCCAGAGATCCCAGTCCACTGGTGCAGCTGCGTCGGTTGCAGATTGAGAGAATCCAGACACGGTACCGGGGGCAAGGCCTGGATTGACGGTCGACGGGGTGACGCCTCCAGGGGAGGTTGCTCCAGAAGCCGGAGCAGCAGGGGCGACCAGAATCCCGTCTTCACCTTCTTCAGGGATGATTGGTGGGCTAGCACCGGCATGGCTGATGCTTGCATGTCCCGATCGTACACTGCCTTCGTCATTCTCAGGAAGAGCAGACTCCTCCCTCATTCGTAGGAGTTTAAACTGATCCTTCAAGCTGTTCCGCCTTGGCCTTCTAGAGTGAACACTCGAGTTATCTCCATCCACCAAGTCTAACCCGCTAGCAATGGTCGATACCGAGGTAGAGGTGTTTCTTCGGCCGGTCTGAGGCGGGGATTTGATGTCTTTGGCACCGGTCGAGCTGCGGGAGAACCATGAAAAGGGACCGCTGGGCTTGCGGCTCGGAGGAGGCGGAGGTGCTGCAGGAGCAGGGTTCTTGTTGACTGGGGGAGGTCCCCATGGTAAGGAGGGCAAACTTCCAGACAAGCCCATCAAGCCAGAGCTTGGAGGGGACGCCACATCATCTTTAGGGGGGACTGGAGGGGACTCCGACTTGAGCTCGGGAGTTGCAACCTGATGGGGAGGAATCTCGTCATCCTTACTGGTTGTCAGGTTCACCTCGTCCAGCGAAGATGCAGTAGATAACCGGTGGGAGGTGAGCAAGGGGGATTTCTGCGCCATGTTTCTCCTCGGGGTCTCCTCTCCCTCGCTTGCATCGCCAGCTTCTACCGGAGTGAGTAGGTGGTCCTGCTTGTCCTCTTCTTTCGTCTTCTCCGTGGTGTCCAGCTTCACATCCTCGATGGGCGTGTCCACGGCTTCAAAATCAGCCTCGGCATCGGCCATAGCTTCAGCCTCATCCAGCTTGGCCTTTTTCTTATTCTTCTTCTTATTTTTCTTCTTTCCCGATGATTCACCTCCGTCCGTCGTCTCGTCCTTTTGCTCGTCCTGCGATGCAGAAGGGAACGACGGTTTATCTGTGATGTCGGGGGAAGCTCCTGAACCGACCGGCGGGCTATCGGTCAAGGACCTAGTCGAGGTAGATTTGGGAATAGTAACATTCAAGTGCTCGGGGACTTCAGGGGCGTCGTCGAAGGACTCCTAATGAGAAGAAGTAATTAGCAGTCTGGTGGGCAGAGAGTGAAACACGCAAACACACGACAGTACTCACCCCTGCGTAGTCGCTGCTGTTTCGATTCGACATTTCGGTTCTCGGGAGAGGGGAACTCGGGTTATCAGAGAGTGCAACACTCCATAAGACCCGAACAAGCTTGTGAAGCTCAGGTCATAGAAGGATAAACGCGTAGGGGAGAGAGGAAGAGTGGAATGAGCCAGCGTGGAAGGAATTCGGGGACGTCAATTGATGGAGGGCCAGGCACGTCCCGTGGTGATTGGCCTGACTTTTGGGTGGGTGGGGCCCCTTTTCTTCCAAGAAGACTGAGGGGCGCGTCGATCGGCTTGTGCTTGTGCTTTCCTGGCATTCCTAGATAGAATGTAGAATTCCTTCGATAAGACACTACCGCACGGACATGTAAGATTTAAGATTCAAGATTGTGTATATATATATATATATATACAATTACTCAGTCTCTACTTCCACAATATGCTCTAAAACTAATGATGCGGCTATTCTCCCCAAAAAGGGGGCCGAGGGATGAAAGTAGAGTTCGGAGAATTAAATCAAATCAGGATTCATACTCGGTACTGATATTTGATTCCTGCCCACGCCCTATGCACTAGGTAAAGCCTTCTCAAAATCCAGCCACCGTTGTTTTCGCAGCGGATCGAGTTGCTTCAACTCTGAGAGCCAGCTCAGAATCTGTTCTCGATCTTCTCTAGATAATTGGCCCGCCACCTTCGAGACCAGCAAGGTACACTCAATCAGTGCCTGATAGATATACTTGCAGTCCTCGGCCCCATCAAGCATATCCTGGATAGCTTCGATTTCATTCCGTAGATATCGAAGTCGCTCTGACGTGCTCAGATTCGGAGCCATAGTCCGGGAGGCGACAGCCGGATCGAACACGCACATCAGATTCTGATGATAAAACCACAACGACTGATCATAAGGATCAATCAGGGCTTGATGAATGAGAACAAGTTCTACCGAGAAAACCATAGAAAATCAGTCATCGTCCCATAGAAGATACCCTCCGAAGCAACACAAACTCACCATCGTCCAACATCTTCCTTCGCTCCTCGTCACTGGCCGTCTGTTCTTCGAGTAATCGCTGGATAAGCTTTGTCCGGTAGTGCCACGCGGAGAAATTGGACAGATTAGCGCCGATCATCTTCTTCGCATACTCGAATTCCTTCTGGGTCATGTTGGCTGACTCGGCGGGGGTTCCCAGTTGCTTCAAGGTCTCCACCACTAGGCGTCGGTATCCCCAGCCGTGGAAGTTCCGACTGTCCAACGTCAACATTTTGCCCACGAGGACTAGCTCTTCTTGCCAGAACTGGCGAGACATGGCCAATGGGAGTAACCGGCGGGCTTCGTCCAATAGCCATAGGCGATAGTTCCAGATCCAGTAGCATTTGGGAAAGCTGCGCAAGAGTGGCATGAGGAAAATCAGATCATTTTTGATCAGCTCAGCGACTTTTTTGCTGGATTCTTCATCGGCAGAGTCCCCGGCATCAGAAAACTGATGTCTAAGGACTTGCCGCCGGTAATTCCACACGGTGTAGTACTCTGGGTTGCGACTCAGCAAGTCGGAAATTTCCTTCAGAGTGTCAACCGTGTATTCTTGTTGGGCCACCTGAACTGAGTTAGTACTCTTTGAAGCTTGAAATACACGTTGACGGGGGTTTAATCGAAAAGTATCACTCTTACCTTGTCCGACACCAGGCGTTCTAAGGATTTGTATCCATCAATCTTCTGTAGCTCCTGCTGCCGCTCTTCTGGTGTCTTTTCCACCGGTTTGAAACGTCGAACACCATGCTGCAAGGCAGTTAATACATATACCCAATATATCGAACTGTTCTCGACTCACGCTTGCCATTTTGAAGGAATATCTGCCCGCCAGTCGGGGAAGTGTTGGAAGGAAGTAGCAGCCACCAGCATCCCACGATCGGCATCACGTAATCACCGCGCCGATTGGAAGGCAGGTGCTCTACTGGACTTACTTCCAACACACGACACCAACTCTGCAACAAACAACTCGACAATTGTGCTGCCTCGATCCAGAGGTCTTTTATACACCTCCTTTTTTTTATTGAAACTACTGCCAGATTTAACTGACTTTTGCTACACTCATCGCATCCAGCAATAACCATGGTGGATTCGCGAAGCCACTCTTTCGAAGATACTTCTTCCACCAGCAATCCAAACCAGTCACTAACCTTCTTGTCCCAATCCGAGTCCTCTCAGGATGACGAATCCCTCCAAATCACTGAATTTGCAACTATTAACCTACCATTGGCCGACTCACCAGCCAGTTCTCAAAACTCACTGGTCCTCAGACCCACTCCAAAAGCTGTCAATATAACAACACACGCACAAGAGAACAGAGAAGCAAGCTCTCCTGCACCTAGCTCTCCTGAACGAGGTCGCAGACTATCAAGAGGACCCCCAGTCAGCAATGCATCACAAGCGACTTTTCGCAGTCCAATCTCGCAGGACAGGTTCATCCCAAAGCGGGAATTTGGCAATCATTCGTCAACTTCTTATCGCGTGAACAAGCATCCCTTCCAGCTGTCTCCTCGGGAAAGAATCCTCAGACGACGGTCACCCGGTGAAGACCCGTTCCTCCCAACACCTCGCCAGTCTCCAGTGTCTCCCGGGCGAAGGCCAACCCCGACTCGTCCCCCCCAGGGACCACACCACCGGCCTCATCTAGTCGCCGACTCCATTGCATTGGGTAACTCTGCTTCCAATGACTTTCTGAGAAGAGTCAGTGCAGGGGCTGTCTGGGGTGTGGGCGGGGCCTCTGCAGTTCTCGGACAGCCTCCAGCGGCCACCTCAACTGGCGCACGAAGCATCTCCGGTCGAGGCGGAGTGTCTCCAGCTTTCGTGGCAAGATTTTTACCTAGAATCACACGCCATGATGACTTGAACAAGCACGAGTCAAGACTTGCACTCGCCTTGGACATTGATCCAACAACTCGACTTATAGATATCTGCACAGCCCGTGAAGAAAAGTCCCTCAGTCCAGCATCCAAAGATTTCGAACGATACTCGCCGTTTGTTTGGAAGGACAGTGCCTGGAAAAGGGTGGAAAGGGGACATTGTAAGTTCCATGACAAACTTGCTTTCTCACTCGTTACGCATTTCAGTATTTACGCTTCGTGTCTCAATGCCGAAGTTTATGGCCAACCAGGCTGTTCATAATCTATTACCGCATAGTATACCATCTATATGACATCTACGGAACTTACTTATAGGGTGAGGAAGACGGCGCTTGCAGTGTTGTCCAAAGGATTAAGCTGACCACATGCGTGCTCCCCAGGGCCGACAAAGCATGCCAGAGGAGAAGTCGTTCCATCCAAACCTTTCCGAATCTTGGACGCTCCTTTTCTACGAGATGATTTTTATTGTTCGACTCTGGCGTACTCATACACGGTTGGTGTGTTAGCCGTGGGCCTCGGCCAATATGTCTACCTCTGGTCCGAGGGCTCGGCTCTAGATCATCCACCTTTTGGAGACGTTCATCCGTCAAATTACGTGACCTCTCTTTCGTTTTCTTCAGAAGACGGAGAGCGGAGTATCCTTGCCGTCGGACGTCAGTCTGGTCAATTATCTCTTTGGGGTGCTTTTGAGCCCAACGTTCGCTTCGAGATCAGCCATCCTCACAGCCTTACTTGTGTGTCATTCAAACCCAAAACTACACGAAGAATATCGGAGAGGTACACCAACTTGGTAGTCAACACGGAAGACCTGGCTGTCGGTGATGAATTGGGCAGTATTTGGTATTACTCGGTTGAGTGGCCGGAGATTAACAGCAAGTGGAGTTGGACGGGCTCCTTGACACTACTTGCAAAGATCTCGGCGCACTCCCAGCAAATATGCGGAATGGCATGGTCCCCAGATGAGCGGTTTCTTGCCACCGGCGGCAACGACAACGTCTGCCTCCTCTTTGAACTGCGTGCAATTGTTCCTCCGTCGTTCAGCGATGCGACAGCGTCACCCGTATTTACGGACTCGTCCGGTGGTGCGAGCGTACAGACCCCTTCAGCCCTCAATATGGGTACAATGCCACGACAGTCGCTCAGCAGACAACGCATTGTGAGCAATCTACTCCCATCGTGGTTCCAACCCCCACCCGTCCGACCCTCTATGGCAGCTCCTCTTCTCAGTCATGCAGGCACTCTCATCTCTGGGAGGGGTAAAACTGTGCTGATTCCCTCTAACTGTCAGAAGCACCGCTTGCTGCATTCGGCTGCTGTCAAGGCAATTGCATTTGCGCCGTGGCAGCCATCACTGCTGGCAACCGGGGAGGATCCAACGACCGGGCAATTCGTTTTTGGCACACTCGGACGGGAGTGTGTCTCGCGACTATTAATGTTTTTGCGCAAGTGACCAGTCTGATTTGGAGCCAGACTCGACGGGAGATTGTTGCAACCTTTGGATATGCTCAACCTGATCACCCGATCCGAATTGCTGTATTTGCCTGGCCCAGTTGTGCTCAGGTCGCGGTCATTCCCTGGGGGCCGTACGGAACCAGCTGGGATGGGCCGGATCCTGAACCTAGGTATGACTGTGGACGCGCTTTATGGGCTGTCAGCTATCCAGGACGAGTCCCTCGACCACCGAGCATCACGCCAGAGAACTCGGACATACTCACTCCGCCCGCGTCACGATCGCCTACTCCTTCTCCCACGCGACCACAGGCTACAGAGTGGGGAAGTGAATCACCCATCAGGCGCGACAGAAACTCGCGCGCCGTTCGGCCCAAGGAAAAAGAGGGTGGGATGTGGTGCTCTCGTACCGTGGAAGAAGGATGTATTATCGTCGCATCCAGTGATCAAACCGTCAAGTTTCACGAAGTCTGGACTGGTCGTCGCACGAGTACCGGGTCTGCGGCGTGTGGACTCTTTGGAGGCAGTGATATTCTGGAAGGCCTGGAGGGAATTGAGAAGATTGGCAATGAAGTCATTCGCTAGACACGGCAATCTGTCATCTGTTATCCTTGTTCCGGTTGCACTGCACAGTCATGTATTCTTACTCTCGCTGGAGGAGGTTTGTAAATAATTCGCTTTGGGCTCGAAGGTTTGCTCAGGGTTCGTCCATGCTATGAAGAGCCTTTTCATTGGTTTTTAAGCGCATTATTATGGATTCAGTTGGGAATACAAGCTGGTAAACTATCGTTTAGCGCAGAATAGAATGTTGATCTCTCCCCACTCCCCTGCATATCCCCCTTGGCATCGCCGATCAGCTCGTACTTTGTCCAGAACCCCGTGCTTACCTTCTTTCAATCAATAAAAGCTTTGCCACAACAGTATTCGGTGAATTTACAACTGTACCTGCTCACTCTATTCCAATATGCGCCCAACACTATTCCTCCCCTTCTTCCTATCCCTCGCCTTTGGTGCTGCCAATACTCTAAACATCACCGTCATCAACGCCCAAAACAACAGCTCCACCCTTGAATGCTGGGCCCTCGAGCCGGGATTCCAGACTTCCTCGCAAGCTGGCACGACTGGTACTCAAGCGTTGAATCTAGGTCCTGCCGGAGGCGCGGGTACTAATGCGACGTATACTGTCCTTCCGGCGGGTTTTGATGGGGGGAGACATAATGCTCCTGCGAAGCAGTACGTATACATTCAGCGTTTACTTTCTCTCTTCTTCTCCTTTCTCTATCACGTACAACATCGTTACATCCTTATTTCCTTGTCTTATCTTGCATACACTACATTTATTATAGATTTCACCGTACTAACCCCTAGCCCTTATAGATGGGTAATATTCATCTCCGGGCTGGCACACATAACCCTCCCCAACTCTACAACCGAAGCCTGGATTGCTGGCGGTAAATACGGGGCTATCCTAGCTCTGGATACGGTGGATGTCAGTGGACTGGGTCATATTACTAGATATCCCTCGGCGGAGGAAACGGTTGCTATACAGGTTCCGCTTGGTGAGGGGGGTGTACTTCCTGATCATGAGGTTTTGTATGAGGGGGGTTGTGTCGGGGAAGAGGTTTCTGGGTGAGGTTTTCTCATTAGGGGGTAGTGAGAGGAGGGATTGTGTATGGGGTGGATAATGGGGTTAGTAGGTTTTGTTAAGAGGTGGATAGGTCTGGGTTCTTGGAGAGATTAATCGGAGGGTGAATTGGTGTAGTGCTAATCTTAAGACTAATCTCAAGACCAATCTCAAGACCAATCTCAAGACCAATCTCAAGACCAATCTCAAGACCAATCTCAAGACCAATCTCAAGACCAATCTCAAGACCAATCTCAAGACCAATCTCAAGACCAATCTCAAGACCAATCTCAAGACCAATCTCAAGACCTAGAATTTTATAGCTAATCTCCTAAATCACCTACGTTAGTATAGGGTTTAGGAGTTTTGAGGAAGTCCCCTCTATCGTCCGCGGTAGTAATATGAGGAAATCAAAGTACTATAATGATCAGATCTTGTATATACGTCCACGGAAATGAAAAATGAGAATAAAAGAAAATATTTTGATCACAGAAAGAAAAAAAAATGCAGGCATCTGATGCATCCGAGTATATAAGTAAAATCTTTTTATCAAAAAACAAGAAAAATCTCAAATCCCAAGACGAAAATTCCCCTCCACAAATTCATACAAAGTAAAATGACCAATTTCAGGCCTAACTTATTTCTTTCCACCCTTCTTCCTGCCCGAAAGAGTCTTGGCCTTCTTCGAAGGTGGAGGGGCCTCGATCATCTCCTCGTCGGACTCCTCATCCTCAGTATCGGCAACAAAGTCCACCAACGAGCCCTCGCTGTCCTCGTCCTCGTCATCCTCGTTCTCCTCCAGGGATTCCTCGGCATCGGAAGAGCCGGCAGACTCCTCGGCCTCGATGTCAAGGACACCCTCGTAACCATCCTCGTCATCCTCATCATCTTCATCCTCGTCGTCGTCGGACTCGTCCATACCGTTCATCATAGACTCGTCCTCTTCCTCGAAGGCGGAGTCACGGATAGACTTGGTCCGCGGCTTAGCCTCGTCGTCTTCCTCATCTTCGCCCTCAACGTAGATAACGTTGTCCTCATCCTCGCTGTCCATCTCGTCGCCGCCGCGGATTGACTGGCGCAGACCCAGCTGTGCGTCTAGCATGTCCAGCTTACCCTTGAGCAGGAGCAGAGAGGGCAGGCTTGACGAGCGCTGGTCCATCACCTTGTATAGTGTGGCCATGCGGTTCAGGAGCTCTGGGTGGCCGGCCAATGCGCCACCGTGGGCAACGCAGGTCCACTGCACCCAGACAAGGAGGTGGCCATAGCGACCGGGTCGGGAGGAGAGACGCTCGGCGAGCTTCTGGAGAAGAGTGGCGGCCAGGGGAGACTCGAGGCGCTGGATGGTGGTGCGGATGATGGAGGTGTCGGCGGTGTGGAAGCAGGACTCGAGCATGTCCTTGTCGTTGGTCTTCAGGGACTGGGTGAGAACGGTAGCGAGCGACACGCCAGTGGGGATCTGTTGGATGGCGGCTGTGGGCTTTCCAGGGACAAGAGCACCCATAAGGTTGTCCTCGTCCATCTCGGCCTCGACATCGACTTCTTGACCAGCGTTGGCGCGCATGATCTCACCGAATGAGGGCTCGGCACCCTCCTCTTCTTCCTCTTCCTCGTCATCTGACGCAGCGCTCTCCATGTCGACGTCCTCGTCAGCGGGAGCAGCCTGCTTAGCAGACTTGGTCTTCTTCTCGCTGGTAGGCTTGGCAGAGTCCTCAACATCAGATTCCACGTCGCTGCCTTCAACGGAGCCAGCCTCGTCATCATTCATCTCAACGTCATTATCCACAATATTACCAGCCTCGACGATAACATGCGTCTCATCCACCCGACCCTCGCCGGCATTCTTCGCACCATTCAAAGTCGCAGATGCGATAGCAGAGCTGGACTTGGTCTTGACAACGGCCTTGAGTCCTGTGAATGACAGCTCCTCAGTAGTCTCATCGAGCAGCTTCACACGCTGGAAAACGGGGATCACACCACCCTCGGCGTACGCGACAACGATCTCGGGACCAACGAACGAGGTTGATACCACGGAAACGCAGGCATCTGAGTCACCAGTACGCAGAACCTTGAGAGACGCATTCGCCTTCTGGGTCATCTGTTTCCGGTTGGCCTTGGCGCTGGCAGTAGCGGCGGGGGCCGGAGCGAAGGGTTTCGTGAAGAACTCGATGGTGCCGTCGTCGGTGACGGCGGCAAGGATCTGCTTTTCGGGAGTAGTGTTGTCAAGGAGCGAGACGAAGGAAACATCCTGGTCGGCGACAAGATTCCGTACGAGCTTTTGGCTGGAGGTCTCGAAAACGTTGATGAAGCGCTCACCGTCGGCGGCGAGGAATGAGCCCGATGATGAGATGACGGTGTGAATCTGGTTGCGCATCGCAGGGAACTTGGCGGGTTGCTCTTCGGAGTTCTCCACGTCGATCAGGAAGGGGGTTTGAGATGCGCAAACGACGGGTGTGCTGGAGGAGACGGGGCGAGAGATAGCGGAGAAAGTTGAGGAGTCGGGCAGGTGAATTGTCCTGTTCGAGAAATAGTCAGTAAAATGCACCATGAGAAGAAGACATGACGAGTCGCTCTTCAGGAGAGAACGGGTTGGCCATACCTTACGCTCTGCCCAGTGCGCAGGTCCCACTGAACAAGCTTATTATCACCACCAATACTCCAGGCCTCTTGAGCCGGCTTCTCTGCGGTAAACTTGAAGTCCTTGATACCCTTGTCATGCGCACCGGTAAGAGTACCGACAATCTTATCCTCTGATGGAGAAAACATCCGGATATCAGAGCTGCTAGTACCAATCGCAACGACAACGTCGCCCTGATCCAATCCGTCCACCGCACCGTTCACATCAGATCCACGCTTGCGCTTCTTCTTCGACTGGTCGCGGTTCTTGCCTCCGAAATATCCCCAATCCAGCGAAGTGACCGTCTCCTTGGGTCCCAGCGCATGTTCGCATTGTAGACGGCCGGTGTTGACATCGTGGATTCGGAGGTGCTGCGCATCCAGGCCCTGGATGACCGATGCGAACAGGGCCAATTGGTATTCCGACGGGGAGAAAGCAGCTCGCAGGATAGACGATTTGCTGCTAGTACCAGCGAGACCGCCGGCTGGCGACGCAGCCGTACCGACCTTGGTCGAAGGGCGAGAGGTCTTCTTGCCCATTTTTTTTTCCTTGGAAGCGGAAGCTTTTTTTCTGTCCGTCTCTCTTCGCTGGTTCTCGTTTCTCGGCTCGCGGGTGAGTCGTTAATATGATCGTGAAGTACCGAGTCCCCAGGAAATTAAGATAATTTCCACGATCAATTTGCTGTAATCCCGGGGGAGTGTTGGCTGGGGGATTCTGGGACTGGTAGTCTTGCAGTTGCGGAAAGGAAAAAAATGTTCTGTAGACTCTCGGGATGGGCGCTAATCCCTTTTGGGGATAGGGCGGGTGGTTGGCCTTATCTAATCAGCGCTGAACTACTGTCAAACGCAGAGATGGATGCTCTTTTGTAGGTTTGGGGTAATTTCTGGTATGTTTTGATTTTGCGATTGCTCATATTATGTAGAATGTTCATTTGGTGGGAAATGTGTGGTCTTCCTTGAAATATAGCTCTAGTTGGGGATGTGATGGCTGCCTGGACGGATTGGAAGTGCTGAATATATACATCTGCTTCCGAAGTACATGTTGGATGTGCTACGCCAACGGTTATAGGTCTAGAGCCTGACAAGTCATCTTCTATAGCTGAGAGTTGCCTAACATTCATATCTGTAGTATTTACCACCTCACCATGTCAATAAGTTGCTGTAAACCTCACAAATGTCGATATGAATGGTACATTTGTTTTTTTGGTGGGCCATCGAACATGTAAAGCAAGTGCGCCCGAGTTAAAGTAGCAGTAACAAGACTGACTGGCATCCGTTAGGTTCAAATGCTATCTAGAATACCGGCGAGCTACCATTTAATCGCGATTTATCAGTATTAGTAGGATTGTCATGGCATGAGATCGATGCATAGTTTTCGATGTTTAATGGCCATATTCATTTTTGACGTTTTCTAAAGTATATTTTGAAACTCACAGATCGAATATACCATTAGAGGGTGACTGTAATTGTGGATGCCCAAAGAATAACCTTCTAATCTGTGACCGGGTATATACTTCGTAGTTGGTGCTGAAACCAGGCCAGGCCCTGGACCCGGACCATGTGACGATAACTCCTGAGTCGTTGAGTTATCTGCCTAATCTGTAAGGGCCCAGTAGCATTCTCGTTGATTGGCCCGCGCCCCTGCAAACCACAAATTCCGTCAGCCGCTTGGCGCATCCGCCATCGCTCCGCACTTTCTCCCTGGCATGTTTCTTTAGCTAACAGCCGCAGACTCCTCGCTAGTTTACCGAGCACCTTGCGCCAACAATATACAAATTGCGTCCCCTTTAAACTACGAGGTGACCAAGTACCTACTTACCAGGCCAGCATCTGCAGAGATAACACCATCACGTGATGTGACGTCGCGGACTGGACGGGTGACTACGCTAAGCCGCATTCGGGGATAACCCTAGGGCTTCAGAGAGGAGACAGGGGGAAAAGTCGATGACACAGAACCCGTGCGTCCCATAATGATCTCATTATAGTATCTCTCGTTGATCATAGGAATCTCCACCTGGATGGATCATGATGGAGGGTTTGTCTTTGAACATCCATGATGATCCGGTCCGTGCTAGAGAGTCCAATGGTTGAATGGACTCGAAGTCGAGATCGAGGCCAAGTTTTGAAGGAAACAAAAAAAAAAAGAAAAGCAAATTTTTTTTCCTTTCAACGATACGGTATGGTACGGATGTCGGACAAACCAATCAAAGGGATGTCGAGGGAAACCGAGGGAACCAGAGGATGAAGAACCAATCAGCAGAGACAAACTACGGGCGGTGGAGTGGGCAGTGGCAGTGACCGCCAGCCATCAGGACCTTCCGGTGGTCCTGCCGTTCGATGGGGACTTGCCCATGGCTGTACTTAAGCCAAATGGCTCCCGCCTCCGAAATATCCTCTGCTTCCGTCCTTTCTTGCCCTGACCGCCCCCCTTTCTCTCCATCCTCTTGGTCTATTGGTCATTACTCACATCTCCCCCTCCCCTCCCCCCCCCCCTAAACAACGCGTCGCGTCGCGCGCTCTCCCTATACTTCTCTCACTCCTCGCTATACTTGAACCGGCCTTTCTGCCCGCCTTTTATTCTTTTTTCCTTTATTCTGCCTTTTTCTCCCCCCTCTTCCCCATATCCACCCCCCCCTCTAAGGCATCCACCAGGTATTCGATCTTCATAATCTCTCACCTTCCTCGCATCTCCTCACCAAAGTCCCGTGACTTTCTCTCGTGCTCTCCCCGTCCGCCTCCCTTGACTCACCGCCCCACGTGATCACCCTACCGCCTTCTTGGCGGTATAAATACTTTCGCCCCCGATCGCATTCTCCACTCTTTATATCTCACAAATCTCCCGAGCTCTCCGAGCTTCCTCTCTATCATCACCACTTCCTCTCATCACGCTTCCCTCTCTTCTCACTCCTCCGCATCCATTCAGATTTTATACCGTGCTAGGACGGAGTGTGTATACAGTTGAATTTCTCTCTCCGAATCAGTCGCGCGATCGCTCCGCTCTCCCGCATACCCTCTCACTTGTTTCACACATCTCCGCACACTTATAAGCTGTATATTCTGGACCTTATCTAGAATTCAGTACAAACACACCTCATGGCGACCCCGCCTCCAGAGGCTCCTCCGGTGATGAAGGAGGACAAGCCTCAGCTGCCGCCGTCTCCGACGGTTGTCTCTGCACCAGTGGTTGCGCCAAATAGGTGAGTATATAAGCTGTTGATGGACTGACCGGTTGACCTGTTTGCCATTTTGGGCTGTTGACCGGTTGACTCGTTTGACATGCAATTTTTTTTTTTGCGCCGCACTTGCAGACTGATGGGCTAACGTTTACCTTCAAGTGCGCCGGTTGCCACGCCAGATATCAAAACTGACGGTTCAGCCCTGACGGAGAATCACACGCCCACTACGAACGGCAACGCTCCCCACTCTCCTGCGATTGGTAACGGTACGGGATCCGCGGCTTCTCCTCCCAAGTCACCTGTGCGAGACGCCTCCGAGGCGGTTGTTCCGACTGCATCAACTTCCACTGATACCCCACCTTCCTCTGCGCCTCCTGCGCCGCAAGAGACAAAGGCCCCAGGAGAGACAACCACTCCAACTCTCACTCCTACTCTTCCTCAACCTCAGCCTGCCGATTCTGCGACCCCAGCTGCAACCAACGGCTCTGCGGAGAAAAGCGCTGCCAAAACACCTCAAACCTCTGCAATCGCCTCTACCGGAAGCATACCTCCTGGGAATTTCGACGGTCCTGCTGATACGCCTCCGGACGTGATGGCTGTTGATGCGCCTGAGAAGGCGTCTGCTACCCCGGTGAAGACTGAACTTCCCCACCACCCCACCACTGAATCCGCCACCCCCAACTTGCCTCCTCTCCAAACCGACCAAGAAATGAAGGATGCCCCAAGTGCCCCGATGTCTCCCTCCAAGGTGTCGCGGGAGCGTGAGATTGATCCAGCCGAGGAGCCTGCTGCCAAGCGGACCAAGGTTGAGAACGAGAATGGCGTGCCCTTGAACAACAAGGCTCATGAGCTACCTACCCCTGCCACCGTGACTAGCCCAGTCTTTACCGGTGGTGACTCTGCCATGACCAAGATGCAGCACAAGTTCCTCACCAAGCAAATCTCAAGCTTGAAGCGCATGCACGACTCGCGCTTCTACCGAGTCCCTGTGGACCCTGTTGCCTTGAACATTCCAAACTACCCAAGCGTCATCACTCGCCCCATGGATCTGGGCACCATCGAGAAGAAACTCAAGGCCAACCAGTACTCCTCTCCTCAGGCGGTCCTGGATGACTTTGCTCTGATGGTCCAGAATGCGCACACCTTCAACGGCGCGGAGCACCTGGTCTCCCAGGAGGGTGCCAAACTGCTCGCCACTTTTCAGCGACAGATGAACAATCTCCCTAAGGCTGATGAAGTGGAGGAGAAAAAGAAGCCTAAGAAGACGACGGAGAAGACTTCGGCTGCTCGACGTGAGCCTCGTACCTCCATTGGTGCTCCAGTTGCGGCCCCGGTCCCCACCATTCCAGCCCCGGTTGTGGCTGCTCCTAAGGCGACCTCTCCCCAGAGCGCTACCTTTGCACTGGGCCCGGAGGGTCTGCCCGTCATTCGTCGGGACTCTGCCAACGCGGATGGACGTCCCAAGCGTTCCATCCACCCCCCGAAGCGCGACCTGCCCTACTCGACCAAGCCTAAGAAGAAGAAGTACCAATGGGAACTTCGCTTCTGCCAGGAAGTTCTTGAGGAGCTGTACAAGCCCAAGCACCAGGCTATCGCTATCGCCTTCTACTACCCCGTCGACCCCGTTGCGCTCAACATTCCTACCTACCACAGCGTGATCAAGCACCCTATGGACATGTCGACCATCAAGGTTAAGCTCACTACTGGCCAGTACGAAAACGCCAAGGAGTTCCACTCGGATGTCAAGCTGATGTTCAAGAACTGCTACCGGTTTAACCTGGAGGGCGATCCGATCTACCTTGCCGGCAAGAGCTTGGAAGACATCTTTGATAAGAAGTGGACTGGCAAGCAGGAGTATCTTGCCAAGCACGAGCCTCCTCAGGAGCACAACTCGGAGTCTTCGGAGGAAGACAGCGACGAAGAGGCTGAAGAGAGCGACGAGGACATGGAAAAGATCAGCATGCTGCAGCGACAGATTGCCGAGATGTCCCGCCAGGTCGAGTTGATCCAGAAGAAGAAGAAGACTCCTCCTGCGAAGAAGGGATCCAAGTCTGGAAAGTCCGGTGCCACCAAGAAGGACGCCAAGAAGAGTGGCAGCAAGAAGGACAAGAAGAGCAAGAGCCTCTCCAAGGTTGAGAAGTCTCGCAACATCACCTACTACGAGAAGCAGATCATCTCCAATGGCATCAGTAGCCTGCCCGACAAGAAGATGCAGGAGGCCCTCGGAATCATTCAGCAGAATGTTCCTGCTCTGAAGGTAAGCTTTATCGCCATTGCGCATCCATGTGTTCAAACCCGGTTTTCTAACTTGACTTTTACAGGGTACTCAAGAAGCCGAGATTGAGTTGGACATTGACGAGCTGCCTAACGAAGTCCTGCTCATGCTGCTTAAGTTCGTGAAGAAGAATGTTCCTCACATCATGGATGACGAGGAGCCCGTCTCTGCGGGCGGCAACGTGGCCCCCGCTGCTCCTAAGCCAAAGAAGAACAAGCCGATGAGCAAGTACGAACAAGAGGCTCAGATCAACATGCTTGAGAGCAACCTCTCCCGCTTCCAGGGCGGCAGCGGCTCCCCGGCGCCGATGCCCTCTGTCGAGGCCAACGAGTCTAGCGACGACGAGTCGGATGACGATTCGGAGGAGAGCGAGGAGGAGTAACTTCTCTCTGCTGATCAACCTGTGCGGTCATTCCGACTCGTGACAATGACCCCACTTTGTCTGTGTAATTTGCGTTCCGAGCGTTTCTTCTCCCTTTCTTTGCTCTCTCCCACCACCCCCCGGTCTTGACCCGTCTTGACCCCCCGCATTTCTGACCTCACGCGATGCTTCGGGTCTGCGATTGCTCCACGTTTTGCGCAAACCCCACCGTCAATTTCTTTTTGGGTCAAGACCCTTCCTGTACATATTCTTTCAACTTTCCTGTCAACCAAGCCCTGAGACTCACTGCCGGGCTGGACGAGACGGGGATTCGTGCTGGCCATGGGTTCTGATTTGATTTGATCTGCATTGTTCCCAACTTCCCTCTCTGCCTGAGGTGTACGTTTGCTCTCTTTTCCTCCCTTTTTGGTGCATCATCCCAGTCAGGTTGGACTAGAGTCTGCGCTTCTCAAAAAGATTGAGGTTGAGGATAGGAAAAGGGCGATCGAAATCGAAACGGAGCTGGCTAGGCTTCACATGTATGATTACGAACGAAACGCGCAAATGCCAAAATGTACTTTAGTACTTAGGTATCTGGTGTCCTGTATTGAGTAATTGTTGATTATGTTCCACTCACTTGTAGTTCGTATTTACTTTTTTAAGCTTCCAAGACATGTAATTGTAAATTAAGATTTTAGCTCGTAAGCTTGAGGGCATTGCAGATCCCCACTTGCAGCCTGTTGGCGGTGAACCTGGCCTACTGACCTTCTTTTAACCTCCCACTCCTCGCCATGATTCCCCCTTGCGATCCCTCTATTCTAGAACAAAACCCGCAATTCAAACGACTCTATGAGAATATAACGACGAACCTGCTGAACCCAGATGGCTCGACTCGCGCCCACACCGCTGATCCAGCGCGTAGGGCTGTTGTGGATGTACGTCACGACGCGAGCAGCTAGCTCCCCGCATTACCGTGACCATTGGGACACACACAAAATCTAATGGCTTTTCTGTATAGGACTTGAAACAATGTCAACTCCGAAGCGCAAAGAAGAGAATTAAGGAGCACACCCTCAAGCAACTAGCTTTTACATCGGACAGCGGACTCCCCGACGAGGTTCGTCCCAAGGACACAAACACCTCCTTTTCTCATCGAGTCGCAATTGCTCACACCACAAACCTAGTGTCGCGATACCCTCGCCCTGATAGCGATATACCTCGAAACACCACGCTCCGCAATAGACCCAGACGCACCCCAAGATGCCCAATCATCACCACAAACCCCCGACGAAACCCTCACCCTCCTCGCACCAATAATCTCCTCCTTCTACACCCACATCCCGGCCTTAATAACACCCTTCTCAACGCTCCTCTCAAATACACTTGCAACCCTCCGCGCCCTCTCCGCAACACCAGACACAGATCCAACGCAAACACTCCCCGCCCCTCCGGCAACAAACCACCAATCCCGCGCCAGAGCTCGAGATCGCCGCGTGCGTACTTCGCTAGCACCCGCCCCACCTCTAGCGGCGCAGCTCCGTAAACGAGTTGATGCCCTGCGCAGTACACAACTCTCCGAGCTCCCGGCTGCGCGTAGGGATATGGCCGCGACAGCGGCGCAGCTGATGAGTGTGCGGGCCGCGGTGCTGGAGCGCATGGTCGTTGTACTAGAGAGGGCGAAGCACGGGCTCTCGCGAGGGCTGTTAAAGCGCGCGCTGAGCACCTGGCTATCGTTGCGCAGGGCATTGAAGGGAAAGTGGAGTACGTATTTCACTTCTTCACTCCTTGGATATTGTGTTTACAGTATGATGCTGACTTGTTCTAGAGTGACTAAACTTGAGATTGCGGCGGCGCTGTATACGCCTGAGACGTTGGATGCGTTGGAGAGGTATAAAGTGCATTTGATGGATACAAGGGCTCGGCTTGAGGAGAGGAGGGTTGTCGCTGCTGAGGAGTTGAAGCGGTATGATGTTGAAGGATTGGGTGGCTCTGGAGATGGAGGGGCTTTGGTGGAGATTGCGAGTCGGTATGGTGATTTGGTGAGGGAGGTTGAGAATGTACGCTTGGAGATTGCGAGGCTAGGGGAGTAGGTGAAGCTTTTTTGGTGGTTGGGTTTGTCGTTCGGATGATATCCCAGTATATGAACCATGCGGTGGCTTTTAATTGAAGGTTGAAGTAGAATGGTGAAGGCTCTTGTATTATTCTAAGGGTGCGAGAACTCAAAAAAATGTAAATGGCTATTTATCGACTAGGGAGAAATATTATTGATATTTCTGCTCGGGTGTCGTTAGAGTGTACGTAACTGGAAGGCTAATACTATGCTTTATACCCAACTTTACGAAATATTGAATTACTCAAAATTCTATACAATCTCTCATGTCTCTCATACTTCCTTCTCTATTTCCGACCTCTATTCTACTCTCTAATTGGGCTACAAATCTAAACATCATCCCCGGACTTTCTTAACCTTCGAACCGTTCGATAAGATAACATTCACGTGCCCGACATTAATCTCCGCAGTCACATGACCCTTCCACCATAATTTTTGTCCGCCACCCAAAACTTCCCAGACTAGTCAACACTGAGTCAACTTCTATTCCCTCTTTTTAAAAGCGCAATAACCGCACTCGATCCCTCAAATTCCACAAATACCAACCCACATATAACCCGCCCACCATGGCCGACGACGCCCTCTCCATCTACGACGAGATCGAAATCGAAGATATGACCTTCGACCCAGCCCTCCAAATCTACACATTCCCCTGCCCATGCGGCGATCGCTTCGAGATCGCAATCGATGATCTCCGCGATGGCGAAGAGATCGCTGTCTGCCCGAGTTGCAGTCTTATGATTCGGGTTATCTTTGACGTGGTATGTTTATGTTATGCTTCGATTCTTGCCCCGCGGCGGGGTTATGAGAGGTGTCGAAAAGTGCTAATGGCTGTTGTATAGGCGGATCTACCTAAGGCGGATAATGCGCAGCCGGGCACTGTCGCTGTGCAGGCTTGAAGGGAACATGATACGGAAAATGTTCAAATAATGGGAGGTGCCTCGATTGGAGGGCCGCTCGAGGAAGACGGGACCTACGCTACTGCATAGGGCTTTGAAGCTCCGTGCGGTCTGTCGGCATCGACCTAGCGGCGACTTCACCAGGCCTTGATTCGGTAGCCCCTTTTTGGGTATCTGCCCAGGGGGAACAACCAGACGATACTCTACGCTTCCTGGGTCATCCGCAAGATTGTTGCCGGAGCTTGGCTTGCAAGTCGAACCCTTACGATCCTTCGTACCGAATGTTGCAGGACTTCTCCACTGCCTAGAAATACCCGCATCTTGAGTTCCGACCATGAAGTCATGCACATACATTCGGCGACTATATGACTCGTACAATGTGGGGTGATTTGTCCATTGGGAATTGTTTTCGGAGACGTTGCTCCTCTCACTCGGATGAATTTGGAACCAGGTCCCCCCGCAAGAACAGCCGTGGAGGAAACAAGGCTCAGGGATGGAATGAACGATTGTTTTTGTGAGAACTTTGCTTTGTCGTAGGGAGTGTGTGAGTTTCTTCTGGACTGAGGGCAGGAACTGGCGATATCATCGGCCAGCCACGTCGTTTGGGTCGCAATCCCAGATGATACGCACTTTCCTATTCTCCTGTCTGGGATTGAGATCAAGAATGCCCTAGCGCGTTTGTATCTCCAATCTAGACGGGAGATGTGTTTATCATCTAGGATTACGACCCAAACGATATGATTGACTGACGGTCTCACGGATTCTTTTTCTCAGTACAGAAGAAACTGATCCACTTTCTGCGACAATGACAAGCTCACCAATATCTCTGCCAGACGGTGGGACTTCCGGTCAATAGCAATCTTGGTTGAAGACTGCCTATGGGGTTTTCTTTTGGGATTGGCTCTCGTCATGCAACAAATTGGAAATACTCGGCACTGGAAGAAACACATGATACCTAATTGAATACATTGCAACATCAACCATTTCATTATACCACTTTCTTTATACTAGTTTCTACCCTGGCTCACGTATATACCCAGCACCACCCTCTATCAGAGCTAAGCCAACAAACCAGGCAGCACATACGACTCTGTGAAATTCCACAACATCGACGAATCCTGCGTATGGAACGCCGCACCTGTATACCACGTATTCCGATAACCCTGCAAAGCGTACAACTGCTCATAAAACCCTTTTGAAATCCGCTCCGGCGACACCGTCAATTCAAACGGAGTATGGCTGTTAAACCGCACAAACTTCGGCCCACCAGGTACCTTCTCGGCGAACCCATTGTCCTGCAATTTCTTCACGTACGAGAGGATTTCGCTTCGCACATGACCTTCCGGTAGACCGCGCGGACTACCATACTTGATATCGAAGATACCCTCTATCGCTGTCGCGGTTACAGTGTAAACACCCGGTAATGTGGGGACGTTGTATGGAGTATCAGCGCCGACAGAGAGGGAGCTAAAGTTCGCTGGTAAACCGGTATTGCTCAACAGGCACGTGTAGTAGCCTGTGTTCATGAATTCGCCGAAGAGCTCGGCTTCGTGGTCATCGAGGTCAAGCGCTCGCAGATTCTCCAGTTTCTGGGGGATAGCAATCAAGAGTTTCTTTGCTTTCACAGTCCGGCGGCCGGATGGTGTTTGCACCTCTAGCTGGACTCCGTTTTTGTCGCGGTGGTGCGTGGATTTCACGGTGCTACTCAGTAACACATCAGACCCGAGCAGTTCGGTGGCGTGTTCGTATATCTCCTGGTTATTTTGGCTCGTTGTGACCAGGAATCCGGTCGAGATATCTTGTATAATATCCAGACCGAAATTCTTGAACACGTACAGCGTTGGCTGGGCAAGGAAATCGCCCAATCCCTGTCCGAACTCGAAGATCGTCATAGCCGCATTGTCGATGTCCGGGTATTTAACAAGGAAATCTCCAAATGGGAGTAGCAGGTCATCTGGAACAGGATTTGGGAGGAAGAATCCGAACTCTAGCTGTGCATATTGAGCTAGATGCGTCGCATACGCGAAAATGCCGGCTCGAGGGTCGGCACTAGTATAAGCGACCTGTTCAGCCGTGTTGGCATCCAAGTATAATGGTGTCCCCCCTGCACCAAAGCCCGGAGGTGTAATGGCCCATGATATATTCAACCGATTGAAGTAATCCTTGACAATCTGCTGATTGTGAAAGACCTCCACGCCGTAGTCTACGGTTACTTTGGTGACCGGGTCTTGATAAGTGTTGGTATGGCCACCCAGGATACTTTCTTTCTCAATCAGAATGACGGATTTGCCTTGATCGCGAAGTCTGACTGCAGAGAATGTGCCCGAGGCACCACCGCCTAGGATAGCGATATCGCGGACGATGATGTTGTCTTCGCACTGGACGAAGGAAGTATGAGCTAGAAGCCCAAGGATGGCGAGGGTTTTGGATGATAGTGGGAACATAGTGTACTCCACGGGTTCAGGTGTACGATGAATTCGAAAAGAAGAGACGACGTGAGTGATTCATTGTTATTATTCTCCCTCATCGGCAAAATTGTCAACATACTGTATACTCGCCGTCGTTCTCAAAGTAAAAACAAGCCGAGATGTAGATGATTCGCCGCTTCCCTCCGGGGCCCACAATCCGAAACCCCTAGCCAGCATTGTGTATGGCAATTGACAATTTTAGGTTCCGAGAAACTTACCCATTGTTATGGGTGACAGGATATAATTGGCTTTTTTTGGACTTGGGCTGGAACTCGAGAGTGAGTGATGCCTAGATTTCGTGAATTCGGATAGTATATGAAGGGAAAAAATAAGCTTAGCTTAGTGATTGATCCTCGAGACCATATGTCTAAGTTTCCTCGGAGTCACAAGATACCGAGCACGATGTGATGTATCCATGGCTCGTATTATGCGAATATTCATACCAAGGATAAGCTTTGACACCGGAGAGAGCTCAAGCAGAGCTCCGAGCTGGATGCTATACATTGCAGAATGGCTTAAGAATGAAGGGAATGCGTGAACGGGTCGGGCCGGGTCCTTTGTGGATGACATTATGGCCAGGGCAGTCTTGATGAGACGAGGACCAATGGTGCAGAGGTGGCTATCCAGCAATTTATGATGGGGCGTCGATGCGAAATGACGCGATATAGTCATGCTTACTATGCTCTGAGGCGCATTCTAGAGGCCGCGGGCTGATAGTTAACCGAGCTAGCCCGTGCCGATGCTGGATTTACTGGTCATAACCAGGTCTGAGAATATCATGAAAATACGCCCAAACCTCGGAATTGAGCATCCATAAAACTAAAATACAAAACCCGCCTCATCTGCCCCAGAAGAGGAGATCAGTGCTCCGTGGCCCAATCTCCCAATCAAAGACAAAATGATGACGAATGCGACACCACCTCTGCTGTAATACATCGACTCATAGACTCCGTATCATTCGATCCGAGGGATATTCACATTACGCATCCACTTCCTCACCATAGATATCCTTCGGAAGCTGCAGCGTCAATTCCGAGTTCAACAGCTCGGTCAGGTTTGACCCGTCCCGGAGGTAGATCCATTGGCCGTGCACAAACGGACGTGAGTCCTGCTTCTCGAACATGCTATCACCCTCGACAATCCAGTCGTAACGCTTGGGGCCGGAGATGGGTGAGCTGAGCCAGATCTGCTTGTTGGGGGGTTGCTTGTTCAGGACGTAGGTGCCGATCGCGGGAACGGTGATGTTGAGGACGCCAGCCTGGGAGTTGGTTAGTACATGGAATTTTCTGGTCGCAAAGTTTGGATATAGGGTAATAGGTCCGGGGAGAATAGAGTTGGGCAAAGATAGGGTATGTAATAGCGAAAGTAACTCACACTGTACTCTGCTTCCACATCCGACCCCTCCTCTTGCGCCTTCTCCAACTCTCCGAGGAGAACATTGAAGTAATGCTCCGAGTACTCGTGGTATTCTTCCGGAGTCAGAGGAGAAGGCTCGGTGACATGTAAGCCAGAACCAGCGATGGGTGTAGACTGAGGGTTGGATGGCTTAGGGTTCTCCGAGTCAGGCTGGAGGCCCTTTGAGAAGAATGTGGAAGAGGTGAATGCCCGCAGATGCGCTGGGTAGCTGCGGCAGAGGGGAGCGACAGCTTGGCGGGCTGGAGTGGAGGTGCGCGAGGAGGCACGGATAGCCGAGCCGGCACGGAGAAGACGGGGCGCACTGCGGGAAAGCATTGTGGGATATCGAAGGGGTTTGAGGATCTCAAAGGATGTTGGAAACCTCAGAAGGTTAGTGAAGCTCGAGCTGCGGAGAAGCCTACATCATCGCTCTGCTAAATTCACACCGCCTTCCTGTAACGGATAGCTTGAAGATAGGATTCTATTTGGTATTCCGGGCCTATGATTGGGTGGAAGGTTGAAGGTTTCAAGGTAGTATTATCTTGAGTAATCGTCACCCTAGGTTTATTACTCAAGATAGTACTACCTAAAAACCTTCAACCTTCCACCCAGTCATAGACCCTTGCGAGGGTAATTCCGAGGTCTAAAGGTGAACTATGAAGTGTAAAGTACTAAAGGTTGTGACTAAGTAATAACGTGAGATTGATCGCGAAGAACTAAATACATGATGCGAAATGGGTGTCCTTATATATCCAGTCCTTCCTAACGGCTGGTGTGCCCCGGGGCTGGCCGTATAGTGAGTCCGGGCTTATCGCTTAATGAGTTTAGGTAATCCCGTAGTTAATCCTATCACTTGATAAGTCATCACGTGATGTCCAAGTTTGGTGGTCCGTAGTGATTTTGGTATATATGCAGTTTCGTTGATCCGATAGCATGAAGCGTGCATCAGCATACACATACTTTTGCGGAGCACCGCATAGATCTCAGCGCATGCTGACAGAATCAGAATGAAAATTGACCGTCGTTCTCTGTGATCTGGAAGCTGGAAAAGGTAACACCTTGCGGCGCGTTGGCGCATTTACCAGAGTTCGATAGGGCAGAAGCGGCTAGAGCTCGGCCAGAGCAATCGGAATTCGTATAGAGCTTGAGCACCAAATCACGGTGGAAGAACGAAGTTGCAACATCCTTCAACCTGAGAGCCCCAACAGATTGTGTGGCGTGACACTTATGGATTTCTCCAATTTTGAATGTCTGCACAGCGCCATTGTCGCAAGTTTGTCCTTGAAAGAACGAAACAGTCAAGGTGTCAGCTGTAACAATGCCGGCGAAAAGTATAGCGGAGAACTTCATGACTGGAAATATCAAAATACGCAAGGCAAGAAAATAGAAAAAAAAAAAACTAGCCGTACATTTCAGGATCAATATAGAGGGATTCAGGACGAATTTATAGTCAGGAACCGTATTTTAATATACGGGGTAGACGTATTCCCCTTATGGTCGGATGAGTATTAGACAACTAGGTCCACCTTCCAATCCGAGGCAATAACTAGGTCTTGCGACTCGTGCCTCTGCTAATTACAAACTTAGGTCTCAACCTCGCGCCGCGATTGACCGGCTTGTTACAGATCGACGCCGCATAGGACGTAGTTAGTTAGTCAACTAGTTATTGCTGACTACCTATGATTAGGCAGCTGACCCAGCTGACCCGTACACTTTCCTCTTTAAGATAATTTCAAAATCAAATTTAAACGTATTGAATTTTCTACTTCTCAGAATTCTTATAATTATTGATCTTATTATGAGTATGCCTGGTGGCACACCCCAAAAATTAAAAATTTGTCGGCATTATCAACGGCCTGATTTCTACAAGTCTTTAATAAACAGTCCCATTTTTGAGAGTATAAAATATTCTGCCGGCTAACTTCCCTCCAATGTATATCGACGCGTAAGGTCAGGCCATTCGTCCGTCGAGATAAGGTAACATAAGATACACTAAATTGCTTCGCAGCGGAGCGTATTGATTTGAATTGACCCTTTTGAACAGCTTGTAGGGCTAATAGAAACCTACCTTCTTGCTCGGTGGCTTTTTGCCAAGATTCAGTGCGTTTTGGTGGCTTAGTAGATGGTTGAAGTAGGTAAGCGGGCAAGAATAGTTACGCGATTTCTGGTAGTGTTTCACTCGGGCGGGAATTACGTTATATGAATAATTACTCATCGTCGCAAAAGTGGATAGTATTGAAAATATGCCATTCCAAGCTGGCTGCCCTGTCTCGCTATTACTTTGACTCAATGATACTAGGTGCTTCTTTAACGCCACGGGCATACACGGTGCCAGCTACTGATGATCCATGCGCGGCTTGTTCATCAAAAACTAGGTTATCGACCCCGTAGTCACGTTTAAATCCATCGCATTTCAGCTGTATCCGCGAGATACCAATCAGCATGGCACCAGGATAGCACATTCAGCTTGGTATTCAGGTGCGTTTTGCCTTCCTGCTTTAACAGAGCCCCAAGCCGAGCGGCGTCCCAGTGGCCTTTATCGCGAGGCCAGAAAAATGGCGATCGAACGCGATGGTCGTTTCCACGAACGAACATGCTTGCCGTCTCAGTGAATTGCTAAATCAGCCATTAATAGTATACCACAAGCTCCCTAATCCCCTTCGGCAGGTACCGGTGGACAATTTTAATTGAGTTTAAAACGCTTTGGGACTTATGGTAGCTAGTGACAATGCTGGCGAGCCCGTACTCAACGTAGAAATTACAGTGTCGCCTGTAGAGGGTGTTGCTATGTCTAATAGAAATAAGCTCCGTTGCGCGTGCAGGCTGTCCACCTGTCATATGGATTAGGACCAATAGTCGTCCGAGGAATTGATCCATCCATTGTTGGTTTGCTGTCTCATATGACTCCCACCAGCGTACGAAAGAGTCGGCCTGGCATACTTCGATAAATGCTTCCCTTTGATCGAATTAGCAAGTTTCAGCTGAAGCAGCCGCCGTGCCTCTTGCTCGATTCGACCGATTGCATCTAACTGAGGAGTAGTGAACTTGTGGCGGAGCTTGAGGTGCAGTCTTTCGCGCTTTCGACCAATCTCTTCTGAAATTAACGAGAGTTGAGGTTGTTGTAAGACCGTCAAAACCCAGGGGACATGTCTCGCATAAGCCCCACTTATGGGGGGGGGGGGGGGGGGGTGAAAATCACGGTAGTAGGGAAAAATATCAAGGTTTAGAATAGAGGTTACATGTCAGTCAACAAACGACAGAAAGGCTCGGTTGTGAGTTATGTAAAACCCTACTCTGGCATCTTGTCGAAATGAAGCAGGAAAGGTAAATCCCCCGGGGTAAGCACATGGTCGGATGGGCTGGGCAGGGCACACCAGATACCTATCGGGTACCTAAAATGTGCGTCTCCACTTTTCCACGACACAATTTCAATTGACCTAAATATTGACTACATTTAATGTCATATCAAAGATAGCTGAATGACTTGCCGATATGTATTAGGATATCTCATCACTGTCAAGATCATGGTGAAGCGTGGGGCTCCACTATTAAGGCAATATAGTCGATCACTACGTCAGTGCCATTTCCTTGCTTGCAGTCACACAGTGAATCTAGAGTAATAAGCTGATTTTTGGACAAATGCTTTCAATTGTATCATAGCTATAAATTCAAGCTGTCCTGCTGTTGGAAAATTCTCAATTTACTTCCACCGAAGCAACTCCCCAGGGTACTAGGAATATGCAGCTCTGGTCATTTTTGTTGGCATTCACTGCCATCCCTATACTAGCTTCTTCATATCAGTTTAACCCTCTCGAACACTCTGCCGGTATCGCACCTTACTTTACACCTCATGATCCTCCTCTTCAATCCTCTCCTCCACAGGGCTGCAACGTTACTCGAGCTGCTTATCTCATCCGACATGCTGCCATTTACGCCAATGACTTTGACTACGAGACTTATCTTGAACCACTTGTAAAGAAGTTACAAAATACCTCTCAAGACTGGTCATCTACAAAGACACTTAAATTCTTGTCTAATTGGACTGCACCCATTGACGAAGAGCACGTGGAGAAGCTTACTCGTGTTGGACTGCAAGAGGCTCGGTCGCTGGGAGCTAGTGTTCGTCAAAGATACAGAGATCTCAAGACACCTCAAAGAATATGGTCCTCGACGGCGGAGAGGACAGCAAAGAGTGCCCAGGCTTTTATATCCGGCTTTACAAATGACCACACGACTCTCATCAACTTGACCCAGATCGAGGAAAGCAAGAAGGCGGGAGCAGACTCATTGACTCCGTACAAGAGCTGCAAGGCATACAGTTCTTCTTATGGCAGCGATCAATCTTCGGCATGACCTCAATCTACTCCCCTATAACTCTATACAATACTGACTGTGTATAGGCTTTCGGCAAAATATACACCAAGCCGATCATCGCCCGGCTCAACGCCGAAGCACATTCCTTCAACTTCACTCAAGATGACATCACCGGGATGTTCGAGCTATGCGGATACGAAACCGTCATTCGCGGCTCTTCACCTTTCTGTTCTCCCACTCTATTCAGCTCTGATGAGTGGCTGGGATTCGAGTACACAAACGACTTGATGTACTTCCACAACACGGGGTATGGACGGGATCTTTCTCCCGTTCTTGGATTCCCGTGGGTCAATGCCAGCGTCGCGGCTTTGGACGACAAGACCTCATCACAAGAGTTATACTTCTCATTCACCCATCGCGAAGTTCCACCAACTGTCATCGCTGCGCTAGGACTATATAACAATAGCGCTTACACCGGAGCAAACAAGGTGAACGGGACAATGCCCGACGATACTATCAACTACAATCGCGCGTGGAAGAGTAGTGAGATTCTTCCTTTCCTCACCAACATTGGTATTGAAAAGATGTCTTGTCAGAGCTATGGCTATGGGGAAGGAGAGTATTACCGAGTACTGAATAATGCTGGTCCTCAGCCATTGGTGGGATGTCGAGATGGGCCTGGTGGAAGTTGTTCCAACAAGAAGTTCCACAGTTTCATCAAAGAAAGAGGGGACTTATTTGGTGACTACAACAAGGCTTGTGGAGTCAATGATCTCCCATCTTCCTTGTCCATTTATGCCGCATGAGTGGTTATAATTGAATTGATCAAAGAAATATAGCGAGTACGATTGATGCATCGGAGGGACTTGGAGAATACAGGCGTTCTAGAGAGGCTTCGAAACCCTTAAAAACCCTCAAGATAATCTTAATGACCAAGAAATGTGAATGATAATCTTCTTGTCTGCCGTCAAATGAGACTCATAAGCAATGTCTACGTACCACAACAAGGATCTCCTATTCTTACCAAGTTTGGAGGTGCCGAGCCGAGATCGAACCAAGACAACGTAGTGACCTGGAATTCGTTCTCTTGAAGCAAGCCACCCCCACACTTTCAATTTAAAATGGGGGCTCCATACCACAGTTCTTGCGCTAAACTCGATTTTGAAGAGGTCCCGAGCCGAGAGAGACCAGGCTAGCTTCGTAGACTCAAATGCACTTCTTTTCTCAATCCAAATAAGCTATGATCAGCATTTCCCATGCGACTATAAAGTGGAGCCGAGGGTGGAGCCGGCGCTGATGGACCGAATCCAAAGATGAAGTCTATCAATGGAATAAGTATATCAAAACTATACGCAATCCGATCTTAAGATGAAGGAAATATAAAGGGCGGTGGCCCCCAGGGCCTTATTTCCAAGTTAAACTCTAAGCAAAAGCTCATATAAATCGGCAGTATCGCAGAACTACTTAATAGCCTCTCAAAATGCGCTTTTCGAATACATCCAATATGCTTCGTCTATCAATCGGCCTCGCAGTTTTGCCTCTTGCTGCTGCTCTAGTCGGCAGAAGTGCAACCAATACGTCTAACAGCCATTGCTCCCGGACGTGCATGTCAAATATCGTCACCCAGATCTTGGATTCCATGGTGGCCCATGATCCTTATGCCGTGCCAATGGCACCGACCTACAAAGCAACTGAAAACTCTCATCCAGCGGCAATCGGTATGATGACGTCGTGGCGCACCATCGCTAAAGCAGGACCGCCCAGCCTTCTGGCAATCGACACCACGAATGGAACAGCGTACTTCGCGCTGGATGTTAGTGAAGGTAACGACGCAACCGAGGCAGTCCTTCGAGGTCGGATTAAGGTGGTTCATCAGAAAATCTCTGAATTAGAACTATTCATCAACCGCTACCGCGGTGACCATGGCTTTTCCTTCTCTGCCGCGGAACTACCGACGAATTACGAAGCGTTGATGTCGCCGCCAGCTAATCGGACGAAGGCGAGTCGAGCAACATTAGAGGCACTAAGCGAGTCTCTCTTTGCGACCTCTAGTAATTTCTCCGTCACCGTTGGTGATAACTGTCAGTTCACCGAACTGGGCTGGAAAGTTGTTGATCCGGGCACGAACGGTACTGGTTCGACAACACCACTAGACTGTACCTGGCCCTCTGATCACCCCACCGATACGAACGCGCGTGTGGGTCTAGTTATCGATGAGGAACTAGGCTTCGTTGTGACCAGTGGAACGATCCAGGGTACGGTGTATCCATATGGGAATATCTCGGCTTTTATCCCGAACGCCATGACTTCGGCACAGGAAGCCCAGGAGGTCTGGATCAAGGAGATGGAGGCTCTTGGTACTATCCCCTTGCTTTCTCCTACTGGAGCCACTGGTGATACACTTGAAGTTCTCCAGTACTATAATGGTGAGCTTCAGTCTATGCAGATCAATGTGTATCTGAGTGGCCCGGATATGACATCGCCATGGCTGTAACCAATACTCTCGATGCTATAGTGTGAGTGCTATTGGGTACCTGGGACGAGAAATATGGGAATGTGCTTAATCAATTCATCTTTATGCCTACTCAAAATCAACACTTATCACCCCAAGGTTCAAAATGTATTTCCGATATCAATTGTAAACCGATATCCGTGGAGGAGCGGAGCCCTACGACAGCCCCATGATAGTAAAATTTATTACGTACTCTCGAAGCCATGATTATTGTTTCTAATTCCTGATACCAAGCATAATCGTCTAGTTACTAACACCCAGAAGGGATTAGTTAGTGTCAACCCTAATCTCCTACCCCATAACAACATATCTCTCCCTGCTTTCTATATCCCTCTCCCGTCTACCAACTCTTTGCATAACTACTACTTCCATTACTCGCCATGGCTCCCACACAATACAAACTTATTTTCCGGGTACCCCCCTCCCACCTGGAGGTCTGCAAACAAGCAGTTTTTGCCGCTGGAGCAGGTGCCTACCCTGGGGGAATGTACGACGAATGTTGCTTTGAAGTGCTGGGGATGGACCAATTCCGACCAACAGACAAATCAACACCCTTTATTGGCAAACCCGGGCAACTCGAACGCGTCGCCGAGTATCGAGTCGAGACCTTGTGTGTCGGCGAGGATGTGATGCGCAACTCGGTCAAGGCGTTACGAAAAGTTCATCCTTATGAGCAAATTGTGATTGAAGTCGTGCAACTTGTCGATATTGAGGGGAGTGATTTTTACTAAGAGAGCTTGATACCCGTGGAACAGTATGTTATAGTTTCCCCCCACAACATCGCGAAGGGTGTTGTTTTCTGACGGCTATTTAGGAGAACAAAGTCCTTGAAATTTCTCGCACAGAAGGGACACCAAAAGACAGCCCCATAAGAGAAGAGGCCGATGAACGGAGGGTGGATAAAAAGTCGGGATTACTCGGTTTTCAAGGTGGATCTCGGGAAAGAAGATAATAATGTAATCGATAACCTTAATTAATCGCCATTATTTACTTCAACAAGCGTGAACGTTTACGTGCTTGAGTATTACTCTATCTTGTATTGTTTGCTAAACCAGCACCAATTATTTAATTAAACGACATAGGAATTATCTCAGAGCAAGCTTGTCTTCATATTCTGACTGAGAGTGTGTCACTTGTAGTGGGTCTGCGTCGAGTAATCGTCTGCCCGGCTTTGGCGGGGTTCGGGTTTGTCGACTTTCCCGATGGTCCAGCCAACGAGACTAGTGCGACAAAATTCCACAAAAAGTCCACGGATAACAATGTCATGGATTAAGCTAAAAGGCCTAGATACTGACGCAGATAGAGGTTATCGGATAGTATACATAGTTACAGGATAGTGATCAGTCACTCCCCCAATGACAAACGCTTAGGTTGCTAATAAAAAATCCCCGGATTATCCCACTGCTGAGTAACGGTAAATTCGACATCAAAAACCGCTACGTTTGACGCTGTTTTAAATGTCATTTTTAGCATAATTTTAGTCATTGACCTCTTACTATCATTGCAGTCATCGAGGACGGTAGGGTTCTGAAATACAGGTTGGTTAGGACGGTTGGTCCGAGGAGAAAGAGATATACGTAGGACACAAAGTCTTGGTGGGACAATCCCCAGTTGAGTTCGAAGTATTCGTAGGTATAAGACGAGTCGACGGCCGTGTCGTAGCAAGTTTAGTTGGCCGCCGTGCCGGGGTTAACCAGGCCATCCACTCGCTGGCGCAGCCCCTACGAGAAGAGAATAGAGCAAAAGAAATCGGGCACACTAAGACTGGCGCTGGGGATTGGTATACGGCGTGGATAGGCCTCCTCTTAGTATAAAATACTCTATGGCCGTGCAGACACGGTGATAAGCTCGCCGCATCTGATAAGTTAAATCGGGAAAGCGGGTATAAACGACCAGTCCCGCATTTTTGCTTTCCTTTCTTCAACCATCACCATCGCCCATTACCACCCCGCAATATGGACCCAGCATCCGCGACTAAAGATACACTGCCCAATGGTGCATGGGCTCAGGTCTCGGTCATCGACTCGGCTAGCCTTAGCAACCTGCCTCTCGAGCCTTACTTCCACTGTGACCTTCCGCGACTGCAGCGAGTCACAGTGCCCGCCTTTTCGTTTGTGATCACAAACCAACAAGGCCGCTGCGCTTTGTTCGACTTGGGTCTCCGTAAGGACTGGCCCAAGCTAGCACCGACTGCGGTGGCCGAGGTTCACAATGACGAGCTGGGCATCCATTGCGAACAAGACGTCCGCGATATCCTCGACGCGCACGATTTCCGCATAGACGATATTGAGGCGATTATTTTGAGGTTACTTGCCCCGCTATTTGCACCCTCTATCCTCTTCATAGTGTCGAAAGCTTAATCCCTGCCTTGTTAGCCACCATCACTTTGACCATATCGGGGACCCCTCTCGCTTTCCCTCATCGACCGCGCTGGTCGTTGGCCCGGGGGCTTGCGAGGCGCTCATGCCCGGCTACCCAGACCAGGAGGACTCGGAGATTTTGACCTCTGATTATTCGTGAGTCTCTCCGTCAACGTCAACATTGCCGCAACCAGGTAACCAAATATTATTTCTAACCCGAGCGACTGGGTCGGTTTAGAGGCCGCGACGTCCGGGAAATCGACTTTACATCCACAAACCTCTTTATCTTAGGACTCCCAGCGCTTGACTACTTCGGTGACGGTTCGCTGTATCTACTCAGCACCCCTGGCCATGCAGTAGGTCACATGGCGGCACTCGTCCGCACTACAACCAGTCCAGACTCGTTCGTGTTGCTCGGCGGCGATGCCTGTCACCACTGCGGCGAGCTACGACCCTCGCCGGGGCGACCGCTCCCAACAAGTGCGCCGCCGTGCGTCACACGATTTTTAGAACGACAATCCAACGACGGGAAGCAGGCCTTCTTCCAGATCCAGCGAGATGCGCGCTTCGCAGCCTACTGCCACAACGCCGACGAGGCAGAGCAGACTATCGTCCGTTTGCAAAGATTCGACGCGCTTGACAACGTGCTGATTATCTTTGCGCATGATGCTAGCCTCAAGACTGTCGTTGATGAATTTCCGGCGACGCTGAATGACTGGTTTGTCAAAGGCAGTAGTTGCCGATGGCGCTTCCTTGGAGATTTTGAAGAGTAAATCCTTGTAGATAAGATGTTCATCTATACGAATGAATTTTGAATATACTAACTCCGAAGTTATGCAGAACCTTGCCTCGAGTGACGCTGTGATTGTACAAGAACTCAGATTGAAAATGAGCAATCAGACTACAATAAAAGAGCTTGATTGATCTCCCTCTCCTACATGATACCCGCTCATCTCGCCGTCGCGAAAAAAAAGAGGGTCCCTCCACTTTTGTGGTCCCTCGGCTTCGGATCTCGCCGCCATCAAAATTTCAAAACCGAAACCCGAATCGGTTCAACGCGGTCGATATTTTTTTTTACGAAATGCGAGGGCAGAAGAGATCGCACATAGGTAAATAAAAAAAGATGTCTTCTTCAACAATTCGGATTATACGACAGGATCGGTGCGACCACATACCCATTCGAGAAAATGGGAGACAATAAGGAAGTCTTCGACACGGATTCTGATGTCGACAACTATAATGGCGACAACAAGCCACCGTCCCTGGAAAAGAACCAGGACGATGACCAGTACATGGACGGCTGGAGAGGATGGCTAGTGGTAGTAGCCGCTTCATGTTCTTTATTCATCTATTTGGGAGTGATTTACTCCTGGGGTGTATTAGCATCTGAGCTGGTGAAGACGACGTCATTCTCATTAACGACTTTGACATTCGTCGGGTCGCTAGCTACCTCTTTCATGGTCTCGCTGAGTATTCTGGTTGGAATGACTATCCGGCGATTCGGATATCAGAAGACGGCTTTTGTAGGTGCAATTCTCATGGGCCTGGGCGAGTTCTTGGCCAGTTGGGTGACGGGGCATCTGGCCGGTCTATTCATCTGCCATAGCGTGCTCTTTGGCGTGGGTGGAGGGTTGACTATCATGGTATGTCGATGTCCTCAATCTCCCGTCTATCTGTCGTTGCACTTCTAACATTGACCAGCCGTGTTCTACCGCTCCTCTACGATGGTTCCGAAAGTATCGGGGCCTTGCTACCGGTGTAGTCTTTGGCGGAGGTAGTCTCGGAGCCGCAGCTATGAGCGTTGCCGCAAACCTACTTGTGTCAGAGCTTGGTGTGCAATGGACTCTTCGAATCTTCGGTCTGCTCGCATGGGCAGTCTGTGTACCAGCGGCGTGCATGATTCGGCAGCCCCAGAGCACGGCTGCAGCTGTGCCACAATTACAATGGTATTTCTCGCGACTCGACCCAATGTAAACGCCCTGCTAACACATTTCTTCTTGCAGGTACCGTTTCAGAGAGCGAGCATTCATCCTCCTCTTCATCGGCAGTGGGCTCGGCTGCTTCCCGCTCTTCATCCCGTCATACTTTATCCCAATATACGCACGGGCCGTGGCATCGCAACGTGTCGCGGTCATTATCCTGGCAATGTGGAACGTTGCGTCGACCGTGGGACGCGTGCTCGCAGGCTTCCTGGCTGATACGATACTGGGACCATTGAACAGTCTCATTCTGTCCCTGCTCTTGGCAGGCGTGAGCGCGCTCGCTATCTGGCCGTTTGCCGACTCCGTCGCTGTGTTGTCAGTGTTCATCGTCCTCAATGGTCTTGGATGCGGTGCCTTTTTCAGCCTAATACCTGCTGCCGTTGGGTCAATGTTCGGTGCCAAAAATACCATGGGCGTCTTGCCGATTCTGTGGGCTGGATGGTTCTTCGGCTACTTCTTTGTAAGACTCCTATCACGGACCGCGTGTCCTCGTCCTTTGAAGTACCGGCTAACAAGTGTTATACAGGGCTCGCCTATAGCCGCTGGAATTTATTCCTTGTCCGACAAGGATACCGGCACTGATGCCTACCGACCGGCTGCGTATTACGCAGGGGGCATGTCTATCGTCGGCCTGCTGTTTGTGGTTGCAATCCGCTGCTTGTATTCTCGAAAGTTCTTCGCTCGAGTCTGAAGGATACAGAATGTCGACTGGTCGTTGGGTTGCCAACGAACTGTTGGCTAGGATAATGACCAATCTCCTCTTTCCTGTGCTGGCTAGCATTGGTCCTATGCATTAGCCTTAGGCGACAAGGACTTCAATTCAAGGCGTCCTTGAATCTTGCGAGTCAGCATCCAAAGGCAGAAATTGCCAGTTGACTGTGACAATCAGCCCTATCAATGCTTTGGAAGTGTTGACCTGAAATGTTCACATTATGGACATTATGCAGCGACCGCGAAAAGTTGACGAAGGCCTGACTAGGTATCGTCCACATTCTGCCGATGCTTGTTAGCACATGGGACATGAGAATTTCAGGGGCTGGACCTCTAGAATAATGACTATAGAAAGGTTCAATTGATACCTAGAATTTCCACCACTTTTTCGACTTGCAGTGCAATAGTCACTTAAGCTGGGTACGCTAATTTTGGGACTTTGCCCGGATGAAAGCACGATGAACGAATACATACGTATTCCAAAATAACGACATAAGTCCTCGTATCTCCTCTCTATTCCAAGTAGACACGAATGATACACAAGGGATCCACATCCTTCTATTTGTAAATAGCCATCATCTCCAAGCTCCTTTCTGTACTCCAGTGTAAACGCCGATCACAGCCACCAACACATAGTACCGTTGCTAGCTGCCCGAGAAGCGGTATAATTACTGAGTGCAAGCTGTTATTGAGCGCCCTATTGATCTGCACAATATCCAACCGAACACAAAGTAATTATTCAAAAACCAGTAATTCTCAGCCCTAGACGGTGTTGCCTGAAAAGGTGACGTGGGCCTCGGCCAGTCCGCCGAGTCTGCGTAATTGGGGCTGGGCTGATGTTGGGAGGTGTCAAAATTAGAGCCAGCATAGACCAATTTTCGATCTTTGCGAGAGCACTATTGTATGATATGAAGATAATAATAACAATAATTAATATAGAGATGTTGTCTAGTTAGAATTAATGAATTTATTGCCTTGTTGTGTATTTTTAGATGGGTAAGTCTGGACTCATGGCTATGGGGATGGGATCGGCGGTTGGAGGTCGAGGATGAATTGAGGCGTGAATAGCGACAAAGAACTGAACAAATAACCAACTAATGGGGATTAGGGTGCGGAGTATGGAGTATAGGAAAAACATGTTCGAATCCTTGGCCCCAGGAAGTAGTTTGTTGCCTGTACCGAATACGTTCTACCGAAAACCGCCCCCGGAAGATCAGTAGAAGTGAGCAAGATGGAAATCTGGGATCGACGTATCATGTCGCTTCAGAACGGCATCCGTTCTTCCGCAATCCTCTAGATTCAGAATTGAGAACTTATCCGCAGGATTGGGAACCCATCGAACTGGTTAGCATGGCATTGGCATCGGCATTGACAAAATGGCCAGAACAGCCAATTGCGCCAACGCCCTCATCACCGAGACCTGGCACCCATTTAACCTAAATGACATGTCTACGATACCTATCGGAACTCCTGGAATTCAATCCCCAGCTCAGTCAGAAACCCAATCGAAAACTACGACCGTGGGAGAAATTGTCCGATGTACCGTGTCCCAGCGACAGCCACACAGCTATAGAATAATCAGAGAGACTTCTCGTCCCAAACCTACCGCCTTCACTGACAACACCGGCCAAGGCCCGGGTAGACATCGGAGAAGGCGAAAAGGAAAAAAGGCCTAACGCCATAACAAGCCACGTCGCCGTTTGACCGGGCACACAGTCCGGCAAGGCTTGGCCTCGCACTGTGGGGAATCGACTGCCGGAGTACCTTTGTAGGAGAACTCCGTAGAGGGAGTGAGTATTTCGCCCGCGACTATTGGCAGATAGTCTTCTTTGGAAATAGGATCAGCGAGAGGGGGAAGTGACTAGTGGTGTTTCAGGAGTGACGAGTCTCCCCCCGCTGCTGGCATGGCACTTAGGGCGTGTTCGCAGTGTGTTCGCTAGAAGCCTTTTGCGTACATGCGGACCAGGCCTGGCGGAAGGAGTCTGGATTTGTGCTGAAACACTGGCGTCGATCGGGTGTTGGGCCCGGATCGTCTGTGAGTGGCCGCTGCCGTCATCGGTGGTGGCGCCCTATTTGTGAGCGGTGTGTCCGATTTTCGTTCGGTGGGGTTGATGGAAGGGAAAGAAGGATGGATACAGGGCTGACGAGGAAAAAGCCGCTATTGTAAGTGAATTATTGCAATGTAATAATATGGTAGAACGATATGGATCAGGATAATTGTTGATTATTACCGATTAGGGTTATTTGTTCTTGTCATGTGCTTTTGTACTTCGGGAAACCTCCCACAATTCCAGTTAAACCTAACCGCAACCACAACCATTGTAGCCCTAGGTTTGGGACTGCAATGCTATTCGACAGTGTCGAGTCGAATGAGGAGTCTCCCGAATGACACGAGTGTGTGTGATAGGTCAACTGGAGACATTTCCCCTGGCCCAGAAGAACTTGCTAGCCACTCAGAGGACGTGAGTACAGAGGCCAATAGGTGTAGCTGAGAATATGCATAAATTATGCAATACTATCCTGGCAGAAAGTCTTTATGCCTTGATGCCTGGGAAAATAGGCAGTAATACCCGCATTATGATGCCTTGAGTGATAGGCGGTCTCCAAAACGGTCAGGAAATTATGCATATTCCTGGTTGCTTCTATCGACCCCCGTAAAATGTTCCTTGAGTGGCCAGCCCAGCGCCACTGGATCTCCAATCGAATGCGTTCTTTGCAACTTTCCGAGCGGCCTACGCAAGCATCTTCCATGGTTCGTCCAGCCCAGGCTCCACCATCTCCTCTTTCCATCCACAACTCGACGTGGAAACTCGCATGGTCGCACATCTGGATTGTTCCTGAGATGTTTGCCAGGGGGCAGCCAATGCCCGCTCGCTCAACTGCATATGGCTGGCCTTCGAAACGCCTTACCATTGTTTCCTTCAGGCACCGAGCGACTACCCCGATAGCAGTCGGTGCATTGTTCCTTTGACCAAAATAACCGGAATGTACACCCCGAGCACAGCCTGAACACATCTCCTTCAGGCCCTCGTTGCGCCGACGGTCCAGGCTACTGTGGGGATGCGCGGACATCTAGGCTGTGGAGTACACCGTGCTGAGCATCTCTGCTTGACACAGAATACAGAGCGAATTCTCTCCATCTGCCCCACTGCCGTGGTGGATATGTATTGTACAGTTTGCAAGGGGGCTAAACTAACGGAAAAAGGATGAAAACGACTCTCCGGAGAGCCCAAATGTATGGCCGGGCCCAGACTGGCCAATCATCAATTCAGCAGCCCTGAAACTGGGCCTGTCAAAAAGCCACCGAGATCCAATCGTTGTCTCCCCTTGCTTCCCCATCGTAATGGGCTCTTGGAAATCCGTTCCGTGGATGACGCAGCTCGACATGGTGACAATGAGTACGATTAAGGTGCCACTTTGCATGGATTTTGCTTCCGGGGCCCAATGGCAGCCTGGATACTTCTTGCGACACTCCACTTGGCCCCTCTCTGCTCGGCGCAAAGAATGAACGACTTGAAGAAAGACGTTCCAGCCAGCAGGGCTCGATTGATAGTAAAGTTCGACGCACAATGCATCGGCATATTTAACATTTAACCTCCCTCGGCCCCCCCCTCGTCTTGCGTTTCTGTTTCTTTCCCCAGTCTTCGCGTCTCGTTCACTTTTCCTTTCCTTTTCCGATCTTTGAGATCATTCTTCGATCATTTCTCTTCTAGTTGCCTGTGCCGTGCACGGTCTAGAGTCCTTCCTTTCGAAACACATTCCTTTCTGAGAACAGGTCTTCTCGAGTTCCTCGTCCATTCCTTTTTTTTGTGAATAAGACACAAGTACATTATCTTTTGAACATATCAAAATGGTTTCCTTCACCAAGCTGTTCACCACTGGCCTTCTTGCCACCTCGGCCCTCGCCATCCCAGTCGCTAAGCCGGTGACCGTCGAGGTGCAAAAGCGCAACAGCACCCTCACTTCCAAGCGTGGTGCCGCCTACAACGACATCTCTACCGTCTCCCCGCTCAGCTCTGCCGGCACCGTCTCCTGGGCCTACAACTGGGCCATGTCACTGTCCGGTAGCCTGCCCTCCAACGTCGACTACGTGCCCATGCTCTGGGGAGCCAAGGACTTCGGCGGCTGGGTTACCGCCATCGAGACTGCTCTCTCCTCCGGCAGCAACTACATCTTGGGTTTCAACGAGCCCGATATGACTTCCCAGGCCGACATGTCCGCCTCCCAGGCTGCCAGCTACTACAAGACCTACATCACTCCCTACTCCGGCAAGGCCAAGCTCATTTCTCCTGCCGTCACCTCATCCACCACCAGTGGTTTGGGTCTGTCCTGGTTCAAGGAGTTCATGAGCGACTGCTCGTCGTGCGGCATCAGCGGACTTGCTGTCCACTGGTACGGCAACACTGCCGATGAGTTCAAGTCCTTCGTCACCCAGGCCGCCAGCACTGCTTCCAGCTATGGTCTGTCCGAGCTCTGGGTTACCGAGTTTGCGCTCAACTCTGACGCTGGTGGTGTCGCCGATGCTGCTACTACCGCTTCCTTCCTTGAGACTGTCATCCCCTGGCTCGACGCCAACACCAATGTCACCCGCTACTCCTACTTCATGTGCGCTGACAACTACCTTCTGACCAACAACGCTCTGAACCAGGCCGGTCAGGCTTACACTTCCTAAGTGTACGGTGTGTGATGTGTGTGCGGTACGCCCGCGGTGCTTGTACATGAGTGGGGTTGAAGAAGAAACAGTACAAATAGATCAAGGGATTTCCTCTGTTATCTGGCGTCTCAAGGATGGGTACTCATTTGTTTATTCCCCGAGTATCCTGGTTTCTGGTCTGGCGCAATGAGACGGGTGTATCTTCTGGTTGGGATTGTAAATTCTTTTTGTTACATATTTCTTACCCTGAGGGTTGATACAAGGATTTTCTTTCACATTTGATTTGATTCAATATTTTCTTCTCCTTTCGGAATTTCATTCCTAGACATCAGCGGTTATTCTCAAAATAGACCACGAGTAAGCTGTAAAGGGCGATTCATCTCATGCATAATCTGAGGCCGAGGCTGTTTCACTTGCCGAGCGTTGAAAGGTTCGTTGTTGCTGGCCACTGTGTTCGGCGTTATCTGATCTGATTGGCTGCGGGCCGATTGGGCGCTCATACTCCGTAGTTTGGTGCTTATTCCGTCATGATGTAGTCAAACCCGCCCTCATCAAATAGAATTCAGACACCAGAGAAAACGCATAAAAGATGAAGAAAAAATGAGAATAATCAAGTAAGCTAGGAGTTTGTCCAGGAAATTAAAAGAACGTTAAATATTGAGCACCAATCATCTCCCCGCATCCTTTGCAAAATCTCAGAAGTTGTACTGCAAAATATTTAGTGGATGACCCAGGAGATAAAAGGCTGCGTGATCTCTAACAGGCAATCTACTAGAAAAATGATGATGCTGCCTTGCTGTCGGATGTCATATTACATATGGAGAGTGACGAGCTCCACCCCAGAGAGTAGACAGCATGTAGAACCTCGGGTTCTTCTTCTGGACATGATAAATACTACCTACAGGGGATCTTATTGATATTTTGAAAACCAGGAAAGATTGGCATCTATGCACTGGATAAGAATGAATTTTGATCCCAATCGCCGTCATTTTCTTCGCATGGCCCCGCCTACGCTCCTAACAAACTAATGCGGGAGATTATTCCATTCATCGAACAATATCTGCTACTTCCAGGTTTCCGTTAAGAAGAGCCAACGCGCAATCCACTTCTTCCTGACGTTTTCGTTTTGGCTTCTTGCGATGTATTTGTTCGGCGAGTCCCAAGACTCCGGCAGTTGCTCTTTCCAAATTTATTCTGAACCCGAAATAGATTCCAGTCTTGAAGTTGCTACATGTGGAAAGTATAATGCTCATGATGACTTCCAATTCCAAAATGTAAAACATACCGACTTAGACACTCAGTCGTTGCCTCTAAGAACTGTAGCTATCTCCCCAGCTCCAGTTCCATACCCATCTCAACAGAACAAGTGACCAGAACAACGAAATGAGCGTCGATCCTATCATACTTGCCTTTTTGCCCCCTGGATTGGTGTACTGGCTACCGTATGCTTGATCGGCTTTTTCTGCCTTGCGTATATCAGCATACGGAATTTCGGGCGCCGGTGAGTAGCAGACTTTCAATTCTTCCACATGGGGTTCCTTGTCCCTGCCAAAAACCTTCATACCGACGCTCTTGTATCGGGAGGACGGGCCACACGAGACCATTTGCATGATGCTGCATCGTCCGCTGCCATTTTCCCGTGCCCCCATCAAAAAGCGATCATTGATTCGTTTACTGACCCATGCCTGCGTGCGGGACGTTATAGGCGGCATACTCCGTCAACTGTCGAATGCTCCCTTCAGCCGGCTTTACCCTCGCAGAGACGCGGTGAGCTTACATGCACTTGGCAATGTACTATGCACTTGACTGACCTCTGTGCGTAGCCCCGGGATCCCTTCAGCTGGCGGACTTGTCCACATCCCGCCATGCCACCATTCAACACGGTTTCAGAACAGTGACAGGGAAAGTTGACATGGAGGCTGCCATCGTGAAGCCCCAGAGCATCCAAGATCCTGAGACAGAGGCCAGAAACGAGAATGGTGACGGCCACCAGGCGCCGGACATTGCTCCGCCAGACTATTCTTCACAGTCCCTGGAGTCTGGAACGGTCTCCCCACCGTTGTTTGAGTTCTTGGCACATCCCGATGCGTACACAACTTCATCGGCTCCAATTGACATTCAAATCTCGGATATCCCTCCAGAAATTCGACCGTCTTCCAGAGAAGCGCCTAATAGCGCGGCATTCCCCAACCACTGAACCAGACTCACCCGGTATGATGGGCTTACAAAAGCGTCTTGGGTTAGCCTTTCAAGTGTCTATCCAACGGCGGTGAGAAGAGATGAGTGGGCTCTGGTTTTTATATAGAGGATGAGGGCTTGTGTTTCTGTTGAAGTTTCTTGTTGGAGCATAGCGGGCTTTGTTGAGGTCTGTTCAAATTTCTTGGCTGTGTCTTGTTTCTTTTATCGTTTACTTTCCTCCTACCCTTTCCAATTCTGCTTCTTCTTCTCAATATGACCGGTGATGCTCGAGCTCAATTCATTAATAGTACCTGGTAGCTTTCAGAGGAAGGCTGTAAATTTAGGAATAAGTTCACTGTTAGAAGTCTCTCAGTGGGCTACCTGGCTCCAGGTCCACCTCTTGTAGGTGATACGTGCAACGTTCGGGCCGAGGATAAATGAGAGAGCGGGGTCATAATGGACCCTAACAACTCTCTGAGTTATTCAACTACCTCACCTATGTGAAATAACTCAAATCTGGAATCCCAAGTGTATTGAACCAGTAGTATGAAGTTGGATGGTGAGATGATTTGGCTTTGCCTCCTTCTGAAAGGCATTTTCGATGTCTCTTTCTCTGAAGGGCTCCCTATGTATACTCTGGATAGAAACCAGATGCCTTGTTGTAGATTCTTTTCGTTAGACTGGAAGCGCAAAAGCTGCACAGATTGACGTGTTCAGACTAGCATAACAGTCGCGATCACAACTTTCGCCACCGATGGAACAATTTGCATCATTCTGCCCTCCACTGAGAAATAGAAGATAACACTGACTTATGATTGCAAGACACGTACTTATTAGTCTCACGAATCCCTAGTCTTGATCTGGCCCCACAATAATTGATATGGACGAGAGTATATTTCCTATTTCGTCTTCGGCCGGGTAGATCGGCAGAACCAATGGTTCTATCCGGCAAGCCGGCCAGCACCACGTCCACGTAATTCGGCCCTTGACGGGATCTCTGTCCCATGGTTTAATATTCGGGAGATCTGTTTTTACATTGAAGAGAAACGGAGAAAAAATAATTAGAGATCTGCTGGGCTGACACTTGTATAGAGCTTTGCATCAGAACTTGCAAGCCCCCAATATTAGCCCAGTTTGATCTATGAAGATTTACTCATTCATCGAGTATTCCAATACAACTGTCGAATATCTCTCCTTATCTTCGAATCATATTACCAGAATCATCTGCTGCCCGAGACTCTTTATCCGATTATTAATTAAACAGAAATATGGCGCAGATCGGCTTTATATCGCGGATCCAATGTGACCAAGACTTATCAGTCTAGGCACCATCAAACCTAGAAAGTAGATCAAATACTCACATCAAGTTTCCGATTGGTAGTCCCTGGCGGCTCAAGTTAGACCCCTACCTCGGCACTCAGTCCGAGGCATATAGTTGAGCTGTCAACCATTCTATTTGACTATTTTTGTGTGCCAAGTTCTCCACAACGACGGAAACTCGGGTGGCGTGCCGTTCCAGTTGTGCCCATGAACCTATTCATAAGGGTAAAAAATACAATAATACACTAGCAATTCCTAATACTAGTCACTACTGACGGAATCTTCAACGGAATCTTCTGAGAGATAGCCATTATCTAGTGACATAATGCCGATTACTGGCCCCCCTGGCTCCACTTTCTTCAGGGCTCCTCGGATCTAGAGGACGGTTCCTGGCTGCCGATCCTATCGATCCGAAAGTACTCGTAGATCTTATAACTATACCCTGGTCCCCAATTCTCGAGTAAAATAATCCATCAAGAAAGACCAATCTCCCCTCCTTATTGTCTCTTCCATCATGGAGGACCACGAAAAAGAAAAAGAATACGATAGTACCTCACCTCCTGGAACGGCTACCGAAGAAGGAAATGGAAATTACTTCAATACCCTCGCCGTTCCTGAAATCAATCTCCGTGAAGCCAGCAGTGCTGAAACCCTAACTCCTCACCCTTCCGTTGTCTCGCCTCCCAAGAAAGCTGCAGAATGGCATATGACACCGCAAGTTATTCGAAACGCCGAACGTGAAGAAGCAGCTGGTTTCAAAAGGCGTGAGCTAGGAGTCACTTGGCAAGATCTATCGGTCGAGGTTCTCGCTGCCGAAGCGGCAGTTAAAGAGAACATGATCTCCCAATTCAACGTTCCTCAGCTTATCAAAGATTTCCGCCGCAAACCACCACTCAAGTCGATTTTGTCAAACAGCCATGGATGTGTTAAGCCCGGAGAAATGCTTCTCGTTCTTGGAAGACCCGGATCCGGATGCACCACTCTTCTCAAGATGCTTGCCAACCGCCGCGAAGGATATAAAAACATCACCGGAGATGTCAGATTCGGAAACATGACTCCGGAAGAAGCATCAAGATACCAGGGCCAGATTGTGATGAACACCGAGGAAGAACTCTTTTACCCTCGTTTGACAGTGGGTCAGACAATGGAGTTCGCTACCAAGCTCAAGGTCCCTTACCACCTTCCTGGCGAAGCGAAGAGCGTTGCCGAATATACCGCCGAGACGAAGCAATTCCTTCTCGAGTCTATGGGAATCGCCCATACTGCCGACACAAAAGTTGGCAATGAATTCGTCCGAGGTGTCAGTGGTGGAGAAAGAAAGCGAGTGTCTATTATTGAGTGCCTTGCAACAAGAGGCTCTGTTTTTACTTGGGACAACTCAACGAGAGGACTCGACGCTTCCACGGCCCTAGAGTGGGCCAAAGCCCTTCGCGCCATGACCGACGTCCAAGGTCTCTCGACCATTGTGACCCTTTACCAAGCTGGAAATGGAATTTATAATCTCTTCGACAAAGTTCTCGTCCTCGACGAAGGAAAGCAGATCTACTACGGCCCTGCCGCAGAAGCGAAACCTTTCATGGAGAAGCTTGGATTTGTGTACACGGATGGTGCCAATATTGGTATGAAATCTTATTTCAAACTTTTATTCATGTACTGACTTGTCTTCTTAGGTGATTTCCTCACGGGTGTGACTGTTCCGACCGAGCGAAAGATCAGACCTGGTTGGGAAAACCGGTTCCCCAGGACGGCCGACGCTATTTTGACCGAGTACCAGAACTCGGCGACATACAAGAACGAAGTCTCTCTATACGGATATCCGGACACTGAGATTGCTGCCGAACGCACTGAAGCATTCAAGGAATCTGTCGCCTGGGAGAAGTCTAAACACTTACCCAAGGGCAGTGACCTGACCACTAGCTTCTGGGCCCAGCTCATGTCATGCACCGCCAGACAATACCAAATCCTCTGGGGCGAGAAGAGCACGTTCCTGATCAAACAGATTCTGTCTTGTGTCATGGCCTTAATTGCTGGGTCTTGCTTCTACAACTCTCCCGACACCTCTGCCGGTCTCTTCACCAAGGGTGGTGCCGTCTTCTTCTCTTTGCTGTATAACTGCATTGTGGCCATGTCTGAAGTCACCGAATCTTTCAAAGGTCGTCCTATTTTGACAAAACACAAGTCCTTTGCCATGTATCACCCGGCTGCGTTCTGTCTGGCCCAGATTACCGCGGATTTCCCGGTTTTGCTGTTCCAATGCACAATCTTTTCGGTTGTTATCTATTGGATGGTTGGATTGAAGCATACTGCGGCGGCGTTTTTCACTTTCTGGGCTATCCTTTTCACCACAACTTTGGTAAGAAACTACTTACGATTCGCTAATAGAGAAAACGGAGCTAAGCATCTCGTAGTGCATCACAGCATTGTTCAGATTCATCGGAGCTGCCTTCAGTACTTTCGAAGCTGCATCCAAGATCAGTGGTACTGCTGTCAAGGGAATCGTCATGTATGCAGGTTATATGATTCCAAAGCCACAGATCAAGAACTGGTTCCTCGAGTTATACTACACCAATCCCTTCGCATATGCATTCCAAGCTGCGTTGACTAACGAATTCCACGGCCAGCACATCGACTGCGTTGGCGGAAATCTTATTCCCAGTGGCCCAGGATACGAGGATGTTGGATCTTCCTATAAAGCCTGCGCTGGAGTTGGCGGTGCTCTTCCCGGTGCGGATTATGTGACTGGCGACCAGTATCTTTCTTCCCTACACTACAAGCACTCTCAGATGTGGCGAAACTTCGGTGTCGTCTGGGCCTGGTGGGGCTTTTTCGCTGTGCTGACGGTCGTCTTCACTTGTTTCTGGAAATCTGGTGCTGCATCTGGTTCTTCACTTCTTATTCCCCGCGAGAATCTCAAGAAACACCAAGTTGGCAGCGATGAAGAGGCTCAAAATAATGAAAAACGTGCCGCTCGGACGACCACCGATGAGCCAGTTCAAGTCGACGACGATAACCTTGTTCGCAACACCTCCATCTTCACGTGGAAGAACCTCACCTATACAGTCAAAACACCAACTGGAGACCGAGTCCTCCTGGACAATATCAATGGATGGGTGAAACCTGGCATGCTTGGTGCCCTAATGGGATCTTCTGGAGCCGGCAAAACAACCCTTCTTGATGTTCTCGCGCAACGCAAGACGGAAGGTACCATTAAAGGCTCCATTTTGGTTGACGGTCGCGAATTACCCGTGTCTTTCCAGAGAATGGCTGGATACTGTGAGCAGTTGGATGTTCACGAGTCTTACGCCACTGTGAGAGAAGCCCTGGAGTTTTCTGCTCTCCTGCGACAGTCTCGAGATACCCCCAAGGCCGAGAAGCTCAAATACGTGGATACGATCATTGACCTCTTGGAACTGCACGACCTTGCCGACACTCTGATTGGTAGTGTGGGTAATGGTCTATCCGTTGAACAGCGCAAGCGTGTGACGATTGGTGTGGAACTCGTCTCTAAGCCTAGTATTCTCATCTTCTTGGATGAGCCTACTTCGGGTCTCGATGGTCAATCGGCTTATAACACAGTCCGGTTCCTTCGGAAACTGGCGGATGTAGGTCAAGCAGTCCTCGTCACGATTCACCAGCCTTCTGCTCAGCTCTTCGCCCAATTTGATACCCTTCTTCTCCTTGCCAGAGGTGGCAAAACGGTCTACTTTGGTGATATCGGCGACAACGGAGCCACGATCAAGCAGTACTTTGGCAAGTACGGGGCTATCTGCCCTCAAGAGGCGAACCCAGCAGAGTTCATGATTGACGTCGTTACCGGTGGTATCCAAGAAGTGAAGGACAAGGATTGGCATCAGATCTGGCTCGACTCTCCAGAGCAGCATCAGATGGTCACCGAACTAGACCGAATGATCGCCGATGCTGCTAGTAAGCCGCCAGGTACCGTCAATGATGGCTATGAGTTTTCGATGCCTCTCTGGGAACAGATCAAGATTGTCACTCAGCGCATGAATGTATCGCTCTTCCGCAATACGGCCTATGTCAACAACAAGTTCTCGCTTCACATTATCTCCGCAATGCTGAACGGATTCTCGTTCTGGCGGCCTGGTCCAAGTGTGTCGGCATTGCAGCTGAAGATGTTCACTATCTTCAATTTTGTCTTCGTTGCTCCAGGTGTCATCAATCAACTGCAGCCCCTCTTCATCCAGCGTCGTGATATCTACGATGCTCGCGAAAAGAAGTCCAAGATGTATTCCTGGGTTGCCTTCGTCACTGGTCTTATCGTTTCTGAATTCCCATACCTGTGCATTTGTGCCGTTCTCTACTTTGTTTGCTGGTACTGGCCCGTCTGGAGATTGCCTCATGACTCCGACCGTTCTGGAGCTATCTTCTTCATGATGTTGATCTACGAGTTCATCTACACTGGTATCGGCCAGTTCATTGCTGCCTACGCACCGAACCCGACCTTTGCAGCACTCGTTAACCCACTCATCATCAGTGTTCTTGTTCTCTTCTGTGGTGTGTTCGTGCCATACGATCAGCTGAACGTGTTCTGGAAGTACTGGATGTATTACCTCAACCCATTCAACTATGTCGTCAACGGCATGTTGACTTTCGGTCTCTGGGGCCAGAAAGTCACCTGTAATGAGAGCGAGTATGCAATCTTCGACCCGACAAATGGTACTTGCGGCGAGTATCTGGCGACTTACATGAGTGGCAAGGGTAGCGGAGTCAATCTGCTTAATCCGGGCGCTACCTCAGGCTGCAAGGTCTGCGAGTACACAACTGGCAGTGACTTCTTGCAGACACTCAACGTCAACCACTACTATTATGGATGGAGAGATGCGGGCATCACCGTCATCTATGCTATCTCGGGCTATGCACTTGTGTTTGGTCTGATGAAGCTTCGGACCAAGGCGTCCAAGAAGGCAGAGTAGTTATACACTGAGATTGTCTCAGTTTGCGAAAAGAAGGAGAGGGGACGTTTAAATTGCATATTTGTACATAGACATAGACATAGATTGTATATAGATGAAGATAGAAATGGGCATCAGCGATTGAATTTTCTTTTGCTCCGTTATTACTACACAGACATATTAGTCCCGGCTAAGTTGCCTAACCTTTGTCGTTGTGTATCTGCTCAATCAGCTTGATGTGCTCTTACCATAGTATTTAGGACATGTGGTTAGTATTCCATCCATATGATTCCGTCATGATTTGCCAAAGAGGAAGCTTAGTTAGACGATCCTAAATCTGATTAAGGAACTCGAATACCCGACTCTGAATTTGGAACGGAGCTACTCAAAATTCATTGATTCCCGAAGCATGAAAAGAATATTCTTAATCCTACAAGCGTCCTGATTTTCTTGCAAGAACAACAACAACTCAATACCTTCTCGTGGAAACCCTGTGGAATGATTTCGGAACGAACGAAACCAGTTCAAAACTGCAAATACAGACAAATCAGCAATGACCGAGAAGAGGGACATCAGGGAGACGGAGATCAAGAAGATGGCCGAAACGAAGTCTACAAGGTTGGAAGAACGGAGAAAAAGCTTGGAAGAATGGAGAGCTGGCCAAAACGGACGGAAAGAGAAATATATCAAAGAACTAAACCGTTTGAAGGGCCTAGCCAAATGTCATAGTCTACAAGTGATTGCTTGAATTCTCAAAGAATTCTAGTAGAGTGTGCCCTCATTCCATTAACTGTAGATGCGCGAAGACCAAAGCATGAGAATATCGAATATGAGCAAGCTCCGAATGAAATACAACACCATTGTATGCTTTTGCTATGATAAGAGAAACCCATTCCAGAACCAAGGTTTACGCATCCCATTATTCATGCCTCGGTCCACGCAGACTCCAAACACCGGGTATTTCCATTCCCATAAAAAACAAGATAAACCGCCCATGCAGATGCGAATATTGTAAAAGCGAAGAAGAAAACGCCGGAGTTCATGTCATCGTCACGTCCTCCGTCAGCGCAGGAGTCGTCTCAGTAGTAGAGGGATCGAGAGGAGCGTCAACCATCTCGTTGTCACCGTCTTCATCGTTGTTGCTAGCGATATCATTTTGAACAATAGTTTCGGTGACAACTTCGACCGGAGATGCCCCAGCGCCATTTTGCTCTTGATCCTCAGGAGCTTCCTCCCACACGCGGATGGTCTTGTCGAGGCCACAGCTCACGAGCATACGCTTCCCGTTCAGCTTTCCTGTGTGAACGCTTATAACGACGTCGGTGTGGCCCTCAATCCGCTGAAGAATATTCTTGCTGACAATATCCCAGCAAAGAATCGCGCCGTCCTCGCTGCCGCTCACGGCAAAAGCTAAGGGTGGATTGTGCTTGACATCTGGTGAGCCATAATAGCCAAAGCTGCCGCTCAAACTGTACTTTTTGTTCACATGGCCCTGGAATGTTTTGATAACGCGACTCTCGACGTAGTTCCACATGCGCACACAACCGTCCAAAGTCCACGCCAGAATGTATTTCCCATTTGGAGAGAACTTGACGCAAGTAGCAGGCGGATTATCTTCATGAACAAGAGTCCTCAAGCACTGCCCACTATGGGTATCCCAGACTCGGACGAGTCCATCAAGAGCACAGGACACAATAAGAGTGCCGTCATGCACGACGTCGATGCCCGCGACAGGGTCGGAGTGTGCAGGAAGGGAGCGCATGACTCGTGCTCGTCGAACATCCCATATGAAGACAGCTTCGTCATAAGATCCACTGACGAGAATATTACCCTTGGGTGCGAATGCAATCTGGTAGACGTAGTTGTGGTGCCCTTCGAAGGTTTTCGTGTGCGCTCGACCCTGTGACCATACGCTTGTCAGTGTTGCCCACGGTAGGGTGGAGGAATGTGATTTACTCACCGTATTAACGTTCCAGAACCTAATTGTCTTGTCATCAGAGCCAGACGCAATCCACTGCCCATCAGGACTCCAAGCTAGTGAAGAAATACCAGCAAGGTGTCCCTCGAATGTATAGATCAACCGGCCAGTCAACGTATCCCAGACCTTGATGGTAGCATCGGCACCTTGAGAGAAGATGATCATTAGTCACCGTGTTCAATTGAGTCCCAGAGCGAAGTACATACTTCCACTTGCAATCATCGAGCAATCTGGCGAGAACTGCACAGCAGACACGCCGCGCAGGTGACCCCGAAGAACGAACTTTTCCTTGTAATTGAGTCGCTCGGGCTTGACAGGTGCCTCCACTGAAGGCGCAGGTGTGGAAGATCGGTCAGACATATCATCGCGTCCTGGAGCGAGCGTCTCGTCGCCGTTGCTCATCCTGTCCTCATCAGACCCGCCATGAGATCGGTCATTGCTGCTCGAATCGGCATGACGGTCGATAGGCGAACGGCTTCGGCGGTTTCGCGAGCCTCGCCAGTAATCGTCTGCATCGGCAACCAGCTCATCCGAGCTCTCCGACTCTCTGTATTCCCTTGCCTCATGTTTCTGTCGTTTTGGTGTGAAAGTCTTCTGGTTCGACCAGCTCCCTCGCCGGAGCTTGGACTCGTCAACTTCGGGCCCCGCAGCCAATTCGTTCGATGACGACTCCACGGGAGTCCGGTCGCGAGACTCTCGCCGACGGGTTCGAGAGCGCGCACTATCCATGAGAAGATCGAGGCACAGAGGCAGCGAGTAATCGCAAGACAAACGCGCCCATCGAAGCTGCGCGAAAAGAAATCGCGTCTCCGAAGGCGGTGAGAATGACTGCCGCATTTACATCACCGATCGACAGTCGACAGCTTCCCCTCAACCTTTGCTTGTCGATTGAATTCCACCTTTACAAAGCTTGGCTGAAATGGCCTCTTCCCTTCCCCCGAGTGAGCCTCTGACTCACATTCGAATTCTGACTCTCAATTGCTGGGGTCTGAAGTACATCGCCAAGTATCGTCATGAACGTCTGTCTGAGATTGGGCGGCAGCTGGCTCTAGCCAACCCACCGCCAGAAATAGTGGGCCTGCAGGAGTGCTGGACGCAGCAGGACTATGAGAGCATTCGCGACCAAACTCGACACATACTGCCATACGGCAAGTTTTATTTCGGAGGAATCTTTGGTGCGGGACTGGCCATTCTGTCGAAATGGCCCATCGAAGAGAGCAGCATGTTTCCGTATCCGCTGAATGGACGACCAACGGCTTTCTTCCGCGGCGACTGGTTCGTGGGAAAAGGAGTCGCCTGTGCCAGAGTTCGATTCGGGCCTGGAGTGGCTGACGTCGCCGAGGTCTTCTGTACACACTTGCATGCACCATATGAGCGCGAGCCGAACGACTCCTATTTATGCCACCGTACTGCTCAAGCTTGGGAGATCTCCAAGCTCATGCGCGGCGCTGCCGAGCGTGGACATCTAGTCATTGGTCTTGGAGACTTCAACATGCTACCATCTTCCTTTGCCCACAAGTTGATCTCCGCGCAAAGTCCTGTTCGTGATGTCTGGCGCGAGCTACACCCCGACTCGTCCGTTGGCGCAGCCATTGATGCCGTTGAGAAGGCACGGAACCGACCAATTCCGTCGGCTGAATTTAATTTGATCGAGAATGGTGCTACTTGCGATGGCGCTTTCAATACCTGGCGCTGGTCAAAAGCTCTGCAGAAACAGCTGGACAAGGGGGATGATATACCTGTCGACAAGGACGCCCCAGACGCCCGCGCCAAACGTCTCGACTATATCTTTGTCGGTGATGGTGGCTATGCCCCGGATTTCCCTCCGCCACGCTGGTCCGTGGAGTCTGCACAGGTCGGCATGACCCAGCGTCATCCTACTCTCCGTTGCTCATTGAGCGACCACTTCGCTGTCGAGGCCGTCATTACTCGATTGCCAGTAGGAGCGGCTCCTCTGTCCTCAACTCAGATTGAATCAGCCCCGTCACCTACCTCGCCCACTCTTGAAAAGACAACATCAACCTCGCTGGCACCCAACGCCGCTTTGTCTCCGCAGACATACGACCTCATCATCGACATGATACACACCTACGTTCGCCGCGAGCGATCACAGCGCCGCTGGCGACTTATCCATTTCATCGTATCTGTATTCGTCTCTATCGGGTGCATGGTTGGCGTGTGGTGGGTCGGCAGCCGCACGTATATCGGCTTCATCTTGATCCTGGTCAGTACTCTGAACTTCGGGGCTGGTATTCTGGATGGATTGATCGGTGGGCTCTTTGTCTCGAGTGAGCTTCGTGCTTTGAAAGAGTTTGAATGGGAGGTGCAAAATGCGAGAAGCCTCGTTCTTGCTGCAGAGAAGGGCCGTCCTGGAAGCTCCTAGGGGTAGGAGACTGGATGATCCCTGGCTGTCTATGTTTTATATTGGTATTCCTTACGACTTCAAATATTGTACTATACATAACTTAGCAGGACTGGTTCTACGCGGATGGGTCAAATTAATACATAATTTCTTGATCGAATGTCAGTGAGCTAAATCAAAACTATAGGTTTTTACTAGTCTGATATCACCGACGCCAGCGAGGCATGACACACCACCATTGACATTCATTCAGAAATACAGCAGCCCAAGGAGAGCTATCCAGTGGAGAGCGTGTTAAGCAAGTCGAAAATGTGTTACACAATAGGCTTCTACCTATTGACCATTCTACGGTCAGATCAATTTTAGTTGCACATAATGAGTGTGGTGTGCATTGTCATATCGATAGCAAAATAAGCTAACAAGACCGTATTGATATCCCCGGCCCTCAGGGTTAATCGTCATCATCATCAAAAGCAAGAGCGCAACCGAATTTACTCGGCACACTCGCGCTGACGCTCATCAAAGACAGCCAAGGCCTCCTCAGCAGCCTTAACACCACTCATAACCATAGCGCCGAAAGTAGGGCCCATACGGTTGAAGCCATCAATCTCAGACAACTCCATGCCACCAATGATAAGACCCTTGGTGACCTCACGGGTGTTCTTGACGATAGCGTCCTCGGCAGCGTTCATGTCCAGACCACGCATACCACCGAGCTTCTCGATGGTGTTCATGGAGACGAGACGCTTAGCGCAGAAGGCGCCGAAGGGGCCGTCGTGGCCGGTGGTACTGATGATGATGGGGGCGTTGATGGTGTTGGGATCCATGCAGGAGTGGTCGTCGTGGTGCAGGGTGACCAGGGTCCAGTTGACGACGACACCAGAGATGCGGACGGAGTCGCCGTCCGGACGGGTGATCAGGTCCTCGACGCAGGTGGCGTTGAAGAGCTTGACGTTGGGGAAGGCCAGCACGCGCGACAGCAGGGTCGAGGTGAACAGGGCGGCGTGCTTGACAACCACGAAGTTGGGGTTGTTGGGTTCCTCCTCGAAGGGCACGCCCAGCTCGTTCAGGAAGGCGTCTGCGGGACGACGCAGGACCATGGCCGAGAAGAGCTGGCCACCGAGCCAGGCACCACCACCTGTTGTGGTTCAGTTAGTACTACTGTAATCTCGATATCTGGCAGTGTCCAATTGACTAACCAGGAGACACGGAGGCCTCGAGAATGGCAATCTTCAGGTCCGGACGGGCCTTGGCCAGCACGTAGGCAGTGCTGAGACCACAGGAACCAGCACCGACGATGACAACATCGCTCTCGGCGTAGTTGTCCAGATCCTGGAAGTAACGCCGGGTCATGGCGCGCGAGACCTGGCTCTCGCGGATAGGGGCGAACTTGAACTCATCCCACTTGCCGCCGAACTGCTCCAGAAGCTTGCTCTGGCCCTGGCCGGTCAGGGTAGTGGAGAGCGTCTCGGGGACGATCACCTTACCCTTGATGCCGGCGGGGGCAACAGTGGACTCATAGATGGCAGCGGGAGGAGACATAGTGGGTTAGGGATCAAGTCGGGGAAGTGACTTGAGAGCCTTTGTTAGTTTTTCTACTTCCATGAGGGGAGAAGAGGGGGAAGGCATGATCCTTTCGCTGGTATTATCCAGATATCAAGTTATGACCGTATAATCTCAGAACGAACCCACGCCGATGGTAGTCTCAATACTAGCGATTAAGGCAGTTGGCTACCAAAGCTAGAGAGAACAATGCCACCGACGTGAAGAACGAACACCGGTCCACACCCAGAAGTTACCTGAGATACCTTGATCCCTAAGAGATAATGTGCCCAGCCAAAGCATATCGATGGCTTCCCAATCGGATGGGAGGGGCTGTATGTACTTGACCGATTGGGATCTGGACAAGGTCAGCTCTGAAAGCTACGACTTGGGGGCTCATAGTTACTGTAAGTAGCTGAAAGCTTTGATTGAAAGTTGAAACTTGTAAAAATTGTTGAAAGAAGAGGAAAAGAAGTCGAAGGTGAGGGGCAGGGACAACCTTATTATATGCGACCGACCCCACCTCATCATGCAGATTACTTGGTGTCATCACCCTCCGACTCTCTCCGACCGGTGAACTCACAGGGGAGCTATTGTTGATCTTGAGAGAATAATGACGTGAATGATTCGCTTGTCTCCATGTTTTAGCTTTTGAATATGATTCTCGACCTCGTGCCCATGGTTACTTGATGCGTTATCCATGGAAAACTACATAGAAGCTCGACGCTTTGACCATAAAGGGTATTAGGTCGGTTTATTCCCACCTAACAAAAGTCAATTCACATTCTTTTGGTGCCCTTGTTTACTATGAAAATCTATGAAACAGAGAAGAAGGTTCTCTCCTTCGTGAAGACCGCGAATAAGCGCACAGCTGCACGCATCGGAATACTGTGCTCCATGGAATTTGTTTGGAGCATCCACCCCGACTTCGGCCATCCACATAAAGTAACATTCTATTATACATACGACTAATAACCAATAACAATTGTTTGAGTGTGAGACCAGGGTATAAGCGAGCTGCTACTCGTACTTGATTGTGTCGGACACAGGTGCTTCTCGGATCCTCCGGAGGTGCTATGAGTCAAAGGTATTTAGACTTTCCTTAGATCGTTTTGTCGTTCGTGGAAACTACTCATTGACAAGCAATTTGCTATAGAATACAATGGGTTGAGAAAAAAATATCAGGATTCAGATATACATTGCATTCAAATGGGGTATAATTGAGAACAACGCAGACAATCACATAAATTACACTCGAACAGCACCAACTAAGTCTTGATCCGAAGCCGGGAAAATGTGTCCCAATTCTGTCGTGATTTGAACAATCTCGTTGGACAACTGCCGGCTCACGATGACTATTGCTCGTCAGTCAGTCACTTGTATCTATCATGCAGGTTTGAAAAGGCTTGTTTCGGAAAAAAACTTACTATAAGCGTAGAGTAGCACATAATCCTCATCATTCGTCCCGTGAGATGTTCGCTTGTCTTGACGATATCGAGAAATTTGCGCCAGCAATTCATCACGAGACCGCTCTACATTCGTAGGGATATCGCTGAAAGTATGTCCGGCATCAACAGTTGACGCTATGACTAGAGTGACAATCGTCTGTTAGCAAGGAACAGCCATCAGGTGCTTTCTGGGCACAGAGAGTTTTGTGGGTTTATAACTTACTGATGAGCAAATTACCGATGCACTCAGACATCCTCTGTCTAGCAGCGGCTGTGTGCCGCAACAGCGAAATCTGCCCTTCAGAAGGTGCAGCGAGATTGGACAAGACCAGGTCCATGGAATGGAAATTGTCAACAATGTCTCTCGTCCAGCGAATGACATTGCTATAGGCAGCATCCGGGAATTTATCTCTTAATTCAAACTCAGAGCGCGCAGAGGCTTGTATAGGCTCAAGTTGAGAGAGGAGATGCTCTATCTCAGTCTTGTCGCGGGAGTCCAAGTAAAGAACGGGTGGCTCTGTATCACCCCTGGATATCGTATTCAACGGGTCAGATTCCCAAACCAGAGCCAGTCGAACCCACAGCGACTGCAGAGTTTCGTTGAGTTTTGTCCGTGCGCGAATGGGCCAGATGCCTCGCGTAATGATGATTCCCCAGATATTGCCTGTGATAACGGAGATGACTCGTCGGAGAACGATAGAGGTGATATCGAGGTGTTCGGCTTCGTCATTCGGGTCATTGATATCGATTTGTGAATGAGAGAAGGCGTAGAGTACGGAAAGGTTGTAGGTTAGCAAGATAAATCGCCCCATAGGGCCTTGCCCCTTAACAAGGATGACGTAGAAAGGCCCGATGGCCATGACGAAGCCCGTCAATGCGAGCTTGACAGCATCACCTCCAGCAAGGTACCAAGCAGCGATTGAGCAAAGACCACCAAGACATGTACCGAGGAAACGAGCAAAGCCCGTGGTGTTTGATGCACCGATAGTCATAGAGCAGACCAGCATGTACGAGACAAGGCCCCATTCTCCCCTCCAAGAGATATAGAATGGTCTTGTCACCGATATGAAGGAAGGTAACGCATAAAGTGCTGCTCCAATGCCTACTTTGAGAGCGAACTTGATTTCGTCCTTTCGCAAGAAATCGAACAGTCTTACGACATCGTCACTAGCTCTGTGGTGTCGGGTCCGCCCTCGATGCATCCCTTCAGGCTGGTCGCTTACATTCGCCATTCGTAATGGGCTTCGCGTGTTGATGGCGGGGCTGTCATGCCTTAACGATGGGGCTGAAGATACATATATCAGTGACACAATCCAAACACTAGATGAACCTAATTAAGTTACCTTCATTTAGATCTATGGCTTGTTCTCGACGAGCCAGCCACCACGAAGGACGCAGCCACTGCCATGACCTTCCATCAGGCCTTTCATCAACCTCAGCCTGCAGCTCCTCTAGGCTTAATAGCAACTCTCTCAGCTGCTCGCTAAGCTCAAGGAGCGAGACGGAGAAATACTCGCAATTCGCGAAGATTTCCTCAAGGCTGGCCTTGTCCACCTGAGCGGGAGATATCATCTCCCAGTCACGACGAAGGGAAGAAAAAGCAGCATGTCGAGCTTCTCGGTATAGATCTACTGCTTCATTGATGCGATTTGTTACTCCGTCATTGATTGAAAGTCGATAATCGGGCGCAGGCCCAAAGGAAATTTCTGCAAATGTCTCTCGCAGGGTATGAGCAAGTGATAGCTGTCAATCATTAGTTAGTGCGTCATTCGGGTATCACTGATAGATTTTGGTTATACGTACGATAGAAACTTCGAGCCCAGATGTTAATTTCTCGAAGATCTCAGCGGGAGAGTGAATTGAAGAGGACTGCTGTCCTACCTCGGGCACCAGGCTGGAGGATCCATTGCCGAAATCTTGTGCGTCTACCCGTGAAATAGGTTCCGGCTCTCCAGTGAGCCCTGAGTAGTTTGGGATGGCAAGATTAGAGAATTCTGCTGGCCTGACGGAGGACTGTGATGTTCTAGTGTACTTAGTCGGTGCAAGTAACTTAGACTGCAAAGCTACTGCACTGCGTAGACCACCTAGTCCGTGTGTGATATCTTGCATGAGAGCCACCAAGCGCTTTTCAAGGAAATGTTCTCGCTTCGTTCCAGCCACGTAGTGCTCGAGCTTAGTTTCGCCGAGGAGTTTCTTCAACTGACCAAAAACTTTATCGTGATGTGAAGATAGCTTCGTAAATTCAGCAGTTTGGAGTTCACGGTCTGTACCGCGCAGAAAGCTCTCTGTGGTACTCATCAATATTGCCGTCACCGTACCGGTCAAGGTAGAAAGATCTCCTCGGAACTTCTTCCGGGCAGAGACAGGCAATATTGATAGGGACACGGCCGTTGAAACACCAACACCCAAAAGAAGCATTCTGAGGATCTGAGAAATTTTGGTGAAAGAAAGATCCCCTGTCTGTACGGCACCTTCTTTCGTGATGACCAGAATAGAGGCCAAAGAAGCCAGAGAGCATGCGACATTGACGAGCGGGTCTTGTAATCTCTGCTTAATCCATCCGATAAAGCCGAATCCGCCCATCACGAAGACGATCAGCACCACAGCATGACCTAGTTCGATCAAGTTATGCTTTCTCTGAATAGTGATGGTCACCCACATGCTCGATAAGGAGAGGAACGTCGCGAAAAGAAATGCGACGAAAGCGCATATCAGTGCTTTGTACATACTACCCTGTGACCTTGCCGGGTGGAAGTAGACTGTAATAGTCGCAACCAGATGTTTCCCATATTGGTTACCCAGAAGGCTGCCAATAAATGGTATGAAAACTGCCAGTGATGCAAGTAGATATGCAAGGCTGCACTTGAAGATGCCGACAGCCTGCTCCGAAGCGATGAGCACTTGCGCCTTGCGCCATGTGCGTGAAATTTGCCGGAATATTCTTGTCATAAGTCTTTCATCCTCGACAGTGTCCTGGGTTATGAGGAAAGGTTCAAGTTCCTCTTGTTGATCGCGAGTGTCCGGGCGCATATCGAGGTCTTCCTGGTGAGGCGGGTTCGATATCGGCCTGGTTTGCCGCGACTACCGGGATCAAGCATCAAGGATCAGTAAAGTTCGGTATCACTTGTGAGACTAACTTACCCCAAAGAGGGAGAGACCCCTGGACGCCATAATAGAGTGAAATTACCACCATGCAGCTTCAACAACGTTCTTATCGAAATCAGGCTGCGATGTTCCTGGTCGAGAGATCCGCTTTGATCTCCACCTCCGCGGCATTTCTGCCCCTCTGTTTGCCACCGCCTTTGGTTAGCGGCGAGGCTGCTCCACACTAGTCCCGAGATGGTTAGTAGACTTTGCCTATTCGAGTGCGTCGTCCTTGGCTTCGGATGAGGAATCCGTGAAGTCTACTGTGAGAACGATCAAAGCAAAGGCCGTATCAGAAATCAGTTCTCACTGTATAGCCTTCTAGAAGTATTCTGGGTCTAGGGGTTAACAGATAAAGCGGGTACCAGTCAAGTTCTCGGGTTCGATATCTGGGCTAACACCTACACATCAAATATGTAAACACAAGCTAATGTACGGAGCAAACTGTAAAGCTTAATTTCCAGGGCATATTCTCCTGTGATTGAAAAACTTGATTACCTATGTGCGTACATTTTCCCTTCCAGTTTCCAAAAGCTCCTATATACATCAAATCATAAAGGTCCTGACATCATACGAGGAGCTCAGCTGTCCGGAGCCCCACTCATACACGCAAGGATGGTTGAAAACAAGTCAACTCCTGTAAAGCAGCGAACCGTCTCCACTCTTCCAATAAATACACTAGAGCACGTATCTAAAGCTTGCGCCATAGTTGTCCTCAGCTGCAACCTCGCCACCTTTGGTCGGATCGGCCTCGGCCATGGGACCATACTTTTTATCAAGCTGGCGGTTTTCCCAGGCCAACAAGAATCGAAGGCACAATGCAAGCAGGGTGGTGAAGAACATGAAAGCCGCACAGATCGACATACCCTTAATGTATCGTGGGGCTTGCGAATCGGGGAACACGTTTGTTCCCAAGAAGGGACCACACTGACCAATAATGTTCAGCAGGATGATACCTCCACCACGGCGGGTATCGGAGCCTTGGTTATCTAGTACGCGGTATGGATTAGTAAATCGATCATGTGGCTGGATGGTATTTTGATCCCAGAGATTGGATCAACGCAAGATAGGGAATTGAACTCACTCAGAACCCATGGCAGGATATTGGCGATCGAGGGGAAGACTCCACAGGCGGCCAAAAACACGCCAAAGTATCGTACGCCCACAGACTTGCAGGTGGCACAGAGAATATACCCCACACCGCCGATCGCTGATAAACCTGCGATCATCAATCCACGCTGCTGGATTCGATCTGCCACCCAGGTGGTTGCAATAGTGCAGAGGAAGGAGGCAAAGAAGGGGGGTGCGGTGAGGCCCTGCGCGTTGATGGATGTGAAACCCATCTCCTTGAGGATAGTCGGCAAAAATACCGGCAGGGAGGAGAAGCTAACATTGCAGCTAAAGTACATCAACTGCAGATTGGGAAATATGAAAATTAGTACAATGTCTCGTCTTCTTTTGAGAGACGGAATGCTTACCGCAGTGAACCAGGCCTTTGCGTCCAGGAGTGTCTCGAACAGCTCCTTCCATTGAATCTTGCCCTCCCGCTCCGCTTCACCAGACTGTTGCAGGGCGCGACGCCGGGCTACATCTTTCTCTTCCTCGGTCAAGAACTTCGCCGATGAGGGCTTGTCCGGGACAAAGAACCAGGCCAGGATCGCGGCAAAGCAGACAGGCAGACCTTCGACGAGGAAGAGTAGTCGCCAGTTTGCAATGGCTGCATGGCCAGAGGTGATACCATACGCCAGAGCGCCCGCAAAGGTATTAGCCAATGGAGCAGCCGACAAGAAAAGACCGCAGCGGAGACCCAGCTCGTGGCGGCGATAGAAGAAGGACAGTAGATAGGGTACACCGGGTCCAAACCCAGCTTCAAAAGCACCCATCAAGAACCGCAAGGCCATCATGCCCTGCCAATTCTTAACAGCTGCTTGGCACGTTGCGACCAAACCCCTACCATGCAGCGTGTCAGTATGTTCTAGACAGAATTCTTTACGCTTCCGGAAGATCTTCCACGTGGAGGATGTGCATACCAGGAGAAAACAACGAAGGCAGCCCATTGGTGCGGCTTGACGATCTTCCACATCAACGCCTGGAACTCGAACACCGTATACGAGATGTAGAAAATCGTCAGTAGCCACGAGTACCGATTGCCTGTCAAATTAAGGTCTTCTGTCATGCCGGCAATTTTGGCATTACTGTGTACCCATCAGTCAGTGTTGCAGCTCACGTTCGAGTTGAGCGGTGTATTAGACGAACCCAATGTTACTTCGGTCGAGAAAAGCAAGTAGATCTAGTGACACAACCCTTGTTAGCACGCAACCCTTCTTGTTGTTGTCATACGTGGCCAGGAAAAAGCAATTATGACCTACAGAAAAATGCCATCAATGTGGGCACTCGCAAATCCAGCTTCCTCAGCACACGCCGCTCCAATTCTGGGTCAATGGGTGCCATTGTCATGGTGGCAGGCTGGACATGCCCGCTCTCCTGATGAGCAGGCACGGTCTTCTCGACATCCTGATCCGACGGTGCTCGTTGAATTTCGTCCTCTGACGGGTCCTTCTTGCCAAAGAAACCCATGGTGGCAGATAACGGGGCCAGGCTCGCGGGGGAGAGAGAAAAAGATGGCAAGACTCGGACTTTGACCGCACTCGCGGGGAAAAACCCAGTCCTTATAGTCTGTGGGGAAACAAGGCCATCCGTGGGGGTTACGGTCGCAATTGGTGCAGCGACTCGTCACCTACTCGGCTTATATGGTGAGTCGGGGGGCGCAACCATTGGCGCCACTAGCACCCAGCCGACCAGGGCCATCCCCACACTTTACAGCCCAAACCCGGAGCGGCGTCGAGCCTCCGCGGCGCCCTCGCGGTGGGGGATCCAATCGACTGGGTTTGTGCGGAGAACGGATGAAGCGCAAAAGCTTGAGTGGAGCTGGCCCAAAAGCTTACCCGCATTCATCGCCGACCGACTGGGCGTGTGCACGCGGTCAGCTCCGACAGTGATCGGCACTCCGGTTAAGAGATACGACGGACCTTTGCCGAGGGAGAATGTGGGATAGGCCCATGGGGTATGTTTGAACTCTTCTTGCCCCGCAAAAGAGACCCCAAGCGAGGCCTTGAGTGACTTTGCAGAGCAGGACGGGATTTGTGGTAAGAGTCACCGGCGACCGATTCGGACGCCTAGCCATTACTAAGTGCGCTGTTGATTGGCCTGAGAATTGGCTGCAAAAGGAAATAGGGAAACAATTCGGTGGAAATGTAGATGAAGTGATTACTTCAATAGAAAACCTGCGTAAGGAGACAAGTACTTGCGCAGTCGACGAAGTACACTACTATTCTCTTATTAGGTATGGGCCAGTCTGGCAGTGACCCATCTATTTCCTCGATATTGAGATCTACAACTGAAGTTTATTATTTTCGGGAAGTCACACTCCGGATGTACCGGCATCTCTTCTCGCAAATGCTCCCTATCCATTCATATGGACAGGCACTGCTGGAATCTAGGGACCGAATTCGAACATTCGCATTCATAGTTAGAGCTAGGGATCCGGGCCTCTTCTGTCGACAACCTGGTTAGCTAATGAAGATACGAGGTTACAGAGATTGAAAGCCATATCTGTCATCTTAATCAGACCATTTACTCTCCACTAATTGGAACCTCGCTCCATGGCATCTAGGCTATCTGGACCTAGATTTGGCTAGGTCGTCATCTCCATGTGCAGTGCCAAGGATCATATACTTCAATGACAAAACATGCTAGAATGATACTCGTGTACATCACAAGCAGATGTTGTTGCACGAAAAGAAGTTAACGATTGATTAGTATCGGCAAGTCCAATTCAAGATTCGCTTGATTCAGCCTTGAGGCCTCCGTTCTTTGATCCACACCGATTGGAATCGGACCTCTTGGGACGGAATGACATCAACTTAGCCAGTTTGAGTAGATCAACATCAGCCAATTCAAATCAAGTGTTCAAGACAGCAAGATATTTTACCCGTCTAATTTGCTCGATTAATTTGACGTTGTCAGAGCAAGCTATGATGGCTTTTAACTCGGCTTTGATATTAATGCCTCAGGTGTCGTGCGTAGTTGGTACGTGTGGTCTCCCGCACCGCATCAAAAATCCTCCGCGTCGCGTTGCCAGGAGCTCCATCAGCCCTCACCAGATCCGCGCCAGACACTTTACCCCCATCAGTGACATCCCGATTACCCCCCACAACATTTTGGGCTTATCTCGCGATTCAATTGATTAAGACTGGTACCCGCAAACGGGTGTGGCCAAGATGGATGACCCAGCGTCCCGTATCCCGGGACAGTTGGTAGGTGACCCCCAACCCGATCAAACACGTTTGATCTGGTTTCCGAATTGGATGAAATGGCTTGGAACGCCAAAGCTGACAATTTCGCGTGATATCTAGATCCCGCATATGCATCTGGTCTCTCGGAATCGCTACCCTAACATGCATATGATGCCGACCGAGACGGCTGTAGAATACCTGCTGAGCGCGCCCCGAGTCTGCCAGACACAACCCATGCATTGGACCTTCTTGGATGGACCACAAGACGGCACCGTGATGATGACATGGCAACCGCTTGCGCACTTGGGTAACAACTTCGCCAGCGACGGTTACGTCTGGGCCGATGCGGAGCAGGCTTTCACCTTTGAAGCCCGAGGATATGTATGATATCCCCCCGGAGAGCGCCAACACCATGGACAAGAGCCCGATCACTAATTTATAATTTAATAGACCGTTGAAATGTTCCTCCACCGTAGCGGCTACCACCCTCCCAACGAAAACATGGCCAGCCACTGTCGCAAGCGCTATCGCATCGTCTCCTCTAAAATCCCGAACGGCCCCCAGCCCGATCCGTCATTGTGGATCGTTCATTATTCTCGTGCACCCCAGCAAGACCACATCCCCGCGACCCGCATCCCCGTTACACCCCAAGTACAGAGCATGATGGGCCAGCGGCGCTACTTGCAAAGCCAGGGCCAACTTGCTCGCAAAGAATTCCTCCTCCATGACCGCAACAACTGGCCTACGATCAGCTTCCCTCCCCAAATGGCCCCCCAAGGCTTTGCTCAACCACAAGCTGCCGCCTACGCCAATGCGCAGGCAGGAAGGCCCGGTTTCTACCCACCCCAGGCTCACCCAGGCGCAGTACCACCTGCCCCAGCCCAGGGCAAGGCGCAACGTGGGCACCGTGCTCCGTCTGCGGCGATAGCGGCAGCAGCGGCAGATTTCGCTCTTGAGGACGAAGATGTCGCAAGTGGTGACGTGATGGATCTCTTGACTCCTCGTGAGGTGAGCAAGATGCGATATGTACAGCACCATGAATGGATGGAAGAGATCTTTGCATCCCATTATGCCATTTCACAGATTACACCCGTCTCCCTCGGACTCGGCCGCAAAGGCGAGCTCGAGTCGCTAACAGCGGGATTCTTCGATGCACCGGCTGGTGGCGAAGGCCAAGATGGCCAGGCTCCAGATGCCACCAAGCTGGAACCTGCCAAAGCAGAGGAGTTTGCCGATCGCGTTGCGAAGAAGGTTGCCGACATGACCGCGGAGATTGAGAAGCTCAAGAAGCAACACGCCCGTCGGATGGAACGCTTCAACCGCAGTTCATTGTTCAAGGATGCCGAGCTGCGTCTTCGCGATGCCGCTGCCGACCCTACGGCGACCGGCACTGAAGTTTGGCGACTAGAGGGCCGGATCATTGTTCCCAACGAGGAGGGTGAAACCCCGCAGCTCGACTACCTCGAAGAGAAGGCCAAGTACAAGGTGAATGATGTCGTTCGCGACGTTGAAACCGCTTGGAAGAAACAGATCGTTCCGGAGCCCAAGGTTTCATGTGTCGAGAAGGGCGGTCTGCTGGAAAAGATTGAGCCCGAGCAGAAGGAAGAGCCCGAGTCTTTCACTAATGATATGGTGATTGACCAGGCCGATTCCCATCTCCTCAACCAGTTCGGTGGCTCAGCTGCGGGCGGTAACGCAGTTTCTACACAGCCCGGTGCTAACATCTCGGGAGATGTGGACATGGATATGGGAAATCAGCTAGGAGGTGGCGGCACCGCCGGCGAGACTGGCGACTGGGTGATGGTCAGTAATGAGAATAAAGACGGTAACGCGGCAGCCGGGACCGGCGAGGGCAATCTCGAGAGCGCCAACTTTGATGATTTCACCAACATCGACAGTGCTGGCGACGCCCTAGCGGCATACACTGAGCAGAATGATGGGTTAGACTTGCCCGACCTGGACAACTCTGCATTTGGCGATGCCTTCCATGCCTCGGATAACGAGCACTCGCACAACCCAGATGCGGACGACATGTCCTGATCTTTCAACGAGAGCTTGAGATATAATGTACGGAGGCGCTTGCTACGGTTCTATTTTGCGTTTCGTTTTCTGCTCTCTTTCTTTTGCTTAGCACGCTGCGGGCTATGGTCTGCTTCTGGGTGTTTGTCGGTGTGTTTGGTAGGGTGGTATTGGATTTGAACTGATGGAAGGTTGCTTTTGCATCCGGATTTCTTCTTTGTGGTGTACAATAAACAGACAGAGAAATCTATGACCCAGCTGAATGGATTCGGCCTGGGGGGTATCTACAATAGCTTGATGTGTCTGCATGTAGTTCAAAATTGGCAATGCCTGGACCTAAAGTAGCAAGCTGTTCGTGGACCAAGGATCGATCTCAGCGATCAAGTATAGACTCATACCATGCTAGCCCTAAGAAAGATTAACTTGAAGAGGGCTTGAAAAAAGAAATTCGAGCGAAACCAAGTCTCCAACTCGTTGATCTCAACTAGGAAATTGCACTTTCAAGAAATGAAGCTTTCGGTCTCGACTCCTCGGATTAGCTCACTCATCTGATAAACGCCCAAGTTGACAAACTGTGGAGAACCGACGATCCGGCCAAAGATCCAGAGCTCAATCCATGAACAACAAGCCTCACCCGAGCTCCACGACTCCTCACGAACACTCGTTCGACCAGTTAGATCTCTCGAATCATTGTAGTTCACGCACTCGACTGCAATCGGAATGGTACATGAACTCAGCATCCGCCCCTCCCCGTCATGACGTCACCCGTCCACCGGGACTGCACTTCCCGCAGCAGAGCAACGACGAGATTTAGGGTTGGGCGCATCGTCATCTATGGGAAGGCGCAATCCCGCTTGCTTGGCTGCCCCAGAGGTGAATTATAACCCGTTTCTCTCGTCTCCTTGCACAGGCTGCATATTCCACACACCACAGAATATATCTGACCATCCCGTACCATCACTATAATCTACAAGCTACGATGTGCGAAGCTAACTTACTCCCTTACTCTCCATATTCCATGTCGCTGACGTACATCTATAGGAACCGCAACATGTCTATCCGCTCTCGCAGAGAGCCCACTGGCGGCCGCCACCGCTTCACCATGTCTACCTTCCGGGGCATGCAGCAGCCCGAGCTCAGCCGCAAGCTAAGCCGACTCATCAAGAGCGAGAACTCGGCCATCGGCGCCCACGAGACTGCCGGTCGGGAGCGCGCTGCTATTGCCGCAGCCCTCTCGGACTGGGGCGAGTCGACCGATGACGATGCCGTCTCCGACATCTCCGATAAGCTGGGCGTGATGCTGTCCGAGATTGGAGAGCAGGAAGACATTTTTGCGCAGAACTTGGAGGACTATCGCGGTGTGCTGAAGCATATTCGCAATATGGAGGCTTCTGTGCAGCCATCGCGTGATCAGCGCCAAAAGGTGACTGATGAGATTGCGAAGCTCAAGTACAAGGATCCCACGAGCACTCGCTTGACGACCCTGGAGCATGAGCTCGTGCGCGCGGAAGCGCAGAATTTGGTTGCCGAGGCACAGCTGTCTAATACTGTAAGTTGGCGTTGCTCGAGTTTGAACGTGTGACTTTCACTAATGCATGGCCCACGACAGACTCGGACAAAGCTCAAGGAGGCCTTTGATATTCACACTGCCGCGATTATCGAGCGCGCAGAGAAGCAGATTATTCTTGCTCGCCACGCCCGCCGTCTGCTGAACTACATCGACGACAGCCCCGTGGTGCCCGGCGACACGCGCCAGGCATATGATCACGAGTTCGACGCACGCCAGGTTCTTGAGGATGCCGAAGCAGATCTCCGTGCTTGGGAGCCGGCCTTGGACCCTATCTCGAGCGCAGCTGTCGATGCCCCCACCCATGTCAGTGGCGGCAGACTGAACGAACCAGAGCAGGACGCGGAGAGCGTGGCCACTGGCCCCAGCGGTGTCGCAGTTGGCAATGCGGTCCCGTCGTCCTCGAAGCAGATGGAAGAGCCCGTGGCCTAGAATGTCGTCAGATTGGAGACAGAGGCGGTTTCTTTTGTATTCTGTTATATTGATATACTGTAGCCATGTTTCACTTCCTGTACTTGTTAATGTGGAGGATTGGGGGATGGGCTGTTTATGCTGGTCTCGCTGAAAATGAAAATGATAACCAGAGCAGATCGGCCAGGACTTAGACTGTTTGAAATATGGACACGGTGTAGGTAGCAGAGAAGCTTGCAGAGCTTATTATCGTTCGGCTTTAATTTTGATGTTCGATGTTTCTCCATACCCCGTCCCAGACCACGTGACCACAGGCGCCAGAAGTGACGCGGAACTCCCAAGCTCCAACGGAGCTGCTTCCATCATCAAACCCGTGCTTCAGCTTGTCCTTCCAACCTTTCTCTCTACCCCGAATCATCTTACTTTTAGCTCTTTGTTTCTCCTTCTAATTAGCACATCATGGACAAGATCGTCGCGCAATACTCGCGCCCATCCCATCAGAATGAGTTCTACTCCGAGCAAGAGCAACAGGACCTCACGGAGACCCTCCCTCCGCTGTCCCTGAAGTTTGCCCTTCCTCCCGTCGCCAATGTGAGTTATTCCAATATCTACAAAGCTATTCATCAACTTGGAGCTCGCTACAATCAGACTGGGTTGCTTGGTTAGCTCCTTGACCGACTCCGATGCCCGTCATCACAGCTATGCGGCGAGCGGAGCTCCCAGTAGAACTAGTCTATCCATAACCAAAGAAACAAATCTAACTAACCATTTAAATTCATTATTATAGCCCTCCGCTTTCCTCCGTGCCATGACCGATGACCACTCCAACCCCAGCTGCCCGATCAAGCTCGCTCACGGAACAACAACCCTGGCCTTCCGGTTCCAGGGCGGCATCGTACGCTCCCTTCATACCATCGCATAAAGCAAGCTATCAGGTGCTAACGGGATTTTCCGGAGGAATAGATTGTGTGTACCGATTCCCGAGCAACGGCAGGAAACTGGATTGCCAGTCAGACAGTGAAGAAGGTTATCCCCGTGTCGCGGTTGAGTCGTGGCGAGGATAAGCCCTCAAATGAGCCTACCCCGGGTCTTCTGGGAACGATGGCCGGTGGTGCTGCTGTGAGTTTGATCGAATTAGTGGGGAGAAGAGACGAGTTTGATGGTGCAATCTCGGCTGACGAGATGGATTGATAGGATTGCCAATATTGGTTGCGGTATTTGAGTCAGCAGTGCACTCTGCATGGTTAGTTTGAAGGCTTCGAAATTCTGTCGTGGCGTGGAATGGCTTACTGATGAGATTGGTTTCCAGAGATCCGACACAAGCGCCGAATTACGGTTGCAGCAGCCTCCAAGATCCTCGCAAACCTGACCTACTCGTACAAGGGCTACGGCCTCAGCATGGGAACTATGCTTGCAGGAGTTCGTACCACCGCCTCATTTCTACCCAGCAATCAAGTAGGGCTTGAACTAACGTCGACCGCTTTTATAGGTAACCCCCAAGAAGGCCCCGCCCTGTACTACATCGACTCAGACGGCACCCGCCTCCCCGGCAACCTGTTCTGTGTCGGCTCCGGTCAGACATTCGCCTACGGTGTGCTGGATGCCAACTACCGGTACGACCTGACCGAGGAGGAGGCGCTGGCCCTGGGCCGACGTGCCATTCTGGCTGCCATGCACCGTGACGCATACTCTGGTGGTTTCATCAACCTCTATCACGTCAAGGAAGAGGGCTGGGTGCACCACGGCTTCGATGATATGAACCCTATTTTCTGGAAGACGAAGCTGGAGAGCGGCGAGTTCTCGAATGTTACGTCGGAGTTGTAGAGGGGCTTGGGTTGATATGTATTATTGATCTTAATGCTAGGGATTAAACATGGGCTCTTTTGATAATGTTTTTCCGAGTTACTTGTAGACTTTGTAGGTCTGGAGTATTAGTGCCGAGAGATTTTAAATCCGTCTCTAAGTGGCAGTCATATGTACACCCTAATAGAACATGGGGCACTGGACTCAATGACTGCCCGTCCTCCCCGTCGCTATGTTAATCTATAGTCTGACTTGGCCCGAGCCTCTTAAACACTGACGGGGTATTCGTTGCCACTGACACCGCCTCCACTAATTAAATTACAACGCATACGGTCATCTTTCGTCCTCAGTTCATCTTATGAGGTTTGCAGAAAAGAATTAGTGCAAGGGACAGTTGAACATGGCGCATGAAGGTAAGATTGTGAGGCTGAGACCTCGTATATGCAGCGTGCAACGTGGCTTGCGCGGGGCGAAGTCCGTAACTTTTTGATAAGTGTAGATAAGGCCTTTCTTCAGTATGTAATAGGCTCGTTTATTTCGAAATTGTTTAAATAAATGTATTTGTTGCAGACGTGCGAGAACCATTGCTTCCCGAGAGACCGGAGGTTTTGTACTTGATTCAATGTAGCCGACGCCAACATTGCGCAACACTTCGAGGGAGAATATCGATTATCTTCGATTATTAGATTTATTGTATTAAATAGCTATGTTAATTATCTAGCGGGTCTGAAGAACGCTGGATGCGCCAGGTCGTAGAAGCTATGAGAGTATGAAAGAGAAACCCAGAATTGTAAAGCATCTTCCTAGAAACCCCCCAAGATCCATTGAAATACCAGAGAAGACGACAGAAGACCAACACCACCGGTTTTCCTTAGATCAAAGAACGAGAGGAGAAAATTTGAACAGACTTTCGTCGCACATCACTGCTGTCACTCCATTGCCGGGTGTTCATTTTTTGCCGTATAGTGACCCCAAGAATCCCTTCGAAGCTCGCTTATTAGAGCTCAGATCAATCTCAGATGCCTCGAGCTCTACCGGAGGCTTTTGGAAGATGCGAGGCTTTTCTGGTTCCTTGAATTCGCGCTCTGGAAGTTCCGACTGGACCGGGTAGGACTGGACCGGGTGGGACTGGACCGGGTGAGGATTAACATGGACATCGAAAACGGTTGACTTTGGCGAATGGTAAATCTCTCCCTAGAAATTCACAGAAGAGTAATTAGTATAAAGCTGGTAGAGCACGAGAGAAACAACGCAGAACATACCGTGGGTACTATTGGTATCTTTTTCACATAGCCCATCGCTTTCGATGAATCAGACCACGAGATAATGATCGTTTCTTCGTCTTGCAGCGGCACGAACGCTAATGCAAAGGAGTCCGACTTTATTGGAAACGCCTTGGATGTTGCAACCCTTTTTATATCCATCGGAATAGAGCTCAAGTCAGATACTCGGTAGACGTAGCCTTGGTCGTTCACAACCGCTAGCTCTCGTCCGGATGGCGCGAAAGCCGATGCCTGGATGCGACGACCCAATTTGCCCTGCCGGTTGGAAGATGAGCTTTGGGACTGGATTTCGGTCTTGTGGCCGTTAGGCTGAACGAGCACCGGAATACCGGATTGCGTCCATGTAGTGATACAGACAAGGTCTTCTCTGCCATCCGTTCCTGGCTGAAAAAGTACGGATGACACCCCGTTGTCTTCGGACTCGTGAAGGGGAACACGATATCGGCATGGTACAAGCTCCTCAAACTCTGAGAATGGGAACCGTGACCGGTACACCTGAATAGTTCCGTTCTTTGTGCTCCTGGTACTAGCAACGAGAACGAGACCGTCGTTTGAAAAAGATACAGTGTCAACAGGAGGGCAATCCTTACAATTCTGGTGATGGCGAGCATGTAGTCGATATGGCCGGGGAGACTGGGAATCAAAAGAGTTATACAGGCCGACAGTTGCGTTCTCGAATCCCACGGCAACAAAGCCTCCGGTTGGGGAGAGTGCCATGCACCTGCACCAGGGTGAAGGCCTCATTCGATACTCAATCGCGCTGAACGACATCTGACTAAGATTTTTGATTCGCAGCTATCCATGATACACGTTAATAAAACAGAAGGTCTCGATTTGGGAAAATGAAAATCGCTTACCGTTAACCTTTGATCTCGATCGCCAATCATGTACGCCAAGTACTGCCCAGTGACAGCAGCTAGGACGCAAAATCCTTCGGTCGAGACTGAATGTTTGAAGCTGGCCGGACATGTGCTGACATCCCAAATCTGAAGACTCGAATGCGTCCAAAACAGCGTGTATGTCGAGTCCTGCGACAGAGAAACGTTGATGTTCTGACCGGACTTTCCTTTCGTGCCATCCTTCGCTCGAGTGACTAATGCTCTTAGGTCAATCTCTTCCGGTTTCTGTGACTCTAACGTAGCTGATGATAGGGAGCTTGTATCCGTTGGATCTTTCGTATCCTTTCTAGCCATATTAAACCGTGATTTCCATCTCGACGATTTTTCTGATCGATCAGGGGGCGAGAGTGTTCGAGTTCCACTACTTGATGACAAGCTTTTGGTCGTGAACGTCACGCCTTTGGTGCTGAATTGCTCAACCGATGTTGTCCTGGAAAAAGGCTCTCCCACATCGTCCGCTGAGAAGGGATGTTCTCCAGTCACGGCCCTTGGTGTCCTCGGCGGTGGAGGAGTGTCGCTCATTTTTCGATTACTAGGAGAAAAGAAATTCTCAAAGGAATCTGTGCGAGTACCATTCCATCGTCTCTGTGGGAGGCTGAACTGTGCTGGGGGCGATAAGCCCCCTTGTGTGCTTTCCGAGCCTCGGCGTAGCTGGTCGGTCCTGGGTGGTGATAACAGAAATTGAGTAGGGAGATGCCGTTCCACATTGACTCCTTCCACATTAGGGATTATTGACTTGAGACTCTCCCATGTATATCGAGCAAGTGGTACCTCACGTAGCATGGTGACTTTAGATCCACAAAGTGCGCAGGAGGATTCTGACGGAAGCGTGATTTCCTGTCCTTTACTAGTATCATCCTGGAAAATCGTTATCATGACTGCTACGCAAATGCTGAGGAGTAGGGGATCTACCTACTTTAAGAGGGCTCATATGTTCTACATTCTTGACCTGAGAATATCCGATCAAATGACACTGTTGACAGTTCACGACGTACAGCCGTGGACTGTTCGACTTCAACTGATCACTGGGATCATCCAGAAGCTCAATATAGCGGGTGATTTGGTACACATTATGCATCACCGCTCGATCACTGATGCGGTGAATCATCTGACGATAACTGAGTTTTTCACTCAGCATGTCCCACGCATCTGATATATTTCCATCATGGTCCTGGCTGTTGGCTCCATGATGCATCACTGGGGTATCGGGTAGAATCATGCGAAAGGATTCGCTGATGACCGGTACTAGCTTGGCTGGAGGAAGATGTGGTGGGGACCGAATGCGATTAATTGCGTATAAAACTGCGTCGCGAGTTTTCTTAGAGGCGGCTTCTAGTTCTGTATCGCCCAAATTTTGACTATTGACCGCAAATTGAACGTTCGCGCCGACAACAAATTGTGACACATCGTACAGAGCCAGTAGCTGCGATAGCCAGTTCTGAGGTGAGCCATTTTGAGGTACGATAGTCGCGATGGAGGGCGATGAAAGGCAGTCGGGTAACGGATACTATAGCGGGTGGGGCTAACGGTTAAATCGATGTCTTCTCCATAAAAAAGCAGAGCAGCCTAAATGAAGATAGAGTACTCACCAAATCCTCTGTCAAAGATGGAAGCTCTTGCTTTAGTCTAGGCGGCAAGGTCAATGCATCGGGTGCAGAGCATAGAGTGTCTGCGATGGCTCTACAAACGGCTAGTAGAGATGAATTTGTATCGGGATAACTGTCGCATATCCTCTCCAAGGACCGTTGGATGCGTGTGAACCGGTCTCGACGGTCTCTTGCCTTTGAATTCACTGGAGGCTTGGGATGAAGCAAGAGAATTCGTACTGTCGATAGTAACAGCCGTGCCAGATATTCGTCGCGAAAAGAGGCATCCCACAGGACTTCGCGAGCGTCTAGTATAGTCTGGAGAATAAATTCAACAGTACGCACTGTCACCTCCCAACTAACAAGAAATCCAAGAGACCATCCAACTGGCGATCGTGCTGGGGCAGGTAGAGTGAGCCGTTGGATGAAGAAGATCACGTCGAGCTGAGCGAGTAATGTGAGAATCAAGTCCGCGTACTTGTCCTTGTTGGAGTCTGCGTAGATCTTCTCCAGATCGAAGCGACCGAGTAGTTCGATAATGATATCGTCCACATCGCTTCTTAGAGCTAGGAGGCTCCAGACTCCCGTTAAACTCGTGAACAAAGACGATGGTGGAGCCGTCGCCATTTCCTACGTGTTGGTGGGATGCCAGGTTTGCTTGACACTTTCCCGCACGTCCTTTTTCAGGTCGAGAACAGATCAGACTTGTTGCACGGGTGCTTAGGCACAAAAGTTCTGGCTCCGTCCAATCTGTACTCTTATCGGTTCGTATTCCCCTCGCTAGGTTGTATGCAGGACTAAAATCCGGGGTTGAGTGATGATTGGTGGAGAGGAGTAAGCACGTCGGAATTAGAGCATCGAATGGCTGTGACGATGCAGATAAGGACTAGTGCTAAACTAGTCGACTCCAATCGAGACGAAAAATATCCCGCTTTTCCTCTTGACAGCGAGTTTAACTTTTTAGTGCTTTATATCATTGGTAGAGCCGACGTCCACCTCGTATTGCTTGATTGAAGGCTGAGGCGACTGAGTCCATGTGATAAATGCATGGCTCCTGCAATGTTGCCTTTCTCTCCCACTCTATTGATTCCCCTTTTCTCCTTCCGAGGACAGTATTCTGTCCGTTATACTCAAGATCCATTGGGAAGACCAACATCTTTGTCGAGTTTTTGGATTGCTCATTGTCCTTCACAGAGATGGCGGCCGTATGGCAGTCCCCAGAGCATGATGTCAAGGACGAAAGCTCTGCCTTACACCCACCTGAGATTGGCCCTGATGAAAATGTATCCGTTGATGATGGGTCGCAGGATGAGGGTATCCGTGACCGCAAAAGTGATAGTTTATGGTGAGCATTATTTTACATGTCAAGCTCAGATTAGTCCTAACGGTATGTTCTAGGAGAGTATTGAATGAAAGGCAAATTAATGTAAGTCAATGATCAGTAAAGCTAGGCTTTCCATAGCTATACATACTGACTTTACTTATTACTACGATGGCAGATGATCGCGTTTACTGGGTATGTTACTGCATTTACTTCCCATGAGGCACCTGACGTTAATATGATATTTCCTCTCGACGTAGAACCATCGGCAATGGTATGCCAATCCTCTTGTTCTGTCACTTTACTTCCTTATAAAGAGAACTTGAATAACCAGTATGAAATAGGACTCTTCTTGGGCAGTGGTAAAGTTCTTGCTACCGCCGGACCTGGCGGTGCAGTTCTCGCCTACGCTATCATGGGTACAGTCATCTCAGCGGTGATTTCCTCTGTCGGTGAAATGACTGCCTTGATGCCGGTTAACGCTCCAATGATGGAATTTCCACGTCGGTTCTTGGATCGAGGCGTTGGCTTCGCCGTCGGGTGGATATACTGGTAATGTGCTACATCACCACTAGCTTTTCGGAATCATTCTAACAGCGTGAAGGTTTTCGTATGTAGTTATGGGCGCCGAGCAAATAGTCACTGTAGCGTCTGCCATTCGATTCCAATACGGTGATGATCACACTTTCATTAGCTGGGAAACAGGCATGAGCACGAATCCTGCGATATGGATTTCAGTGTTTCTCATTGCGGTGGTTGTTTTGAATATGATCCCAGTGAAGGTAAGTTTATACTATTGAGAGGGAAGATTGCTTCAAAAATTTTGACATTATATCCCTAGTACTTTGGAGAATTCGAATACCTCGTTGGATGCATAAAAATCGTGTTTATCACAATGCTGATTCTAACAATGTTCATTCTCAACATCATGCAACGTGAGTACTACAAAGCCTAGCTATGCCTGCGCTGTTAGACTAATGGAAAGAAAATTATGCAGCCCGGTCAAATGCATATTACACAAGTTCTGTTGGGGCAAAATGTAGGCATCTACTGTCCTCTTCACGCTCAGAGAGATGAACTAAATCTTTTTCCCTAGACTGGAACCCTCCATACGGCTTTTTCAATTCTGTCCACCGGGTCAAAGATGAATACGGCAACCTAGACCAGACTATTACAGGGTCGATGGGACGATTCCTAGGTGTATGGTAAGCTTGCCCCATCTTCCAAGACTTCCAGAGCTTGTTCAATTAACCTATCAAATCGACTTAGGACTGCTTGTACTCGGGCATTCTTCGCATATACGGGCATGGACATGGTTACCATTACAGCAGCAGAGAGCAAGGCACTCGCAGACTCTGAGGCCATGAAAATGGCTTCACGAAAGATATCTCTTCGTATAATTATCTTGTACATCTTGTGTGTGCTGACCGCATCGTTCCTGGTCCCAACAGATCACCCTTTTATCAATGGCGAGGGACAGTCTACTGGATCCCGCTCAATCTTTATTATTGCCGTTGTTGAAGCTGGTCTGCCTGCGATGGGTGAATTTTTCAACGCAATGTTTCTGTTCTCAGCAGCCACATGCGCGGCTGACAACCTATACGTGGCATCCCGGGTCCTGCATACCCTCGCATTGCGAGATCAGACTGGTCCTGAATTTATCACACGGAGGCTGAGGCAATGTCGTGCTGGCGTACCGATGAGAGCTGTGCTATTATCTGCGGCTGTGATGCTTGTTGCATATCTAGGACCGAGCGGAGCCACTGGTGCGGTAAGTAAAGATCGATCTAACGGAAGGCTTTCCCCCTATCTGACCCATGAACAGAGACTGAACGAGCTGTCTTCCAACTGTACTGTTTCATTCCTCATCGTCTACGCTACTATCTGTGCGACCTACCTATGCTTCTACCGATCGTAAGATTCCATGAACCACAAGTCAAGTCCCAGCTCAAAGCAGACTACTAAAAATCACAGGCTGGACGAAGCGAAGCAATATGGCAATACTAGTCAGACCCAAGCTGCAACCTACGATCGAAACCATGTCCGATACCCTTACAAATCTCACGCTCAGTGGCTGAAAGCAGGATATGGAATGGTAGCTTGCATCATTCTGCTTCTATTCAATGGTGTCGATGCATTCCTAACGACCCCGTTTGATGCTCGCACATTCATTGCCTCGTATATTAGTGTATGTCATTCCTCGCAGCAGCCGCATAGAGAAATTGCTAACAATTCAGATTCCCGTCTTTCTCTTGCTCGTCGTCTGTTACAAAATCCGCAGACATGGGTTTAGGTTCTCACAATGGGGTCCAGAGAGGTCGAAGGATCTTCGGAATTGTGTCCAGGTATCAAGTGATAAGAGAAAGGGTAGGCTTGAGTTGTCTGATCCCGTCTTCTCGTTTGAGAATGTGAAGAGATTTGGTATGTGGTTATGGGTTTGGACAAAATGAGGACAGGTGATATTTTGGCCTCATATTCTGATAGTTGGTGTTGGGTGAACGTGGACAACGCAATTTCGTGATGCTTGATGGAATAATTATTTTGGATTCAGTATTACCCTTAATGAACTGGTATTTGACTATTTGATCTTCCTTCCCAGATCTTTTTGCCGACTCGATATCAAGTTTCTCGCTTTAGACAATGAAGCACATGGTAGTTCCGCTTGATGTAGATGTCGTTAAAGAACCTAGTACCTTCTCTATCGTTCTACTTCAAAAACACTCGAGGCTTGAGGCTGATATCACTAGGTTAAGTCTCCAATTCATAATATTCCATATGGGCTGCCCCGAGTTGTATTTTCGATATTGATCTTTCCTTCCATCCGTTCTTTCACTTCTTATCCGATCAAATTGAGTATGGGTTGTTATATATAACTACAGCTACAGCCTTCTTTAGGACATAAAGCACGGGGCGCTAATTTCGCTCAAGCCTCTGTGGGATCCAAGTTATAAAATCTGCTGTTTTTTTTTAAAATCCTTTCTGAGTGCCTATTGGCTTTGAATTGGCCCGTGGTTCATCAAAACGAGGCCATTTTTCTAGGTAGGAATAGTAAGACCGAAGCGAGATTGACATCCATCTGTTAGCGCATTTCTGTCAGGAGGTCAAAGCGTAGCGCGGCTGAAAACGCCCCAGGAGAAACACTTATTCAACCCCACATCGCACCTCTACGATATACCGACAATCATCTGTTAGTCCCATAATTTAACCATGTCTGGTGCCGAAGCACTCGCAGCATTTGGTATTGCATGCAATGTCATGCAAAGTTATTGGTTTTGTGCAGAACGGAGTTCATATTGGCAAGGCTATTTACGAAACAGGGTCCCTCGACCCTCAGCTTGCTCAATCAACTAGTTACATAACTGAGAGTTTAGAACAACTAAGGGATTCATTGGGGCATACACTACCCTTGGGTAAAGGAGAGCAGGAGCTGCTAGAAATTGCTCAAGGCAGTCTCGACACAGCAGCGGAGCTAAAGGCCGAGCTAGACAAGATCTCCTGCACAATGGCTAAAGGAAAGCACACCGCTGCATTCCGTGGATGGCTGAGAGCTGCACTAGGGGGGAGTAAAAGGATCAAGAAGATCGATAAAGTGATGCGTGACCGTCAGCAGATTCTGGAAACCAGACTTTTACTTCGAATTTGGTATTAATTGATCCCCCTCTAATGCTATAGCGAATCTGACTAACCTTTTTGTACAGTAACAAGAACGATGCAATCCTCATTCAACAACTATCCGATTTCGCCAAGCTAGGCACGACCTTACAAGGCTTCATTGAAGCCCGTTCCCGCAACCAAACGACTCTTGAGCTGCTCATTCATAGCGAGTCTGTTGCAGTAAAGGCACACATCGACAACAAAACCAAAGGACTTGCGCATTCATTCAAGGCCGTTATTTCCTCCGAGTCAAGCCGGGTCGAGGACATTATCTCATCTCAATTTCAGGATCTCACACTTCATCAGACTAGCAAAGAGGAGCGTGAAAGATTATTAGAGAGGAAAAATAGATTCCCCGCTGATTGGTCAAATGAACAACTTCTTGCAGTGGCTATCTATATATTCTCAGCATGCACACAACACATCTGCGTCTTCCTCGACGGTCTTGATGAAACTGGCACTCAGGATGACCAAACAGGACTGACAAGCCTCCTTGACAAGTTATGCGCTATCCCACAGCTCCAAGTATGCGTCTCAAGCCGACCAGAGCCTGTGTTCCAAAAGTACTTTAGCAGCTGCCCCCAGCTTCGAGTACAGGATTTGACGCAGTTCGACATCAGGAAGTATGCCGTAGACACTCTGGAAGGGCTAAATTTCGACGATGAGGAGTGGCTCGACCGTCTAGTCTACAAACTTTGTTCGAAGGCTGATGGGGTATTCTGTGGGTAGCCTTGGCTCTGAAAAGTATTCAAACCGGATATTGCAATAACGATGACCCTGCCGAGCTTGAATCCCGTCTTGAGGCCTTACCGAACGATCTAAACACACTCTACCAACAGATGTGGAGGGGTCTGAACGACAGCGAGGTGGTCTATCGGAAAACAGCTGCCCAATACTTCAACCTTGTTCTGGAGTGTATAAAGTGGCGGATTGCCTTGCAAACGAGTAACCTTATCATTCTGGCCCTGGTACTAAATCCGAGGCTCGCAGCCACAGTTGTGACAGATGATGTTGAAACATTCGCCGAGGAGCTTGAAATAGAATGTGAGAGAATATCTAAGCGTTTGCCGGTGCGGTGTGCTGGCTTACTCGAGATTTCCAAGGACGGAAACGTGACATTCATGCATCGGTCAGCTCAGGAATTTCTGGTAAACACGCCAGAGGGACAACATACTACAAGAGGATCAAACCCCTGATGAAACCCGCCTGTTAAATCTCGCACGAGGACTACTGGGCTGTATCAGACTTGAGATAGAGAGCAAGCGTGGAAATGCCCTTATGAAGCTTTCATCTCATACCCTCGAACTTTGCAACTCCTTTGGATGACAATACTCAGGAATGGCGCAATTCACATTATCGCCGGCCTATCACTCTTTTTTCTCTAAGAAAAGGATGTCTACCGAAAGTGTGAGCGAATTTCTCCGTCTCGCGGAAGTGCTCTATTCAACAGAAGAATGGACGTTCAATGGTCACTCACTACTAAAACCGGATTTTCTCGGCGCTTTAGCCCGTGGGGGTTTCTTTGAACAGGCTCTATGCAGGGTTGCCCAACTTGCCTCCAATGCTCCCGATGGTATGAGAGTTTCACGCCTCTATAAGTTATACATATTTGAACTGGCTCGCAACAGAATTCTATGGCTCCTGGAAGGCGGTGTTTCCGTCCAAGATTACGCCTTCTTTTGCTCACTTAGCGACACATCATCTACAAGACATGCTATTCACGGTCTTATCAGCTTTGATCAGTCAAACATCCTTACTAACAAGTACCCACCCTTCTATCTAACCACTTATCCACTTGCGCTTTTCCTTGGCCAGGGGGTAGACAATGTCGCCGTTTCCACAGCCACTACATATCTTGGTTTTGTGGTTTGGCTTCTCGAAACAGGCTATAATCTGTCCAGCCGGACGGTCATACTGCTCAATACCCCCTCGCCCTCGTATGAGTGCTTATTTGGAAACAGAGACTTCTTCCAGTACGAACAATATCTTCCCAAAGGAGTTTTGTTCGTCGAAATCAATACATCATTTTGCATTTCCATGTACATACGGTTGTTGGCAAATCGATCACAACTCTTCCCATCCCTTGGCCACCCTCCCGCGATGCTTGAGGGTCTAAAGACGGCAGTTGAACGACTGAATACACCAGCTTTCGCACGGCTTCTTGCATTAATACCTCCCTCCTCTCAAAGACCAGAGTCTACAGGCTCTGGTGATTCACATCTCAAAGATGGATATGACGAGGACGAGCATTGCAACGCTAGCGACCCAGAGAGCAAGAATTCCGAACTTGAGGTTCCCGAAAGGGAAGAAGAATCTAATAGCGACAACGAATACCAAAGTGACGAAAAATATGATGGCGATTGTTCCAGTCAGAGCAGAAACGACTCCGAGCATATGGCTTGGGCCCATGCAACCGAAGTACTCGTCCCTCATGCCAAGGGGGATAGTGATTTTGTTCTCGATGCACTATCCGGCAATATCTTCGAGAACCTCACTCGTAGTTGGGGTGAGCTGGTTGGAAACCTTAATGTCCCTGATATTGAGTCCAGGGTGCAGCATATTTCATCAAACGCAAGAGGATCCACGGTTCATGAGCTTGAGCAAACCTTGGTTGAAGCTGGATATTTTGTGCCCCGTAGGGAAGCGCCGAGTGTCTGGCCACCGAGCATATATTCACCAGATGATGATGATGAATGTGCAGGCATCGTCAACGAGTCTGTTCTCCAGGATTTCCTGAAGTGGTGAGGATCAGATCAAGAGAGTGTTTACATATTGATATGTTTGGTTCGAAGATGTTATTATGCAGCAGGTCAAGAAGTACACCCTTTTCTCGGCTATTCAAGAGTCTCCAAGTTAATTCGCATGACATATTGCTTAGTGCAAGATAAAAAAAACGAGCACTACCTCCGAAGTATCTACAGCGTACATCATCGTCATTTCCATCCCCCTTCAACCCCGACTACCCTTCCCAACATTCTGTCTCTCCGGCGTCGCCCGAGATATCAACTGATCAATAGCATCAGGCTCGACCTTAATCTGCGCACCTCCCTGCGGTGCTTGTCGCGCATGCGCATGGTAATACTGCTGCTGATCAAGCGACTGTCGCGGCTGATAGTATTCCCCCTGCGCCCGCTCTTGGTAGTATTGCTGTGGCGGGGCCTGTACATGGCCGTGAGACGGGACATGATAGTATTCATCCGTCCTCGGCACCGCAGCCTGGGGAGCTTGTCCTCCATGATAGTATTGATCCTGCACTGGATAATGCGCCGGCTGGTGCTGCACAGGTTGCACGGGTTGTCGGGGTGGTTGTGCGCGGTAATAGTCTTGTTGGGGTTGCGTGTAGAGCTGCTGCTGGGCGGGCGGGCGATGATCATCGGGTCCTTGGTTGTGATAGTACAAGCGGCCCGTCCCGACGTCCCGACTTTGATAGGTCTCGGTTGACGGAGGTTGCGAGCCGGAATTTGGATAGGAAGGGGGTCGTTTTGTGTATTTTGGTGGGAATGCGGGCTTGTGATCGGGGCCGGAGAGCTCGATGGGTTGGTCCGAGTCTGTCATGGCCGAGGTGTAGCGCGACGAGTCCAGGGGTAGTGTGGAATTTTGCGCTGCGGGCGACTTTGTGCCAGTGCTCGAGTGCGACATGGCTGGACTGCCTCTTGTGTTTGACGAGGCCATGGTGAACCTGTGTCTTGTTGGATGGAGCGGGGTATCTCGGAGGTGCAGAGTGGAGGTTATTTTGTTAGTGTCGTTTTTTGCAGTGGGGCTGAGGTGATCAACATGGCCAGAAGTACTGTCCAGTAGTGAATACTAGACGAAGTACTTCTGCACACGCTGTCAGTACCACCGTAACTGTCTAAAGCCTTTCCACAAGTACGATGCCAGAACTTGTCTCTCCTTTTGCCCGGAACGCGACCTTGTGGAATCTCCATACTCAGCCCCATTCTGCTGCTCGTATAGTTATGCGACCTGGATAATATGTACTGCTCGATTGACAACAAGCCTTTTTCTATACAGTCTAGCTCATGCTTTTTGAATATCGCTCAGGTAGGATGTCACCCTCTCAACGAGTATCCGCCTTGGCTCTGCTTGGTCGGGATCACTGAGCGCATGAGAAGCACCAGGAATAACCATACTCCGATGATCCCAGAATTGACGCCCACGAGCATCAATAGCCTTCTGCCATCGTCGAAGCAGTCCTTCCTTATCCACCCAGTCAGGAACGGACTGATCGCGACCAGAGTACAGCACCAAAAGCTTTTGTTTCAACAGCCCCCTTGACCCAACCATTCCAAATGTCTGATTCAATCGCGCGTCGCTCAGATCTGAACTGAATAGATCATCTTCCGACGGCTTCTCGGGACTGTCGGGGCTGACCAAACTCAAGAATCGTCGACTGCTGACAGGCGCTGTTGACGGGTACCCAATACGGCTGGTCACCGAAAGAGGGACGACAGTATCCACAGCCTCTTTCGTCTCATATGTGTTCCGCTTCGCATCCGCCACGGCTTTATCATATAGCTCCTGCATGGCTGCAGGGCTATCCCTGGCCGTACCACACTTGACAACCCACAAAATTCCTTCGCGATCCGATACGGGTGCCTGCATAATGGCCCCGTCAACTGGTGTTCGCAGAATAGGCTCCCAGCACTTATCCAACACCGGGTGGGCAGGTCGAGGGTTGGGGCAATTGATATAGTGCATCACATCCTGGCTACCGGTCGAATGGCCCATAATGACCACTTTGCCCGCGCCATAGTGAGGCTCCTTGTATTCACGGATATATTCCACCGTCTGCGCAATCTCATCGATATCGGTACCGAGTCTTCCCATTCCCCAGCCACCGTAAGAGCAGGAGAGGACTAGGTTAAAGACAGTCCACTCGGTAGACTCGAGGGCTTGCACGATGTCGCCAAGGTATTCGACCGAGCCGAGACCATCGCCTAGGCCACCGACAAAGAGGAGAGTGTGTGGTTTTCTGGGACTGCCAGTGGTGTATTCGAAGGAGACGAGGGTTGAGGTCTAGTCAAGCGGGGGGCAATTAGCGCTAATGGGTCATGTAGGACAGGGGTACAGAGATTGATACAATATGGTGCAGTATTCCAGCCTGGCCCCGTGCTAGAGAGGTAAGTATTTTGAGTTCCATTCTGGTCGGCTGGCGGGGTCTGTGGGGAGGTTACGGAGGAAGATTGAAAGCCGAGCTTCCACGCCAGATCAGATAAGACCGAATCAGATAAACGGTCGGTCTACGGCGAACGGTTAAGGACATTCTCTAAAACCCCTTCCGCCCTTATCACCGCCCCCATAAGTAGCCTAGCCTACTAGGCCCTATAACTATCTTATACAACTAATCAATTATGTACCTACCTAAATCCTCCTCTATCATCATCGAATGCTCCTCTATTAACATCGAATGCGACCCTAGGTTTAATCGTGTCGGTTAAAGTCCCCTATAATCAGAAACCCTATTACTAGACCTACGTTCCGCCATATCTTAGTGATCGTATCGCGTAGGCGATTACATACGTCGTCTAACGCTAAGGCATTATCTCCTTCAATGTACACCGATGCCACGAATATTAGCCGCCCGGGGAGCCCAATTATCGCTACTATAATATCCGGAGACTCTACCGGGACCTACTCCGCTTCGATTTCTCTATTGACCTAGAGTATACTCCGAATCACCTATATCCCTTCCCTTTAGGTAGAGGGTACTATCTTTGTCTATTTATGATGTCCGATCGGGGTGGTCAAGAGCCGGCCTTACTACTACGTTCCGAGGGTCTTCGTCGTTTATCAAACTCTCGTGTACTATACCCTGGTTCCTTACATTTAGCTGAATTATTTAAAGAGACTTATTGATGACGTAATGGATAGAGCTTTCGACAATTCTTGCTTGTATAATTCATGAGGTCATCCCCATAGAACGCACTTTGGAACCGTTCAGTCATAGTTACTGTGATGATGGCCCTCCGTAGCGCATTTTGCGCACTTCTGAACGTTCTTGCACTGGAATGCCTTATGGCCTATCTCTTGGCAGTTGTAACATTGCATCGGTCGTGGTCGGTCTTCGAAGACACTAGTCACACCGGATAGCAACATCGTGGCATCTACATAGTTCGATACAAAAGCCACAGATTGTTCTAGCCTAGGGACCGTAGTATCTAAACCTTGTCACAAATGACAAGATCAGCAGTCGTAGTCACCAATGATAAGACTTTACACCTTTGGGCATGGTCTTGAAAATTACCCGAAGTCATGCTTAAAAAATTCCGAGATGCAGTCGAGTTCTAGCTTTATAGAACATGCCGGTTAGCTGTTCGCTGCGCTTTTGAGTTTCGCGTCGGCAATATATTTCGATGCTATACTCAGTTTGAGGCACCGGAGGGTGTTAACGGGAAACCTAACTTGGGGCACGATGGTGAAGGGTAGTGTTTAATTGAATATTACTCGAATTATTTGTTGATGCAAATGTAAATCAGCTTAAAAGGCTCTATCGCAAACACGCGGATCTATCAGGGTCACTACCACAAATAAGATAAGCGGCCTATATCCATGCGTATTACAAGTTGAATATTAGATATTTGAACACAACGTCGAAAATAATAGCCCTTAGGGCCAGAAGCGCCTAAATATACTACTCCGTACGAAATCAGCAATCTAATTGATCATATCACTAAAAAGCGCAGTGGGAGTCTTTAGTGCGGGGATTATGGTATCCTAGTGGCCGTCTTTGGATAAAGGCAGTACAAGATAGCCGGTTCGACCATCTACTGAGTTCTGGTTCTATTAATGCGGATATTCGCGTAGACCATAGTAACCGCCTCCCTCTTCTATCCTAACTAGCCGTGCAAAGCCAATCAGCGTTATCTATTCTGTGTCATAGGGCCCCACCACCACTCCGCTAGCACGGAATAAGGTTCGCTACGCTCCGTATACATAAAATAAGGTTACCTTCGCACACGCACATATCTCGTGAATCTAAGAGAGGTTGCTTACACTATTGTCTTCTTCTCTCAATCTCCTCTTCCCCTTTCCTAATAGCATATTCGAACAAGAAGATTCGCCGCCTATCCCCATTACATAAAGTTATCCTATCAGAGGCTTTTGAAGTCTACGCGCGTTAAATAATGCCCCGCGACAACAATATGCCAGAGTCGGCATTTGATCCCCAGCTATCGGCCCAACTCCACAACAAAATTTTGCATCATGCATGGGTCGGCTCTGGACGCGATCCAGCATTACTGCCATCCACAACGTGGTGGGAGGGCTCATCTCCAGTCCCATTCGACATTGCTTCGCGACTGCACCCTAGACTCATTTGTTTCCTCCGCCTTGCTAAAATAACGACTCCGGATCCGAAATTTTCCCTTTTCTATTTCTTGAAGTCGTTACAAGTCAGCGACCAGCTTCATTCCCTCTTATCCGAAGCACCTCAGGTTGATAGATTCATTTATCTCTACCGTGCTACGGGTGCGTATGATGAGGAAGACGTTGGTATAGTGTCAGTGCTCGTTCTCGGTCTTGCCCTTTCCGCTTTCCAATCATCAATACAACGCATTTGCCGACTCAGATGCTAGGTTTGATCAAGATACAGAACTAGCAGCTTATGTTGCTCACCAATACGATATATATCACATGTTCGGTCAGCCATGGGCATGGAAACCCCTGCAGGATATCCTTCAGGCATATCTCGAGATGATCGAGGAAAAAAAAGTGCAAGCGTCCACAGACGAGGCGTACGAAGAAGATATAAAACCTCGACTCTTTCCATGGCGGTATCATCAATACACACACCGAGACGTTGTAAAAGCAACCCAGGCGTTGACTCGTCTGCTTGATGCAGTTGAGCAGAAACTTCCTCAACCAAGAGAGACAGAATATCCCGCATCCACAAGAGATGTAGACATCCAACTACCATACTCACAGGCTATCCTTGATGAAGCTACAATCCCAGCTAATACTTTTATTCGTGATTTCCTCTCGGAGCTACCTCCTCGAACTTTGCGATTCCGTTACATCGCCCCGGGAATCATTTTACAGTCACCCGCGGAGTTCGCAACTCAGCCGTGGAAAGAGCCACTCGGTCGCGAATATGGTGGTCACAGTGTACCATTTCTTTTGTTTCGAGGAGATCAATGGATTTCTTTGCGCTGCAAGCCGCGTTACTATCCGGACCCGGAGGACAGTCTTCAGGGAGTGCCCACAGGCTTATATATTTGTCCAACCGGCATTGAGTCACCTGCTACTTTTGGAAATTCCTGTAGACTACTTCTGCCCTTCAACATCGGTGCTCGCCATCACGCGCGGTATAGCAACGGCGAACAACTACAGGAAGAGACTCCGTGGGATGAGACTCCGAAAGACACGGCGCATGAGCTTTACCAACCGGGTTCACACAGTGGCTTTCTGGAGAGGCATGAAGTACAAATTCATAAAATCTTGCTGAACTGGGCGGAGAGAGTGGAGGCGGGTGATTGGGAAGTAAATACAGACGGGGTCGCTGGTGGTATCGAAAAATTTGAAGAAGCTGATACTCTGGAATCTTGGAGGAAGTATCAGATTCCGCTGGCCTGGTGAGAAAAAGATAGGAGCAGTGGCGCGGAATACAGAATCTCCGGACATGTAGGTAGTCATTAGTGTCCAGGAAACCAGCCTTTGTACAAGATGTGTGGTGTGGCGATATCGGCTTCCTCAGGAGAGAGAAATGAACTTTCATTTGTCTATATTGTATGCACCTATGTCAAGCCGCACACTAATCTCACTGAGATTCGCCAAGGATTGGATTTACTGTGGCGCAACAATGTCCCTCCTTCCATGGTGAATCTGGGCCTTGGCTGATATGGGCGCTCCTTCACCCTCAAAGATCCATCCTGTAATACCCCTGGCTGCGTTTTTAGCTATGGCGGAAACGCGGGCGAGTGTACGAATTCATCTGGAACCTTGTCCAACGCGGAAATCCAGCGTATCATTGCCAGTAACAACCTCACTCCTGCGATGGACACTTAGGCTGCAGTGAAATGGATCACATGGGATTCTAACCAATGGGATTCTAATCAATGGATCTCATATGATGATGGAGAGACTATGCAAATGAAAGTTGCTGCTGCTAATCAACTTTGCCTAGGAGGCATAATGATTTGGTCTATTGACCAAGACAGCTCAGACGGGACTAGCGCGAATGATCTCTTGGGAATTGGTGTCGCCAACGGAATCTCTGCCAGCGACGCTTCCAAGTTACGAGGATATCAAGCTGCCGCCTAAGCCGCTTCGACCACACGTGGATCTTGCTACTGGACCTTTTGTGGCGACACGTGTGCACCTGGGTATATTGAAGAAACTTGGGCCAAATGTCAAGTCATGGGAATCGAGCTCGACACCACGTGCGATGACGGGTCACTTCAGACGTTATGCTGTGCACCTGGAACAAATACCGGAACATGTGCATGGTATGGATGGCGAGGCGTCGGTTTGGCCTGTACCACGAACTATTGTCCAGAAGGGACCGAACTAGTCGCCGTGGACAGTGAGTGTTGCCCGTATATCAGCGTTCTACAGGAGCCTGTGCTAATTCAATTTCGTAATGAATCAGGCAATTCATATGTTGATTAATCAGACTTCGGTGCCATTTATGACCTTTCCTGCAACGGTATGCTTAACTGACCTCACGTTGGCTGACTGTCAAGGCTGAACTGAGAAGCTAATTTACCTTCCCATTTCTAGGCGGCTCGCAGTCTTACTGCTGTTCTGGATTTGTGCCATCTTCCTACGAAAACACCGACTCTCCCAAGCTTATTGGCCAAAATGGTCTCACTAAACGAGGTTCTTGGGTTGCCGAAGATCCCAGTTGTCTTGCGTTTATGAACTTAGCCGCAGATATCCTGGGTTAGTAGCTGTGACTGCCAACGACTATTCTGTCTAACCTTTTCTAACCTATTCATAGGAAGCGACGTCATATATGCCTTTGGGACATCGGACAGACTGAATGGTGGAGATTTCAGCTATGATTACTACCAAGAAATGGACGACTTGTGTGTCAAACGGAAAGAAGTCGTGGCACACGAGAAAGCTGCTGGGGTGAACGGCGCGATAGCGTCAGCGGCCTCCATGTATGGTCAGGGGGCCGTTGGCCCAGGAATCACTGCGCTGAACATCGTCACGAAAACAATCACTGCAGAGCCAGTTCAGGCAGTGAAAATGATTGGGCAATGGCCTGTAGTTAAGTATAGCGCGGACGAGCCAGACTGCAGTGTGACGTATACTTGCAAATACGGGAAGGGCTTTGACGAGGTAAACAAAAATGCACAAGTACCTGTCTTCGTGTTCTAATCATTTCCTTTTTAAAGGTTTGCGACAATCAACGTTGGGCTATTGACAAAGGCCTTGGAGGTAAGTCCGTATACAATCTGGGAAAAAGGCCTGATCGCGTGATTTTGCTTGCCAATGGACCAGTTGGCGGCACGTACAAGGACTGGTGAAATTATCAGAGGAAGAAGTATTATGCGAGCGCAGCGAAGCATGCGCTCGAGGGAGGAAGGTATTACTGTGAAGTGTAAGTCCCAGGCTTTCCCTCGGGTAATTCGGTGTTCTTACCGCACACAGTGATGAGTTCCCCATGGGGTCCTTGCGAGAAGCAGAAAACCAGGCGTATCAAGTGGTTCGCTTCCTAAATGGCCCACAAAATGGAAGGCAGGGTATGAATGTCTCCTTCTCATCTTGGTCAGAGGATCAGAACTTCAAACCTGATCTCCTTAGGCACGGACTGGAACCAGTGGATTCAAGCCGTGTATAAGCCATGCGAGTACTTGCGGGGCGAGAAAGGACCGCCGCCTATCACTTGGGAGTTTGGCCCTTTTAATGAGGGCGATACTAGACAGAGAAATGCGTTGGACATGAATCATTTCGTTCGGGCCTATGGGGTAAGGATATTTGGACTCGGGGGAAGTCTTACGGCGCTAACTGGACGATTAGTTTGATTCGCAAACACCAGGCAGCGAATGCTGGGGTGAGTGAGCAAGCTTCTCACATTTCCTCTAGCTGCTAACCATCATTTACAACATCAAAAGCCACCTATACATACATCGATACAAACGGTGCAGCGTCTACTTCAACCTGCCCGGACCAAGGCTTCCGCGGCATGAAGGATGACCCGTGAGTATTATTTGTCCTGATTGCAAGTCCACTACTGGTGATAATTAATCTTGGTTCTCTTTAGAATGTATCTTTATTATGAGTGGCCTCCTTATAACAACTACGTGGACCCTCCCACTGTCCGCAATCTTCCCCACCCGATTTTCTCGGCTCAGTGGTTAAAACGTGAGATCACTCGGTCTGTTCTCTAGAGAGATCTTCCCCTGTCAGCCATTTATGAAGCAGAGCGAGCATCAGAGACTCTTGAAGGTTGGGTGAACCCGCAAGAGGCCAGGGCGACGGATCCCTCAACCTATTCCGATGTTAATTTGAAGGAACTACGAACTCCTGCCCATCCATCTGCCGTAAGTGACATGCCAAAAGAGACTGGAAGTGCACACAGACAGTCTCATCTACATGGACACGGGCATCGTAAGTGGCATTCTTAGACAGATGTTTGAAAGCGATAGTCGCTGGACGTGTGCTATCAGAAAGTCACGCAATGCTTCGATGTGGTTGTTTGTGAAAACTTAGACCTCACAGAATTGAAACACATGGCCTCTTGAGCTCGGTTTGCTTGTTGTTGTAAAAAATTACCACGATTGATAGCAGGCATCAAGTAGACGTCCATGGATTGGTACCTCATGACAGTTTCGAAATAATGAAACTAATGAAACATCGGCGGCTTCGTAGGTTCATCATAGTTTCCATGTCTCCTTTTTGTGCTCTCCTAGGCCTTATTTTGACAATTGCCACGAGGCAAAGATCTTTGGCCTATCCCTAAAACACGATGAGTGACTTAAAGCTTCGAAAGGTGAATAAAGGTTCTCTTTATATATCGCCTGCGTTGTAGTTCAATTGGCAGTGCTGATCAGGTCGTTCACAAGCACAGTAACTTTGAACGTGATATTTTAAGCCTTATGCTAAATTGAACTAGAAGAGAGTTTTAACCAACGGAAAACTTTTTGCCGAGTAGCCTAAATTAACGTAGGGAATTAGTAGCTAGCGGCAAGAAAGAATCGAAAACTAGCAAGATAATGATCGATATTGGCTGATACTGACTTGCAAGCAAGCCTACCCGAGGCTTGGCCTCTGAGTCGTTTGTATTAAAATCCACCTGTACTTGAACATGTCAACCGCTAAGTCGTACTTGTAGAAACATACTTAGTCTGATAACCCCAAGAGTCGCCTTTATGATGCGGTGGGTAAGGCGTTTTGTTGCTGGAGTGGGAAGCGGTAAAAGAGCAGTGATGTTTGAAATCGGCTAATTGTACGAACGAAAATCGGATCAATGTAATCTTCCAAGCAAACTCCGGTTCATTGGTTTTGCTGGAAGAGCCTTAGGGGCAATCGGCCATTAATCGGCTTTCGCAGCGAAGGCCGACTAATGCCCCCACCATCACTACCCCGCCCTTAATGTCGCCCCGTCTTAGGCTAATATGGAGTGTGGGGGTCATGGGTCTTGGATGAGGAAACCGTAGTTTGTTCGGCCTTCGGCTTAAATGCCCGACGGAAGTGAATTTAATAAGGCCACATGCCATATTACATGAAACAATATCGACGTAGGGAAAAAATCATTAAATTCTTCCCAAAGCAAAATGTCTGTCCACGCAAACGGCAAGACTCCTTCGCACCCCTTCAGCGACTCGCCATTCCGAACTCGTGCCGATTTCCAACAAGCATGCTGTGCTCTTCTGAACCCCTTGCTTCCCCTCTTTACCCCGGGTTGCAGTCGTGTCAAGGTCGGCTCATCTACGACTCGATTCGATGAGGGTGGTGCCCAGATTGAGGGCTATGCTCGTCCACTGTGGGGTTTAGCAGCTCTCCTTGCGGGGAACTATGATTATCAAGAAGCGGCGCGATGGAGAGAGGGAATTATCAATGGCACTGATCCAGAGAGTCCTGAATATTTTGGTGATATTGAGGATCTTGATCAACGCATGGTGGAAATGTGCCCGATCGGCTTCACGCTCGCGGTGGCACCTCATGTTTTCTGGGATCCACTCACCGATAAACAAAAGGATAATGTGACTAGGTGGCTGAATAGTATCAATGCACGCGAGATGCCTAATACTAACTGGTAAGATCAAAGTCCCTTCACTTGAGGTTCTAGCCGACTAGAATGCAGCTAATATGTGCTGGTCAGGCTTTGGTTCCGAGTCTTTGCCAACCTTGGATTGCGAAAGAACGGCGCTGAGTATTCACTGTCACGTATCGAAGCTGACATGGATCATCTGGATACTTTCCATGTCGGTGGCGGTTGGAGTAATGATGGTCCCAAAAGCCATCATCAGATGGATTACTACTCTGGGTCGTTTGCAATCCAATTCTTACAACTTTTATATTCAAAGCTTGCTGGCGATTTTGATCTCGATCGAGCTGAAAGATATCGCCAACGAGCTAAGGAGTTTGCGAAAGACTTTGTTCACTACTTCAACCCCGACGGTATGCTACTTTCAATATCTTCTATGGGTCAACAATACGTCCGGAGAGAAACTGAACATGAGATTCTACGCAGGTCGGGCTATTCCGTTTGGCCGCTCTCTAACCTACCGTTTCGCCATGGTGGGTTTCTGGGGTGCTCTGGGTTTCGCAGATGTCCAATTGCCAGCACCCTTGACCTGGGGTGTCGTGAAAGGCATCCTACTTCGCAACTTCCGTTGGTGGGCTACCCAGCGAGACATCTTCAACAATGACGGCACTTTGAACCTTGGATACTGCTACGCGAACTCGTACTTGACGGAGAATTACAACTCGCCTGGTTCCCCATATTGGTGCTGTCTTTCTTTCATTCCACTGGCACTGCCAGAGACGCACCCCTTCTGGGCTTCAGAGGAAGAACCCTACCCAACAGACTCCATCCCTGAGGTTATTGCGCTGAAATACCCGAAACATATCGCCATTCGTCGGGGAGGACACTCCTTCCTGCTATCCTCTGGACAAGCGTGCCATTACCCAATGAAAGCAACGCATGCCAAGTATGGCAAATTCGCGTATAGCTCTGCATTCGGGTATTCCGTTCCCACTGGTGGTTACCAGCTGGAACAATATGCCCCTGATAGCATGATCGCATTGTCAGACGATGGCGAGTTTTGGAAGACGCGGCGACTAGTGGAAGATGCGCATTTCGAGGAGCCTGGCCAGGATGGCTTGCCTGTTCTCGTTTCCAAGTGGAAACCTTGGCCTGATGTCGATATCGACACGATTCTGATTCCGCCAGCATCTGAGACTCCAAATTGGCATCTGCGTGTGCACCGTGTGCGCAGTGGTCGAGCTCTCCAGAGCTCGGAGGGTGCATTTGCAATCTATGGATGTCGCAGCGATAATGGTCGTACCCTGGGCCCAATGGAGGGTGATTCAGAGGAAGGGACGATCAGTGGTTCAGGAAATGCGTTCGTCGCTTCGTCAGCGGGGGCTGTCGGTATTGTCGAGCTCCATGCCACGGGTCTGCGGGATGGCAAGATTGTCCTCGCTGACCCGAACTCGAACATTATCCACGGGCGTACACTCTTGCCATCCTTGAGTATGGACTTGGCACCTGGGCAGGATACCTGGTTTGTAACCGCTGTACTTGCATTGCCAGGAACTACCAATGACTGGCGTGCTATGTGGGAGCAAAAGCCAGCTATTCCGGGATGGTTGGCCAAGCGAATGGAAGAATCCTCTTAAGATGGAAGTAGGCCCGAGATATCTTCACATATTCAATTTTCAAATAAATGTATGTCGAGACACTGAAACTAGTACTTCAGCCCTGGTTGGCCCTTTAGGGCGCTTTCGCTTCTAGTTCTCTTATAGGCACAGTCGAACTCCTTTGCCTTTTCCTGCTTCTGTGCGCTTACCGACCATCAACATCATTAAAAAGACCGAGTATACTGGAGTGACATGGATGATATATAGTCCCATTCACAGCTATTCTGAGATACCAAAGCTCCGAGCCACCTCAACAAAGCCCGCATCATTCAATTCCACCCAAATATCTACAAATCCATCCTTTCTAGCCTGCGCGACCTGCTCAACCGGCCAATTCTCCTCCTTTTCCCGCTCAACATAAACAGTCTGAAACCCGCACCCTTTCGCAGCCTGCAAATCCTTAAGATGCGCCGCGACCAAAACACACTGCGACGGCTCTAGTCCCAGCAACTTGGCCGCGCCAAGATAAACCTTCGGTGAGGGCTTATACGCGCCAAAATTCTCTGCGCTAATCAGATGCTGGAAGGGCAAAGATCCAAACTCCTTCAAATCCTGCAACAGCGAGACATTCCCATTCGACAGCGTCGATGTAATGAACCGGCCATTCAATAACTCCAGTCCACGAACACTATCCGGCCACGGCTTCAGCCTGTGCCAGGCAAGCGTTAACTCCCACACCTCCTCCTGGCCAAACAGCTCCCGGACCCCGCGCTGCGTCAGTAGATCTTGCAGCGCGGCATAGTGATGTTGGTCGACTGAGATGAACGGCTCCGATGCATCAAAGGTGCTGGTGAATACACCATACGAGCGCCGCCAATCTTCAGCGACGCCGATCCAGTCCGACTCGGTCAGCGCGGATGCGCGGGCCCGCAAATCGGCCGGGATATCCCTGGTTGAATCCTTGAGGGCGTTCCGAGCTGCACTGTACAGGGCGCTTGTTATACAGGATCTCCATTCAACCACTGTACCGAATGTGTCGAAGAAGATGGCTTTGGGTGCTGAGGCCATGGTGGGGGTTTGATCTGATCTGATCTGCAGACGCTGGGCTGGGGTAGTCCCAACAATGTGGTTGCGATCGGTATCTTTGAGGTCGTACAGCTTGAGAAGAGGCCTGGTCGTAGGATTTAACTAAATAATATATCGTTCCTGCAAAATGAGTCTTTCTCGCTTGAAAGATTGCGACATATCGCTGAGTCATGGACCGAGGTAACTTTAAGTCGGCCATCCGGAGGGCTTCCCCGCCTCTATCAGGCTAATCGTTTTGCCTGTGAAAGTACAGGAGAGTCCTCCTTTGAATATGGCAGATTGATTCATCCTGCCATGCCAGATATGTCGGCAGCATAACGGCAACACCGACGCTAGTATTCATCGAACAAAACCTCTAGGAGATTCGGGGAAATTGCAAAGTACTTACAACCGCCTAGCAGGCCTTAAACATGTCGACGGCTCGGGGTATATAGAGGATCTTCCTAGTATAGTTGTATTAATCTGATATAAGGTAATCTAAATTCTTGAATATTCTGAAGAGTCTTTGAATATTTTCCGGTCAGTATTAGCACCGGCACTACTCTATCTTGAACCAGGCAAATTATCAGAGTTCTTTTGATACCTAAGAAACTTTAAGACATTGAAAAAGCCATAGAGCATAGCAATATTATCAAAATTTCGTATAAGTAGTATGTAGAGTCTATAATCTGGAAACAATTGAAGGTCGCATATCTTGGATTTCATCACCAGAGAGGTATCAATCAGAGGATGGTGGCTTTCTCGGCTCCAGGCTCACCAGCAATGGAGGCTGGTGCAAGGAGACAAAAGACGGCATATCTCTTAGCCATTCCTCAGTATTTATCGCCAACTTCATCTTGAACCGCCAAACGGTCTTTGCAAGTGTCATTTTCATACTGTCATTTGCGAATCTAGAATCCCATGTTAGCTCCATCGAAAGTCCTAAAAAAGCCAGATAAGGCCTTACTTCTTGCCGATGCAATTTCGTGGCCCAACGGAGAATGGCTGAAAGGCATCCTTAGTATCTCCCTCGAAGAGAGAGTCTCCTAGCCATCGTTCAGGACAGAATTCATTTGGTTTGGAAAAGTGGCTGGCCGAGCGATAGGCACTCCAGTGGCTGATGTTGACAACGCTCTATCCAATAATATGTAAGTATGATGACGGTTGGGGTAGCTAACAAATTGATGAGATGGTACAGGTCAGACTTACTCCACCAGGAACAAAATGTCCGTCAATCATAGCCCCCTCGGGCGGAACTTGTCGTGGAAATCCGTTCGTAATAGGCGGAGCAATGCGTAGAGTCTCCTGGATCACTGCCTGCAAGTAATTCAATTTGTTGATAGACAACACATCAATTTGACCCTCATTTTCAAAGTTTGAGTGGAGCTCTTCCAGAAGCCGGTCCATTATCTGAGGGTTAACAAGCAAGAAATATGTCGCGAAAGTTAGAGCCACTGCAGTTGTCTCACTGCCAGCCAGGATGATGATGCTAGCTTGGTTTTCCAACTCGTCTAACGTGATCGTGCCAGTATCCAAGGTTTTCAACATATACGAGATAAAGTCCAGCCGCTTGGTATCCCTCTGAACCCGGCGGCGGACCTTATCAAGAGCCATCCGGTGGTGGGCTTCTTTCTTCTCTATAAGGGAGGCGGGAAGCAACATGGCCAGCAGCTTATTCAGTGGTCGAAACCGATGAACCACTTGTAGCAAAGTTGCCACATAGAAGTGGTCCAAGACAAATTGCACCCACTCATGATATTGCGATGATTCAAGACATCGGAAGGATTCTCCAAATGCAAAGTCGCCGATCAAATCGAATGTCGCGTAATTATACCACGATCGGAGGTCTGTTTCAAGCCCTTGCTGAGCGCGCTCCTCCAATTTATCCATGAAAAGATCAACATTTTCTTTCAGAATAGGCTCTTGCTCTGCCAGTGCCCTAGCCGAAAATGCACTATTCATAGATTTTCGCAGTCGAATGTGATTTGTATCATCAGCCATGGTCAATGTCCTCGGGTCAACCAGCATGTCATTGAAAAAGGTTGGATCTCGGACAAGTGGAGGATTCTTCAGTCTTCGAGCGTAGACATCATCCCATGCTCCAGCGGAGATAATTGATAGTTCATTGGGGCTAATTCGGACGATACTCCCGTATTTCTCATGAGCAGCCTGTGTGAAAAGATGGAATCTGCCTCCTAACTGCGCCAGTGCCACAGGAATCGCAGAAGCAGCGTATGACTTGGGACCAGGGAACTTGGCTAAAGGATGGAAATATATGTTATAGCAAACAATGCTGCCGATTGCGCACACAATCTAAGCACGTTTAGTAAGTTGCGTATAGCGCTATGCTACGAGGTGCAACTTACTCCGACAAGAATGTATACCCAAAAACTGGTTCCATCTGCAGGCTGGACATTTCCGCTCGTCGAAGCGTTCATCCTGAGGTATCAATTGACTTTGTTCCATCCGAGAAGCTCTGCAAGAGATGGCTCGAAAACAGTACCGACTATATACAATACGGGGTTCAGCTCGGTTAGGCTAAATGTGGGGCCGTTATTTCTCCTACCAAAACAGGCATATGAAGTCAAGACACGGCAAGCCGGAGTACCCAATTAGTACCGCCAAGGCCACAAGAACGTCACAGACCCATTGATTATGTTGCTATAGCGAATGTATTATTCACTATCTCTGAAATTAAAATCGTTTTCAATTACACGAGATTGCCACTTTAGATGCGGTCCCGCAAAAAGGTTTCAGCCTCTGTCCCAAAAGTCCACCTTTCTTTCAAATTTGAGGAATAAGTCTAAACCGTTTACTCAGCTGAGTTCGGCGCATAAAACTCTTACATAAACTTGTACTCAGTCATTTGATTAGGACTAGCTGTAGGCTAAATGGCGGCCAATCTACCGTTTTATGACTATATATGTAGATCAGTTACGCACGCAGCAGGGAAGCCACGGCCTATCTTGCGGCTCACCCCGAAGAACCTCCAACCAGATTCACTGCCTCTATAACGGTACCTTCCAGACAATGTCTTCCTACAAAGCTGTGATATTCGATATGGGCGATGTCCTCTTCTCCTGGAATCCCCAGCCGACTGCCCAAATATCTCTCCAGACCTTGCATCTCATGACCCAATGCGATCGCTGGTTCGACCTTGAGCGTGGAACCATCACTCCAGAAGACTGTTACCGTGAGCTAGGCAGGCGATTCTCTGTCAACGGAACTGAAATTGCCGCCGCGTTCGAGCAGGCAACTGAGTCTCTGACGCCCAACAGCACCATGACTTCGTTGGTGCAAGATTTGAAGCAACACAACATTCGTGTTTACATGATGACCAACATTCCACGCTCAAATTATGACCAACTTCGGGAGATGGAGTATATCTGGAACGAATTCGACGAGATTTTTGCTTCGGGGTATATGGGAATGCGGAAACCAGACCAGTGTTTCTACGAGCATGTTTTGGGTGTCATCAATGTGCCACCAACCGAGACGATTTTCGTGGATGACAGGATGGAGAATATCGTGTCTGCTATCAAGCTTGGAATGTCGGGGATTCAATGTGTTAACGTTGTTGAGACATGCGAAAAAATACGACTCATGACTGGTATCTAAACCCACGTTCCTATGGCATATAGGGACTAGATAACGTGCAACCAAATTACATCCATAATCATTGGGCAAAGCAAGTTAGCTTACCCAAAATCCGAGTAACAGGGATAATCTTAAGCTTGAAGATACAAACACGTGCTATATGTGGGCCTACATGGTGGATGTGGATCTCGCAAGATCCCGAGACGATGGTGACCAAGCTTTAGTGTGCCCGGAAAACCCGGATTCGGCAGGAGTATGATACGAGCTGAAAAAGAGCAATGCATAGAAACATGGTACTCATAGATTGCCAGCAGTCGAACCTTCAATTGAGAGGAATAATGGAGTAGAATTCTATTCTTTAAAGTTCCGAAAGTTGGCAGCCAACATTGTTAAGAACCCGTCAAACCCGTCAGCTCTGTGCCGGCAAGTTCGTCACTATGCTCGACGTGGTTCGTCCTTTGCCTTACAAGGGTGTCGTTGTGGAGCTGAAAAACAACATCATCAAACATTCTATTGACGGTATCCAAATTCCCCTCAACACATACAAGTCTATAGTGTGTTGTGGCGCCACGGCCGAGTATCAATGTGGCCGACTCACAAAAGAGAAATATTACACCCGACTGGAGTCGGATTTTGAGCACTCTCGAAAGGAAATTGAGACGTTGTTCGGAAATATAGAGAAGTCACTTCACGTGAACGAAACTGTCCTGAATTCTCTACAGAAAATCAAGGATCGCTTCCGGGGTCAATTGAAAATATACGCAGTGGCCAACCTTTCCCAAGAGGACTACGTAACAGTGCGCTGTCTTCCAATCGATTGGACCCTTTTTGATGAGGTGTTTGTTTCGGGAAATGTTGGCATGCGAAAACCAGAGCTTCGATTCTACAAGCACATACTGAATAGTACTGGTTTGCTGCCTGAGGAGCTGATTTATGTTGACGACGATACGGATAATATCCTAGCGGCCATTTCTCTGGGCATTGAAGGTATTCTTACCCCGACTGCCCCAATTGGCCGCACAATCGTCAATCTGGTAGATGTGGATGCCGTAAGTCGAGGCATGCAGTTCCTGCGAGACAATGCCAAAAACTTTCCATCTTTGACGCATTCTGGGGTGGCTATCCGAGAGAACTTTGCACAGCTGATGATACTTGATTCGGTACATGACATGTAAGTTTCTGGGCATTTGTGCCGCTTTGAGTAGATCCGATGAAAACTGACTTTATCGTTTCAGGAGTCTAGTCGACATTGAACAACATCCATTCACTTGGAACTATTTCATCGGTATTCAAGAAATCTCTTCTATTGTCACATAAGATTGTGAATTGAACTAACTGTAACCGGCACAGGCACACCTGTTCTCACTCAGTTGGTCTTTCCTGATGATCTGGACACTACCTCTCTGGGAACCGTGATATTAGATCGACCCCCTGCAGTTGCACACCAGGTAATGGACAAAATGCTGCATTACCGAAACCGCGATGGAATTATCCAGGTAAGAAGAACTGATTATATTGCTAGGCCTTCGCGCGTCACGATGGTAGCGCTAACAGTTCTTTAGACCTATTTTACCGACTTCAAAAACAGAGTAGACCCCGTAGTGTGTTGCAATGTCCTCTCTCTGTTCTACAAGTACGGTCGTGGTGAGGAGCTCCCAGAGACATTGAACTGGGTTTACCAGGTTTTGAAACGTCGAGCATACATCCATGGCACCGCATTCTACCCCAATCCCGAAGCATTTCTCTATTTCTTCTATCGATTTTTGGAGCGGATCTCCAACGATCCACAGTTGAGTGCGAGGTTACGGGCGCTGCTGTATGTGCGGCTCCAAGAACGTATTGGAGTTCCAGTGGATGTAGTCGGTCTAGCAATGCGGCTGATTGCCCTCAATGGAGTTGGAATTTCCGATCCAAGAGGCCTCAAGGAACTGATGATGAAGCAAGAGGAAGATGGAGGTTGGGATATGGGCACTTTGTATCAGTATGGGTCTAAGAAATTGCCCATTGGCAACCGAGGGACTGCCACTGCGTTGGCAATAGAGGCAATTAGATGTTGCAAACACACGATAATGGAGGATGAAGATGATTAATTGGCGTGAATGGTCACCGAGAAAACGCAGACGTGTTATCCGTGTTATGTTAAATCGAGTTCACAGTGTTCAAATTCTAGGGCTTCTTCAAAAATTAGTATCTCGTAACTTCCACAAAGCTATATTTGGTGTTTGCTACTAACATCTTTCGGATAATCCGTCAGGCATCCCGGTATAGTGGAGCCTATGTAGTATGTAGCGTTCTTGAACTAACACAGAATTGAAAGAGTTTACCGGGCGTTTCCGGGGCCCGTGCGGAACCTGACGAACCCCTTACCCATACGCAACTTATGGCACCAGAATGACAACCCAATTTTACCAGTCGGTGTAAAATAAATAGACTTAAAAGGACCACTAGCCTCCCCGCCAAGATACCGAAAAATATTTCAAATTTCCACAGCACTCATGGCCCAAATTCAAGCCGTAGTTCTTGACCTCGGCAATGTCGTCTTCACCTGGTCCTCTGAGCCGCCTTCATCCCCGAACGCAGTTCCCCTGAAGGCAATCATGAAGACCACCACCTGGGCAGATTACGAATGCGGACTCCTCACTACAATGGATTGCTACAGCGCTCTGGGAGAAAAATTCGGGGGTTCTCCCTCAGACATTGGCCAGGCTCTTGCTGTGGCACGCGACTCGCTTGTTGTCAACGACACGTTACTGGCTCTCATTCGCGAACTAAAACACTCCTATGGCCTTTCCATATACGCCATGTCTAATATATCCCGCGAGAATATTGATTACCTACGAGAGAAGCATGGCGCAGAATTGGAAATTTTTGATGAGATCTTTGCCTCTGGTTACGTCGGCATGAGAAAACCAGACGAAGGATTCTATCGTCATGTCATCGCGCAAATGGGCCATCCTGCGGACAGGGTTGCGTTTTTGGATGACCGGAAGGAGAATGTACAGGTGGCATGCCTAATGGGTATGCTTGGTTTTTGCTATGAGGAGCCCAGCAAGGCGTATCAGTGGTTAAGAAATTCAGTTTCCTGTGATGCCTAGCTGGCTATCTGTCTGGTTTTTGGTGGGAATTTGAAGTATCTGGGGATTGCAATGGCACTCCCCTTCTTGATGCCATGATCATGTACGATAAAAGTGAGGAAATGATGAATCGTTGTAGCCTGCAGCCAGAATGGTTTAACTCCAAGGATATTCAACTTGACACTATACAATTCGACTTTCGCATGAATGCGCAAGAGTTTGTATGTGATTATATTCAGAGGGAAGAAGGCTTTATATAATAAACAGGTAGTCACGAGTGCATCAGAGAAGCAAAATCATCCAGGCAGACATATTTCCATGCAGTCAATTGGATCGTATGAAATCAAAATTTTTCCGTTGCGTATTGCACTTGGTTTGCGAATATAGAGGAAGGTGAAGGTGGTCTATTATTCAAGTGGATTAATCCTAAGCGACCAACAGCCAAGTAGCCTAGGTCCTTAATCATTGGACTTATTCGCAAAATCCGCGAGGTTAGACTTGAATCGAAAGTTCTGATGGGGCTCAGCCCAACGGATACACAGCTTGATATGCAGTCTTCAATTCAGCTTCGAGCTCCAACATTACTTGCAAGGGGGAATTTGGGGGACATTATGTTGCTCACTTGAGAAAGGTTCTCAAGAGAATGGCCAATGGAAAATTACCTTGAGCTCCGGGGTTAACACTGGATTTGTTTGTTTCGGCAGTACGTCGTACTGTGTGAGTCATATCCCAAATTAAGTATGATATCTCAATGTTAGATATGTGGAGTAGTGCTACTTGACTGATAAGATGGCCGGTGTTTTATTTTATGACGTAGTACTGCTTTGCTGCTTTCAAACTTAAAGACTTTAGCTGCCTTTGTCTGACCATCCAAGAAACACGACAGAAGGGAAGTATCACTAGGCGTTGGGCTCATGACAATGTGTCACCCCCTCAAAAAAGATGTACGGAGCGACATTTTATTTTCTATATACTGGAAGGATATCTCACCTATAAAACATTTCAGTTTAAACTTATTATTGAATATATAACGGACTGGACAACCATAAAGGTTCGCTTATCAAGAAAACAAAACTGTTACGAAAGGGTTTCCATTTAAAATCATGAAACTTCAATTAGCGTCTCCCATGTTACTGATTGGGTCTCTATTCATGTCCACCACAGCCATTTCCACGGCTGCTGGCCTCCATAAAATGAACCAGCATCAAGCCACAGCTGAATTAAGTGGACCGGGGTGGAAGAGACTAGTTGAGTCTCTGAATGATTCAGACCCGAACACAATCTTGGATCCAGTTATCGTTCAATGCTTGTTGCAGTACTTTGTACTGGGATCATCCTGTCGTAAGTTTCATGCTTCATTAAGAACCTCAAGTGCCTGATTAGATGCTGAAATTGGTCAACATTACAGAGGGTACTATTTGCAGTGTGGCGCCTACCGAGCTTCATTTCATATGCCCCTAGCCTACTATCCTTTGTGTTGAACACTAAGTCAGAAGAGTTAAAAGAGAATTGAAACTCTGTAGAAGAATTGACTTGAATTCGCCTACGTAGTCAGACTTTCTATGATTTTATTGAGGCATCTCTACTAAATGCTTTTCTACCAAGTATCGTAAGCTATTTTAATCAGACCTGGAGTAATGGAAGGGGAAAAGCATAGGTCAGTTTGCATTCAATTCTCACTTACAAAAGACATAGAACCTTGACATACATATCTGACAAACTCAGAACCATGGATAACGAACGTATCATCATGTAGTATCACGTAGTAGAATTGCACAGTCATACCTAATACCGTAATGGTATCACTTACTTTGGTACTTCTAGGAGTATAGAGGTTTCCGTGGAACACACTGCTTGATTGTTTATTGCATCGAGTATGTTCAGAGAGTAGAAAGACGGAAAGCCGAGGTGCCGGGAGACAAGAGCTCTTGGTTTCACTATTTGGATCTTGTAGTCTTCATGTATTTAGATAATTGAGAATTTGTACAAAAAGAGACAGTATTTGTTTGTTGTCGTAATCGTGAAACGAGTTTAACCACCGAGAATTCCTGTCCCCCGCAATGGGGTATACAGTGTAACGCGCTCATAGAATCCTTACCCTGAAATGATACGAATCATGTAATAACTTAAATTAAGCTACAGAGACTGAAGATATAAAACGTCGTGCATACCCACCATTCCTTCAGAATATCATACAAATCAGACTCCCAGTCATTCAACAAAATCTTATCCATTGATCCTAGAGTGACCAGCTTCATTCGACCACAATGAAGGCCCAATCTATTCTCGGTGCTTTGTTACCCGTCCTTCTCACAGCCAACGCTGCTTTGAGCGATCAAAGTATGAAGACTGTGAGATTGAGCGGAGCTGAACTTCGGAATCTGGCGGATGTGATTAAGAGTCATGGCCTGGCGGACAAGCTTGCTGCCAATCAGAATATTTCCTGCACCGTGGCTTATACCCTGGAATTAAGTAATATTATCTGTGCGAATCTTTCTCATTGACAAATCGACTAACTTCATCTACAGGCGCTGGTCCTCCTCCTTACACTCTCAGCCTTACCTCCCTTGATCTTTCCGGTTGTATCTACACAGGTCCTTGATTTAGGTCAAGACACATTAAATATACCCAGAACCTGGGGGCTGAGCTGGGTATTAGTTTTAATTCTCTGGAATATGATGATTTATGGAAACTCGCAATTTGCTCGCCGTAAGCGGAGGCAAAAAAGATTGTTTTTCTTCAAAATACAACTCCACCCAATGTAGATCCTTAGTATGAGAAGAAATATAGGATAGATTAGGCGATACTTTGGTCTGCCTAGCTTTGGATCGTGCTTTATCCATCCTAGACGTTTCATACTTTGGTATTCTGAGCGAGATCTATCTTTCGCCCTCAATCTCTAGAGTCATAAAATTCTTACCGTAGCGTATTGACACGCTCCGCTTTTCCGTATATAGCAATACTCAAGAAGTTCAGTGCATTCCCGATCACTAAGTGTTGCGTGTGGGGAGATGTGGCATAATAAAGAGTACTTCAGCTTATCTTTGTACAATATAAGCACATATGACCACAGTGTGTGGAGACAGTGCTTGTCACGTCGGCCATACTTGAGCTAAATTTGGTTGGGGGCCAATTTTCAATATACCCTAAACTTCAACATAGCGTCATATGTACCTGATATCTTAGGTCGGGTGTGGGTGATATGGATAAGAAGTCTGGAGACGGGGCGATCGAGGTGAGAACAAGATATGGACTCTCTCCTTGACTATCTTAAAATCCACGAAACTCGGCATACTTTCATCCGAGCGATATAAATGCCTCGGAGACTACATGTCCTGGAATGCCTTACTGATGTGATACTATATCCCAAGATGAGCAAAGGCAGTTGGCGCCTGCCCTAGCGGCTGTTATGTTCTTAATAGAGGATCTAGAAAGTATATATAAGAGCTCGGAGGGGCTCATAGGTACAATGGTGTTAGCACCCTGTTTTCTAATCATTTAGGCCATTTTAGTAGTTTGGTAATGTCTTATGAATGACTGTGAGGACTTTTATGTATTTACGTGGCGCACTGTAAGCAGGGAAGAGGGAAAATTCGCTTTTGAGCTACAGTACGAGACGGAGAGGACGAAGGGGAAAACTGGTCCTGGAGATCAGTGGCAAGATCCGCCGAACGGGAGGGGAATCTCTGTCAGACTCTTATTAGCATGAAATGGTCTTGTATCGGAAAACAAAATGCCAACATGATCAATTATCGCTTACGGCACTGTAATATCCCGTTAGTCGTCTACTCTGCTTACTGTAGAAACTGGACTATGATGAGGCGATTGTTGTAGGGGGCTTAGGTCGGTATAGCCATCCAGCAATCCCATCAACTTAAAGTGACAAGAAGCGACCGGGCCAAATCTTAGTGCTTCGGTTATCTGTCTCCTCTCGTGAATATGACTTGAACATATATTTTCCCCTGAAAGTTTCCTATTTGCTCATACCAGCCACTACATATGCGACTCTACGTTTATATGCTTAAACGTAGATTGCGTGGCGGCTTGTGGCCATCTTGGAGAAGCTTTATGGTCTATCAATGTCAAATAAAGGGTACAACGGGAAATGAAAGGATTCTAAGACTTCTTGGCTGGTAGTAAATGACAAAATTGAGGGGTCATGCTTCATAGTAGACGGATATGTTCGGACTTCATGAACTTGGTTGATATCGTGGAATCAATAAGATAATTCATTCTTGCTCCCTCCATGAATGAATCCAAAGTATATAATTTTCGATGATGTTCATCAAGGCAAATTAAGCAAACAATTACCCTACTAAAAAGACCTAGTCGAATAATGTCGCCCAATCCCCTGCCACAATTGTTACACAAAGGTCTTTCCATTGCGTATAGACCCCCTTTTTTCGACTGGGGCAACACGGAAGTCCTCACATAAAGCTCTGTGGTGTAACCACTAAACTTGCCTGGATTTATGCAAATTTGATGATCATAGACAAAAGCACAAGTCTATTTATCACACGGGGAGAGGGGGCGGGTTCGAAATGACATCTCCCATAAGACGTAGCAATCAAAGGAAAGTAATTTTTAACAATAATTTTATTCCGTATAGTTGGCTCGTTTATTCAGGTGTCACTGAGGCATTTCCTCCGCACCATCATGCACATGTTTCCTTTCCCTCCTTCTGCTATGCAGTCATCGAATGACGGTATGAATCTAGTAGGAAGATCAAAAGATTGGTCTGGCCAGCTTTAGTCGTCGGAGTATCAGACTAACAGAAATATTGGCAATGTAGAGGCCTTCAATGCGTAGATGTTTTGGAGAAATGGTGCATTTCAAATCCCAGAAGCAGCCCCATTCGGAATCCAACAATATTGCTCCCTGTCCAATCATATCTTTCTCCCTATCAAGTTCACAGAATCTTATCCAGCAGGCTTTGCTTATAGAAAGGCGCGTTCAAATTTTCATGATTGCAGTATCAGACTACCTAACGCTCAAACAGAGCGAAGAAACATTATGGTAGTCTTGCGGGCTGGGACTACCATCTTCGGGGAATTAGATCGGCCTGAGCAAGAATATTCAGTAACACATATCAAGTACCGAGTCTTCGTCTAATTCTTAGTCATTTAATATAGATTTGTTTATGCTGCTATAGATTTCAAAGGTAGCGATTAATGATTGAGTATCTTCGATTTTTTGAGATTGGGTTGTTTAGAGGCGAATGTCATTCAATTCTACTCGTGGTGTCTTGCGATAATTCCTTGGTATCTCTGCTAAATTTTGCCTCCTAGTGATAGGCCCAGATACATTCGCTACTTAGGCGTAAAATTAAGAGAGGATCTACACTCGCAGCCTGCAGTAGGTGATGCAAATAATTGACTCATTTTAATATCCGCCAGAATAGTCCCTACTCCACTTACAATATTTATTTAATTAATAACTTATGGTATATGATAAGGCTGATTTCTTAGGCTCTTAGGTAGTAGTTTTTGCCAAGTTTAATCGATCTATAATGGGAATAGCTCTGAAAGTGGGCACGCTGGTGGTAGATCCGTGATGGCTCACGATGAACAATACCTCACCTTAGCCTAAATCAACCCACCTAAGCATCTAAAGATTTTGTAGTTAAGATAAGGACTCCGCTGATTTACTTGGTTATATTTAGTCAATATGTAAATAGGTAAATATTCGCCTTCTTTGGTCACTCAACATAAGGCCACCCTGCCCTCAGTTATCTATGCGTCGCTCTCATTGTATCCGAGTCTCTTTCGAAGGAAAGTTTTAGCGAGCTTTTGTAAATCTACCGCTTCTATGTCTTTATCACTGCAGAATCTGTACGACCTGCTCTAGTGCAATTATGCAATATCCTACGCATCGATTAAGGTAACACAACAGGACCTCTAGGACCTCTATTCTTAGTGTACAAACTACGTTCCCCCCAAAACTATGACTTAACATGACCGATCACTTGACAAGGCTATACACAAACAATCTGATAGCTTTGACACTTCACTTTGAGCGGCTTTATTGAAATACATTCTTACCACGGATCTATCTAAACTAATCTTTCATTCTTTCATGGCACACTCTCTTCTCTAGAATAACTTGCCTGCCATCTTTTAATCAAACATGATTCGAAGGAGCGTCCTAGATGACGTAAAGTGGAGCCCAAGACCTGTAGAATGCTATCATGTACAGCTTTCATGCCCCTGGCTCTAAAGTGGATAGTGTAAGGCGTATGGTCTTGGGACGAAAAGATTGAAGTGGAGATGAGAATAGCCGATTTTACAATTTGGCTCTCTATAGTGGACACTTCCCTTTTTGAATATTGACCACTATTCATACTAAGCACTGATGTCGGCACTTTGTACACTAGGGAGTATAAGCAAATAGCATAAATTATCATAATATTCAAATTTCACCAATGTTTTCTTTTCTTTTGATATGGAATGAACAAAAACCTGTTAGACTACTGTCTAGTTAGTAGTATAGAAACAGAAAATATTTCTAAATTGATGCAAGATGCAGATTGTAGACAACGCCTACCTAGAGTAAGGGTTGATCACACCGACAAGAAGTCATAATAACTGCATGATTCAATATTTGCCAAGGCATGTAAAAGGCCTAGCACTATATACAGACAAAATGACATTAAAGCCTCCTTTTACCCATATATTCATGCTTATCTCAACTGAAATCTCTTATTCGATTCTACAATCACACACTATTCTCTCCAATATTATTAGCCGTTCATCGACTATAATTCACCTCAATGAAAGCCCAAGCACTCTTACTATCGCTCCTTGCGATAGGCGTCTTAGGTCAAAAGACTCCAGCTGAGACTGAGTACGACAATATCTGTATCGACACTCCAGGAGATGAAGACGACATCCTCCCTGGCTACAGAGTCAAGTACCATTGTGAAACCATTGGCTCTTACAGCAAAAATAAGCCAAATATCAACACTGCTAGAGAATGTGCTCCGCTGTGCAAGGACAAACCTGGATGTAATAGTAGCTCCTGGAGACCAGACTCTAGAAGATGTCTTTGTTGGGCCAGGCTCCCAGCAAGTGGAGGACGCAGAGAAGACTCTGTGAATGGATAATGTGACTCCGCCGCCGTCTCCTCCAGCAACCGGAGGTGAAGGTGAAAACCAAGGAGGAGCTTCGGTCTGTGATCGGCTGCGCGATAGATGTCTGCAAGATTTGCAGACTTCTGGCTGCAGCTGCCGCGGTGATTCTAGCGGCGGTGGCAACGATGGAAGTGGTGGAAGTGGTGAAAACGCTGGTGGAAATGATGGCAACGGCGAATCTGGTGATGGAGACGATGGAAGTGGAAACGATGGCGGTGTTAGAGCCAGTGGTGGGAATCCCGACAACAAATGTGAGTCTCTGTCTTTTCTAAATATGCTAAATCCTCCTTGCATAGCATTCAAATACCACCTTTAAAATTGTCTGGTCTAATATCTCTCCAGGTCTTGGATATAATGACGGCGCCACTTTGAATAACGGGAAGAAATATACACTCACCTGCGGAAAATGTAAGTGATACCAGCATACGACCCGACTAAATTGTCTAGAAGTCTATATCTAACGGTTCCTTCAGTCGTCGGAGGCCCTCCTCTGGCAGGCTACAATGGCAAGAAGGTCGACTCGGCTGCCGAATGTCTCCGAGCCTGTACAGACTATCCCGAAGCAAAGTGCAAGCGAGCCGTATGGTCAAACCAAGAGAAGCCAGCCTGTAGCCTGTACGGCTGGGGCAATTTTAATGGCGACACTCCCTGTAATCCCAAGACTTCCTGGGCGACCAATAGGGACAGAAGCCACGCCTTGCAGGAGGGCTGTCCTCAGGAAAGACAACCGAAATAACTAGGAGGCTTGGAAGTGGGAGTCTCTTCTGAAGCTGACACCCCACTTATATCCGGAGCGCAGCTCTAGTGATTTGTTGCCCTAGACTGTTGAAACTTCGCTATCCATCTTTTGGGTCCAAAAGATTTGATGTTGCGAGTCTTTCGGGTTTTTATTTCGCTTTTTCCTTTTGGGATTTCGCTCAGGGTAAACCCACCACATTCCTTCTGATACAGATTGAATCAAAAGTCCATGGCCTTGCTTTCGATCAAACGCGGGCACATGGTATGAATAACTTGAACATTAAACCATATTTTCAGTGCTGCCAAACTTCGAGTAGGCAATATAGGTTGAAATAATCCTATGGCTTCTCAAATTAGAGGGCAAATAGTTAAGTTGTCGTTACTTGTAAACTTCTAATAGCTGAGGCCTACAGACGGTTGCGCTCACTGACCAGAAGCGTATTATGGGGTTATTTCGCGCTGGCTGATGACGGGAAGCTCGCGGATCGCATCAGAATACCTAGTGGCTATCAATACTTGGTCCCAAACTGGCTTTTACAACTTCCAGACACTGATTCTAAATTTATCCAGATGAACTTCGACATGCTATCAAACTTCACACGTGTATTCGTGATTATCCCCTCTAATTAAGCCTGATCACCCCCAAATCTAAAGAGCAAGTCATTAACTAAGCGATTATACCGGCACCGAAGCCATTCTTTTGGTGAACCATCCATCAAGTGGACATCGTTTACTTGCGGTCAACCTTGCCGCGTCCCAACCACCGTCGAGCCCCAGCTCCCAGCCCCTGCAGACCACGCTGCTGCACCTCACGACGAGCAGCACCATCGACTTCCTCTTCGGTCTGGCTACTACGACCATCCACCAACCGAAGCAAGATCTGCATTAGAACCGCAGCAAGGATACTCGCAATCAGAATACCGACCATAACCAAGTTACTCTTTCGGTACTTCTGTCGTCCAGGTGCCTCGTAGTCACTCTTCCAGCCCGAGTACAAGGCGTAGGTAGTCAAGATACTGCCCAGATTACCCCATCCCGAGACGACTGCAGAAGCAGCTGCTACACCGACCTCTCCATGGCGTGGTTGGAAGATCTCTGCAGTCCACGTCATGGTGATGGGCACAGTTGGGCCAAGGCCAAATCCGACGATCAGAAGACCACCGTACCGCGGCCAGGGATTCTCCTCAGTTCCGGCATAGCTGGTCAGCAGTAGGCCCAGGATCTGGAGTAGAACGGGGATTGAGAAGAAGAGAGCGCGGTGGCGGTGGAAACGATCCGAGAAGGGGGTAACAAGGAGAATAGCGATAAGGTCCATCTAAAAACAAGTTAGTCAACGGAATATCAGAAATATTGACAGCTAGAGTACATACAATCCAGATAGGAGCTGTCAGCAGGCTGAGGTCGACTCCATTCAGAGACGGGTTGATCGCCTTGATGATCACGTTCGCATACAGCTGAACACCGATACCAACACCCACAACGCCAAAGTACATGACCAACAGCGGCCAAAGTCTCCAGTCCATAAACACATGGAGCAGGTCCCGCAAAGTCCACTTCGAGTTGTGGTAAACGCGTTTCATATCGTGGTAGTGAATCACCGCATCCCGGCCAGTCAATGCAGGTCGGCTCTGCGGCAGCCAGCGCAACATCTTAGGACGCTCGGGCTCGGACGCGCCAGGTGCAACGGGCCGGTCTGGCAGCCACCAGAGCTGGGCGAATCCCAAAGCAATAGTGATAACACCATAGATCAGGAACATCCACTGGAATCCGACGTAGCCCTTGGCGCCATCCATCTCTTGGAAACCGGCAGAGACGAGGCCGACTACAGCCGCAGAGACCTGGGCAGCAGTGAAGTACTGGCCAATACGCTTTCCAATGCGCGAAGGCGGGTAGAAGAGCGTGAGATAGTAGGTCATGCCGGGCCATAAGCCAGCCTCGACGATACCGAGAAGCAGGCGAAGCAGACTACAGGCCATTAGCACAAATTCTTTCTATAGTCGGTCGACAAGAATCAGAGTGATACATACTAGAAGCTCCAGGCTGCTTTCATCGCTACCATGCAGGTACCAATCAATCCAACGCTAATCACGATACGGCTCATCCACACATGGGGACTAAGACGGGTCATGACCAAATTCGAAGGCAGATCAAACACAACATAGCAAACGTAGAACAAGGCCAAACCAGTTGAGATCTGGTGGGGAGTCAGATGCAACACCTGGGCAAGGTCGTGACCAGAGTCTGCGTTCATTGTCTGCGCCAGACCAACATTGGAGCGGATGGCCGAGCACATAAAGTAGAGAACCCAGAAGGCGGGGATAATGCGCCAGTCCAGTTTTCTATTTCAAAAGGTCAGGCTTTTCGTGGAGTCATAGTCACGCGTGAATGCAACTAACCTATAGATTCGTTCAATGTTCTCGACACTAAACTCGTCCGGCTCGAGGTCATCCATCTCTGTAGATTCCGAGAGAGCCTGTTGTGGCTCATAGACATCTTCAGAAGGGAAATCCTTGCTTGTGCCGACGGCAGCCTGAGCCCCCTCGACTGACATTTTTGCGAAGGGTATAGTCCTGCTATTTCTTTTGCCGGTCTTGTTTCTCGGGCGAGCTGATTACCAGCGCCCACTCAACCTGTCGACGGAAACAATCAAAATGTGTTGACCACAGAAGACCGCAGTCTAGAATATCTCGAGAGAATATAATAAGTCTATAAAGCTGTGTAGCGCAATCAGTGACTGGTTTCCAAAGAGTTTATCCTTTCGCGCCAGTCTCGCCGAGCAAGTCGGCTTAATATAAACGTAGCCGAGGTGCCCAAGACCCACTGCGAAATGGAGGAACTGGAAAGTAAAAACTGCATCGCATCTACCTACCTTGAATAAGAATCGTGCTCGGTAGTCCCCGGTCCGCTCCGTCCGAGTAAACTATGCTCGCGACAAAGTTGACCGAGCGGAAAAAAAAAAGTGCGAGGCGGAGAAGGTCACCCGCCTGCAGATCTGATAATGGAGGGGTTCTTGGCGATATCATGCAAATAAGAAGGACCCGATATTTTGGCACTTCTTTTGTCACCTATATATTGTGAGAAATAATCAAATAGTGACTCACTGATTCTTCTCACATAAGATAATAGAAAACGAGAGGGAAAAAAACAAGATGTTGAGCTTGTTGAGGTTGAGCAAATCGTAGTTCCCGGTGGGAAATTTCCTTCCGACTCTCGGCGCTCAGCAAGAAACGGGAAAGCTCTCCCTAACAAGGAATATCATCACTCACCGAGGATAACCTTAAATGCATCTGACTCACTAGGTGCTGGAGAGAGACATTTCGCATAGCATCGGGCCATCGGCATCGTAGAATCTAGACGCTCGGAATCATTTTGATTTTTATCAGGCCATTCTCTTACGAATTTTCTTCCTTCTTCACACTAATCAACAGTACTAGACTGCAATTGATCGGGAGCCTTCCCGACTGACTGACCATTTCCTTTACGCTCGACAAGGCAAGCTATTCCGTGCTGATGTGCAATATGGTTGGTTTATCATGAAAACCTCCACAATTACAATTAGGACATGGATATTCCCAGTTCCCTCCATCCTAGCTTGATCATGGATTATGGTCAGACTGAAGTAGCCGCATTGGCTACATAAGCTATCTGTCAAGGTATATATACAGCCAATTATATTGTGATTTGCCTATGTTTTGTTTATGATGCCTATGAATTTACGTTTCTCTGCGAAATCAACATCGCCGATCTCGGTCCGATCACGTGATGTGTAATCATTTAGATCTTCTGTCAGACCAGAAGATCTCCACCAGCTTGAACAACGCCAATAACTAGCAAGCTCTACGTAAGCCAATGCGCATCATTCCCACGAGTAATCACTCATAACAATCCATTCGAAAATCAATTCATATCATTGCGTTCAAATATAAACAGATAAGAAAAAATGAAGAATTAACGAACAAACAAACCAGATAGACGCTCCATCTATGACATGAGAAGAACAGCAGAAGAAATTTTTAGACTCCACCAGTGAACAGGATACAACAGGACAACCCAAGAGTAACAACAAAACGAGGTATATACTCCAAGACCCAGCTTAGTTATCGATCTTGAACTTCATGCGGATACCCATAGCCGCCAACTCGACGTCCAGGAAACGCAGGACACCCGGCACAGCAACGACAGTAACGTTGTCACCACCGACATAGCGCACGCCTTCACCGTCCTCCCAGGCCTCAGCACGCGAGTCCTCGAAGGTAGCCGAGCGAGCACAACGACGGCAGCGCACAATACCATTCGTACCGCCGAGAGCACCAACGGTCGTCGCGCCAGCACCGAGCTTCTGGTTAGGCGCGGCCTTGGCCGCGGCAGCCGCGGCACCGGGGTTAACGGCAGCGCGGCGAGACGAACCGGAGCCGGAGACGGCGACCTGGGTGGACAAGAAGGAACCGCAGTCACGGCAGATCCAGGCATGCTGGGAGTCGGAGCAGTTCATGAGACGGTCCTGCAGGAGGAAGGCGGCACCGTGGGCAATCAGGGAATCACGCTCCATCTCACCGACACGGATACCACCACCCTTGGCACGACCCTTGACGGGCTGGCCGGTCAGCGCGTTGACGGGACCCGTCGTGCGGACCTGGAACTTGTCGTTCACCATGTGACGCAGACGCTGGTAGTAGACGACACCCATGTAGATGTCGGCTGCGAACTCGCGGCCCGTGATACCACTGTACAGGGGCTCGTTACCGTAGTAGTTGTATCCGGCCTTGAGCAGCTGGTGGCCGAAGTAGTCGGTGGCGGTGTTCTCCTCGGAGAACTGGAATGGCGTGCAGTCTTGCGGGTGGCCGTGGAGGGCACCGGCTTTACCGGCCATGGACTCGATCATTTGCGCGATTGTCATACCTGTATTGATTGGGTTAGAATTATCTCGAGTAGAGACGAATAGGGAGAGCTTGTACTTACGGGATGGGAAAGCGTGGGGGTTGATGATCAGATCAGGTTGCATGCCACTCTCGGAGAAGGGCATGTCGACAGCAGGCCAGAGTTGCGAGCAAACACCCTTCTGACCGTGACGAGACGAGAACTTATCACCGATAATAGGCTTACGCGGGATACGGTACTTGACACTCAGAGACTGAGCAGGCTCGTTACCGTTCTCAGAACCCATGATGCGGATGCTCTCAATGTAACCAGCCTCAGCATCCTTGTACTTGATGTAGTGCGTGATGCCGTCGACGTTGACAAAGGAGTCGGTGGCTGCGTCGTAGCGGACGTTGTGGTAGGCGGCGATCTTATCGCCCTCCTTCACGCGCACGCCAATGTGCGGCAGACCGTCACTGTCGATCAAGGCCTTGGCCTCCGCACGGATCTCATCGCCGGGAGCGAAACCGAAGAGCTTGGTGACTTCGCGTCTAGACTTGCTGCGGCGCGAGTCACGCTCGGCAAGGCTGTGCACCTTGGTCTTGTAGATGGTTCCGTGACCGAAACCACGCTCGTGGGCGGACTTGTTGATGATCATAGCGTCGTCCATGTCGTAACCGGTGTAGGAAATAATGGCGACAATAGCGTTGGTACCGTTGGGGAAGTTATCGAGGCCGTAGGCGTTGTACAGAGGTGTCCGGACGACGGGGGTCTGACCAGTTTGTAGGCGGTACAACTTGTTATCTGTACGGTAGTTGATGGATGTGCCGGGAGTACCCATGGTCTGCTTGCTCATCTGGCACTGGTACATGTTACGGGGGGACTGGTTGTAGTCGGAGAAGGGGGTCATGTTGGCCACAATGGAGAGGATGTTGGTCGGCGTGTATTCAATGTGAGTCGACAGACCGGCGATCAAGTCGCCTTCTAGACAGGCAATCTCCATGAAAGGCTGCTCGAAGGGACCCACGAAGTCAAGACCCTCGTTGGCCAGGTACTTGACAGGACGGTACATACGAGCAGACTGCGAGAACATGTAGATACCTGGGTACTGACCGCCGTTGGAGTTGGGGACATAACCAATCTCAAGGCCGCGGGGAATGTCGTTGGTGCCGGAGACCTTCCAGTAGCGGAGAGTGTCGTGTATCTGCTTGGCCTGCTTGGGCGAGCAGAAACCGATGATACGACCATCCAATTGAACGACAACGCTGTCATCGATAGCAACGGAAGACTCGGCACGAACACCAAGCTGAACAAGGATCTTGGGCAGGTGAGAAACATCCAGGTTATCGGTAGCGATCAGACACTTGTGGGCCAAATGGTTCAGCAGACCACAGGGCGAACCATCAGGAGTGTGGACCGGGCACAAGAAACCCCAACTCTCGGGCAGTAGCTTACGCACAGTAGTAGTCTTCAGCTGAGCGAAGAAACTACCACGGTGAATCATGCGGAAGTGACTGATGAAACGGTAGAAGTTGATCTTCTCGGCAATAACGGTGTAACCGGAGGTCTGTTGCAAATCGAGACCAGTGGGACTGACCAAGTTACCGGTAGAGAGGAAGTACTCGAGCGCGTTACCAATGTTCTCGTTCGACCGCTTGACGATCTTGGCCAAGAAGTCTCGTTCGAAAGAGGGATCCGAGAATTTGGCACCGCCATTTCGCATAGACCAGTCGCGGGCAATGGGACCGAAAGATCGCAGCCACTCCTCGATACGCTCCTTCAAGATCATACCGTACAAGAAACCACCCAGCAGAATCTCCTGGTTTGAAACAGCATCAGGGTTGTCGGGGGCGCAATCGCCAGCAACCAGAGCGTACAGTTTCCGGATCATGAAGATGATCATCTTGAACTTGTCGTAATCCTGAGTCTCGGTAACGTTCTGGTTACCCAGGTGAGGCAAGACGACCTTGCGCAGGAACTCCGTACCGACGTCCTCATCAGACATATCGGCAGGGACACCGAGGACAGGGCGGAAGCACTTGCCCAGGTGAGCCCGGCAGTCGTAGCGGCTGTGCTTGTTGTAGGCCTGGTAGGTTCGGAGCAGAAGCTCGACACGGTCTGTGACGAAAGTGTTGTTCATGCCCTTGGAGGTGGCACTGCCAACAAGGTTCTCGAAGATTTCGCGATCATTGGTCTCCACGAGAGCCTTGAGGATCATCATAACGGGCACGAGGAACTCGTTCTTGCGCCAGGAGAATCGGAAAGTAACGTTTCCATCGGAGAGGTAGTGCAAAACGTTGGTCTGAGAGGTTTGATCGGGTCGAACGGATCGTATTTGGACACCAAACTTGGTATAAGTGTGACCACGCTTGACGAAAGAACCACGAACGATGGACATGGGGTAGTTGCGCTTGCCGACGATCAACATACGGATCAACTTCTCGTTACCGTTCACAATGAAGTAACCACCCAATTCCTCCGACTCTTCTTTGTGCGTGACGAGATCCTCCGGGGTTGCCTTCTCGAGGTGGCAGCGATTAGTGCGCATCATGATAGGGACCTGACCCAGTTCGCGCACAGACTCCATCCAGTCTCCATTGTTGATCTGGTACTCGAGACGAGCGCGGAGCTTCCCACGGTAGGTCGAGTGTCGCTCACGGCACTCGGAAGGGTAGATGTTGCGGTTCTTGTGGCTGAACTTGTTGGTTGGGGGGAGGGTGGGTTTGTCGAGGAAAATCTCCTTGACACGCACGTTCAGACGATTGCGCTTGGGCGCGCGGCGGCCCTCGGCGATACGAGCCTTCTTTTGCTCGGGGGTCTCTGGTTCTCCATCAAGGAATGACTTGATGCCAATATCCTTGAGACCTTCCTCCAAGATCTGGCTGCCTCCAAAGAGCTGGTTGAACGAGTCGATATGCGGCTTGATCGACTCGGCCAGGGTCGGGTAGGCGGTGTGGTCCTTGGGCGGGTTCTTGAAGAGATTCTCACGCCGCAAGGTGTCGTATGCGACCGACCACTCGGTGTTGGTAGGCGCGGGAGCCATGGCTGGGAGCTTGCGGAACTGGCCCAGCAGGGAAGAAGAAAAAGATTCTGGCGGTAGAATCACGGGAGGGTTCCAAGGATCGAATTGGGAGATAGTCGGGGCGATAGGTGTGATAGCCCCTTGTTCTGCCTCAGCCTCCCAGGAAGAGTATCCAACGAAGCGAGGGAATTGAGCCAGCAATGGCAGCTTGGACGAGAGCGAGAATGGTTCTGCTTGGGGAAATTTTTCGAGGTGGAGCCGGGTTATCCTCACGTGGTGATAGATAGTGATGCCTGAGGCGAGCAGGTTACATAATCTGCATGATGCGGCGGGAACTGGAAGTATACAAGCTGTCTGCGCGCCCAGCGACCCATTCTGAGTAAGTCTAGCAGAGTAATTGCCTCACTTAGCGGTTGAATCTTCTTCGTTTAACGGCCTTGAGAAGGGGGGAACGGCCCCTAGAACCCCCCCCCCCCATAGCCACTCTGGTCGCTTTGCTTTCGCTGAGTAGTAGAAATATAGTAGTTAAAGTAGGAGGGGTAATAGTAAACCTACCAACTAATCTACCAACTAATAACCTAGCAACTATAGAGGTAGTGGGGATATCTCAATGCCTAGATTCTAAGGTTCTTAAAAATACCACATATGGAAGTTATGTGCCGTCACGATTGATCACGTGATGTGGATAGGGAACCGACCAATCAGATAGAATCAAGCCTCAAGTTTGACAAGATATTGCTCCGCAACAAAAATTAAGTTCCATCAAGAGATCATCTATTTAGCTGCTAACTTTACTATATTGACCGTTCTTTCGTACTCTATGTCACTGCTTATGTATTTCTGTCTCTCTCAACTACTCAACACCCGAGCGCAACTAGCCCCAACACCAAACGCCAGGGCCTCCATGTTTTTGCTGCGCCAGTTGATTGCAATACGTCAGGCTGCGAATGGAACGAATGGAGCCTAAGCGCCCCTCTAAACTGCGGTCATGTGTGCCCGTAGATCCTCGACTGCTCCCGCTAGCTTAGTTCACAAGGATTATTGTACTGTAGTATTCTTCTGGATAAGAACCAGTCCAACCCTCGACCATCGGCGCTACTATATTCAAGTTGGGAATTCCCCCGGGTTAAGAGAGAGGGAGAAATCAAGCGCCCGGGTCCATGGTCATTGCCTGGTTCCTGTTTTCTTTTTCCTTGTTAAATCTCTCTTGATTTTCTTCTCTTTCTTCATCATCTTTCCCTACCTTTTTAATATCTGCCTGCTGTACCTCAGCCCCCCTGGTATTATTCTTTGGAGCCGCCTAGTATCAGCACCAGAACCGCCCGCCCACAATTTTCTTGACTGTTAACGCCGCCTTTCGACCCCACTCGACCCTCCTGGTTCTTTTGCCCACTCGGGTGGCTTTTGATCTCACTGACAGCCACTCTTCTGGTCCTTCCTTATTGCTTTTCTGTTTCTGCTTTTGTCATTTGCTTTCCACTATTTTTATGAAGCTTCCATCTACGAGGGTTTGATCAAGCCGGCCACATCTGACTATCATCCCGCAACTCCCCGTGCCTTTCTCCTTCCTGGTTCTTGTTCTTCAGCCTGCTCTCCCCCTCCAATAACCACTCCATCCACCATGGCCGGCATCTTTCGCAGCATCTATGACTGGCTCTTAAGGATGTTCTGGTAAGTGGGCCCTCTTCAGAGTGCCGGGGGTTGTTCTTGTTTGGCTCTCGGGAGATCCAACACGCCTCCTCCCCGGCCCGTCCCCGCAGACGAGGCCCTGCTAAATTGCTAATACCCGGATTTCTTTCCCTGCAGGGCGACGGAGATGGATGTCACCATGATCGGCCTGCAGAATGCCGGCAAATCCTCCTTGCTGCGGGTGCTAGCGGTATGTTCCTCAACCTTGTCCAAGTTTCTCCTCCATTCTACTCCTCTTCTTTTGTGCCTGTGCATCGCTCGAGACTGTCTGCTGACCGCGTTACGTAGGGCGGGGAATTCACGGTTGAGTAAGTCGTTCCCGGCCGAGCATAGTAATATCGCCGGCCGCTAATAGTCGAAATAGTTCGATTCCGACCATCGGATTCAACACAAAGCGTGTACAAAAAGGGCATGTGACCTTGAAATGGTATGACGAGTCAACCTCCTCCGAGTCTGATCCGGACAACATCGCTAACAGTCGCAGTTGGGATTTGGGTGGCCAGCCTCGATTTCGCCCAATGTGGGAGCGGTATTGCCGAGGCGTAAATGCGATCGTGTAAGACACTGGTCCATCAGTCTTGCAAAAGGTCGTCGTCGATGATGCTAACCCCTGTGATTAGATATATCGTAGACGCAGCTGATAAGGCAGCGCTGCCTGTTGCCACGGAAGAACTGCACGAGCTGATGAACAAGCCCACCTTGGATGGCATCCCACTCCTGGTACTCGGCAACAAGTCCGATCTCCCGGCCAAGCTGTCAGTCGACGAGCTGATCGATGCCATGGACCTCAAGACCATCACCCACCGGGAAGTCAGTTGCTATGGCATCAGTGCCAAGGAAGAGACCAACCTCGACGCCGTGCTGCACTGGTTGATCGCACGCGCCAGCCGGTAAAAAGAACTGGCGATGCGATCGATGGCACTTTGAACTTGGCTCACCTATACCTCTTTGTTTTTCCACGCTTTGGCTTCTGAGAGCGCATCTCTTTGGTTTTTTTTTCTTCGGTTCTTCCATTGCGGGAGTTCCTGTTTATATCTCGTAGACTCTAGCGTGTTGGCCCGCAGCCTCGGATGTGACGATGTCCATGATTCATGGTTTTTTCTTGCTTTTGCCACTTCTGTTTCGAGTTTGTCTTTTCTTTCTTTCTCATTCTGGGAGCATGCAAATTGGGATCGCAAGCTAGCCAGTTGCTCGATCAAAATGATCTAACGGCCTATGTTAATGAGCAGCATTCTGTGTGTAAGTGAAATGTGTTTGTTGGTTTTGTTGCAGCGTGGCCCAGGATATCAAATCTGGCCGTTACTGTCCGGTTCTTCTTTTAATCATGTCTCGGAAATTTCAAACGCAATTTTGATCTTGTCACAATTGATTTGAGCTCGAGGGGAGCTTGACTCTTCACAAAAAAAACAGCAGTGGGGAAAAAAGGGTAAATCGCAGCGACGATGGCTGGTGGCCGGTCATAAATAAGTGCAACGCACACACGGACCAACTGATGCGTTGGCATTGCAGACGAACCGGGCTCGAATCAGCACGTAGCCAACACCCCCGCCAAGGCAGCACAACCAAATGATCCGGTAGGAGAAGCTTGAGCGGACCGAGCTGCGGTAATGTCGAGCTGAACTAGGTGCTGTCGACTGTATTGTATACCTTCTTTCTACTGAAGTGTGCTTCGAGGACGATTTCAACGGTATCCTACACAGTAGCGTATAACAGGTCTTAAAATTGCGATAGGTCTGGGCTACAACCATTGAAGACCGATTCCTTTGTCTAACATGTGATTAGCCATTAGCGTTTCAAGAAATAGACACGGCGCAATTTAGAGTCGGTTATGCTCGGCGGATAAAGACCCTGAAGCCCCGTGGGTCTTGCGTCGGGGGAATAATCATGTAGTGGACACGCTAGGGTACAAGGGGGGGATATTGTATGGAGTATCGAGGATATCAAGGATTCAAATGGAGGTGGGGACCAGAGTACAGTACAGTACTTGTTGTGCTAACTATAGGCTCTCGTTCCTCCAGGTAGTTATGAATGATCTGTAGTAAGCGCGCCCCATTCTCGAGCTTGGTTATACGCTCCGCTGGCGAGCTGATACGACGGTCGGGCGTATGTCTCGTATATCAGAATCTGCTATGGAAGGAATCAGGAAAATGCCCCAGGGCCCTAAGCCAAGCCACTTGCGTCGCGGTTTATCCGGGCGCCTAGAGATGTGGATGTGTCCTGGGGCCAGAATTATATTAGTGCGAGTAGTAGTACACATTAGGTAGTCATTCGGCGTGAATTCCAGTGTCGAGGATTACCAGATAATGAAATGCATAACCAACTAGCCGAGAGAGTATCATGTAATATCGATCTATGGTCATCCTCAAAGTATGAGAGGCAATGGTAAATCCGATTTTCCCGTCAGCCCTGCGCCCCCCATCCTCCACAATAGTAGCATGATTGGCTCTGACGAGAGTATACCCGAACTGCGCCGCAGTGCCCGCGTCCACGTACGATGGCTACGTATGCCGAGGTATTCTGCTCATTTCTGTTCGTTTCTGAGCGTATAGAGTGAAGTGGCTGAGTTGTGGTATTTGAAATGTCATGAGTATGTCTAGATGATGATAGTGAGAGAAATCTCAGTAGCTATATAGGTTGACGATCTCACTAGTCGAACTAAATATTCCATAGTTAAGCGGATCCATGAATCATCGCAAACCTGCAGCCTAGTGCCAAGACCCGCCCAACCCCCCAGCCCCAGCCCCATCGCCTCTCAGCCACTCGTCAACTCGGCGACAGTATTTCTTTCCTGCCTGCTGCTTCTCTTTCTTCCACAAACTCTCAACAGCCAACCATGGCCATCATTCCAAGATACTACTGGTGAGTTTAATCTCGGTCCTCGAGACATCATACTTTCCACCCCCCTGAAACCACTTCGGGACTAACATCCGCTGTAGTAACTACTACGATGACAACTGCTCATCCTGGGATAGCTGGGGACGCTGGGTAGCCTTCGGTGTTATCGTCGGCTGTGCTTTCCTGCTCTTCTTTGCTTTCGCGTAAGTCCCCCCCTCTCCATCCCCTAGCGATCATCTCGATCAAAAGTAAAAGAGTCAAGGAGTCAAGCTCGATACTCACATCCTCTCCATACAGATGTTTCAACGCCCGCCGCCGTCGCAACCACGGTCTCCGCCCATACACCGGTACAGCATGGATGGCTCCTCCTCCAGGAAACCCTCCCAATCAGCCCGCCTACCAGCAACCCTACGGCAATGACCCATACTACTCCCAGCAACCTCCACCCCAATACTCGGCCAACCCCCAGAACTACGGTTACTTTGGTGCACAACAAGCACCCGGCCAACAGCAGAACGGTATCGAGCTCCAGCAACCGATTCACGCCCACGGCGCCGGCGCTCGCCAGTACAGTCCCCCTCCCGGTCCTCCCCCGGCGAAGGCATGAAAAGTATCCCATTGAGGAAATGACAAGAACGGGCGATTTGGGCTTACTACACTCTGCATCATGTCTCCGTCTTGCCCGAGTCATTAGAGTCGGGATCGGGCCGTGAGACGATCAGCTCTGCTGTACCAACCCATATCAGCCCCAGTCTTATCATCCTCTGCTTTAATCCCCATGCAACGAAAGCCTCGGGTTCCCGGCGTTTTGCTTTATTTCTGGGTCGGTGCGAGAATCGGGCTTTTTTGATATCTTTTTGTTGTTTACCCCCTTTGCTTTTCATGATACGCCAAAGAATACCTTCACCTACCTGCATGGGGGGATCGACTATGTCTCTCCCCGTGTCTCTAATGCCTGCGTGCCCTGTCTGATTTCGTTGGACCGTCGTGATGAAGCGAGCCTGATAATGTGGATGATGTGATGCGCATTTCGGGTCTGTTTGATGGTCGGCGATGATGGAGGGTTTGGATCGTTTTGGATGCTCTAGTGCATTTTTTCGAGCCTTCTTTTCTAATGACATACCCAAGATTTACATGTTTATTTCGCTCCATTGGTAATGAGTTAGAGGACATTCGTAGAGATAATGCTTAGTGCATCTTGAGGGCCGGGCTTCCCAGATTCTCGATTTCTATAATATACTAAGAATCACCCATGAGTACCGGAACCAAGAGGTGGGCAGCATTTTGTGTTAAGAAAGTAAAGAACATAGTTGCGCCGAGGCGGTTATAGTTCTGGTAGAAGAGCTGTTGGTGATGATTCGGCAGGGAATTCAAGACCAACTTAAGAGTTTAACCAAGCCTATAAATTCCATGGCTATGCGTTAGTTGAATCTATGACAATTTAATAGAGCTAGTAATGTTCTAGAACACAAATCCAACATCCATGCTGTATAGTCACGTAAGCCTCGATACCCCAGGCACACCCGCTCCACCTCGATCACCTTCCGATCTCCGCCACTCCACATCTTTTTTCCAGTCCCTCAATCCCAATCGCACTCAGGGGCCCATGGACATCGACGACATCCTCGCCTCCGTGGACCGCGGTCCCGGCGCCAGCCCGGAATCCGCAGCCCTCGATCACCAACAATTAACGCGCTTCTGGGTCGCCGAACGCGCCGTCTCCGAGGTTCTACCCTGGCCGGCGCCATTAATGGAGCGAGTGATGGATCGCGTGCGCATTCAGGTAGGCGACTCGCTACAATTCCGCAATTATATACTCTGCCATTACCCCGTCTTCCTCTACTATCTCCAAAGCAGTGGTACATTTGGATCAATTGCTAATACCTATCGCACCGCAGATCGAAACAATCGAAGACCTCGCCGCCTCCTCCGCAGACACAATCACCAACACAACACACAATCCAAACCTAAACCTGCGCCTCTCAATCCTCCAAACAGACCTCGCCCGCACCCAATACATAATCCGCTCCTTACTACGCGCGCGCCTCGCAAAACTCACAAAATACAGCATGCACTACCTCGTCCAACTAGCCAGCCGCAACAAAAACCCCCTCTCCACTGCTTCCCAAAGCCAATCACAATCGCAATCCTCCTCCGCAAACCCCAACACCACACCTGAAGACTCCGTGCCCGATATCTCGGCGCTGGTAGATACAGCCCCGCTCTCGGGGCCGGAGACGAGCTTCGTCCACGCGCACCAGACGTTATTGGCGGGGCACTATGGGGGCTCGTTTTTGGGCGCGTTCCCGAGGCAGTTGAGGCGGTTGGATGATAATGCTGGTGGGACTAGTATGGTGCAGGGGCCTGAGACGAAGGAGGTTGTTTTTGTGAGGTGCCTAGGTGCTGAGGTTCCTGTTTTGGTGGATGGGGAGGAGGGGGTTGAGGAGGTTGGTGTTGTTATGAGGATGGGGGATGTTTGGGTAGTTAGGTGGGAGGGGGTTAGGAGGGCTTGGGAGAGGGGGGAGGTGGAACTGTTGTGATTGGGATGAGATGGGATGGAGATTTGAGATGATTTGATATGTGGTGGGTGGGTTTGTGTGCTTCTTATACCTTCCACCCGGCGAGGTTGGGGGTTATTGGTTGATTTTGATATCTGGGTTGGAGTAGCGGCATTCCTGGCGTTGGCGTTTACTGTTACATTTCTCATGCCATATACCTCGATGATGGCCTAGATGCACGGATTGCAATGGGTGCATAAAAACGATATACTTTGTTTCCGATCATCGTGTCGAGTACCACGCAGAAAAATGTTCACGAGATGTAGTCATGACATTTTGCCATACTACAGGTAAAAATAGCTTTGTAGGCCGTCTTGCCATCATCTATGTACAATCGATTCACTTCCCGCCCGTGAGACGCCATTCGCTAAGCCCAGAAAAGAAAATAACAAACAAAAGCTAAGGTAGCCATGCCCAGAAACCAGATATGCATAAACGTCGTCAAGCAATGGGAAGTGGAAGTCAGAAGAGAGGAAATTGTAAACGCGCATGAGATGCTGTCGTCTTAAGCAATGTATCCGTACGTCGCTGGTTCATCTTCCAGACGCTCCAGATACTCGCGGTCAATCAGGCTCTCGATGCGCTTCTTGACCATGTTCACATCGGGAACGAAGCGAGCAGACAGCTGGGTAAGAACCTCGTTCATCAAGCCAACATGACCAAGCTTCTTCCGTTGTCTGTGTCAGATGTTAGTATATATAAGAATTGTGAAAAGAATGGTTCAACTTACTTCATGATACGGACGATGGCAGCCTCAATACTGCCACCGCGCTCGTCATTCATTTTCTTCTCCGTCTCCTTACGCTGATCCTGATTCTCGACCTTGTTCGCTCCGCCGGCAACGACACCGATTCGCACCTTCATGAACGCGCTCTGGAAGTCATTGTTGAAGGAAAAGCGATCCGTGGGCTTGACATCTTTGCTCATGGGCTCCTTCTTCAGGATCCGGGTCTTCGGAGCCACCGCCAGAGATTGTAGGTTGCGGATCAGGTCGTACTCGGGAATACAAGTGTGCTCCTGAATCTCCTCGAACGTCAAAGATTCGCCATCCGGAACATCATTGAAGAGAAGGAGAATGACCAGCATGTATGTAGAAACATTCAGTTCATAGCGCAGCGTCTTTCCATTGCTTCGCTGAAATGTAGCTCGAATGTCCGCCGAGCCCATGCCCGCTTGCCAAGAAATCTTCCGACCACTGTGTTTGTCAAGGTAGAATTTCTCGAAGCTCTGCTTGAGATTCTCGATCTCGCGCGGGAAGATGCAAGGCAGCTGTACCTGGCCGTTTCTGGCTTTGGCCATCGCTTCCATTGGCCACATCGTACTGGTAAGGACATGTACGTCCAAGTCGATGGGCTTTTTGTCTGGGTCACCGCTACGGCGGATATGCTCCTTGTAACTCGCTGACAGATCTTCCGAAACTGTCATATCCTTGAACATAGCCTCGATGCGCTGGGTGAACTGGTTGCCGACTTCCATCTTCATCTTGGAAATCATTTGTCGTTCTGCGTCCATGCTTGCAGATCGCTTCAGTAACAGTCGGCGCGCGAGGTGCTTCTTGTAGTAGGTCTCGAACAGATCCTTGTCCTTGATGTATCGAAGAAGCGTGATACCATTGTCAAGAAGTGCATCAACCTCATCCTCGGTCTTGCCCTTGATGCCCTTCTTGAGATTTTCATCGAAGAAGAGAGAGAGGTATTCCGAGCTGCGGGTGTTCTTGTTGATGAATTCCTCGAAGCTGTCCTCGATGGATTTGTGTAGATTCTGATCTGATTGGAAAGATTTCTCCCAGACATTGTCAAATTGCCGCTTCAGAGCCAGGATATCGTCGACCCATTTGATTGCTGATGCAGTTTGTGGATTGACGGCTTTCTCCTTCTCCTTGCCCTTCTCCTTCTTCTCGCTGCCGGCGTCTTTTTCAGCGGATGCCGGCGCCTGTGGCGCAGCAATAGACGATGTGTTGATTTCCATGCCCAGCTCGACGATGCGCTTGCTCACCTGACTAGTGAGTGCGCTCTTCTTTTCGTCTACTCTGGAATTGAGGGTGTACACTGTTCGCAACCCATCAAGCTGGTTCTGGTCAAGCATGTGCCGAACTCCCGTGCCTTCCAGACGAACTACCTCCTCGATGTTCTTCCGAATCAGCTCTTCATTCAGGACTTCGCCAATCTTTGGCTCGGTCTGGGCAACGAGCGTGTAGTGACACCGTTCATGTTCCTCCGAAATGCGTTGTGAAGCAACACGACAGAACGTTGCAGCGTCCCCAACTTCCAGTAACCGAGCTCCCTCTTCCTTGTAAAAGTCCCGGCTAGTGCTCAGGAAAGCTGGCTCAAAGGTAGCGAGGTACAAGGTGGAGCTCTCCTCCTCTGCAACGGTCTCATAGAGGCCTTCCAGCATGTACATGCAATTTCGAATCAATGGCCGGTCGATGATATGGCCTTCGCGTTCCAACTGTATCATGAAGAGTACTGTGGATTCGAAAATTTGTGCAACGGTTATATCAGAGCCGGAACGAACGGGAGCCCGGAGAACGTGATCGCGGAAGAGGGCCATGGAGACGACGAGAATAGAAGGCTTGGTGCGGTCTGCGGCGGTGATGCGATCCTGTAGGAGTCAGCTCAAATGTCTTCAAGGAGTATAGAAAGTATGTCAATCTTCGGGTTACTCACCATGTACATCAAAACATCGGTTATCATGCCCATACAGAGCAGATGATCAGACCACGCCTCTTTCACGACGGCTAGGAATCGTTCCCCCGCAGCCCGCCTCTCGTTCGACTGATCTTGAACATCTGTAAGGCTCTGGGGGTTTTGTGCCCGCACTAGAATCGGTAGAATAGATTCTGTGACCTGCTTTTGAACATGGTTCCGTAGCCAATTTTCCTCGAGGGACTTGACCCGCTCGTACAAGTCATCACCCCGCATCATCAACACCATCCGGTATGCATTTCGGTAGAGTTCTTCAAACGATAAGGTCGAGGCGTTTTTGGTGTGTATTTCTGTAAGGGAGGACGATAGCACATTCCAGAGAGTATCGAAATCCTCTGTGGGCGCAGCTGCGACAATCTGTGGTCATTGTCAGTACTAAGCTTGAAGAATCCCCAAGATCTCGACCTCACGTACCCGTCGAGGAGCGCGAATCTTGTGCCGAGCTCTCATAGCCGCCATGACTATCGTATGATGATTGGAGACGGCCTTTGAGATGTCAAACTGAGAACCCAGCGAGGTTGTTGCCATGAGTTGTGAAATGCAAGCTGTGTCCCTCTCCGCGGAGGAGCAGATCGGATAATGGTTATACCGGTCCGGCGCCGCCTTCAACATGCGCCGAGTCGTTGGATCTTTTGAACTTCTTCAAGGATTGTCCCTTGAGAGAAAGAACCTTTCTTGTTTCGTCGCTGCAAACAACTCTCGCTACAAATCTGTTTCAATTCTTCTTTCAGGTTCCACAAAGTCTATCATGCGCCCTTTTACACCACAGGGCCTCCGGCCTCTTCGTTCCCTCCTCTCGCAGAGCACAACTATCACCACCCCTCGTACACCATCTTCATTGCGCCTTTTCTCGTCTCAGTTCATTCAACCTCGTCGCATTACTTCTCCACCTACTCTCTCTCAATCTCGGCGCATCCTTCCTCCCACATGCCGACAAAACTCCACATCCTCACGCCCTCTGACCGAGGATCCCACCGACAGGACCGAGAGCGATGCCGATCGTCAGAGGAGAAACGAAGAACGCCGCAGAAATGAAGAAGCATATCAAATTGTTTTCACCTGCAAGCCATGTGGCGAGCGCTCTTCACATCGCATGTCGAAGCAGGGCTACCACCGCGGCACAGTCCTCATCCAGTGTCCTTCTTGCGACAACCGCCATGTTATGAGTGATCATTTGGGCATCTTCTTCGATAAGAGGACTACACTTGAGGATCTGTTGAAAGAAAAGGGCCAGACTTTGACTCATGGACACACCGATGGCAACTTGGAGTTCTGGGAGGACGGCACTGTCAAGAGCTTCGGTCTTGATGGAAAGCAGCTATTGGACTCTTCCAATGAGAAGGATTCTTGAAAGGGTCTTAGTGGTAGCCCCATTTTATCGTGTCTAGTGCACAAGACAGACCCGATTGACTCGGATTGTTCTTAGTGCTGGAGGCGACTGTCTATATTACTACTCCCCACTCTTGCATGGCGGGCTCCTGGCATCGATGAGGAAGAAAAAGGATATTAATTTGCATGGCGTATACAGGGGGATGTCTTTATCTATCGGGAATTTCATGATCATGTAACATAGTTGATACTGTACAATAGAATCTGCCTCTCAAGGCCATATACCAACTTCATACGTTTATAAATGGACAATGTTATTGACACGACAAAAAAATTCACGGCACGACAGAGCTAGTCCTAATTAGGAACGTACCCCCCAGATACAAAATGCTACCTTCGACATCCACATAATAATTGCCAAGCCCTTATGTATGCATATTCCTATACATAAGCGCTTCCCGCGGATGCTCTAGTGTCGTCAGCGGTCATACCCGCCTCTATCACATGACCTCTATTTGTTTATCTCCATGACATACCAAGTCGGCTTCCTAACCCACTTCCTACCATCACCCTTTTCTAAGGCTATTTTACAACCACCTAATTCATCTAAACATGCAGGGATTTGAAGCAGAAGCAATTTCAAATTTCAGAGGCTAATTAATATATTATCTAGATCGATTTCACCCTCATACACGCCCTTCCCGCCCAATCCGCGCAGTACGCTTCCTAACAACCTCGAAACCAGAAGGATCTCGCTTGGTAGATCGGTCTAATCGATTTGACCGGCGGGTGGCTTTCTTGGTGGTCTTCAAGTTGCTAGCTTTAGTGGTTTTTAAGTTATTAGCTTTGGTGGTTTTCAAGTTGTTAGCTTTGGTGGTTTTCAAGTTGTTAGCTTTGGTGGTTTTCAAGTTGTTGGCTTTAGTGGTCTTTAGCTGTTTCTTTGCTGCCGTGGCATCAGCAGTCTCCTTCGCTGCTAATATAATGGGGTCTTTTCGAGCATAGTTAGCTCGCCCGGGGGGCGCCCTGTAGCTTTCGCGATTGCTAGCTCCTTAACTTGAAGCACACTTTGTATGTAAAGTGGCTGGTAATCGTCTTTAATTAAAGTAAGGAGCTACCACTAGCGATGGAACTGATCCCTTTCGAGAGGCAGATTGCCTTCAATAGCCACCAAAATCTCATGGATGCATAGTAAACTAAGTGCCTGCCGATAGTAATTAGTGCAATCGACCATCTCCAATTCCTTCTTCCTATATATATCTAGTTACCTAGCAACCGATTGAAGGGCTTTCCGGTGCACCCAACTAAGAACCTTACGAAACAGGGGCGTAAGGAGGTTCCCTAGTAGCTTCTCACGCTCCTCCGCAATCGATTAGTTGATGGTAATATAGCGAGCACTAACCGTAGTTCGAATCCCACACATAACAGTGTAGAGGTCGCCAACTAAATACTTAATGAATCTCTTTAAATAGGCATAGGCCCCTTCCACTCGCGAGGATGAAGTTTCGCCGAAATGGAAGGTGTTATTAGTATAACAGCGGAGAAAGCGTTGCTACATACCATCCTTCATCCATTAATTCGAGATATAGTTAATTGCCTCTGTGAAAACCTAGTGCTTATAGTACTTCTTAAAGCTCTTCTAAGCAGTCTCCATCTCTGCTATTATAGGTGCAAAGATGACTTTATTGAAGAGGTCCTTTACAGAATTCCATCGCCCGTTGATATCGTCTCGAATGTCCCCTTCCTTCTTAAGATAGATAAGAAGATACTAGGCAATCTTCGGCCGCAGTCTCTTCTCAATATTCTTCTGGATATACCATATACAAAGCAGGGAGGTTGTATTTAGAAAGGCCGTTGCTATAGCAGCCAGGAGACTCTCTACATCGTCAGAGAATATAGTTGTTAGAAAGGGGATTTGGTGCTTAATAAGTTGATCCCGAAGGATCTCCAGAACCCACCGATATGCACCCTCTTGCTTATCCGATATAAAAGCGCAGGCAATATAGAAGGTTTTCCCATTAGCTAACCTTCTAACAATATTAACCATAGGCATATTGAACCGATTAGTCTTATATATGGCATCAATCCAAAGGAGAGAGGAAAATCGAGCGAGAAGGTCGAGGCCCGAATAAGATACGCAGAGTATGTGTTAGACCCGGCTTTCTCCCCCTCGGTCTCCTTATAAAAGACGTCCCAGCCCGGCAGCCCTATCAGGAGGGCCGAAGTAGGCGTACGTCCCCTAAGAAACCGCTTCCGTGCACGATAGCGAAGGTTCGCCAAGTCTCTTAGGTTGAGGTAAATACGGGATTGGTATGGGTCTTCTACATTAACTTCGGCCTTACTATAAGCTCCCTCTTACCGTAGGATACTAATAACTTCGAGGTTCGAATGCCTTAGCATAAATAGTTAAATTACCCACTCCTGGGTCTCCTTCATCTGCTAGCGCCGGTGAATTAGGTGTATTACAGGTGCAGAAGCCGTGTGGCCAGTATGAGAGCCCTTCTTAACGGTGAAGAGCCAGCCGTTAGTTTCCTTCTTAAGGTAGGCAGAGAAGTGGCAACCGCAGCGGCGAGAGGTAGTCTAGCGGGTGGTTTTAGAAGGATACTTCCTAGGCTAGCCACCCCGATCGCACTAGAGGGTAACCGACCGATCGTTCGAATTCGCAGTGGTAATGGCGTATCCTTGGTGAGAGGCAAATTGGTTAAGGATAGCCCGGGCTTCCTGGCTAGTTTCGACCTCGATTAGCCAGTTGTTCGGCGGTGGTTGAAGAGCCATGTTGAATTAGTAGGAGTTGAATTGGTAGGAGTTGAATTGGTAGGAGTTGAATTAGTAGGAGTTGAATTGGTAGGAGTTGAATTAGTAGGAAGCGAATTAGAAAGAGATATCGGCCCTAAGGAGAGAATCAATTAGCCATTGAATATAAAACTTGGTGGTAGGAAGGGGGTTAGTATGTAGGAATGAGTTTGGAATACCGACCTGGTATGTCATGGAGATAAACAAATAGAGGTCATGTGATAGAGGCGGGTATGACCGCTGACGACACTAGAGCATCCGCGGGAAGCGCTTATGTATGGGAATATACATACATAAGGGCTTAGCAATTATTATGTGGATGTCGAAGGTAGCATTTTGTATCTAGGGGGTACGTTCCTAATTAGGACTAGCTCTGTCGTGCCGTGAATTTTTTTGTCGTGTCAATAACATTGTCCTTATAAATAAGGAGATGCTTTCATGATTTCAGTACAAAAGACATTGCGTACTGCGAACAGCTTCTGCTCCTCCAGTCCGTCCCACTTATTCTATCAATGAAAGAAGATGATAACAGTGTCAATCGTTCTAGACTCGTATTGTCTAATCACAAATATCACAAATATCCCCATTTGTAAGATTGTTTGTCTCTGATGCTTTATTCATTAAATTCATAAAATGTCCCCTACTCGTGTCTCCCCTACTCGGTTCCGTGTCCAATATGCCTCTATATGGAAGCATCATCATCTACCTACTTGAACCACCCAAAAACATGACCAAGTAGGCCTCAAAAGAACAAAAAATTGACCGACGCAGGGGTCGAACCTGCAATCTCTTGATTCGTAGTCAAGCGCCTTGCCATTGGGCCAGCCGGCCGTATCCTGTTACTTGACCAGTAGGCCAAGTCGTACTGGACGATGTAAGAGAGAGCCAGAATGTGCGTTATGAAGTCAAAAAAGTCTGCAGGCAAAAGTAAGGCTCTCATTGGTTGAGCTGCCTCGGTATGGCGTCTTGGGATCCATAATGGACCCTCTCTAGTGGGTCAGAAATTTTTTCTTCGACTCCACTGCGGAATTGGAGGATTCGGGATCGGACGAAAACGGCATGGGATGGAATAGATCACCGTTTTGTCTGAATTCCTAGTAGGCAGCCTTTGGTTTAATTCTATTATAGAGCTATATACTATTCAGCCTATACTTCCCCTAGAGCTAAATATACGGAATATTACAGATCAACGAAGCTTAGGGTAGTCTAGTCTAATAGGCTGAATGGCATACTATGTATTGGCCATGATATATATGGTTTTAGACTTATCTAGGAACATGTCATTCTAAACAGAAAGGGCTAAGGAGTATCTAGTACCATCTGATTTTATTAAAATCTTCACAAGCCAGTAGAACACTTTGATTCGCTTTCAAACACATATCGAAGACGCAGAATCAATGACGTAGCCTAACTGGCCGGCCGTGATCACAACACTGTTTCTTTCCGTTCGGCTCTCCCTCTACTCAAGGAAGCCCCGAAGGCGGCCTAGGGGTTTATCTAGGTAAACTACGGACATTTTACGAGAAATAACTATATATTTATTCAACAACAGACAGCTCTCGGCCTACACCGGATTCCGATCGCTCTTTTCATGAAAATACCGAATAGTCCGAGCCATCCATACTAATATATATTGCCGCCCATTCTCCAATAATCACGGCTAGTAATCCGCCCAATTAACCCCGTTTACGAACCAGCCATCAAGATGGTCACCTTACACATTGCGTATACCGAGCCAGTCAACGGTAATGATTCAGATGGTCTAATCCTAACTCGAGAAGATGTCTGGAATGGTCTCAAACTAAAGGCCCGACGCCCGGAAGTTTTCATACCTTCTTTCGACAATTCACGAGTCATAGAAGAAAGAGAGAACGGCAACGTCATCATCAGAGAGGCGCATGTTGCGGCTGACCTCCATGAATCTCCTATGGCCGGAAAATGGGTCAGGGAGGAATGTAGGCTGCACGAACCCATTGGAGTAAGTTTCGCGACCCGAGACCTTGATTATTGGTCGCCGATCTAGTTTATCTGATTAGGAAGCAGATATATTTTACGTTACCTGGGGGCTCGATAGTACAAAACATCATCTCGGAGGGGCCGAATAAGAGCCTGTTTCTGACGTTCACGTACGATTGGAACTTGCCTGATATTGAGCCTGGGACGCCTGAGGCTAAGAAAGCCGAGAGTGATCATATGAAAATAGCGGTGTCATCTGTTCAAGGGACTATTCGAGCGCTGAGAAGAATGGCTACGGAGAAATCAGATTGTTCATAGCGGAACCCACCTGCCAGCTGGCAGTATATATCATGTCCTAGAAAGACTACTGGAAAGTGGTTTGAGTTGTTGGTTCAAACTGCATATTTCTGCTTCCCCTGCTTTAAGGTGAAATGATCAGTAATTACCAATCAAGCCGCTTCTCTCGACGTTCCCGCTTTGTTCTTTATAATCGTCCAACAATAGACTTTGTTAGTGTATCATACGGCCGAGAATGGGTGGCCTTAACGGTCTTATGGATCGCGACTCCACTGGCATCAGCCGAATAACCACTTTCCCTAGAGCGTGGAATATAACATTCAATAAATCATCCATTGTGTAATATTTTTCGACCATATCATATTTTCTTACTCTATCACACATTTCTGGAGCTCTATCTTGTCTATACCTGAGAACAATGTCAACCACGGCCACATCCCCGGGTGAATATCTGCTACCTCGACACGCAGCTGAAAGAGAGAGGTGAGTTGCCATCAAATACTGTACAACCTACAACTAAATGACACATATATCTAAATACTATCATAGGCTAGAAAAGCAATTCAAGGCTTGGCAGGCTAACATCGGGTACCTACTACACCCTGCCATCACACAGCATGATCGCATGCGCGTCGCAGATGTCGGGACAGGCACTGGGTTAGTATAGTCGCAAGCCTATAGGTGCAACATACTTTTATCTGGGGCGATCGCTGAATTCATGATGAAGTATATGGTTACTTCAACTCGCAGATGTCCTCCCAAGCTCCTGTCAACTAGACGGATTCGACATCTCCGATGCCCTACTTCCCGAGAAATCAACCTTGCCAGAAAACATCACTTTCTATCTTCAAAACTTCCTTCAGCCGTTTCCAGAGCAATTTCTCGGGAAATATGACGTTGTCAATGTTCGAGTGATGGTAGTCGCCCTGTCCTCTGATGAGTGGGAACCTGCGGTCCGGAATTTAATGACCCTATTGCGTATGAAAACACAATCTTTTGGCCTCGTTTGATTTAAAAATGTGATCTAATGGCCAGATAGGTCCCGGTGGTCATCTGCAATGGGTTGACTGCGCAGCCCATGAGTGCATCGTGAAAGCACCCGAGGGAACCAATCCTGTCAACGCCAATCGTGGTATGGATTTATTCCGGAAGACTATGAATTCGCTTGGAAAGACACCAGTGTAAGTCTCGCCATTCCAAACCTGAATAAGCAACCAAATTAACGAGTATAGTATTGCTTCGCTGCATGGAATTTTTGAGAAAAGTGGACTTGACTCTTGTGAAGAGCAAATCATTACTCTTACAAACCCCGAGGTTCGGGGCAGTCTTAACCTGACAGTTGCTAATGCGATAGCGCATAGTCTTACGGCTGCTTTCAAGTCACACAAGTTGGAAGATATACAATCCGAAGATGAAATTGTGGAATTGGAAAGGGGCATGCTGGATGACCTCCGCACTACTCATTGCTACTTTTGCTATGACGTTCACGTTGTAATCGGGCGAAAGCCTTGATATGGCGGTCTGTTGTTCATCAGGATATAGCTCCTGTTCAGATAATATTACAATTGAAACGCTGTGAATGCACCCGACATGAATGGTGATGCGTAATTTGCGGGCCTTGATTCAAGTTTCCCCTATACCTTCTGGATAACGTGCCGTGCAAATATAGCTCCTAGAACTGAAAGATTACCTTGGGAAATAGATAGTATCTCAAATTGAATTGTAGGAATCTGTACATGAATGAATTCTTCCAGGTATATACTCGAAAATAACCAGGACTCATGCCTCTAAACGCCAATTTTTGGATGCCAGAAAAAAAATCATAAAACCTATAAATGCAACATCCAACCCCCACTTTACTTTTACCAACCACGTCTCTTGCCGCGGTGCTCCAAGCCCTTCTCGTGGCGCTTGACTCTCTTCCGCTCATTCTTCCTCCTCTTATCACGCTCGAAGCGCTCAGGATCAGCAACGGCGTCAATACGGCGCTTGACACGGCGGCCTTCACGACGTTCCTTGATTTGATCTTGGACCTTGGTCATCTCGGCGATGTACTCGGTGGTGCCAAACTTCTTCTGCAGCGAGTCCAGGACCTCGTGGCAGTTCGAGACCAGGGCCTTGTAGGTATTCTGGAAGTTCTCGTCCGAAGAGCGGGGCGTGGGAATGGACGGGTCGGTCAGGTGCTGCAGCGGTAGGAGAATGACGGGCAGAGATGGGAGGATTTGTTCAGCCTCAAGATGGCGGATGAGGGCGGCGAGGAGAGCGATGGAGGCAGTCTTCGGGACCAGGACATTGGGTCTGGTTGAGATAACCTCCCGGCGCAGCAGTGACGAAATCTGCGAGAAGATGTAGCGAATGGCAGATTGCTTTGACTGTGTGCCATTCGTCTTGTTGTCTTCGCCGTTGACTTGGCTTCCGGCATCTTCATCCTCGTCCTCATCTTCAGATTCGGCTTCCTCGGCGGCCTCGGCTTCGGTCTTTTGGAATTCCAGACCGTTCTGCGCACAGCATCGACCAAGGAAGACCAGGTTACGGACACTCTGCATAGCCAGTTCCTCGGAGATGCCTGGGGTGCGAAGAGACCGCAGACTAGCCCGGAGCAGTTTGAGCATTGATTCTTTGTCCAGGATGAGGCCAGAGCTGCAAGCCAAGGGAATCTCGCTGTATCCGGTGGCAGCATGTGTTTTCGCCACATCAGCCAGCCACATGCCAACGAGGTTTGCAGCGCAGGTCTTGACCCATGCGTGAGTGAAGAAAAGCGACTCTTGAATAGCGACCCAAATGGAGGTACAACCGGGGCTCAGGCCAAGACTTGGGTTCGTCTTGCAGAGCTTGGTGAAGAGCTGCAATGCGAAGTAGAGAGTCTCCCAGTTTCCGTTCTCCTGATCATCAAGGACGGACTGCATCAAGTCTGGAAGAATGCTGGTAACGAAGCGTCCCTCCTTCTCCTTTTCAGTCTCCTCAGCCTCAAAGTAGATCCGCATGGCCTGCAAGCCGATACTACCCAAAGCCATGTTGTCGGTCTGCTCCAACCAAGAGTGAAGGGGAGTCAGAATAGTCTTCATCTGTTCCTTGTTTGCTCGGCTGTAGAACTGTCCCAGCAATGCACCCGCCATTTCACGGCATTCTGAGGAGTCGTCATTGGCCATAGCAAGAACAACGGGCAGGAAGAAGGTGCTGACGATATCCTGAGCCATCTCGTCACCCGTTTTCGACAAGAGCAAATGGATTGCCTCCAATACAGATTGCCGTCCTTCTTGGTGCTTGTAGTCCAAGTTCTTGGCGAGGAATCCCAGCTGCTTCGCCCATCGGCTCTTGGCTTGCGGATACTCGATGAGGAAGTGGATGTAAGTACCCCGTGCCAGGTCGCGTGCAGAACGAGTCTGATTGGTGACCATCATGGTAGCAATGTTGTCGACCAGCTCGTACATTTCAGGAACAACGAACTTGCGCGACATGACCGCTCGGATGAAATTGAACGTCACACCTTGACGGTCAGGCTCCTCGATATCGGCCGTCAGACGCTGGAGCAGATAGGCAAGGTGTCCATCACGAAGCTTGGTGCTCTTTCGCTCACGGATCATGGAAGAGATCAGCTTCAGCGAAGCTTGAGAAGCCTCGGTGTTGGTGCTTGTTGACTCCTTAATCATCTTCACGGCCTCCGTCAAGTATACATGTGAGTTATTATCAATCTCGGGTAGCGGGAGCTTGATAATCGTGGAAAGCAGGCGTAGAGCAGAGATCTTGACTTCTTCCTGGGCTTGCACAAGCGCATCACCAATAATGGGCAGGAATCCAGAGAGGTTGGCTGCAGTCAGGAGCGAGCTGAACTTGTTCAAGATGGCGCGCAGAATGTCAAGCGCAAACCGAGTCAACTTGTAAACGTGGGATGAAGTCGTGCCACGCTTCTCGCCACGCTTGCCTCCTTGCAACTTGACCAGGAAACGTTCCTCCCTCTCCGACCGGGCCGTAGCCTGAGCGGTAGCTGGGGCCTTGTCCTGGTAAGACTCCTTGATGATCTCGTAGCAGAACACCAAGATCTCCCGGCTCTCAGCAAGAGGGTTCCTTAGAAGACCAATGCCAATTCGTCGCATGAGCTCATCAAGCTTCTTGACAATGTTGGAGTTGAGTTTCTCCCGTAGCAGTGATTGGAGCGGGCGAACGAGGCTCGCCAGGTGGCGGATAGTGGCATTCTTAGCAAGAAGCTCCATGGAGTCGTAACTCTTGTTGCTCTTGACCTCCTTCATTTTGCTGACATAGTCTTCAGCATCCTTCTCCTGACCAACCGTGCCGAAGGTGTCGTCCATGACAACGGCAACCAGGTCTTCCAAACAGTAGTCCAAGTCGCCTTGTTTGAAGTGATCCGTAGTCACGACGAGCATGGAATGGACAGTGAAGGAGAGGACATGCAGTTGATAACCGCGGAGAAGAGTGTTGCGCAGCTCCTTCAGAATGTAGCCAAAGTAAACCGGGCCGAGCAAGAGGGCAATGTCATTCAGAGTCTTTCGTGCAGTGTCTCGAGAATCTTGAGCTTTACTCTTCAGAGTACTACAAACATCCAGGAGGACGGCGGGGAGACGGATAGCCATCTCCTGCTCGGGAAGAATCTTGAGCAGCTTGATTGTCGTGACTGAGGCGGGCAGACGCAAACTCATTTCAGTCTCCTGCTTGTGATGAATGAAGTTGGTCAAGAAGGGAATAAAGTTGGTTGTCAGCTCCGTCGAGACCTTTTCAAGAGATGGCAGTGTCTTAGCGAGCCTGCATTGAGTTTCCTCGGACACGTCCATCTTGTCAGCATCTTCAGGGGCATCGCCATTGACTTCGTCACTGGTGGTCTTCTTCTGATCCATCGCGCTAGACAGAGCATCAGACATGCGACCCAGGAGTCTGAGAATGTTCTTCTCCATCTCAGATTTACTCTGCATGTAGCTGCGATATCTGCGGAAATTGGCACGGAACTGACTCCAATCCAGCCACTCTGCCAGAGACCCAATGGTGGCCACAGCCTCGGCGATCAAATTATGACCACTCTCATCTTCGGCTTCGTCAAAAGCAAAGTGCTCGATGAGAGGCATGAAAATGGTGCCCAGGTTCGTGGACTCGATATTTCCTTTGCCAGCCTCTGCAGCAAGTCGACGCAAAGCGCGCAGCCGACGATGCTGCTGGACGTGGAGGATGTTGTTGAAGAAAGATGCTTCATCGTCATCGCCAACTAGAAGGACATGCATATCCTGCACAGAAGGCCTGGTGGGATTGAGCTTGATAAAGTAACCGAGGACGGCAACAATCTCAGACCGGATCAGTTCGGACTTCTGACGAATTCCGTACTTCAACGACGAGAGGAGAACATCATTGACAAGAGCCTCGAAACCTTCGTCGCATGCTTCGCTTGCTGCTCTCTCGATGAAACGCTTCAGACCAAAAGCGGCGCTTGATCGGATAGCGAGCTCGTCTTCATCCTTGACGTGGAAGAGCATGTTGAAGAGGAGAGGTCTCCACTGCTTGGCATTGAGAGATTGAGACAACTCATCGTTGATCTTTCTGAAAGCCTGGAGGCGACGCTCGTAGTCCGGGCCAAGCCTCTTTGCTGAGCGAGAGTTCAAATCAGCGCAAAGTTCAGCGACTTGACTGAGTTGTTGATCGTGCGTAGCAAGAGCAGTGAAAACTCTGGCCAAGACCTCTCTGTTCGCGTCGTCCTTAAAGTAGTCGAACATGGACGACACTGCCTCGAAGACTTGTTGAGAGAGCTCCTTATCGTCCTTGGGGCTCCACAAAGGAAGGAAGTGCTCGAGAATCCGCAAAAGCCCAGACTTGGTCTTGGGGTTGACACGGTCTGGAGGCTGACGAAGCAGGTAGGTTGCGATACTGATGAGACTGGAGGTCTCACCAGAGGATTCAACACAGGGTGCGGTCAGAGACAGAGCAGTAACACCCGAGAACAGAACAGGCTTCGAGGGACCTCTCTTTAGAAGGCGGCCTAGGTGAGAGAGGGCATGCTCGAGGCAAGGGGAGAGAACCTCGAAGCGAATCTGCTCCGGTGGGAAATCCGGCATTTTTTCGTCTTCGTCTTCACCATCATCCTTAAGCTTGATGCCACTAGCCAACTTAACCAAAGGCACGAGAACTTCGTCCAAGACGAAGATCTTCACCTCATCACGAGCGGATTCAACGGCAAGGACGTCGATGACCTTGGTCAAAACGTCCTTGTTGTGGTTCACCAGGTAGAAAGTCGATCGCGGAGCAGAAGCCCAAGTATGGAACAGACGAAGCAGTCCAGAAACACCCTGTGCGGTCTCGATAGGGAACTGCTCCAATCTGTTGTCGATAAGCTCCCGGAAGATGATCTTGACGTATGAAGTCCAATCTTGATCGGAAGAGACAGAGAAGACCAAGCTCAAGCATCGGATGCAGGATTGGCGAATGTTCTGGAACATGGACAGAGAGCGCTCGTCTTGGCGATCGATGTATAGAGCGCTCTTCTCATCGTAAAGAGATCTGCATGCTCGTACCAAGCAGTATATGATCACATTCATAGCCTGAGTGGTGTAGGCAGTCATACGGCTCTGGAGGGTGTCGAAAACGGTATCGATCATTTTGAGCAGACCAAGCTGTCGTCTTGGGCTTGTCAATTCCTCCAAGAACGCCTTTTCATCGGTCTCTGCGTCGCTAGTAATGGCAACCTCGGCAAGGGGGCCGAACGAGATGTTGATGAAAAGTCTGAAGTCATCCTCCGAAAGATGCGAAAGGGTACGCAGAATAGCCTTGCGGCGGCCAGATTGGCCAGCTTGAGTCGAGCTAGCACCCGCCTTGGAGATCATGCGACCATAAAGCAGCCGAAGAAGCACTGGCATCAGAATTTGACGGTGCTCCTGCTCGATCAGGCTGTCTTCACCACCAACACGAACAAAGACCATCAGCTCGTCCTTGAATCTGGACTCATCCAGGATGTTGAGCAAGTTCTCTTGGTAGGGGGTGACATGGGCATTCTTCCAGGTAAAGAGAGCTTTGAGGGCAGCTTTCTGAATCTCCGAGTTACCGTGACAAAGCAGACCCATAACAGCTTCATGGACTTCTGAAGCCCTGTATAGAACCTTGGGGTTCAAGAACTGGCCAAACAGGGCAAGCATAGATAAACGGTCCTTGAATCCCCATCGGATTGGCGCCTCAGAGTCGTCAGCTTCAGTCTTGGCATCATTTCCAGGAGCGTCATCCTGATCATCACGAAGAGCCCAAGACAAAAACAGCGGGACGATCTGACGAGATCGCTTCTCGGCAACGTTGGGAGCAGCGTTCAGCACTTGCAGGGCATGGTTTCGAGGCAAAGCAGGAACAAGATCAGCAATTTTGTGTTCCTTCTCGAATTGCTGGGAGAGGGTGATCGATGGAGATTGAGCAACGGTCCAGTTGGTTCCGACAGTGCGCTCAATGTTGTTGACGTTGAAACACTCATAATCACTGGCGACGAAGTTGTTATCTTTCTCATCCTCCGGCTCCTCGTCTCCAGCAGTGTCAGAGTCCCGCTCCTGCAACCACTGGATAGACAAATCGGAGACAATCTTCTCTCCTTCCGGGTGCTCGCTGATAGTCTTCAAGGCCGCAGCAGAATCATCCCACAGGGGGGCCAGCTTCTTAGAGAACAGACCAAAGCAGAAGTACGGAATCAAAGTGGCCATCCATTTGCGCGAAGCAATTTGTGGGTAGAGAAGCGCCAGTTTACGGACATGCATCTGGACTGTTCTCGCGCTCTGCAAAGTCAGGGGAGTTTCTTCCACCTCGATGGCAAGCGCGACTGCCGAGTGGTCTTCCTTGGCATATTGAACGATCAATTGCTGTAGGATATGAAGAGAAACGAACCTAAGTCGATGAGACGGGCCGGCCAAATTGAGAATCAGACTGGAAGCGAACTCATCCACTGAAGCGGTCTCGGGTTCTGCGTCTTGCCTCTGCACAGCACACATGAATGCAAGAACGCCTTCCAGGAAGAGGGGCAGTCGTGAAAATTTGGTGGAAGCAGCGAGGATAGGCTGCCAAAGGCTCGAATCAAGCTCTCCGGCCTCTTTTGCCAGCTCGACATAGGTTTTGAACCCTTGGCCAAGATAGAATGTAAGCCCATCAATCTTCTCGCTATCGGTCTCAGAGGCAGCATCTTTCATTGCGGACAGAATATTCTCGTGCAACTTCTTGACAATCTTTGACAAGGTGGCCGGGTCTGCAAATAGAGAAATCGCCTTTGGAAGTTTCACCAAAGCATTCAAAATGCTCTGATCCTTGGCAGGATAGACCAAGGAGTCGTAGATACGGGTCTTTAGACCATCAGGACAGGACACATAACCTGGCCTTGATACCTCGGGGGTGATGCATCCAGTCTCGTGGAGTTTGAGAAGAGCCATGCACATCTCGAATTCATGCTCTTTCCAGGATGAGTTGATGAACTTTTGGAAGTAAGGTACCAGCAAACTTTGGAACCGCTCAGAACCCCACTCTGAAAATGTGGTACAGAAGAACAGGAAATACTTTGACAGGGGTCCGGTTGAGACGAGGTCCATGAAGGAGCGCATGAACGGCAGCATCTCGTCCATTGGTGACAGCTGAAGAGCATATGCCACAGCTCCAAGTAGCTGAGGGATTGCTTCCGAGTGATCATCAGGGCTTGCAGCGGCCTGTTTGAGGAGCGACACGAGCGTTTGATGAACCGCCTTCCAATCTCTAATTCTGGAGGCCTTGCGAGTTGCCACACAAACGAATATAAGGCGACAGCATTGGGGGAAGTTAGAATTTCGACCCTCTTTTGAGCGAATCTCAATATACTCCTTGACGGTATCAATGATAGGTCCAAATGTATCCGGAGTGGTGTGGTGAATGAGGTTGATCACGACTCCAGAGGCAACCTCTGCAGGGACCCGGTTGTTTGCTGTTGTTGAAGGAACTTGGTCCAAGACACAGCGAAGCACGTCAACTCCATTAGAGTGGAGACCGTGGTTGACGCCCTTGATAGCATCTGCAAACATGACCATCAGACCCTCCTTATATGAGTCGATACTCTTCCCCTCCTCGACAGTTTGTGTGACATCTTCGAAGAGGAAGGAGACAGCGTTTTCGAGTGGTGTCTTGTTCTTGTAGTAGACAAGGCCGGCTTTGCGGATCAGGAAGGACATGGACTCGGCGGCGAACCGAGCAACGAATGGCTTTTGTCGCTCCTTGCCAAGATAAGGAGTCATAATTTTGAGCAGTTGGCGTAGATCTGGCACCAACAAACGAGACAGGAATTTGAAGATCCATGCCAGGCAAGTGAAGCTCCATTCGACGACCTCGACATCGGGATGTGTAGCTGCGACAGATGCGACCAGAGTCACGGAGGTGGCAAAGTGCTTCTCAAAGCGAACTCCTAGATCTCTGGCAAATTGTGCAAGCAAGCTCAGCAGCGGCTCCAAGGAGTTCTGGTCTCGTTTCTCAATAAATTCCACCAGCAAGCCCATAATCTTCTCTTCGTGGTATACAATCTGGGCGAGACTCTCGGAAAGGGCATTGACACGGCGAGTGAATTGTGTAAAATTGTCTGACAGGTTCATATCAACCCAGTGGTCAAGGGCCGACCGGAAGTAAGACGTTGTTTCGCCTTCATCTTCACCAAAGCTTGCCCGGCGCACTCGGTGGATCGGATCGATTTTGAGCTTTGCGATACGTTGTGAAAAGCCCTCGAATCGGTGTGTTTTGGTAGTTTCGGTGCCACCTTTCAAGCGCCTGGTGGGCTTGGCTCGTGAGCCTTGCGCTACCATCTTGAAGATTGCGACAGGTAGCGCTGCTGACGAGAAAGGTACTCGGGGAACTTTTTCTCAACCCGCATCGAATACAAAAAAAGTTGAACGGTATCCGGCTCCACTTTGTTCCGCTGGGGAGATTCACAGCATCACGCTAGCCTGATATAGACTAGTGTGGTCACGGGGTGGCCCGAGCTCCCGTTTTCCAGAAGAGCGCCGCATCCTTGCAGCTTCATTATCATTTCTGCTTCTAGCAACTCTCACCACGGCTGCAGCGCGACGATTACTAAGATTCTGTCAATTTTCTACAGCTGAGTCCACCAGTTCTGTGCGAAGTCTGTGTTGTTGATTTCAGGCTGGCGCTCAGGCCTGAGCACGGCTTTTTATTCCCCAGCCATGGCTTCCAAGATGTAAGACCTCCCATGGCGCAGTTATAGCGCAAACAATCTGACCATGAAAATAGTATCGTCATTGGCAGCCCTAACTGTCAGCTACAGGCAGTGTTTACCAAACTGGCAAAGTTGCATACGAAACAGAATTTCGCGTTTGCAATCATTGTCGGCAACCTCTTTGGTGACTGCTCCACGGAAGCTGAGCTAAATGAGATCTCGGCTCTTTTGCAGGGAAACATCCATGTTCCTCTGACAACTTACTTCACCGTGGGAAGCCGACCGCTCCCTACTAGAATTGTGGAGAAGATCGAGGCAGATGATGAAGTCTGCCCTAATCTCTACTTCCTCGGGAAGCGAGGTATTCTCAAGACGGCCGAGGGCATTCGCATTGCCGCCCTCGGAGGTCAACTAGACCAGTCAGGATCTTCCAAATCCAAGCCCGAGACCAATGCCAGTGGAAAGTTCCAATCAACATACACCGAGTCTGACGCTCGCGCCCTCTACGGCATGCACAATGCGGACATTCTAATCACGAATCAATGGCCCAAGGATATCCGCTTTGGCTCCAAAGCTGCCGTGCCAGAGGATTACAACTCGATCTCGTCCGAGGTACAAATCATCTCGGACGTGTGCGCCACACTCAGGCCACGTTATCACTTTTCCGCATCCGACTCGTTCTTCTACGAGCGAGAGGCTTTCTTCCACATGCCAACGGAAGACAGCCCCGACACCAAGCCGATGACTCGCTTCATCTCCATGGCTTCATTCGACTCTAAGCAGAAAGCTCTCTACGCATTCTCGTTAGACCCCTCTGCCACGGCCCCTCTCACCATTCCCGCGGGTGTAACCGCCTCCCCTCTCTCAGCACCTCAAGCCAAGCGCAAGAATCTCCCTAGCCAAAAGGAATCATTCCAACGTTTTGCCACCCACGACAGCCACCACGGCTCTTCCCACAATCAGCACCGCGGAAAGCGACAGCAGCGTGAACCACCCCCAGGACCGGATAGATGTTTCTTCTGTCTATCCAACCCCAACATCGCCACGCACCTCATCACCTCCATCGGCGACCAAAGCTACCTTACAACCGCCAAGGGACCTCTGCCCCCAGTCAACTTCTTCCCCTCTCTCGGGTTCCCAGGTCACATGCTCATCATCCCATTCGAGCATACCCCAACCCTAGGCTCAATTCCAGACCCGGCTACTCGCTCAAGCACATACATCGAGATGGTCCGCTTCAACGCTGCGCTACGTCACATGGTCAGCGACCGCTCATCCGGACAACTCGGCGCCGTGACATGGGAAGTCAGCCGGGCCGGCGGCATCCACACCCACTGGCAATTCCTCCCCGTCCCAATGGACCTAATCAAAGAAGGCCTAGTCGAACTCGCCTTCAAGGTCGAAGCCGAAAACCTAAATTACCCCCGCTTCTCAGGTCTCGCAATAGCCCAGTCCGACGGTGCCGCCGACGTCGAACCCGAGAGCGGGAATGCCCTAGGCGAGCGGGGCGATTACTTCCGCGTATCGATCTGGAGTGCAGGCAGCGAAGACGAGGAGAAGGAGTCTAATGGTGACGCCGACGCCGATGCGAGCAAGACTCGACCGCCCGGATCGGAGAAAGTCCTAACGCTAGAGCTGAACCCGGATTTCAAATTCGATTTGCAATTTGGTCGCCGCGTTATGGCCAAGCTGCTGCAGTTGGATAAGCGGATGAACTGGAAGGATGCGACGCAGTCGCAGGCGGAAGAAGAGGCTGACGCGAATGCGTTTAAGGAGGCATTTAAAACGTATGATTTCTCGTTGGAGTAGGCGCAGTGTATGAGGGACGTGACTAGTCCTCTCTTTCGAGGAGAGACGTCGAGAGGTCGGATTATTCCCGTCTAACATCTAAGAGAGTGAACACTGCGTTCGGCAGAAAATGTACAATAGAACCAATCTAGGCAATGTTAATGAGTATATGTCCAAGCGCTACCCTTCCTTTACTTTCCAATTACTTCATCGTAAAGAGTATACTTGTAATTCCGTAAGAATTTTCATTTGATGAGATTCATCCTATCCCCAATAACCAGATAAACTCGAAACTCCCCAGAGCACGAGGGAAATCATATACACGGCATGGCGCATGCAGCACAATACAGGAATAAGTCAAATCTGAGAAGAACGAGTGACTCCGATGCAAGCCCGATTCCAAAGACAGGAAGGGAATATGAGAGAAGAAGAGGCCACAACGACAGAACGAACCACAAACAGAGAAAAAAAAACAAGACAATCATGGTATCAAAAGGAGCCTTTTCACATAAAACCCAACATGACAAACAGCGAAAAGAAATCGAAGAAGAAAATGTCCTAATCAAGAACACATAAAAGCCCCATAAAAAAAGGGATCTTTGAAGAAAATCAAAAAAAAAAAAATCAAAAAATCACCCTCATCTTATCTAAACATCCCTATACGTCCCCGGCGCAGGCCTCCTCCCACTCTGCAACAAACTGGGCGGCCTCTCCCTTCCAGGCTCACCACCAACCGCGACACCGACACCAGCCGCATACTCATGGGCCCCATACTCCGAGCCCGCGGTGGACTGGAACGGGGGTGGTGGAGAGGCTGGGTGCGAGGTATACGTTGGCGGGTACTGGCTCGATCCGAAGGAGGGTTGACGCTGGAAGCCCGCACCTGCGCGGGTGGTATGCGCATGCTCGGAGGAAGGCGAGTACGATGCCGGCATGGCGTTGTAGGTCGTGTTGTGTTGTTGGTAAGATGATACCGGCGATTGGGAAGTAACGGCGTGGTAGCCGCCAGCACCGGCGCCGTTGTGGTATTCGTCATACGACTGTTGCTGCTGGTGGTCGTAGCCTTGCTGGTTATAGTTGTGTTGGTCGTAGGGGGATGGTGCGCCGACGGGGGATGCAAGGCCCGGTGAACGGCGGGCGTAGGGGTCTTGCGCGGCGCCGTAGGCAGCTGCTGGACCCGGCGAGCGACGGCCATAGGGGTCCATCATGGCCTGGGGTCCTGGGGAGCGGCGCGCGTAGGGGTCTTGCGCGGCGTGGGCGGGGGCTGGCATGCCGGGTGAACGGCGCCCATATGGGTCTTGCGCTGCGGCGAGGGCAGCCGCTGGACCTGGGGAGCGACGCGCGTAGGGATCCGTTGGTGTGAACCCCCTGTATCCGGGGGCGGATGCGGTACGGTCTGATGGGTAATCCGAGAAGGAGGTTGCGACGTGCAGAGGCGAGGCACCTTGTTTCCTATCCGGATGGGTGTGCGGGTTTAGAGGTTCCATTTCCACGTCGTCGTGGTGTGATGGGTCCTCGACATGTTTATCGACGGCCGCGGCCCATGTGGGCATAGCTGGGAGGGCATCCTCGTCGATCTTTGCGCCGGGGGATTTGGGGTTATCGAAGGTTGCCGTTTGAACGGCGCCGCGGTAGACGGGGGGTGCGGGGGAGGGTGTATATGCGGTATGAGGGTTTGGTTGTGGAGGAGGGGGTTGTTGGTTGTAAGGGGTTGGCTCGTCGTAGTACTTTGGTTGCTTATTTTTGCGCCGACCAGAGGGACAACAGCATCCGCAGCAGCATTTACAGCATTGATAGCCACAGCAGAGACAATTGATGATGCATCCTAGAATACAGATGACAATGACGGAGCCGATGATGATGGCGACGATAACGGGCCATCTAAAGTGAGACATTGATCAGCATGGACACTCCACTCGAGGCGCGCAGCTCCAGTACGCACTCCTCCCACTCCAAGTAGAACTCACTTGCAGTATGCCTTTGACATACACTTGTCCCAACTCGAGAAGGTCGATTTCACAGAATCAACTTCACTCGAGACACTGCGCGCCCAAAACGTCGCCATATTCGCCGGACTCATAATGGAATAATCGTAGTTCTATCGCGCTAGAACGGCCGAAACATTCGAGTCGCAAGACACACGACTTGGTTATACGGACATTCGCAAGGGGCGGCGATCGCAAATCAGGCCAGACAAACACCGTTTGTATAGCAATGTCCCGCTCCGAAGACTCACGACGGCGGAAAGCGCATGCGATAAGAATGAAAATCGGACCCTGACAGACGCGAAAGGGTTCAGGCGGGGCGCAGCCCTGAGTTCGCAAGTGGGCTTTGGGTTATGCGGCGAAGCAAACGCCAACAACAGAAATAGAAGCAACGAATGGATACGGATAACTTTCAGGATGGACCAAGGTTCACGGTGACGAATCCCGACTCGAATGTCGCAGGCGATTTGAAACGAGCGAACCAGGCAGCAGAGAAAGGTGAACTGGTGAGCCCGAGCACGAATGAGGGGGCTGGAAATCGAAGTCAAATTCCAGTTTGACTCGAGACGAAAATAGTAGTTGAGTTTGCAAGGGCCGAAAACGAGCGATAGCCCTGCTGTGAGTTCTTGACCGTGAAGAGTAGAAAAGAAGAAGAAAAAAAGGAAGAGAAGGAGAAAAGCAGCCAAATGCTGAAACACCGAGGGCCCGGGAGGGGGGAGAGAGAGAGTTAAGGGTTGACAGCGCGACCCCATTAAACCCGCCTTTCTCCGCCTATCAGAACCTCCACATTCTCGAGGGAGACTGAAAACCGCCAATCTTCATTAATCGAGGAGGGTTTCGCTCCACCGTTTGCCGATCGCGCGAATTAAACGGGAGGTATCTGCGCAGAGAAAAAATGGCGAGTTCAAGAGAAGGGGAAAATAAAGCAAGTTATCGACAATTGGCGGCAGTATACTAGGGCTGCAGGAACGGCGTACGGAGTACATGATACATCGTCTACTTAATAAATGTGGGGAACAATCTACTTGAGGATCTATACCAAGCACAACGTCATTGTAGAATGTTTTTTGTATTCATTCTGCTCACAAAGGGAAAAAGAATTTGTATCTGCAGCCATCCCCCTTTCAACGGCTTTCCAGCCACACCGATTAAAATCCCACAGAGACACCGAAAATGGAGTGTGTCCTGTTTCACTGTCAGGCAAGTAAGTCGAGTTATGTACAAGCTGCATAGCCAAGTATGATGTATGCAATCCCCGAATATCCCCATTCAACAAACGATGAAGACCAGATCCCGAGTCGGGATCCAGGTAATCAACCAGGTAGAAATGTGCAGAGGGGGGGGGGGGAATATGCAAAACACCAAATGCCCGGAAGCAATGGCGCCGAAAAGCGCTCGCAATGAAGACATTAGTAGGTGTCCATCGCGATGCAACTTTGGTACAGCAGGGAATTGGCGAGGCCATTTCCCTTGAGATGAAAAAGCAAGATACCTGTACAGGAAGGTGAAACATCGGATTAAAGGGTGATAAGTGTCAAGGGAATGAAGCGGGGAAGAGAAAGAGAAAAGCCAATGCGTTGGCGGCAGAGATGCAAATTAGCGCGTCGCTGGTCGGTGACACCCGGATGTCATAGCTGGGCAAGTTGACAGGACGTCTTTGTGGGCAATATCGATTTCAGATCGAGATGTCATTGAGAACATAGGAAAGATCACTCAGGTCCATGGCCTGAGGAGTGACGGTTCATGATATGGGGAGTCAGATGCCCAAGTCGTTGGTGACGTTCATGGAAAGTTGGCGACGCTGGTATTGTCGAACCATGCATGGAAAAAAAAAGGAAAAAGGTTCGAAAGTTCCGGATATCGTCGAGAAAGGAAAAAAGGAAACGCTGAATCGTGCGGGACTCTGGAGGTTGAAGGGCGAAAAGAAGAAGAAGAAGAAGAAAAGAGAGCCCGGGAAGGAAAGGATGATGTGATATCGGCAGTAGGATATCAGGTCGGTGGTCAAGAAAAGAGGGTTGAAAGGGGGTCGAGAGAAGTCGGAAGGAATCCACGCTCTGCACAACTTTCAAGAAAAAAAGCAAGTCGGAAGCCACTTTTGCAAACTTTTGCGTAGAATGATATCGCCGATGCGTCATCCGAGGACCAAGCTGTTTTTGTGGTTGAAAGCCGAAAGAAAGGATGAAGAAAAGTAGGAAGAGACCACAAGGGACGAAAAGAAGAGAAAATGCAAAAACGCAGACAAACACCTCGCTTCAAGTACAAGACACAAAACATGGAGAAATCCACCATGCGCCAGTGCAAAAAACACAAGTGCGACGAGATATCAATAAGAGAGCATGCGACGGCCAGGTGTCCTATTGGGAACCGGGCTCACAGCAAAGGGAGACCCCAACGGAGAAGCCAGAAGGCTGGCAGTTCGATCGGCTCCCATACGGGGCCGGCCAGTCGGGCTGTCTTCCATCTGAGGGGACGAGTGCTGGCCAAAGGCAAAAGTCTGAGCGCGATTCAACTTGGAACGCTGCTTGACCTTACCCAGGCCCCGCTCGCAGGCGAATTCATGACCATCAGCGTTCATTTCAACGTAATTCTGAGGGTAGCAGAGAGAACGGTGCTCTGCGAAGAAGGAGCTGTAGCCTCCATCGAGAATGTACAGATCGGGGTACGTCAGATTAGGGTATGAGTCGATGTTAACAGCCCTGTCGTGGTGGCGAATGTACTTGGCCATAATGGGTGCGCGGTGCGCGGAATATTCACAGTGCAAGATTAGGGCGGTTCGGGCCTTGGGACAGCCGAACAGTTCACCCGCAAGTCGATCCTTGTCGTTGTAGTTGAGGGCACCGTTAATATGGCCACCCTCATACTCGTATTCGAAGCGGCAGTCAACAATCATGATATTGTCGAAGCGGTCATTGAACTTCCCGTCAAGAAGTTCAAGCAGAGTGTGCTTTCCGATGCGAGGCAGTGTGTCCGCCCGATCCTCGGGGACGAAGTGAGGAAGCTGGGGGGTTGGCGAACTATCCATGTCGCTGATGGACTGGAGGGGTGCATTTGTGGGTACCTTGGCCTCTTTTTCGGCAATCACATCCGCTGGGTGCTCAAACATACTCAATGATCGTCGGCATTGCTTGCGAGGACGCATCGAGGGATGGGAGAGCTTGCGAATGGAGTGAGATGCAGCGGGCGAGCCACTGCTACGAGCGTGTTGGAAGGGTGGCCGCAGGCGCGGCGGTGCCAGAGTGCTCGAGGAGTTATTACGGGAGACGGTTCTTTCCTGAGGGGGGGAGTCACCGAACATCTCCTCCAGGGAGGTGGAAGTGCTCAATGAGGTCTTAGCTCCGGCGGTGCTGAACCGGAAGGGAGGAGCTTTGCTCTCGTTGTTAGAGCGGGACATGCCGAGCTGGAAGGACTGAGCCTTGCTCTTGGCCAAGCTGGGACGGAGGAAGTGGGGACGACGTCGTCTGCAGAGATTGGTCTGTTAGTAATGCGATTCCAGAAGTATATGGCCGGGGAAACCAGAGGGAGTATGAGGGTGTCTTACTCAAGTGGTGCCCGAGTCGGAGCCTCCATGGGAGAGGCCTGGAGAGGGCTAGGAGCTGCCGATGTGATGGGCGAGTCCATTGGACTACAGCTCGGAGATGGTGAGTGCACCTCGATCTCAGTAGTGACAACGAAAGCGGGCTTGTGCGGTAGAGGAGACATCTCCATAATGTCCATGGCTGGTGATGAGGGAAGCGGCGGGGTGGTCATCACATCATCTGAAAGGTATCAATCAGTATTTGAAGTGGGGACAATAGCCACATCCTCCAAGTGAGCACATACCACGAGCATTAGCCTGACCCAGAATGTTGGAAGTGAACAAAGACCGTCGAGGCGTAGCCAATTGAGGACTAAATTTAGGGTTAGTACGAGAGCATTTAGTGGTTCGTGTTCATTCACGTCTTTGTTCATGAACCCTCGAACCTTCGAGCATAGACAACGAACCTTTGATCAATGTGAAAGTTCTGAGACAAATCCGCCGCAAGGCTGGCTGCAGGCGAAGGAATGGGCTTGACGTTGAAGTAATCCGGACCCGACTTCTTCATTGACAGATCCTTGAAGTTGAAGCTATTGGAACCAAACCCGGACAAGGATGGATACGAGGTAGGCGCATCTGCACGGAAGCAATGGCCAAAGAGCATAGAAGGGGGCTGCATAGCAGCCAAGGGAGACGAGTGTTCCATGATCGCCAGACTGGGGATATCGAATGGCAACTGGACCGGGAGGTGTTTGATTCCGACGTGAAACAGTTGGGGGAGGGAATGGTTGAGTCAAGTCAAGCTGAGATCACGACCAAATTCCAATGCCTTCACGCAGCCTTTCCTTCCAACAAAAATCACGAAAGATGCTTTGAAATGAACGCTGTATGCAAAATGCAAATTCACGGCCAACACAAAATGTATGTCCAGTATGTCCACGTCCGCCAAGACCGGTAATCGGAAATGCACGAGCTCACGTAGACTGCGAAGTCTCTCCAGTCAGTTCCCAATTCCCTAAGATTCCCTCGGTGCCTGGAGAGTGCCCTCACAACCACCGTTCGGTGCGAGTGGTATCTTTCGTGGAGGGTGTCGGCGTTTAGAGCGACATGACCGAATTGGGGGGTTATGTGATCGGAGGTCGGGATGCAGCAATTGGAGGGGCCGGTAGCTCGTGGGCTGCAGGTAAAGTGGAGGAGGAGGAGGTACAGTGAGGGTGCAGTTTGTCGGAGGATCCTCACCACTGAGAATCGGATGGTCGAGGAGGTTGGGCGAGGGGTGTCGAAGGGCGTTGAATGTCGGAATGTCGTGAACAAAAGGAAGAGAAAAAAGAAGTGGAACAGAAGGGTTTGAAGAACGAAACTCGTGAAGCTGAAGGGATGGGTCTGTTGCAATGGCAACGCAAGTGGGGAGGATCTCCAGATTAGGGTACGGTATAGTCGGTATGGTATGGCTGGTATGGCTGGTACCTGATACCGACCATTACTGCTGGATACTGATGGAGACTCCGGATACTACGGCCACTATGCTCTTCTTAACTATGAGATTCGTATTTTTCCGTATTCCTTCTCGATTGCCGCTTA